GTAGAGATCTCTGGCCTCTTCTTAGATCATTGGTAAGTTTATTCTTCATACTATCTACTCAGGAATAGCATCTGATTCCATGTTCTTCCAACAGGACTTATGTAGGTTAGTAATTGGCAGGGATTTTTTTCATGTAATTTACTGTAGCACAGTGTTGTCATGTATCTGTACCCTACTGTAGTGAATATATAATCTTTCTTTGTCTCCTGATTAGTGTGATGATTCTATAGAAGAAACCCTAATCCAAAACAATATTAGTTGGGTGGAAAATGACTATAGAAGCTCTGAGAGCTCTGAGAGCACTGAGAGCTATAGGAGATATTGCCACTATACATAGGAACAAGAGATCCATAAGTTGCTAACATTGATATGGTAGCTCTCAATGCTCTCCAACAATATCTGTTCTATAGTATCCCTATGAGAAATTTCCTGGTTTGCTGATGATATGTGTCCGTTAGAGAAAGGGATATGTTTATAGAAGAGTTTTAAAGGGATATGTTTATGGGAGAGTTTTAAAGGGATTTCAGCGAAAAGGGATCGAGCTGAAGTCCGGGTGTGCGTCGCCTTATTAGGAACATGGTAAAGGAAAAGAAAAGAAAAAGATACACAAAGTAACAAAGAAGAAAAAGTGTCCATAACACTTTCCGCATGACAACCGCCCCCAATGAGAAGACACCACAGCTTCACCTCGCCACCAGTCACCACCCTATTCACCTGGCTTTGCCGACCTCGTCAATATACATGATCATGTCCATACAGTATCGACAACTGCTGGTTTGATGCCAGGCACTGCCTATCGCTTGCGATCTGATACCAGAGCCCGTTCTCAATCAATCGTCAGGAGTGGAGAGTCAGAGCTGGTCCAGCGTCTCGTCTCTGCCACTTAGTGAGTGAGCACGCACGCTATTCTGATGGCCAGGGAGAACCAGACACTGCATGCACAGTTAGAGGCAAAGGCGAAGAAGAAGGCTGTGAAAGATGGAGACAAGTGGGTGAAAACTGATGCACGGATTCTTACCGGGCCTGAGAGAGTTGCTGCGATCCTCATGGAAGAGGAGTTGAAAGTGAGAAACACAGTGGCGGATGCCAAGGTCAAATGGTGTACGGAAATTGACAAGATGGGTGAGGCTGTAGATAAGATGATCACTAAATGAGAGGCGGAGCATAAATGTGAGCGCAGACCCCTCTTGAGGGTGGCGAAAGAGGTCAGGAAGATCACAGTGAAGTTGTACCCATCCATTACACTAGCGGACATTAGCTTGGATGCTCAAGCTACGACTGGCAGCCAACCACAGAGTTTAAGTGTTATTGTTAACTGTAAGAGAGTTGGAAAGGGGAGATTCTCTTATCAAGTCCTGACAGATGCAAGAGGGACGGAGAGCCCTCGCTGTTGTGTCGAGTCTTTCGATGGACAGTGGCCCGAAAGGAGAACAATGTTAATAAAATGATAGTAGCAAACACTTGACTATCCAAATGTCTGACCAAAAATGCAAATCCGTTCAGCCTGTTTGTTGAACCATCTGCTTAAGACGACCCCTCCATCTTCGTAGCTTCCATGATCCTAGCTTAAGATTTAATAATAGAACATGTCAGGAGAACTAGAATACACATTGACAAATGGACAATGTGAGTGTGTTTGACTCTAGAACCCTAAGAAACATTAAGATAGAACAAATCTTACAATAGGAAAAAAATGTACAGCCCAATTAATTAAAGGAGTGAAGGGGACACCCTAAAAGCATGCAAATACATATAACTGAATGAGGACTCTGACTTTCTTCAGACTTGAGAACACATTATTATTTTAAAATGAATAGAGCTGCAACAAAGGCCAGTAAGGACATAAATGTGTCAAGTACCATTAGCCCTGCCACACACTCAGGTACTGAGACTGTAGGAGAGAAGGGAGAGAATGAAAAGGAGTGAGCTATCAGAAAACTGCTCATCTATACTAGCCAACTAGGTAATACATATCAAGGTGATAATCATGGAATGTCAATATTCACAATCATGGTCGATGTACTTGACTAAACTTCAAGTACATCAACCATGGTTAATGTACTTTCCATTCACTTTGGATGCAGTGTATATCAATTATGATTATTGATATGTGTGTGTGTTTCACATGGCTATTTCTACAGCGTGAAAGATGACTCAAATAACATGCTTATTTCTCACTCTATGACCATAATCTACAAAACAGGCTATCATTACTAGAATCATATCAGTTGGACCCCACACAGTCCACCTACATTTAAAGAAAGGCCCATCTATTAAAGGCTGTCATGGCCGGACGAGATGACACTCAATCCTGGGTAAGCCTCCCTGACAATGTGGGGTGCCTACGCCTTAGCTCAACACGTCAAGATACCTGCAGGGATGATCAAGTGCTCTGAGGCAGTGGCTTGAATAAACATCAGGCCTGGTTACTTTAAGATTCACCTCCAAGGTTGCCCAGTGCGAGATCAAACGACTAGTTGACTACACTAGCAGCGACGTGAAGACGCAGGGGTGAAGAGGATGAGCCTCTATTCTGAGTTGTTCATCCAGGAGTTGACAATCTCAAAGCTGGGGTATGTATATGCAGACTACTCCCAAGCTGAGAGGGACACGTAAACTATGATGAAAGGGGTGCGTAAGTAAGGGGCATATATGTGTATCGAGTTATAGTCTGTAAGAATGAATAGATGGGAATAGTGAAGGGCCGTGCATTGAGGATGAAGAGGAGCCGCATCATGGAGATAAGAAAGTAAAGGACAAGAAAAGAAGGGGATACATAAGCATACCAGGAGTCCATGGGAATACGTAATCGTAAGAGTCATTATGGTGTCATGACGTCATGAGGGATTGTGGAGGAAAACAAAAACAAAAACAAAAACAAATGAGTGTGGCAAGTGTGGCAAGTGTGATGAGACACGCGAAAGAAAAGAAAAGGAATTGTCCATAACTAGTCATTCCTAATAAAAGCCCCTTTATTGAGATTGTTGTTATGAACTTTTTGTTTTTTTACCTACATTTTGATATACTTGTTTTCTGTTCTGTGTTTGCTTGAGTGAAATGAGACAGCGAACTACAGCGGGCAAGTCTGATTGCACCGGACACCGGGCCAGTCCAGCTGTAGTTCAGCGTGATAGGAAAGTGCCACCACGTGGAACCTCGGTATTTCATGGGAAACCTTCCACTGAAGGTCGACTTCAATAATTTCCCCAAAATTACTGTAGGTCATGGATCCTATAGCTGAGCTTATGGAAGGTACATATAGACTCTACATATGCATGTTTTATAGCTACGTTAATTCTGAAACTGATGGGGATCACTGGTTTTTATTTTACGAGAATATCTTCGTTCAGTAGTTCAGTAAGATAGTGTTCCCACACTTCTTACTTACACTACTCTGCTCGTGATACCTACTGATCTGTTCCTAGATTATCTACATCCTTTCCTCTACACCTCTTCGAGTTTCCTCTCCTTTGTTACTGCTCAGTAATCACCATCTGATTATTTACGCTTAGTATTCCTATCACTGGACTTGATTAGTGACCAGTCTCTTTATCTTCGTGATTCTATTCGCTACGATCTTTTCTTGCTTAGAAGAGTCTCTTCGCTATTCATTGACTCTTTTTATTGCGTGCTCATTCACACTAATATCTTGGTAAGTTGTGTCATTTATGATTAGTATTTTACTTTGTATCTACAGCTATAAAAACTCGTATGTACTCTCAAATAAAATCCAGACTTGATCTGGTCTATTTCCTCCATAACCATCTCTTCAGCTTCACCAAAGCGCGACCTAATGATTTTATTCGAGTTGTTAACTATTGTTGGGGAAGAGAAAGGTTAGATTAGGTTGTTAGGTTAGAGGTTAGTTTGTTAAGTCAGTATAATCCGGGAAATTTACGCCTGCCAGTAAATTCTTGTGAATTGCCACGGGCGATCGAGGAGGTGCCGACGACCTAGGCGATGAGTGTCCAGAGGAAAATAAAATGAGGTGGCTCAGCTGCGTTCTGGGTTCACGTCTATTGTAGAGCAGAAGTTGCTCTCGCTATCCCTTGAGAGCACGATTTGAGGGTCGGGTGAGGTTCTGACATACAAAGTGTCTCGGTTGATATACAGATATAAATATTTTATTTGTTTCCCGTATGTGTGCGGCTTTGGCAAGACTTTGGGTGGCACTATGGTAGCCACTTTAACGTATGTGGCACTTTCTCATTGTGGGTGCCGCAGGCACGAAGGAATTGGTCACCCAGAAGAATGTTCTGAGTATTCAACGCACCACAGACGTCAAAAAAAAATAACTTTTGTCAAGGTGGCGATCTTATGGCATAAGAGAGTAACAAAACATCCCAAGGCTTATTGCAGGCCTGTGGCACTGTCCGATACTCATCTCGCTTACAAAAAATTTACAAGACTTTGATCGCAAGCAGCTTCCTCAGTAAATTTTCTGTAAACATTAAGTTTGGCACGACTTATTTCACTTATTTCTGCCAAACAAATGAGCTCTGCAACTTATTCCTTATATTTTGGCATGTCGTCAGTGCCTGCAACCCCGTCTCTTTTGCGCATCGCGCTCTATCGTGCTCTATATTTAGCAGCTGACCAGCTTTTGTTCATCTTGCAGTCTTGGCACCGTTACACGCTCCTCAGCTGACCTTGAACTCGCTCGCAATCCCGCGATACTTTTCAGGCCACATGGTGCTATCTGACTGGAAAATAAACAAAAACACATATATAGATACACATTCAGGTACTGGAATGTATTTAAAGCAACTAAAATAGAAGTAAGAGTATGATACAAAAATATATACCCTGAAAGTATCGAGATAATTGGGAAGGCGACGAGAGAGCGAAGGTGTTTGGACACCAGAAGCAAAGTGGTGGTGCGCAAAGCGCGACGCCCAACGGAGGCAGGTGGACGCACATGGCGTAGCTATGCCGTGCTACGGCCAGCCAACCCATAAGTGATCGACGGCTGCAGAAGCGCCTGGAAAGGCAAATTTCCCGTAAATTTCTCAACATAAGTTAGAGGTTAAATGATTAGGTTATGTTAGGTTATATAATATATATTAAAAAGCCCAGTATATTGACATTATTGAAAAGCCCCGATGTACTTTCTTGTGAAGTACACTAACGACACTCCCACATTTTCCCCGACCTTTCTTTTATTTTATTCCACCCTCCAAACCCCGTCGAACCCCCACAAGCCACATAAGGGAAGAGAATCGGCAAGTCCCGCATCCGCGCGTCATTGCATAAGCTGTAGACTCAAACCCTTGTGAAATGTCCCCAATGGCATTTCTCCTATAAACACATAGAGAAGCAAGTATATGCATGAATTATACAGTGCCAAGGAAGCCTCAATGATTTTCCAAAGATTTCTATCATTTTATTCGAGCCCCGCCAGACATCTGATGGTGTTACAGATGCCTGCACCGAACTACCAGTTCCTGTAGTTTGTTTCAAACTCCACCTCACCAGGTTCTCACTCAACTTCTGATGAAGCTAGATAGTGCTATAAAGCAAACAGCTTAGTCATTGCAAGAAATAGACAGTGGCTAATTTTTTTGAGTGAAAGTCGAGATTCCCATTTATTGACAGAAAATTCCTGGCACTGCAAGAGGTTTTCGAAAATAATAAATAATTGAATTATGATTCCATGAGTTTACGAATATATTGTGTATAAATGATTTCTTTGCTTTTTTCTTTCGACATGCAACACCACCTTCCTTTTCTGGGTTATTGAGCAGAACTCACATGGTGCCCTGTGGCGGGTGGCCACTGGTGTACGCAGCATCACCTTTGCTTTTGCTCTCTCATCCCTCCATACGCTTCTTTGCACTCTGCATACTACTCTATGGGCCTATTATATCATTTGTTGATGTTCAGCCCGTACAAAACGTGCTATCGAGTTCTCAGTGCCATCGCCAATGCTTTCGGTCAGTGATAGCACCCGCCCCTTCTCTTTGCACCACTACCATCTTCCTCTTCATTCGCTCCTCCTAACACATCTAGGTACTCACACTCCCACAAACTCCCTCAAGAACCATCTAAAGTTGAACCAAGAAGGCTGGTGGGTTATTCATATTGATCCTCAGATGTGGCACACCAAAAGCAGCTCACGCGTGAGCTGCCGGCTGCTCTACGTGTGTTGCCACATTGTCTTCGTGTTTGTCTCTCGCTATTCTCTCTTCTGACATTTTTTTTTGCTTTTTTCACAGTCCTTGACCCGCTTGCTGGCTATTATCTCGAAATGTTCAACCATTTCATATGCAGCATCATTCACACACGTCTGCATCAGCCTCTACGCATCCCTCCACATCTTCGAGAACATATCCACCCGACAAGCCGACAACCCATTCAACCGACATCTTAGCACCACAACGGGTCGGCGGCCAATGCTCCTCCATTAAGCATATCACTCACCAATTTATCCCACCGCACCTCCATCTCCAATTTATGTCCATTGACGCCGACTCAGTCTCTGGCTTCCACCAGAGGATGTACCACCTTTATAAAGGTATCTGCTAGTAAGCACAGGATCCTTTACAATGATTCCTCTGGCCCAGGAATTATAAATGGCAGCACTGGGCTGGCTATTGGGGCGGCCGGGGGTGATTCTGGGTGGCCGGGTGGCCCAGGGTGATGGGGTAGGGCGTATGGGGGTGGTCGTAGGGGTAGGGTAGGGGGTAGGGGATGGGGTAGGGGTGCTGGGGAATGGGTAGGGCGGGTAGGTAGGGCGTATATGGTGGAACGGGCTGGATTATGTATGGATAAAATGGGGAATATGGGCAAGGATGATCGTAGGATGAATAGGGATAGAACGGTGGTCGATAAAAATACGGAAAAATGATAGAATAATAGTAGGGATGCTAGGGTCGGGGTACTGGGTACCTGGTGGTAGATCGGTAGGGGAAACGGGGTGATCTGGGGGTATTTTGGTAACTTTGTGAGTTTTGTGAATTAGGACGAATGGATCGCATTGCCGGGTGTCATTTCGATGGAATTGACGTATAAAATGTGAATTGTGGCCCAATTTTGGCAACATGAAGGAGGCCTATTTCGGGGGTTCTGACTATTTGACAAACATTGATAAATGTATAAGATGGTCAAAATCAATTTTTGAAGGAATCGGTCCATTCATTCTGAAGTTATAGCGTAAACGGTCAGCAAGATATTGCCCTAGCACGGTGGGAGAGGGTGGGCAGGCCAGAACTGGGGATATAGCGGTCCGATTATCTTAGTTTTTGCTGTAATGGGCAGCCCCATATGAATACTAAGTGATGGGAAGCACACCGGACACAAAAACAATGATCGTGGCCTTGGTAGTGGTGCCGCGTCCAGGGGAGGAGGAGAACATCTACCCTGGGGGTATTTCCATGGTTAGAATGTCTTGTGGTGTTGAAGTGATGATTGGACAATATATTTTGATGTTTGGGAAGTTGATCTACGGTGCAATATTAGTCAAAATTGTCCTGCACTAATTGTGGGGCACTGAGGGGGTGAAACAGCGTATTGGGCCACAGTATAATCACCGAAACACCAATTTACGCGTTTTTGGTACCGTTCTTGTTGTGGTAATTTAGTTTAAATGTACATAAACATTATACAAGCACCAGAACCACAGCTGGTGAATTGTGGAGAAAGCAAAACTATGTTTTTGATGGGGGGCAGGTGTGTCATGACCTTCCATCATTTTCATGCCTTTTTCATTATTTCCTGGTGTGTGCCACAGTGGCCTGGGTTTGGTTGTGTTTGGTTCTGGCTAGTATATAAACCTACCTACTTCCTGTTTTGTACTCTAGTCTTGAGATCATCAGTCTCCCCCCTATACAACCTTTTCCTTGCCCTTGGTGTGTGTTTCTGAGTGAGATCGCCTGCCAGCAACCCCTCTTTGTAGGATATGGTTGTTCTGGTGTGATCGTGACAAGGTGCACATGTAGTATTGGGGGCGTATATGGACCAGATCTCGCTCAAATGCAGCGCGATCATGGTGCGGTGTGGTACAAGGCTAGATTACATCATAATAAATGTTTCTGGGTGGTCCACTATGTCATATCTAGTCTGTGTGATACAGTAGAAATGCAAAACATCGGTTTTTGGCTGTAAATGACCAATTCTGCCGCGTATTTGAATTTCTGAATATAATTGAGGGATTCCTGGACCAATCCCCGTTAGGAATAATCTCTATGCATCAATAGGTGAACGTCCAAAAAAAATCCGAAGTGATCAGTTAGCCTATACCTCTCAAAGTGCACATTCATTCGTCCTAATTCACAAAACTCACAAAGTTACCAAAATACCCCCAGATCACCCCGTTTCCCCTACCGATCTACCACCAGGTACCCAGTACCCCGACCCTAGCATCCCTACTATTATTCTACCATTTTTCCGTATTTCTATTGACCACCGTTCTATCCCTATTCACCCTACGATCATCCCTGTCCATATTCCCCATTTTATCCATACATAACCCAGCCCGTTCCACCATATACGCCCTACCTACCCGCCCTACCCATTCCCCAGCACCCCTACCCCATCCCCTACCCCCTACCCTACCCCTACGACCACCCCCATACGCCCTACCCCATCACCCTGGGCCACCCGGCCACCCAGAATCACCCCCGGCCGCCCCAATAGCCAGCCCAGTGCTGCCATTTATAATTCCTGGGCCAGAGGAATCATTGTAAAGGATCCTGTGCTTACTAGCAGGTACCTTTATAAAGGTCTTACATCTACGCCTGTGGCTTCCTGGGTCCGTATTCCCTCAATGGTCACGAACTGCTTCTAGTCTCACTGTTACGACCGGGCTTAAGCTAGGCTTAAAGGCGACGTCGGTTTCATGAAGCGAGGAATGATCGAGTCGTTTGGCGCCGTCGGCTTGGGCGATCAGCGAGGGGCTTCAGAGGTTCTGGATCCGGGGTTCTGGCTCGGTTCGTCTAGACGCGGTGTCCGGTCTAGGATCGAGTTCGTTCAGATGAGGTGTCCTCTTCTAAGGCAGGCGTCCTGCTAGAACTGATGTGGATTTGGGGTTCTGATAGTAAAGCTCTTCAGTTAGTCGAGATTCGAGGGGTATTGTCTTGAGGTCGCACAAGACAATATCGAGAATTCTGGTGAATTCAATTGAAACACTGTAGGTACGATACAAGTGAACAGGTTGGAGAATCTCGACTACAAAGGTCCGATATTTATACTAGTACAGGTCCGTGTGAATCGCCATATCATATAGGTCCGCCACATCAGCCTGAGAGTCCGTCTGCTCTGCCGAGCCAGAGCCAAGCCATACCGTGGTAGTCTATATTCGAACAAGATATTGTGTCCGCAGTCCTTCCTTACGTGTCCCATCCACTATCATATGTGTCCGAAGTATGTATACGTGTCCAATGTAAGTATACGTGTCCGTTAGAGAAAGGGATATGTTTATAGAAGTGTTTTAAAGAGATTTCAGTGAAAAGGTATCGAGCCGAAGTCTGGGTGTGCGTTTCCTTACTAGGAACACGGTAAAGGAAAAGAAAAGAAAAAGATATACGAGGTAACAAAGGATAAAAAGTGTCCATAACATCCGGTAAGTCACACAAGTCTCTCGCATAGCACCTTAGTATTTACACTACTCTGCCTTAGAATAACTACAAGACAAAAACCAAGAAGTGTGAATCCAAGAAGCAATTAGCCTAACAGAAGAAGGCAGCACAACCGGTTCCACGTGTTAAGCATGTCCATATTCGAGGAAGGATGGATAAGGACGAGATGGATGTGAGTGGCAAGGAGATGTCAGATGAGATGTCTGCACTACGGGAGACGGAGAATCGAGAGGCGAAGAAGCAGAACCATCAGGGTGGTGCTCATGGTCCAGAGAATATGACGCTCCCACACTGGCATGAGGCTGTGCCTTCTATCGAACCAAAGGGTCCACGCTGGATGTTCAAGTGTAGATATTGTACCACGTAGGTGCAATTCTCTTCGGTGATTTATCTGTGCTTTACTCATTCAATTCACCATCAGCACTCATACTGTTCAGCGCACTCTCGTTGACGACGCCAGCTTTGCAGATGAGAAACCTCGTCCAGATTTGATAAACCTTGTCTCACATATGAATAGGCATCCCAACAAGGTCAAGGATGCTAGGGCGAGGCTTGCTGCTGGTGGAAGTGGCAAGAATTTGGGAGCAGGGAAGCCAGGTATAGACTCATACTCCGCTACGACACAGAGTATTATAGATAAATTTATGGAGGAGGGCCTACTGAATCCAAAGAGTGAGCCAACACGTCAGGGATTCATTTTGATGTTGGCAGCATGGATTATGGATGATGATCTACCTTTCATAACATGTGAGCTGATCTTCTATATCCCCGAGCTTTAGTGCCACTGAAAAGTATGTCCCTACTAGGTGAATCGGCATGGCTCTAGCGGGTTTTTGAGTACATCAAGTGCAAGTGGGAGCTTTCCAGCGATACTGCAGTATGCAATGCCATAGTCAAAATTGTCATACAGCTACATGATGAGGTTGTAAAGACGCTAATGGTTCGTATTTTATCACTTTGATATCTCTGGTCCTGTCTCGGTTTCTCTCTACATGACTGTGACACATAGGCTTGCTTTCAATCATCCAGTTTGTACAATACAGCATACTGACTTTACTTTGTTAAAGGCTGTGAAGTTGAAGATCGCCTATGCAACTACACACACACACTATGATTGATTGTGCTCAGCTTCTTTGAAAGGTATCATCATATGTCTTAGGCTTGTCATCCCGTTCACTATCAACACCATATCCAGGACATCAATGCCTGGATTGCTGACATTGATAATCCATCAATTCCCTCATTGATCCAGGAGGATTGGAAGGCCTTGGATGAGCTCGCTCATGTTCTTTCAGTGCGTACAATATTTTCTTTGTCTGTAATAAAGAAATTTTCTGTGACTTACGAGTTCTCAGATATTTACAAAGGTTACTGAGACCATGTCCCGTTCCAACACACCAACACTTCCTTGGGTCCTTCCCATGTACGAGCACATGAAAATCTTGTTTGAGGCAGTTGTCAATAATGGGTCCTTGCCTGGTAACCTTCGTGAGGCATCTGCTGCTGGCCTTAACAAGTTAGAGCAGTACTATAGCCTTGCTCATAATAATTACTGCTGCATTTTGGCCACGGGTATGATTATCGATATGAGTCTTGTTTTTTCTAATTGTCTTGCATCTTCTAGCATGCCATCCATCAATGTGATTGAAGTGGTTTCAAAGTACTAGGTGATGATGCATACAAGAAGGCCTGCATTGTCTTTGAGAATGTGTTCAAGGCATACAAAGAGGATATGCCCCGCCTCGAGCCAAAGTGTGCACCTACACAGCCTCCTGCCTCAAACAACTTCCTCTTAAGTCTTATTGGTCATGTTGATATCAATTCTGACGGAGAGGAGCCGCAGCTTGCAAAACTGGAGAGGTGGAGACAAGGCCGTGATGGAGGTAGTGAACCAAACTATCCGTTGAAGTAGTGGAAGGTGTGCATTTTCTTTATTGCAAGGTGGAGAACAATATCTCATCCTTTATTCTAGGCCCATGCATCCGGGTTTGCTGTTATTTCCAAAATGGCACGGATTGTACTTGCAATTCAAGGGGCGGCTGTATCAGTTGAGCGCATTTTCTCTTATGCGTGTCATATCTGTGTTGATACTCGCTTGTTGTTGAAGGCAGAGAGTATCACTGAGCTTATGTGCTGGATTTTTGTCTATTGATTGATGCTTAAACTCTTTCATCACTAAACAGTCCAGGTTCCTATGAACATACTATATACTATGTATGTACGGGATTTCCGTACATGTATAGTAGAACGTGGAGCCTTACTCACATATGTATCCAGCACTTTTTTTGTTTTGCAAATTATCAAGATGTCTACTGATATAAAATTCAACGTAAACTCGTCAAGATTTGACTCTTTCCATTATTCATGGCTTAACTCTCCAACTGTAATCTACAATTATCTATCCTGTAAATATACCCTCCACAGTAGACCAGCCTGGTATATGAAGCACCACAAGAAACCTTGTACTTGAGGGGAGATGCATGTTGGAAATACTTTATCATGACCACACCAAAACAATCATATCCTCCAAAGAGGGGTTGCTTGCAGGCGATCTCTCACTCAGAAACACAGACCAAGAGCAAGAAAAAGGTTGTATAGGGGGAAGATTGATGATCTCAGGACTAGAGTACAAAACAGGAAGTAGGTAGGTTTATATACTAGCCAGAACCAAACACAACCAAACCCAGGCCACTGGGGCACAGAAACTCGGAAAGTGTGGCCCAACTGTAGCACACACTAAGAAATAATGGAAAAAGGATGGAAATGATGAAAGATCATGACACACTTGCCAAATATGGAAGTAGGCAAGACTTTTGTCCAACAGTGTAGCAACCAACAACCTCTGCCACTGCACTGGACTAATCTATCTTCAGAGATCATCTATTATACTACAATATGCAGACAAACATAAAGACAAACCTGCTCAATAAATAATTGGCTAGCCAAGCCAGGCAATTTTAAGGCTACTCTTCAGCTGACTAAGGCTGTGGCCCAGCGCCACCACAAAGCTCTCAAAAGTTTACTACAGAGCCGCTACACGAAGTTCTGAGTGTGCTTGATATTGATACATAAGGTGGATTTTTCCCCTGTTATAATGAGCCTTTTACGCATCTGGATTAATGCACTTATCAATGTTGTAATATAGGGGATACACTATGGCGGGCAAGTGGCAGGCCTTTGCACTGCAGAGCTCTGTATGGCAGTTGAAATATTAAGATTTTATTCATGTTGCGCTATTGTGGGTATAAAATACTGTGCAGATTATGATAAGATTATCTTACTCTATTACTCAAGGGTATTAGTGGATAATCCCAAGTGATCAATCCTGTGGATTGTGACAGGTTTTATTGATACCTTTGGGAAAGTGATGAAGTGGGTGCCACAATCCTTCTCTCCTCCCTTATCCTGGGTTTTTATTTTATTTTTGTGCCCCCCTTATTTGCAACAACTAATAGATATGATCTTATAGACAAAAATTAATAATAGGCTATATTCATCTGGATCTCATAAACTGATTTATAAGTTGAACAGACTGGCCAAATGAAGTAGAAGATATGACTACATCTTTAATCCATGTTGGAAGTTTGTTATAAATACGAGAATTCTGATATCTAGAGTCTAGTAAAATAAGGCTTGCCCAGTCATCTTTATGTCTTATAGCACGGCCTAAGAACGACACAGTGAGCTTTTAGCATACCACATATTGAAAAAACATATATACCTATACTTTGATTGACAGCATTCATACAAAGATTTTCATAAAGATATGTTCCAGCTAGCCCAAATGGAGAATTGCTAGAAGGAAGAGTCCCTTGGATATGATCTGCATATCGTAGGCGCTCTTTCAATTCTAGAGAATTGAGGTTTGCAAATGGCAAGCCCACTATCACAACCATACGTGCAAGATTATCAGAGAAATTCAATCCCTCTGATAGCTTTGCTCCTATGACTGCAAATAGAAGAGCACCTCTCTATTCCTTTATTAATAAATATCATAAGTATATAGAGAATATAATGACATACTGGTTTCTGTGTAGCCAAACTGTATGCATCTAAGACAGATTCTACTTCAGAACCGTCTGAAGGTTCCACAAAAAGCTGGATTTTTGTCATTTAGTAGACATAATAAAGATAAAATTTAAATACTCACTTCTCTTTTAGATTCAAGTGCACTAAATAGATGACCTTTCTTCCATGTTGATAATGCCATATGAAGTACTTTATAAGATGAAAAGAATATCACTACACCACCGGGCACTGATCGAATTAAGTTTAATATTGCTTGTCCTAATTCATCAATCTGTTGAACTTATAAGACATGAATTTTTGAAGAGGGAGAACAAAACTTACCAGTCCCTTAGTGGATAGGTTAGAATGAGTGAACTTTAAGTCACTATTCCTCGGTCCATACCCCACAATAAGTGCTTGAAGATTAGACTTGGGTATAATGTGCAAGCATGAGAACTGAGAAATCCTGCTAGAGGGTAGATAATAGAATAGTTGGGTAATTATATCCTCAGTCTAAATATCACAGTCAGTATATATATGTATGAATCAAGACATTTATCACGTACAGGAGATAATGTTCCACCAGCTAAGATGATTGACTGAGCTGAATCAACGAGGGCTTGAAACTGTGGTGATGGATTCAAACACTGATAGGTTATTGAAAACGACTCCACATCTGCACAGCTTGAAAGAAGAAGCCTTCCATCTGGTATATATTCATTAGTGCATACTCTGAAAGTATATAGCCAACACTTACCATCTGCAGCCTGTGTAATTGAAGTGATAAATGATTCTATCACATGAAGTGAAGGTCTCTGAGGATCTGTATTGAATTAGTATGATATCTCAATTGTAACTTCAAGAAGTCAGACTCACTATCTTTCCTTTGACTGGGTTGAAATTGTGTTGAATAAGCTGACACTTTGCGAGCAATCTAATAATATGTTAGACTCAGCTGAAAGAAATTGAACAAATAAGCATCACCTTAGAACTCCGAAGATACTCATAAATCTCTAGGAGATTAACAGCATCGATGTTCTGCCCAAGAGCCCGCATGACCTCACCAACAGTCATCACTACTGCATGTTGCTCATTGCCCAGCTTCTGCTGTGATCTCCACTTAATGATAAATGCCATAAAAGCTTTCAAAAAGGTGTGTAGTCGTGTGAGATGCAACATGTGACGAGAGGACAGTCTTAAGCGGAACTTGGATAGATATGTAGAAATCTGGTCCATAGAGTCCTTCAGGTTTTGATATGTCATACTGACTGTAGACAAAGATAAGATGGTGGAGATGAGATCTGAGGTATTATGATCAATAAGGAGGTGGTAGACATGATTGAAAGGAAATATAAGCTTACTATGGGCTTCATCTATCACAATCACCTGGTCTTGAAGATTGATCCCCAGAGCATCCCGAGCCGAGGGCTGCAGAAGAAGATTATAAGGCATTGTGACCAACTGCAGAAGGAGGTCAACTTCAAGAGCGTGCCACTGCGTGCATGAGAGAAGATGAACAAACCTCAGCCTGAGATACGGCCTCTCGAGATGCAAAATAGGGGCATGTGCGGGATTCTTTTGCCACAGATACCAGCTCTTCGATATCCTTTGGAGCAGCCTACTGCATCAGTCAGATCACCATTTGATAAACAAATAACAGAACGTTGTCGCACCAGTATCTGGTCCCGAAGGTCATGCAATCGCATATCATCTTCATCTCGAGGTAGATACGGACAACCATGTCCCTTTTTGGCTGGAGATATACGCTTAGTATTAGTATTAAAGACATGGAGACGGACGGCAATACATACAATTCATCAGATCCCTACAACGTTCGTCAAGATCGCCCCCTTTCGCCCGCAGATCCTCATTTATGCACAGCTGCTTCCGTGACCCAAGCGACACGGCGCGTGTCTGTTGTTGGCTAACGAACACATCATCGTCATCGTTATCGCTCGCTAGCGCTTGATATCCTCTCTTGAGTGAAGACGGCTGCGGGAGGCTTGTAGTATGCGAGGCTGCCGACATATGACCAGTAGCGGGAGGGTTCTGACGATTGCGTTTGAGCCTGCGAAGCTCCGGGATGATTTGGGATAGTTGTGAATGAGTACGAGAGCTGTAGTAGATCTTGGTACAAGGCGGTCGCTCTTCGGACTTCCGCTGAGAGTAACTAAAATTGAGAGGCACTGGTCAAGCCGTCGTAAAAGAGTAAATCATTCGGCGGGATACTCACCTCGAACTTGTACGTGCGAGAAATGACGGCAATTCCGAGTCATGACTCTCCTCGGGTAGGTACACATCGTCTTCGTCGACCTCCTCAGTATCGTGAACTTGTCGCTGACGTTCATCGTCAATCCAAACCTCGCAAGACACGAACAGAGACAAACTCACAGGCTTCTTCCTCACTCTCGCCATCGCCGCCTTCTTCGCCGCAGCTTCACGTTTCCTCGCCTTCTTCAATTGTTCCTCGTATTCCCTTTCATCCGCTTCCAGTTCTCGTCTCAACCGCTCCTTTGTCTGTTCCATGACCCAATCGGGCCCTGTACGTCCGAGAGTGACAATGCATCAGGCCGCCACACCATGGAAATAATCGAGGGGAAACGCACCATCACTGCCCGCAAGAGCGTCCAATTGCCCTTGACGAGCACGGTTCTTATTATCGTCCAGCCAAGTGAAAGTCGCAGAGAGCAGACTCAGAGTCTTTCCCTAAAATAAACGAACTATCAAGTCAAACTCTCAGCCCAGTAGATGATAGGCAACCAACCGTTCCTGTAGGACTTTCAACAATCGCAACTTTACGCCCCTCGATGGCTGCATAGAGATGGCGCATGAGATCGAGCTGAATGTTGTAAGGCTCCGGGTACGGAAAGATAGGGAATGTGTCTGGGGTAGGAAGGGTGAGAGATGGCCCATCGGACTTCGAGTCAGACTCAGTCGCCATCGAAGATTGTGGCAGCGTCGTTGACAGTTTGGAAGACCTGGAAAGCTGAGATGTGTATTCGCTCGAGTGTGAAGAGTTGACGTGTTTGGTGGCAAGAGCAGAAAGGCTGATGTGCAACAATCACGACGCGTCAACCACGTGTTTTCCCACGGGGCCACATTGACACTTCAAGAACCTTTTCGACCGTTCAAGACGCACGGCGAGGGTGCTCAGGCAATCAAAATCACACGGCAGACAGATAATACAACGAAGGCAAATCAGTCGGTAATTGTCCAGCCACATCCGCACAATACACACGTATACGCAAAACATGTTGAAAGGTAGGCTACGTTAACAGGCATCTCAGTAGACATACGGAATAATTCTCCACGGCACAAGTTCCATGTACTTGTGCCAATCTTTTCCATATCTATTGGAACAATGAGCGACCGGTCCTCGATATAGATATGTTGCAACTCACTTTCTCTCGCAGTTTTCATCATCGCGCAACTGCCTGTGAATGAGCAAGAACGCGAAATAGATGACATAGAAGTAGGTGACAGGTGTGTCGAAACCGGTGGGAAGAGACCACGCCAAGGCCATCAAAAGGTCGCCCCTATAGTCGATCTCAGTACAGGGCAAATGGGGCAGGGACTGAGACGTACATGTAGTTAGGGTGGCGGGACATGCCCCACCAGCCTGATGTTATGAGCTTCGTGCCTCTTTCAGTTTGCATGAATTGGAGATCTACGCGAGGAAGGCTTCCGTAAGTCAGTGAATCAGTGATACAGTGTTTGAGTTTACTTTTGGGGTTTTTTCCGTTACGGAAGTCGTTCTTCTCGCCGTTGGAAGAGCGGAAGATATAATAGCCCAGACAGTTGACGGCAAGGATGCCAGCGGTGGCGTATGGACCGAGCTCTTTTGGACTGAAAACAAGATAACGAGCTTGCAAAGAATAGACGAAAGGAACCCATAGAAGGTCCCCGACCGCGAGCATGAACCCAAATCCATCAGATGTGATGTCCATTGTGGTGAGGATGGCAGGCTAAAAGGATATCACAACGGTAAGCCTCGATAGGAACGCTCTCAAACGCATCGGAATTACCTCGTTATAGAGCGCGTCAGCGATGTATAGCGATTGAAAGCCGATGACAAGGCCCATAGAGTCGGTGATCCCGCCACCACGTCTTGTGGCCTGCTCGCAGGCCATGCTGATCAGGATCAGTTGCCAAAGGATCATTCCAGGACGTAATTCGTTGAAGGATTTGATGTCCAAACTTCCAACGGTGGGGTTAAGCTCCCGACCGATGAAGAACTAGAGAGAAAACTGAGCAAAGGAAAACGCTAGGAAGAGTGAACACATACGTCGTATATGGGATTTCCTGAGTTGCCCCCCAAGGCGAGAAGTTTACCCTCCCGGAATGACAGCGCGTACCATAGAAGACCCTGGGCGACGGAATTGGCTAACGCCGCGGTGGTGAAGCCGACCCAGTGGTCATAAAAGATGGTGAAAGACTGGTAACCGTAGCGGAAGATGACGGCTGCAGCGATGCCTAGCGCGGCGAGATAGGTCGCGAAGGCTAAAAGACGCCGTGAATATGCATGTCTAGCGAACATGGACAGGGAACGCACCGTTGATCTTGTAATGTTGATATTTGCCATTCCTGAGCTGCGACCCCTGAACCCAATCTCCCGGCAGGACGAGCCAGGCTACAATACAGAAGGTGTACCAGGCAAAGTATAGCGCAAAGGCGAGTGGATCCCAGAGATTAGCCCACCAGGAAGGGTCTTCTACGGCATGAAGAAACGAAGGAAGGAGGGTGTCGAGGGGAGGTGGACAGCCGCCTGCGGCCTCGTTGCATGCGAAGAAGAGGGCATATGCGAGGAATGGGACACCAAGGGTGACGGCAGTGGCGCCTGGAGGACCGAAGAACTCGTACGAACGCGTACGGGGGTTGAGAGAGGACATGGGTGCTGTGAGCAAGAAGCAAAGCAAGCGAAGTGGGACGATGCGTCGCGTCGAACGCGTGTGAGCGTGGCAAAGGCGGTCACGTGGTCGGGTAGGATTGTGCATTGTAGAAACGGTTGGAAAGACAGAGCCAACGCTGCCAATGCACTCATGGGTTTTTTCTCGTCCAGACGGCCAGACGACTCGGACGAGTTCGATGCCGCCCACGAAAGGCCCGTCGTCCAGATCATCCGCTCCAGATTCGTACGTCTCCACCAGTCCCTTGCCGGCCGCCCAATTTCCCTTTGCTCACGCCCCCCCTCGCCTCTTTCAGTATGGAAAGGGAAAGTCTAAACAGGACCCGCAGCCGTCCTCTTCCTCTTCCTCTTCATCCTCCTCTTCGCCTCTCGACCACAAACCTTCCATCTCCCGTCCTCGAGCACTCCACCCCCTACCCCCCTCTCCTCTCTCCCGCCCGTCCGCAGAGAGAGTGGCCCCACAACCAACAAATGTTTCCTCCACAGATGCCATTACGTCTGTCCCAATATCCCCCGCCGCTTCCATCCTCCTTGCTGACTCTCTCTTAGCATGGTCTTAGCCCAACGTCTTAATGAACTGGCCACCGCCAATGCGGAAGGCCTGCTCGAGTGAGTACGTGCCTCTGCCGTCCTCCAGACCACCACTCTAAACTTGGTCTGGCTACCGCAGTGACGATGAGTATCGGCTCTTACGACAGAATCTTTTTGAACGCCTCGCCAACGGCACCTCCGTCCCTTCAGAAGCCCCCGTAGTTCCCATCTCGAGCCCGCATGTTGCGTCTCATACCGACGAGAAAGGTGTGTGGCAACTCTCACTCACTCAGCCTAATCCTTAACAAACAATGTGCGCCATGTCTCGTGTCAGCCTATACACCTGTCTCTCGACCCCCCTCTGTCTCATCCAGACGATCTGTCTCTTCTACTATGTCTGGCATCTTCCGTAAAGCCACCACTCGAAGGTCGACCTCCGAAAGTACCAATGGCGACGCCAGCAGCATCTTCTCCGTCGGATCTATATCTTCGAACATCATTCCCCAGCGATTTTTACCTCGCTCGTTATCCAGACAAGGCAGCGCCATGTCTCTTCAGACGGATGCATCCAGTGCACAGTACGATACCATATCCGTCTCTTCCCACCATCAATCTCCCGGTCGACCACCACTATCTGTGGACCCAAACGCTACCCCAGTCCTGGGCCTTTCTCGTGCGTCCACCCGCAGCACGAAGAAACTCGGCAAGACCCCTCCTCCATCTTCATTTCACGCACGTTCTGTCGCTTCCGAGCCTGCACATGAGATAAGCGCGGGCATCGACAACCCATTTGACGACGAGAATCTGCAATCTTCAAGAGACATTCGTCGCGAAATCGAACTCGTCGAAGCGGAGGGTCGGCGACTCATGGATGCTTTCAATGGTCTTGAGCTGAGCACGTTGACGCGACGACAGCCACGTCCCGGCCATCTCACACCCACAACCTCAGCCTCTCATCTGTCTACCTTCTCTGACAGGCCAGACTCGATATGGACTCAGATTCCGGATCGAAGATCTGGGCGGAGTGGTCCAGACAGCGACGTCGTCTCTATTCGTTCGACTGGTTCGAATGCCACCAGCCTTTCCGTCTCACGCTCCCCAAATCGAGCATGGCCTCCGCCAGTCTCTCAACCAGTGTCGCTCGGCCGAAAGTCTTCGTTCTCGTCCATGTCATCAAGAGGTCGAAATCCGTCGAGTCCGGCCCCTCCCGTTCCTCCCATGCCTCTTGGCTTAGGTCGCCTCGGTGTTGGCAGCACCTCCAGTGTCAATCTAGCTCGGAGCGCGACCCATCTTCCTCTCCCACCAGTCGCAGAAGGTGATGGGCGCGAGTCGTTGGATACGACTCACCCGTCAGGATCCCAATTGTATGGGCGACCGTTGACGATAGTTTCCTCCGGCTCGCGAGATGTTGCAGATGATTCGGAAATCGCCGCGTTGGAGGTGGAAATGACGGATATTCGACGTCGGCGTACGGAGGTGGTGGGTCGGTACGAGGAGCGTTTGGAGTACTTGCGGGCCAAGCTCAAAGGTGCTGAGTTGCATGAGAAACTCCTTCGACGGTAGCGTTGCTTTACTATGGATACCCGAGCAGACTTTGTCATTTCATCGCAGCCTATACGCTACAGTAGCATACCCAGTAATTGCATTTCGTGTATCATTTGTGAGACCAAGACAGAGGAAGTTCGTTGAGATTCGAAAGACGACTCGTGTCATTCGTCGTCATTGTGTTTTTGCCATGTGCGGGCCGGGCCTTGTGTTCGGGAGGCCAGTGCCAAGGGCTTACAGAGTCAACGAAGGCAAGCCTTCAGGATCCTTTCGTCGACCGGCCACACACCGCAACTCCCTCTCATCAGGCTCCTCAGCATTTGACGTTGAACGACAAGGCTCGCTCTACACTTGCACGGTAATGGCTAGCCCAACCGACGACAGCGAGCAGGATTCGTCTTTCTCGACGCCAAGCGCACCGCCCAGCTCCCGCACACCCCTCCACCGTAGTGTTAGCCATACCTCTCAGTGGTCCGTCGCAGACACCCCACAACACCACAATCTTGGCACGTCCTACTCTACTCAACATCCCCGACCCGTATCCCCCAGTCCTCGCCGCCACCCTGGTCTCGTACGCAGCCTCTCTTCCAGCGTGACCAGGCGCAACGGTGTGAGAAGCGCAAGTACGAGCTCCCGTCATGGAAGACGTTTCCGCGATGATTCAGATATGCTCAGCGGGGATGAGGGGTCGAGCGAGGATGAGGGATCACGCAGCGGTCTAGAGGGCAATCGCGGCAAAGCAGCGGCAATAGACGGAGACAATGGCGGTGACGCAGATGAGGACGGAGAGGGAGAGGATGATATCGACGAGGATCCCATCACGTTGAAGGATCGACAGTCGCTCATCAATGTTGAACATCCTTTCGGTCTTCCCATCTGGAAACCCGCCCTCTACAAGAAATCTCGGTCAGTCACTCGTTATGCCGACCAGGCACTGCACTCCGTTCCATCTGCACAGGCAGAACGCCATCTTCTTGTCGGCAATATTTTCTGGACCATCGCCTTCGGTTGGTGGTTAGCGTGCATCTGTTTCGCCATTTCGGGTATCCTCTTTGTTCTTCCGTATGGGGGACGCCAGTACTCCTCTCTTCTATTCGGTCTGGGATGGTACCTCGGTTGGCCCTTCGGCAAATACGTCGAGGGCGATTTCGACGAAGACCGATTCGCAGAAGATGCTTCCGACGCAAACCACACCGTCGACGTACCTCGCACCCATTCAAGCACCGATGGTGACACTGTGCGTGCGTCTCCCCCTCCAAGGGATGACGCGTCGACACCTCGCCCATCCGCCATCCCGAGCACACGACTGGATACCCTCCCGGAGCACGACCATTCAGCCTCATGGACCGACCAACCCAGTCCTACCGAAGCGACTTCCTTGCTCCGGGGCTCGAAAGCCGACGTGCACCCCGCAGGACCCCCAAAGTCCTACGGAACAACTTCCCCCTATTCATACACATCATCGGAGACTACGAAACCATCGACTGCAGGAGAATGGTTGGGAAAGGCCGTATTCTGGTTGGCCCTCGTCACTATTATCGCGCCCTTGATGCTGGTCGTGTGTGTTTTATGTTGGGGACTCATTATTGCGATCCCAATGGCGAAACTCAACTGGGCTCTCATCAAGCACCTCTTCCAGCACCCTACCAATATCCGCTTCTGCTCGGCGCCGTCGCTCGTTCTGCTAGCTTCCGAAGGGTCAGAAATCGAACCTTCCCATGATCCCGACGATGTTCATACCCCGATTACCGTCAACCATCCACGTCTCGCTGCGGGCCAGCTGGCTCCTTCCGGATCGCCGACATCGAAGGTACTGCTCTGTATCTATCGAGCCGTTGGCCTCAAATATTACAAATATACCGTGGGCGGCGTCAACATTCTCTTCATCAACCTTTTACCTCTCGTCTTCTTCGTCATCTTCGACGGATTTGTCCTCCTTCCCATGGCCGAAAGTCGCGAGAGGTCTGGTCGGCCTGTCCCATGGATCCTAGCCAACCTCGCGTCGCGTGCCCTCATCTTCACCCTGAGTCTCCTCAGCGTCATTCCCCTTTCCTATTTCATCGGCATGGCAGTCGCCTCTATCTCTGCTCAGTCTTCCATCGGTATGGGAGCGGTAATCAATGCCACATTTGGGTCTATCATCGAGATTTTGCTCTATGCCATCGCTCTCACGCAAGGTAAAGGCCGCCTTGTAGAAGGATCCATCGTCGGCAGCATCCTCGCAGGAGTTCTACTCATGCCAGGCCTCAGTATGGTCAGTGGAGCTATACGCCGCAAGGAGCAGAGGTTCAACGCTAAGAGCGCGGGTGTGACAAGCACGATGTTGATCATGGCTATCATCGGGACGTTGACTCCGACCCTTTTCTATCAGACTTATGGCAATGTACGTTACCGTCTACTCCTGTCTCCCGCTTGAGTGTATAACTCTTCTCGTTCTCAGTTCCAACTCGTCTGCGATGGATGTCCCTCAACCGCCACCGGAAACGATGCTCCGTGGAAGTGCACCCATTGCTCCTACCAACATCCGGATCCGGTTGATGATCCATTCTATCAGTCCACTGTGAAGACGCTCATGTACTTCTGCGCTGGTGTCCTGTTGCTGGTGAGTATAGCCTATATAATATTTTTCGCTTGACCTCACTTCCGCCCTCGTTAGTCGTACCTGATTGGCCTCTGGTTTTCGCTGCGAACCCATGCTTCACAAATCTGGCAAAACCCTCAACAACTCCTTCACGCTACGGATGCGAACCGGCTTTCCGTCTACCACAAACTTGTTTCTGGGCCTCGTGGTGCTTCTGGTGCGCCCCATCGACCTAATGATTCGCTGCATCACCAACCGAGTTTTGCTTCGACCGTAGGTACGATCCCCTCTCGCAGCCAGACCCCTGTTCCTAGGAACCACGACTACGGCCCGTCATCTAGTTCAGAAAGACCGATCGGGCAGTCTTCGACAATGTCAAGAAGCCAACCTCCGCCTGCCTCTGCGCGCCGAGTTTCCTACGCTCCGCCGCCGAGCATGCAACAAGCCAGCTATGCGCCCATTATTGAGAGTGTCGATCACGTCATCCATGACACTGGATTGCGCCCGGTTCAACTCCCCGAGAATATGACCTCAGATGACTTCACTCGGGCTGTGGCCGTAGCGACCGTCAGTGCTCTTCGTCATCAACAGGCCTATGTGCACACTGGCCGCTCTCGCAACGCTGGCATGGCCGATGCAACAGAAGTCGAAGAAGCTGGAGGGCATGGTGGCCACGACGCCCCTTCTTGGAGTAGGGTGACTAGTGCAAGCGTTTTGCTAGCATGTACTGCTCTCTACGCCATTATCGCCGGTCAGTCATCTTCGTTCTTCTCAGCTGTTTCAGTCGCTCATAGAGTGCTACAGAGCTACTCGTTGACGTTGTCGACGTCGTCTTGGAAGGCTCTGGAATCGACGAGAAGTTCCTGGGAACGACGTTGTTTGCTTTGGTGCCCAACACAACCGAATTCATGAATGCCATGTCTTTCGCTATGAACGGGAACATCGCCCTCAGGTAAACCGGATCCTTCGCTATTCATTCCGTACATTAATTGATCTATATTTTATGTCGTAGTATGGAGATTGGCTCTGCATATGCACTCCAAGTTTGTTTACTGCAAATCCCCGCGATGGTCGCGTTCTCCGCTTGGTACGATCCCGCACGCCTGGGCCAGTTCGGCGACACTTTCACGTATGTGTTCGCTTTTGTGCACTGCTGTTCCTCGCTGACTTCTGCCACAGTCTGATTTTCCCCCGTTGGGACGTGATCGTCATCATATTGTCTATCTTCCTACTGACTTACACCTATATCGAGGCAAAGGCAAATTATCATCGCGGTACTATTCTGATCTTGAGGTATGTGCCTCTGTGTGTATCTGATATTGACATCTTCTGAAAAGCATCTCTAGTTATCTCGTCCTTGCAGCCGGCTTCTTCTTTGCCCCTCACGTAGAGTCTAACGACGAGACAATGGTCTTTACCGATACCGTCTTTGACTCGTATTACCGTTCCGCTCGTTTCTTCTTCACAAACACCATACATTGATCGACCCCTACTTCTATCTGTATACATGGACTTCTGTTGTGTTATGAGTACGACGACTCTACACAGCAATCGTAACGACCCCTAACGCCCACGACCGTCTCCTGTTTTTTGATATTCCCTTGTTCACATTATTCGGATTTTGGCAGTCTTTTTATCCACTTTTCCCCTTCGCGACTACTAGTTTTGGGGGTCACTCGCTGTGACCAGACCGATATACTTTGTGTAGTTCCAACCGTTCTACCTACGCATCTTTGCTTTCGTTCCAAGGAATTGACACTGAGTTGACACGACGAGTGTCACAGGCACAAATATGTCGCTCATGCGTGTCGGTTTGCGGGGTAATTTGCGCGGCCCCAGTGCGGGGAATTGCAATCACATGAAGAGACTGGCCTTCGGCTACTGAACCGGACGTCTTGCAAGACGTGCTATAAAAGTACACAACCTTCGCAGTTCTGCTTCTTTCGTCTTGTTGGTGGGATTCGACACCCAGAAGTTGCCCAGAAGGTAGAATTCTTCTCTTCCGTCTCGCTCGCCTGACCGTTCATCTATATATTTTAGGATCTCAATTGAAAGACTTGTGATGTTGAAGCGTGGATTGACTCCTCGGACTCTGCGCTCTACTCTGCCATCCACTCGTGTATGTGCCCGCCATGATATCCCGTCTGTTCGTGGTGACTGAGAAGACAGGCCGCTTAGGAACTGATGCCTAAATCACGCTCGTCCTCATCCTCAACTTCTACAACCGATGTCCCGCCCGGTTATCATGCCGATCCGTCCAAAGGACCCATGTTGCGCTACCAAGCCTCTCTCCCCCGTCTCCCTGTCCCCACACTCTCGTCCACACTCGCAAAGTATGTAGAAACTGTGCGCCCGCATCTCACCGCGACCGAGCTCGCAAAAACCGAAGCCGTGGTCCATTCCTTCGCAACATCCCAGCATGGCGCAGAGCTCCAGCGCAGGCTCGAAGCCCGTGCTGCTGACCCCAATACGAAGAACTGGTTGGCGGACTGGTGGAACGACGCAGCGTACATGGGATACAGGGACTCTGTGGTGGTGAACGTGAGTTACTACTACGTTCACGTTGACGACAAGTCGAGACGTGACCCGGCCAAACGAGCGGCGAGCTTGATCAAGGCAATGTTACCATTCCGTGAATTGGTGGAAACGTGAGCATTCGTCGATTTGCGCGTGCTTTCTTTCTTCGATGTCTTTACATCGCTGACCTCGCATTTCTGCAGTGAGCAATTAGAGCCCGAGAAAGTGCGCGGCGCTCCGCTCTGTATGGCATCCTACAAGTGGCTGTAGGTTTCTATAATCTTTCTATCATGCTTATTACGCAGCTGAGTGTTCTACTGTATTCAGCTTCCATGCCTGCCGCTATCCGGAAATGCCATCAGACACTGCTCGCAAATTCGACCCGAGGACGCATAATCACGTCGTGTTCATCAGGAAGAACCGTTTCTTTGAGGTACCCCTAACAAATGCCGATGGTACTGAAGTCAGTGCAGCGGATCTAGAGGAGTAAGTGGTCATCAAAGTTGCGACGTCGTTTTGATGTGAACATGCTCCATCCTACAGACAGGTCCGAGAGATCATCAGATTGGTCGGCGACAAAGAGGGTATTCCAATCGGGGCGTTGACGAGCGAGAACAGGGATACTTGGACCCAGGTAGGAGCCCCGAATGTCTGTTTCTACTCATCTTGACGGGTTATGCATGGCCAGGCTCGGCAGCGCCTAGTGAGCGCATCTGCGGACAACAAGGTGTCGTTAGAGCGCATAGAGTCTGCGTTGATGATTGTGACGCTCGACGACACGAAGCCCATCACGCGCGAGGATATCTCCTGGGCGTGCTGGGTGGGCAACGGACGAAACCGGTGGTACGACAAACATCAACGTAGGTCATCTCCTGAGCCTACGCATGGAGAGATACTCATCGGTCCTCTAGTGATCGTCTTTGACAACGGACGGTCTGGATTCCTTGGCGAACATTCTTGTATGGACGGCACACCGACTCTGTTCGTATTCTTATCTATATTGTCTAACCACATTAGCTGATTCATTGATCCCCATCACCAAACCCGACCGACCAGCCGACTCAACGAATTTATGCTAGCTTCGCTTGCCGCGAATAAAGTCGACCTAGGTCCATCAGAACCCTGCTCCTCGCTTCCATCACCCAAAGAGCTCGGTTTCACGACGAATGATGCAATTGTTTCCGACGTGCACATCGCGGAGAAGCACTTTGACGAGCTGGTCGGCAAGCATGAGATGCATGTGTTGCACTACGAGGGATATGGAAAAGCGGAAATCAAGCGATACAAGGTGTCGCCCGATGCGTGGGTGCAAATGATCAAGCAGCTTGCTTTCCATAAATTCCAAGGACGCCCGGCGGTCACATACGAGAGCACGCAGACGAGGAAGTTCCAGCTGGGACGAACGGAGGTTACGCGGAGTGCGAGCTCTGAGAGCAAGGCCTGGGTCGAAGCGATGGCTGATGCCAAGGTGTCGGTGAGTGTTTCATGTGGTGACAGACTGCCAGACGCTTATGTAGGGAGCGAGCAGGATGAGCAGCGAGCGAACTTGTTTCGGAGGGCGATAGCGAGGCACGTTCAGTATGCAGCATGGGCCGCTGATGGCCAGGGCGTGGATCGGCATCTTTTCGGTCTGAAGAAGATGGTGGGAGAGGGCGAGCCGGTGCCTGAGCTCTACAGTGACGAGGCGTTCTCGAGGACGAACCACTGGGAGCTGTCGACGTCGCAGCTGTCGTCGCCGTACATCGATGGATGGGGCTACGGAGAAGGTGAGCGCGAGATGTTGTTTGCTGCGGCGGAGCGAGCGCTGATGAGACTGGCAGTTGTTCCTGATGGCTACGGGCTCTCGTACGCGATTGGGGACGAGCACATCCGGTGGACGATTACAAGCGAGAGAGGGGACTCTGCGGTGTTGAAGCACTATTTAGCAGAGGCGGCGACGGAGGTGCGGGGGCTGATGGCGGCGGCAGAGAGCGGGCGGGCGAAGCTGTAGAATATGTAGAGTAATATCGTGCAATAATACGGAGTGTGGGAAAAAGAAGGGGAGTGGCCGGGGTCCGTGTGCTGGGGAGGAGAGGCCGATGTTTGCTCGTGTGTGGAGACCGTCTCGACTCTTCCCGCCGCTACGCTCTTGAGGCTACCTGACCGCTCGCCGTCGTGCTTGACCGTCTGTGCGTACCTTCGTTGTGCGGCTTAGACGACGCCGACGACAGAGACGATACCCAGAGGATAATGCAAATCAGTCCAGTCGCGCCCCCCGCCGACCACTGCTTCTTGCTCCACCCTTCCTCACGCACTTAGTCCTCCCTCTCTCTCTACCCGAGCCCCCCGCTACATGTCTCCCTCTCCCCAGTCCCCCTGGCCTCAACCCACTCCCCCGCCCGCCCCTTCCTCATCAAAACGCAGGAGAGCTCCATCTAATCCACACCACCTCCTCTCTCGCCAGACCATCGTAGATCAATCAGACGTCGGTCAGTATTCTCACCCTCACACCGACCACTTTCTCCCGTCGTTCTCACCCCCCACCTCTTGCTTTTTGTCACAGCTGCAGCCATAGAAGAGTGCGCAAATCAGAGTAACGATGTCATCTCTTGTTTTCCCACCTCCGACACAGTGGCCCCTCAACACGAATGGGTCAATTTCGTCTGTTCGTGCCCCACTCGCTCTATCAAACCACCCTTCTTCGTGCTCATATCCCCCACTCTCCCTTAGGGAACAGCAACAGGCCCCAGCTCACTCAATCTGAGCTCGTCAATATCTACCTCTCCCGCGCTGACTCCGGCGAGACAGTTTTTGAGGCACTCAACACATCGAACGTTCCAAACGGTCGTGGAACTGGGGGCTCTATCAGGGCGCAAGTGAATGATTCTTGGTTTGGATCCGACGCGCTCAACTGGTCCGGCACAAATACCACATTTCCCTTCGTCTGGGCCATCGAGCGAGCTACACCTCTTGCAGGAGAAACAACAGAGACAGGAACCATATTCTCCGCCGTCCGTGAGTAGCATCAATTCCTGTCGCCCTGGTCTTCATTGTTCATCTTCCTTCTCCTCGTCAGAGACGACATTTGCCGATGCCGTCACATCCTCTGTGGCATCAGCCTCTTCCGCTTCAGCTGCCTCAGCTGCCTCTGCCTCCTCCGCTTCTGCCGCCTCTGCATCCGCTGCCTCCCAGTCCTCCAACTCCGAATCCGACTCACCAACGGTGTCGGGGTCGAATTCTCCTGGTGGGCCATCGCAATCAGGATCTCCTGGCGGAGGTGCTGGTCTGCAGTCGGATAACGGTTCTAGTTTCCCTCATTGGGCCATCGCCGTCATCGTCGTCCTCGGTACACTGGCTCTCATCGCTACGGGAATCCTCATCTGGCTGATCGCTCGCCGGATGCGGAGGAATCGGACTCGCTCAGATTCAGCACGTGGGTCAATGGGCTCGTCCTCGCCAATGATACCGCCTATCATTACTACCAATGCACCTCAGTCACCGCAAATGGAACAGGCAGCTCTCGATTCCAATCGACCAGCATCCCTAGCCCAACGGCCAGCATCCCTCGTATCTCCGGACGGCGCCTCCACGATATCCCACGCTCACTCGAGCGGCGACGGCCCATTCTCGGGTGCAGACGCGGCAATCATGGCAGATGCTTTCCGCAAGGCACTACGGAAACCTGACTTCGCTAGCCCAGCGATTGAGGAGGGTGAGAGTCCGGACTCACAGGATCGGGCTAGAGAGGCCGAACTTCTCAACAGAGAGCTCGCGGAAGAGGGCAGGGATATCCGGAGCGTTAGTTCATCAAGAGGCGTTCGGGTGGAAACACTAAGCGACGGAGGGGATACGATCCAGGATAGTCCTCATTAGGACCCAGGCATCACCTTCAACCTTTACTCCACCTCTGTTTTAGTCTCTTGTGTACGCACGCATCGTCTTTTCTTGCCTCGCCTTTCATTCAGGGTTCTCGGGTTCTTGTTCTGTATTACAGCTTCCGTGCCATCTTCACCTCAAATTCAACCCTACCGCTGTCGCCCTCCTTGGCTTACAAACCACAGCCTCCCCACCATCCACTTACACATCTTGCTTGCGGCTACCTTTCTTTTGTGGCCCATATACTCTTCTACATCCATTCACCACTGCTGGGGCAACGGACCCGACTTCTACCTCATGTTGTTTTTATTCGTTTGCGGACACCGTTTTTCTTCTTCTTTTCCTTTTGATTTTCCACGCGTCATGCGTATTCTTGTCACATCTTTCGCCCTGCCGCGCTATAAATATTCCTGTGGTACTCCCAACCAACTTCATCCGTCCGTGTCTGTGACTCCCCGCGCTCATTACCCTCCCTCGCACTCTCTACGTCTGTCGTCATCTTACCTCGATTCGCCATCCCGCCCACGGTCGGTCGCCTCCGGATAGGCCAATGGCGTAGCTGCATCAAGCTCAGCCCCTCTGCAACTTGTCATGTCATCCGGTTCTCAGCGTCGACGCCCACGACCACGCGTTTTAGGGCCATTCATTCATACGGCCGTTCTCACTAGTTCCTCTTTGTTCTATCCCACACCTCCTTCCATCTTCGTTTTGAATCATCTTCAGCGTCCCATCCAGGTCTTCCGCCATCGATCTTCCTTATTTTTACCCACCTACCCCTTCTCGAAAGTCTGGCACCGTCGAATCTGTCGATCGCTTACGAACGCACGCACGCACTATAATACCAACTCGTCAGTGCGCGGGTGCGGTATCTGCATCCGTTCATCGGCGCCTTACGCTCCTTTTGTACCTATATGTGGACGCACATAACCATTCTTCCGTGCAGTTTGCCGGTCGTTCGTCACATCTCTTGAGTGGTCCCTGGTGCGAAAAGTGGGTGAACTGTGGGCGCGAGCAGGTCGCAATGGTACTGCAGGGCCCGTGATGGGGGAATGGATGCATTCAGGATATTTCATCGACGATAGACCTTCTTTCCGAATCTCGTTACCTCTATATACCTACGAGAGAGGGAGACATATGGGGCGATATTGGCGCTTGCGGTCGTCGCTCATCTCGAGCTCCGGCCATGCCCAATACCTCGTTCTTGGACTCCATGTATCGAAACCAATTATACGATTTCAAAGTCTCCTCCATTTTTGTTTACCTTCAATTATTCATTTTGTTTCGGCCTCCCGTTTTGCCCTTCCTTGTCGCTTATGTTGTTTCGGACGCCCAGCTTTCGAATTTTTCTCTCCTCACTTGCCCATCACTTTCTAGCAGCTACGTTTTCTCTTTAATTATCCTCACATTCTCTATCGTTTTTACGCCCTTCCGCCCCAACATCGGACAGATTTTCTCCTGTCATCTTCCAGCCCTGCCCGATGATATTAATGACACGCACGGCGCTTCCAGCCCACTTTGTATACTCCATTTTCCGCCAATGTGCGTCGTGTCAGTAGCCGTCGACTCGGATTCAGAGAAAGAACAGACCGAGCTTCAAGTGGTGATTTGATTTGGGTGTGAGATTCGATTGTTCAAGTGTTTGTGGTTGATCTTTCTTACCCTTTCTGGCCTTGGCCGAGCGTTGCACGTTCATGTACATGACCCAGCGTTGATCAATACATATACCCATCGGTTGTGCCATACGTCCTTGGTCGGACCTCTTCTGCGCGACTTGCGAGTCCTGCGCGGGAATAGCGTTGCAAACAGGAGCGAGATTGGTCGCACACAAAAGACATTCCGACGGTTAAATCACACAGTAGATAGAGCGCGAAGGCATAAACAGAACAGAAGGAAACAGAGATGTAACAGACAGAGATGAGTGGATAAGCAAAGAGAGAAAAGGAATGTTGGAGGTAGGGGTACAATACATGGCATATTGCTAATATATATTCCTGAACAGTTGTAGTCTTCTCTAGGTCGCAAGGCAAAGGCAGATAGAGATTGTCGGGAGGGGCCACGACATATGGTCAAAGCAAGAGAACTGGTAGGTGTGCAAGCCGTGCGATGCCACACGGTCGGTCAAGAGGCAGCGGACAGCTTCCTCATAAGCAGTTCGTATCTGAATGAGGGAATAATGTGAGCTATAGAGAAGGCCTGGAGCGGGATACAGGGTATGACCACGAACGTTAACATGGTCACGGCGCTGTTGGGCACCGTTCGGAGAAGATTAATCGAGAGCCCTTTGTAGAGACCTCGCCATCCTTCATGCTTGAGGATTTTCTGTATTGTGCGAACAAGACTGACCCTCTTTTTCGCAGAGGGCGTGTTGTTCTCACTGCCTGGATCCCGAGGGAGTCGAAGGGTCTGAAGACGGGTGCGGACAACTTCATGAGGGTATGTGGTAATCGACGCGGTCATCTTTGAGAATGCCGAACAAGTGAGGATGATATGTGAGGGGAGTGGTCCATCCGGTGAGTGACGTTCTGCGGATGGAAGACGGAAAGGCTAAGATCAGGGACAGATAAGCGATGGCGGAGACATCAGAACAGACTGACGTGCTAGGAGCTTGAGCTGTTCGTAGAGAGGAAACTGAACGGCGACGTGGGCGATGCCTAAAAGACTTGGGAGGAGGCCGCGATAAAAGGCGTGTATACCCTCGGTTCGAAATATGGTCATGGCAGCGTCCAACGTGTGACGATACCTCAGCTCGTTGCGCGACTGAGTCTACCAAACCCAAGTTGATTTAACTTTGGAAGACAAGGAAGGAGGCACTGGGAAGGGTACCATAAAACGCGTTTTGATCACCCAGAGAGGATTGGTAGCAATGGTGCTGGTGCCTCCGGCGCACATGGCCGACAGGATGTGAACGGACCATGGGTGTTCGCGGGCGACAGGCTGGTAGCCCTTCGCAGAGGGTGCGGGATAGATTGATTGGGTCTGAGCTGTCGACACCCCTAGCGGAGGTTGGCCATACCGACTCTTGAGCCCGTCGTACACGGCAAAGTAGATAGCCCAAGTCGGAAGATAACCGAGGATGGTTGGTCCAAGACCGCGATAGAGACCGCGCAATCCGTCGTGAACGATGATGCTTCGTAGGGTAGCTGAAATAGATGGTGGATATTTTAGGGGGACGAAAGACAGAGTAGATTGTGTACTCACCGAAGACTCCCTGGTAATGTGCATGCCCATGGGCAGTGCGCTGTGCCTGTAGCTTCGTCTTTATCACATCCAGGGGACATGTTGCTATGCTGGCAGCGAGTCCACCCCCAGCGCCGGCTGTAAAAAGCGGTCGAAGGAGTAAGGGAGATGAATAGAGAGGGGAAGACAATGGGGCGCACCGATCATGCTGTTTGCAGTCCATTTTGTACCGCTGGCGGACATCACTCTTCCCCGCCAATGCGGGGGATTATCCTCTGTGGATGCGACGAATGGCTGAGTCGAGAGGAACGGCGGCTAGAGCTTGAGGTCAGCGCGGACGACGCTCACACTCATCCATGCTCCACCACGTGCCGCCGCCTCTGTAATATTTCCCTCCATTTTCGCCTTGTTTCATGACTTCCTCCTACTCGCTTTCGAGTCTTTGTCACCCGTCCCATCTCGTCCCATCTTATCCCATGCTCCGCTCCATTCTTCTCATCGCGCCATCTTCGCCGACCGAGCATCACTCAAGCGCCCAAGTTAAAGCGTGAAGCTGGCGGGCAGACTCAATTGCCCCTGTCTGAACCTTCTCCTGCGCTCTCACTCGTAAACCACACATCGTCTCTCTTGTAGCACTCATCATGGTCAAAGCCGTCGTCAATGGTGTCGTCCTTGCAGAGTCAAGCAACACCGTAATCGTTGAAGGAAATCACTACTTCCCTCCTGAGGACGTTCGCAAGGACGAGTACTTCAGCGAATCGAACACAAGGTCAGAGAACTTCACAGTCGATTGCCTCGCCCTCCGTACTCAAATTTCTCCGACAGCACTGTCTGCCCATGGAAAGGGTAAGACTCATCTGACTCCACAGTGAGGCAGCTGTTAACGATGCTTTTCATTGTGAAGCACGGCCAGTTACTACAACGCGAATGTCGACGGCAAAGAAATCAATGACATCGCCTGGCGAGTGTTCCCTCAGGTCTTACGCGCTGATGGTACTCATTCTGAGCCACAGGTACTACCCGAATACTAAGGAGAAAGCCATGAACATCAAGAACTACGTTGCCTTCTACAAGGTATGTTCCACTCAGGCGCGAAAGACTGAACGTGGCTGCTGATGCCCATAAATAGAACAAGGTGGACATTGCTTGAAGGATTATTGGGCTGGTGTAAAGCAGTCTTCACAGTATATTGCACACCCTGTAGTCCTATTCCGGCGTGAATGTTACGAATAATGATCTCAGAACGTTAGCTGTTAGTGCTCTCGCAAACCGCCCGTTTGACTCCCTGCGCAAGAGACAGTCCGTCAAGAACCGTTCGCGACTAGTAGAAATCGTAAAATGCAAGACCTCAAGTCCGTTTACACTCACAGTACATGGTCGACCATACCCTTGCGAGTGTTGGATAGTGCCACACCCGCCACGCCACTAAGCGCCACTAACTTATAATAGTACACCGCCACACCGACCACTGACGCGTATATTCATACTTCGTCTACTTGGCGCACTTTCACCTCTGTGCATTTCTTAAGCTCTGTGCATACATCTCGCTCGGAAATTCATGTACTAAAGCACATACATCGCACGCTTTATCATAGACCACTTCTGTGTCTAAGCCCGCCTCTGACTAGAGGCACGACTTCGACGCCACCTGATTCTCCCCGCATTGCCATCCAAGCTCTACCCTTCGACCTACTCTTACGCTCTTACGACACTTAACGGACGAATCATCCTACATTTAGGACTCAGAAACAATGAACTCACGAGATGCACTGGTGCGTTACGACTGCCGAGTGATCACTGTTCGCCAAACTCATGATCTGTTCAAGTGGGCCGAAGGGCATGATGAGACAGTTGAGGTGAATCAACGCGCACTTATAGACAAAGTGCTGGCTCGATATTCCGGAGAATTCACTGGTGTGCAAAGTCCTCCACTACACTGATACCTTGCGCTGAAGCGAATCACTCCTCGACAGTCTTCCGAGAGCTGCTTCAGAACTCAGATGATGCGGCCGCACACTCTGTCGAGATACATTTCGAGACGAAGGGCTACCTGGAGCGAAACAAACAAGAGCAGGCCTCTATCGTGACGGGTTCGATATCAACACTTCCTGATTTGAAAACCTCACTCGTATGTCCCTATCAATTATCCTCCGGTGCACATCTGAATGCCTAAACGACTTCGCAGATCCACCAATGGTCATTCAAGAACAACGGTATGGTTTTCCGGGACGAGGATTGGAATCGACTGAAGAAGATAGGTACGCGATGTAGTACTGCATCATGCTGAACAGCATCTCATTTCTTCCATCAGCCGAAGGCAACCCGGACGAGGAGAAGATAGGCGCTTTTGGAGTTGGTATGTGCTTTCTTGTCGAGATATGGCCACTGTTCTCACATTTCTCCAAGGCTTCTACAGCTTGTTCTCGGTTACGGAGGAACCGTTTGTTACGTCGGGTGGTATGTCGCTACCTTGGGTATCCGCCACTATGCACTAACTGTCTGGACAGGACAATGGATGGGATTTCATTGGAAGGACAAGAAAGACCAGGTATCTGCTCTTCTCAGTATTGGATTCTGAGCGAATGTTTACCGGATGCTACAGCTCTTTGCTCGAAGAGGATCTCTCCCGGATTCGGACGAGTCTGCACCGGACCCTTGGACCACATTCGAGATGTCCCTGCGGGAACCTGCGCCCATGCCTGCCGCCTTTGATTTTACTCGATTCCTAGTCAATTCGATCACGTTCATGTCACACCTCAACGAAGTCAGCGTCTTCTTTGACGACAAACGTCTCGCGCGACTGACAAAAGCGAGCGGCAGTCCTGATAACGTCCCCCTCCTGCGAGGGCTGAACGGTCACAGTCCTCAGGGCATCATGAACGTCAAAGGCATCCAGAAAACCCGTCAGTCCAACGTCTCGTATCACTCGTCTTGCTGTAGGCTCACCGTTGAATACGATCATAGCTTTGGATATCAGAGCAGAAGTAATGCGCTGGGTTTACTCCGTTGGTAGCGAAAAGCCTCTTCCTGTAACGTCGAAGCCCGCAAAATCCCAAGGCGGTGGCTTTTTCTCTTCTTTGTTCGGCCTTGGTTCTTCGACCCCACAACGTGCAGTCACACCCCAGCCAGTCACTCCAGCTCCCGACATTGACCTGACCGAGATCAACGAATCAAGTGTTCGACTGTCCATTTTCGCTGCCAATGTCGATGTTAGGCTGGACAAGAAGATGACTGCCGAACTCCTTCGCTCGACAAAGAAGAACCCGCCGAGCAAGGTTAAATTTGAGCTCATATACGTGAGTCTGTCACCCAGACGTCCCAGCCGAAGACACTCTGACCGGTTGGTACGAATGCAGACAGGAAAAGACGAGTACGAGGCAAGCGTGCAGGCCGAGAACAAGATACAGTTCGCCACGGGCAGCGTGTTTCAAGGTCTTAGAGCTGATCTTACTGGGTGCGCATTAATGTATTGTAAATTTGAATGACTCTGATACTTTTCGCGGGCAGATCTGGATCTGCGCGAATTTTCATTGTCAGTCCTTCAGCATGAGCAATGCGGAGACAGGCACGCTCATTTTTGCTTTTCCTAGGGCCATTCTACGGGACAAACTACCGGCATAGGTGGCCATATGGCCGCCCGTTTTATCCCAACGGTCGAGCGAGAATCTGTGGATCTGGTGTGCGTGTTGCTCTGCGCCCTACAACGCGAGTTGTATTTCAAGTACTGACGTTCATTCCCTCCCAGCGATCGCAACGTAGCAGGTAGGCAGGATTCATTACCCTCTTCATCCTGCTCTAATCATCCCCCACAATAGTCTGGAACAAAGAATTGCTATACGTCGGAGGATTCCTTGCTCGATCCGCATACGAACTCGAATTATCCGACATCAAGAGGCGATGGGAAGGCGCATCATCCGGGATCGACAAACGCCCCGACCCCGACATCCAGACGTGGCTACAGGGTCGAGCGCTACATGCTCTCAAGTTTTTCACCTTTCATCTCTCGACACCATCATCCGTCGTATCCAGCCTGATGGAAGCGGCTTTCTTCTCGTGCGCGACAGCTCATGCCTTTGCCATGATCTCGTCCGAGGGCGTTCACGACGCAAACAACGTGCGGATGCCGGATCCCGTCTTCTCTGGCTTCTTGAAACGGGTTCCCTTTGTCCCCGACGATGTATTGAGTGGTGCCAAGACCATGATTGGAGCGCTTAGCGCACGAAACCTCATCAAGGAGATATCGTTTGCGGATGTCCTTGCAGAACTGAAGTCACGACCCCTCACGGAAGCGGAAGCAGTAGCGTGTTTGAAGTGGTGGATCAACCTTCACAACCAGGAAAATCGCAACGGGAACGATCCTCTCGGCATATCCCAAGGTCGCTCGCAACTCCTAAACGCAGCAGTCGTCACGACCAAGGCGGGTGATGAAGAGAGCATTATCACGTTATCGACGGTCAAGACGTTTCTGAATTCGCGCGGTTCAGGAGGCATGATCCCTAGCGATGGCCCTCTCCCCCAGCATCTCTTACCTCTCGCTATCAGCAGGAGCTTCGACCCCGAGGTCCTTGCCACTGTATTCTCCTGGAAACAGCTATCGGTCCTGGATTGGTTACGCTTCGTCACGCAGCAGCCTGTCGCCAATGTTGAGTTCGATCTCTCTCGATCTCCTCAGTGGGCTGAGCGCGTCCTACTTGTCCTTTCTCGAGCGTGGCCCTCCATGTCAAAGACTCATCAAGACCAGGTCATCGAGATATTGAAAGCAACGACCTGTGTACCCACGTCTTCGGGCATGAAAACCCCCGAGCAGGCCTATTTCTCCACTGTCAAACTGTTCCAGGATTTGCCTATTGTCACTATGCCTTCCGGTCAGGCTGTCAGGGGTCCGCTCGAAAAGCTTTTGACTGCGTTAGGTGTGCGTAAACACGTCGAGCTACAGATCATCTTCGACAGGTTTGTTTTACGCAACTCCATTCGTATTCCTTCACTGACACTCTACAAGAATGATCAAGACAGGGGACTGGACCATCTACGATCTAGTTAAATATCTCGTCTCAGTCAAGTCCACCTTGTCTTCGACCGAGCTGGACAAACTGCGTCAAACAGCCGCTTTCCCCTTAGAGTCACCATCAAAAGATTCCAAGGTGACAAGACGGAAGGCAGCTGACCTCTATGAGCCATCGGACACACTAAGAGACCTGGGGCTCCCCATCCTCGACTGGGGCAAGGACAATAAGTGGAGACCGTCTTCTGAGGAGGGTGAGCGCCTTCGCTCTGTTGACACTCTTGGTTATCTAACTCCGTAGTACCATAGCCAAGTTCTTGTATTCTTTAGGCCTCAGACAATATCCTTCGCTCGACGAGATTATCCGCATTGCAGCCCTGGGTGATGCAAATCTGCGTACGAAAGGACTAAGATACTTGTTAGATAACTTCACTTCGAGGTATTCGAATTACACGCCATCAATCTACAGCGACGTCGCTTTCATCCCCTCCATGCGAGATTCCAAGGCCGTGTTGGCCAAGCCGTCAGAGGTGAGTCAATATATCATAGCATTCTTTGCGTGCCTCACCAATACGAGCAGGTCTTCGCTGCGCCTGAATGGGCCGCTCTGGGATTCACAATTGTGGAACCAAATCTACGCGAAGAGGTCGTCACGAAGCTGAAGATCGATTTGCACCCACCGCCCCCTCGTCTGGTAGCGCTCCTGGAAAAGGCGCCTCCTGCTCACAGTGTAGCTCGTGTATGGTTTGAGACCCTCGCAAGTCGGACAGGAGGTACGGAAACACCTCTGTCATTGTTTTGTAAGGTCTTCATGATATGACCATTCGCAGAATTCTCTAGGGCTGAGTTGAGGAGACTATCGATGACACCATTCGTTCCCGTCCAGGACCCATCGTCAAAGGAAAATATCCGTCGACTTTGTCCGAATCAATGTTATTTCTCTGGCGCATCCGGGCCCAAACTCCATCTACGCCAATTGTTCACCTTTATTGACTTTGGTGACCGAGCGAATGGCTTCCTTAACGCCTGTGGCACGAAGAACGAACCATCCGTAGAAGAGATCGTCAACATTCTGCTCAAGGACCCTCAGGATTTTTTCGGCCGCGTCAAAAGAGAGCAGTGAGTGTCTCGCACCAAGAGTGTTGACACTCCGCTAATCTTCGTTCACGCAGCTATCTTTTGGAACTACGTAACATTGCTGTTAATAGGCGCTTGCTTTCGACCGCTGTTGTTGCTCGGATGCAGAAGTCGCCAATGTTGGTTGGCCTGAAACGGGTCAAGGTACCAAACAAGTCCGAGAAAAAGGGCGTGGACGGAGACGATGACGACTGGGATACCCTCGATCGATTGCTCAGACCAGATCAGGTCATCGTTGCCGACGACACCAATGCTTACCAGCTCTTCGGTGACTCTGTCTTCTCTGCACCACAGGAAGATCTTCTTGAAGGTGTGTCCTTTGTTTTTTGGTTCGATGACTCGTCTCACGACGAATCCCAGATTTTTATCTCTGGCTGGGCTCTCGACGTCTAAGTGTTATGGTTCAAGAAGAACACTCTAAGTCGACCGAGATAAAAGGATCGAGAACTGCATCTGAGATCAAAGCGCTGATCCTCGAGCGGCTGCCTCTATTCCTCCACGAACACACCCACTCTCGAACGCGCATACAGTTCAGTTGGCTAAGTGCCGACAATAACTTCGTGGTTCGATCATTCGGCAAACTCTCTACCACGAAGGCCCTTGTGTACGAGGGCCAGCGTTTGACTCGTGTTCAAGATGCTTCAGCGGTAGCCATTCGACAAGGGAAAGGGCCCATCGAGCTGTGGTTGGCGGGAAATACCCAGGTAACCCTATCTTCTAACCTTTATCTCGTATGACTGATCGACGGCACACAGGTCGACATGTATGAAGTTTCAACATCTTTATGCCGATTCTTATTCGAGTCGCCCAAGATCAACGATGCCCTGCTTTTCATGACGATCCTTTCGACTGATATCCGAGCTCTCAGGCGCAGGGGATATAATGGTGGGCTATTCGAACCTGCATTATATCTGCAATTCCTCATTGTAAGGATTATTCAGTTGACAGGATTCTGCGTCAGCAAAAGGAACAACGTGAAGCCGAAGAGAAAGCCATCAGGATAGAACAAGAGAAACATAGAGCGGAGATGGAAGCCAAACAACTTTCGAAGCCACCAACAGTCGTCCCGACTCCAGTTGGGGTCTCACATCCCACTGCTACTCCCGATTCCCTCTTCTCTGCTTCGATGCCAGCTCAGGACCTCACATCTTCAACTCCTAGCAACAATGCGATGGTTGCGCGTGATGTCAAGGAAGATGTCAAACCTGACCTCGCCAGCGACATAAAGCGGCACTCGACCAACGTGATGAATTCTCTTCAAAGCTTCCGACAGAAGATCGTTAAGAGAAATGATTACACGCCGAACGATAGCAGGCTCAGCAGTGACTTTACGGAGGAAACGAATTCTGTTGCAGGCCCCTCATCGCAGGCGTCGAACACATTGCAAGCTCCTACACGCCCCTCGCCGCTGACACGAAGCCCTACGCCCAACCCGTCGTCAACTGTTACCCCGTTGAGTAACATCGGTGAGGCATTACGTGCTTATACCCCACACTTCTCTATGGTCCTAATGATGATTTTTCCTCCCTTCAAGCCTCCAATATCGACATGGCCATCAAATCATGCACCGAAGAGAAGAGCGACTTGCTCAGAAATCGAGAACAGATGCAGATGGTAAAGGAATCTTTGGATGAGGGGTACTGCGATGTCCTTGGCCGCACAGGGGATTTAGATCTCGTTGGAACTCTTGGAGACATCAAAGTTTATGCTGCCCAAGGTCAGTATTCCTTGCATCAATACGGTCACCATGCTCATGTTTGCTCTGGTCACAGATGTCAAAGATCGACATACTCTTGTGGCTCGAAAGCAAGACGCCCTCAAGCGATTCGTCGATATCTTGCACCCTATACGCAGTATATATAATCTTCCGCCTGCTACTCTCCATATCTTCACCGACACATCTGGTGATTTGATCGCTTTCAACCGGAACGGCAGCATCTTCCTGAACTTGAGATATTACGAGGCCTGGCGTACGTATGCATCGCTTCTCATATTCGCCGTACTAACGCATTGATTATTCTGAAGATGACCGTGAAGTCACGATGGGCAGCGCGTCGAATGCGTATATATCCTGGTGCGTTCCATTCTTTTTGGCCGGCCTTTCTATCTCATTCTTGTTGCTGCAGGTTCTTTACGCTCGCACATGAGATAGCGCATAATCTGGTCCTGCAGCACAACTCAGAGCACGAGTTCTACTTCTCCTCGATTTGTGAGAAATACGTAGGATCGCTGGCGCATATTCTTGTTCGTGCTTGAAGCATGATATCGTTATGGTTTCGAAATGTTTTGCTTCGGGCACACGCTCTGATACTGTTTGTGGTTTCGACATCGAGATTGGAATGACAAAAACGAACCCGATTCCGATCCATCCTCAAGAGGGATCAAACGAATGAGGTATCGAGAGAACTACACATGAGCCGCTCTCGAGAACTGTGGACAAGCTAAGGCAGGATGCTGCCGTGACCTGGCGTAGGCTCATGCACTGTTTGACCACGCTAAAGGTGTCTCGAGCCTTTGGGGGTAACGTGTACTCGGAGTAAGTACTTATATTCTGCTGCCTATGCCACTTTTTGAGCTAGCTGAGAGCCTTTATACGAGACGACTCCGCTGGTTTTCTTCTTTGGGTCGCCTTTTTTTGACAGCTGTTTTGGAAATGGGTTGGCAGTCCCGCGCGAAGAAAACTAAAAGTGTCAGACGGTAGGGGATATTTATCATCGACGTTTCTGCCCAATTCCCTGGCACTATAAATAGTGCAAAATTCCGTATGTATAATCCAGGTACCATGCACCCTTTACAGAACATGAGCTACAGTATGGGCGGAGGCTCGGAGGGAAGGGGTCGATATAGACCAAGTGGCACGAGGCCGGTTTGAACCCACGGTCTCTGTGCCACAGGTGGCCCGCGACATTTCGTTTTCCTGTATTTAACACGCGATCATCTGCGTAATAGCTGTGAATTAGCTGGGGGATATTTGTATTGTGACTCTGTTGACTTTTAGATGGATTGTGCACCGCGTATGATAGTGTTGTGTGTCCGGAACTACTGCTTATATACCCCGGTGCCCATTAACTATCACTTCTCAGTTGGTGGCCTCTTGGCTATGTGGTATCAGCACAGTAGACTGGTTCCCACGTCGGCTGAAATGAAGGACAGCGTGCCGACAGCGTGTCAGGTCGAGGCCAAGGACCGCCGTTGATCACGCCGTAAAGGTGTATTACTACAGATCCTTTGGGGTGATGCGTACTTGGAGTACGTTCTACTGCACTTAGTCGCCTTTTTGCATATATGAAAGAATTGGGAGTGTGACCAACCAACCAGCCAACCAACCAAACCAATGCAACCCCGACGCAAACAAACTGAATAATATACACTACTCAAATCACTGTTTTAGCTTTCTTCTTCTTTTTTTTAACCTTGTACCTTCTCTTTCTCTCCCGCATCCCCATTCTGAATGTCTACAACTCCAGCTCCAACTTCAGTTTCATCCTCATCCTCCTCCGCATCGTCACCCATCCGCACCCTCTCAATCACAAACTACGGACTCCGAAGCCACCCATACCCCAATTGCCCTCCTCGCATCCTTGTCTCCCATCCCCGCCGCACAGTCCCTGACCGTCTGTAACGTGCTCAAGATATCGGCTAGATCAAGGGAGGTGGCGGCGTCGAGCCCTGCGAAATTCGAAATCAGGACCGCAGGGGCTCTGGAAGATGAAGATGTGAGAGGGAAGGACGTGGGAGCGAAGGAATAGGTAGAAACAGACCAAAAAAGAGACAAATATGAGTCAGAATCTTACCTTCCGCCCCTCTAAGAGTAAGCACTCCCCTCAACCTGTCTAACCCCCTCCACGCCGCCCAGCCAGCCCACACGATTCTTGGTGAACTGCTCCACTCTGGGTCTCAACTTGGTCTCGTGCAGATGGAAATCGTCAATGGTGCCAATCCGTAAGATGCTTTTCCCCGGGAACCGGAGCTGACGCGGTACATGAGCGTGCCGCACGTCGAGCAGAAGTGGTTCGTCATGCTGTTGCCCGAGGCGATGGTGAGTGATTGGCTGAAAGTCTTCAGGTTCTCGCGGCCACGTAGATGCTTTAGGTGCGTGTCGGCGATGATGAAATTGGATGCGAACATGGACGCAGTGATTTTGTGGCAGTCGGAGCAGTTACAGACAAAGCTGTCGACCAGGCCCGGCCCTTCGGTTGGCTATGGGTTTCGAGGCGGTATTAGAGTAGAAGAGATCGGTGACCTCGGGAGAAGACGAAGGGGAGGGAGAGGGGCGTAGGCGAGGTGGATGTACATAGCAGATATCATTGGCAGACTTACGAATGCCAGTTGCACGGCGCCACAGAAGCATTGTGGCCGTGGCTTCACCTTCTTTGGACCAGCCATCGTTCGCGGACCCTGCCAGAGGAAAGTAGGGTTTGGATTTGTCGATGGTGGAGCTGGGTGCGGCCATTGTTGTGAAGAACTGTAGCGGTGAAGCGCGATGTAGCGTTCGATGGAGTGAAGGCCTCGCTAGTAGGATGCTAGACCTGGAGTAAATGTATACTGATTGAGCGCGCCTTATATCGGGAGGATGGAAGGGCTGTATCCTCCAATGGCATTGTAGTTCTCGCGTTCGCCTTGTGTAGCCTGCCTGAGATTCTGCAATACGCCCCCTCTGACACCACGAATGTGCGCCCTCCAACGCGGTTCGCGCACTCGCCGTATGTGGCCCCCGATTTGGCTGAGTCAAGCTTGCGTTGTATCCCTCAAAATTGGCCATCAAATCCCATCGAAGTCTCGCGATAGCTGTGAGCATAATTGTGATCTGTTTCATCATCAATTCAGCCAAAGGATATCATGTCTGCCTACCTCGGCGACACTGTTTGCGCATGGGCGAATCGACAAAATCAGGTCTTGTGGGCGGAATGGGGAGAAACAGGAAGTAGGCGGCATGTGTGCGTTGCCCTGCTGAGGCGTCCCCGCAGTTCGAGACATGTCGGTCAGACAAGCATTCAGTGTAAAGAGACGCTGCGTCATGATGAGATTGAGGTTGCGCAGTGCACGGCGTGAGATGAAAGGTTCGATTTCTGGTGGGCGCGAAGGTGTCGTGAGCGAAGGTCAACAAAAACAAAGAGCATTCAAGGAGGTCAGTTTACGTCCCTACACCGTACCCGGGCAGGAAACGATCTGGGCACACAGCTACCACATGATACAAGAACATATGATAAGACGGGAAATAAGAATAGGAGAAGCTGATGCAAGGGGACTCCACGTAGCCTGAAGAGAACAGATCCGAACTGAAGTGGACGTGACGGGGACGTGACCAAAGATGAAATGCGATGCTGGGCAGGTTATTGTTCGCTTCCAAAAGTTAACTGGACCGTCTACGAGCGAGAGATAGTGGATGCGTAGCCCTGCGTGGCCTCTTTAAGCTGTTTCCCTCGACTAAGGTACGCAGCGTTTGTTCGAGGTGCAAAGCAAGAAACAAAAAATCTCATCTCGTTTGTCCCCCTTCCATAACTCATCATGTTAGCCTACGAGACCGACCTAAACGACCTTCCGGGCAAATGTATCGATGCGGTTGTTGAGAAAGTAGCGCCTCATGAAGGAAGTTGTGGCCATTGGGAAAAATGAGCAGATCAAGCCTGAGGAACATCAGGGTGGCGCTGGCCAAAGTTGGCAGGAAGGAGCTGATTCTGAGCGGGGAGTGCGTAGATCGAATGGAGCATTTGTCATGGAATACACCAGGCAAGAATACCGAGATTGACTAGGAGCTCAGAACTTGAAAGGGCGAAAATGTCAGAAAGGACTGAATCTGAGAGCTGAGATATCGATACTCCGATAGCCACGGCGTTCGAGAAGCTGGCAGTTCCCAGGTATCGTACTTCGTCGACCAAACAGGTATTATCGCAAGGAAAGCAGAAGACTTTGAGGCTTTCCGTGGTCCTTACTGCGCCAAGAGAAAACCGAGTCTATTCCGTTCGAAAATAGACCAGAGCCAGGGCAAAGCCAGGGAGGTATGCGAGCGCGAAGGGTGCGGTGTCTGGCGAGACGAAAGCCTTGCCGGCAAGAGCCGGCAACCTTCCTGCGCGCCCAAGACGCGCTCTGTTCGCTGCCCTCTGCGTGCTGGATCCTCAGTCTCTAACTTCGCTCCTTCACCATAGATCCTCGTTTTGTTCGTCGTTATCCTCGCGCTAGATTCTCGGTATCTTGCTGTTTGTAATCAACTTGAGCTTGTGCGTGCACTATGGCCTCCGAGCTTCACCGCTACATATCTGACAACGCGTTGGAGGTGCGTGATTCCTTTACCTCGTCTCCGCACTTCCCGCTCATATACTCTTCAGTTTTTCGGCTTGTCCGACAAGAGCATAGTCGATTATGTAGTCGCTTCAGGTTCGTCTGAATTTCCGGTGCCTTCTTCCAGAGAACTCAGGTTTTGGAATATCTAGCTTCATCGGCGAAAACTCCGGATAGTTTGTTCTCCTCACTCACCGCATCTGGGCTACCGAACACTGCGTCCGCCCACGCTTTCATCCTTGAAGTCTTTAACCGTGTTCCTCGCAAACACAAGCACAAGCGCCCCGAAGACAGTGCACGCAAACAAGCTGAAAAGGAGGCCAAGGCTCTACGAACGCAACAGTTCTCCTTCGTTCTCGACGACGATGCTGGACCAAGCCATGATGCCGACCAGAGAAAGGAGAAGGGAAAGAGTGCAGGGAAGGACAAGAAGGATCGGCATGCTCGCAAGCGAGAGACAGACGGAAGGGATTGGGAGAGCGATGAAGGGGAGCAGGCGAGAAAGCGCTGGAAGGGCGATGAGGACGATCGCGGGAGACGAGAGGGTGCTGAAGAGGAAGAGGAAGGGATGGAATTGGAGATTCCGGAGGACGAAGAAGAGAGGAAAGCGAGGCAACGGGAAGAAGATCTGAGGGAGCGGGATGAATTTGCTGAGCGGATGAAGAAACGAGATCTGGACCGAACGAAGAAGGTGGTCGAGGACCGGTCGTCGAAGAATTCAGGTGCTGCAGCTGAAGCCGCTCAGAGAAGAATGCTCGCCGACGACTCAAACGCTCGCACTCACGCCATGCCTTCTCTTCGCGAACGCTCACGCCAGGACTACCTCACGAAACGAGAACTTCAGCAGGTCGAACTCCTTCGCAAGGAGATTGCAGACGACGAAGCTTTGTTCCGCGGAATGCGCATCTCAAACCGGGAGCAGCGGGAGCTCGACCGGAAGAAGGAGGTGTTACGTCTTGTGGAGGAACGGCTGAAGATCGACGACAAATGGGACGGTTACATGCTTCCAGAGGATTACCTTACCGAACAAGGGAAAATCGACCGGAAGCGCAAGGAGAACGTTTTGTACCAGCGATATGAGGACGCGAAGCCGAAGGACGACCAATTTGTTACAGATGTCGATCAATGGGAGGCCAGCCAAACCATGCACAGTACCTTCAAGACGGGCGCCATGGACAAGGCCGAGATTGTCGAAGACTACGAATACGTCTTCGACGAGAGTCAGACCATCCAGTTCGTCATGGAGAGCAAACTTAGTGGGGAAGGCAACCTGAGCGCGAAGGATAAGCTTCTGCAGCAGCAGATAGAGGAGGCAGAGAATCGAGGTAAGTTGTTTACTCTTAGTCGTATTCTTGGTCTAACCTTGGGAATTCATTTCAGCGCAGAGCATTGAAGCGACTCGCAAGTCTTTACCTATATATCAGTACCGCGAGGAACTCCTGGAGGCAATCAAGGAGAACCAAGTCCTCATCGTTGTCGCTGAAACTGGTTCGGGGAAGACTACTCAACTTCCCCAGTATCTGCACGAGGCTGGCTACACGGCGGGAGGGATGAAGGTCGGATGTACACAACCTCGGCGTGTCGCCGCAATGTCGGTTGCAGCTCGTGTAGCAGAGGAGATGGGGACGAAGGTTGGGTACGAGGTCGGATACTCTATCCGGTTCGAAGATGCGACCAGCGACAAGACCGTGCTGAAGTACATGACGGACGGGATGTTGCTTCGAGAGTTTCTGACCGAGCCTGATCTTGCAGGTTATTCGGCTCTGATCATCGACGAGGCACATGAGAGGACACTCAGTACGGACATTCTCTTTGCGCTTGTTAAGGTGCGTCTTATGCCTCTGACCCTCCTGATGTAGCAGGCTCCAACCTCCTGTTATAGGATATCGCTCGCTTCCGCCCCGAACTGCGCCTGCTCATTTCCAGTGCCACCATGGATGCCAATAAGTTCAGTGAATATTTCGATGATGCCCACATTTTCTATGGTGCGTGTCCCGCCTTATTCATATCTTGTGTTTGGCTCTGAAAGACTGGTTTCGTCCAGTTCCTGGTCGCCGTTACCCAGTCGATATCCATTACACTCCACAACCAGAAGCCAATTACCTACACGCCGCCATCACGACCATATTCCAGATCCACACTACTCAACCCAAGGGAGATATCCTAGTATTTCTCACAGTATGTTTATCTCTCAATCACAGCAAACCGCCTAGCTGACTTCTCGAAATCACAGGGTCAAGATGAGATCGAAGCAGCGCAGGAGAATCTTACGGAGACAGCTCGTGCACTGGGAAACAAGATCGCAGAACTAATCGTCTGTCCCATTTACGCCAACCTTCCCAGTGACATGCAAGCCAAGATCTTCGAGCCAACTCCGGAAGGCTCACGCAAGGTGGTGTTGGCCACCAACATCGCAGAAACCTCCATTACGATAGACGGTGTTGTGTTCGTCATTGATCCAGGGTTTGTCAAGCAGAATTCATACAACCCACGGACGGGCATGTCCAGCCTCATTGCTGTACCCGTGAGTCTTTCCTGTGAATCTAGATATGCCTCTTTGCTAAGAACGTCTCCGTCAGTGTTCGAGAGCATCTGCCAATCAGCGTGCTGGGCGTGCCGGTCGTGTTGGGCCTGGAAAAGCATTTCGTTTGTACACGAAATGGGCGTACACGAACGAGCTCGAGGCAAACACCGTGCCGGAAATCCAGCGGACGAACTTAGGCACCGTCGTCCTACTTTTGAAGTCGTTGGGTATCAATGATCTCATCGGCTTCGAGTTCATGGACCCTCCTCCAGGAGAGACACTCATGCGAGCATTGGAACTGCTTTACGCACTCGGCGCTTTGAATGACAGAGGAGAGCTCACCAAGCTTGGTCGACGGATGGCTGAGTTTCCCGTTGACCCAATGCTCTCCAAATCCATCATTGCCAGTGAAGCTTATGCATGTACTGACGAGGTACTCACCATTATCGCCATGCTTTCCGAGTCCTCGTCCCTCTTCTATCGGCCCAAGGACAAGAAACTCCACGCAGACCAAGCCCGGCAGAATTTCGTACGGCAAGGCGGAGATCACTTTACTCTACTTAACGTCTGGGAACAATGGGCCGAGACGAACTATTCTCAGCAGTTCTGTTATGAACAGTTCCTGCAGTACAAAAGCTTGTGTCGTGCGCGCGACATCCGAGACCAACTTGCGGGACTCTGCGAACGTGTGGAGATTGTGGTGGAGGCCAATCCGAACTCGAACGATATCACGGCAATTCAGAAGGCTATAACTGCCGGTTACTTTTATAACACTGTTGAGTATCACCTTATGCTCCCTCACTGTCTGAAGTTCTCATTTTTTTCTCACTTCGTCTCAAGGCCCAATTACAAAAGAGCGGCGACTCTTATCGCACGCTCAAGACCAATCAAACGGTGTATATCCATCCATCATCCGGCTTGTTCCAGCACCAGCCGCCCGTCAGGACTGTGTTGTATTACGAGCTTGTCATGACGTCCAAATCGTACTTGCGGCAGGTCATGGAGATCAAACCGTCGTGGTTAATGGAAGGTCAGTCTACTTTCTGCCTCGTTATTTAGGACAGTATGTCTCATGATTTTCCATAAATCTTTAGTTGCCCCGCATTACTTCAAACCTGCGGACCTGGAGGAGATGGCCAAAGGGGAGAAGAAGATGCCCAAGGCAGTTGGAGCATCCGGTGTTTCCTCGTAGTTGTATGAGTATTTTGGACATACGGACAATCTGACTGTACCCTCCGAGGGGTTGCTGTATCTTACTCGAACCGTGGGGCTCATCGATTTTCCCCGAAGCAAAGTTGCGAACAATGTACGCTTCAGAGAAGAGGAATGTGTAGTCCTGCCGCCCGAGCCAACCGAACCGTATACTCTGCCTGCAGAGGACATCAGTCGGGAGAAGCCCCGAGTAATTAAAAGAGTATATACCTGCTTCAACATGGGAGCATCTATCATTTCTTTCCCATCTTTTCCGTCTCCGGTGTCGAGGCCAAAGGCACCTAGGACACAGTAAATATTACATGCTGTTTATGCAGCCTTCACACTGTACGCACCTTTCTGGGATGCATGAACCTTCTCCATTTGGTGCAATATCTTCGCTGCGCGTAAGATCTCTATGGCCCATGCGCTTTAGCCACCGCTACGAAGGATTCGAATAACACTAGGGTAGCACACTACCTTTCTCGGTCGGCACAAAAGTGGTCTGTATAGTCTCAACCTGCACAGGATGGATGGCTTGCTAGAGTTGGAGGAATGAGGCATAAAGGAGAGTGCACATGGGGACCAGCGGTACGCTGACCTTGCCATTGAACCCAAGCCTACGTCCATCTTCGCATTCATCTTTCAAATACGCTGGATCTTTGTAGTTCACGCAGACCTGTTGGCAATGACTTAGTTGGTTCAAAGTGATTTGACACTTGGAAGATGGCCGCACCATATCTATGGCCTCTAAACCAAATGCCTTAGCGGCAACAACTATTTGAGAGCGTGTGTACAAAAGCTCTTGACGAGAGGGTGTGCGGATAATAGAGGTATCGGCACAGTCTCGTCGATGTTCAGTCTCGGAGTAGCATGCAGTTGATAAGGAGATGCTTACAATCTTCTGCAGCAAACTACGAGGTAGGTAAATACCCTGTTCGTGTTCGAACAAAGTTGCTCAGGAAGTACCTACCAGTAGTGCCGTAAGCTTAACGCCTGGTGATCCAGAGGCCCAACTGGCGATGTGGCCCACGTTCCATAGAGCACGAGCACTTTCTATGCTGGCCACCAGATTGATGGGCCCTTGGCCAGCTCGACCCGTAGAATTAATCATACGAGAGACCGTGTACAAGTCATCGACAGAGTGCACTTTGGGAAGTACGAATGTGCTGATCAAAGGAATGCTCAACTAGAGCACAGTATGCAATGACATGGTCAGCGTAGAGTAGTTTAGGGCATGGAAAGGTGGTCTACCGCGTCTGCTATATCGCCTTGAAAGAACGGCGTGTCGGCCGAGTTCAATCGAACTGCGATTCGGTTGGAGGCCGGAAGGTTCGTCGCCGGTGTTTGCTAGCTGGTTTTGAGCACGAGTCACACAGAGTACGAGTCTGTTATCGTACCGTTAGGAAAGCCTTGAGCCGTTTCCTAGCACTTGTCTTGTCCGCTTCCGATGGTGCTACACTGAATAAAAAAGATTCAAAGAGGCCAAAGGGATCTCCACGATACACTCACGAATCTTCAAGATCATAAATGATGACGTCCGAGGGGGTAACAAGGGACTTCTGGAGTGTGCGATCAGATGAGGAAGGAACTAATGTGCGTATTTCAGACACGTAATTCAGTGCTGATGTCGGGCATTGCGAACACAAAAAGAACAAACCATAGAGGTATGAGCGTCGGAGAGACGCGGCATCGGTCGCTCTAGCTTGGTTCGTGAGCGATCGTGTCTGGGGAGGACGTGTCAATTGACATGGCAGGCGGGAGTGAGCGTAAAGCCTGGCAATTGGCTTCATGCTGAGGAACTGCGTCATAGCTGTCCTTCAAAGGGACCTAAAAACCGCAATGCAATGCCAGAATGCAAATAGGGGTGTTGAAAAAGTACGCGTGCACCACAAGTCACACTGTCACGAGAAGGGCGAAAGTTGTGATGGGTGATCTCAGTTTGTGTTCTGCTCGAGAACCAACAGCAAGGTCAACCAAGGTCCGTGCAGTTCCTAGGGAGTCTGGAGGAACGAAGCTACAAACTTTTACGAGAGGAGGCAGTGAACAATCGACGTTCAGGATCAGGTTGGACGGGAGACTTGGTTCCACGGAATCTTCGCTATTTGCCGATTCCTTCGATTTCGTTCATACTCACGCCACCATTCGATGTGGCGATACATATGGTGGCCTCACTCGGTGATATATTTGTCACCTCGAATACAGTAGTATCGAAATCAACGGCAAATAATATTGAAGATGATACGGTAGAAGAAGGCTGGCTGCATGCAGTAAACGAGGTTGATGTCAGGTGTTCGACCGGATTGTCGAACATAACTACTTCCCAATAGCTGCCGTCCAATCAAAAGCATCGAAACGTTTCTTGAACTCAGACACTCTTCTCTGATTCTGTCGAAAGTCTACCCGCCGTGGGTGGCGCCACCGTCGGGCCTCCAACTCCAACACATTGCCGATGATTTCTCCCGCAAAGTATCTTCGTCGCATAAAATATCAGAAGAAGATTTACGACGTCGGAGGAACGGGAAATACCTGGGAAATTCGCCACCACCCTTCTCTCCCTCGTCCATGGGTTCATCCTCTTCACCCAGAGCATCATTGGATCCCTCAATGACATGTCCGTAGCCCTTCTCGCCTTTGTAATCGAATTGGACCATGAAGTAGGGGAGATTTGGTACCATCATGCGCCTGAAGCCCCCAGAGCGAGACGAGAAGTCAATCAGTTTCTTGTGCTGAGACCACTCTGCTTCACTCATCAAGATAGATTCCTGCACGAAAATGGAAGGTCCAGTTAAACGTTTGCAGAGAATGCGGCAAAGAGTATATGAAGGCACCTTAAAATACCCCGGAAGGATGTCGAATTGTTCCCAGGGCACAGGGACACATTCTATGAACGAGTGTTTCTGATACTTGAGCGTTAAAACGGTCTCAAAAAAGATCACGCCCTTATCATCCTCTGCAAACATGCGCATCAAGCTCTTCATGAAATTCTATATACGACATTAGGGTACAGGAAAAGAAACAAAAAGCGCTGACGTACCCGAATCTCATCCCACACGTCATCATCCGCTTCGAGCATGGTCAAATGATGCTGTATAGGAACAATAAGGCAATGACCCGGTACCAGCTCTTCTTGAGTAGTGCAAGAGAGATACGCTCGAGTGCCGAGGGAGATCACGGGAGCCTTAGGGAGAGAATCATCCTCGCCGTAGCAGAACTGACACGAAGCGAGAGCCTTCTGCGTTCGCTTGTAGTCTGAGCAGACTTATCAGCAACGAGAATTGAAGAAACTGAATGAGGCTTGCCGTTGATGGCAAATTGACGCTTCATGGCATCCGATCGCATCTTCTGACGTCCAAGACGATCGGCATTGTCGTCCATGTAGTCCAAGTCATTCTGAAGAGATTCCCTCAGCCCAGTCCAATATGGTTTTCGCGCAACTGTGCAACGGTAAGACTGACCTTGAAGCCCCCGTCAGTCACGATAGACTGTGCGAATTGCATGTCTAAATCTTTCTGATCCGACATGCCAGCCCCGAACCGCTCTTGACGAAGCATATCTCCCAGTGTGGTCGTATCGTCGTCGGCATTGTATCGTACAATATCCCCCGTCTTCGGGTCTCTTGTTTCAAACTGTGGCAGAGGAGTCAGTATTGGCCCTGATGCGGAGAACAATGGGAGCCTATACCTTGTCTTTCTTTTTGCGATTACCGGCCAACAGAGGACCGTCATCTTTGCCGCTACCGACGTCGTACATCCTCCCGCGCGCATCCAAAGTAGGCAACACCTCGACACGAGTCTGTACACCATCTTGATCTGCAACCACCCCATTAGCCTGCCGCGCCGCCTCCTCATATTCCTTTTCCAAAGCCTCTGCGTTAGGGGCATTCATCAACTTGGCACGAAGCACCTTGGCCTGAAGTTGGTTCAAAGAAGACGGTGATAGGGCTCTCTTGGTAGACGGCGTCATGACCGAAGGGATGGGAGTATGTGGCTGGCCACTAGGAGTACCGCCCTGAGATGGTAAACGGATTGAGTCGAATTTCTGTCGAGCGGGAGGCGCGCCATAAGTATTCGGTGTCGAAGGTCCACTTTCCATAGGCCCACCGGGACGCCTGAAGCTAGAGCTCCGACTAGATCCACCGCTGCCACCAATGTCGGAGAACATAAACCCCCTCTCACCACCCTTGCCCACCGAGAAGGGTTCTCTCTCCCTTCCCCTTCCGGGGCCGCGCTGCGCTCTACGACCCTCGCGTTCGTCCAGAATTTTACGCTCCTCTTTAGCTTGCTCGAAGGCATCGATGGAGCCAAAACGTTCGACCGCGACTTCTTCTAGCGGACGCCCCTCTTCTTCCACGGTCTCGTACACGCGCCGTAGACGCATCATGCGCCATTGCGAGCCGGGACCACCTGGAGCTGGGGGTTTAGTGGCGATTGGGGGTTCAGTGTACTCTGATAATGGAATATTATCCCTCAGCTGAACATTCAATTCCCTAGAACTAATTTGAGGCTAGGGGGGTATAGTTAGGAGGTGACGGAATAGAGAAGTGATACGACATGCCTTGTCAGGATTGGGCCGTTCATTCTGCGGTTTTTTCTGCCTTTCCGAGCCCAGGGTAGAGAAGAAGTCGAGACTGCCACCGAGGTTACGAGTGCTTGGAGGGAGATCACCATACCCCTCCGTGAGGGCATCGTCTCCCGCGGCAAGTTGGATCTTCGATGTGTCCGTTGGGATAGATATTGTGGACTGTGGCTCTAACATCCACTCATCACGTTTAAGCGAGGTCTCCGTCGAGTGTGAAGGAGGTATAGGAGGATCGTCCTTTTCCGAGTAGGCACGGGAAGAGAGATTAAGACTGTCGGCAGTAGGTATGTCGGTCGCAAGTGGCTAGCATTGTAACACTCCATGAGAATGACATCGAAAAGTGAAGAGGGTTGAGAGCGTACGCGTTCTCCATCCATGTCGATGTTCTTCTCCACCCACATATCCTCGTCATCCGGGTCGTCGTCGACTACCTTCAGCTTGTCCTCCTTTCGTTTCTTATGCTTCTCAGAGGGCCCGTCATCTCCGCGATGTCGTTTCTTGCCCTTCCGGTCGTGGTCATGCTTGTGCTTGGAGCTGTGTTTGTGCTTTACTCGACTGTCGTCTTCGCCGTGGCCCATGGTGAAGAGTTGTATGTAGACGAGCTGAGAGCGATTCAGGAGTCGACTTGAGATTTCGAGTTACGTCACACAGTCAACCACGTGCCGAGCGCGACGAGAGCGCCACAGACGCGTCGAGACTCGACGGTCGTAATACTACTACGGCCATCTCTCCAACTATCACCATCCATTCAACTGCACATCTGGCATAATCGCAGAGAATCATGTCGAGGACAGACGATTCCAGCTACTTTGACCGCGAACGCGACAAATTGGCCAGCGAAATAACCAGCGTCAGCACCTGTCCTCGAATACTCTTTCGTGCTATGACGTTTACTATGTATCTTCCGTGCAGGGATTCGAAGAGCTACTCTCCTCCAGCAACACGCTGAATCGAAAGCTCGACGAAGTGCTTGGAATGACGAAGGAATATGAGACGATCGCCTCTCTATGGAGACGCTTTCACGAGCTCATGCGAGCACAAAAGGGGGACGCCGACATATCAATGGAACAGGCTCCAGGTCTGCCCGGTACAGGAGGTCACGTCCTCTCTTCCAGATAGTTGAGAGCGAGAGTAATTCGTGGTCGGTCGTCATAATCATCATCATCAACATGATACCGTTGGCTACGGATAGGCAAAGGGTACGGTGAAAGAGGCAGAGAAAGAAAGATAAAGACACAGGGGGTTGGCGAATGAGACACCGGAATGTACGTGATAGGTATCCAAATACAGGCAATCTGCAGTCACAACAAAGATTCATCGACGCTTCCAAACGTATACGTACAGCAACAAGCGGCAGAAGTTAGTTCACCACACCACGAACGCGTCCGATGCAACAGAAACCACGACAAGCACCCAACTTCTTATACAGTATCTGCCCAAGATGCAACCCACGAGAATCCGTTGAACTCCGCTTGGTCGCGCGAAGTCAGTTGCGCGTGGACTGGCGTCAGTGTCGGCTGCTCTTTCGTGAACTCTTCGTCGAAATTGCTCGTATCCGCGCTGCCGCTCTGGGTGTGCGAAGGCGATAAATGAGTATTAACAGGCAACAGAATATGTTCAACATAGACTCACGATCGCTGGGAAGTAGGTGGGAGGGATACGTTTATTGAAGACATCGTCGAAGTTGACATCTTTGAAGAATGGGTGACTCTTGATTTCTTGAGCGTCGCTCTTCCCAGAGCCGAGACGTCTTGTAGGATCACGTGTGAGAAGCTAGGAAAGTGTCAGCGAAATTCGCATTTTCAACGAATCCCAAGAAAGCATACCTTCTGCAGAATCGACACAGCATCGCGAGGCATCGTGATAGGATAAAGGGGCTCGTCCTCAAGAATGGCGTCGAAGATTTCGTCCTCGTCGTCACCACGGAAAGGAGACTGTCCGAGTAACATCTCGTAGGTCAACACTCCAAACGCCCACCAATCAACAGCGCGGCCGTAGCGTTGTTCCAAGAGAATCTGCATGGCAAATCAGCGAGTGCTCTTCTCTGCTTTGACCGAACATGTGAACAGACCTCTGGCGCCATGAACTCAGGTGTCCCACAGAACGTACTCGTCGTCTGACCGTACCACATTTCCTCCTTGCACAGACCATAATCGGCGACCTTGACGTGTCCATCGAGAGTGAGAAGAATGTTGTCGAGCTTCAAATCACTGTAAATCTTGTTCAGTCGACACGAAGTACACAGGTTGCTCTAAGGACTCACCGATAGATAATTCCGTTCGCATGGAAGTATTCCAAGGCCAAGAGGACCTCGGAAGCGTAGAACTTGGCTTGACGGAGGGAGAATTGCTTGCGCTGGATGTGCAACATGAGATCACCTCCGCTAACATATTCCATCACGAAATACACCCTGGTCTCCGTCTGGAAACATGAATGGAGACCGAGCAAGAACGGGTGTCGCTCTCTCGCAGCCGCCAGGAAGACACGCTTTTCGGATCGTGTACTGGAAAGACGGGATTAGGCGCCGAATGCGGGAACAAGAGCGATGGTGAACATACCTCTCGACCTCGTCGTTGTCGATGATAAACTCTTTCTTCAAAACTTTGATGGCATACAAGCTGTTCGATGTCTTCTCCTCCGCCAACATGACCTTACCGAAGTTACCCTTCCCGAGCACAGCCAAGAAGTTGAAATCGTCCAGCCCGACCTTCCGATTCGGCCGAGCCTGCTGCATTGACTGCCGTTGTGCAATCTGCTGCTGAGCCGGATGCACTGGGGGCGCCGGTAACGAAGTCCGCTGTTGTATGGGCGTTGAGACAGGAGAGCCGCCAGAAGAGTAAGGTTTCGGTGGTACGCCGGGAACCGGCGGTTGAGGACGACCTTGAGCGTACCCGTCCCCTGCCATGGGTTGCTCATAACTAGAGCTCGGACGACCCATTGGTTGTTGGGGGACTTCGTTTGCATAGCCAGGGGGCATAGGTTGGCGAGCACCTGGCGGTGGACCACCTGGGAACGCGCCTGGAAGGGGTTGCTGCTGTCGTCTGTCGTATCCCGGAAGGGGTTGTTGCTGCTGTTGACGATTGTAAGCCGTATCCGCAGGTTGTTGGGTTTGGGTGGCTGTGACTTGAAGACGTTCCATCTCTCCAGAAACCTGGGTCATATTGTCGGGTGAAGTGGGCGGCAATGCGGCCTGTGGCCGAGTCTGAGTGCGCGCGGGCTTCGAAGCGGCTTTGCCTCCGCGCTCGCCGTTGATGTCTCTCCAGGCGCGCAAAAGCTGGTTAGCCGTTTCCATAGACATGCCGCAGAAATCGGGAACCAGGTGGGCACAATTAGCATGGCAGGTAATGTCACACTCCGTGCATCGACGAGCGTTTTTACGGCCCAGAGGGAGCATGGAACCGCAATGACAACACCAGTTCGTCCCGATATTGGTGAGTGGCTCGAAGCGATGAGGGATACGATGGTTGATCTTCTCTTCGTCTCCGTCCTACAACGCCTTCGTGAGCCTGATTAAGAACTTGGAGAGACTGAAAAACATACCCCGGCGGTGGATTTCGAAATACACTTCGTGACGACCTTTTCGTAACACTTCTTGTGACATGTGTAACGGCAATCCTCGCATTGGTATCCAGTAGCGTTGAGAAGGAACTCGTTGCAGAAAGCGCAGAGCATGAGCTGATAGAACTGCTTTTGCACGAACTTGTGGCCGTTCATCTCGTGGACTTCGTCCTTGCGCTTGCGAACCGCGCCTTGACGGCCGAGACCTCCTGGAGCATCCAACGGACGCTTGCGTACGTTCTCCTTCACTGTAGGCCCAGAGTCTAAGCTATGAAAAGGAACAGCTGAGCGAGTGCGAACGTACCGAAATTGACACGGAGAGCAATTGCACCAGCAGGCTCGACGGCAAACCATCCATCAATACCTTCCGACTGAGTGCCATATCCACCAGAACCGTCAGGGCCCTGAGCCATCGTATTGGGGAGTGGAGCGTTGTAGTCGCCAGAGCCACTGCTTTGGTGGCCTTGCGTGCCAGCGTGAGTCATTCCAGGCGCATTCATGGCACCAGCGGTAACCCAGCCGCCTTGGCCATTCTCCATCATCACCTTCTGACGACGAAGGGCTTCAACGAGATCGTTGATACGAATCCAGAGAAGTCCGATGGGTACAGGATGCTGCTCGCTCATGTGCTTGTCATAAACAGCGAGTTCAACTTCGCTTGCCTTGTCGACGGTGATCTCGAAGTCCTCGTTCCAGCGATCAGTACGAGAGGGATGGGTGCGCGCACGCTGGGTCCCTTCCACCTTGAGAGAGACGAAAGTGTCGGTTCCCTGCTTATTTGAGCGGGCGCGGAGCATCGGAGCTGGGGCATGCTCGAGCTCACGGGCTCCCATGACGCTGACTTGAAGCTTGCCCGATAACGGTTTGTTGCGCATCACCTTGGAATCGCCATCATGCCCGTCTGGAAATGATGAATGGGCATCACGAACTGAACGTACTGCACAGACAACTCACCTTCTTCCTCGTCATCGTCGGCGTCGTCAAGGATGTGCAGGTTTTTGTAACGCTTGAGAGCGGTCTGGAGGAGTTGGATTTTCTTCTCGCTCTCTACACGCTTGCCCTCTGCGTCCGCACGCGACTTCTTATCACCATCAGCCTGATAGAGTTTGGCCATCTTGTCGATGCCTTTCTTGTACTGCATCTCGACCTGGAGCTTGAACTCGAGTTGGTGAAGCATACGGGAGATCTTGGCGGTAGAGTGAGGGGTATCTGCCTTGATCAAGTCTAGGTTCGTGTAGTTCTTTCCCTTGGGGGCACCATCATCGGCCAGTTGGGCCGTATTGAACTCGGGCGATTGTTGGGCACGACCGGACGGATCGAGGTCGGAGGGTTGTGAGTATCGATCTCGTCCACCGGGCTGCGTCGGTCTGAGGGTAGGAGAGTTGGAGGGATGAGGGGATCTATTTGGATCGTCGCCGCGCTGGAGTTGAAGCTTGCGGGCCTGGAGTTCGCGGAGGGTATCCTCGAAGTAGGCTAAGGAGCGCTCTGTTTCCTTGATCTTGGCATCGTTCTGACGGAGGACGTTCTGGTTGGTGGTCGCCTGGCGAAGAAGCTGGGAGGCCTCGAGGAACTTGCGCTCTGTCTGGATACGCTTGTAGACATCTTGGATCTTCTGGTCTAGTTCAGCCTGGAGAGGGAAAAGGGCGGTAAGGGGTGGAAAGTGAGTAAGTAGATGAGGAGAGGGGGGTGAGCGATGGCGAAGCGTACGGCCATGGAGAGCGTGCCGCGACCTTGCGTGGGTGCTCAATACGAGGAGAGAAGATGAGCGGACAAGAAAGGGAGATGGACGTCGAGAGCAAGAAGAATTCGATGGGATCCTGCTCGCCAGACGGGAGAGCGAAAGCAGTGAGCACCGGTTCGCCGTCACACCGCCACGCGACTACTTCCCACGCCTCCAATCTGCATCTCGCCACTTCCCCGCCACCGACATTCGTCCTCTGCGCGGCCATGCCCACCATCGCCTCGACGTCCTCGCTCAGAATTCCTGCCGACGATTTCTCCCTCTCTGTCCAGCTCACGCACACTGTCGTCGTCGATGCCCCGTCCGACGTGCTCCATCGCTCCCGACGCCCGCTCCCCGACGCACTCGACATCAGAGCCACATCCGACCTCGTCTTCTCCTTCTCCGCCGCCACCCATCGCCAACCTGTTCCTCCTCACATCTTGTTTTCCTCTGCGCTCACAGCCAGCTTCCGCCGCCATCTGCAGGCAGTACAGCCTTCCTCTCTCCCTTCTCTTCTTGTCCCTCTCATCGACCTATCTTGTCTTCTCCTTCTAGAACGCCGCCGCGCTAGGCCTCGACCAAGTATCCACACTCTACGCAGACGAGCGGACCGGCATTCCAAAACGTCTTTCTTTCTGTGCTCTCTTTGATGCCCTTCCGCTCATTCCCTCCTAATAGTCTCACTTACGCCGTCTTCCCCGCCGGCCTCTGCCCGCAGTCGTCTTCTTTCCATACATTTTGCCTATGTTTGGAAGCCCGAAGTGCACGAACAGCCCTCTTGTGAGCTTTCTTGGCCAAATTCTGCATTCTTCACCGCTGGATTTTACCCCAGATGGCTCGCCGTTCTCGGCACAGCCGTTTTTACCCGTCCAGGGCGCTCTTGACTCTGCGGTGCAAAAGATCATGGCTAACCACCTCGTTCGGTACGGATTCTCAAATTCTCAAGCGCTGTGCTACCCCTGAGTCTCTAGCTTGCACAGCCGTTATCCTCTCATCTTCGGACCATGGCGCAAGGTTCTCTTCCTGCGGTCTATCTCATAGGCACAAAGCTCAAAAATGTGCTCGTACTTAGAAACTCGACTTGGAGACTCAGTTATTCCCTTCGCTCTGTAGCTCGATTCTTAGGCCGGCTTCTCGCTCACCGGACTCGTCATTCCGCAGGAAGTGCACGCACCTGCTAGCGGTTTGTTTACAATACTGTATCAACTATACCATTATCATAAGCGCTCACAAGTCCACAGACCCTCCGACGACAGAACGCCTCCGCCGACGATGCGCGCCAGGGTATTCTGCGTCAATTTCTCTCAACGCTCACACCTGGCGGACTTGATCTTGAGAACGATCCCCTCCCCACTGAGACTGACATCTCTGACGATTCGACTCTCAACAACGCTCTCGAACGCTGCCTCCGAGCAGGCGTCCCCTCCATTCGCTTCAAGGCATGTCCTCTCCTCATTCTTTAGTTCCACAGAAACTGATAATTCTTTTAGGCCAGTTCTTTGATCACTACGGCTGGCCAAGAGCGCGACGATGACGACGACCCGACATTCATGCTGCCTCCTTCTGCCTCACCAGCCGCGTCTGACTGCTCTCACATGGACCTCGATGACTCGGAACCGTGCAAGGCTTCGGACGACCTCACTGCTCTCTATGACACAGACTATAGCTCAGACGACCTGCTTCTAGATTGTGAACCGTCCGCTACAGATAAGGACCTCTGCTTCGACGACCAAGTTGACCATCCGTGCACTATAGAGGACGACGCGTATATGCACTCACCCGCACATACATCCTACTCCCTCGACGAGGATACAATCGACGCTCAAGCAGCAGGTGAAGGCTCGAGTGCCGACCCTGACAATTTCGATCTTTCCGTGCGTTCCATCGGTCGTGTGCGCATATATCGCTGGCTAAATGGAATTTTCCTGGTGAATTCCACAGTTCGACGACTGTGGAGCTTGGTCTCCTGAACATCAACTCGGTTCTTCCGTGCGTTCCATCGGTCGCGTGCGCATATATCGATGGCTAAATGGTTTTTTTTTTTGTGAATTCTATAGCCCGACGACTGTGGAGTTTGGCCTCCTGAACATCAACTACATTCAGACGGCATCAAGGAACATGTGGTCCCAGACCTCCACAATACTGCGCCAAACACACCGCCTGTAATCGAATCGTTCCAATCCTATTCGTCCGCCACCTTTCCCGCAGTGTTCCAAGTGCGTCACGCTTTACATCCCCTATAAGTATCTCTTCCATGTATCGCCGGGCTTACATTACTTTTCACCTAGGTGGAAGAGGAACCAGACGACTACATGGATCATGATGAGCCAGAAGCCGACGATGACGAAGCCATTTCACAATCCATTGTACCCTGTTCAGTCAGTCGAGTGCGTAAAGATCTACACTTCCATGTGGAGGACACTTCGGACGAAGATGCCTGGCCAGATGAGGGGTTGAATGAGCTGTGGTGATACGTTACATTTCATTAATTTGTGCTATACGATACTCGAAGCATAGACTGTTCGAATGAACGTGGGAGCTCATCGACATCGCATGAACTAAGAAAGTACGGAGGCCATGTAATGGGGCCCTTACCGGCAAGTCCCGGAGGCTCCGCTTGAATATTGGTGCGGTCCCGCCACTGGCCGCGCGCGCTGGGTGAGGCGTTGTGGAGAAGCCAGCGAGATAACTTCGACAACCATCAGCCATCGACGACTATCGACCATCGCCTGCGTTTCCACTCATAACTCGACCGGTGCTCCTCTTCCCCAACGCTCTTCGAGCTCCTCCTCTCTCCGCTTTTTGTCCAAGAAGAAAGCAGCTGCACCCTACTTCACTGCCGTCACTATGCTCCCGGCAAAGCTCAAGAAGATCGATATCAGCGTAAGTACAACAACACAGCAATACACTTTTCCCAGATCAATACACGCCCAACCCGATGACTTTGATCTATTTCGACTCTCCTCATCTCAACGGCAATAAGCATCTGGCCGCACAGAAGAACTAATCAACGTCTTATTTCATTTGACAGTCATTGACTGAGGAGGAGCAGAAGCTCTTCCGTCTTTATGGCAAGCTGCCCACGCACAAGAACGTTCTCACCAAGATGCAGAAGGTGAGCAGAGCTCTCCCTCCGGCCCTCCTTACTCCCCGGATCATGCCCTGCGCCCAAGGTCATGCCCTCAGCCCATCCAATTCTGATCTCGGACACTCGCTTTGCACCCACCCACAGGATCGCAAATACTTCGACTCTGGTGACTATGCGCTCTCCAAGGCTGGCGTGGCGCCCCAGAATGCCGTCGGCACTGCCATTCCCAACCCCGAGAAGTGCGTTTTCAATCTCACATATCTGCCTTTGTCGTGTGTCACCGGCTGACTGCATCACCTCTATGTGTCTATGCGACGAATAGCATTCCCCACGCATCAACCCCGTCTACCAACAATCACAATGGTGGCCTCTCCGTTTCGCCCAACAATAGTGCCACCAGCCCCGTCAGGGAAAGCAACTTGTCGCAAGCCCCTGAGGACGAAACCGAGCCCGAGAAGTCCACGGCAGAAGCCGTTGAAGAAGCTTGAACGATTATTCATCACACTCTCCAACGCCAGCCTGAGCAAAGTCGACCCGACATCAATCATAGGACCACCCCCATGCTCCTCGTCGCCAGCCCGCATCGCTTCTGTCCTTCCCTACGTCCTCTCCCTCGCTTATCACTGTAATGCATATTCATGATCACCCTCTCATCCCCACTCCCTTCAGCGATCGAGGATCTTGATTGTCGTCCAGTACTTGTACACAGATCCCAAGCCCACTGTCTCACCTGCCTGCCCCTCACCATATCCATACGATAAACTGCACTCGTCGGTCGGTAGGTATGTATGTATTTGTTGTACATCAAAGAATGCATCCGCTTCATTCTTCGGGTTTCACCTGTAGGGTGTTTGCATCGTTTCTTGCTCGCTCTGCATAATTATGCAATTTACGCATCTGAGTTTCATGGGCCGTCAATTTGTCCGTCGTCCATATGATTCTTGAAGTCCAGCTTGCATCGGTGGCATCGACAGCTTTTTGTCTACTTCGAGTATCTGTGTTCGCATCACTGCTTTTGGATGTAGGTCAACTGACCATCGTTCCCTCGCATGGGTCGCATCATCGCATACGAAATGTACGTCTCTTGGTGGAGAACCCAATTGTACAAATACTTAGCATTTTGAATCCTTTTACCGACCCAGATTTCATCTCGTCGCGGTCCTCACGCATCAACCTTGAGTCCCTCATCAAAATTGTCTATTGACCCTTGACGTCTCGGGGAAATTCGAAGGCATTTTCGTAGACCCTCCTGTGGCCCACAAGCAGAGTGGCGTCGTAGACAGCGTGGAAAGAGAGCCAATTTGTCTGAGAGCTGCTTCGACGTCTTTGTTCAACCTGTCACTATTACGGCTCATAGCACTCTCGGCTTCCATTGAATCAGATACTCTACATTGAGCTCCCTTCCTGACCATCCAAACAGACTGTATTTTCAGCTTGGCCGGCCCCACGTAGGCCGAGCACGCGCGAGGCACCATACCTCTGTTCTAAACCCCATCTATCGCAGCTTCTACCTCCACTCTTGAGTTTCCGGATCCGCGTCTGTTCTTGGCGGGAACATTCCTCGGAGTCGCGCCTGCTACGCCAATGACCTACAGCAAGACCTTCACGGACCGTGTTCTCTATCAAGTCCGTTCATACCGAGTCTACATCGGTATGTGATCGCTCTCTCTGCTCGCAGCTCGTAAAGCATCAGCGCCCATCCTAGATGTGCCCAGTTATGCCTTTGGGGATTGGCTATGGTGCAAACGGCTTAGCATAGATTTACTATAATTTACGATGATTCAGTCTGTCCCAAGAGGAAGTAAACTATCCTCGTTCATGGAATCCATTCTACACCATACGAACGGTGACCGCACTCGACATGAACATCCCGAGGGTTGGCCCTGACAGCGCTTGGAACATGGAACCGTACGTTTCACCGAGATGCTGTGGCCAATGCCCCATCTATCTCCTCTGACGGACTTCTTCCCCCGCACACCCTCCAGCACCATCCCCGCTGATGCGGCTGCTCACTATAAAAGTGTTACAGCTTTGATCGAAAGGATGATCTGAAGCTCATTCTCTCCATCCCCTTCGTGCCTTCACACCTCGCTTCAAGGAACAACTTTCAACTCCAATGCACTCGCAAACACTCGTCCGTATTCTGGCCGCGATGCTCCCATTCATCTCCGTCGCGTCAAGCTCTGCCCTTTCGACAGACGTCACCTGCCCTTCGAATGCTACCAACCACCTTTGCTGTCGGACGCTTGCTCCGTTCTCCGACAACGCGTATGTCTGGGAGAACGTGTGTGGTATCACAAATGTACCCTCGACCACACCAACAGCGTCGTTTTGTAGTGAATTGGAGACCTGGTATGTCCATATTCAGGGTTGACAATTGCGGAAGCATCACTCACTTGCCTCGATGTCCTGTTGTCATTCAGTCCCACTGGCCTCTTACCCGTCTGCTGTGAAACGTTGGCTAGTACGCACGGATTCTAATAACTCGCGTCTCTACTTCTTCCTTCAGTGGCTAATCGACTCGTGGACCAGGTTGTCAATCGGGCGTTGATGGTCCCATCGGTCTCAATTGCACCCAGGTGGAGAATTAGAGTGTATCTTCGTATCCGATTCTATTCCCCGATTAGCGACGGATACAAGAATAGTGTGTATGTACCCGTCATGATACATGCATAATGTCTATGCTCCAAACTTCTTGACATCGGCCTGTACTCTTGACCAAGCCGGACCTTGTCCCCCGCGTCCGACGTTGAGAGTCGCCGAAGTACCTTTAGACACGAACCCTGGGTTGATGACGACGGTGTGGTCGACCACCTATAAAATCATAATACGAAGTCAATCACATGGAACGCCTTCGTCAAAAGCAACGCCTACTTTTGAGAAGTACTTCAGTTTGCTTGAAGTGACAATAACGTCGGGTGCCACGCCTGGTGTATTGTCCGCACAGATGTCGAGACCATCGGAATGAGAGACATCGAGGTTCACTTCGGATGAGAGCTCGAATGGCACGGGGAACACCGGGTAGAAGCTGTTGAGCGGTGTGTGAGAAAATGTCCACAAAATAGATCGAGGCGGGCCTGAGACCAACCTTCTTTGTTGAAGCAGATGTCGACAAGTCGCCGACATCGCATCCGTACTCGACTCCCCTATACTCGTCGCGACAGAGTCGACTTCCTCCCCCCGCTTTATAATCTCTTGATTTCTAAGGTGGAATAGGACATCTACACTGCTGACGCCAAATGACAACCCGTTGAGCGAAAAAAGACAAGGGTTTGGAAGCAGTTTGATACGCTGTGGAAATGAAGGCTGAAGGTCAGATCCACTACCGAACATACAGTCAAAGATCTCACAGAGTCCCCAGCAAATTCTGCACCGAGTTCAAGCTGTGGGAAGGCAGCATGTGAACTGATCATATCCCGGACACTAGGTACGAGGAGGACGATGCTGTCGGGTGAACCGTCCAAAAATTCCCGCAGGTTGTCGGTGAAATGACGGTAGAACATCTCAACGGGAGTTTCGTCGATGTCACCTATCTTGATCTTGGGATGTTGTGCGTCTATGAAAGGGCCAACCTGTGGATCACGGATCAGTCTGACAGAGCATGCAACCATTATGAAATCTTACCAGGAGCACTACGTCCGGTTTCTCGCTTTGGAGTTTTTGAAGTAAAGATGACCAGGGTTGGTAGGCAAGATTGGCATCAGGGGTGAACGGCCCGCATGCGATTGACATAGAGAACGGGGCAGCTCCTGCATCGGACTTGACTCCACCTTCCGCGCCATGACTCGAAGGTTTCAATGGTGGAAGCTAACACAACAAGCTGTAAGCATCTGGCCGGTACAAATACGAAGTTGTGGTCATACCGTCAAGATTTCGCTCACGGTGAAGCGTCCGCCTCCACCGTTCTTCCCCTTCAGCGCAACTATCGCTCCGGGGAATAAACCAACGGCTCCCACATCCTTTGGACCCCCACGAACTTTGACGTTTGAATCAAATTTGAGAGGTACCCTTCCGCCAGAGCCCATCGATCGCGATGACTCCAGGCAAAGACTTGCCTCGTTCAATTTCGCCGAGTCGGATGTGGCCGATTCTGAGTCTAAAGTGATCCGCCCGACCACAACGCAGTCCTCCTAAAAGATGGATTTTGAATTTTGAATTTGACATCAAGCCCTCAGCAATAGAGTTTCACTTACTTCTGTCGAGGATGTAGGGTCCCCCAACCCAACGAGATTGTAATGATCTCTCACCATCTCGGCGAAATCATCTATACGGTCATCAAGAACTTACAGCATGTGGGTGAGTACATGACTTATGCACAACTGAGATGTTTGGCTCACCTTCACTACGTTCCATGATCTTTTCGTACATGTAGCGATCTGTATAAGAGTTGTGTCGGTTCAGCGCGTAATCACATAACGGCGGCATACTCACATGCACGCTTAGTCCTCGACTCATCATCGTCGCTGGTAGAGAAAGAGACCTTGCTGGGTCCAGCTCTTGCGATAGGAGTAGAAGAAGACGAAGAGGAAGCGAATGTACTGGTAGCGGCAGGTCTAACGAGACCCATACCGGAAGTCCTGGAGTTGACTCGCGACTCTAATCCGAGCATACCAATGGGAAGCTTTCCCCTCATCATCTTTCCGGAGAATTCAGGCTTAACTCTGCTTTGGGTGACAGCCTTCGTCTTGTTCAAGTCCGCCTGTAAGAGGCCCCTCAAAGCCTGAACGGTGTCCTCATTGATGATTCTCGTGCCGATAAAACTTGATGACATGACAAGGGACTCCCATTTGTAGTAGAGATCTGTTGGAGCAATATTGAATGTTTGACAAAGCCCGCTGCCTATAAAGAAAATCTGTGAGTTGGGCTCGATTCACGGATTGGGAAATCGTACACTGCTCGACGAAAGCATCGTCGGATCCTGGCGTCGCGCTGAACGCGTCTGCTAGCTCGCTTCTAATGTCACCAGTGCTACCGGAGGACATTTCGAGTGGCACAAAGAGCGTATGGTATCTGGACGGTGAGGTTGTTGATGGAGAGGAGATACAACGACGCGACGGAGGACAGCAAACGCGTCGACGCGTCAGCACGTGCAGGCGTGTTCCGATCGCGACTTACCCACGAAAGCTCACCGCGCGACATGGAAAGGCCGCGTCGCTCCTCAGATGTTGCCAAAGAACCCTCATTGTCGTGCATGGTACTCGAAGAATGCCGCGTAAACAAGGTGGATATTTTACCTCTGAGGAACTCAACATTTACTGATTTAGCCCTTGACTCCAATCTAGAGGTCTTTCAGGCATCCGACACAGAGGCTGAGAAATTCGAAGGTGATGCTGGCCAAGACTGGCCTCTTGAGGGTGTTGTAGGCGAAGATGTCGACATCTTTGGCACTTCCAGGTAAGCCTCAAAATTACACATTTCCATCATGTCGGTGCTCACATCTGCCCAGATACGAAGTCTGTCTTGCCTTGCTTGTTGTATAGATTGCTCAGCTCAATTTAACCCAGGCTGATTAGATTCGGTGGAATAAGTGGCGGAGAAAAGATGGTAGCTCCACTACATGGGAGAAAGACCTTGAAGGCAACCATGGGCTTATCGAGGTTTGCTCTGATTACTGATAGACTCTGGATACTGAATTAACACTCACTAGGACTGGATGGAGGCTCTAACCGAGCAACGTGTGCAACAGGCACACAACTCAGCCTCTGTCAGGCTGCCTCCTCTCTCTCTTGCCACGATTAACGAGCGACACACAGCGGAGCTGAGTGAAGCTCGTGTTGAGAAGCGTAGAAAACGAGATTCACAGAAGTCTCAGCGTGGATATGACGACCCGTACACCAAATGGGATGAGGTCATGCGCTTGGATGCAGTTTCTAATGAGCCACGACAAACGAAAACTGCTCATCAGGATGTCATTGACCGCCATGACCAAGGTCAGGTTTTGCAGCCCACAAGACGGTCACCAAGAGAGATTTTACAAGCCCAGTGGGATGAGGCCACGAAACATGCGAAAGCAGCACCTGTTATTATTGTGTCTGAGGATGGAGATGTGGACGAAATACCAGCATTGCCGCAGGGATTTGAGTATGTGGAGTTTGGATATGCAAAGTGGGTTATCAATCATGTCTTAGTATCATGTTCTGATCTTCTGGCCCTAGCATGAATGAGCTCACACATACAAACTGGCAAAATGCATTGCTTGGCTGTGACTGCAACGGGAAATGCACCTCTGCTGAGCAATGCAATTGTCAAGTAATTACGGATGATCTTGAGCAAGAGAGATTGTTTGCTTACACCTCACAGGTAAGAGACTGTAAAACCCTCCGATTGTTGAAATTCCTGCTCACACCTGTGCCCTTCAAAGGGCACAGTTAGAGATGATTTTGGTCGTGGACCCAACCGAGGGCACCTGGCTGTCGAGTGTAATCCCGTGCGTTATCCCTTGTTCGGAGCATGACTTTTGGATGCACTAAATATCAGGTCAACAGAACTGCAAGTGCTCAGACGATTGTCCAAACCGTGTGGCCCAGAAGGCGAGGCAAGTGCCTCTAGAAGTCTTTGAGACTCAACTTCGAGGTTGGGGAGTTCGTGCCACCTCCGACTTGAAGCCCGGAACTGTAATAGGATGTTTTACAGGGTAAAACCGTTCTCCAAAGCGCTCCCTTGCTTCTTTCTGTTGACTGACTAAGTATACCACACATGTTTCAGGAGTTTGATGTGCGTTGTGACTCTTGCGAATGATTTCTGCATCTGACAGCACTTTGTAAACAGCACTAGTGACATGGCAGACGAAGAGGCAAGAGCCGGTAGAGACCAGTACATGTTCAGTCTTGATGCCTTGGTCGGAGAAGGAGGGACACCGAAATTCTGTGTTAATGCCTTTCACCACGGTATGCCATTGTTTATCATAGCAGACAACCCGAGTGCTGATCACAACCGTGAGCAGGTAATTGGACGAGGTTCATAAAGTAAGTGCACAGCGACATACTTACGTCTCCTCCCGTCCTTCAGCTCAGCCAAATCCAGTCATTCGTGCGTCCCCAACCTACGAGTTCTGCCAGTGATCTACGGCGAGTTGATTCCGACGGTCCGTCTCCTCTTTCCTCACAATGTTATCGCCTGTGCATTTGGATTGAATTTCATCATTCTTCCAGCGGGACTTGGAGATCTACTATTTGACCTTTGTTACCACCTGTCGAATTCCGAAAGGGACGGAGCTAACCATAGATTATGATCCTCTGGCCGCAGAAAAGATGCGAACGAGCAAGGGCAAGGGTAAAGCAGGGCCTGCACCGACTATTGACGACCCAAACATCATGGACTGCAAGTGCGGTGAACAGGAATGCCGAGGCAAAGTCAGAGCAGTGTTCTGAAAGGCTCGCCTTATTACGAAGTGACCGTGTTCTTGACATATCGAGCAGAAATAGTAGTAGCACAATGCATATGCGAGCATTGAACCATGATTGCGGACAGCTCAGCCAGAGAGTAGCGTAAAATTTCGAGCGGTAACGGCTGCTTAATCAAAATATCACATATTATAGGTAGGCTAACGCCCGGTGAGATGTGGTTCGAGTCGAGAAAGAAAAGCGAATAAAGAGATCCAGTATGTAGGGCCACAATAATATACACAGCAAAGTCAGACAGAAAGCAACCGACAATAATACAACCCAGGAAGCAAATAACGGATATATCACTCGAATAAACGCAGATTGTCCTCAACGTATCATAGGAAACCCGTTTCCTGCAGGAGCCTGGCCATCTTCTCATCTTCCCTTTCTCGAGGTTCTCGTTCCAGACTTAAATTCCAGAATAGGTCGCTGACATCCGGGATGGCATTGAACTTGTTCAGGCACTCCTGGATGTACTCGTGAATGACTTCGACCTTGGCAAAGTTGAAGGGTTTCGACTGCCACTTCTTGATCTCGTCGATAGTCTCCGCCGACTTCTGCCGTTTGCGGAAGTTAACGAGATTGCCGACATTGTTGGGAGCGCCATCTTGGATGAAGGTGAGAGTGGTGAGATATGTTCCTATATACATAGCCGATGTCACTTTCGTTGAATAGAATACAGCAAGACGAGCAGTACGAACCGATGAATGGTACACAAGGTGGCGTGATCCTGGCCAACAGCTGGCGATAATTGCTGAAGTTTTTGTTCGAGTCGATGGTCATCTCGCAAGCGCCCAACAGAGTCATAGACCTCTGATTGATCTGCTCCCAAGTCCGCTTTAGACGTCGGATTGGAGGCGAATTCAAGCCAGACACAATGGCTATCATGCTTGAAAAGTTGTGCAGATTTCGACACCGCTAGAGGACAGTTGAATCAGCGTCGTTGCAGGTTAGACCTATTGATAGCACATACATCAGCGACGTTGATGAAGTGCTTGACCATCACAGCTCGTTTGCGAGAATCCTGCTTGCTCAAGACTGTATCTGCCACCCAATGTGCGATCTGTAGCGACATCAGCATCACATGGGAGGTATCACCATGCGAAGTAACTGACCTTATTGGTAGTCTCAATGATAGCAGCAATGTTGTCGTTGCTGTCACCCTTGGCTTCCCGGGACCGCAAAAGACACTCCGACGGCTTGATCTTCTGGTACAGATGACACTCGATCATCGTCAACTGTCGGGCGATCTCCAGAGGATCGAAGTCTGTGAGCTTCGTCTTCTTCGACAGCTTAGGAATGATAGGAGGAGGCTGAGGATCCAGCGAGATAGTTGTTTTGGGTCTGGAATTATCGCCTTTTTGCTGTTGAAATCGATGAGCTTTATACGCAAGTGCATATTAGGGGCGACGTACCGCACGCTCGATCAGAACCACTAGCTGCTTGGCTGCCGTTGAGCGCATGACCTCCTCGTTCTGAAGCATCTCCTTCATACGATCGAGGATATGCATGTCGTCCTTCTCGAGGATATCATCGTCTGTGACTATGGTCTTCAGAGTGTTGAGCACTCTGGTGGAGGGCAGTGAGTAAGAAGCATCGCTTGTACACGCCGTTGACATGCAAACCGACCTTGTCCGAATGACATGCTGCTTCAACTTCGTCCAATCCTCCAGTTCTGTCGGTGTGAGGTTATCAGGTGGTTTGATCCAAAAGCGTTGCTGTAGAAGGTCGAAGAGGGTGTCGATATCGGTGAAGGACTTGTACGTGAGTAGGAATGTCTTGCTGAACGTTGTATCTGTTCTGAAAGTCAGAAAGAGCTCAGCTAACGAGAAGATAGAAGGGCGCACCTGAGTTCTCATGTGCAGTCAATCGCTCAACGAGTGCTTGTACGGTACCCGCACGTACTTTCCCATCCGGGTCGATTTGGATGTCATTACCATAGTTAGGTCGCAAATACCATGGTTGACGTTCAGCAACAATCGTATTCACGAGATGGGTAGGTTCCTCTCCTAGAAGCTTGAAAACCTTGGAGGAAGGGATCTTACTCGGCCCCGACGTGGGTCCTAGATCTAGATAGAGGTAACGATCAGCCATATGGCGCGAACTGTGCGATAACTGCTCAACAAACCATCGTCGTCGTCGAGGAAGTCATCGCCACCCATTTCGGTCGACGCCGCCAGCGAGTCGATACTGTCTGAAGGTTTGTGACCAGGGCGACGCCAGGTCGATTGAGTCGCCGCGCTGTCCCCCCGACGATGAGACCCTTCGGTCGATGACTCTGGAACTGACGACCCATCGGTGGCGTATAACGTGGATGAATCCTGTGAGCTCGCCGGTTTCATCGCAGCAGGTTTACTCAGGGCGTGTGCCATATCAACGACGTCTTCCGATTCCTCCAAGTAAGTATTCTCCTCAAAGCCCGATATTTCGCGAAGCGTGCGTCCGAGATTGCTGTCAATCATGCTGATGCGTGACATGCGCCACTCGATGGATCCCCTGTAATCGTTCTGTGCCATGTCCGACTGGTCCTGCCCGATGTGAAGTAGAGCCTCCATAGTATGCTGCACAAGGCCGAGGTTGGCTTGTATTGGATGGATGAGGCATTCAAGAGCATCTGCCGTCTTATGCCATGACCCGGTACTGGTTTGAATACTCAGAAAGAGTGTGGCACCGTCATCGTAAAGTGCTTGCGCCGCTGCCTCCAGAGTGCGGACGAGAACACGGGCTTTCTGGACGCTCTGAAGATATATATCTTCGTGCGAAGCCGCGCCTTCCCGGTTGATACCATCTATGTCGACGGCACGAGCGACGTGCACGCTGGCTACAAAAGTGAGGGCAGAATGGAGGAGTGTTATTGTGGCCCGCCCATTCGCATATATTTGATCGACTGTGATCGTAATGTCGGCAAGTTGAGGTAGATGAGACTTCTGTTGGGATAAGATAAGGCGGAGGGAGAACGCACCTGGGACGGTACCAGCCAACGACTGCGCAAATGCCCTAAGCTTCTCATTAACCCTATCCACAATAGACTTGAGTTCGGTGATCGCGTCGGGAGCCAGCACTCGTGGTGGTACTTCTTTCGCATTCTCTAGAGCAACCCACCCGAAGCCCTTCCAACTTCCTGCAGCTCCTGCGCCAATCAACCCCAGCCCAATATTGCTTGGTGACAACGCCGCTCGCAGTCGCTTCGCCGTCGGCCTTGTACGAGCGGGTTGAACCGCCGTCTGACTATTACTGCGTTGTACTTCCGAAACGAAAGTAGAGATTGCTCGGTCCAGATCCATTGCATCAGCGACCATGCGTGACGGAGCGTCGGAGGTGAATCCACTGGCATCGTAGTTGGCAGCGAGTTCGGCGAGCACGAGTTTCGACAAGGTGGCAGTCACTTTTCGTTGAGCGGGTTTGAGTTGTGCCTGGATGGCCTGGGCAAACGCATTCGCTCTGGGATCGATTCCATCCTTGGGATAGAGGCTACTCGAGATGTGACCATACGCAGGCGAGGAAATACAGAGAAGATTTCGGATGCTAGCGACCGCGTCAAGGATACGACTGGAGAGCTCCCGCTGTTGCAAAGGCTGATTGGACACACCGTGAGCTTGGATGTAATTGATGACCGCCGACACAGATTGACGCGCGATGTCAGAGATGTCCGTTACAGATTCGGGAGGTGCGGGTGCGAGGTTTTGCTGCAGCGCCTGTGCGAGACGTTCCGCGGACGTCAGCTCAGCAACAGCCTCCAAAGGTGCTCGTGACAGTTGCGTCACGGGTGCCTGACGGTTTCCGTTTAATGAATGGACGTTGTTGGAGACGAATGCGGAAGGCTGTCGGTCAAGGGGATCGACATCCGAGTCATCGGAATAGGCACTGGTATAGCCTGCAGTACTATCGCTACGACCCCGTAGAGCGTTTGAAGCAGACGAACCTGCGCGAAGGCGAGAGTCTGTGCGCTGAGCGTCTGTTTGGCGGGCGGGACTAGAGGGATGACCAGCACCGTGCTGGAGGCCATTGACGCGTGAGGCAGGCGGAAGGGTGGCCTGTGACGGAGCGGGTTCTGGCATCGTCCATTGCATAGAACCGTCGAGCTTGTTCAAATAATAATACGATAAACCATCATCCGCGAGCCGGCGTACCCAAGGCTCAGGGGTACCTGAACGCTTTGGTATACCAAAACCAGCCGGCATGGTGTTGCCTGAGCCATTTGAACGACTGTTGGCTCCGTTTGCGCGACCGAATACTGTTGTAGAGCCCGAGCGTCCACGTTGTTGAGCAGAAAGACCGCTGTAATCGCCCTCAGAAAGCTCGTCCTCGGTCTCCATTGGTAGATCCCGCGAGTGTTGTCCCGTCTGAGTGTTCACGTAGAATATCTACGGCGGCCATCGTGAGACAAGAAGTTGATAAGGCAGAGCGATGGGGCACACATCCTGCCAGGTATAGCAAAGTGACTGGACTCCGGACTCACCTGGCCATCGGGAGACATCGTCGGAACCCAAAAGTCACTCGGCTGAGAAGGCGTACTCGCCGGGGCCCTCCCTGGAAGCTCTGCACGCCGTCGAGGGGGCTCAAATTCTACCTCTCCGTCCGCCCAATCGTCACTCTGAAGAGAGCGCGGCATGCTGCTCGAACTGGAGGTGAGGCTGCTCATGCTGGGCAGTGAGGACATGGTCTCTGAATTGTTATCAAGAGTCGAAGCGTCTGCGTAAGCTGCATGCGGTTGTCTTCCGTCTTGAGTAACCGGGCCTCCGTCTTCTGCAGCTGAGAGAACAGCGTCTGCCTCTTCATCAGAGATGACGGCAACGTAGTTTGAAGGGAACCAGCCGCGCTCGTCGCCCAGAAGGCCGTCCCACCAGCCAGTCTCTAGTTTGGTGAGGACTTCGATCACGTCGCCCTTACGGAAGGATAGAGAGGAGTCGTCCTGGGACTGGTAGTCGTAGAGGGCCTTGCAGAAGAAGGTGGAGATGTACTGCTGGTCGTCGGTAGAGAGGCTGTCGCTGTCCGCGGTTGGGGTCGCCATCGCCGGGACGGCAGCTGCGGCGCGCGACGACGCGTAGGGCAGGGAGCGAATGCAGAGACAGGGAGGACGACGGAGGGGACGACGAAAGGGATGTCTGTGCGAGACGTTAGCTGACGCTGGACGCCGCGAAATCCAAGCGTGCCAATCCGTCGCTGACATAAGCACCCCTCACAACGATCCGCACAGAATTTCGGTCACGAAATATAGTTCAATTTGCTGCTCTACACACACGCCCAAAGCAAAACACTAATTCTACCGCTACCGCCTCACCGTTTCAGCGTTCGCTGTTTCTCCGCAAACTCGACGATCTTTCTGTCCACAAACATCCCCTTACGCTCCCGCACATTATCCACATATCCCTTTGCCACATTCGACCGATCTGCCTTTTCTCCAAGATCCTCTAATTCCTCTTCTGTCGTGGGTACCCAGAATGGATCTTGGTCTAGCATCTCATACCTGAACCACAACGTCAGAATCACCCATTGCATAGAAAGATACCTCACTCACCCGCTGAATACGAGCTGAGGGCTCGCTGCTCCAGACGTCCTTTTACGGATATCTGTGAAATACTTTTCATCAGTGCCTTTTCTGAATGCGCATGGCGGAGATAACATACCGTCCGCAAATCCGAAGCTCTCTACTACGGGCAGGAGCGCCTTCACCGTAAAGAACGAGGTGCCTTCCTTCATTTCTTCGGCCACAATCCTCCCACGGCGCTTGGCCACGACACCGTACACTTTGCCTAGCACATCAGCTGATATAGATCAAACACCAATGAAACCATCTGTCAGAATGGACTAGAAAGGGAACCATGAGATAGCAACGCGCTCACTCGAGGCCTGAATGTCACAGGAGTACATCGCTAGCATCAGCCGCGGAGACCAGTCCAGTAGCCCGTTCCTACATGCCTCCTTGACTGCAGAAATTAGCGATCCCGTTACTTGGGTCATCCGGTTTTGTTCTGAAGGTGTCATGGCCATAGGAACCGCCGCGAGAAGATTTTAGGACTCTTCGAAGACTGTTAGCAAAGTAGAAATGTACGTACGACGTTCTTTTTCCACACCATCCTTATCGATCTCGACGCGCTCGACGAAATATGCGATGCCTTCCACGGGCTCTGCACACAGTGGGCCTTGGAATGTCGCAATTTGGAATCCTGTCTCGATGTTGCCATCGAAGTCTCTCGAGAGCTGATCCGTGCTGTCGTCGGCCAGATTGCCCTTCGTCCGGTCTAAGCGGCGCTTAAGTCTGTCCAACAGTGAGCTCGGTCATTCTGGAACACTTAGTGAAGCAGGAAGGAAGAAGCACCACGTACGAGTTTGGCCTTCCATCTTTTCTAGCGTCAATTAACAGGCATTCTCCGGCGCCGCGGGGTCCAAACGCCCAAATCGTGTCCACAATCTCTGCCCACTCCCCACCAGCCTCCTTACACAGTATTCTGAGCTGCTCCCAATATTCATCGGGGCGGACCGTCGGCACATGGACGACGTCACCTGCGACGGCCGCCTGCTCCCCTTCGTCTTCCTCAGCCGCGGCCATGTCATTGTCTACGACCGCGCGTTCGAGCTGCAAGCGTTTCAAAACCGAAACATTATCGCGCAAGAAGCGTACGATTGCAAGCGGCAAGGGACTAGCGCGGATCGTGAAGTTGACGAGATTGAGATAGTTGGTCCCGTGTATCGTGCCACGAGCAGCGTTCGCGGTCTTCGAAGGACCCATGTCTGTAATAAATCAATTCCATCAAGCGACTTGTTGAAACGACCACGCTTCTCGAAAAAAACGGCAGGCGAAAAAGGTTAGACGTACCTGGGGCTTTCACTGCAGTTTCGCGGAAAGGTACTATTGGCTTCGACGCTTGGATTTCGACTTTGGCGAAACGCTCCCTCAAATCTTTCAAGCACCTCTGAGAACCAACAGTGTCTGTATGAGATGTGGGACAACTCTGGTAGAGCAAACGGAGCATACCTCCAGATGCAGTTCACCGGCGGTCAAGATCACATACTCTCCGGTTTGCTGCTGGAAAGTCTCCGCGCATGGATCGGATTGGCTGAGGAGCTTTAAGCCTCGCACGAGTTTCGGTAGCTCAGCTGGGATAGCGGGTTCCAGAGCGACACGAACGATAGGAGGAGCCTGCGTACGAAATTAAAACTGGGGTACTTCCAACATGACATGGCGCGGACTTACCTGAAGGCTGATGCCGCCCAAGTTGATCAACCAGTCCTCCACGGTATCCGACTCCTGAATGCCCGACGCTCGAGGGGAGCAGAGAGTGGCACAGCGCCACACTTTGCCCTCAAGGCCCTTGATCGCAAACACATTGCCAGCATCGACACGCTCCACTGCAACAAGGTCTCTTCCCATCATCGTATACAAGCCCTCGATCTTTGTCTCGACGTAGTGGGGTTTGTTGCGTCCGTGATTCCGCCCGAGAGCATTGCTGTACTTCGGAAGAACACACCCAATCGTAGAACCAACACGCAGGCTACCTGAGTAAAGACGGGCAAAGCCAAGCAACACCTCATCTGCTTCTGTGAGGTCACCTGTAGGCTCCGCATATGCGTTGGCGTCAAGGGGAGGAGTAGGGAGCGAAGCGGAACTGTCAAGAGCGGTTTGACCGTCTTCTCCGTTTTCGAGTGCTCGCTGTCTAGCCTCCTTCGCTTCTCTAGCCTTCGCACGCATCTCGTCTGCCGTTAGAGGCTTCTTCTTGTTCTCCGGCAAGTCAGCCGCGGGGGTCGCGAACATCTTGCTAACGTAGGCTACGACGCACGCATCGTCTTCTCCATTACAAGAGTAGAGATCCTTTTCGAGTTTGTTCTTCGGCGCTATGGTGGACTCATACAAATCCGGATAAAGCATCTTCGGGATACGAGAAGGCTGAGCGACAGGTGGAGATGGGACAACATCGATGATCGTCTGGATGACGGCAGTGGACAGGGGTAGCCATTGGTTGAAGATGAGGGAGAGAAGTTGGCGACTGTCCTTGGATTTGAGTTCGCGGGGCGGGATCTTGAGGTTTAATGTAGAGACTATTTTGTCCACTTTGTCAGGATTGCTGTGAATGATGTCATCAACCTCTGTGAAAGCGGAAAAAATGAGCTGCAAGGACGAACGGATTGATGGATACAGCGTCGTACACCGCCCAAATGTTGTCCAACACAATTTGCACGAATAGTGGCTTCAAGGATCGACCTCGAAGATGTTTGTGACTGATGACCCTCTTCGTCTTCGGATCTAAATAAAAGTCACCCCACAGTACCCTCCTAAATTTCGCCTCCTGTATACCGAGCTTCTTGGAGAATATTTGAGCGAATTTCCCCACCCTGAAGCCCCACCCGTCGATCGCACAGGCAAAGATGACGTTTCCCCTTTCTGGAGCGAAGTAGATATCTTCATCGTCTTTTTCTTGAAATTCCGCATCGGCTGCCTGCTCGCTCGCGTTGATAATGGCGTCGGCTTCGTCTGCGTCGGATTCCTTCTTCTGAGCCAAACGCCGCTCGCGTTCTTCACGCCATCGGAGATCATCCTCCATCCTTTCTCCCGCGAAGAAAGATCCCATGACGGCGTTCGCTTGTTCCACAAGCTGGGACAAATGCTGGTATGCTTCGACGGGGGACAATTTGAGCTCGGTTACCAGCCGGTCGAGTTTATTGATGACAAGGATGGGCTTCAAGCGGTCCTGCCATGCCTGCCTCAAAACTGAAACAGTCTACGACAGATCAGTGCCATTATAATGAGTCTTGGAATGGTATAAATTTCTATACCTGCGAGGATACGCCTTCCACAACGTCCACCAATACAAGGGCTCCATCGACTAAACGAGAGGCAGTCGATACCTCACTAGAGAAGTCGACATGACCCGGAGTGTCTATCATATTGACTGCATATGTCTTTGGGGAGCTTCCTATTCGATTCTGTCACCCCGTCCTCATGGCACGGCGAACACACGCTGGTAGATGCGTACCTCCATCGGCTGTTTTTTCCAGGACTTTGAAACGCAAGGAGACGGCACTACTTTCCATAGTAATACCGCGCTCCTGCTCATCCTCTCTGCTGTCTAGATATCTAATTTTTCCGGCCATTCGCGAAGATATGATGTTATTTGCGGCAAGGAGTGCGTCCATGAGAGTGGTCTTGCCATGGTCGACGTGCCCAATGGTGGTGACAACGCGAACGTCGGGTGCTTCAGGTGCAGTAGCGGTAGCCATTTTCGGTCTAGGGATACAGTGGTAAAGGTCTCAGAAATACAGAGCGGATAAGATCAGGGCGTTCTAAAAAAGTGTGGACGAGAAAGTCATGGTCGAGTCGCTTTCTTGAGTTCTCGACGGCTCCGAGCTTGCCCCTGTTGTGGGGTTAGGGGCTTTTCCATCGCTCGGCGGTGGCACTGTGGCAACAGTGGTTCGTGCACAACCGACATTGGCCACTCTCTGGTACTTATATCGCAAGGGATAAGTTCTGTCGTGCCTACAAGTGGTTCCAACTAGCCAGGAGCATCTTTAGCGAAGGACAGCCTCGAGGCTTGCTCTCACGGTAGCATCTAATCCTTTGCCTATCAGCACCAATTTACCCTCCTCCGGTACACCCATCTCCGTGCCATCCACGGCCGTTATTTCGTAGAGGTTCCTTTCAAAGACAGCCATAAATATCAGGCGGTTCATAAGAGTACATCTGTTGAAGGAGGGACTAACCTAACGCCTTGAAGAACGAATTTCTTTCCAGAATCGGTGGAGAAAAGCCCTTTACACCTTAATACGTCGATCGAGGCATCCGTGCTCTCTAGCTGGTCAGGCAATGTATGCTCCCACAGTACTGTGCGTATCCATTGGTCTAGTTTCACATATCGTGCGGAAGACAAGACAGGGCAAGTAACTTGGAGGCTGGTAATACCTCGCATCTCGTAATGAGTGGGCTGATGAGAGTGAGGATCGTGAGGATCGTCCTGGTCGTGCGCGTGAAGGTGGTCGTGCGAGTCAGTAGAGGCTGCACTGAGAGTGTTGGGATTGCGGTCGGCGCGCTGCGTGACAGGTCCGCGGGAATATGCGCCGATATTGACGACGTTCTTCAGGTCAACCTCGGAGCGTACCGTTCGGTGAATCGTTACGGCTGGATTAATCTGTTGAACATGCCATCAGGGGTGTAGAATCCTGTCAGAAAAAGACGACAGTGGAGTCGAGAGGATCTAACCTTGTGTAAGATGTCCTCGGTCTCTTCGATCTGTGCTTGGGAGACCAGGTCGGTTTTGTTCAGCAAGATAACATCTGCTGCCGCGATCTGCCTGCACGACACACGAAATCGTCACGTCAATGTCTACACATCCGCTGGAATGCACGGCGTCAAGAAGAAAAGAAAAGCTGTGTTCACTGACCTAAGGCTTTCACCGATTCCGTCTTCAGCCGTTTGGTGATCCTCGTCCATTTGCTGCACGATATTAGTTCAACAACAGGTTGGAAGATGCTTCGTAGGTTCGTACCATACGTGAGCACACCAAAGGAGCCTGAAGTACTGACCTGTCTACCAAAAACAGCGTCTACAACGCAGACCACGCCATCTAGGATGATCTCCCGACCAAGACCTCGTGAAAAGTCCTCGTTCTGCCAGAATATCGAGGCAATAGGGCCTAAATAATTACAACCCGGTTTTGTAATAGTAAATTGGCCGTTAAAAAAGGAGTTAGGATAGAGGAACGTCGGCTAGTTGGAGTAACTATCTTCGAATGATGACTGACCTGGATCAGCGAGACCTGTGGTCTCAAGTAGAATATAATCGAAGGCTCCTTTGCGCTGCATGAGCTTCTCAATGGCCGCAACGCCTGAATCCTTAATGCTGCAACAGAGACAGCCATTCGCGAGCTCCAAGAACTCTTCCGTTCCGTCCGCGGTAGGGTCCGAAGCAGAAGATACGTTGATCGTCTTGGCTGTCGAGGGGTAAAATTAGTAATGGGAAGTAAGGCTAAATAGAGCAGAGGAAGCATGTGTACATTCGATATCCTACCGACAGACCAAAAAAAAGACTTGTTAACCTCGATAGACAGATGACAGAAAGTGGCACAACATACGGCCGTGTCCCCAAACTCGTTCATGATCACAGCTATTCTGTACCCATGGCGCTCTGTGAGAATGCGCCTAGACACACGACCAAGGTGATCAACAGACGCTGTCTATTCAGATGGAACGGACGTACTTCAGGAGAGTCGACTTGCCAGCGCCGAGGAAGCCAGAAATTATCGTCAGAGGGACCCGAACATGTTCATCAGGGGATTCAGCGGCCGGTGTAGGATCGAACTCATCCAGGAGGGGAGGAGCTTCGTCTTCTGAGTCGGACATGGCAAGTGCAAACGTTATGTGTCCAGGAGACGGTACTAATGGAAGTTCAACGAGGTCTGACCTTACGAATTATCTAGCTGCAGTCAGGGGGTAAGTAGTAGCAGATGATATAAGCAGGTCGTTTTTGCAGGTCGTACGCACTGACCAAGTTTCGATTACAATCAAGTCGCTCGCAGAACAGCAGTTCACGAACAAAGATGGCCTTTCAATGGATAAATCAGTTCCGGAATTTGCCACCAATAAACGCGAATTTCGTAAAAGGAGTCTGTGTCAGCGCGTTCGGCGCGTCCTCTAATAAACTCAAGCGCGTACCACCACCCAATTCCTCCCCTTCATCATGAATCCACCAACGAACGCGATCAATGGTCAACAACAAATGCAGCAGCTCATCCAAGGGCCGGGGGACGTCGAATGGAGGTGCGTACACTTGACGCGGTCGCACCTCTTACCTTTATTCTTGGATGACCGAACGCAAGGTTGACCGCACCAGATATGACATGCGCCACGAATGTCAAGAAATCATCCCTGGTCTCCTCCTTGGTCCCTTCATCGTCTCAAAATCTCTCGACACACTCAAAGGTCTTGGCATAACGCATATGTATGTCCTCACTGTTCAATCTTGTCGTGTGCTTGGACCTTCCGTTTCTGTGGCACCCCGGGAAAGACATTTGGACAACAATGCAGACTGACAATGCGTGCATTCCTGTAGAGTCTGTGTACGCGATGCGAAAGAGGCCTTCTCCGTGAAACCACGATTTCCCGATCAGTTCCAGTACTTGGTCTTAGACGTCCAGGATAACGAGGAACAGAACCTCATTAGACTTTTCCCCCAGTACGTGGTTTCCTTCCAGTCAGATTTCTTAGCCAACCCGTATTCCCCTCTATTTCATTTTGGATGTTCAGAGCAAACACCTTTATGACGCAGGCGCTGGCTTCTGGAGGACGCGTCCTGGTGCACTGCAATGGTGAGTGACGATCATCACCTTCGCACATTCATCATTGACGCCCTTCTGCCTTATTTGCATGCCTCCGCGACACAGGTGGAATCAGCCTCTCTCCAGCATTTGTGATCATGTTTGTCATGCAATACTGCAAGATGTCCTGGGAGGATGCCCTCCACATGGTCCAAAATCGACGATACTGTATCTCCCCAAATGGTGGCTTCCTCACGCAGATTAAGGTACGACCTTCCTTCCTCTTTAATCTTTAGCGCACAAAACCCCTCGCAAAGTCATCCTGGAGAATATTGGCCACTTACGGACTAAATTGATGAGAATTAAACTGATCATTACAATAGGAATACGAGAGTATCTACAGAGCAACACAAGCCATACAAAGTCGTCCGGCCACCATGAATAGTGGTATAGCAAGACGGAAGCGCGAAGATGATGATGATGATGAAGCCGAGAAGCCAAGGTCTGTCTATTGTGTGTATTTAGAGCTGATTGACGTCTCATCGGATATGCAGGCAGGATAAACGCCCACTTATGGATCCGAACGCGAACGAGTACGATCCGGACGCAATGGAGTCATGATCGGTCACGGTCCTTTTTTCTCAACGTTCCTTTATCTTTCCACATCTGCACACCCATATCTCCCATCTGTATATCATAAGTCCTCATCATCAATATGCTCTAATTGTATAAATTATGCTCAGGGGGAACTACACGGCGGGTGTGGGAGATGGCTCAGGGGTCGTGTTTTACAATGACTTCAGCTTAGCCTTTTCTTTTTCTTGGAGGACCCGTTTTGCGTGGACATCTATGCATGTGACTATTTGTTAACACACATATTTTGAAGAATTAGGACACGATTGAGACCACATACCTCGCCGCTTCACCCAGGCTTCCACCGAGATACCGGCAAAGACAATGGCTGCCCCAAGCCATTGGCCCGCAGTGAGTGTGTGATTGTAGACGACGACGGAAAGAAGCATCGTAAAGAGCTTGCGAGTCAGCGTCACAGTTCTGAATGTACCATGTCCGACATTAGCGTTTAGTATCTCAAAAGGAAAGGCAAAAGCATAGCCTACACAAGCGTTAATGATCCAAAGTGTTGAAGGGTCTCGAAGATAAACAGCTGTCCCAATGCGCCCGTGAACGCGAACTGCGCCAACGGAGAGATGATGGATGGGTGGTTCCTGATGAAATCGATTGCGCCCGCGAGCTCCGTCTGTCCGGAATCGGAGGGATGAAGAACGGGGATGTATGGGAGCGGGAGGGCGGAAATGAGGGAAGTGACGATGGTGCAGAAGAGGTTGATCCATAACATCATCTGCTGACCGCTCACTCTATACCGGGAAAATATCTCGTCCTGGGTGGAGTTCGTGGCACCATCCAAGGCAAGGTTGATCAACAAATAGATCATGCCGATGAGACTGTGCCACCCATCCGCGGTGCCACTTGAGGCTTTCGAGCCGTGCTTGGAGTTCGATGAATCGGCGCCGAAGAACATGAAAGCGGTGATACCGGTGGTCACAAGAGCAACAACGAGATATTTATGGGGGGCGAAAGAGCGACGGTAAAGGACGACGTTCATGAGCATGACGGGGACAAGTTTGCAGGATTTGCCGAGGACCATGGCAGGGTATGAGATGTGGGAGAGGGCTGCAAAGCCAAACGGAGCGGCGAAGGTGATGAAAAGAGAGCATTGAAAGTATCGAAGGAGTAGGATATTCCTGTGTGAGGTGTCTGCCGGATGAGTATGCGCCTTTTTATCCTTAGATGGGGAGGCGTGGCCATTAGTAGTAGACCCGTTTGTGGTCGCCTTGGAAGGCGGTGACGGAGCAAGGCCGAGAAGTTGAAAGAGGGACTGGGAGGAATTTCTCCGGGCGACGAGATAAACTAAGGCGGATATTGAGCTCAAGGCACTCTGACAAGTGCCCATAAAGAGCGGTGATTTGAACTTGTCGGAGGACGAGCCGTCGAGGGTCTGGAAAGGAACGGAGACTGTGGAGGACAGAGGTCAACGTCACATTCTGATTACAATCATAGATATAATGCGTACGTCGCTCCTGAGCGATTGCCCATAGCTAATGAGAGTATGATTAGTGACATGGTGTGTATTGGAAGCGAAATGAGCACCAACTAGGAACATAGCATAGACTCCAGCCACGCACACGGCAAGCCTAGAAATAGAACAGCGGGTCGATAAGGCAATTAACTGAAGTCAGTCGCTAGCCTACCTGACAAAGGACATGGTGCAAACGCAGGAGGGGACAACGTCGAAGAGCAGGATACAATGAGGGCCACAAGCTCTCTGCGCTGCCAGCAAGCGTTCGTCAGAATCGTTATATTCAAATCATGTCGAAGTTTCTAGTGACGTGGCTGCCCGATTACACTTAACCTCAAAACATGGTTTCACTTCGGCTTGGTCCGAAAGGGTTGGACGTATGCGGGGCCACGGGGATGCAGCCTCCATCCAACCAAGTCTTCATCTGCGATATTAGTGACGCGATGACCTTCCTGACAATACGTGCTGCCTCACTGTTCTTGCATCATCTGCGCTCTCAGGCGCTCAACTCTTCTTGTCCCTCACCCATGGCTATACTTGTTATCGTTCAAGCGGTTGGCGGAATGAGAGTCTATCATCACGCAACCTTGCCTCAGCCCGGACTTCTGAATCAGCTCTTTCTGACCGACCGAAGGCAATAAAAGCATTGCCTCAAGTGATTTACGTTTTTGAGCCTCCTCGCTTCTTGCACGTAGATCATGAAGCTCAGAATTTCTCTCGTTTCAGTCTCTCTACTCGTTGCTCTTGTTTCTGCCGAGCAAACCGTACTTGGCTCTGAACTGCCCCTCACGCACGCGCATACGACAAGCGCAGATTCATCTCCGTCATGGACCGTGTTCAATAAGACTATCAAGCGCGTCGCTGTCATCGGTGCAGGACCGGCTGGTCTCCAAGCCGCGGCCGAACTGAAGGAGCATAACTTCGAAGTTCGACTATTTGAGCGTGCTCCAGGCCCTGGAGGAAACTGGCGTTACTCGGACGATATTCCTGCTCGAGAGTCCTATCCGTCAGTTTCTTCGTTTGTATGTTGACTATGATCCTCAATCCTCATTCCTCTCGTCCGTTGCAGTGATCAGCCTCTTGGTCAGAAGCGATGGGTTCCTCAGGAAATCCCTCATGTCGAATACTACACTGAAGACCAAAATGGGGTTAGCCTTGACGAACGCTGGCGGGAGCACTGGGACCCGCGTCCCGTCTGGTACAATCTTCATACCAACTCCCCGACCAGCATTACGGACCTTCCAGGAGTACCTTTCGCTCCCGGCACAGTAAGCTGTTACGCTCGAAATTCATTAAGATCACGGCTAATTCAACTCACAGCCCTGGTCTCCCAGTCAGCATGACGTCGGAGCTCATGTACGGGCATATGCATCTCTCCATGGCTTAAATGTAGATGATGATCCCGCCGTCGTCTCGTATGCTACTCGAGTCGAGCGCCTCACCAAGTCACCCGACGGCACGTCGTGGACGCTCACTTTGAAGCGCCTCCAACGTCTCGAAGAGAGCAACAGACTCAAAGCCACGTGGTGGACCGAGGATTTTGACGCTGTTGTCGTCGCGCTCGGTTTGTCTAGTGATGGTGTGCACGTTCCCGATCTCCCGGGCATCGTCGAGTGGAGCAAAGTTCGCGCCGTAGACGATCCCTCGCGGTACAGCATATACCATTCGAGAGCCTACAGACGTCCAGAGCGATATGCTAACAAGGTTCGAGAAACCCTTGTTTTATTTGGTGTTGCCAATAACCTGTTTACTATCAGACGGTCCTCGTTGTCGGACCAAGTGTTTCTGGATCGGAAATTTCTCGTGACATATCACCATACGTCGAAAAACTGTACGTGAGCACGAAGGTTCGTCATCCAATCAGCCTCATCTTTATGGTATGTGAGAATACTGAGTCTGTAACGGATCACAGGTGTACGATTGGAACACCTTGCACCCTTTCCAACGTCGTTCTTTCCGTCGTTTCCCTCAAAATGCAGAGCTCATCCCAGAGATCAAGTTGTTCGGACCACTAGAGACATACGACCAGGGTATCAAGGACGGCAAGATCGAACTTATCAATGGAACTGTCCTTGAAGGCATCGACGAGGCAAGTTCTCGTTGAAATGACCCTGATTAATTATTCTCACATCTGTGTCTCCCTAGATCATCCTCGCCACAGGATATCAGAAGACCAACCAATTCCTGGCACAAGTCTTGAACGAGTAAGCGTGCGTCTCAAGCTCTCCCGTGCGTACGAGCGCTAACGCCCATTAACAGCACTCGCAAGGCGGACGGTCATCGTCCCCTGCGGCATGTCCATTGGACAGGAAACTATATCCCGGACCCTACTCTTGCCTTCACCAACTGCCGTCCATGGAGTACTGTCAGGTATCAGGTTTATGGGCTGGCCAAGATCTGGGAGGGTACTGCTCGCCTTCCCAACGAGGAAGAGCTGTGGCGGCAATATGACTCCGAGCGATGGACAAACTTCTGGTATTTCTGGGGAACACACCAGTCGGAAGGTCAGTGGCTTTACGCCAAATTTTTGACCGCCAGTATCGCGTTCTGACTCTAGTGTAGCTCTTCTCCGTCAATGGGTAACTTGGCTCAACAACGAGTCACTCAAATTCGGAGGTCGTCTGGTGGATCAGTTCCCACTCGAGTACGTAGATCCTTCTCCGAGTGTTTTGTCAATCCTGATCTTAACACTGATTCTTTGATCGAAAACAGACGTCGCGAGGAGTTCGCCTACTATATGACCCTGGATGTTCAGGAGCCCTACCTCACGCTGGAAAACTTCACGAGCTTCGAGAAAATTCCGGCGTCGGAATGGGGCAAAGACCAACTCTGGGAGAAGGGACAGTTAGACGACGACCTCTGGGATTCCTCCGCTATGGAATACGGTCTCTGGTGATGAATGTTAGGAATGGAAGCAAAACCTGGATCTGGCATATCCGGGTCTTTATGTCGTTCACGGTAAGTATAGATCTTTACGCTCGAATCTTTTTTCTTTGCCCTCTCTGCATGGTGCCTGTCTCTTCACTATGTTGTATCATACACACTTTTCCGCGATGGAACCAAGTCTGTTTTTCTGCCAGTACACTGGCATCTGTAACCCCGCTGGTCAGTGTCGAGGACCGCTCGAGTGAGAGTACCGTATCGGTGATACGTACAGGTGTTAGCGCAGGTTAGCGCTTGGTCTTACGCTCTGCAGTACGCAGATCCCCCATCGAATTTCTTCAAATTCCTATAACCCTCAAACGGACGTCTCATTCGCGTGCCGTGAATACTACTATGTTGGAGTCCGAAACACAATATTTATTTTGGGTGTAATCTCTGTCCCCAAAATCGGTCGTCTCCAATGACTATCAGATATAAGAGAGCCTTATCTGATATATAGCTTACTGCAGCTTTCTCCGAGTGAGGGAAGGAAGGTTGATGGTTCTTGCCGTCGGAGGGGGCCGTGACTCGAATGCGGCTTCGTTCTTGCGTGCTGACCGGAGAATCCATACCGAACCCCATCCATAACCGTATGGGCTCCGGCAGCGTAGTACTGTCGAAGGATGCGAGTACGCAGGATCGTTGCAGGATCGAGTCGTATTAGACCGTATCTGCAACCGTTTAAAACGGGTTTAAAACTGCGATCGGGCCAATCGACGCGTCCCGTTGGGCCTTAGCGAGCTTTAGCGAGGTCAAAAATTCCCTCGCAGATACGGTCTATTGTCAACAGGTAAATCATACAAAGTTTCTTATTCAAGAGCGTTGAGTATGGACTAGGGCATAGTTCTAGCGTTCCTTACTTATATCCTAATTCTAGGTGTTTTCTGTCAAATATTGTCGGAGTACCGCAGGCCTGCCACCGTAGCTAAGGTCCGCAAACCGACTTCAATAGTTCTAACCCGGAGGGCACGTAATCTACAGGACGTAAGAACAGAACAGGACGAGACAATCATGCCGGAGAAGTACGCAAGCTTTTTTTTGCAGTGCATACAAGCCAGCGCTTAGCGCTCTATCAAATCCATCATGAACTCATTCTGAGTTGACTAGGGATGAGTCTTTGACTGGGGTTATATTTAGCACCGATCTCTCTCTTCCCCCTATACATCGGTTCCGTCGAAACAAGACCCTTCTGTACAAAAGGACCACAACAAGGATTCGGGATACTGCATAAACTTCCCTTCTTTCCTTCGAGGCGTTTCAAGAGTCAACACCAGTACTTGCTAAATACTCACTATGTCTACCGAGACAGCCCAAACACAGCCCATACTCATCGTAATTCTGTTCTATCCGGTTTTCTTGATGCATGATTGCTAAAAGCTTTTACAATGATATCTCTTTAACAGGTCGGTGCTGGACCTTCCGGTCTCATCTCAGCCCTCACCCTGAGGAAGAACGGGGTGCCCGTGCGTCTCATAGAACGACGAACCTCTCCCTATGGAGGGATCCGAGGAACTACCTACCAGGTCAGCACTTCCACCAACTCCTCCGAATCGCTTTCGTTTTTGTTGATCAAGATGTCCATAGCCGCGCATTCAACAAATCTTTGCCTCGCTCGGAGTTCTGGATGACATCATGACCAGAACGCAGGGTATCACCCGCATTGCGGCTCATGGTGCCGGAAAGGAGATCCTCGAACTGAAGGAGTTCGTCCAGCTCGCGCCAGAATCTCCTGGTATTCCATACGTTCGTATCTTTTTCCCGATATTTTGTTTCGACAATTCCCATCATGATTAACCTTACTTCGACTCCTTTCGCAGCGCGTTCCCATCGTTCTAAGTCAGGCCTCCCTCGAGGAGGTCCTCCGCGATCATGTCGAGAAAGCCGGTGTCAAGATCGAATGGGGTGTCGCATTGACCGGACTTTCACAGGATGACGATAAAGTTGCCGTTCGTCTCGTCACTGACGGCAAGGAGATCGAAGAGTCCTTCCCGTATGTTCTCGCAGCCGATGGCGGTCAAGGTACGCCTCTACCGCCGTCTTCATTCGAAGTAGAAGGCACGCTAACTTACTCTGTGCTCTCCCAGGGGCGACTCGCAGGGCACTGGGGCTTGCTTTCCTGGGCGAGAGTCACCGTGAAGACGTGCTCTTGACGGCGAACATCGAAACAGACGATATCGGCCACGACGTGAGTTTACTCTATATCATTGGACATTTTCAAATACTTATAATTTGAAGGACGTCTGTGTAGCACTGGCATCGTTGGGGCCAACACGGTGATACGGTGTTCTTCCTCAAGCCCATCAAGCCAGCCCCACTTTTCCAAGTCCAAGTCATGGGGAGGCTTCCCGCTCCTCTACCGAAGGACACCGAGGGCCTCCAAACCTTGTTCAACACGATCAGCAAGTCCACGGATATAAAGTTGCGCAACGCCACCTGGATCTCGGAGTGGCAGTGAGTGTCAAACGAACCACCCGCGAGTACTAAGTTATGCTTTGTCTGATGCTGGTAGCCTCTAGTGCCAATATCCGAATGACCGACAAATTCAATGTTGGCCGTGTGTTCTTGGTCGGAGGTAAGTCGTCCCGATAATAATTCGCATTTAGAGATCTGTCCTGAACACCAAGTCATTGCCATTTCCACCAGAGTGTGCACATTGTCACAGGTGAGTCGAATTCGGAGAGTCACAAAGGTCGTCTGATCGCTCACGCCCTACTCATGAAAAGTCCTGCCGGAGCACAAGGCGCAAACAGCGGCATCATGGACGCAGTGAGTACGCACAACCCCTCAGCCCCGCACCCTGATTGACGAAACCACATCTATCGCAAACCAACCACAGATGAACCTCGCCTGGAAGATCGCCCTCGTCCATAAATCGCTCGCCCACCCTTCCCTCCTCTCGACCTACGAAACCGAGCGCCTCCCCACCATCGCCGAGATGCTCAACAAGACCACCGAACTGCACAAGAACGCCTTCCACCACACCCCCACCTCCTCCGCCCTCGCCTCCGGAGCCCCCGCCGTCGACCCCAAAGCGGCGAAAGATCCCATGTTCAGACCCGTGACGGGCTCGCAGCTCGGTGTCAACTACCGATGGAGCCCTCTCGCTATTGACGGTAGAGCGCTCGGTGGCACTGACACGGACGAGGAGACTCAGAAGAACCCGTACGGCCGTATCGGGGACAAAGTTCGTGCAGGCGACCGTGCGCCTGACGCACCCGGCTTAAAAGAGGTGTCACTGTCAGCGCCTGCTAGTACTGGCCAGCAGACGACCTTGCACAAAGTCATCGCGGGCTGCGATAGACATCATATTATCGTCTTTACAGACGTGGATCATGTGGACTCGGAATCTCTGGCTGCGTTCGACAAGTATGTTTCCTCCGGTGTGGCGTCGACGAGTATTATACTTGCTTCTGGAACATCCACGGGCTCGCTTTCAAGCGGGGAGAACCGTGGTGTCCGGGTGTTTGTGGACGAGGCTGGCCACGCTTATAATGGTTACGATGTCGAGAATGGGAAGACTGTGTATGTGGTGATTCGGCCCGACGGGATGATTGGAGCTTATGCGGGTGGAATTGTACTTTCAGAAGATTGTTAGCGGAGTTTGATGCCTCGAAGGGGTGGATGTAGGCCGTAGAGTGTACTTTTACTTGGATTGAAGAATGATTCCCGTTCGCTTTGACGGCGGCCATTTAGATCGGGGAGCGCCAAAGTTGGGACGCCGAGTAACGCTTTCGGCACATCACTGATTCAGGCTCACCAAACGTACCACCATTTGTCGCCACTGACAGAGCACGCCTCCGTTTGACTAACGATGGAGCAAGTGGCGCCGGCAATTGCTTATTGTTGGGGTGAGCAAGTATCGGAGTTTGCTGAAACAGCTATGGTAGATGGAGCAAGGCTTGAAGTATCTCAGAGAAACTCTCATTTATTCATAGGATAGAAAGCAACTTCGTTCTTGTCCATCCACTGGCTCACGTATTTCAGCGAACCAAGTTGATATACATGAGTATGAGGAGCTATACGCTGCTGACATGACGGATCGAGATCTGCGACGACGAATGACGATCAGCAACAAACTCGTGAGGATATCAATTCCAAGTTTGCGCTCACCTGGTGTCGTGTGAGTAACCAGCAACCCAGAATAAGGTATTGGCGGTGGGGTCCACCCTAACGTAACGGGTGGGAATGGCTGACCACAGAAGCATGAATACAAAGCCGTACATCTCCTCACGGGTGCGAGCATGACAATGAGTAAGTTACACGATGTCGTATTATCGGGCCTGAGCAAGTCTCAAGAAAGGATAGTCCTTTTCTGGGTGTGCCTCTCAATGAGGCAATTGTTACGAGAGCGTGCCTAAAGAGTCGAGTTGCCTGCCGTTCCAGTCAAAGCGATTGTTTCCTCGTGTAAATACAGTATAGATAATGCCGTCGATAAGATGAGTCGCGCCTGGTCCAGATTCCTGCCAACTTGGTCTGCGGTGATGGTGGTGAACGAGTGATTGTGTGTCAGGTTGGCGTCCGCGCTAGGTGTGAGTAGATCAGTTGCGGCCGCTAAGTGAGAAAGAAATGTGGAGAATAAAACAAAGGCACTGTAGGGATGGCAGTAGAGTGCTGTGCCAGTCAAAGAAGTGTGGGCGGCTGCACAGGAATAGGCGGTGGTCGGCAACGATGGCCACGAGCTGTACGACGTGGACGGACAAGAAGGAGAGCAGAAGCAGAAGGAGGATCCAAAAGGAACACGTCGTCCGCAATCTGACGAGCGAGTGCTGACATAAGCAGGAAAGAAGCCTCCGTCCAGATCCGTTTTATACGCGCCGTCGGCCCACTCTGCTTGTCCACCCTCCGTTCCCCCGCCATCATCATCTCCCCCACCGCCATCCCTCTTTTTATTCTCCTTTCTCTTTCTCTAGACAGGCCGCACCTTTTTGCGCGCTCCTAGCCGTCTACCATGGCCATCTCCTCCACGTCTGACGTGGCCGTCCTCGTCCTCGGCGTCGGTCTCGCTGCTCTCTTCCTCTTCCGCGACCAGATCTTCTCGGGCTCTGGCGCAAAGACCGTCGCACCTCCCGTCAAACAACAGAATGGCGGCGGCGACCCCAGAAACTTCATTGAGAAGATGAAGGCCGGTGTACGTCGTCCTTTTCGTCGCCGACCGATCACGCATTCGCTAACAGTGCACACTCTCTTCACTCCCACAGAAGAAGCGCCTCGTCATCTTTTACGGTTCGCAAACGGGTACGGCGGAGGAGTACGCCATTCGCATCGCCAAGGAGGCAAAGTCAAAGTTCGGTCTCGCCTCCCTCGTTTGCGACCCTGAGGACTATGACTTTGAGAATCTCGACCAAGTTCCCGAAGACTGCGCCGCCATCTTCGTCATGGCCACCTACGGTGAGGGTGAGCCCACCGACAATGCCGGCCAGCTCATGCAGAACCTTGCCGATGAATCCTTCGAGTTCTCCAACGGCGAACACAAACTTCCCGGTCTCAAATACGTCGTCTTCGGTCTCGGAAACAGGACCTACGAGCACTACAATGTCATCTCCAGGCAGGTCGACGACCATCTCACCAAGATGGGTGCTACCCGGATCGGTGAGCGCGGTGAGGGTGACGACGACAAATCTATGGAGGAGGACTACCTGGAGTGGAAGGACGGCATGTGGGAGGCATTCGCCAAGGTCATGGGCGTCGAGGAAGGCCAGGGAAGTGACAGTGCTGACTTCGTTGTCTCCGAGTTGGAAGAATCCGTCCCCGAAAAGGTTTACCGCGGTATGTTTGATCCTCCGATGGATACACGATGCAAATGCTGAACGATCTTATGTTGCAGGTGAACTGTCTGCTCGTGCTTTGACCAGATCTAAGGGCATCCACGACGCCAAGAACCCGTATGCTGCACCCATCGCCGACGCTCACGAGCTCTTCCAGAGTCCACAGGACCGCAATTGCGTTCACATCGAGCTCAACATCGAAGGCTCCGGCATCACTTACCAACACGGTGACCACGTTGGTGTCTGGCCATCAAACCCCGATGTTGAAGTCGACCGTCTCCTCTGTGCTCTCGGTCTCCACGACAAGGCCGACGCCGTCATCGGTATCGAATCACTCGACCCTGCTCTTGCCAAGGTACCTTTCCCGGTCCCAACGACCTACGCTACCGTCCTCCGCCACTACATCGACATCAGCGCCGTCGCCGGTCGTCAGATCCTCGGTGCTTTCGCTAAATACGCTCCTACTCCCGAGGCCGAGGCATACCTCCGCAAGCTCAACCAGTCCAAGGAAGAATACGCCGCTGTCGTCGCCGATGGTTGTCTCAAGATTGGTGAAGTCCTTCAACTCGCTGCTGGCAACGACATCTCCGTCGCACCAACCCCCGAAAACACCACCGCTTGGGCCGTTCCTTTCGACATCATCGTCTCCGCCATCTCCCGTCTCCAGCCCCGCTACTACTCCATCTCGTCTAGTCCCAAGCTCAATCCGAACTCGATTCACGTCACTTGCGTCGTGCTCAAGTACGAGTCTGCTGGAGACCGTGTCCCGCAGCGCTTCGTTTACGGTGTTGGCTCGAACTACTTGCTTAACCTGAAATTCGCCACAAACGGCAGCTTGGACAACGCGCCTTTGGTTAGCGACGGCGGTGCTAACAAGCCTGCCGCTGTCTCTGGTCCCTCGTACGCGATTGAGGGTCCACGTGGGGCGCACCGGGACGGTTCCATCTACAAGGTTCCCATTCACGTTCGCCGCTCGACTTTCAGGCTCCCGACCAACCCGAAGAGCCCTATCATCATGATTGGTCCTGGTACCGTAAGTGTCTTTTTCGCGAGATAGCAGTGAGAGTTTGATGGCTAATCTTCTTCTGTGAAACAGGGCGTTGCTCCTTTCCGTGGCTTCGTTCAAGAGCGTGTTGCCCTTGCCCGCCGCACAATCGAGAAGAATGGCGCTGACGCCATCAACGACTGGGGTAACATCTCGCTGTTCTACGGCTGCCGTCGCTCGACGGAAGACTTCCTGTACAGCGACGAATGGCCGCAATACACCGAGGAGCTCAAGGGCAAGTTCAAGCTGCACTGTGCCTTCTCCCGCGAGCCCCCGTACAAACCCGACGGCAGCAAGATCTATGTCCAGGACCTCATCTGGCAGGAGCGCGCCCAGGTCGCGGACGCGATTTTGACCGGAAAGGGATACGTGTACATTTGCGGTGACGCGAAGAGCATGAGCAAGGCCGTCGAAGAGACCCTTGCGAAGATCTTGGGTGAGGCGAAGGGCGGTAGCGCTGAGGTCGAGGGTGCGGCGGAGTTGAAGTTGATGAAGGAGAGGTCACGGTTGATGCTGGATGTCTGGAGTTAGATGGGTTCGACACGCTATTACTTTCCACACATACATGTGGGGAGTAGGAATACTAGCTGGAAGCATGTCTTATTTATGACTTTCACTCCCCTTTTTTCTTCCTTTGCTTTTTCTACTCTTTGCATCTCTCATCTTTTTCCTCTCGTCTACTCTCTCCATCGCACTTCCCTCTTTGTTGTCGTTGACCCCTCACACTTTTTGGAGTACGGTATCTTTTCTCAGTGCATAGCTCGCGAGTCCCGCTACCGCAGGTGCGGTCCCCCTCTCATTACAGTTACGATTTTAGGGCATGACTGTTGCTCCAGAGGAGTGCTGTATATATGGAATAGAACATAGTAGACATGCAAACCGTGTGATTGAAAGAACAATGGCTCTCAATCGACCGTCACAATGTGGAATGCTTGGGCCACATCTTGGGTTAGCCTGAGCCTGAGGGAGTTTGCGGTTCGGAGACCTTCGTGCGAAAAGTAATTACGAGGATGCCGGGGTGTCATCAGCGTCTGAACATTTAGTTCTCCGAATCTACTCTTGCTCGAGTCGCTTGCAGTCGCAGTTGACTGCTCTGCCCACGTCTTGTCACCATATGTTTCGAACGGCCATCGCACGACGTAGTGTGGTTCGTCCTGGTCGCCCTGCTCGTTATTCGACCCGCTTGACGCCTCCGACCGAAGACGCCTCTCCAGATTCCGCCACCAAGAGCTCGTCATTGGATCCAGAACCGACAACAACTCCTTCTTCATCCGACTCCTCTTCAGCTTCATCCTCTACACCTTCTTCATCCTCAACCTCCCCACAGGAGTCATCTTCCTCCCCACCGCCGTCGTCTTCCTCCTCCTCGAACCAGTCTTCCGAGAATGCGCCCTCAGAGAACTACATCTTCACCAAGGAATATCTCCGCGAACTCGCCGAACAGAAGGCCATCGCGCTCCGACACCAAACGGACCACCTCACCCAGTCTCTCTCCGCTACCTTCTCCCAACTCGGAGGCCGTATCAACAAAGTGACCGGATACGACGAGATCGATGCTCTGAAGAAAGGCGTGGTCGAACAAGGTACGTTACATCTCTTATTCACACGTCCGACCATTTTTCCTTCGTGTCTCTTTCGCATTTTTTGGAATCGGTGTGTTTACATTCATAGAGGCTCGAATTACGGCCGCGCGCACTGCGGCACGGGAGGCTAAGCTCTCATACGAAGCCGCCGTCGAACAGCGTTCAAGTTCACAACGCGAGGTCAACGACCTGCTCCAACGGAAGTCCTCCTGGAAGACACCCGAACTGACACGGTTCATGGAGCTCATACAAGAAGAACACATCCGGGAACAAGAGGAAGCGCGGTCCAAGAATGCCGTGCGGCAGACGGAAGAGGAGGTCGAGAAGGAGTTCAACGACTTATTGCGCCTCATTCTCGCGCGGTATCACGAAGAGCAGGTCTGGTCGGACAAAATCCGGAGCGTATCGACATATGGGTCTATGGCGGTCCTGGGCGTCAACGTGTTCGTGTTCTTGCTGGCGATCATATTGGTGGAGCCGTGGAAGAGGAAGAGGTTGGCGCAGACGTTCGAGAAGAAGGTGGAGGAGCTCGCGGTTGTTAATTCGCAGGCGGTAGAGAACGGGATAGGAGCGTTGAGGGAGAGGTTGGATGTGCAGGAGCAGATGCTTTCACAGTTAGTGGCGGCCGCTACGATGCTGCAGTCAGAACGGGAGAGCATTCCCTCTGTCTCGACGGAACCGCCAGATGAGGTCGGACAGGGGCCTGTACCGTTGACGGAGCAGGTTCGCCTCGCGTCAATACTGGGCTATGTCACGTCCGGAGCTTTGCTCGGTGGGATCATTGGGTGGTGGTTTGGCGGTTCATAGTATCATACTACATGCATTTGATCATTCTGCGGTCTGCACAACATCTGCACATATTAGATGGTGATCTGTGATTGGCAGCTTGGGTTGTCTGTTCACATCGTACTGAGGCTGCGGTATACGCGACAGTGAACTCTATGTGCATGAAATCAGCGCAGAGTTCGTCGAATGAAGAAAGCTCTCGCACTTGTCATATAGGAGCTCCCCCTGAGAAGAAGAAATTGAGCAGCTGGACCACGTTGTGACGTTCCATTTCACCCATCCCCACCCATCCTTTATCTGTTCCAGTTCCGCTGTCAATCAGCAACTCATGGTTGCAACTTGCGATAAGTGTGACGACAAACCTCGGGCTTCTTGTGCGGCGCCAGGACCACCAACCACCGGCATTTTGTGCTTAATTCCCATAGGAGCGAGAAGAGTTCGGAGGGAGATTCGATGAGATGCAACGCAAACGAGCATATCACCATCTCAATAAGATCGTCTGGCCGAGAGTCGCCTTCCGAGATCGTTGCAGGCACCATGGGCTCGGAACCACCGGGACCTCCCAGTGAGGGTAAGGGTAATGTGTAGATTTCGTTCGGAAGGCTGCCTTGAGCTATGTCTGTAAAGGATAGTGATGCGCAGGGAAGAGCCACCCGATCTGTAAATGCCTTTGCCGTATACTTGAAGGCCGCACAGTTGGTATATGGTCAGAGAAGGGTCTATGTACGACTGTTGACTCACAGGATCTGCAGCCATCACACGAGGTAACGGGGTCTCTGAGGAGAGGGGTGGGTTCGGCAAGAACTCGAGCTCTGTTCTTCGTCTTGGGACGGGCTGGATTGTTTGGGTCGCATCAGAAGATTGCGTGAGGCTCTCCTTGTGGTGTAATAATCCCCTATGCCACCACTCTTTTAGGGCTATAATCGCTTCTCCGCTATAACAAAAAAAATCAATCATAAACCAAGCGAGCGAATATACAGTCAGCACATACCTGCCTGCCTAACTGTCACTCAGCAGCTCGATCAGTGGGTCAACAGGAGGACACGTACCGCACGCCATATCGAAAATGATGGGGCTTGACGCATTTGCATACTCTTCCTTCCACCAGCTAATAATCATCAAATGTCAGTAGAAACGAATGAAATATAAAGAACGTAGTTCTACCTTGCATACCACGAGAAGAGACATTTCCTTACGCCAGGATAGTGCGGATTACGGTACGAAGCGCTGACTTTCTTATAGTACTGGCAAAGGCGAACGCAAATATTTTAATCGGAGACCGGACCAGCAGTCCTGGTAACCACTCACCTCTTCTACACCGTGCGCGGCGTAATTATCGCGCATCGAGAGCTTCAAATTTCCGGAGGTGGCGACTCTGTCCCCGCGAGACATCCTTGAATCGAAATACAGCTAGGGGTACAGATCGGTTGGACAAAAGCTACAGAGCTAGACACAAGTCTGTTAATATTTTACACTCCTGAAGTAACCTTGTGGCAACAGAGCACCAGCAGAATCGGGAGGAAAATACGATGACCAATTGATGGAGCGAAAGAAAGAAACTTCAACGACGTGCGCCGGTGAACTGGTTCGGACTTTTCCGAGACTCCGACGAGCAGTGGCGAGCCCGGAGACCCTGTCGCCACTTGGTCGCCACATTCCGGCGACATTGAAACACTGACCATAGCGGTCCGACAGGGCCTTTTCACAGGGGATGACCTCTTTCATGATACAGGACCATTTGAATCGCCCAGTAACTGCGGATTGGAAGGATGATGAGAGTACATGCATATTTTGTCGGATCTCTCGACGAGAAACAACGGCTCATATTGTGTACGAGGACGAAAAGGTGATAGCCTTCCTTGGTGCGTTTTCTTCATCTCCAGCCGACTACAAGAGCCTTGTATCATAACTTCTAACATATCAATTTTATCAGATATCTTGCCCTTGCGTCCGGGTCATACACTACTTGTCCCGAAAGCGCACTACGCTCGTATCTCAGAATTACCCTCTGAGCACGCGGCAGCGTTGGGTAAAGCAATTCCAAAGGTGTCCAACGCCTTAACCAAAGGTGCACTTGTCGATTATATGACGCTTTTATCGTGGATTTAGAAGCTGAACTCGGAAGTCCAGCTCTTGATAACACTGGACTGAACGTCGTGTGTAATCAGGAGTACGCTCAGGCTGTGTCACATGTAAGCGATTTATGTATCCCTTCTATAGTACAAACGACTGACTCGCAGGGTATTTATCGTAGGTGCACTTTCACATAATCCCTGCTCCACGACTCAACGCCACGTCGAGCTCGACCCCAACTGTCGTTGCGCAGACATCCTTGCCCCACAAGGAGATGCATCGTAAGGAGTTCGAAGCACGTGAAGAGTTGGACTCCGACGATGCTGCAGAGCTGGTGAAGAGGATATCGGCTCGGTTATGATATACGGAAAAGTTGGACAGCATGATTTCACGGAATACTCCATCACTACCTCAGAGAGACAGACTTCAATATGCAGGAGGTCTAGAGGTTTCCTCCTCGATGAACGGACACCAACTAGGAACCAGACGAATAGCATCTCTGTCCATATCTGTAGAACCACTCAATGGCTCCCATATTTACTTACTATCTAGGGCAATAGATACATGACTCGATTCAGGCTGGGTTGAAGGACCTGCTCTTTTCGTTTGCCACCTTGGGCCACTGCTTACGGCTCACTTGCCTGTATTCCTCAAAGCGCGCAAGTCGAATCTCTAGGCCAGCTTAGTGCGAGAGCTTTCTTTGAGAGAAATATTTGAGAGCCCACTGGTAAAGAGTGCCTGGTCATAAGTTAGGCAACCGTGATCGCAGTGGCGCGTTGTTGGAGGTTGTTGGATGCTTGCGAGTGTTTGATTCTGTTGACCCACAAAAGCCGTCATCGCCGCCACTCTTCCCACGCCTAGCGGCGAATAAGTTTGCCACAACAACTTTGGCGCATGCGTTCATCCCGCCTGAAGCAAACATATCACTTCTTGCACTGGGCAAGGGCGATAGTCAAGATACACTACTCTATGGCAAGCAAAACTCCGCTCGAAGAATTAGTCAACGAATGGCTGCGGTTGGACCAAGTACATTCCAAGTTCCTAGAGGTATCGATTGTTGCTGACCTTCTTACTACTCATTGTTTTTGTTATAGAATCCAAAGACCAGAAGAGAGATTGAAATTCTTTGGGAACATAAAGAGATTGATGAGCTGGAGAGTCGCCTGAGGTGACCTCTTAGACTCGTCTATCCTTTAACCCCGTCTAACGGCTAGAATACATGATCGCTCAATAGAACACGAATTGAGTTCGGAACTGCAGGTGCATCACTATTTCGTGGACAATACTTCCGTAAGGAATATGCTGACTGAGCTGTACAGGTCTCAGAGGCCGAATGGAGGCGGGATGGGCGCGGATGAACGATCTCATCATCATCCAAGCTTCTCAGGTTTGTCACGACTGAGTTGTTGTTTCGACACCAGTTTTGATTGACTATGTATCTGTCAGGGACTGTGTTCCTACGTCTTGCAAGCGGTAAACAACGCAGCAGAGAGGGGCATTGTGATTGGTCATGATCATCGCCATCACTCTTCTCGATGGGCGAAGCTGACCGCTGCTGCGTTCGTCGAGCAAGGTGTCAAGGTGTATTTGCTCAAGGGACTTGTTCATACTCCTATGTATGTCGATTTGTTTGGTTCGGGAATATAGCATCCCCACTAAGTCCTGCACAGGGTACCCTTTGGCGTCAAACAATTGCGCGCTGCCTGTGGCGTCATGATCACGGCCAGTCATAATCCGAAGGTAAAAGTTACTGTTCAACGCTTTGTGTAATGTCTTTTGATCAAACATCATACAGGACGACAACGGATACAAAGTGTACTGGGAAAACGCCGTGCAGGTAGGCGACAATGATCCAGTTTAATGCAGCTTCATTCTCTGACGTTCTACGATAGATCATAGGCCCTCACGACAAAGGAATAGCAGCAGCTATAAGAGACAACCTGCAGCCTCGATCATGGGACGCGGGATCAATTGAGACTTCAGAACTATGTCAGGACAAGACGGACGAGCTTGTACAAGCTTATTGTACTCACGTCGGGTCATTGTCTGTTTCTCGGTAAGCGTCCCATTCACAATAGTCTAATTGACTTAATTGATGTATACCACAGATCTGTCAACTCCACTACGGATGTCAAATTTGTGAACACATCCATGCATGGTGTTGGGCATTATTTCGTTACGAAAGCATTCAAGGCCGTTGGCTTACGTCCCTTCATACCCGTCGAAGAGCAACGTGAACCGGACCCCGACTTCCCTACCGTCAAATTCCCCAACCCAGAAGAAAAAGGTACTCAAGTGTAATCTGTATGAGAACACAGTTAACACATATATCATCATGACAGGAGCACTCGTGCGTTCCAGATTATTTTTACACGCTATCCACAGAACGTGACGACGCATAGGACCTAGCTATTGCTACGGCGTCTCGGAATGATGCTTCGTACGTCCTTGCCCAGGACCCAGATGCGGACAGGTTTTCTGCCGCAGAACGAGGGTATACTTTCCGTCATTTCCTTTCCCAACCTATGCTGATATCTTATCAAAGGCCGAATGGTTGGAAAATCTTTACTGGCGACCAACTGGGCACCATTTTTGCAGGCCAAATCTTGGAGCAGTACAAAGCATCAGGGAAACCGTTGGGGAGTTATTCCTCGGACAATGTAATTTTATTTGACTCTTAACTCTTTCTCTTCCACCATACAGCCAAACTAGCCATGGTAGCATCCACTGTGAGTTCGAAGATGATTGAGAAAATGGCTGAACTGGAGGGCTTCCGATTCGTGGAATGTTTGACGGGTGCGCTACCTGAGACGTTCAGGGGCATTGAAATCCTTTTCTGACTGTTATCAGGGTTCAAGTTCATCGGCAACACCGCTCTCGACCTCGTAAAGGAGGGCTACGAGGTTCCGTTTGGTTATGAAGAAGCTATCGGGTTTATGATTGGCTCCGAAATTCGGGATAAAGACGGTGTTGCGGCTTCGGTGACTATCAAGCCACCTGTTCTGACTGCTAGATGGCTCTAACAATCTTGATAGGTCTACTTCGCGCAGATTGTCGTGTCATTACACAAGCAAGGCAAGACCGCAATGTCATATTTGCGTGAGCTTTATGACAGGCAAGTCCCAATCTCAGCGCTGTCAGGATAAATTATCTTACATGAAGCTTGCATGCAGATACGGCCACTTCCAGGTATGGAGCAGAATCACAGGGCTTTGAAAAATTGAATCAAATACCTCCCGCAGACCAAGAACAGTTACTTTATTTGTCGGCAACCCCCTGTCATCGACCGAATCTTCGCACGCCTACGGAACTACGACGGAAAGGTTTGCGATTATCGAATTCTCTTACAGCCTATATCGCTGACCACTAAACACAAGGCTACCGAGGAGAAGCCCAGCTATCCGGAAACAATCGCAGGGCTGAAGGTCACCTCTGTCTGCGACCTCACCATCGGCTACGACACGTCCAACCCGCCGAGCTACAAACCTAGCTTACCACTGTCGTCGGGGCACATGATTCAGTTCAAAGCACAGAATGAAGATGGTACCAAGATTGTGCTCACCACTCGGTAAGAGAGACTTTCAGCTGTCGCCGACTATCAAACTAATTCGTGGTCCATTAGGACCAGCGGTACGGAGCCCAAGGCAAGATACATTTACCACTATGGTAAAGAATGTTACTGACGTTCGTTTTGTGTGATCTAGATCAAGTACTATCTTGAAGGTAGCGGCAAAGATGAGCGCATTGTCAGCCAAGTTCTAGAAGGAGTTGTCGGCGTACTGGGTGATGAGTGGTTCGAGGCTAACCATAACGGTCTGGGAATACCTTAAAGAAGAACAGCAGAATGCGCCACATGTACTCATAGATGACAGGCAAATAGTAGCACTGTACGGAGAACTAAGGTCCACACAGCAGCATTCGTTCGAAGTGTTTGCTTCCCATAGCAGTCAAGTTAAATACAAGTGACTAGCGACCCATCGTCCTATACGAGAAAGAAAACAAGTCCGTCTCACACGTCCCGGGAAAAGTCCAATCCTCCGTAGAATCTCTTGCTCCACCCTGGAACCCCAGTTCAAACCACGAGACAGTCACCTAAATCCATAGCAGGGCTCTCAAGCCTGGCGGTCTTGAGCGATGCGAACGATGCGGGAGTTCTGTGGTCTCCAATGTCAGCACAAAGACATAACAGTCAAATGAGGATACGTACGAAAGTTCTCTCGACCAATGCCCGGGCTGTGGTGTTCACAGTGGACGTGCTGTTGGCACTATCTGTGCCGGAGGCGGCAGCAGTGGCAGAGGCAGCGGCAGCGGCAGAGGCAGAGCTGGCAGCGGCAGCCTTGGCCTGAATGAGTTGTACGACAGTTAGAGCTGTAGACAGACGACATAGGAGTCGAGACTCACGGCCTTAGCGGCTTTCGCGGCCTAATATAAGGAGAGGGGGACTGAGTATGAAAACCTTCGCACTGAACATATGACAACGTACAGCTTTGGCACTGGCCTTGGCGGCTTTCCCGGATGTGGTCGCCTGCGAGCAGTCATGAGCGGGAGAAATTGCATCAGAGAAAGGAGAAAGCTCACGCTCGTGGTGCTGTTGGAGGAACCAGTTGCCTGAAATAACGACGTAAATTAGAGGAGCATGATGATATGTATGTATATGCACATACGCTTATGGTGGAGTTAGAGTTGGCGTTGCCGTTCTTGGCCGACTGAGCGGCCTGGATGGATGATATATGTTAGTGGACTATACTTGCAGTTCGTTCGAGTGAAGTGCAAAGTTTGCTGACCTTTGCCTTTGCCTTGGCAGCAGCTGCCTTCGCCTTCTTCTTCTTCTGATCCTGGGACTTTGAGACAGTCAGCAGAGTTTCATGAAAAGAAATAGTGAATATATACCGAGGTGCTCGTGCTGTTGGAGGATGAAGATGTTGTGGTGCTGTTAGACGAGTCGGTACTGTTGGCAGCGCTGGTAGAGTTCAAATTCGAGGAGGCGCCTTGCGAGACCTGCAAACGACCCAAACACAATCAAAATTCCGGACTTCAACGAAAGGAGCGGGTTCGGCTTACCACGACGCAATTTGAGAAACCACCACCCGTGCGGAATGCCTGCGGTAAATTGGACTTTAGAGTTATGCTTTCTGTCTGTACTGAAGTATAACACATACCACGAGACACAAGTTTCCGGCAGCTCCACCCGTGCAGGTAGTGTTGTCGGGAAGAACGGCCGACAGTGGGTCCAAGTTGGGCTCCGAGGTCTGGTTCTGAAGGATTGAGAGGGCAAGAAACTATTGAGTACGATTGGCTCCGCGAGCATGCACTAAAGCACATACTGCAACACCGTTCTGCGTAATCTGGAGAGATGCGTCGAAAGCATTTCCCTTACCGGTCGCATCGACCGTGGCCGTGACTGTTGTGGAGCCATCGGCACCGCTATAGAATCAAGATGTCAGCGAACAAGGGGAGATTGGATGTGATGAACGGAAACGTACAGAGCAAAGCTACTTCCAGTAACGTTGAAGGACCCGTCAGCCGCAGCGGGGACGGCAGTCGAGTTATCGATATTGGAGGCCACATCGATCGTACCGCAATCGGCACCGGCGAGGAACGGTTGGACGTCTGGTCTTGTATCAGTATCGAGACGGGTACGGAGAAACTTCAAGAGCACGTACCATCCTTGGTGAACGTTCCAGCGACTCCCAGAGCCGGGATCACACCAACATCAGCAGCAACTCGCTGCGACAAAGTGAAAAGGAGAGCGGCAACCACAGAAAGTTTCGAAGAGAACATGGCGAAGAATCAAGGCAAGTGGAGAAGAGGACCGGGATCAAAGGGCGTGAAGAGAACGTGCAAAGAGGAACCTGTCCTAGAACGAATGGCGGGGAAGAAACGAACGAAGAGGAACCTGTCCTACAAGTGGGAGCGTCAAGAAGAGGTTGGGGGATAAATGGGCAGGGGCCATCTACAATATATAGGATTCCCCTGCGAAGGATTGAGTAAACCACGGGACCGAAATGGAGTTCCTCGGTCGTTGTGGAGACGAGCGGTGTACAAGGATCTTTCATGCCAAGACATTTTAAACAGCGAGGATCCCTAGCTTCTAGTTTCAAAGCATAGATTGATGTTTGTACAGGTCCTCATTGTTCGAGTCAAAGATAGTAGTCGAACTCCTCTGTCAATACGTTCCCTTGATTACCAGATCCTTCCATAGATTTGTCCAAAGTGTCAGACCAATACCAGTGAGTTTTGTTCTGGCATACTGTCTTCAAGAGGCATCGAAAAGGCACCGTGAGTATCGATGCCTCATTGGTGCAGCGTGAAAAAAAGCTTCTATCAGGAACCCGTAATGCCCGGGTATGGTGACCGCACTAGCATGAATGTATGAGAACGTGAGATCAGGAGTCAACCAGGAGTGAGCGGGCTCAAATGCCTCAGCCAATAAGCAATGAGCTTTTGTACCCTTGGTAACACCAACAAGTGTGCTCATTTGGGTATTCCCCGTGGGCACAGAAGGCGCTACGTTAGGTCAACAAACATGTCTACAGGCCAGACTGGCGACATGGGCTCAGAGCCTTTCGCATGGGCGTTCTGATGCTCCACAAAAGATATCAAGCCGTGGCGGCGGCCGTCACGATTCTCACTGGCGCGAGGAAGGCTGGGAAAAACTGACAACATTATCGGGATACAGTCAAAACTAGATCCAAGCGCATCATATCTCGGCGCACAGTCTAAACAGGAAATAGTACAACAAACGCACCGCCGCATCCTCGAGCTCATACAGCATCCGATATTGTTCCTTCATGGGGTCGACAATGACTACGCGCTGTTCTCAAGCCGAGCCTTCCTACGTTCCTCCAACGCCTTCGCACGAGTCCACGTATCTATACTGAGTTCCTTTTCTCCGCGCAGAAGCCCTAGCAACCTATCACAACAATCTTTCATCAGCGATGGCCGCTCACAAAAAGAAATTGACCGAGAAGGCGTCACTCGCTGGACGGGGATTGCAGCCATGATGGAGAAGTAACTTCGAGATGTAGGTGGATCCGAAGCGGCAGATGGAGGGAAAATAAAAACAGATGGTAGATGGTAGAGACGCACCGTGCTGTGGTAATGCTGAGCTTGAGATCATCAGATGAGAGTTTCTTGTTCGTCTTGCGGCCTTCGACAAAGTCGTCTTGAATACGCTGCAAGTAAACCAATGCCAAGAGCACACCGGTGCCAAGAAAGCGGGTAAGTATGTTTGTTCGTTGATCTACGTATGTTCTTAAATGAAGAAGGAACAGAATTTGGAATGTCCGAATAGTTATGCGGGGGGGCAAAACTGAAGAAGCGTCGAACGACTAGGGAGTTCGCTCGGCGCTGAGGAGGTACGTAATTCCGTGCGCAGTACCAACGGAATCCAATACACAAGCCGGAAAGACTTGCCTCTGAAGTGGACCCGGCGACCTCAATTTTGCCGTTCTTTGCGCCAAAAAGAAGACTTCGGAATGCGCGCATCTTGGCGGGCGTTGGCAGAGAGATCTGGCTTGCGTGCTTGTACAGATCTACGTCGGGTGCACTGGGCTGTAGAGGGACGTTGATGTCGGTCTATACATCATAAGCAATAACAATCAGACGCATCCACCATTACTGACTGTGGCGAGAGTCACGATACGGACCTTCAGGAATGCACTCTTCTTCCCTTCCGCGAGGACTATGAACGATAGATCGGTGGGAAAGGAGAACTCGCTGAAGGGGAATTTGTAGGGCAATGACTGCGAAAGCATGACGTTCTGTACTGCCATCACGTTCAACACCCCTACAATCACGCCAAAGCTCCGTCTGAGTAAATCAGGCAACAGTGAAGCAGCAGATTATGCGCACCTCTTTCAACAAGTTTTCCTTCCCGTACACCGCTCTCTGTGATGAGCAGAGTTGTGCCATCCGATACTTGAAGAACTCCCGAATGAAGGTCCTCGTTCTTGCTCTCCGGAACAAATGCACTTTCGTTGAGCAATTCTAGTGAAAGTGGAACAGTAACGGATGTTGGAAGCAAGAGAGAAAGAATGTGCGATAATGCAGGAGTCAATGCGTCTGGAGAAGATGGGGAGGGGAATTGTGCAAGGGTGAGAGAGGGAGGGAGCAGCGAGCGCGTGCGAGATTGCCTGTAGAGACCGCCAGGTGAGTTAAACTCACGAATGCGATGAGATGAAGACGAACATACACCCGGGCTGTTGAAGCTAGCAGAATCCATTCGGCAGCATCCTTATCCCCGCCCAGACTTTCATCTGCCACCCACGATACCAATTCATCTAACACGGCTTCCTCTGACGAGATTGTATCGTCGGATTCGGAGGATAGTGTTGGGGGAAGTGCACCCATTTCGTGTGGACGCGTGAATAGGACGTGTAAAGTGGGAACATCGATGGCATTATCATCTTCAATTTCGGAGTGTAATCTGGAGAGTAAAGTCAACTCTTAGACACAAAACAAATTGGACGTGCAGACGCACGGCTCAGAAGTGAGGATTCCAACAAAGTTCAGGATATCACATGTTTTTGGTGCATCGTTACCCGGAAGATCATACATCTGGAACGATATAGTTAAAGTTATCTGAAGGAAGAGAGTTCGTACGCCACACACCTTGACTTGAACGCCGACATGGGGGTCCTTCGTAAGTGGATTTTTGTGAGGTCTTGTTGGCTTATGCACATGGGTCGATTCCGTAGCTGGATGAATAATGGATGTCAAAATCTCGAGTGGACAGCCTTTTCTAACGCACCTGTAACGCGCTCATGCTTGTCCAAAACCTCCTTCCACCAATCACTTTCACCCGGGACACTGACCGCCCACACAACCGAGCAATCTCTCAGATCGGCATAGTTGATATCGTCTCCATCATCCTCTGCATTCGGCGAGGCGATTGCGGCTAAGCCCCAACCGGCACAAGTTCCAGACTTAGTCTTGGAAAGATACATCTCTGGCGATGGGGACGTGTCCTGTACCATGCAGCGGAAGCGAACCAGAGAGCGATCGGGGAAGCTTTCAGGTGGATGGTCGACATCAAGCGGTCGTATCTAAATAATGATAGAGAGTGCTGTCTCAGTATTCCAGTGAGTAGGAGCGAATAGGCGAGATATGACGACCTCACGAAACGCGTCTTCAGCCTTGAAGACGTCTGAGAAATGTTTTGTTACGACTGCGGGGAACTCATTGTGGGTTTCTGCTGATTGGGCATTATAAAGCTCAAGTAGAGCCTCTGTAGGCGAGCTAAGAGCTTCGACGAGGAGCGACGAGACCATTGGGGAAACACGGCAGATCAGGGTAGATGGTGGTTGGAGACAAGCCAGACGTGACGCGCCAATTTTCGCGCCACAGACGCGTTTGATCATGAGGCGCGCCGACACGCGTCTCGACGCGTCTGAACACTTTCTGCATCCTGCGTCTTCTTGCTACACACATTATTTTCATAGTGCTTATCCTAGTTAACTTTTATCCGAAAACATAAACCCGCACCTATTTCCTCGACAATGGAGGTAGACACTCACACCGAAGAAAATGCCCCGACAGCTCCAGAACAAACAACCGAGTCGGCCCCACCTGTACCGCCAGCGGAGGAGGACGTCGAAAAGACCGCAAGCAAGACGAAGAAGCCGGTTGATATCGAACGGGAGACAGGGAAGTCTTTACTACCTCTTGCACGTGTACAGAAGATTATGAAGGCAGACAAGGTGCATGATCAATTCTGTATGTCATTGGCTGTGCCTCTAACTTGTGTGGTTTAGGAGCTGCCCACAGTGGCAAAGGAGGCGGCGTTGATTATATCAATAGCTACAGAAGAGTTCATCAAACGACTGGCCGAAGCGTCTCAGCTGGTGGCGAAGAGGGAGAACAGGGTGACAATACAACAGAAGGATATCGGTACGAGGGTCAACGATCGCACTATTCCTGATCACACTGACCATGAATAAACTTCTTATTATAGCTTCGGTGGTACGCAGAGGAGACGAGTTTTTGTTCTTGGACGGTGAGTTGTTTGTTCGGACGATCGGGGTGAAAGCCATACTTAGACGATGTGTGCAGAGATTATACCGTGGCCTGATGCAGCTGATGCCCCTGGACGTCGAAAACCTCGAGCTTTGGAGAAGACGGAGACTGCTGAGAAAGAGACTGGTAAAGTCGCTCTGGATGACGTGCCAAAGGACGAGGAGCAGACTGGTGAAGGCAACGAGGGCGTTGAGGAGAAGGTGGACGAGGATGAGACCATGACCTCAGACTGAATCCTATATAGTATCTGTTGATTTTTATTTGATGAGTGTAAGATAATGCGAGGCCTTCTCGTGGTGAGGCGATGGGCCACAAGACAAGTGGTTTGCCGCTGTGGCGACGGAGATAAAGCAAGGCGCGTGAACTTACATCATAAGGATTTCGATTTTGATTGCATACGCGTCTGTACGAATCCACACGACGTCCGGCCAGTCTTGCTCAACGCAACCCACGACGTCCTCACCGTCGAGATGAAGGTCGTCACCACCTTTCATCAGCCATCTTCTGTCGCTCATTCTCTCAAATGCACCCTTAGCCCCGACCAACTCCACCTGGTTGTTGCCAAACTAAACACCCTTGAGGTCTATTCAGCTCAGCCTGAAGGACTTAGACATGAATGCACTGCTGAATTATATGGCCGTATCTCTGTCATTCGAACTATCACGAGAAAAGCACGTCTATTTGTTGTGAGATTGCCTTCACTAAAGCTAGTCTAATCCGCAATACCTACGCAGGATGACCCGGACAATATCCTGCTTATGACGGACCATCCAGCCCCTAAACTCGTCGTATTATCTCCGAAATGGATTAGCAATCGACTGTCCTTGGTTACTGTTCAGACAGAATCTCTCTATGAGCAGATCGCTCGACCGTCTGAGTTTGTGCACAACGTATTCCTCGACCCATACGGCTATGTCGGTCTCGCACACTGCTACACAGGCAAGGCCAAGGCCTTCACGATCAACGATGGTCTGTTAGAGGACTTCTGTGATGTCTTGTGCGTCTTCTTCTTATTTGTATGTCCTTCTGTCGTTTACTAAGTCCCGCCTTAGGGTCCCTGAACTCAACATCCTATCTCTCACTCTGGTATCCTCTCCAGAACAAGCAATCGACACACCAGATCCATCAGCCCTTGCCATCCTGCACCTCGATCACCGCCAAAACATCCAGCTTCTCCTCCGCGATCTCAACATCTCGGAGTACGAGCTTTCTCCTTCTCCATCCCTCATGTTCACTCCCGCCACAATATCTTCCAAAGTCTTCGAGATGGCCCCTGTCCCGGAGAATCCCCCCATCATCGTCAATATCCCACCTCTACAGCTCCCAAACCCCGAAGCTATGGAAGGCACGTCAGATTTCAATGGGGGACTGTTGGTCATAGGCGGGAAGAAGCTACTGCTCTTCGAGCTGACAAGCAAAGAGTTCCAAAGAAAGCACCACAAGAGACTGAGGAAGCAGGAAAGTAGGCGAAGTACATCTGGGAAGGATAAGGCGAAAGCGGAGCCGAAAGAGGAAAAGGAAGGAAAGTCGCGGTCAAAACCGATAGCTAGTGTAGCATGGCCATGGAGTGAAGTCACTGCGTATGCAATACTCTCCCTTGCCACCATCGATGACCGATATACTGACACCTTCTGATAGATGCTGTCAGGCGAATGACGAAGGCACGCGGTATCTCGTAGGAGATGCATATGGCCGGCTTGCTATGCTTTCCCTTGATTCGCTATACGACCAAGGCTTGATCCTTATTCCTTTAGGCGAGGTACATTCCAAACCACCGCGGATGATCTCATCGGACTTGTACTCACCCATATGCGTACTCTATAGACATCTCCAGCCACGACGCTAACGTACCTCGATTCCCAATTCCTTTATGTTGGCTCGCACTTTGGCGATTCTCAGCTCATCAAGATCCATCGACAACCCTACGGCTACACCAACACTGACACGCTTCCACTTCTCGGTATACTCCCACTCGAACCTACCAATCTGGCCTCCTCCTCCGGCAAAGGAAAGGCAAAGGCGGCAGCTGGAAGAAAGTCAGATGGACGCATTCTGGGAATGAAAGGAAAATACCTCGAAGTCGTTCACTCATGGAGGAATATTGCACCCATCTTGGACGCCGTCAAAGCGGATACAGACGGCAGCGGATTGGTAAGTCCTTCACAGTCTGATCTGTCCTCGCTAGAACTTGTATTGACTGCCTTTTTATCGCCAGCCTCACATTGTCACATGTTCAGGCGGCAAGAGTACTGGCAGTCTCAGGGTCATTCGGAACGGAGCAGATTTCCAAGAGAAAGCTGTCGTCGACGGCCTGGATAATATGACAGGTTTATGGGCACTGCGATCGCATAACAGTGACAAGTGAGCATTTCATCTTGTGCGACACGAATGCCTCTAATGCAGCTTTTACCACAGAGATCACTCATACCTGGTAGCAAGTGACAAAGATGAGACACACCTCTTCCGCTTCGAAGGGCCAGAAAGTCTACGCCGTGTGGAGTCGTCCTCCGAATCTTATTTCCGCATGAACAAACCGACATTAGCCGTGGCGAATGTGGGCGACCTGGATTCATCGCTCATCTTGCAGGTTACTTCTGACAAGGTACAACTGTTGGAGTTTGATGCCGTCCTGGAGATATTCCATCTATCTAGTCATTGGTCACCAGAAAGCGGCAAGCAAATCACGCTAGCATCAATAAGTCCTACGCAAGTCCTTCTGGCCCTCGATGGTGGTACAGTGGTGTTACTGGGCCTGGACAAAAGCCGGAATATGACTGTGCTCTCGTGAGCATCTCTGCGCTAGTTTTGCCTTAACCATTTTCTGACAAGAAACTCAGGACTCGACTATATAACGCCGAAATATCCGCCCTCTCTTGTGCACTACCTAACGCTCTTGGTGCCGTCTCCTTCTGGGACTCAGACCGGATCGAACTCGTATCGCTCGGAGGCTCAACACCGCTTTTATCCACCGTCACCTCCAGAGAGATCGGCTCGTCTGCCCGCGCCCGCTCCATCTTGCTACACAAATTCGACTCCACCTCGAGCGAGATGCAGCTTCTCGTCGGCCTGACCAACGGGATCATGGTAGCCTTTGTCGTAGCATCTTCAGAAACGAAGACCCCAGAACTCCAGGATCGCAAGACATTTGCGATGGGTAATATGCCTGTTCTGCTTGTGAAAGTGATGGTCGATGGACATACGTCGGTTTTGGCGTCCGGAAGCCGCTCGGTCGTTGTCTTCTGGGAGAAGGGAAGGCTGAAGACCTCACCGGTCATGCTCAATGTGCGTAGGCTGCGCCTTCGATGTCATTCTATGTGCTAGACTCACCTTTTTCGTGTAGAATATCTTCGCGGGCGCGCCGGTCGACACGCCGTGGTCACCATCATCCGTAGTTCTCGCCACCGGATCCAAACTGATCATCGGCAGCGTCCATGGACTCGATAAAATGCACATTGTCCCTGTCACTGCCGTGCGTACATCTTCTATATTCTACCTCTTGAGAACGTATTTTCCTCACCATTCGTGCATTTTCCAGACACCATTCGGTCTCGATAACCCACGACGCATCGTGTACGATTCCCACGCGTCTGTATTCGCTGTTGCCTGTACACGGATTGAACCAGCACCTGTGTTTGGAGAGGAGGTATCAAGGGGAAGCTTCAAGCTCTTGGACGACATCACATTCGAACGTAAGTATCTCTTGCCTTCATTCTTCTGCCCACTACCGTGCTCATTTATCATAGTCATTGGCGAGGTACCATTTGCAGAAAATACAGACCAAATGCAGGAGATCACGGCCATCCACGCATTCCAGCACGTCGAAGGCAACATCGCCATTTCTCACTATTGCGTTGGATTGGTGACGTATCAGCTGGACGAGAAGGAGCCAAGTCATGGCGAGCTGCATATCTTCTCGAAAGGAGGAACAGAACCGGACGGGACGGTGAAAGCCGATCTGCTTGAGGTGGTCAAGCAGGAAGTGAGCGGTTGTGTGTATGCGTTGGCGTCGTTTGAGGGATATATCGTAGCTGCGATCAACTCTACCGTGCGTTCTCATTATTTTCAGTTCATCTGTTCTTTTCCTGCGACTCATTAGTATTTCAGGTGAGCTTCTTCAAGTTGGATACGAGTGGGACCGAAGCCACGCTGGTTAAAAAGCACGAATGGAACCACAACTACCTCGTCACAAGCCTCGTAGTCTCTGGGTCATATCTGCTCATCGGAGACGCGATCAGCTCGGTCTCCGTCCTCCAGGTTATACAGGTAGATGAGAACGGAGAAATTACTGAGAAATTGAAGACCGTGGCGAGGGACTATGGACCGCTCTGGCCTGTATCTCTGCAAGGATGGGGAAAGGAGGGCGTTATAGGCGCAAACGTGAGTTGATTTATTTGCTTGATGCGGGATTCTAGGAGCTCATCACCATGATTTCTATAGAGCGATTGCAACTTGTTCTCTTTCACGCTCCAGCCTGTCACACCACAGAAGACCGTATTAGACCGTGATGGTCACTTCCACTTAGATGACCACGTCAATAAGTTCTTGCATGGTGAGCACCTGTGCTTCTCGCATCCCATCTTTAGTCACTGAGGCCTCCACAGGAACAGTTCACTCGTCGGAGAAGGCCGAAGACCTGGATATTGAAGCGAGATCGCTATTCTTCACTGCCTCGGGACGAATAGGCCTTGTCCTAGACATGGGCAAGGAGCTCTCACTGCATATGACCGCATTGCAGCGGAACCTTAACGGAGTGGTCAAGGACGTGAGCGGTACGACCCATAAACGGTGAGACTATCTGCCAGACAACATTCACTCTTTTATAATATGAATGCTGATATGCTTCATTGTGGTTTAGATGGCGTGCGCCAGTGAGCGGCCGTGGGCCAAGCGACGCCGACGCAGAAGCGTACGGGTTTTTGGACGGCGACTTCATCGAGCAGTTCCTCAACTACGACGAGCTCTCGCCGGAAATGAAGCGTATTATGGAGGGCAGTAGTGATCCGGAGAGGTTGGAATTGAGTCATCGTCAGATCCTGCATACGTTGGAGACGTTGCAGAGTATGCATTAGTGTGTTGTATGGGTGACCTACTTAGTGAGAAGTCTTGGCGAAGTGTAGAAGATGGTGTTTTAGTTGCTTGTTCTTGCATAGAATGTTTTGTTGTACGAATAAAAGGCACTTATATCATGCTTTACGACATGTATTGGACAAAGCTGTTCACTTTCACCCGAGAATCCATCCAAAAATTCAAACATTCTGATCGAGATTATTCGCTGTGGCAACACTCGCCACATGAGACGAGTACCGCACCAGTTGCTAACACGTGTGATCGAGGGGATCGATCGTGACGTCGATTCCGTTGTCTCGCGATCGGACCCGAACGTTCTTGTTTCTTTTAACTTCCACTCGGAGAACTCCGCTTGCTGGCTTCAGGCCATGTATCGTCAACATAAATGTCTGAATCCCTTGTTCTCAACTGTAGCTATTCTACGTGATGTTCATTATCCTTTGTGGAGTGAAATGAATAAATCGATAACATCTGGAACCACCCCTATGTTCGAATCCTCGGGGTAAATGCAGACTGTCCATGCATTCCGCTGATCTTGCCTTTTGAATACAGCGGGTGACCTAAACGGGACAATCCCAACCTATACTGAGCAGACGTCTGGTGGCGAATCGCGACCCACCGATCTGCCTGCCCGCTGTTATATAAGAGCTCTCGTTGCGCTGCCGGTACACCCTCATCTTCAAGTTGTTCCCCACATTACTCCTGCACACCACTGCTTTCTACCACCATGCCAGCTGGGACTGCAAATCGCATTCCTCACGCCCCCGTAGCGGATACGCACTTGCGTCCCGTAAGGGTGAGTTATAGCTTGGCCTGGGAGTCATCTACTCAACGCTCAACCGATCCACTAATTCCACGGTTCTTTATAGGCTTTCGCCGGTACAGCTGTAATTGTCGGTGGCATCTTCCTCACTACGTGGGCGTACCTCAGCTGGAAGGATAAACGCGCCCACGACGGCTCCCATGCTGGATCTGTTCCAGGCTGTGCGTCATCAACCCCCTCCTCTTCTCTTCTAACGTCAGCTAATGGGCAGTTCTACTTACATATAGGGAAACATCGTTACGCCCAAGTAGCCACGAACAACAACTACGTCGGTGCAGATCAAGTCACACCGCTCCGTCGCGACATCGACGAGCGCAAGACGAACGGCGCCGGTCCGCAAGTCGAGAATAATAGAGACCAGCACAATCTCACTGGTCTTCGTGTGGGCGACATTAAGCGCGACCCTAATGGTGGCCCGATGCACCCTACCCCCCAGAGGGCACACGCGACTGCTGCGGGGCTGGCGTATACGAAGAAGGTGCGTTGAGCAGTAACACCAAGTAATTCGTCTTCCACCTAACGTCGTTGGCTGATCGTTGGTTGTGCGTGCGCGGTATAGGTCACCACGCCGGTTGCGCTGAAGGGTCAGGACGTTATGGATGTGGCGAAGGAAGATGTCTCTAACTAGATGGCTTGTCCCGGGTTTTATGTATGATAGAAATGGACCTCGTCTCGGACCAGTTGTAACATCGGCTCGTCAGTGTACCCTGTATGATTGTTTAGCAACGAACCAAGGCTCCTTGTCGCGACAGAACACGAACGCAGATCCATACTCATTGAAGTCTACTATCGCAAACAACGGTAAGCTATGTCACAAGGCCCAAACAATAGTAAAGATACGAATATCACAGTCCGACACACATAGACAATAACAAAAGGGTACCGTATCCAGCCTCTACACGCAAAGTTTATCCGCCACTTCAAGCACTAACGCCTTAACCTCTTTCTTCTGCAACTTCATACCACCTTCTCCCTCACCCTCTACTTTCGCCCTCAACGCCGATCTGACCTGCAAAACCTCCAGCAGTGGGACCAGCGAGTTCTCATAGGCCGGAGACAGTCGGATGAGTAGCGCCAACGTCGCCGACAAACGGTGAACTGCAATTGCCGCAAGAATACATCGTAAGCGGAAAAGAAAGCTGGACACAAACGCCAGAGGACTGACCGACTTCCTCGCTCTCCTTCTCCCTCTCCAACGCCTCCACAATCGCGCTTACAAGCTCCACCTCCCACTCCCCATCCTCTTCGTCCTCTCTCATCCCTCCATTCTTCGGCTCATTACCCCCTTGTATCCTCGCAACCCGTCCTCTCTGCACCCATGCAGCTACATTGAACGCCACACTCGCCGCGGCAACCCTCACCAATTTATCCTCATGCAATATCGATTGTACCACCACGCTCGTCACGGCCGCCTTCTCCTGAGTCAGAAGTGACCGAGAGATGGACGGCGAGCCGAGGCAATTGGAGAGCAGCCGAAGTAGTGTGAGGAGAGTGGGACGAGGCGCTGTGCCCACGCTCGAGGACATCTGCTCGAGAAGCATGGATAGAGAATTCAAGGACGCCGTGGCCAGGGAGGGTTCCAGGGTCGCTAGACGCCAGACGTCCAGAAGCGGGAACAGTGATGACGAGGGTAGAGCTGTGACGAGCATCTTACACGAGCTCCCAAAGGCGGCCGAGATGGCGGGAGTGGCGGCTCCAGCTTGAGAGCTACTATTAGGTGCTGAGGAAAACCGTTTCTTAAGCCAGGGGAAGACCTGTCCGTTTAGAAGGGCTTTGGTTTGCTGCTTGGCTTGATCAGATACGCTCGGAGAGGATACAGCGTCGATGAAGGTGAAGAGTTTGTCCTTGACTGTGTCCAGAGCGGGAACTTGGGTGAACAGGATGGGGTCCAGAGAAATCTTCTTGATCTCACGGAGGTCAAGCTTTGTATGAGGGTGCGCTTTGTACGACAGTATTAGCTGTAGATCAGAATAAAGGTATAAATGAGGATATTCACGAGGGTATGCTTGATAGAGCAGCAAATCGACTTGCGTACGCAACTCAGGCGCATTGGCACCCTTGAGCTCATGTACCTACATGATCAGATCCGTCTTAGTCATTACCCTCTCGCTGGTTCGAAAATGCAAAAGTCAAACCACATACCTTCTTTCTATCCAAAAAAAATTCAAACGTCGGCGTCGCACTCACTCCATACTCTCTTGCCACCGCCCCGCCCATACCGACGCCCAGATCAACCTTCACAAACGCAATCCTCCCTCCTCCCCTGGTCTTCGCATGCGCCAGTTCCTCAAACATAGGTTCCACCATCTTACACGGCGCACACGTCGCCGACGTGAAAAACGCAACAACACACCGGTGTGTATCGAGTAACGAATGGAACGAAGTCGGGTTGGTGGCGATGTGAACTGGAGCAGCGACCGTGGTCGTGGACGGGGTTTGTGACCCAGAGCCAGAGCCAGAGCCAGAAGCTGTGGTGGGAGAACCGTTGGCGTTGGCTGCTGCACGAGACGCAACGGCTTGGAGGAGGGCAGATGCCAGTTGCGGGTTCGGGGTTTGTTGTGGGACTTGTGGAGTCACTGGGCTTGGGGCGGCTGGCGCGTCGCCTGTTGGACGGCGGAACATGGCGTCGATGGTGGGACGAAGGGATGCCCCGAATGGCGTGGAGAGGAAGTCGGCGGGTAGGTCTTGAATGTTGTGAGTAAATGTGAGTTGACTTGTCTGTGGTACGACGGTCACTGTTGCGTTACCTTTGATCCATGAGGGGATTGATTGACCGGTTAGAAACCCGATGCAGTCGTTCGTGAAGGAGTTGCAGTTGAAGTCTAATAAATGATACTATAATCAAGTGGTTAGAGTAAGTTTCATAGAATTCGCGATCACTCATAGCCCACCTTGTCCGCCGTATAGTGTTGCCTCATCTCGTTCAAGTACTCCTGAAACGTCTCTTCGTCAAGCGCAGTTTCTCCCATGTCCACAATCTGCATCGGTTGTCCATGCTAGACGTTCTCTGTCAGGGTTCAGCTGTCGGTGACTGACTGAGAGCGTAGACTCACATGAGACCTCCCGGGGGCGGTGGTCAAAATACCCTGTCCATAGAATATCTCCTTCCCAAACACGACCACCGAGGTATGCCTGAAAGAAATCAGAGTAGTCAAGGTACCGATGAGCAACGGTATCTCTGTGATGGACCATTCACTAGCACCACTCACCAAATCCCGTCAATTTGCTTCCCAGTCAGCGAAAGCGATAGCTGCTTAGCAAGACCATTGCTGAGGTCGTACACGTAGAGTTTCACAGGGGATGTCATGGTAGAATAACGTTGAGGAATGAAGGTAGGAAGAGAAAGATACGAGGCAGTGTGCTGAGACGAAACATGATAAGTAGCTGGTGCTCAGCGATGGTTCTGGAAAGACGTTGCCGCGTATGCGCGACGCGTCACTGAGGGACGCGTCGACCTTCACAGGGGCCACTGTGGCACTGAGCTATTTCTTGCGAGAGTCTATGTGCCTGGTAGGCCCACAGTCTTTTGACAGGAGTGGAAGCAGCATTTATGGTATACAAAGAAAATACAATCCGTCCAAAACTAGGTCTACAACCTGCTCGGCACGACAGCCTTCTCCTCCGCCTCCACCGCCTTCCCTTTACCTTTCCTAAGTACGTCCCCCACCACTTCTTCCACAGCCGCCGCATCACCACCACCCAACGCATCCTTCATATCCACCCACCACCCAATCATGAATTCCTTCTCCCTATCCCCCACACCCTCCAAAATCTCCCTATATAGCGCCTGCACCAACTCATCCCTCGGCCCTTCCCCGTCCCTGTCCGAGTCCTCCTCACCCTCAGACCCGTCCGCGACCACTTCCCGTGGTTCATTCCCCATACCCACAAGTATACTCCGTATCTCGTGAAGCACACCCGGCAACAACGAAAGCGGGAGCGCCGAAATCGTCGAGATGAGCGTCAGCTGCAGCCGATGCAACTGTTCTCTCCCCTCTCGCTCTCGCTCACTCTCAACATCATCGGACGTGGTGGTGGTGGTGATCGAAGCAGATACCTTCTGTATTTTGTCTAGTAGTGTAGAGATGCAGTACTGCGCCATGACGGGCGAGCTCGCATTTGCGCTGCCGACCAGCGCGGTGTAAGCTAGTCGCAGCTGTACGGTGCTCAGTTTATCGTGGCCGGAGTTCTATTATACAGGGTATATCAGGACGGGGTAGGGCGGCGCAAGTCGGCCAGTTGGAGGGGGTAAGAAGGGCGATAGCAGCGGAACACTCACATCAAGGAGACACTTCGAGTAGTACGGCACAATTTTCTCCAAGAACGAGCCTGAGCTATCCTCCTGCGAGTCGAGATGTGCAGGATGATCGCTCTTAAGCTCTTTGCGCGCATGGGAAGCGAACGTGGACAGGACGACACTGTGTGCTGATTCGTAGAGCTCGCGATCCGAAGAGTCGTATAGGTATCTAGACAAGTTTCCACGAAGATGAGATAATATGAATAGCTGAGAGAGATCAACACGTACGGAAGACAGAGAGGAAAGACAGAAGTCTCAATGGTAGCCAGACTGAGCACAGGAACCAATTGCTCAATGCAAGCCAGGTCCAACGCCCGTTTCGAGCTCTGGGTAGGGTGAGTTCGGGCGTCGGTCAACGAAACGCTGGAGCTCGAACTTGGTAACGGATTTGATGACACTGTGGATGTAGTTCAGAGCCAGGGGTGAAGGAGGAAAGATAGCAAGCCTACCCTCCCGTGAAGCCATCTGCCGCACATATGTCTCACTTGCGTCCACGTCCGCACTAAGCACATCCAGCGCCGTGTAGAACGTACGTCTCAGCTCAGTGAAGCCGCCTTCCGTCTGGGACGTGACCCCGCCAAACTGTGATATCACGAATGAAAGGTTCGAGAATATTTGTAGGACGGACAACGCGACTGTCGAGGCTAACGGGGAATGATCACCCTCTCGTGCCTTTGACTCTGAACTAGGCACCGTAGGAGGTGCGGTATAGAGAACAGCTGAAAGGACTGATTGAGTGATCATGACAGAGGTAAACAGCAACGTCTTGAATATTGTCCACAAAGAGCCTGTCAGCTTCTGGACCTCGGCTGTTACGATGAGGTTCAGCAAGGCTAAAGGAAAAGCTGAACCCGGCAGCACTCACGGATCTCTGGCTCATCATCAAGACCTCGGGCTAACGGTGACTTGCTCCAATCACTGTCTATCTGCGAGGTGATATCCTGAAACCGCGCTAGCACTGTGTGAATAGAGAGCCAGCCTTCGCGGGGACGTGTTTCCACCAATAGTGTGATCACGCGCGCGCAGAGCTTAGACAGAGACGCGATAGATGTGAAGAGTGGAGAGGATGTCAACGCGTTGATCGTGAGTGAAGCTGAAGATACTGGGGAGGTGGCCGAGGAATATGGAATGGCTGACGAGGATGGTTGTGATGCAGTGGGCGAGTGCGTCGAACGAGACTGGACGTCTGCAGGGCCATTCAAAGAGGGGAGGGTGGTGAGAAAAGAGCCGGACTGGAAGGCGGAGTCAACAGATAAGATGAGAATGTCAAGCAGAGCCTTTTACGAAGGAGTGTGTCAGAAGAAGAACTATTGACAGGTATTGGCGGGCGTACGTGGAGAGGTAGCGCTGTCAGTCGGTCCGAGGAAACTAACGGGAGAAACTGAGATGCAAATACGAGAGCGAGTGATAGTGCGTCAACTGCGAGGAGAAAATTAGTCAAACACTTCCATGCTAAGGAGATCACATCAGACCTTCCCCTCGTTCTGTGTGCGGATGAAACTCCTTCTCCCAGCCATCCGTTGGGAGTGTGGCGTAAACATCCATAACCTCCGCCACAGCAATAACGACCTCCTCCTCGGCCCTTCGCCTCACTCTAGAATGGCTGGTCTCGGCACCGAGCTGATGTCTAAGATCCTCGAGTGCGAGTAGTAGGCCTCCAGCGGCAACGAGCCTTAGAATGCCCTGACCACCTGCGAAGCCCTTGATGACGGCCTTTGCCCAGTCATGCATGGCATTATTCACACCTCGAGACCATATAGACTGGGGACCTTGCTTGAGAGATGCAAGTCTAAGATGCGCGGCATGTCGAAAGGCTGTGGAGAGCGCCGCGAGCTTTGTATGGGAGAACGGACGAAAGAGAGGTGAGGATATAATTGTTGCAGTAAGAGGAGTGGCGGCGGTGGCGGTCTGAGTGTGGGAGAGGCAGTGCGAGAGAAGAGACTGGAGAGATTCGAGCGGCAACGCCGGTGACGGCCTGTGCAGCTGGCTGAGCAGGATGTTGTATGCTCTGTCTGGCGCTGCCATCGTCGTCGTCGTTGTCGAGCACTCAAATAATTGCACGTGTTTTCTCGACGCGTTCATTGACGCGTCTGAAGCGCGTCGCGGGCCGGGCGTGTTGTTGACGGCCGAGCACCCTCGAATGCTGCCGCAGACCCCCTCATCGTTGCGGCCATCATCGACCCCACTCTTCCCTGGGTCTATCAGGATCCGCCGACACCCTTGACGACATCAAGCAGCCCTCGTCCGTGTGGGCCACATCCTTCTTCGAGTCAGTCATTGTCCACCCTTCTTTATTGTCTGCTGCTCACTCACTTACTCTCCTTCTTCTCTTCGTCGTGCTGTCTTACTATCCTCTCCCTCATGTTTAATCTCGTCTCGCTCGCTTTCGCCTTCACTGTCCTTCCAGGTATTCACGCAGCAAACGTCCTCAAATCATCTTTCACCTCTTCGCTGTACGCCACCCCGTGTCTTCTCACCATCTTTGTCTCGGGGCTGATGTCTTCTTTTTAGAGTCGCCAAAATCTCTGACTCTCTCAGTCAGTGCCGCTCACCCCCTTCCGTGAACCTCGTTGACACTTACTCTAGGTTCCACCGATGATAGTAATCCCGATGTCTCTGCGAGCAACGCTGCTCTCAAAGTTGTAGTTCCTGGTATGCTCAACGCCTTGGCTTTCGTCAGCATATGATCTAACTGGTCCATGAACAGTTCAAGCAGGGAACGGGCAGACATTCAACGATGTTCTCGTCGACACCGGAAGTTCCGTTCTCTGGGTTGGAGCCCAAACACGCTATGAGCCGGGTTCAAACTCTCAGCAGTACGTCTTCCGTCTCTTTCTGGCGGCATTTTGTGCGTGGCTGACATCCTTCACTACCGGACAGAGGCAACCTGACTGGTTTTAGCATAGGATATGGTGCCGGTGGCGCTAGTGGACTGGCCTATTACGACAAAGGTGAGGTGGACAGCATCCCCGGTCGCTTCATTGTACTCACTTCCGATTTAGTAACCATTGGCAGCGCCACCGTCAACTCGCAGATCATCGGCGCATCGAATTCAACCTCGGGCTTCACCCTCGTCAGTCCCATTGACGGCATCCGTAAGCAATGCACTCGTCCCGCATGCACGACTATATCTAATGTCATGTTGGTTTCACTTCTCGTATGTAGTCGGTCTAGGTCCTTCAGGATCAAATGGAGGGGAAATCACAGGTTTCAATGCCACACCCACCTTTGTCGAAAGTCTCGTCTCCGAGGGTTCAATTGATGAACCCGTCTTCGGTATCTACGTGAACGGCTTGGACTCTACCAGTGGATCGCAGATCGGTGAGGGTGAAATCACTTTCGGTGGTGTTGATGACAGCAAGATAGATGGTGCGTGCTATTTCTCGTGGTATTTTGATCGTCCACTTACATGCCAAGGACTAGGTGAACTCACCTGGGTACCTCAGAACACCCCTTACAACGTGCATTGGGAATTTAACGTATGCACTTCCTCAATTGGCTCACCTATGATCCTGACCATATCATCTACTTTTCTAGGTGACCAGCATGAAGTGGGGCACACAGAACCTGGTCAACGAGTCAACTCCCGCTCGGACTGACACTGGGGTCCTTGAAATCGGTCTCCCCTCGTACGATCTCACCGTATCGCTTTCTCTTTCAATGCGTCATTGACAATATCACTCGTTACTCAGTGACGCCTACTTTGACATTCTCCAGTCTTTCCCTGGCGCCACCCTCGTCACCAATGGCACCTTCCTCGGCTACATGGCATTTCCTTCCAACGCCACCGTCTCTGCTCTTCCCTCTCTCACCTGGACCATCGGAAGTCAAGACTTCGAAATTACGCCTGACAAATACCTCATCCCCCAGGGACTTTATTCGAGCCTCAATTTGACAAAAGGGGGCGTACAGTACTCGTGGATTATCTCGGCAGGTTTTGGATCCTACATGTTTGGCCAAAAGTGGTTGGAAAGCTTCTACACGGCGTATGATATGCAGAACCATCGTAAGTCTCGTTCCTCGCTCTTTCATCTTGACGTCCTCTTCCGATGGACCTGCTCACGGCTTTCACTTACCTTTGCAGAGGTCGGAGTCGCTCGTTTGGCATAAGGTATTTTTATCGTAGACAAAGACAGGTCAAGTACAGTGTACTCTTGACACGGACATTCTACTCTGGACGTTATGATAGTAGTGGATATAGGACACTTGCTGCACACACACGCAGACACTGTACGCTACTGTACATATTATTTTGCGCTTTATGACGCTTTAGGCTCCTGGAGCGCCTAACCTTTTCTTCCAGCGCCAATGAGCCTTCAGTGCTCCATTGAGTTGTGCACTGTAAGGAGAGGATCGTCTCTGATGGTCTTGTTCTGGTTTCCAAGTCCTACTCGCTCCGTTGTCAGCGACTCCCAGAGCACATGAACGGTGGCAGTGTGTAGCTGGACTTGCGATTGGGGGTGACGGAGCACTCCAATACTATGACATATCGTCGCAGCGGTTTGCTCCGGGTCTGCCGCACAGACTTTCATATATCATCCTGGAGTAAATCTTGTCCTTTTTGTATGGTACGATACCACAGAATGCTCTGTACCAGATCATTGACCTGGCAGTTTCATAGAGCAAGTCGATAAATGCATGGATTTATTTGCACGACTGAGCGCGCCCGCCCGTGATCCAAGTATTCTGATTGGTTGTCAGTCGCCGCGCATGTCGTGTGATCTTGGCAACGTTCTTGTGCCACAGTGATGGCGCCACAAGAACTCGTCTTGTGCCAACAATAACATTCCGAATTGCTTCAATTTCCTCCGATCCTGACGTTGCTTCCTGACTCACGAACACCGAACAAGGGCGCTCTGGACTCTCCGCATCCATGTTTGCGCCAATAAGACCCCTCGCGTTCTTCGTCTCCGTCACAGCCAATCAGCTACGGAGCGACTCGGATTCGGGTGTCGGGCTCGCACGGAGCGCAAACTATTGGCGGCTTGTCTCCTTCGAGGAGTATAAAATGGTAGAACTGTGGGCCCTGAAAAAAAAGCCTTCATACGCAGTACCAATCTGTTTTAACTCACCGTTGTGCCATGCTGAGGACTACACTCGTGCACGCTGCACGCCTTCACCCCTGTGTTACACCTTCTACGTTGGTGCCACTCATCTCCCAACGCACCTTCTCTCATAGCGCACCTCGTCTCAACTCCCTCACTGCTCCCAAGACAAGTGAGCAGGCCCATACCGGAACAGAGGGACCTCACATCCGTACGCACCTGTTTTGTTGTCTATGCTCAACAATGATGTTCAACGAAGTTTGCCTTCTTGTAGGGGACTTAGCGGCCCGCCCTTCCGCCGACGCAGAACGGTCAACGTCTAAACCACCCACGGGAAATACGACGGACGAGGTCCTATACCGAGGAGACTGGGTGCTCTTCCATCCTGTCTATGCTCCTGATGAGCTCAAATCCGTTGAGGTTAGCTGCTGTTTTTCTTGTGTCGTGTCCCGAGGCTGTTAAATCGGCATGGTGGCTTGGCTGAGGCATGTTTCACTTACTGAGGTATGTTTCATTTATGGTACAGGTCCTCCATCGAGAGCCTACGACACTGGCGGATCGTAATGCGAAACGCTTCATGCGGTTGTGTCGGTACGTGGCCTTTTAACTATTATTTGGCTGCCTCGACTTATGGGAGGTCACTCTGTGGCGCAGAGTTGGCTTCGATATCGTCTCTGGCTATCGCCACAAGCCTATCCCTCCGGATGCTAATATGTCCCTCGAAGAACTTCGCAAGAAGGGTTATGCCATGGATGAGCATGCTTGGCTGAACGTACGCAAGCCATTCATCTCAACATTGAACCGTAATGAACTGACTTGGTGCTCTCAGCGTATCCTGTTCTTGGAGTCGATAGCAGGCGTTCCCGGAATGGTTGCAGCGACATGTCGCCACCTTAAGAGTCTACGACTCATGGTATGTCCCTTAGGACCTGGAACATTCCGTATCTTCCCTCAGTGAACACGTCACAGCGTCGCGACTCCGGCTGGATCCATACACTTCTCGAGGAAGCGGAGAACGAACGGATGCATCTCATGTGTGTCTTTTTCTGTGGACCATCACTTCTCCTGGTCTTTACTTACCCCGTTTATCTTTACCGCAGGACGTTCATGACTCTTCGTAACCCAGGCTGGTTCTTCAGGATGCTGATTCTTGGCGCACAAGGCGTCTTCTACAACATGTTCTGTACGCCTATCTCGCACACTTTTTTCACCACACACATATACTTACTGACGGATATATCACCGAACGAACCTAGTCTTCTCATATCTCATCTCTCCTCGTGTATGTCACCGCTTCGTGGGCTATCTCGAAGAAGAGGCCGTGATCACCTACTCCCGTTGCATCCAAGAAATGGAAGCCGGACGGTTACCCCTCTGGTTCGTCCCTCCTCTTTACTCTTCCTCTAGCATCCTGACTAAACTAATCGAAAATGCAATTTACCATTTACAGGAGCAATAAACCCGCTCCTGAGATCGCGAAGGACTACTGGCGCCTCCGCCCAGACGCGACGATGCTCGACGTCATCTACGCCGTTCGCTCCGATGAGACCTCGCACCGCTTCGTGAACCACTCGCTCGCCAACCTGGGCAAGGACGACGTGAATCCGTTCGCGTTGAGGGAGCCGGATATGCATGTGAAGGGGAAGGTCATCGAGTTCGATAGGGACGTGGCGGCGAAGTATGTGCAGGATTCACATGATATGCTCGACAAGCAGAAGAAGGCGGTGGATCATTGAGCGGCGACTACGAGCGGGCTTGCTTAGGAAGATTATTGCTTTGTACTTTGGCCGGATTCTAGGGGATGCGTCGGTTTGCTTTCTCGTTATCGTATTTATTTTCATTTTTGCTTTGTGACACCACCACTCATACTTACACACTCTCATATAATCCTGATCTCAATGAGCAACCTGCTCCCTCGTACTCTGTTAGATGGCTTATGAACAATGTTCGCTGTGGATATTCTGAATAAATGGTCGGTCATAGCATCTCGGAGGTATAGACATATGCACCGAGAAAAGGGGCAAAGTGGATGAAAAGGGTATGTTACATGGTGGATATTATGATATCTGTCAAAATTGGTGGCCGTGGTGCAATGGATATGCTCGTCCTTTGCACCACTAGTCATACTTGGCTTCCAAACAACGAGCCACTTCTTCGGTCATAGAGTCGATCCATGTGAATTGGGAAGGGTATATATAGTGATGTACAATGGGATGTTGCAAGTAAAGTGTATCCAGACCTAAATCGCAGCAGAAATCAACAAATAATTATTCCTCAGTTCGTTTCGCATTCGGTGGTAGCCTGACTGGCTTGCCCGCATCCCTCAACTTATCCTCTCTTTCCTTCTTCCCCCTTACTATCTTCTCGATCTCCACGTTCAAGGCCCAACACCAGATATCCCTTTCTACCCTGCTCCGGGCTCGGAAGACCAACCACTTTCTTTTGTCATCAAGCGCGGGAAGTGCTGCTCTGGTCTCTCTGGCCGACTGCGCAGAACCCAGTCCAGCACCGACAGAATGCGGATAGTAGGAAACGACGAAGAGCAGGTCCTCTTCGCAGTCGTCACTCTCTAGTCCGTCCTGATAACGGCGCGCGACGGGAGGTTTGTTCAAATCGTGTTGGTCCCGGGGGAGTAATTGTGTGGCAAAAAGACCAGAGACAACACATGCGTCCAGAAGATTGAAAGCCTTCGTACGGACATATCGTGTAGAATGTGCCTTGATGTGATATTGCACGAGATGTCCCCCGACGAGGAAGAGTTGCACCAATCTAAGTCAGGCAGAATGTATTATGATCTGCGTCATACGTGAAATGGCATATGCGTGTTCACTCACTTGTACTGCCCGCGTATGCCTTGCCGCATGAAGATTCGACCTGTCTTCGTGATAGAACGGCAGCCGTCGATGACACACCAGTTGTACAAGGAACCGAGGTAAGGCAGGACAGCATTGGGATCTGCAGCGGGTTCGGGGGGCGCAAGTTTGTCCTCGTCATGCCACTTGCGGTGAGGAGTGATTCTCGGTCGACCTATCGCAAAGTGCACTACATCCATTTCTTGCCGAGCATCGATGTGGTGCCTCCGCTTCCAGTAACGCATCAGCACTCGTAGGTGTTCGATCCATTCAATGGCGACCTTCGCAGAATGTGCCTAAGGAAGTGTACGCGGGTTGTTGAAGCATAGATCACATATGCCGATGAAGAGTACTCACTTCGTAACGCATGACTTTGCCCGTTTGCAGCAGTAACTCGAACCCCCTCCTCATCTTTGCACGATCCCGCGCAGCCCCGGGGTCCACCTTCGACAATCCCTCATCCCCACCAACATCCTCCTCGTCCTCCGGTAACCTCTCCACTTCAACAGGCCCGTCATCGTCTTCATTCCAAAGCGGCCGTCTACTCTCCTCCACAGCTTCGCTGGCAATCGGCACAGGAGAAAAGGCTCTCCGTACTGCGACGATGTCCCTCAAGTCCATAACACTCCGCGCATGGAAAACCTGCGACGTTCCTCGTCGGACCTCTTCCTCGCGCAGAGTAGAGTGGAGATTCTCAGTGTCTGGACCGGGTGGCTGAGGGGCTAGACCTGGAGGTTTTGGAGGATTGGCGTTCGAGGGGAGCAGGGAGAAAAGAAGACCGTCGTGGGTGGCGAGGTAGACAGGCTGATGTTTTGATGCAGCGACCTTGATCCGAGTGAGATACCCCTCGATGCCAGGGGGCTCAGTCACAAATGTTCCATCTTTGAGATGTAGCTGAGTGGGGAAATGTTCCCCGATGCGACATTCCAGATGGGCTGCTTTGCCCGCCTATCCAATTTTAGGAGTGTTCATCGTAACTCACGTTGCAGGAGTAGAAATAGCACCGACCTGGCCGAGAGCTAGACCGGCGAGTACAGCCCACTTACGCTCATGTCCCAACACGTCGTCTTCCCATACCACCCAATCAAGCTTTGTGTCCATACGCCACGAAAGCTGTAATCGCGCCCCTTCCGCTATCCGGCGCTGCATGATGAGGCCCCAGTCTTGAATAGTGCTGAGCGTCTTGACGCACAACTCGATGAGATTGTCCCGTTGAAATACTGAATAATCCAAGTCCTGACCTCCAGGACCCGTAGACGGGACGTCGACCTTGATGCGCGTATCGGAGGCAGGGTTACGCAATTCGACGAAGGGAGGAAGTTCACCTCCAAGGTGTCGCCTTTGTTTGGATTCGTTGTCAACGGAAGTGGGCATAAACAATACAAACTCGAATAACTGTACCAGAGTCGCCACGTCCAGTCAATCGCACGGGATCGACTTCTAACTTTAAAGACGAAGATATTGGTGCCCTCCTTCTCTCGGTATAGATGCCAGCGACCTCGAGTTGTCTCGGCATGAACGGAAGTGGGTCGACAGGTGATGCAGAACGTCAAATCCGCGAACGAATACAGGGAGAGCTTGGTCGTCAATTCCTTCAGCGGAATAATGAAGGCAAGATGTTTGTGGCCAGTAATGAATTCCTTGCCGGGTATCGACTATTTATGAGAGGGAGAAACATATGCCTTGAGACGATCAATCCAAAGAATTTATTTTGAAGCGAGCCCTACATGATTCTCATAAAGTTCTACTCGGTTTCGGCGCCACACAACCAGAAATTCGCCCCAATCTTCGTATTGCAAGTGTTGTGAAGACCTATTCTGCGTTTCATCGAAGTGAGAGCCTATGTTCTGCTCTTTCGAGTAGCTAACACGAACAATCATTCGATCTGGCCTCAAAACAGATGTCAGCAGGAAGTTGCAGCCTATATATGTGACGGTATCTTACCTTGCATAGTCACGCCTTCAGTAGGGACAGCTTCCGGTGGAAGATTCAGGCCACCCGCAGATTCAGCAGAATCATTTGAGTCCTGAGCCGCTTGCGCACTGGTGCCTCGTATATCAGACCCGACCCGGGCAAGGACCTCTGCAGGCGATACTGGGGTGTCGGAGGCATCATCCGGGTAATGCACTGTTTTCTTTCCAGTCGCGGGATCCCTGTCTTTGCGGAAGGATGAGACACGTCCACCGTCTACATCTTCATTTCGAGCAGCAACGCCAACTGTATGGGCTCGGTTGGTTGGCCTAGGTTCGGCAGCAATATTAGGGGAGCCAAGTAAATGTGTCGTGGACTGAGAATGATGGATATGATCCAAGTCAGAGTCAACTCGGGGGCTATCTGGAGTAACGACAGCCATTGATGATTCTACATCCCGCCGAGAGGATTCTTGAGGGTGGCTTAGGTGGGATCGAGCGGTGACAAAGCTATCACGAGGGGTGGCAGAAGAAGACTGACGAGTAGACATAGAGGGCCTTTCGATTTGTATCGAGGGAGCAGAATGGGAGGAAAGGTGAAACTCGCTTGAGGATTTGGTGCTCCGAGGACGCTTGCTATCGAGCAGGTTTACCCCCAGAAAGTCGCCGACTTCGAAAGAACTTCCTATCCACCGTCCACGGGTCGCATTTGGGTCCTTCTTGTGATGCTTCCAAATCTGTCCCCACTCGCTTTCCTTCCACCGTTTCACCATCTCGTTCCGAACATTCTGGTCTTCTTGCTCGCCCCAATCCTCCTCCCTCCCACCGTGCTCGAGGAAGAACTGGAAAGCGTGTTCGCCGATCACGTCTTTGAGCTCGTCATCACCGTCGCTTGGGGATGAAATGCGGTTATATAGACCAAGAAGACCTCGCTTTTTAGGCGGAGGCTTGCCTAGAGGCGTCCCGGAAGCAGCAAGGACGTGTTCAGGCATGGGGCCGACGAACACACGACGACGACGGTGCTGATGATTGACCGTCTCCACCTTGAGAGCCGGGGTTGCCGTGACTGGGGGAGGCATAGTGTGCGGTGACGTATTGGACATGGTGGTAAGATATCGAGAGAGCCACCGACTCAGTTACATACTGAGCGTCGTCAAACAAGCATCCTCTTATGTATGTTCTAAAAATAGACTCACAGAGGCCACATTCGAGATAAGATTAGATCTCCGGAGGCCAATGAGCGCCGATCAAGGACTTGGCGCCGCCACTGATCCCCCTGATCTCGCCCTTTCCTTCTCCCAAGATGTCCTTAGACTCCCACGCGAAGCTGCGAGTGAGGAACACCCGCTTCGTCCCAAGATGTCCTTGCACTGGCGTCTTGGCGTCTACATAGTCAACCGATTTTGACCATCTGGGATTTAGAAACCCCCGTTTTGCATGAGCGCTGATTGATACGAGACCGTTGTTGTGTTCTATGCGGGATCATATCCATCAATCAGGCCGATCCCTGAGTGATATATTCGTCGTTGTAGTGATTGCAATTGAAGAGCCAGAACTTTGACAATCCTGATTGAAACCACATTGATTTTCACACAGGGCTGCACTAGAATCGGAGACCCAATGTTCACTTATTAAATGGTGACTCGTCCGCCTCCATCACCATCTTTCTTGCCCCACCTTCTCAACCTTTACACAGACTAATCACTCGACGTTCCTCAGCATCTCAATCTCCGACGATGACATTGCCCTTCAACTCTTTGCGCGCAAAGAGGGACGTATTATGGAGTAGGATAAGGCACAGCGACAAGACCCCGTGGGTTATGGCTTGCACTTTTGCCGTCGTATTAGCTGTCGTTCTGGGAATACCCCTTGGTTGGAGATTCCGAGGAAGGGAGCTGAATATTGAGCTTCCTTCCAGCTGGGAAGGGAGAACTGTGAGCATAAGCCCTGTTGTCGGTCAAGTTGCCCGAGCTCATCGATTGGTATTCAGCTTTCCACTGAAGTTACTCTCATCGCCGCAGATGCATCGGTTGGGACGGCGACGTTCCAATGGTATATATACGGCGATACTTGCATCACCCAGGCTGTGAAGGCCGGCCAGGATATCACAGATACCAATTGTCCTCTTGTCAATGTCTTTCTGGACCCGTAAGATATTGCTGGTCCGCATCCAAGTAATCTGGCTAACCGATAATGACAGGAACTCCATGACCGGCAGCTCCGACTCTAACTCCCCCGCCTCTAACAATCGGCCAAACCAACCGCTCTTTCAATTCAATGCTACCGCCTTCGAATATGACTACTTCTCCAGTTTTGCGATGTTCCGGACACAAAGTACGCCGCATCGATTCTTTCCATCGATTCTTTTCTGATGATTATTAGTGTATCTGGCGTCAAGAGAAACGACACTGGAAGCCAGTCTAGAAAACTACCCATTCGACAAGTCAATCAGCGTCGTTCGTCAACTGAACTAGCCATGCTGACCTACTCTTAGATATGTGGTCTCACCCTGGATATTTGCCTCTTTGAATGCCACCGGAGAAACAGTTGGAATATTTATTGGATCCATGAATGGTATCGCAGTGTGCGTCTGAGACAGTGCCTTAGCGCACTACACCCCACTGATAAACTATTTTTCTGAGCCAGTGGCTTCCAAGCGCACGTGAAGAATAACGACTATACATACAGCGATGACACAACGGAAGTCTATATCACTGTCAGCCGGTCGACACTCGTCAAGACCTACGCGATCACCGTCGTTATGACCATGTGTACGTCCTTCTAGTGTTGTCGTTTACCTAGGTATTGATTTGGAGAGATAGGGCTGGTCACTCTCGTGCTGCTCGCTGTTATGGTGAAGGGCGTTATCATGGGAAAGGGTCAAAAAGTTGAAATCCTTGTTTTGCCCATCACAACACTTTTTGCCTTCACGTCTTTGAGAACCACGATGCCAGGTGCACCACAATCCTTCGGTGTGTAACTCTCTCTGGAGCTTCCTTTCATATACGAACTCAATACTCGTACGTATGCTTCAGGTGTGATTATCGGTACGTCATATTTCCTGGCTCATCCCAGCCCTGGCTCCGGATAATGACACTCAACTACAGATTTCGTTGGCACATTGCCGAGTCTCGTCTTTCTGGCGCTCACCGTATGCATCGATCTGCTCATGGACCATGTTATACGCTGATGTCTCCCACACCAGTCTTTGTTCTGTCTTATACCGTTCCTCTTCGATCATGATCCCGAGGAACCACGGGGTCATCATTCCAAAGACGCCGCGGAAGAGAATCAACCCAATGGCGGCAGGAATAACAATGCTCGTCCCGGCTTCAGGTCTCGACGAGGAGATAGCGGACAATATATCCCGCTCTCTTTTGACTCGTACGAATCGACGGTCGTCAATCAAACACCGGGGAGTATGTCCAGAAAGAATTCCGACTACTATGACCCGTACAGCAGAAAGTCGTCGAGCAACATCTACCCCCCCAAATGGACGACCTCTCGTAACAGCCTTGATCGCATACTCTTGACACGTATGGAGTCACCGGGTGAGGTTCAGACTGCCGGGGCGGATGCGTTTTCCGACAGGCCAGTCGGGGATCACGTAGGTACACCTCCTTCATCTGCGCCTCTGCCGGGACCTCGAAAAGGTTGAAATATATTTTCTCAATTCTTCGTGTGACATGTGTTAATTCCTCTGTCAATCCATAGGCTCGCAGAGAGTGTTCTCGGTGGCTTCAGAGTCTGCCCCTCTTCTGACGGGACCACGAGAATCGGTGGCGTCCTCTCAGTTTGGCCCAGTACGCAGGGACACGAGTGATTCGATATTTGAAGGCGGCCATAGAGGTGAGTCATCCTTCTATGAGTAGTCGCACTGCATCACTGGCCCTTAATCTCCACACCATATCGCCTTAGGTTCCCATCCACTACACGAGGCGTCCAGAGACTCTGCCACTTACGAGGGTGTTGTAGCAGTCCAAAATGCTTCCTCTTAGTTTTTTTTCTGTCCTTGTCCACCTAGCTCGGACCGAGCTCTGTGAAATATTTAAATGCTGCTTCCGCATTCATCCTGATGAGTCGCCACCTTATGGTCACGAGCACTAGTTCTACGACTCTGTGTTTGATCTCCCCTTTCGGAGGCCCCACGAACACTCACTATCTGGCGTCAGACCGGCACCAACATCTTCGAGGGCTTCGGTTGCTCCAGACGCCCGAGTCACATTAGAACGCATGAGCTCCTTGTCCTCGAATCCCCGATCGACGAGCGCACCCTCGTGCATCGAGGGCAACATAATGCCTCGAACCCTTCTCTGAATGAGATCACCCTCGGTAGTATCCCTATCACAGGTCGTAAAGAGGGTAGTGGGAATAGCACCCAGGTCTTGGATGACTCGTCCAATTCTGTCTCAAGCATCGATGGGCAAGATGTCGATGACAGGTCGGGGATTGAGCTGTATACGAAAACAATAGACAATAACCCGAACGGACGAAAGTCATCAGAGGGACCAGTCCGCACGGATTGTGCTTCTCACGATAGCCTCCATGGGGTTGTTCTTGCACGCAGAAGATCGTCTGGAGCAGCCGCAGCTCCAAAGGTCTGTAGACGGCTTGGTCGATTTAGATTCGTGATCGAAACCTTACGTCGATGCTCCTGGCCCTGTACAGAGCCTTGACCTTGACACTATCATGAGTACCAGCTAGCTACGTGGACGCCACTAGTCCCGATAGCAAGACACTGAGGATGTCAGAATTGCAAGGTGATTCATGAAGGGTTGTGTTCTGCGGTATGCGATCTGCGAGTGTTGGTGGCAATACGAAAGCAGATGATATAGGTGTACGAATATGATATATTCCCGTATGTGAGGAACGAACCTATGATTATGCCTTTTTTGGCTGGGGACAACGTTTCCAAGCCAGCAAATTTGCATGATCCTTTGTGACGAATGGTACCAATATCATAGATCGGTCTTAGCACGGTCTCAAGTCACTCGAAGCGTGGCATATTACATAGGATACTACTACCAAGGTTGTGAATCGTTGAGACGAATTCCGGACGCGTTAGAGTCCCAAGCTACATAAGCTATTCGCTATACAGGGAGTATGCACACACTTTGTCACGATACAAACACACCACAATCGTTATACTTAGGGCATTGCCCTATCATAGGTCAAAAGAGAGATCGATTGCTCCAAACGTACAGCCAGCCACATGTGGCAATATGGAGGGATTATTCAAAACATAAGCAAAAGCGGTGGGCACTCATACCAAAAAGGAAGACAAAATATGATCCAACGGAGCACTCAGCCATCCACCTCGCTTCCCCTTGTCCTTCTCAGCTCCTCGAGATGCCTGATAGTATTGGTGAACATCGTGCGCATCCTAGAATGGGTCAAAGGCTTCACTACTAGGGCTTGTCGTGGTCGTAGATCACCTTCTCCCTCGTCGACGTCGATCGCGTACGTCGCCTTGGGCGCTCGAGCCATTGTGCCTCTCTCCGAGACATCCTTCAAAAAGATAGTCAGGAGGTCAACCACAGGTTTAGAAACATGGTACTTCAAGAACGTGTCGTATGTGTCGACGATCCTCAGGGGCCTTGCAGATTCCCTCCTCTCGAGAACAGTCCTCACGGACAACGCCCCAAAGCATTGCCTAAACAGATCGTCCACAATCTTGCGACCGGGATGCGCTGAACCGACCGTCTTGTCAAGGACGCGACGCATGATCGCGTACACCAATACCCAAATAAAGGACTCCAAATCGTGATCGATCCTGTGTTCGATGATCCTGTGTTCATATGTCGCCCGCAAGATATCGATAGCCATGAATTGAACCGTTCCCTGCGGTAGACAAAGTTAAAGACAACTGTAGTAGAGGAATACGGGAAAATTGCATTACCGTCATCATAGCACCTCGTTGAGCGGCCTCACTTGTACGAACGAAGGCCGGTGGATTCTTGAGAGCATTTTTGGCAGTATCCTTGGCTGTCGACTGCGCATAAATTTGGGGCATGACATTCATGACCTCCGTCTCGACCACTACTTCACCCTCTATACTGGAGAGTTCCAGGTCGGTGAGGAACCCCTCTTGACCAGGGCGAGCTTTCATGGGTTCTTTCGCGAGCATGATATTGCCCGCGCTGATGTCACGGTGCAGGATGCCCCGGCTACATAGCCACTCGTGACCTGAACAAATGAATCAGCAACAATTCGAACACATGAGAGGACAAGAAAAAGGCACTTACCAGCAAGAGCCGCCCTTATGCCGCGCATCAACTCTAGATCCGAAGAGTAGGTCCATATAGATCGACCGATAGTCTCGAGGACAAGACGGTGCAAAACTTGGGAACTATCATCGGGAGCAGAAACGAGATCGTTGCGCAAATACTGAGTGGTGATCACAGACTTCTCATTCGAGACCGAAGAAGGAAGAATTAAAGGGCGACGAGGGTCGCGAACATCTCCGCCCGTGCGGAAGCGGGCGATAGCAGGATGCGCATCCTCTTCGAGAGCCACTCGAAGATAGATAGATGACTCCGAATGCCGATTGCTCTGGCGCCAAGCAGTCTTCATGACCATCTCCTCTCCTTCAAGCTGAGACGTAGATTGGTTGTACGCTTTCACAGGCCAGACGGCGGTCCCACGTCCAAATAGCGAGAACGAGATACATACGGGTAGGCCAATCGTACACCAGCGACGAGGGACTCGAGATGATGCTAATGGATTTGTGTACGACACGGGGTCTGATCCGATAGAATCGATAAGGAAAACGGGGCCGACAACCTTTTGAAGCCCAAGCTTGTGCTTCACTTCGTGGTCACGTATCTCAGCAACGGTGGGGTCCTGTCCGAGCTCGACCGATGTCAGGTTAGTCGTCAGGGCACGAACCAACCGAATGAAGGCCTCAGTATCGTTCCACATGTTCAACTGAGGGGATACTGCGACTCCATCGCGGTCATATATCGCAGCAGAGAAACCAGACCCGAATATCAAGAGCCCAACCGAGAAAAGCCAAAAGGGACGAGCAGACAGATGCAAACGAGCGTAATCCGCGGACTGGTACATGATCTCCTGGATAGTTTTGTCCATGGCTTTGGAAGATCCCTTGGGTCCTTGCTGCTGCGTGGCCTTGATCTCAGCAAAACCGTCCCTGTCCATCCAGTCCCTGGAGTGATCGTCGGCGTCGGGATTCATGAGAGAGAAGTCGGGACTGGCTTGAGGGAAGTCAGGATGAGAAGTGTTCATCTGGGATGTTAACTTGTCGGCGCGGACAAAGCAACGTGACCGCGAAATGGAAGCCTGTTCGGAAGTTTCAGGGAAGCCTTGTATGAAAGCGAAGATAATTGCCTGTAAAAAATCAATATTAAATCTTGACAAGGGCAAGTTTGAGCACGCACAAGATGTGGATACATCTTTTTCTCTTGTTTCTGCCGTTGATTGTCCGGCGACGCTTCGGCTTGCTTCTCCAATTCTCGGAGTGCCTTCACCGCGGATTGAACAGAAATATCCGTCTTGAAGCGGGCCAAACAGAGGGAAACAAAGTTGTCGTCGACATCGCCTACCCGAAGTCGTGTCGAGACGTTCGCGTCATCATACATGATTCGCCCCTGAAGTTCGTCCTTGATAGCATCACGAATGGTGCTGGTCGATCCCTTCAATTGTGCAGTAAAGTTTTGGATGACAGAAGAGCGAGGTGCACGAGGTGAGGTCTGAGAGGACGATATGGGTGAAAGGGTTGGATAGAACAGAACTCACGCGTTCGGAGGAGCTCATGTTATATCAGTCCGCGTTTTATCGATGAACTTCCCTTCCCACGGTAACAGGACACTGTCGGCTTGGTCCTGATATAGCCAACAAAAAAGACGATGAGAAAAGCTGGGCAACACCGCATGGGAACAAAAGGATCAATGAAAGATGACCCTGAGATGGCATAAACAAAGAAGCGTATCGAGATGACACGCAGGAGCAGGCAATAGTGCTTCTTTGCGGATGTACATATATCATCCAGGCGATCATTAGTTCCAGCATCCGCAATGCGATCGCTTACACCGTGGCCGCTCTCCAACAGACTTACCGAAACCGTAAGTCTTAGCCCTGCGTCGTGTGTCGGCTTCAGATATCGCGCGACTGCTGTGGGATGGCGGTGTGGCGTCGGCGTGCCTGGTTATCTATGGTGGAGATATGGAGTTGAGGAGCAATCAAAGAGGTGACACGGTTGCGACACGGTGACCAAACAGCGACACACATGAAAAGTTCAACATGCGGATCCGTGTCAGGCCGTGTCCTCGTGTCATGGCACTCAAGGCCCGACACGGTCATGGCTTTGTTCTTCCCGTTCAGAGTCTTCCGCTAAATATTTCAGAGATATTGCACCATATCTATCGTCCCTGAAATTACGACGAGCCGTCACCAGTCACCTCTACTTAATCGTCTCCAGCTCTGAGGGGACTTCCAGATTCGATAAAATTAATCGGCGCTTGAAATTCGGAGTTCACACAACCTTTCAAAGAACATCTCTGTATTTTGTTCGCCGTTAACATCAGTACTTATCGATAATCTGGTATAAGGACTGCATAGCGGTATTGATGTGCCTGAAACTGAAGCTGAACACGCGATAGCATCGCTACCGTCATCTCGCTGTTCTTTACCACCGAGTTTTGTCGGGACACTGCCAAGTCTCGTGTTTCTCGAGCTCATAGTACGTATTTGAGTCCCTTCAGCTTGCATCTTCTTAATAGACTCTATACAGTCTCTTTGCAGCCTACTGCCATTCGTCTTCGACACCAATCCGGAACTGCGTCGAAGGCAACATAATGCCTCACTCTCGGGAATATCCTATTACAGGTCGTAAAAAGAGTAATTAGTGGGAATAGCGCCCAGGTCTTGGATGACTCGTCCAATTCTGCCTCAAGCAGCGATTGGCAAGATGTCGATGACAGGTCGGGGATTGAGCTGGATACGAAAACAATAGACCATGACCCGAACGGACGAAAGTCATCAGAGGGACCAGTCCGCCCCGGTTGGACCTCTCGTGATAGCCTTCATGAAGTATTTCTTGCACGCAGAAGTTCGTCTGGAGCAGCCACGCCTTCGAAAGGTCTGTAGACGCTTTGGTCAGTTAAGATTCGTGATCGAATCCTCACGTTAATGTTCCCTGCCCTGTACAGAGCCAACACCTTGACACTATCACGTAGACCAGCTAGCTACGTGGAAGCCGCCAGTGCCAATAGCAGGACGCAGAGGATGTCGGGATGCGCAAGGCGATTCATGAAGAGCTGTGTTCTGCGACATACGAGTGTTGATGACAATACGATAGCAGATGATGTAGATGTACGAATATGATGTATGCCCATATATGAGGAACGAATCTATGATTTTGGCTTTTTGGCTATGAACAAGGTTTCCGAGGCATTAGCATTCGTCGACACCTATATAGTACAAACGAGTACAGACCTCCATATTTGGAACGAGACGTCCTCCGGTTGACCACACCACCAAAGTCCAAGGCTCCACGCACGAGTTTGTACCTTCAAGAACGGATTGAGTGAATCGTTGTGAAGCAATGAGCAAGAGAACTCACTTCACACCGGGCAAATCCTGCGCACGACCTCCACGAACCAGAACCACACTGTGCTCCTGCAGGTTATGACCTTCTCCTTGGATATAAGCCTGCAGCGTCTTTCCGTTCGAGAGCCTAACACGGGCGACTTTCCGCTTGGCGGAGTTGGGCTTCTTTGGCTTTGCGATGAATATCTGGGTGCAGACACCCTTCTTCTGCGGGTTGGTCTCGAGAAGTGGTGCTCTGGGGAGACTAATCTTCTTTGGCTTGCGCTTCGAGCGCATGGACTGGTTTAAGGTCTTGAATGCCGGCTGCGAAGCGTGAAACGAGCGAAAGGAAAGAGCGGTTGGGGTAATGGTTGCAGGACGAGCAGAGAACACGTAGCGGGATCGAAGCATAGATGAGTTGTTCATGGGGATTGTTATGGGTGTCGATCGCGCACATGTCGGTCGTGCGAGAGCACGGAAGGCGGACATCATGGTGAACGACGAGGGGTGTAGTGAGTGGACGCTGCCAAGAACGGGGAAGGCGCACCGGCCTTTGCCGAGCCATCCGTGGTCGCGTCCGGACCTGCCCTAAAGAACTCATCAGAGCGCGTCGCGTCTCCCTTTCTTTCTGCTCACGTTCTCGTGCATCTTTACCACTCAATATTCGACGATGCCTGTCGCTACTTCGTCTCGTCGTAGATCTGGTCGCAACGCTGAGCCGGAGGACGCCATCGAAGACGCCGACCCCACTCAACGAATGGAACGAGACGACGTTGAAGAGGAGGAGCCGCCTCGTCGTAACGGTCGCTCCGTCAAGCAGGAGCGACAAAGAGCAGAGACGAGCAGACAGGCCAGACAACGTGAAGAGGACCCTGTCGAAGATGAGGATGCAGAGGGAGGTGGAAATCCTGGAGAAATACCTGAGTTCGACCCGGAGGCCTTCGGGGATCAGCCACTCCATACTAGCCAAAGCCACAAACTTCAGGGCATGGCAATGGACTGGGACACCATGATCAAGAACGTCCGCGGCTCTGCATACAATCTGTTGACAGAGGTTGCTACAGCTGTTGCCGACATTGAGAACGATCAAGGCGCGGAGAAGGTTTGTTCGTGCGCATTTATTGCTTCGAGCTGGATAATCACATATTATTCTCTGTAGGAGCTCACTCAACTCGACAGCTTGACGAAAGAAGTGCTTGATCTGGAGAACGAGATCGCTTCGCGCGGAGACACACTAAAGGACCTGCATCAACTTGCTGCCCGTGGACAAGAGGAGATTGTGAGCACGCTTATGTCTGTATGGCCTTCACGATTTGACAGGTATACCCCCAGACAAACATCACAGAACGGTACGAGCAAGACGTGACAAAAAAACTGTCAGACTGGAATCAGAAAACCACGAGACAGAAGTACGCTCGCAATGAGAAGTATAACGCATTCAAGCAGGGTATCTGGGTGCGTGATTATTTTATCCATGTTATTTTCCTGGCCTCTAATACCTCCTGCAGGAGGCCCAACACGAACCGGACGTGCCGATGCCCCCGATAGTGGAGCTGATTCCCAAAGGTTGGCGCTATAACCCTGTTCTTCCTTGTACTATTGATACGATCCGGATTGCAGAGGATGGGGATGACAGCGACGAAGAAGACGACGATCTCTATGTCGGAGGCGTGGTACAAGACCTGAAATGTCCACTAACCCTCACATGGCTCGACAAACCTGTGACCTCGTTCGTCCTATTTTCTTCTTTATGAGATAATACAATCTCATATATTTTTATGCAGTGAGGTTTGTGGGCACTCGTTCTCAGCCGAATCAATCATTCAGATGCTGGGCAACAACAAGTTCACAAAGAAGACATGTCCAGCTTCCGGATGCAGGCAGATGATATGCCGGAACGATCTCAAGCCGGACAAGGACCTCGAACGAAAGGTCAAGAATGCCCAGCGGAGAGCTCAGAGACGTGAGGAAGACAGTGATGCAGAGGAGGTCATCGAGTGATCTCTGGCTGAAACTATAGTTTTTTGTGCCTTTCGCTCACCTGAACCGGTTCGGTCTGTTTTTTTGGTATCTTTATTGTACCTTCCTTAATTCCTTCGCGACCTTATCTTGTCGGCTTTCCCTCCTCGAGCCGGATCTATTTTCTTTCTACTCGTCCGCCACAATGCTGGAATATCTCCCAAAGCCACAAGGGACCGTCATTGCCAACTACCCAATGTACACCGTGATGTGCTGTCGTACGCTCTTCACCCCCGGTCCCTCCACGACTTTTGTGCCTATTCCACCGCCAAGGCTTCTGCTCGTCTGTCGCTGGCTAGACTATCCGTGTACTCACGGTCACCAGACGAAGGGTATCGATGCCATGTCTGGGTTCTCAACACTTTCCACGACCGAGGCCGGCTGATCAAGGGCTCTGAACTCAGGATTTTCTCCTTCATGTTTTCGTTTATTTTTAGTCTCCAAGTTTATTCAGCTGCATGCCATAGAGTGCATACTTTGCCAACCAACAAACGTAGCAGACGGACTGCCCGCAGTGTGAACTCGAGGGATTGTGAGTAGGTGAAGGGATGAGATCTTGAGACTTCGGTCGATGATGGTGGCCCGCCTAGAGATAGGCTCATATCTGATCCTTCCTCACACGTTGTCTACGTTGCTCCTGTCGGACCCGGCGCCTTTTAAAGTCGGACTTGCTCGCTCTCCAAGCTGTCTCGTGAGTTCGCTCTGCTTCTGTTACCCTCGAATATTTCTCTTCTCCCTGTCCCTTCTCAATTGCCTGGCAAGAGTCTTCATAGCACTCTGTCATCCATCTTTGCGCCGATGGCAGACAACGGACCCAGCTCGAACACGCACCTCGACTGGTCAAATGTCGGTCTTGGATTGACGTTCATCGTCTTCGACGCTGTACTCTCTCGCATACTTGATCTAGGAGTGGGTCGCTCCCTCGTCGTCGCCTCAATACGTTGTGTTCTACAGCTTGCATTTGTGGCGACGCTGCTGTCGAAGGTCTTCGCCACGAACAATATCTGGGCTGTGGCTGGCATTGCTGGTGCGTTATGATTCTTAGTCGATCGGAAGTGGCACCTGAGCACGCACGTTCTAAAATTGACACCTACCCGGACGCCCATTTCGTCCTCATACAGTGCTCTTGAACTTGATGGGGACGATCGAAACAGGTATGTACTGTTTCTATATGTAACGAACATATCATACTAACTATGGATCATGCAGCCGTGGTCAAGTGCAAGCGACGATTTCAGGGCATGGTATGTCTTCCGTTGTAAGTGTATCTGAATGCGAACAGGGCTGATCTATCGACCATCCTAGTTCGGTTACGTTTTCATCAGTCTCCTGTGCGCGACCATACCCATCTCCATAATTGGAGCTCATTTCGCAATGGGCATCCGCCCCTTTTGGCGTCCGGAACAATACAGTCAGCCCTTCACATACCGTTCAATATTTACATCGCTCCGACATATCGTTGACTCTTGGTACTAATGGACAGTCCCTGTTATCGGTATGCTCTGTGGATCTACCATCTCCGGCGTAATCGTCGCGGTCAGCTATGTCTTGAAAGAACTGGAGTACGTGCATCCTCAGCAGTACTTTGAGCGGTTCCTGACACGTCTATCTGCTCTCATTCTTTCTGTTCATACAAATGTGATATCATAGTGAGAACCGAGACAAGACAGAGACATACCTTGCATTTGGCGCGTCGAGACTGGAGGCAGTGAAGCCTATTGCGAAGGAAGCCCTTCGTCTCGCACTCACACCAGTCGTCAACCAAATGAGGTCTGTCTTTGTACCTCTCTCTCTATTCTCGCACGCTGAAGATGCTTTCATCCGGTACTACCTTCTCCTTCGTCTCTTTACTTATCAACTTCATTTCATCTACATGTCATATTGGGTACGACCGACTCGGACCAACGACCCTTCACCCACCCGTACAGCGTCCTTGGAATAATTGCCATCCCCGGAATGATGACCGGTGCCATCCTCGGAGGTTCTTCCGTCCAACAAGCCGCCAGGCTGCAAATGGTCATCATGTTCATGATATCCGCCTCCGCCGCTCTCGCTTCGATAGCCATCACCCTCTTTACTCTCCTGGTCGTCGTCGACAGTGAGCATCGGATCCGTTCCGAGCGAATTGACAAACATGACCATTTTGTGTGGAGAGCGAGAGATCGGGCCATCTCCCGGGTCATGCGTGGTGTGAAGGGGCTGGTTCTGAAGATGAGGACGAATGCGAGGGCGAAAGAGCTCGAGGGATATGAGGCCATTTCCATTCCGAGTCGGCGGTAGGTGAGAGAGTAGGGGGAGGGAGAGGGGGTCATGAGCAGCACGAAGAGTAATGCACGGGTCCACATGAGATGTGGCTTCCTGCTGGCTCGCGATGTTTTGCAACGTCGTAATTATCTCTAGATTTGAAGGCAAACGCAAAGACCTTCAGAGAACCCGTCGAGAAAATATGTATACAATTACGCCAGACAAAATGTAAACAAATTCTAGATGATCATTACTAGCGAAAAAGCGTCAGCTAATCGATTTGAGCATGGAAGAAACACGACTGAAGATCACGAAAAGCCACTTGCCGCAAAGTTAAATGCCTCAATATACAAGTCTACACTCGGACCTCCCTTCAACACCGCCAAAGGACCGAACTCCGACGAGCGAAGATGCCGCCGAACGCGATCCGCGAGACTTGGTGGGCCACAAACTAGATGACCAGCCCAAGACATCAGTGACCCACACACAAGCGCAGGAGAGGATTGGAGTCATACCGTTGACGGACATCGATCCGCTACCAGTGGCGAGAGCGGCATCGGTCAAGAGGGTTTCGATATCCGGTCTACCAGCTTGGATTTCAACCACACCACTAGATGTATCCATGGGCCCCAAACTTGTGCCTCTATGAGCGGGCTTGAACAGCTTCTCGCGCTCGTCAACTCCGCCCACGTCTTCCTCTTCATCCCCATCCTCCACCTCGACTGTACCCCCGCCCTCACCGTCACGGCCCTCGACACCGATTTCGTCTTGTTCACTATGACTTCGTGATGAAGATGGTGAGGCTTCATCGATGTCGTTTACAGTCGTGGCTTGATGAATATGTAAGGATGGTAGTGGATGCGAGGATGAAGTGATGAAAACACGAATTTCCAACTTGAGCGATGGAGGGATATCGCGAAGGGTGTTCTGGAGGTCGTCAGAGATGAGGTTCATGTGGTCTAATGAAATGGAGATCAGTCTTCAGGAGCGCACTGTATATGATGTCAGAGACCGCCCAGACCTGGGTGACGAATAGACCAGATGAATAGTACGTGTTGGCAAATCGAAGGATCTTCTCGTGCGCGACTGAGGAAGGTCACGTTAGTTACGCCGATAGACTCAGAATACCAGTCAACTTGAGCAACGCACTGCATAAGGTCCACGAACAGAGGATTGGTGAATGTCACTCCGGAGCCGCCTAAGAAATGTCTCAGACGGAAAAGCGGAAGTGGGAATAAATGATGCTCACCGGCGATGAACACAACCGTACTACAACTCTCGATTCGCGGGGGCATTCCATACGGACCGTCCAAGAAAACCATCAAAGACTCTCGTCTCTTCGCCATATGCCACAACCGCCTCGTGAAACCCTGCTTCGCATTCACCAGGAGCACCAAATCCTTCCCATCTCCTTCCACCTCTTCCTGTGACACATCCAAAGCCTCCACCTCCTCTCGCGCCTTGCGCCCATGTGCACCTCTCACATCCGCATTAGCGATCGTAAAAGGATGCGACTCGAACGGAAACAACGAGACCCCAGGCATAGTAAGATAGACCAACTGCCCCGGAGACCATCTGAGGTGGTTCAGACGACGGAGGGTGAGGCGCACGAAGTCTGGTGCGGCGACTTCGGCCGTGGCGTTGAAGGTGCCGACGCCGGAGGTGAAGCCGAAGTAGGAGTGGTTGAAGATGATCAGGCGAAACGTGCGGACGAGACGGTCGAGGGCCCAGAGGACGAAGGAGGGCCAGATGTAGAGGTCATGACTGGAAGGTACACGACCGAGTAGAAACCGTGAGTTGCAGCGGGTAGTGGCAAGTCTATACCTCGTCTCAGTAATGGCATACGTACCCGTAATAAAGCGTATGGAAGTATCCGCCAAGAAGGAAGACACTGTCAAAGGTACCGTCAGCCAAGATTTGCGAAGCAGATGAGACACACTTACAGCACCATGCAAAAATGTAGCACCAGGAAAGACTCGTAGTTGTAGGCGCGCGCTGCCCGAATTGATCCGACACAAAGCAATCCCAATGCGATGAGAGCGAACATCCCCCAGAGCATCCAACTGTTGCCCAAGGAGTTCCCCTTCTTCAGTCTGCGGATATAACGAATCAGCCGTAACTTGAAACAAAACGAATCCTCGGTTATTATCGTGCATACCCTAGTGATACCTGAAGTAGCACCAAAACTGTCAGCGATTCTCGAGTTATACCGGTAAGATTTACGTTCACTCACCCTCCCGATCATATGTATGAACAACAAAACAAATACACTCCTCGACATCATCCGGTGAAGATAATTCAACTAAAACAACAAGCGCACCAAAGAGTTAACCTTCGATCTCAGGCAGTTGAAAGAATACTGTCCGAGGATGACAAACCTTGTCGAACCCGACACCAGTCACCACTACACCAAAAGTAACACTAGTAAGTCCAGGTCATCTCGGCTTTAATGGCATGTAACAACTTCCACACTCACACGACAAAATATTATTCTTCATGGACAGCGCAACGACAAGCGGCACTTGCAACGCCGCTATCTTTCCCGCCCGATTCGCATAATATCTTGGGTCGAGCATTTGTCCGCTCGTATTCGTAGCTATCATCATCACACCATCAACGACACTAAAACCATCAGCATTCCCACATTTAAGAGAAATCTGGTCCAGAATATATTGTACCCACTATGTGCGAAAGACCACCTGAACAAGATGAACAGGTAGGCCACCGTCAACACCACCTCCGCCACATTCATCTCGTATCCGCCTCCGCCAGCACCACTAGCACCGCTGCCCCTAAGCATAGGAAACCGCACCACCGTCCTGAACGCGATCGCCCGATACGCATTCAACACCGCCAAATGAATCCTCCTCCACCTCAACCCACTGCCTCTGAGCGGTGGGCCCGTTCTTGTTCTCTGCGGTACATCCGCCGCAATAGGCTCATAATTCTCATTCTCCTTCGCGTTCGTAATTGACAGCCCCCCGCGACCCAGATAATTCCCCAGAAAAGTGCCCAGACGAATGAGTCCAAGGAAGACGATGAACGCCAGGAGAATGTAGCCGACTTGATTCGGGTAGTTCGCGGTATAGTATTTACGCAGGACCTTGTCCGGATTCGCCGTCGTGTTCGCTCCAGACTCTGATTCCGATTCCGAATGTCGTTGGATTATCTGTGGTGGCGTGAGGGGGGAATGGGGGAACATGATCGTGTCGTGGTGGAGGACGAGTTCGCCACACCCCTGTCTTCAAGTGTTGCCAGTGCTATATGCGTATGTACACCCAGTCCGAGCCTATCTGTCCACAACGACCAAAAAGCAGAACGGGTCCTCGACTGCACAGTGGAAGCCCAAGAGCAAGACAAACAGGGAAACAGACCCGGAAAACATTGATGTTGACCGATTTCAGGAACTGTGAGAAATCCGGAGCGCGCAGCAATTCACACCCGACAGATCGGCTCGGTGGCGTATTCAAAGCACAGAACGTTCGTCGTTCAAGGACAAAACGTGCGGCCAGGGTCGTTGAATTTAGTTCAAACCCGACAGTGACATTTGCACCAATGATTGTCGTGTCTCTTGACCTAAGGCTGATATGTCCGCAGGATTTTAACACTGCCGTTGTGATATAGAAGAGAGCCACATTTTGGTTCAAAGAAGTGCCACGCGGATGTTGCCGACTGAGCGTCGAAGAAAAAGTCGCCTCCGACAAGGTTTATTGAAACGGCTGTAAATACACGCTGGTGATTATATCTGCTATCGTGCACAGCTTTCACGAGAAAGCGACTTGACTCGCCCGCTCACCAAAAGCCTGACAGTTGATCAACACACTTGATCTCCTGTCCATCGAAACCTTCCACGCGGATACCATGTTTCTCCAGATATTGAAGGGCGACACCGAACCGTGAGTCGGCCTTCACGAGGTCTGGTGTATGAAAGAAGCGCTCCGGATCGAAGAAGCGTATAAGTTTGAGCCCGAGAGGCTCAGGACGTTTCTCTAATTCAGAGCTGGCGAGCCAGCAAATGAGGTCCTCTGGGGTGAGCCACATCGGCCTGCCAATATCAGTAGTTATATCATCGTTGAGGATGATGCCGAGGTGGGTGAGGGTGATGGGGATGTTATGAGCGAAGTGACGAGCATGTTCCGCACGTTTATTGTCATCTTCTGTCCAACATATCGTAATGATGATGCGAGTAAGATTTGGGCAACCATCTAGAAGCACATGATCCCTCCATGGCTTGAAATCTGGCAAAACGAGTGTGGTCAAAGTAGCACCTTGTACAGCTAATATGTCGAGCATAGTGTCCCTTGCTCTTTGGGTGACACCCTTCATACAAGCGGTGGTGAGGGCAGGGTAAGGGGGACTACTAGGGTCTTTCGGACAAGAGCAGGGGGCAGGGAAACCGGGATTAAGCAGGCACGACACCAGTCGGCGAAGACTGTGCGAACAAAACACACAGCCTCTCTCGGTAGTAAAGCATAGACCTTGGTTCACTGTCCTCAGACGGTTGGCTGTCTGGGAAAATCCGACCTGTGCCGAGCCGCGATCACTTTCCGCATGCCAACGAAAGAATTCTGGGTTGTTGGAATTCAATCGCAACAATGACTTGCCGCAGGTGAGGGTGAGCAGCTCCCATAATTCTGCACAGAGGCGAGTTCTCGGTTGGTTTTGATTGATCGTCAAAATCTCGAGATTAGGCAAACAAGCGAGGATGGGGGCGAACTTCGCGACATCCTGGGCAGCGAAGCGGGGCATCGATAAGTCTAGTCGTCGTGTCCACACTCCCAACGACTGTTTGTGGGGAACATCGCTAGATTCTGAAGCGATTATGGAGCTCTTCAGCGTGTGAGCCAATGTGGCACAGTCCTTGTCACGCGCGATGTGAAGTGTCTCGTAGAGAAAAGGCTGCACGATATCGTGCCACAGTCTGCAAACAAGCATGAACCGTAGCTTGCGCGCATTCGAGCGCCTGATCTCGGGGAAGATAGTGTCGACTCGCTCTTCGATAGCAGTATTCCACAAGTTAGCATCGTGGTCAAAGGGATCGTCGTGGTCGACGTCTAGGCTGCCGCAAACAAATGTAGCAAGGCGGAGTATGCGGATCCACAGTTCGTTGGGGAGAGTGAGGTTGAATTCCCTGCGTTCGACTCGGTGGACGTCCATTGATCCTGCGAATGGTTTCGCTGGGCTGGGGTATGATTCGTCAGTGAATACTTCAGTCGGGCCATACTAGCCAAGATCTTAAAAGTATATGGTTGTAGCTATGTTCGATATTGTCCACCTACCTAGGGTATGACATTGAAAGTCGTCGACGTCGTGCAGGAAGAAAGCCAGCCACGAGGCTCTTGCCCTTTTCCTCGTTCCTTACGCCGTTTCTGGGCGCATCCCCTGAGCACCACTGGCGGTCCGTTTCACTCCGGCGCTGTGTATTCCCTCTGACCCTGTATGGCGAGGCTTGTGGCGGGAAACTCAAATATCTGCAGAGAGAGAATCTGCCTCTGCATCTACCGCATAAGACCCCTCCACTTCGAATATACATCTGTATATCTGTATATATTTTTGACTACTTTTTTTTTTGCCCACGTTTGACATCAGTGAGCTGTTGTACCTCATTCTCGGAGCACGATGGCATTGTCATCACAATTTATAGACTCTACAGGCTTTCTCTTCACATTGGAAATATGTACAATAATTTCCTGTACCTATTCTCAGAGTGCAGACACCATACTGCCTGATTTTCCGGTTGTCTGTCGTTCAATCAGTGCGAATCGGCCTGCTTCAGGAAGACAGTGGCGGTGGCCCTATGCTGCGGCAACTTCCTCATATGAGCATCACCCGGTGTAAGAGGTTGGGGTCTTGGTCTTGAGGTATTCGTGCCGCCTGAGAGAACGGTACCCGCCTGCCCGTCGAGGGTGCGGATGGTATTCCAAGAGGTACGAAGGTTACAAGTAAGATACAGAGTACATACGAGAGTCCGTGAATATATATATGAGATCTGGCTTGTTTGCCAGGAGCAAACAAGCGCGCGTGATAAGATAAGATCGATCGCCCGGCACTTAGCAACGCGGAAGTGGCGCCTAGGATAGATCCGGCCCACTCATATTGAGTGCCACACCGTATCCCTAGCCGCCCCTTACACCCGGGGTCCCTCTCATTTCGCCTGCTCGGAGAAAAAGTCGCCTCTGACAAGGTTTATTGAAACGGCTGTAAGGTCGTGGACATTTGCCTTGGACGCATTATCGTGCGGAGCGCATGGCTTGAGATTTCGGTCGCTTTCATCGTGTTATACGGTGTTAGGTGACTCTACGATTCAGATGCATCTACATCCTCGTCTTCTGAATCCTAGCAGGACTTACTCATATCAACATCGATTCTTTTTCATGCTGGTGTTTATGCGCATGCGTGTCGTGCTTACATGTACAGTAATCGGCGGGCAAAACGATCGTATCATGTACCGTCCCGTACTCATTTCTCGACCAAACATTCGCCAGGTGCCAAAATTAAAACCATCCCTTGATTCTTTTACAACGACATAGCGACCCAAGGGCTGCAACGGTCTGAATCTGAATCTGAATCTCACGGTGAGAAAGACAGAGAGTAAAGCGGTAATACAACATCGAAACCGAAACCGAAAACACAGGAGTGACAGCCATCAGATCACCATCGTATGGACCTCGAGCACGAGTAAGTATCGGACACCTTCCTTCCTTCCTTCCTTCCACCAACCACCTTCCTTCCAACCCGACCAACTCGCAACTCACAACAAAACAACAGGGAAACAGAGAATATGCACAACCGAACGCGAAGAGAATAAAGAGCTCCAAAAACGGCAAAAGACATGTACATTTGCGAAACGGAAAGAGCAGCAGGCACAGCAAAGAGAGACGACGAGGGGGGGGGGGTGAACACGAAGGCGAAGAGCAGTAGCGAAGACGAGCAGTAGGGAAGACGAGCAGAAGGGAGCGTACGTAGGGTAAGATATACCGTCCTAGAGATTAAGAAGAGCACGACTATCAACGAGCGTGAGGGTTCGTATTATGAGAAGAGAGGAAAGCACAGCGAACAGCGAGACCCTAGAGCAGCAGCAAAAGACGAGCGAGTAAATCGGCCAAGCACACACACACCAGAGAGACCGAAAAGGGAAAAAAAAAAAAAAGCGAAACAGATCAAAGCACACCGCTCAATGCCCCCTAACAGGCACCGCCAACAGCGCACCCACAAGCACCACACTCATCACCGCCGCCACCGCCGCACTCCTCACCACGATCTCCCACTGCGCCCTCGAAATCACCGGACTGAGCACCTTCGTCACCGGTCCAAACGCCGGGACCTTCTTTACGTGGTTGTACTCGTACGAAGTCGGGGTTATCACCGTGGACGTGGCCGCCGCACCCGACTGTTGCGTCTGCGTCTGCGCCTTTGCCTTGCCAGCTTTGATCGCGGGCCCCACAGGCGATTGCGTCCGACATTTCTCCTGCATCGACGCGATATTAAGCTGCGAGCCGCCGCCATTCCTGCTCTTTGGACGAATCTGGTGATATTGGGGATGTTCTTCGAGGGGAAGGACGGAAGGAAGGTTACATTTGTATTGGGCGCGAGCAGGCGTGATAGGAGATGCCGTTGTCAATGGAGTTTCGAGTACGTCGAGACCACCCGCCGAAGGTCGTCTTCCTTCCTCGAGCGCTTGCAAGCTAATATTCGTATTCAGCCGTGCGACGGTAGGTCTCGAAGGAAGCCTGAGCAATGGGAGAGGACCGATGATCGAGCCAGAGCTCGGTCTCGCCGAATGAGTATGAGTATGAGTCGTGCCCTGGACGGAACGCACTGGGCTCCGAACGCAGATGCACTCGTAGCCCTCGCTGACCCGTGGTGGAAGCGCGTCGAAATCAAAGCTACGGACGCTCTCGGCTTCGCTCCCATCGGTCGACATGGACAAGAAGTTGTCATCGTCCTCGTATGGGCGAATGAACGCTGCTGTCGAAGTGACGGTGTGCGCCTGATGAGCGCGACATTCGGGCGTGTGAGCCCCTGCGTCGCCGAATTTGTATGAACCTCCGAACGGTGGGACCGACTCGTCGATGAACGGATGGGAGGTGCCAGTGCGTGTGGCGGGACCCTCGGGTGCGGGGTCAGAGTCGTAGTAAGCGGGTGAAACGAAGATACGATGGCTGGTCTCGTGGTAGACGGGACCAGAACCACCAGAATAAGACGATCCGGACGAGTATCGATCAGAATCGTCACGGTCCTGAGAGGAACAAATGGTAACCGCAGGAGAACGGGATGGTGGTGGTGGTGGTGGCGCCGCGCGATCACGAGAGGCGGTGGTCATGACAGATTCTGCTTTCTCGGAAGGCATCGGGTGTTGAGAGGTCGCGTCGCTGCTCGAAGGCTGAGTAGGCGGTTTCTCTCGTTTGCGGAGAGGATTTGCTTTAGCGACGGCTCGACGGTAGTAGTTAAAGTCCAGAGGTTTCGGAGGAGAGATCTGTGGTCGTTCAAGCTCGAAGTTTCGGAGCTGACGGAGGTCGCCAAAGACGTAGATCATCATGCAGACCTAAGAACGGACGTGAGCGACGAGATCGACGAGGATAATAACGACGAGACTGACACCATGAAGACTCGCGAGCAATACTGTCAAGCCGAGCCACAATCCTGGGATAGCGAGCAACCTCAACCACCTCGAGCGTCCATTGACGATGTTGACTACGAGCGGGGCGACACTGCCGAGGAGCGCAAAGGTGATGCCACCGGCTATACCGCATATTGCACGACGGGTGCCGACATTGTTATAAGCAGCGATAACGAAGCGGTCTAAGCTCTCCTTGAGCATACCATGAACCTCCCATGCGACTTCGGCAAAGACGATAGGATCTGGGTGAGGACAGGCAAAGTGGGGAGTGTGAAAAGGAGCGAGGATATCCGAGGGGACGTTGAGTTCGTAGTCTGCTGCGGGGGTGAAGAACGTTTTCTTGGCGCGGAGGTAGGACATGGTGAGCTGTGGCGAGGGTGTGAAGCGATCTGGAGGTTGATCGTCGGGGTGGGCAGCCCTTGACTCGAGCTTCCATTGGTGGTAGCGTGCCGCATACTCCTTGAGCCAGAGGACGAAATAGCTGGAGGATGATTAGGATACGTCATAGGAAAGACCGAAATTATACACACAGGTTCTCTGGACAGCCCTCGACGAAGAGAAGCCACTCTTCAAAGTCCTTGAGACCTGTGGGACGGATTCGTCAGGTGCGAGGAGATGAAGGGAGGGATGGTGACGACACGGACCAAGAGGGGGCAGGTGTTTCCTGTTCAGGACGTCCTCGAGCTTGACCTCGAACATGGGAGTGACTGTGGCGTGGATGAGATGGTATATTGTTGAGAAGAAGAAGGTGAAAACGGACCCTGACATGACCTGACTTTGCCGACTGCAGGAGGAGGATTGCATAGTCGATACTAGGACAGATGAGCGAGGGAGATAAGGGGACGGTATGGAAGACGTACGGGGAGAGCGAGGAGGGCCTTGACGGTGAGCTTGAACGTCCTAGGCTGCTTTTCGTGGGAGTGGTGGGGGAAGGGGGCGGGAGGGACGGAGGCCATGGGGGAGAGGAGGAGAAGGAGGGGAGGGCGGTGGACAGGAGGCTTCTGAGTCGCGACGCTTTGAGGAGGGCGAAAATCGGGAGGAATTCGACATATTTGATGGTGGCCGGCGCTGTCAACTTTGCTCGATCCTCTTTCGGAATACCCTTTTCCGTACATCCTTCCTTCCCCGGAATCCCCGGGCCCCTCCCCGCTCGCCCTCGAGCCCTCGCCAGGGCCCGGGGCGCTAGCCCTGGGTTGCCCGGCCTCCCGCCAAAGAAGTTGACGACGATGAGCGCATATATTATCTTCACATATATTATTGGAGTAGTGGAAATGATGCATCTCTGTAAGCTCTTTCAGATGGAGGTCGCTTCCATGCCATTGCCTGACCTGTGCCGGGAGATATTGGCCTCGCAAGATGCGAACATTCTCAAAGACCCCTAAAAAACGCTATAAATTTAATTCATTTATAATTCATTTAAATAATAGTAGCCGATGCAATCGTCTTCAAAACAACGCTCAACGATGCGCTACGATCATACGCAACTTTTGAATGTGACGTAGTGGTCGTTGGATATGATGACGATCTTGTAGAGCCCCAAAACATAGCGTTTTTTGGCATTTGCGCAAAACGGGGCAACCCAGGGCTAGCGCCCCGGGCCCTCCCTCGCCAATACTTGCTCTCTTCGTGCCCCCGTCGCCACTCCTCGCATCGTCCTCATTCCCCCTTTTCTCCTAATTTACAGGCAAACGTCCCAGAATAATGTCCGAGATAGGTTAAACCCATGACTGGGACCGGAGCGCTGGCTCGAGCTCGTATGACGAAGCTTCCATGCATGTCAACGCGGGGCAACTCTTCGAGAGGCTCTATTCCCGTCCATCCGCATCGAGGCAAACATCGGGCAGACCATAAATGCCTCGCCTTTCGCACCCACCTAATGAACGGAAGCAAGAACGTTACGCCACAGACGCTTCTCCTCTAAAAAAGGGTGGGATATGAAGGTTGTGCGGTAAAAGAGTGAGGCGTCGTCGGCGGTAGTGCTCTTTCTCTCATAGCGGTTTGCGCCACCGATGGAGTCTCTCCGGAGGCCTCTATCGCCTTATTGTTGACATCCCAAATGCTCAGATCCTCCTCTGCTTGAAGCGTATGATGCCCGGATTCTCCACAGCATGCGAACAGAAACATCACAGCGCACTGATATTCCTGACCGGCGGCGACTCTCATCGCTGGGAATGGCTGAATTCATCGCATAAGAAGAAGAACAGAGGCTCTTTGGTTGTTCAGATGCCTTCTCTTCTCAAACTGTATATATTGCAGCCGACCTCTTTCATCTCTTTCTGCTCGTCCGCTATTATGACTGACTTGAGCTTCCGGAATCCGCCACATACTCACATGCGTCAGAATTCCGGTCGAACGAACTTCATACTGCTCAGCTTGGCAAAACATTTGTATACAGCGGGTCCACATACAGAGATATGTGAGCTCGAGGCAGAGTCGAGCGTACTAGTAAAGCAACTAGTTTTTATAAACCCCTATCTCTGAACCCCTGACTGAATGTCCTCTCGTCTAACTTACAGTCATCGTCCTCAGTTTTCACATGTTGTCCCATCACGCGAAAATTAGATGGTTATCTTTCGCGAGCCTACGGTCGGCCTGCTCCTCGCCCGAACGTTCGAAAAAGGGCTCTTCCTAGTTTCGCAGATTGCCTAGTTGCTATCATGCATAGCTTAGCGGCGCACGGGTGCAGTTGCGGCAAAGCGGGCTAATGCAATCTCAGACATGGATCTTCACGCGTGCGCGACCTCGGAGGCTCGAGGCACAGCTCTGTCCACCCATGTGGGAATTTGTAGTAGACAGACCCTCTTTATAATTGAAAGATTCCGTCCGGTGTTCGGGTTCGGATCGGAGTTCTCGCAGATGGTGAACTCGCCGGACTTTTTGTACGTACGCCATTGACGAAATACAAATTGCGACGAACACTACGCTTGAACGCGCGGAGAAACTTGGACAGTGCGCACTTGCGATGCTCTTTTGCATCGTCATGAGTTCGATAATGGGAATGAAGAAGACCTCGCGTTAAGTGCGACATCATTCATCGTGATGAAATCATGCTAGAGCTAGAAGACATGCCATCAGTCGGCCACCGGAAACCGAGCCAGCCGAACAGCAAATTCCGTATGTCGAGTGACCAGTACAGAGAGGGCTTGTCCCGTCCGTAAGGGTGGGCATGGATTTTCTGCCAGAGTGTCTGATTGGAATACAATTCGTTATATCCTCGGCTCAGGCCATCTGTGGGAAATGTTTGAGAAAGGTTAACTTAGGCTCGAATTGATGCGAAGACTGACAGAATGGGAAGGCAATGTAACCAATCGTCGGCAGCGTAAATGTCTGGTGCTGGTACGGGAAGGACACGGACGAATGGAGGTGTTACGAGAGCTGGGAAGCACAACGGTCCCCCCGATAGAGTTCAGAGCTGTGATCCAGTTTCAGCCTCGTCCGCAACGAGCGGAAGAAAGACACCTTGTTCTTCATTAGGAAAGACAATGTATCTTGTGGCGTCAGCCGTGAGCAAGTGGCGATACAGATGGAGACCCGCGCAAAGCAGCAGGATCGGCCGGCATTCGGGCTTGATGGTATGCTGAATAAAATTTTGGTTCCATACGATGCGGCACGTCTCGAAACGTCTCCGCATTCTTGTCTCCTAGCAGCACCCGACGATAGCCCTTGCGTCGGCGATTTAAGGCAGTGGGGCCACTACGCAAAGGAGATCCACGCATTGAGCCTAGAGAAAACCACGAGATGCACGGAGATCGAATATATACCGTAGGTGGAGCAGTGGTACCACAGAAAGTGGTGCTCGAAGATTATGGGCCAACATCGCATTCGAGAGATGGCCGCTCTCGCACCGCAACGGCGGCGAATGCCATGATGTGCTCTGCGTGCTATGATATTTACTCGACCCTGACCATCGCTATTCGTAGGAATATAAGCACCCTGTACCTGCCCTATACACACAGATACATGGCCGTGGAAACCTCCACTGCAGACCGACCGAAGCTCGACTATGGGTTCGGAGCCGTTTTAAATGCCGTAGACATAGCCATCCACTGATGAACATGTCGATGTCTTTCGAAAGTGAGATAACACTATGCCGCAGATAAAATGTTCGCTAGGTAACTTCCCATAGGATCCGACAGCCGTCTGAGCCTAATACCAAGTAGTATACACGCACAAATGAGCCTCAACAGAGCTCCGGCAGAGAGTTGGTCCAAATAATGACAAAGATAGAACAGGGTACGCCCGCAATGCCGTCTCTTCGTGCCCCTAGAGCCCTACGAAAAGTCACCCACTGTTTGTATATATGAAGACAAGTCTTAGTTGTTGTGCAGTGTTAAACACGTTGTATTTGGTAAATAAAACACGAGGGAAACGAGGAGGAGAAGTGGTCGTTTGAACCGTCTGCTGGCGGCTGTCATGTACTTGACTATGAACAGTCGACAGGACGGAACTATACACTCGCGCGAAGACGGACTTCTAGAGCGCATCGTGGTTAGCGCAGCTTGTCTCCATCTATGGACCGATAGCAACACTGCGGCATGGGCGAACCCAAGAGATCATCGTATGTATGACGATGGTGGAGAAGAAGCAGCCTCAAAAAGGGGGGTTGAAAATCCTTTCCTCACCTATACGTGTTAGAGGCCTCCGATCAATTCGCACGTTATACATGTAACAGATCCATCTTCATCCACGATGTATGATCACGGTGCAAGCGGTAGCTGTAGATCACCAATCAGAGCCATTGAGTTGAAGCAAATATGTCCCGCGACGTAGAATTAGAGATAGCCACAGGAAGGGGCACTGATTTGCTGAGCAGAAGGCACGGTAGAATGCGGGTCCAGCTTTTGTCACTTCTGTGTACGAGACAGAAACGGAACCGAGACTTCCCTGTCGAGCCAAATTTCATAGATGGGAGCCACAGGAAGCCATGTGAAGAGGAAAAATCATGAAACATGAGGGTACACAGTGTCGTCGAGGGTCAATTCATATAAAGCACGGAAGAACATGCTGCGAGGCCCTCAAGCAAAGGGATTTTTGGAAATAAGCTGCAGAACCAATGGAATCGATTTCCCCGCAAGTCGGAACCAGTAGTGCATCCAAATGACGGCATTTTGCTGCCTTAGGCGTCATGACAGAGAAGAGAAGTGACATATGTCAAAGTGTGGTTGGTTCTGCAGGACTGACGCAAACAAACCACTCGGAAGAAGATGATGGTTAATGCAAAAGAGCGGAGTCCAACGGGTGCCGGGAACCGGTTGCGAAACGGCTCCACGGGAGATGCCGGGGTTTCAGACTCAGACTCCGCGACACCAGTCACGTAATAAACTCTGTCGGATATCGTATCTGCAGACCTCCATGTCTGTTCTTTTCTATCCTGCCACGAAACGGCTCTCCGGCCATCCGTGGAATATAACCATCCCTCTCGTCTAAACTACTTATGCTGTGCCTTTGAATAGATGATACTTCTCACAGGCGGAATGGAGTCACACAAGAGTCGCATGGCAGCCTGTGTTCATCCTTTCAAGTAGCGGAAGCGGCGGAATCCCTCAACATGTGATGTACCTTTTGCTTGAGTTGTGCGACATAACAAGGAATCCATCTGCGCCCACGTATTTTTCCACATATAAAGGAACTGAAGGTCCTACTGATATGATTCTACCGCATCCTACCTCTCGCTCTACGACCCCTCACATGGCCATCTCAACGAAGATGCGTGCAGTAGTCTATGACAAACCATTCAGTGTTTCCGTGCAGGAAGTTGACAAACCACAATTACAACAACCAAATGACATCATTGTCAAGAGTAGGTCCACGAATATCCTGAAATTGCTCTGCTGACCGTAAATGCTGGGATCTACTAGTCACGACTTCGTGTATTTGTGGCAGGTTAGTGTACTTCTCTACCGTTAAATCGTGCGTAGTAAGACGTACACCCGTACCAGTGACCTGCATATGTACGAAGGGCGTACTGGTGCAGAACCAGGCATAGTCTTTGGACACGAAAAGTGCGTAACGATTCCTCTTGAAAATTGCGTTGCGTATCTAACGTTCGATTGGTCTTAAAGCATGGGAATTGTGGCTGAAGTAGGAGCTGGGGTCCATGTATGTGGCCCCCATCTGCTTGATGGGCTTAGCTCCCTGTAGCTGAAATCTCAACGCAGACATTACAGAAGGGGGACCGAGTCGTAATGCCTTTCAATGTGGCGTAAGTTGCCTCTTTGCATTCGAGCCATTTTCGTGTCCAACGTATCTTATCCAATAGATGTGGTCACTGTCTCAACTGTGAAGAACAGCGATCCGCTTTTTGCACCAATGTCAATCCCGGATTTGTGCGCACTTCTCTCTTGAAGTATACGTTCAGTTACTCACCCCCTTTCAGGCCGGAGGGTATGCTCGCATCATAGTCTTCGCCTGCGACGACATCACTGATGTGAGTGTCCACCTTGCACCACATTGAAGTCTGCGAACGGCACACGGACATATTCCTGCAAGGGTACTGATAAAAACCAAATGTCACGCGTGATCCGTTCAGGAGGACTTACCGCTTGACCACGAGGGTTCACATTTTAACTTGTAATACGAACTTGCGACGCCCAAAAGTTAACTTGCGCAAACTTGTCGGTGTACAAGTTAATTTGTCCCAGTTAACTTGCAAGTTTGCAAGCTCACTTGGCTGTCAAACTTGCGTTTACGAACTTGTATAGCTTGGCACACTTGTGAAACTTCTGAGATCATGAGGCATCAATATGTCCTTCTACCACTGGTATAACACTTACCATGCCTTGTCGGACATACCTACATGTAATCACGTGTTTGACTAGTTCGCGTGCACAATCGCCAACGGGTAGCTGGCCGTTTGCCTCTGTACCACAAGCATCACAAGTAAGGACTCGGATACTGTAGATGATGCCTCCGCGGACACAGTAGTCAAAGACCATCGTATTTATCAGAAGCGCTAGCTCATCAATGTATTGCCTGCCTCCTACTAAGTACCTTGACCGATGCTGAGCTTTCCACTACTGGTGCCCACTAAAGCATCACTTTTAGCATGCCAATAGCGATGACTTGGGCGTCCCCAGTATCCAAGTACAGCGAGACTTTCATAGCGACTAGATATATACTGGATGATCACATTTACTTCGACAGACTAGGCTACCTTAGTTAACTTGCAAGTCAGCATGCGTGCTTTACAAGCTCGCTTGAGAAACTTGGCCCTACAAGTTTGCTCAAGTTTGCATTACTGCAGTCATACAAGTTTGACACAAGCACACGCAAGTGAATCATACACCATGTCATAAGTTGATCAGTGTGCTGAATGTAGCAGCGGAAAAGGTATTTCAGACACATGCTGACCGGGAAAACTAGAGTGAAGAGAACGTTAAGAGATCGAGATAACAAAAGGCTAGTGTTTCGCCATGGTCGAAAGAGGTCATAATGACTTCGGGACTCCACTCAGATATAACCCGTACGCGTGAAGTTTACCGCTCTGTTTGACCTCAACGGGAGGGTTATATCATCGATGGAAGTCCCAAGTTGGTCCCAAGGATTCCATCTTTGCAATGGCCCGTATCGCCATGCTGGACATCTATAGCCCGTCTAGACAAATCAAATCTCCGAGGGTAGGTTCCAGCTACAGCGCTAGCTCGAGAAATCATTACGCAAGAGTGTACGCAGTGGAGGTTTAAGCCCGCTATAACCGAGACTAAGTGATCGACGAGCGAGTCGGAGCAGGAGTAACAAAGATTCGTAGTTGAGATACGCGTCAACACGGGAAGAGGGAGAATAACCATGTAGGGCACACCAGGTGTGATACTTATGGGTGTCATCGCTGGTGAGCTACATGGTTATCGAGGATTATAGGAGCACAAGTGCGCCACAAGTGAGAGGTACGCAAGTGCCACAAGTTTGTTCCATTAAGTCATGCCCGATTTGGCAGGCAAGTCAAGTTACAAGTTCGCGCCACAAGTTAAATTGCGCTGGCTCCTTGACCACCTTGATATGGCCCCATGGAGACGTACCTTCATCACAAGCGAGTCAATAAACGTTGGGCGATATAAATTACCAGAGGGACATACCCATACGCGCCTCTCAAATTGCCTCCTGGAAACGAGCATGAAGATGACTTTGCTCTATTAGCGGATATATTCCCGACGGTCTGCGCTTCTCTCCCTTTTCAAAAATATGTGTTATAATTGTTCGATGTGTAAAGGGTTGGCATGGTGTAGAACTTTCGGTCAGTGACATCCCCAAATTGTTTCCGCGTCCTTTCATAATGACTCGTGAAACAATCAGGGTTTCCGCCCTGGAGAATCAGTTGCCGTTTACGGTGCAGGCCCTGTGGGTCTTATGGCGGCCTACAGTGCCCAGTTACGAGGTGCTTCTGAGGTATACGTAGTTGACCGTATCCCCGAACGTCTCGACAAGGTACGTCTCTAGTTGAGCTCATCTACGAGGTAACAATCGGTCATCGTGTTTCAGGCAAAAAGCATCGGTTGTATACCTATCGACTTGTCAACCGGTGACCCAGCTGAACAGATCAAAGCTCTTCGGAATGGAAGAGAAGTTGACCGCGGCGTTGACGGTAATCGTTTTCGATATATAGATGCCTGAAACGTAAGTCTCAAGGATTTTATTAGCCGTTGGATACCAGGCCGTTGCGGCGGACGGAAAGACGGAGCAACCGAATGCAGTCCTGGAAGGTCTCATCGCTGTTGTTCGTCCCACCGGTGGTTTGGGCATTCCTGGGCTCTATGTTCCGAAGGATCCAGGTGCACCCGATTCTGCTTCTGCGAAGTAAGCGCGTACATTCATGAGAAGTATCGTTGCTAACCACAACTCTCTTCAGGGGTTATATCTCGTTCCCTTTTGGTCCGTTGAATATGTACTGTCCCCTTTTTATGTGGCTCTGTCTATCTGACTGCTTGTCCACAGGCAAACTCTTCGAGAAAGGTCTCTCCGTAGGTACAGGCCAATGCAACGTCAAGGTGAGTAATATTCACATTGCTCACCGATAACTCGAAGGACATAATAGTCATATGCTCGTTATCTAGTCATACAATCGCTACCTCAGGGACCTAATCATATCTGGACGTGCTAAGCCATCATTTGTTGTTTCGCACAATATTTCTCTGGACGAAGCTCCAAACGCGTACGAGAAGTTCGACAAGCGTGTGGAGGGATACACAAAGGTCCTTCTCCACCCTTGAATCGGTTTTGTCTCGGAGAGTCTAGTGGGGGGTATGGTGAGGGGTGAATAAGTATAGCTTCACCTCAGATATGTACGAAGACACGGAGCTACTATTGACTGCCCTGAGTGTAACGCTGACATTGTATTACGAGTGGCATTTACTATGGAACTCTCGTGTAAACATGATTTTCGCTGTTCCGGCCCAGTTGCTTCAATATATTTGGGGCCAAAAACGTTTGGTGCTATCGCTTAAGAGAGTCTATTTTCTCGTCTAACATGATACAAGCTGTAGTCAGGAAAGACAGAGGCGGCAGACCAGATAAGTAGCGTGGAATGTGGCGCGACGCCACAGTCAAGTTTATACGTGTTTGTTTCTGCCACCGCGGTCCCCACTGGTCCCCATTTCCTGTCGCAAAGGGTTGCGAAAGACTTTGACGAATGCATTGCTTAGGGAACATCTACGGTCTTCAGCTATTCTCCCTACATCGCTGCTATGGTCACCTCTGATGCACCCGTACTACCTCCAGGATCTGAGACCCTGAACATCACCAAGTCCCCGTTCCAAGAAGGATTGTGAGGAGATGAAATACCCTTTTCAACCCGAAATCTAAGCTTACCACGAACAGACCTGCATCTCACGTGAATATGCTCTGGCTCGGAATTCGAGAGGAGGACTTTCATGAACGGGACTCATCGTATCCAGCATTCGAACTTCTTTGCATCTTCTGAATCGTACACGCGAGTCGCGGGACTTCTTCTAGTTTCCTTGACACTCTACAAGCGAAATGTATTCTTGGGCTGCTCCTAAGATTTTGATATGATTCAGCTGCGAAGCGTATAAGGTGTGTAAGTCAGCATCTCTGAGTATCTCTCCCGCTGACCGCGTTCGCATGACATCAGTTTTCGTTTGCGCCCATAGTCATGGGAAGCTCGCAAGGAGTTAGAGTACCGAATGCGGGACCCTATTATAAATGCATTGCCAGTTGGGGCGTCTAGATCTGTGCTGGTCAACTCTACCCCAACTCCAACACAGTCATCTCCAGGCTCTGCGAGCTCCGGCATACAACTCGATTGCTTCCCTCTTCATCAACTCCATCGATTGTTGGTGCCATGGCCCAGGCAGGCGAGCAACCCTTCCAGATCAACGTCTCAGATGAAGACATCCAGCTTCTCCATAGCAAGCTGGAACTTCATAGGTTTCCAGACGAGCTCGAGGACGCGAAATGGGACTATGGGGCACCGCTCTCGGATATCAAACGCCTTGTCGCTCGGTGGAAAGACGCGTATGACTGGAGGAAATTCGAGAACAGGCTCAATCAATTGCCCATGTTCACCCGCGACATCTCTGTCGACGGACACGGGACGTTGAACATTCACTACATTCATCAAAGGTCCTCCGTTGACGAAGCTATACCTCTTCTATTTGTCCATGGATGTCAGTTACTTTGCATTACCTTCTATTTCTAGCGAATGGAACTGATGAAGCACACACGTCACAACCGACAGGGCCTGGCAGCTTCATCGAATCTCTCAAATTAATACCGCTTTTGACCGCGTCGCACCCCGACCATCCTAGTTTCCATCTGGTTGCCATTAGTCTCCCAGGCTATGGCTTTTCAGAAGCGCCACATAGGAAAGGTTTTACTGGTGAATGCTATGCTGAGGCGCGTTTCCTACTCGTGTTCTATATATTTCGTCGGTTGAAACCTTATTCGTTTCGTAGATCGGTAACAAGTTAATGCTTTCTCTTGGGTATGAAGAGTATGTTACACAAGGCGGGGACTGGGGCCACCTGGTACGCCGTTCCTAACGGCATGTACTCGGTGGCACTTACTTAAGTAAACAAAATACCGTTTAGATCACTCGCGTCATGGCCAGTAAATATGGACATAAGCACGTCAAAGCGTGGCACACAAATATGCCGGTGTGCGTTTTGTTGTTTCCAGTTGTTGACGATAGACCTGATGATGGATCCTACCAGAGCATCACCTCCGAAACTTCTACTGAACCCATACCAGTTCATTGTCCACGCCCTCACACCCTACACCGCGGGGGAACGTACAGGCCTGCAGCGTGGCGTGCACTTCCGTGCTACAGGGCAAGGGTATTTCCACGAGCAGTCAACTCAACCACAAACACTGGGTTACTCTCTTGCTGACTCTCCGGTCGGTCTGCTCGCGTGGATCTACGAGAAGCTGATCAACTGGACGGATGCATACAAATGGGAGGACGACGAAGGTATGATTGGGTCGCCTATCTGCCCTGTCGAACAAATCTAAGGACCAAATATTATAGTCCTAGACTGGATTTCAATCTACTGGTTCTCCCGCGCCGGGCCTGCTGCGTCTCTTCGCATCTATTATGAGATGGTCAAGACTGGATTTCTGGAAGGGCTTCCTCCATGGGTATCCGTCCCTACCGGAGTTGCCTACTTCCCGAAAGAGATAGCGTCGGCACCAAAGACGTGAGTCCCTATATCTACACGTCTATCTCGCTGTTAGATCAGTTCTCAATGCGGCTCTTACCCCAGTTGGGTGAGGTCTCAGAGCAAGGTCGTCTTCGAGTCTGCTCATAAGAGTGGTGGTCACTTTGCTGCATACGAACAACCAGATGCGCTGGCGGGAGACCTCTGGAAGATGTACGGGAAGGGTGGGCCTGCATATAAGGTTGTACCCGCGAAAAGTGGCTATGAGAGTCCGAATGCGCGAGCGCATCTGTGAGAGCCGTGTGGCGTGTCAATGAGTTACTACTAGTAGTCCCCTGCTGCTTCTCACTGTACCAGTGATGTCTGTACTTCATTCACGTATCCACGTGCCATAATATTGCTTAGCTCCAGGACATATTATCGTACAGCGCCTTAAGCTGCTTCAAGTTCAGTAAGTATTTCAAGAATCAAGACGCCACAGCAAGATTCAGATGACGTGCACATGACCTAAATCAGCGATCACGAGATGAGCGCGTCTCCGCGAATTTTTTGGTCGTTTTTCTGCGACGTCCTGGGATTTGGTCAGATTTCTCATGCTGCACTGTTCACCTCTTGCTTCGTTCCCTTACCATGCCTGCTATCCTTTCCGCAAGCACAGAGCACTCCTTTCATGCTTCCCCTTCTCGCAAAAACCTCAATGGCTCTCCGTCATCCGCTCATTCCATCCAAGCAAAGATGAACGGTTTACGAAATGGACATAGTGGCAAGCGGTCTGGCCGTTTATCGTCAGAGACAGGACGATCCGGAAAGAAACGCACCGCAGTATACTTTGATGAGGATATTGAGATGGAGCACCCGCCAACCGTCGGTGGTACTACCTCAGCACACGGCAAGAAGCGCCGGAAATGGGAGATAAATGGTGTGGTGAACGGTCAAAACCATTCACATAACACGACCAAGGCCAGATTAATTCAGGAGCAGCGAGCACAGCTGCCCATCACACGAGGTGCGTTTTTTTCGTTCCGCCTTATCCAGCTGCCTCTCATGCCTTCGTCGTAGGAAGGGATGCCATAGTGCGTGAAGTTCAAGCTAGTGAAGTCACTATCCTCGTCGGAGAAACGGGATCGGGGAAGACGACTCGTATGCAATAGTTTCCTCCTTGTTATACCGTTTTTAACATCTCAATCCACAGAAATACCCCAATACCTTCTAGAATCTGGAAAGTTTTCTGGACAGATCGCCATCACCCAACCCAGACGAGTTGCCGCCACATCCCTCGCCACACGCGTCTCCGCCGAGCAAGATTGCTCTCTCGGCTCAACTGTCGGTTATGCTGTTCGATTCGACGAGCGCACTACCTCGAAGACACGAATAAAATATCTTACCGATGGTATGCTCGTAAGAGAGATGATGGGCGACCCCCTGTTGGAGCGATACAGCGTTGTCGTTGTGGACGAGGCGCACGAGCGTTCGCTTAGGACAGATTTAGTCCTCGCAAGTCTGAAGAAGATTCTGAAGCAGAGAAATGGGACCGTGGATACGAAGGGGAAGTCCCGGGCGAAGACCGATCCCTTGAAGGTGGTAGTGATGTCTGCCACATTAGACGCGGAGAAATTCAGCACTTTCTTTACCGGGTATGTGCCGCCTCGTCTTATCGTTGTACTGCAACTCACGGTCCAATTCCCGACGCCTCTCCTGTAGCGCGAAAATACTTTACGTGAAAGGTCGTCAACATCCTGTCACAATATATCATACGTCCACCGGACAGACCGACTACGTAGACGCCGCTCTACGGACTTTCTTCCAAATCCACGTCGACCAGCCACCAGGCGATGTCCTCATATTCTTACCTGGTCAGTATTGTTCTTGAGCTACTCCGTTGTCATAGAAATGCAATCGCTGACGATGTTGACAGGCCAAGAGGATATTGAGAGCCTTGAAGCCTCCATCACGACTTATGCCAAACAACTACCCCCAGATGCTGCCGAAGTTCTTATATGCCCACTGTATGCATCCCTTCCAAACGCCCAGCAAACCAGAGTATTTACACCCGCTCCGGCAAACCATCGTAAATGCATTCTTGCCACCAACATCGCAGAGACCTCCATCACGATACCAGGCGTTAAGTACGTCATTGACACGGGAAAGCAGAAGGAGAAACAACACATAGCTCGAGAGTATGGTAGTGGTAAGTCACTTCGACTGTTTATTCGCACAGGCCGAATTTCATGATATTTGTCTCAGGATTCGATGCGCTGATTACCACCAACGTCACCCGGTCCTCCGCCATGCAACGAGCCGGTCGAGCCGGGCGTGAGGGCAAGGGGTATTGTTTCCGACTGTACACTCAAGAGGCCTTTGAAGACATGGAATACTCTCCTCAGCCTGAGATACAACGGACGAATCTCACGTCTGCTATCTTACAACTCAAATGTGTGGGTCAGGACCTCGAAAACATGGAATTCATGGACAGACCTCACCCCGAGTCCGGTACGTGGCACTGCTTTTGTTTTCCCTTCGCACTAGACCTGATATAATTCGTCCGCTCACAGTCGGCTCAGCGCTGCGCGCACTCTTGTTGCTCGGAGCTCTCGACGAAAAAAGTCAACTCACAGACTTCGGTCGCTCTATGGCATTCTTCCCCCTCGAACCTCAGTATGCTGCCGTAATCCTCGCCTCGGTAGATAACAACTGCACCTCTGAGGTTCTCTCTATCGTCTCTATTCTTTCATCATCATCACCACTCTTTCCGGACTCCAGTTCCCAACGCGAAGCTGCAGCCGATGCTCGCGCAAAATTTCGACATCTTTCAGGAGATCATCTATCCATGCTCAACGTGTGGTCTGCGTACGAAATAATCGCAGCGGAAGGCAAAGGCGCTAGGAAAGAGTGGTGCAAGAAGAATCACGTAAACGACAGAGCGCTGTCAGAGGCTAAGAATATCAGGGACCAATTGGTGCAAGTTTGCGTCCGGACGGGCGTGGATTGGAAGGCCTCATGTGGGCAGGATGACGCGCCGATTTTGAAGAGCCTCGTGAGAGGGCTCGTACAGAACGTAGCCTTGTTACAGCCGGATGGCTCGTATAAACAATTGATGGGTCCCAAAGTGCGTGACAGTCAATTTATCACGCCTTTTCTTCTTCTTTGATTGCTTTGTCTCAATGTCTTTGACCCACGTACAGACCGTCAAGATCCACCCTGGGTCCTTCCTTGCCGACAAAAAGGCGTCTGCTGTCCTCTATGACGAACTGGTCGGTCATGACATTCACGTTCTCCTAGGATAATGCACTAAACTCTTATTTGCAGACTTATACGACTAATATCTATGCGCGCGGGGTGTCTGCCATACGTATGTCCTGGGTCAAGGACATACCTGTCAGGAAGGCAAGACATGTAGCCGTCCAATGATGACCTGATTCGAGGGCATCTAAACGTGTTGCAGCAGTGTTTACACTAATGTGACGTTCGACATCAAACATCCAAGGTATTCCCTAGCTGAATGTTGTGCTCGAATTGCGAATCTGGACCACCCCCCATGGAAATTCTTCAATGTCCGATTATCTTTCCGGTCGCACGACTCAACGGAGATGCGAACACAAATATATTCAATACCCTTTCTTCGGAGTACAAATGACACGGGTCATATAAAAGTCCTCCAACACAGACACGATCCCTTACACTTCCATATGTATCACGGTGCCTCCGCTTTACTTTGCTATGCTACTTCGTGGTTCATCGTATACTCCAATCTGATTTACATGTGCCGTATCATGCAGAACAGCGAACCTTATCCGTATCCTCTGCGCCACCGTGTCCTTTACCCAATGCAACGTAACACCCTCCGGCGAAGGACCATTAGTCCCTTCCGCAATAATAACCCACTTTTCACCCCGTTCAACCTCCCAAGTATATCGTCCGATCCGTGAGACGGGATAATCGTCCCAGCGCCCTATTGGCTCTGCAAGCATGACACGGTTGAACGACACCGGTTCAGCTAAGTTTAGCTCTAGCCAACCTTCCATCTCCCCAGGGGGCGTGTACCAAGTCGTGTAGAGACTTCCATCATTGGCATAGTCAGGCCCCATAGCGTCTGTTGACCCGCTCGCACGAATTGCGACGCCCTCTGCGAGGTTCCTCGTCGTGATCGGGTCGAACGATTCGGCACCCGGGAGTGCTGGAGCGGGTCCTGAATGCGACCACTGCCGACCGATATCTCTAAGTACCTCAACGATATTCGGCGAGAGACGTCCTTCTCGGTTCGGAGGTGCATTAAGTATGAGCGTGCTGTGGCGGGCATTGTTTGGGATGAGCCAATCGTTGACGATGACTTCGGTGGACTTGAGTTCAGCCTTGGAATCAGATTGCTTGAAGAACCATCCGTCGGTAAGGGTTATGCACGAGAATGACGGGAGTTCATTGGACGGCGGGAGAATCTTTCGTGATATTCATTGTAAGCAGATCTCAAACAAGAGGTACCTGCAAGTGATGGCTTACTTCGCCGGCGTTTGCCTCAAACGCTTTGATGTCGCAGTGATACATACCGGCCGTAGGGAAAAATTGGGAGTTGAGATCAGTGATGAGGCAGTCCGGTTGAAGAGACTTTACGTGACGGTAGATACTGTGAGAAGCAAATCAGTGGGGAGTTCCGACGCTGCGGACAGTTTGTAAACGCACTCCTCAAAGGGAAACTCGCTGTATGATATACGACTCCAGGGTGCGGACCAGCCATCGAAGATGATCATGTTGATGTCGCCATAATCCGACAGAAGTTCGGTGAGATGATCCTTGACGAGCTGTATCTTAGCCGGTGTGACGTTGAAGTGCCGTATATCGTTCCGTTTGCTTCAGGACGGATCAATAAAGAAGTCAACGAAGATGCGGCGAAAAAGAGTACTTGGTGATAGAACGCACTCAAGGATGGAGTAATATAGGCCGACTTTGAGGCCATATTTCCGGAACGAATTGGCATAAGAGGCGACGACATCGCCTTGGAACGGAGTGTGAAGCACGCTTTGCGTTCCTGTTCTGGTAGGCCAAAGACAGAAGCCGTCATGATGCTACATGGTCATGATGAGCTTTCGAGTGTATTCATGGATCGTGGGGACAATGACTGGAAGTGAAAGGTGAATGGCAGATGATGGAATTGGCGCTGGTTGACTCCAACGGTCGTCAACATATTCGGCCCCACTAACAGATACGCACCTTTGTGGTCAGAAATCCACCTTTCATGCCAGAAGAGCACGCAGCCTCTGCCCATTGGTCAGTGTCAAGATTAGTGGGATTGAACGCTTCTGTAGGTTGTCTGTCGTCGCCCCATTCGAGATCCTGGAAGGTCGCCATGTTGAAGTGGACGAACATGCAGAAACGGAGATCAAGGAAGCCTTTCTGAAGCTCTTTTAGAGGTGTTCGAGCATGATATGGCATATTGTGTGAATTATCTCTACTTAGCACTGGAGCGTCCGACGGTCTATGCTGAGAGGACAGTATTTGACCCATGGTGCAGACGTGAGCGTTTGTTCTCGGTCGACCGTGGGGAAGAACTTGTAGACGATGACCGCATCGGCCAAGCTTTCGGGTCCATTAACAGATCTTATCTTATCTTCGCACTGTCATTATTTTATTGAGTTATTAATATTGTTGGCGTACCCGTTCTCTCAAACTTTGACTCCTTGACACATACATCAGTTCTTCTGATCTTGGGCAACCTTGTCTACTGTGCATGGCTCTACTTCACTCTGCTCGTGCGCTCCGTTCTCGTCTGCAGTCGTATCCAGTGCCGGCATCCCGGACATTTTCAGCTTCGCACGTCGCTCTTAATTCAGCCCAATCTCTCGCACGCGAGAATGAGACTGTAGCAGTGGAAGAGACCGAGGACGTGAAGGAGCTTGACAGACTGCTCAAGGCTGTCAGTGAGTGTATGATCTTTTTCGGCAATCCTCTGTGCTCAACGCAATATTCCCGTCCACTTCTACAGGAGCTCGGTCGGATCCCGACCACAACGCGTGCGTTTTCCTCGGGGTACAAGCGTAGAATGCCGTTCTCAAGAGATTCCTCATCATAAAGCTTTATGCCTATGAGAGGCTCAGTTCCATGGGCAGAAACATTGCTCCACGGCTCTCGCGAGAAATCCCCACCTTCACCTAGGATCACAGAACCTGAGCTGCTAACGCCACGATCCATGCATGATTCTTATACCGAGCTTTTCCTCCCTTTCGAGTCGTCCCCGGAACTTATGGAAAAATATACCAACGCTGCCGGTAAACTTCTAGGCACTCGTACACTCTTATTAGTTCACTCATTTTTGTATAGGCGGAATTAGGACAGGAAAGCTTATGGAACACCTCGATTCTTTGGCTGGCTCAATTTCCTACAAGCATATGTCGGGTGCAGACATCGAGACCCTCGGGGCCATCACAGAGAAGGGGTTCTACATTGTGACGGCAGCTGTTGACAGGTAAAGTGTGTTTGCGTCTCGACTGCTGGAAACTGAACTGAACTGTTTTTCTTCGTACCTAGGTTAGATATGCTTGCACCCATCTCACCCGTACGCGATCTCCGGCTCTCAGGCCATGTGATTCATGTCGGGAGGAGCTCCATGGAAGTTGCCGTCAAGATGGAGGCTCTCAGCGATGGAGAGGAAGAAAAGACGCTCATGTTGGGTATGTACGTTTTAGTACGTAGACTTGACATAGCACAGCTGACGACGGCCATAGGCCGTTTCTCTATGGTCTGCAGGGATGCATTCACTCATCGTGCGCATCCCGTCAATCCTCTCAAAGTTTCCACACCGGAGGAACAGTCGTTACATCATATCGGCGACAGTAAGCACTACCTTTCAAGGACTCGTCCCCCAATTCTGATGGCACAGCGAAACACTACAGTGCACAAACGAAGGAGACAGTCACAGGCTAAACGCTCCCTATCAAAAGTGCCTCCGTCATCCATAGAGGCAGAAGCGCTTCACAAATTCATCCTCGAGCACGGAAATGAAGATCATTTCAATAGAGAACGCGTATGGATGGGTGACACCAAGCTCGAACGCACAACGATAATGTTTCCTCAAGAAAGAAACTTGCACCAGAAGATTTTCGGAGGTTATCTCATGCGCTTGGCTTACGAGGCTCGTCTCCTCATTTCCATACTTACATTGATCGAGTTGTCTGAGACTGGCAACATAATAGCTCGGCTTCACCAACTCTCGCCTCTTCACCCGCGAGCCAGTTCGCTTCCTCTCGCTCGACAACATCTCCTTCGCAAGACCTGTGTCTATCGGTTCCCTCCTCCGTCTTACCTCGCATATCTTGCACACGAGCTCTTCAGAGCAGTTCCCCGCCATTGTCGTACGTCCAATCTGAGTTTTAAGATCATACTATTTCACTAAACCCGTATCTCCGTACGCGTCCCGTGCTCACCCGATCCATTTTTTTTTGCGCATCAGCACGTCCGAGTTCTTGCTACAGTAGTTGACGTCGAGACAGGCAAAGAGGAGATGACAAACGACTTCCGGTAAACTCGTGCTCGTTGTGTAATCTCGAGGTTGACTTGTATCACTGACTTGAAACTTAGATTCACGTGGTGCAGGGAAGAAGGACCACCTCTGCCTCGAAAGGTGGTGCCAAAGACATATTCGGGTCAGTTCGCCGCTATCTCGTATCATACACCGCACGCTGATGAAAATATGACTGCATCTCGCTAAAAATTCAGAGGCGATGCTGTGGCTCGAAGGGAAGCGTGCGCTCGACATGCGTGCCACCATCGAGGGCTTGAGGGCATCGAACTCGTCACCTTCGAGCTAGAAACCTGAAAGGTTTTCAGCATCATAGATTTGACTACTCGCGGAGAGCCCACATACTAATCTACGTGTACATTTCTACTCGAGCCCGTCACGTCCCCTGCTTAGACTGTTTAGACATCAGGGGCACTAACATACTATATAGTTGATGATGTTGTAATATCAAGGCCTTCGAATGTTCCTCACACACCACTATCGCAGCTTCGCACAGATCACCCGAAGCAAGAACGAGATCGGACAGCGCGCTTCCTTCAAACAAATGGGCTTGTGGTCAACTCCGTATTTTACAAGCCACCGAGGGCACTAACGCGCCTCATGACACCGTACAATCTGGTCCTCGTAGGTATCCGTGAACGGACGATAGCGCTCAAGCGTCTTGCGCATTGGAACCTCCGAGTCCCATGTTCCTATGCCGCAGTTAATAGTCAGCAAGACACCCAAAGCAGGTAGCGTGCAGCTGACGATGAGGGATCCGGACATACTTGAAATCATCTTTGTCCTGGTTGTAGGAGTCGACGGAGACATCAGCCGGGTCATTCGTGTTGCTCTGATCGTCACCGTTGTGCTCTCCAACAGCTGCTAATTCCTCCCGAGCGACCGAGCTACAGCGAGGCAAGATTTCCTGGTTAGTGACAGGTGCATGGTGGGCAGAAAGGAGAGGAATTCGACGGACCCCTCACGACGCATCGAGGGTGCTCCGCTGGCACTTGGAACGCCGCCCGCCGTCGGAAGACTGGGACTGGGTGCGCCGCTAGGAACCTGGCGGGCATCCTTGTGCGACGCAACGCCCACGTTACCTACACCTGAGCAACACAATCGGAAAAATAGGGATGAGCATCGGCGAAGGAGAAGGGTGTGAAGTGATTTTTTGGACATACCCGGGAGGCCGCGAGCCATCAAGGCATCGTCTTTGGCATCGACAGGGGCAGCTACGTTCGTCATCGGGCTGGCCTGTACAACGGTGGATGCAGTGGCGACGACAGCCAGGAGGGACAACTTGGATGAGAAGCGCATGGTTATAATGGGTCCTGGTTCGGTTGGGTTGGCAATAAACTTCGGAAGAGGCTAGAGGTATGTAGACGAAAGTCTTGAGGGATAGAGATGTGAAGGTTCGGGGGGGAGACCTGGAGAAAAGGAATGCGGCATGATGTAAAGGTTTTATACTCAGAGTCTCAGAGGAAGCGTAGGCGATCGAGCAGGTGCGGGCAAGTTGGAAAGCAAGGCCACTACGCCGGGCTCATTGAGGACTACAAGTTGTGCCCGGTTCCGACAGAAAAGGTGAATGGGGCGCGCCTACTTGATCTTGACGGGCGGGAATCAATCGAGAGAGGCCGCGAAGGATCAATGGCGCGGACGAGTCACTACAACTTGAACTAAGTACTGGAATTCCTTGGATGAGTGCCCGTTGGCGAATGACCCGATTAGACATATGTATATCCTATTAGTTGGTCTCGGAATGCTAGCAGACTCGTATTCCGTCCTATCGACAAGTCACAAGGTATGTTGAGATTCAGAAACTTCAGCACAGCCGATTCTCTCAGAGTTTTGTGAGCAAAGATTAAAGCTATAAAGCTTTCAGGCACATTAAAAATTGCAGCTCCGTTCTTTCTCACAGATGCAGATGAGGGTCTACCGATACAGTATGAGGGCGAGTGCAGTCACTGCAGTGGCCGCATCACCGTTTTACACAAGATGTTCCTCCGAAGGACGAGCCGGAATCATCCGAGCGCTCAATGTTCCGAATTCCAAATTCATCCAAACAACGAACAACTTGCTTGAGGTGGCCGTTGGGCAAAGAGGTGCCGCGGAGAATCATGAAAAGCGTGGTAATTTCAGATTATTGATGGATACGCGCGATGAACTGCTCTGGATAGGAAGAGGAGAGGCTTAAATAGGTGAGCAGGCTCCGGCTAAGCAAGTAGTCGAAACTAGACTTTCGTCGCGAAGCCATATCGGGTCCCATGGGCCTGAACAAAAAAAAAACACAACTGTGACCTTGACTATAGTGCCAACGATGTAGGGTCGCTCGTGATGATACTGATGTAAAGTTCGAATGATATTCATAGACAAGAGATGGTGCGAGCGAGCTACCGGAGCAGGTTAGGCTCCGTTTCGTTTGAGCATAGTATGTCGCACACGATCGTTCGAAGTTCTGTGCGAAGTGAAGAAGGACCCCAATATCCGCGGGTGTGCATGACTGAGTTCTGCACGGATGGAACATCTAAGTATGGACCCAATAGTCTTGGCCTCTTTTGTCTGGCTACTTCACAGGAGAGGAAACCTCGATGACGAGACACGGCAGGTCAACGAATGACATCCTTCAGGTTAGTTGTGCTCATGGGGAACAAACAAGGTGAAAGGATTGCACGTAGGGAAAGAGGTAAAGGATCGTCACATCATGCCACTCTGCTATCTGCTCCTCTCGTCGTTATTGTAAATGGTTATTGCGTTCTCGACAGTATGTGTGCTATGATATCGAGGTCTTGTCAGGATACCGTTGTACGACCTTTTTCATTGAGCATGTACAGCAGCTCTAACGGCCCCGACAGCCGGACTGATTGCATCATAGGTGTCATGCACAATCCTGGCAGAGTGTGGAAGATTCAGCCTGTCCGAGATGACCGATTGTGGCCTGCATCTATGTACGGAGAACAAGACAGGCGTGCTGATAAGCACTTCCAGGCAAAAGAAGAACCATATACGCGATGGATTGATTAGCACGATTTTGTAGCAAGGTACAATACCCACGCTGCGGACCGAGTTGGAACACGATAACTCTATTGGAGGACCTAAAAAGTCGAAGAGGGTCATCGAATTGTGGAGATGTCGTCAAAGGTACGACAGATATAGGGAACTTCCTTCCTTCCTTCCATAAGTAGGACGTTATTGACGGTCAAAAAGATATTTGAGGACCAGGACCTCAGGGCAAATTCTAGCCGAGGAGGCCGGGATACTGATCGAAGGGCAGCTGCAAGGATTGCTTTGACCGTCGGAAATGATCGAGCTTACCCGTGGCCAGCAACAAAGAAAGAAAGAATAAATTGGCGGAGAAGAGCCTGTGCGTGTATGAATATTGATGGTTGGGGCAACTAGTGGTTGCTCGGCGGTGGCTGGAGGTGATGGCGTCGAGAGCGCGAGGCGACGTCGGGGGAGGCGGTCGGACGCTGTTGGTTGGCTGATGGGCGACTGCCGCGCTCGGCCTCGTCGGGAGCCGGGCAGTCGGATTGGGAGAGAGTCGAATCCTTTCTTATAAGTATGTACTTTGACTGTCGCCAGCCATGGTCGCCCAAGCCCCCCGCGCCTCCCCATGCAACAATACGGTCTTCCAGAGCCGTTCTCCGTATTCCTCGTCGTCGTCGTCGCTGTCGTAGTCTATGTATTCTTCCCCCTCTTATCCCTCTTCTTCCACCAGTCCCGCTCGCCACTCCGCCTCCTTCTTGGGCCACCCTCTCCCTCGCTCTTCATCGGCAATCTGGTCGCTTTCGCCGACCAAGAAAACACAGATATCATCACCACATGGTCAACTGCATACGGCCCAACATTCACCTACCGTGGCTTTATTGGAGGAAGGCGGCTGCTCACCACCGATCCAGCCGCACTCGCCTGGATCCTAGGCAGAGCCTACGAATTTCCCAAGCCCGAGTTTGTCCGTGACAGTCTCGCAACAATGGTTGGAGGGCATGATGGGCTTCTATGTGTTGAAGGCGAGGTCCACAGGCGACAGGTGCGTTCTTCTGAACAACCTCGGACATCATTTCAGCTCAACGGGCCACATCCTTCACCCGGCTGAACAGAGGAAAGTCTTGGTTAGTGCTCCTCTAACTCATCTTCTTTGACTTCTCGTCTCATCTTTTTGCAAGAACCAAGCCTTCACCACGTCTCATATCAAATCCCTTCTCCCTATCTTCTGGTCCAAAGCATCTCAGGTCAGCTCTCCTCATCTTTCGCCACACTTACGTAATCATCTACGATCGCTGATATCAACAACGTCCTTCACAACCCCAACATCTCTCATTCGTCGCCACCAATGCAACTCCGACTACGCCGCTTTGTTCACCATCGCATTGCATCCGCTGCACTCATCACTTCTGATTCGCCGCGTGTAATTCGAACTCATGATCTACGCCTGGCGAACTCTTGCCCTCTCGTTGGTTTGCTCGCGTCTCTCAGCTGCGCGACATCTTCATCTCTATCGCTACAGATCCTTCTTCGCCTTCGTCGGTAACCACTAACGCATCCACCAATCCACCGATGTCTGCCACATCTCCCACCGTTGATTCGTTCGCCATCTTGAGGTCGCTCGATCCCGTCAGGCCAAGCAAACCCACGTCTCCGGTTGCTGATGCACCGACAGAAGGGAAGGCGGGCAGTCTGAGAAAGAGGAAACGCAAAGTGGAGAATCCGATGGAGCCAGATGAGAGACGGACAGTACAGACGGAAGCCGCTCGCGAACATCGCAATGGCGATGCCCAGCCCGTCCATAGTGAAGTCTACGCGAAACACGAATTGGCTTGCGTGGATGTCCTGTCTTGGCTCGGAAGGGCCACACTGGATGTGATTGGAGAAGCAGGTTAGTTGCTAACCGGCTCTTATCTAGTATATGGTGCTTACAGGTTTCCAGGATTTGGCTACCAGTTCAATGCTCTCTCGTCACAAGACAACGAGCTTGCCAACGCGTTCGGCGTCATCTTTTCAACCGCACGAAAATTCCGCGTCTTCAGCGTTCTCCAGATATGGTTTCCTTTTCTACGGCGCTTTGTGAGTTGCCGCGCGCTCCATGTTCTATGTTGTGCGACTTACATATATGGCTGACCGTCCAGCGGCCAAATAATGCGATAATGCGTAATGCTCGAGCTACTATGCAGAGGATTGGTATGCAACTAATAAACGAAAAACGCTCGGCAGTCGAGTCCGAGTATGCGAAGACAGGCTATCCCTCTGGATCATCTCCGTTTTCCTCATCAACACCCCTGAGACCAGAAATCGAAGGCGACAAAACTACGCTCGGCCGAGATATCCTCAGCGTCCTTAGTATGTCTTCACCTATCTCCGCACTAGGGTTATGACTTAGATAATTGTCTATTCTTTCATGGTAGTTCGCGCAAATATGTCTTCGGAGCCCAAACAGCAACTCGACCTCACGGAAGTTCTGTCCACAATCTCCACATTTCTAGCAGCCGGTCACGAAACGACAGCCTCAGCACTCACATGGACACTGTACGCCCTCGCTCGATCGCCCTCTGAACAACGAAAATTGCGCCACACCCTCCGTTCAATATGTCCTTTTGATCATCCGGATGACGACGCAAGCAACAGAGACTCCGTACCCAGTGCGGAGTTGATGGCGGCCATTGAGAAGCATGAGCAGTTGGACAGAGTGGTGAAAGAGGCGTTACGGTTGCATGCGCCGATAGGGAGTACGATGAGGACATATATGGGAGAGGAGGAGGAGGTCGTTGTCCCGCTTTCTAGAGGCGTCAGGGTCAGAACCAGGACGAGAAATCCGGGGTGGTCCAAGTCGATTGGGAAACTATGTAAAAAGCTATGGAATAGAGTGAGCGGGAGCCTAGCGGAGGAGGACCTAGGGCCGGATGATTTCACGGTGGAGAGGGGCGTGCGGATGCGAAGAGGGGATATTGTGACTATTCCTATTCAGGCTGTGAATCGGGATAAGGAGATATGGGGAGAGGACGCTAGGGAGTTCAAGTACGTCCATTGTTTGATTCTAGTTTTCAAGATACATAACGATATTTGGAAGCTGACCATCTCGTTGAACCAGGCCTGACAGATGGCTCAATCTCCCTCCAACAGTCAACTCCATCTCAGGGTTGTATTCGAATACGTTGACGTTCTTAAACGGATCCCCTGTGGTTGGCAACAGAGCATGCATCGGGTATCGTTTTGCCCTTGCTGAGTGAGTTTCTCTCTGCTTCTAACAATCCGACCCTCTACAATGTCCACGCTGCTGATGCGTCTTGGCACCTCCAACAGAATCAAGATATTCCTGTATGTATTGTTGCGCGATATAGAATTCACGCTCGACGAAAACATCGTCATTGAAAAGCGGGTCAAGTGAGTTCCTTTTCTTTCGTCGCTCTTTGCTTCTAGCCCTTGCTGAATCTCGTACGCCCTAAAGCGTTGTAACACGCCCGTTCGTCAAATCTGCACCGGACCTTGGGAACCAGATGCCTTTGCGGATACGAAGGCTCTCGCCTCTGGAAGACGAAGATCCTGAGCAATAGCCAAAGTCCAAGCACTCATCCCGAAAACACGATCTGCAGGCAGATCTTTGTACATATGTATCTTCGACGATGTTCACATATCTCCCTATGATACATTTGTACTTGTACGAAACTCACGACCACTGTTCTCTTCTCTACATTGCATTGTCTGCTCAGTTTACTTACATACTGTATTAGTTGTCAGAGGTTTCTTGATTTTTGGTAGCTATCATTATAGAGTATAATGTGCTATACCTATGTACTATGTGGATGTATCGAATGTTGTAGAGTGCTAGCGATTAATCTGTTGGATGTCGAGGTGTGATGCGCACGACGAGATAGGGGCTTCTCGCCACAGTGGCGTAGAGCATGCGTTGCCCATCACTCAGACAAGATAACGATTTGGATCTCTGGTTGAAGTCTCCTCGATCTGACCACTCCTCGATATCTTCTACATATTTTCTACTTTGCCTTTCATCCACTACTCCAATCCACGATGTCGACAACAGTCCCCTTTATCAACAACCTCTCTTCTACTTCTCCTACGCCTCCCCATGCACACTCGCATGATGGAGGAGTACCTCATATCCATGATCACGATCATGGCCTAGCAGAGCATGGTCATACACACGAACATTTGGATAATCCTGGTACGTTTCCTTCCTCAAGCGTGCTACTCTGCTTACGCTACAAAAATACGGCGAATCAACTCGAAAAAATGAGCTGGCCCCGCTGACTTTACTCTCGATGTGCAGGAAAGTACGCTGAGCGCGACATGCCGGAATATTCAAACCGGAATTTCGAAGAGAGAGGGTTCACTATCGGAATCGGAGGGTGAGGATCATTCCATGTCACCCGTCGAATGTCTCTTATACTTTGTGCTCGCCGTTGAGGCAGGCCTGTAGGTTCAGGTAAAACGGCTTTGACGCTCGCGTTATGCCAGAGGTTGCGGAACGAATATAACATTGGTAAGTTATTCTTCACGCGTCATGCATAACACATCCTTCGTCGTTCGTCCTCGATTGAAGTGACAACACAATCCCACTTGCACGACGCCACGCAGCCACCGTGACCAACGATATCTTCACGCGCGAGGACCAAGAATTCCTCATCAAAAACCGTGCCCTGCCCTCCTCGCGCATCCTCGCCATCGAAACTGGTGGATGTCCTCATGCCGCCATCAGAGAAGACATCTCCGCCAATATGGGTGCGCTCGAGCAGCTTCAAGCAAAGTTTGGCTGTCAGATGCTGTTCGTGGAGAGCGGTGGAGATAACCTGGCCGCGAATTACTCGCGGGAGTTGGCTGATTACATTATCTACGTTATTGATGTCGCGGTGAGTCTCTCTTTCGCCGATGACGATCTAGATGTGGAAGGTGCAGAGGCCACTCAAGTACAGAAGCTGATCTTTGCTGTCTTGAAGGGTGGTGACAAGATTCCTCGTAAAGGTGGACCCGGCATTTCTCAGTCTGACCTCCTGGTCATCAATAAGGTGCGCAACAAAATCTCACCTTCGTCTCAGCGTCTCCGATATAGAACCTTCCGCGATCAGCTCACCTTTATTCTCTCCTTGTCGGTCCACTCATTTCCAGATCGATATTGCCACCTACGTTGGCGCCTCGCTCGAAGTCATGGCCCGGGATTCGAACCTCATGCGCGGTGACGGGCCTACAATATTCACGAGCATCAAGCACGGGACGGGCGTCGATGATGTGGTCGAGCTCATCCTGGCGGCGTGGAGGACGGCTGGGTCGCCCGGAACGGTGGGCGCGGTGGGCGATGCCGCATAGTCATTATGCATCAAGAAAGAGGTAGGCCGATTGCGGCAGCAGCAGAAACTGAGATGTACGCATGGTTGTAACTTCACTGGTAGGGAAAACGCTACAGATATAAGAGACGCATGACTGCCGTTGGTTCGGTGTGTCCTCTATATAGGCCCAAAATCGCGGTAAGTGAAAAAGGGACGGCTCCTATCGGTACAAAGTAATCTTCCCTGGACGGTAGCAGCAGCATATATACACAAATATATACACGAGTAAATTACAGTGAGCACTCTGACTCTATAATACCTCCATGGATCCTCATTCTCCAGCATGTGGATGGACACCATCTATAGCTGTATCGATCTAGGTCTACAAATCGCACCCGGCAACTATGACAACTCATCTTCATCTGCAGATTCTGTCCTGTCCATCCTCGAGGATGGCGTGGGCCGGCGAATAAATTTTGGAGGGCGGTACACATCTTGTCCAGATCGAATTTGCTCCTCCTCCTCGTCTTCTCCCACCGCCTCCGTACTCGTGTCAACGTCCAATACATCGTCACCCTTGTGTGCCTCGAAATGCTCGAGGTTCTGCATTTTTATGGTAAGATATTCCACTGAACGGCCACCAGGGCAACGGACAGTGAGCTTGCGTTTCGGTGGATGGCAAGTGGCGTACGGGTGCGAGGAGGACCTCGCGTGAATGTGACGATAGGCTCCTCCGGACTGAATGTCTTCGACAGTATGGTGAAAGCGGATAGATCCCGGCTGTCTTTCCTTGCCTAACGTATGTGATGCAGTAGAGTAACGAGCCGCAGCGGAGTAGGGATGGTGCGGTGATGTTGAGGGGTAAGGCCGATGGTTGTATGAACTCGTAGTAGCTGTGGCGCGGTCATCATCGAAGGTTTGTGAAGATTGATTGGGGGGTAATACACGACTTCGTGTGTTTAGAAGGCGCTTCAGATGAAGTGAAGCTGTCGAGGATTCTCCAATGGTATGTCGGTCGGGGTTGGCAGATTTCAGACCCCCATCAGGATCGAGGTCTATGGAAGAGCTCAGTGCTTTGTGGGGCTTGAACAATGTACGGGGCGTGGTGCAGATCTGTACTCATCAGGGTTATTCCAAATGTATTCCCTTTTAAATTCACGAAACTCACCTTCGTCTCGCCAGCAGAAGGCAATGCAATTCCGTTCGGTGAAGCACTGACATCCGAAGCAGAATAATAGGGACTCGGATAACGCTGGGAGGGGGTGATCATACGCATCAGCTCCTTCGAGATAGTGAAAGACCTGGAGTATGACGGGAACGTTGGTTAATGTTGATGGTAAGATGAATGAGAGTCCGCACGAGAAAGGGAGAAGTACTATGACTGGTGGCGAGGGCCAATGTACATTCACGTGGAGTGACGACGTCAGGCCTGACAAGTAACATTGCATTGTCCCGACTTCCACCTCCCTACAAAATCATGCCGAATGTAGACGCTTCCTATTGTTCTGGGGGATCCTGGTGTGTAAGCGCAGTCGAATTATCTAAGATTCTGTATCAGCGATCATGAACAAAGACTATTGCGAACCTCGACTCTACTCCGTTTTCTACACCTTTAATGTTGCTAGATGCCAAATGCGATGTCTAGGAGACTAAATCTCGCTAGGAGTGTGATTATGCAGTTTCAACATGTATAATTGGGATATAATCGAAGACATGAAGTATTAAATGGTGCCAGGATAACACCACGGCAATGATAGCAGACAAAACACAACTACTCAGTATGCAAGAATCACAGTATCAGTGCTCCTCCTTACCCATCTCACGAGCACGGAGTTTCTTCTCCGTATCGCGCATCTCTGCCTTCCACCCTTTCCAAGCCTTGGGCTCTTGTTCCCAATGCTCGTGACAGTCGGTACATCGAATGTAGTATGCCGATGATTTCTCTGGATACCCAAGGAGCTCACTAAAGTAGAAGAAGCGCAAGAGTCAGGCATAGGATGGGTAGAGGGAAAAGAACCAGAAGAACGTACAACTCGGGAAGGTTATCACCTACGGCGTCCAACGGACCTGGATGCAGACAGTCCTCGCAGAAAGCCTGAGGACATGTTTGGCACCTGGGTTGGTTGAATATTCGATCGGTCGAGGACTTTTTAGTTTGGCTGCTAGCACCACTGCATGACAGACATACAGCTGAAGACTGACCTGAACAACAGACCACCTGACTGAGCAAGGGTTCGAGCACAGCGGCAACACGAGTGCTGTGGACACCTCATCGAGGGCATCTTTGTGTCGCGGACGGAAAGCCCTAGACATTCTCTATGGAAAACTGTACGACCACGGGTCAAAGCAACTCAACATACTTATGTATATGTCTATACACATACCTCGTGGACAATGGTCGCACACATAGAGTTCACCGCCATCGCGACATACGATACACCAATCCTCGTGTTCCAAAACCTTCTTTGGCTTTTTCTTCGGGGGAGCCGGCTGGGGAAGTAGTAACGATTTAGTGCGATCACACCAACAGAAGGAAAGGCAGTCGTTCATACCTGCATTGAATATACTTCTGGAGCGTCCAGTATGAAGGTCATCCCACCAACAGTCACTGTGCGGTCTGACCTGGCCCTTTTCTGTAAGTCAATCCACTTCTCTTGCCGTGGTTTCTCATCCCTCCTTGCTATGATATGTCCTTCGAACAAGCGTGATTGTACCTGTGCCACACCACTCAGCAACCTCTTCTCCTCCTCCTCCGCATCCTCCAGTAACCTCTGGTTTGCAGCCTCGTCTACTTCTTGCTTGGTATCACCAACATCACCTAGCTCGTGCCTGACCTTCGCATCTCTCCGTTTCTCTTGCTCCCGAGAAACTTTGCAGATGGACTCAATATCGGCTTCCAAGAATTTTCCGAGATTCATCCCATCGTCGGAGCTCATGAGAGCACTGGAACCTTTGCGAAGAATATTCATGACTTCGTCATACCCAAGACCAGTATCGGCTTGCGAGGCGGATTGGTTGGCCGAGCCCATCACCTTGACTGATAAGAAAAGTTTCCTCCTCAAACGATCTAGCATCTGGTCCTCGACGGTCGCTCGACAAATGAGTCGGTAAACCTGAAGAACATGTGAGCACGCTGTGCCCGGCAAAGCAAAGCTGAGTCGTACAGGACTAACCTTCACGATCTTCGTCTGCCCGATCCGGTGTGCACGAGCCATAGCTTGCAGGTCGTTCTGTGGGTTCCAGTCGCTATCGCACATGATGACGCAGGAAGCCTTGGTCAAATTGATGCCCAACCCGCCGGCTTTTGTGGAGATGAGATAGACCTCAAACGCTGTTGGCGAGTGTGATTAGTGGCCGTGACCAAAGACATATTCAACGAAAGGCTCACGAGAATTTTCCTGTTGAAACTGCACGGCACCCTGAGCTTGTTTTCATCATGTACTGGTGGAGGGTACATACCAGCTTGATATCCAACGTCCGCCGCGCGCGAGGTGTGCTGCCATCAAGTCTACAATACTTGATCTTCCTGAGATGCATAAAGTCTTCAAGAAGGTCCAGCATGCTAGTAAGCCGGTCCTGCTTCAGCCTGGTTTGTACTGTTTAGGAATCTCGTTATGGCTTACCTCGTCCACTGAGAGAAAATAAGTACGCGCTCGCCCTTAGGAAGGATATCCTTGAGAATCTTATCGATAACAATGACTTTGGAAGATGACGAGACGAGGTGTTCCCCGATGTAGTACGGACTGGGTTCGGCATCTTCGCCGAGCATGTAAGGACTATGGGCAGGGAGGCGTCAACAACTGTGAAATGTACCCAAAAGAACAAGAGAACTGACTGGTTGCATATTTGACGCAGCTGTAGCAAAAGATTCATCAACTTTTTCCAAGTCCCTACGGCACGACAGGATTAGCGAGTAAAAATTCGTCAGCAGAAAGAGACCCACCGCTTCTCGGTGGAACAGGAGCTCTGATGGTCGTCTGGACCGAATGTTGAACTACAGTTGTAGCAGACGGATCGTTTGGTTCTGTGGTGATACCCAGCTTTGATGAGGCTTCGGTCTTCTGAAACTTTACTTCAGCCTTTACGTTTTTAGCAGTAAAGACCTCATTCAGATCCACGTCGTCCATCTTCGTCAACATCCGATACGTCCAAAATCGCTGAGCCTCGGTCAAAGGTATGAACACCGTCAATTCCTCTCGTGGTGGCACTCCAAGCTGGATGGTATTCTTGGTCCTCCGTAGCATGATCACGGCGAGAAGTTTCTGGGCAAGTTTCAGGACATCGAGGTCGTAGTTGCCTTTCGCATAATCATACGACCGTTGGAAGAATCTCTCAGTTGCAGGCGTGAATACGACCGGATAGAGCCAGTTAAGGAGACCCCACAGTTCTGAAAGTGTGTTTTGCAAAGGTGTGCCGGTCAAGACTAAGGAAAAACGTCGAGATGTCAGAGAATGCTAGGGGAACAGGAAAGGGACAGGACGCAACTGAGTCGGTAAAGGCTTCCTAAACCTTGCAACTTGCCTGAGAGGTTAGTCTCACTGTTCTTGATTTTATGGCCTTCATCTAGAAGCAATCTGCGTTAGCTCTTGCGAGGTACCATCAGTCAAGCGCGTTTATCACCTAAGACAACGTATGTCCATCGTCTAGTTTTCAGCCACCGGTCTTCCGCCGCATATACATCGTATGTCGTGAGGATAATATCGTAGTGAGGGGCAGAGTTTCCCTTCATCGTAGACTTGAGGCGTTCGCGCTCGGATGCAGTGCCATGAAAACGTAGCACTTTCATTGAGGGTACCCATCGGCCGACTTCCTGTGGCCACTCTTAGTACATAATCATCCCAATTGGAGATCTGGACTTACCGCGTGCCACGAGGAGAGAACGGATAGTGGACATATGATGAGGTGGGGATCAAGAGTGATGCCTTTAGAAAAGCATGCGTTGAGTACATTATGTAGCTTTATAATTGAAGAACAAGCTTACCGGCAGAGTGTTCCTTAACGTGGGCAAACAACGCCAGAGTTTGCAGAGTCTTACCCAAACCCATCCTAGGATGGTTGAATAATACAACAAATATTTTTAAGGCGCAGACTTACTCGTCACCAAGGACTGAATTCATGCCTATGCCATCATCCGAATCGGGAGCTCAGCATGGTTCTGGTAACAAGCCAAGCGCATGAAACGCGCATGTGGAGATGAACCGACCATTTCTATGCATCCACAACATAAAGGACAAACCCTCCAGCTAAGTCGATGCACATGAGTCTCTGATCAAGCAGGCGAAACACGGAATCGTACCTGATAATCCTTCATTTCGCCACCTTCTACAAGTCGTGGCTGCTCGTTCACCTGTTCCATTGGAACGTACGCACCATGTGCCTTGGAATCGGACTCGATATTCTCGAAGAATACGTTGTTCGAGCGCGTCAACGGTTGGAAGAGGTCGCGATGGTGATACATCCATCGCTTTCTTGCCGCCTCGAGTTCAGCCCTCCGTACGTTCAACGCATCGGTCACCTAAGCGTGTGTATCATTTCAGTCAAAGTAGGTACGACCCTGTAACATGTTTGGACATACCGTCTTGCGATCCTCCGCTTTGTGCTTCTTCCTCGCAGCTTGCTCCTCTTGCTCCTCGATTTGGGCAAGTGTCCGTTTCTGAACAGCGCGCGGCTTCACCGGCTTTGGAGACTCGATTGACCTTCTAGGGCGAGCAGATCTTCTGACATTAGATTCTGTGTTAACCGGTGTGTTCTCCATTTCGCGGAGATAAAGATGCGAGGGAATATGCAGGAGTCACGGTAAACTGGAACGCCGCGTCGCGCGACAGACTGATGTTTAGGGCAGGCTTATTGGCGTCTAAACAACGAGTCACGTGGTTCAGTGGCGGTGTTGTCGCTGACACTCCACCACCACGCCTTGTTCCTAACTTGCTTCACGCAAATAAATAGAACCGGAGGGAGGTTGAGACGCGCTCAACTCGCGCTCGTCGCTCACGCATGCTGCTATCTATTTGTTCCCAGCCACATGCTTGGCTCCAGAACTCTTTCACTATAGGAGAAAAAGCCGCCCGACCTCGCGCTGAGAAATAGGACCATGGTCATGTTAATCTTCCGCGCTTTTCCCGCTACTGCATATCGCTTTAACGTCTTGCCCACAAGTCATGTCTCAAGTACCAATGTCGCGGACAACGCTTACTCTCTAGTGTTCTCGGCTAATACCAATGTTCTAGGTGCTGAAGTGCCTTGCATATCTGGATCGGCAGGTTCGCGTGGACCGTATCGATGATTGGCGAAGGCGTCAAAATCGGCAGTCATAATACTCCATACAGGACAATGGTATCGCTGTAACACTTCTCTGTGACCCGCGATGCCCTTCTCGGACTGCCGCGATAGTGTATAAAAGACTACTGACTTGCCTTCTCATGGGACACCCCTCGTCGCACTCAAGCCTGGGCAAGTGAACTGTGAGAAACAGGTAGCTACGTACCGTTCTGTCCCCCTTTTATGCTGAGCTGACAGTTATGTCTTCCGAGTTTAATATTGGTTTGCCGTTCTTTGAAATAACCTCATAATGGACTTCGCAAACGACCCCCGGTCTCCACCACCGACCGATGCCATAATTTTGCCCAGCATCCAAGAATTATTTCCTGGTGAATACTTTCAATTCCCAGCTCCAATTATCCTGTGTAAACGGAGAGCTTGCTCTGTAGATCACCTGCTTTCCTCACCCTTTGCTCTGAGGGGCAAATCAAGACGAGGATACTCGGTGCCCAATGTAAGCTCCTCTTCCCTTCTTTGTACACAAAGCACTGAATCGGTTTGCTCGCAGCCGCATCTCCATCATGGTCATCTTTCCGTCACTTCAGGAGTACATCTGGATAGTAGTCAAACCGGAGACGGACCATCTCGGGCTTCAAATGTCTCGCGAGAGCCCACAGCTCACTACGCTACCTCAACACCCTCGGCTGACATATATCGGGATTTCTCTCGTCTACCTCCTCGTACACTCCCGGCCCAGAGCACTCATCCTTATGGATTGCATTCGTCAGCTCAACGCATAGAACCTACACCGTTGACATCTTATGGTCACAACGACTATCTCCCGCGCGGATCGTCGGACCTTAATCGATCTCTGTCTTCCCAACCTACAATCTACTCTCACCCTTCTACACAATGGCAGAACTCAATGTCAATCGGAAATTCGCGTCTCTGTACATCTCCCGTCACCTCGACGGGGTGCTCTTCAGAGTCTTCCACCCAGGAGCCCAACACTCAATCAGACTGGCAGTACACTCGACGCTACATATGTCCAACTTGCTCTAAGGCTTTCAATCGTCCTTCCAGTCTCGACGTACATTGTTTCATACATTCTGGTCTGAAACGTAAGTGCATTCAGCTTCGCTCAATTATCATATACAAACGCATTGAAATGTCTGTTCAGCTTTTCAGTGCACATATCCAGGCTGTGACCGTCGATTCAACGTGAAATCCAATATGAATCGTCATGTCCGGACGCATATGGAGCTCGAGAAGGCCGCCCGCGGCCGTGCGCGGCACCAGCAGCCAACTCCTTCTACAACCCTCTCAGTATACGCTTCTGGTAGCGCTGCGTCTGCTTTCCGTGGCTACTATAGTGATGATGGTGGTGATGCTTTGTGAAAGTCGGGATATATGTTTGGTATTTGCCAAACGGCAGATTTTGACCGACGGGTTGACATGGAGTGTGCTGTATCTCGCTCTTGGATAGGATATCGCACAGAAGAACATAACACTTTTACTATCTCACGTGGGCGACCGATGCGTATATATATATCTACTTCCACCTTAAACATGCATCGAGGAATTCGCTGTGGTACAACAAAGTGTGTAAACTGCGCTACAAGAACTTTGCTTATTTAAGTTAGAGGGACTCCGAAGTCCGGGAGCAGGGAGGACATGTCGTGGGAACTTGAACACATCGCGAAATGTAATACCGGAAATATTGAGGCCACGTTATGTAACTACTTCGTATACTTACTTATAGACGCTCCATTCTTGCTCCATTCCTTTCACTCAACTCTGCTCAATATGCAACGTAAACGCCCTCTCATATCTTACTCTAGCTCTTCCGGCGAATCGTCCTCCCCTGAACCTGAAGACACGCCCATCGTATCTACATCCAAGTCTACCTCACCTCAACCAAAGAAACGCAAACTTCCGCCGCTATCCTCCCAACTCACGATACCTATTCCTGTCGACGACCCTTCCAAACACCAAGGCCGAACGCGCACAGTACCTCATGTTGATGGCCAATGGGCTGCATATGTCTACGTTCCCATCAAGGCTGGAGCTCGAGATAACATCGGAAGACTCGTGAGGAGAACACTGGCGAGTGCCAGGGAGAGGGAAAGCATGGGATGCCTGAGGAGTATTGGATTTGATATAGACAGCGATGAACTAGGGAAGGGGAAGACTCGTGATGAAAATGGAATTAGAACAGAAGACGACGAACTACACATATCACTTTCGAGGCCTGTCTTCCTGCGGGCGTATCAGAGAGAGGAGTTCAAGCGTGCAGTGAGGATCATCGCCAAGTCAAATAAATCGTCAGTCTTTGCCTCATTTTACGGTGGAATATATTGCCTCATCTTTCTCCTGCAGCTACGAGTTTCTGGTTGTAAGTCGAACACGTGAACTGATGTCGTCGGTTTTGTTTACTTCACAGATTTACTGGGTCGTTCGCCACCATCGCTGCACTTACTAACGACGAGAAAACGCGTTCATTCCTTTGCCTCGAGGTCGGAGCAGGACACAATGAGGTGCGTGTCTTTGACCATCCGCTGACGTTCCTCAACACTCACGACCGGTCCCAGCTTCGTAAACTATCAGACGACCTCACACCCACTCTCCGTTCCATGCGCCAGAAGGAGTACTATGCTTACCCTCGCTTCCATGCGTCTTTCGCATGGGCTCTCCTCGACCATGCCTCTGCTAGCATAGCACTTAACACATCCAAGGCATCTGCATTGTCTCTCGGCATTGACGGAGCGCTGTCAAACCCGCCCTACGCATCTTCTTCCCACGTTACAACCTTTGACTCACCAGACTCCTTCCCTACAATCCCCTCTTTGCCGGACAACCTCGTTGCCTCATTGAATGCTGAATTCGGCAAAGCGCTGCTCACGACGGTGGGTCATTTCGAGGTGGAAGAACTGAAAGTTCGAATAGGGAAGGATGTCTTCGGATGGAGACTGGAAGGGTAATCGGGTCCCCTGCTTTCGTAGTTGACCAAGCGGACACACGGACAAGACTCAGCTCGGCATTACAGTCAATTACCCCGTGGTGGGCCAGTACCCCGTAATGGGTCACCTACTGTTTACGGCGAGGGCTGGCATCGAAAGGCCAAGAATGCTATGATATCATGCTCCAAAGCTTCGAATGGGAGCACAACTCCACCATATGAGGGCTTCGAGCGCCCGCATTTGGAAGGTAACCCATTACGAGGTACTGGCCCACCACGGGGTAATTGACTGTACGCTATGTGTTTGTTCGAGTTGTAATGCTACAAGATGACAATACGCAGATAACGGACAAGAACTACTATAGAAGCAATGTTAGTTTACAGAAAGCAGTGCAGCAGCGCAAAACGGGAGCGTATAGCGCTAGCAGTCCATCAAGGGAATTCAGACAGATGATATATCTTAGGCCAGTATGCAACTGACACTTCAGAGTTTCTCGTGTTGGGTTTCAATCGCTGTCGCTTTGGTCCTGCAAGAAGGCCATGATGCTTCTGGCCGCATTCTAGCACAAAGCTGCTATCAGCCATAAAACTGAAGGGCAGAAGAGAACAACGGAGGGATAGGGTTATGAACGAACCTTGTGCTTGCGCTTGCCAGTTGGTTCTTCAGGCTCGCTCTCTGATGCACTCTTTTCAGACGCATTCTCTTCATCGCTACTATCTTGCTTTCCTTTCGATTTCGATCCCGAAGATCGAGAGGCTCGAAACGGCCCACCGGACACTACGGCGGCCTCGAATTTCTGCACATCCTCTGGTTGTCAGTCAGTGCGAAAGATCATATAAGCAGGAGAACATCGAAGTAGAGGAGACAACCGAGCGCACCGAGCTCTTTTGCTAGTTCTCTCTTTGTCTTGATCTCTTTCGCTTTTTCCATGCTTAGGCGTCCCTCCATCCCAAGCTCGGCGAGAATTTCTCGCAGTCGTTTGATCTGCTCCGAGGGAAGAGTTAAGTCCTTGAACTCACGAGCCCATTGCTTGCGGACGCCACAGGCCACAACGAATGACTGGAACCCAAAAGAGCATAAGAGCATGCGTGGGAGATAGAGGGCATAGGCACAGCTAGAATTCTACCTTAAGACGCTTGATGGCCTCTTCATCCTTGCTGAGCTCTGGTCCAGACTTTTTGTCACGTTTCTTTGCCTGAAATGGACATTTCAGGTCGAGTCAGAGTGATTGATAGGGAATGGACACATACAGCAGGCTTGCTCTCCTGTCAGACACAATCAGAGACGGTATCGTAAGTACACCGTGACGAACGACACAGTCATCTAAAACTGATTACCTTCCTCGATCCTTTCGTCTTGCGCTGTTTCTTTGGAGGATCATCGATCAGCACTGACAATTCGGACTCGCTCTGCAATAATATCATCAAAACATGACAACCGAAAGATTCGTTGTATCACATACTGCGTCGTCTTCGTCGTTCCGCTCTGGTTTCGGAGCTACCAATATAGATGAAGAAGCGGAGTCCTCCAGTTTAACCGACGTGTTGATTTGAGCTTCACCATCATTCCCAGGTCGCGTTGCCTTCTTACGCTTGACCGCAGTAGGTGAACTCTTTTTAATTGAAGGGGAGGAAGGCTCTGGCTTTGGGACGACCTTATCCCCTTCCGGCTCAGAGTCCGAGATTGTATCCTTCAGGGGTCACATTCAGCAGGCACATGCAGACGTCATCAAGTAGAACTGTTCCGTACCTTGGATGTAAACTTCTTCGACGACCTTGAGCGAGACGATGGTGGCTTGGAAGAGGTGGCTTTGCTGCTCCCTGACTTTTCTGAGTTGGACTTGCGCTTGCGTTTCTTGCCCGTGGTTTCTTCCTCCTTCTCCGCCGCTTGATCCCTCTCCTCGTGCTCGGATCCAGACTGGGGAGGACTATGCTTCTTGAGATTTTCCGCCTGAGCACCATCATACTCAATCTACGCCGCACAAATAAGAGGAGAATAGACGTACTACGGCTGCGTCGGCTGCGTTCTTGACTATTGTCTTCCATTCCCTTGCATCCAGCGTACCGACCTCCAATTGACAGGCTTCCTCGACCTTTTGACGCACAATTCTCGTGGTCAAGCTCCTAAGAGATGGCACCAAACTCGCTAAGTCCTGAAGAAACGTGCCCGAGACCCGGCTAGGTTCTGAAATACATACGATGTCTTGTGGGCTCGTCGAGCGTCCAGCACGATCTTTCGCGTCTGCGACTTGATATGATCAGCGTCCGGCTCTGACATTGCTATTGGAAAGAGTGGAATATGGTGGTACTGAGGATGCCGTTGCGCAAGAGTTCGAGCAGGATCACCGTTCGAGCCAAGCCTTACGCGTCGAAATGTGGGGGAAAGAGTCACGGGTGCCGCCAATGGTCACACATCACGCGGAGACCGGCCTTGTGTGACGAAGCGCGCAAACATTTTTACGTAGAGTTTCCGAACCTGCAACGGCCGCACCACCATTCCACAGCCCCCAACCGTCCAGCGAACACTTTGAACGAACGGCTACTTAGACTTAAATAACCCGAGCTAATACACGCACCATACTCCGTCTGTTTCACGTTTCTCAATAATGCTTAGCATGAGCATTCTTCGCGCGGGAACACGTACAACTTTCTCAGGACATCCTGGACCATCATACACACTCGAAGCGCCCTCGGTTCAATCAGCGCCTCGCGAACGACTGAGCAGACCCACCGACGATCTGAGGCGCGTACGATAAGTCAACCAAGCCCGAAGTCTTACGTCGTCTTCAACGCCCCGAGGTTGAGGCAACGTGTTACCACGGAACGTGTTTGACGAGTTTTTGCTGGTTTTCCATCAGTAGTTCTGCTACTCATCTGGCAGGACTCGCTCTTTGGGCGCTCTTTGATATCTCGTTATTCATCAGAATTTGAAGCTCGAAGACGTGAGTCTGCCGGAACTCTAAACTCGCTTCTCGACTTCTGTTACCATTTCTGCCGATACGGTGTCACTACCCCTGGCCCGGCTTCTTATAAAGGTTGATATGTCGGCCAAAGCGCTCAGCAAACGACTCGCCTTGGATTGATCTACTCCTCCCTTGCGCTCCGATAGCACTGGAATAGCTTGCTCCATGAACATCCTCACCTGGAGTTTCCTTCTGCTATGCCTTGTTCTCATCCTCTTTAAAGCTCTGGGCTACCTCCGACCGTCCAGTGATGGTAACGAACTTCCTCCCGGTCCCAGACCCTTGCCCATCATCGGCAATGTTTTCGACTTGCCTACCAAGCAGGTGTGGTCGGAATTCGCTAAATGGACTGACACATACGGTGAGAACCCATCTACTCGGACATACTTACCTGTTCTTGTTCGGTTCTCACCTTTGATCTCGCTGCCAGGTCCTATCATCTCAGTGTCCGCACTAGGCCAGCGTATTGTGATCATAAACTCGCTTTCCATCGCCCGTGACCTCCTTGAAAAGCGCAGCAATATATTCTCGGATCGCCCGTACATCCCAATGCTAGACTTGTGCGCCTTTTTCATCTCCCTTCTCTGTCACCAGCCCTGACCTTCGTCAAGAATGGGTTTTGACGTGTTTAACCTTACGATGCGTCGCTTCGGACTGGAGTGGCGTGCGGGACGGCGCATCGCAGACCACAGTTTGCGCCCCGCCGCAACCCTCACCTACCGACCCTTCTTGGTGTCTAAGAATCATCAACTTATGCAGCAGTTACTTCGAACACCTGACAATTTTGTCGAACATTTGCGGCAGTACGTCTTCCATCACTCTTTTGTGCCGCTAGTATTACGCTTATCCTAGGTATGGCTGTGTCATATTTACAGTTTCGCGGCCGCCATAGCCATGAACATCGCGTACGGATATGAGATAGCTCCCGCAAATGACCGTTATGTAGCCATCGCGGAAGATGCTATTGACAGAGCAGTCAACGCCTGTCTCCCAGGTCGTAGACTTGTAAACATCTTTCCAAGCTGTGCGTTCAATCTATCCTCATTTGAACGACTACATCCCGCGGACTTCGCTCTTCATCTCACTCTTCTACGTTCACATACTAACTTCATTTCCGTCTCATGCTTCAGTGAGACATCTTCCTGAATGGCTACCTGGCATGGGGTTCAAGGACTATGCACGCGAGGCTGCTAAGTGCACAGCAGAGATGGTGGACCGGCCATACGCATTCGTAAAGGAGCAGATGGTTTGTCGTTCTTTCGGTTCCGTCGGAATCAGACCATACCAGCATCCTCGGCGATTCGTAGTTTACTAACTATAGATGTCATATTAGCAACACGGGCTTGCTCTTCCTTCTATCTGCAAGGAGAATCTGGAGTCATATGACCTCGTCTCTCCGACCACAGAGCAAGAGAATATGATTAAATACGTCGCTGCCACTGTCTACGCCGGTCCGTCTCGTTTCTCTTATTCGCGTTTTATATAGTCAATTGATAGTCCACCACCGCGCATGCAGCTGGAGCCGATACGGTGCGTGTGTTATATTCGTAGATCCCTTAGCTCTCTGACATATTTATTCATCCAGACCGTCGGCGTGCTTCACACATTCTTCCTGGCGATGACGCTCTATCCCTCCATCCAAACCCGCGCTCAGGCTGAGATCGACAGCGTCCTGGAAGGAAAGGCATTACCTACTTTCGAAGATGAACCGAACTTGCCATACGTGAAAGCTCTGTGCATGGAGCTAATTCGGTGGAAACCCATCACGCCTGTGGCCATTCCGCACGTCAACATTGAAGCTGACGTGTACGGGAAGTACTATATACCTAAAGGTTCGTTGGTTGGGGACAATTCAGAGGATCGAGAATTCACATCAGTTCGATCTTAGGTTCCCAAATCATCGCAAATGCCTGGTATATTCCCCACCTACGTCCCTCCCGTCCCCTCAATTTAATGCTTTCCACTCCCAGGGCCATGTTGCACGATCCTGTAGCCTATCCCAATCCAGACGATTTCTCGCCTGAGCGCTTCATAGGGCCTCACGGCGAGTTTGTTGAAGATCCAGACTTGACCGTCGCCTTTGGCTGGGGGCGCAGGTTTGTTCATCTTCACTTCTGACTGTTTTACCTTTACCTGCAGCGCGTGATTTTACGCTTACCCCACTTGTACTGTTTCAGACTTTGCCCTGGAAGGCATTTAGCGCTTTCCAGTGTATGGATCGTAGTAGCTACGGTCCTCGCCACATTTCATATTGCCAAAGCTAAGGATGAATATGGTAAAGAAATCGACGTCTCTGGAGAGTATACTGACGGGCTCGTGAGGTACGTTCGCTAATGCGCTATCTCATTGTCACCGGGAAGGTGTATTGACCTAGTATGCGGCGCGACAGCCACCCCATGCCCTTCAAATGTACTATTACCCCTCGGAGCGAGGACGCTGCCTTCCTAGTGAAGAGCACATTGACTATGCAAACATAAGGGATTACACGCGTTGAACGTTTTTGTATGTTGTACGCTCTCTGTTGTTGCGCTACTTAATGGGAACCACCTTCCTACAATCCTGGATATTCTCTTTGCATTCGCAACCTAAGAAAGACAGCTGAAAGGCATGGTTTGAACCTTGCCCTCCGAGCCCGTGCGACCCCCTGGCGGAACTGCCTTCACGCCACTCTACCACATTACCACACACTGTCACCCAGTACCTATCAGTCACAACGCCAGGATCTTTGAATGCTACGAAAGGAGATACGTACCTGTGCAGAGACTCGCGGGTTCCCATTGGATCGACAAACCTGCTGGCGGGTCCCTTAGCCAGATCGCTCTAGATGGGATCCGTAGGAGGTGAGGCTGCTCGATACCATGTCGTTTCCTGCTTCAGTGGGTGGGGGTAGCGTGTCTTTGGAGCCCGAAGGTAGTCGGGCGGGAATAGTAAGAGAGGGCTTTGATACAGCGACTTTGAGAATGATAAACAGCCATCGTCATCTTTCGAGTGCATCATGCAAACACCTTATGGGGAAGCTAGATCCCACACAATACTCTCGAATGCTTTCTTTTGGCAACGGACGGTGTTGCGAATGTTCAAGCCATATCCTGTCCCGCATGATCGGGCATTGTTTGGTCACCTATAGTCCATACGGAAAAAGAAGAGGGCTGTCTATGGTTTCGGGGGCAGTTGTAGGCCGAGAGCGAGCGATTGTAGCAACGAGCAGAGACGATGGACTGGAAACGATGGAGTGTGTGCAGCAACAGAGTCCCTGGGGTGGAGAGGCTGGGTTCGGGAGCAGGAGTCAAGCAGGATTGTCACGATCCAATCCAATCTCATCTTAGCAGCCGGATCGGCAGGGATCGGCTGACAGCAGTCTTCGAAGTATCAGGCTCTCGGCGGTCAAGAAAAACGAAGGTCAAGAAGACCGGACTTGGACGTGGCCGTGACGCAGGCGCGTCGTGGTTAATAGTAAAACGCGATCGGTCACAAAGTCATCCGATCCTAGCCTGTCACAGCGGGCCATTTCGAATTCAGTTACGCCTCAGTTGTGTATCAGAGTACTGTACTTTTTCGACCAAAGGTTCATCAGAAATGTACGTCACCCATCAGTTTCGCCCCGGTCACGGTTCAGAAACCGTGCGTGAGCGTGACGGGACCCGTAAATAGTTCAGAAAACAACGTAGGCGCTTGCAAAAATGATCATTTTGCGCAAGCGCCTGCCGAGGTCACTGTTCGCTCACCATGCGTTATGTGTGAGGTCACGCAGGATTTTGTTCGGTTCACCAGCGCGGAGAACGCGTGACGAACCTTTGGTCGAAAAAGTACAGTAACTTTCATCTGCATTTGCAGAAAGGACTTGGAGGTTTTGAGCGGGACACTCTCATCAAACTAGGAGATCAGCATCTGCCGTTTCTTAGAAAGGATGCGGTTTGCCATCATGTCGTCCTCGCAATGATCAAGGAAAAATTCCGTGCATTTCATTGTATGTATACTATGCTTGTGGCTCATACCGACTCCAGTACTGTAAGTTAATTCTTTCTGAGCATAGATATGATGTGCGCAAACTTGGCTCGTTCAAACAAGAAACTACAACGACAGTGATTAGCAATACGTCAAACAGGATTGAGCAACACATACCACGAAAATAAGCATACTGTAACAGAAACCACCGCCACCCCTATATGACCTTTTTGAGCCAAAAGCGACGGTGGAACCCCCTGATAGACCCTCTGACTCCATCGCGTCGCGGCTGCACATACAGCAAACACACCAAGCACGGGCACGGGCGGCACTGCGTCTCGCCAGTGGACCAAACGTCCTGCGCCTCTTTCATTGAAGTATCTCCGGATGAAAGTACAGCAGTATAAGGCGCGCATACAGGAGTTCGCGATGTTTGCCCATACGAGTCCTGCGTCACCGAATCCTAGAGTTCTAACGAAGGTCACCGCGGCAGCAACGAAACCGAGCGAGAAGGCGATCATCCAGCGACTTTGAGAGCGTAGGTCTGAAGGACTGCAGGCAGACGCGAAGAAGGCTTCGAGGACTCCATTAAAGGCCATGGTGGGAATGTAGTGGATGTATGCTCCGAGGATCCGAGGTGCGGATGTATCGTGGTATCGTGGAGGGAGGAACAGAGTCGTGGCAAGTGGGAGGTATGGTGGGCCGAAGACGGCGAGGAGTAGGAGAAGATGTGTGAAGAGCAAGAGGAGGGTCATGAGAACTTGCGAAGCGGTAGCGAGGGCTTGTCGGTCGGCCGCATTTCCCGGTTTATCGGCTTTTGAAGGAGGGAGAGTTTTGGAGAAGAACATTCTGGAGGTTTCCTCAATGGGAGCAAAAAGTATGCGAGTTACAAGAGAGCCTGCGTGCGATGATTCAGTTCTGTTTCCCACGGAATGCTGCCAAAGGACAAACCATAGTTCGACGCGATCGCATATCCACCCTGGTCCGCCAATGGACTGAGGCGTGACACAAGAAACTTGTCGCCTTCGTTCAAGAAGTGCTTAATGACAGATTGGCCAGTCATCGCACCAGAGAGACGCAGAAACTCTGGATCGAAATATGTTATCTTTTTGCTACAGGTCTCGTCAGCAAGCCTTGGGCACTACAGTGATGGGCAATGACGAACTTTCCGTGAACATCTTCCGAAACCTTTTCAGGCGTGAAACGCATACTGCCTCCATAGACACGGAAGAATGTCAAAAATATAGAAATTCCCCACGCTAATTGGCCGAAGGCGAATGCAGGCAAAGCCCACACTGGAGGCGCGAACGCGAGGAAGAGGAATGTGACGAGCGTCTTCAGCAGCGTGGCCGTTCCCTCCGCACGAACGCGGATGTCATATCGTAGTTCATTGAGAGCTCGGATGTACATGGGCTCCGTGAGGAGTTCGATGGCTGCAGCTACCGCCATGGTAAAAACGCTTGTGTAGAAATGAGGCTGCGATGTCGTGGAGGAGCTACTAGAAGCAATGTATCCAAAAGCGAGGACGAATGCCGCGGGTATTCCGAAGATTGTTGGCAGAAGAGCAACATTTGTGACAAGAGTATTTTTGGTTGGTTTTGCTCTTCCTGTTGAGGGGCTGCGGAGCAGAGCAATGCGAACGCCTTCGCGAGTGAAGAGGATCGTGGAAAGCAAGAGTTCGAATTGGATGGAGGCTGTTCCGAAGGTTTGTGGAGAAGCCAGTCGAACTAGCGCTTGGTTAAGGGCAAAGGTCAATATGCGTGACACCAATCCGAGAAGAACTAGTGAGGATGCAGAGGCTAGCGATGCATCGAGGACATTCACAGCAGGAGCGCCGCTTTGCGACGACGTGGCAGACTCCATCGCCGTTGAGCTGTAATTTATGGATGTCGATTCTGCAGAGTCAGTTGGGTTTTCAGTATCGTTCACAAGACGCTACAGAACTGCCGGTACCTGCCTAGTTCATGCTCTGAAGGGTGTGCGTTTGATGCAAGATTCACGGTGAACTACGTTGGAAGGTGGTAAGTGGCGAACATAGTCCCGCGTGCTCGTACGCCACAATGGCGGAGCCGAACCGGTGCCTTGTGGCGCGCCACTTATACCAAGGTGCACAGGGGCTTTATCACGACTGCCTGAACGACAAACGTTGGTACTTTCGTTATTGGATGGAGAGGTACACCAGCATTATAATTGCGTATGTGCCAAATTGAGACACCATGAGGCGTCAACTAAAGGAAGGAAGGAAGGAAGGAAGGAAGGAAGGAAGGTTTTACAATAATATATGGGTAACATGGCATGCGGGCTTAGCAGGCTTCTTCATAGTTCATGGGGAGAGAAGGAATAAAAAATTTGGGAGAGAGATAGATCATGATGTACGTGCGTAGAAGTGCCAGAAGAGTGAGAAAAGCATGTGGGGTATACATGAGTGATGATGCAGCGAGCCCAGAGACATAGAAACGAGCGATGCGGATACATAATATAATAGACCGAGGATATGTTAGATGCCATGCTGCCACGACGATCCGACTACTTTAAAAAGAGCTCTTAGCTCTTTTTAAAGTAGGCACAATAATAATGATAGACTACGGTCGTGAGAGGGGAAAGTAGGAAAATAAGAATCAGGTTGTCGCTATGATATTATGGAGTCGTCCAGTTCGCGGGTGGAAGGTTCCGCGAAGGGGTCCGTTACAAGACGTATTGGTACCAGCACCTGGTGTTCTTTTAAGTCAGACTTGACATGGTTGGCAGGGACGAGTTGCAGCATTATGAAATCCTGTACAACACATCATAGTCAGCACTGGACCTTCTTCCGACGCAGAACGTTCGATGGACTGACCTTCACTACGAGGCGCTCTGCAGTGAACCCACCGACGGTCATGCTATCGATGCACTTGATTTCTCCCTGGTAATCGAGTGTTTCCTTCCCATCGTCCGGCCTCCTGAGCACGTTCGCCCTGCTGGACGTATCGGAGGGCAGCACACGGATCGTGGCCTCACCGATTGTGAAGGTCCTCGTTATCCGCACACTGTCGATGATGCCGATCACATGCCGCTGCAGAATCACGCGGACTATGGGTTGTGTGTGTGGATCGGTGGACTGGTGCGATGATCTACGCGTGAGTTTTGAGGAAAGTGACGAAGAGGACGAAGGTTGAAGGAAGTGATGAAGGGACTCGGAAGGCGCTTGTAGCTGGACGTAAAAAGGGATGGTGTCGCTGAGACTGTAAATCTGTGCCGAAGGGATGAAAAACTGAAGGGAGAACGTCAGCAAGAACATATATCGTTATTTGGCGTCTCAAACTCACAAGAGAATCTATGGGCTCAATTGTCGCTCTCAGGTACGTCCCCATGGTCGATGTGGTTTGATGCCACTCCTCAGGGAGGCTTTTGATGCTCGGAAGAAACGGGAGCGAAGACGGCAAGATAGGCTGATGTGGGCGCGTCCTTGGTTTGTAGATAAACGGCACGGTCAGTTTTTTGTGTGTCCGCCACTGCTTGAGGCTTCGCGTCTGTGTTGTAGACACCGTGATAGTGTAGCTGCAGTCCACATGGAGGCTCGGGAAGCCTGACTGTTTGAGGTCGAACGACGGCGGCAGAGGGCGCGTGTTGTTGTCGCGACATGTTGCAGGAAGGGTGATTTCGAACGGAACGATAGTCGGACATGAAGCCGACGGCGAGGACGTATCATCGGCCGTCCATAACGTGTGGATGTCCTCGAAAAAGGTGGTGTTGTAGCCGGTGTTATCGCTCCCTGTGAGCTCCAGCGTCCCCTTGACCTGACAGGGTGGTCAACAAAACGCGTCGGATGCGAACGGCACTGATGTGGGCTTACCTTTACACGGACTTCTTGGATAGCATGAGCGTCTTTGAGACCAATGTCTCCACAGATCGTGGCCTGACTCCCGTATATAGGAGCTGATGCTCCAGCTTCTTGACCTAAGAGGGCTACGGAAATAGCGCTGTTGCTTCGCGTGAGAGCGGTCGTTGGCGGTGGTCGACGAGCCGAACGACGCGACGTGAGGGCCAAACGCTCTTCGCTTGGACCGGGTTCAGCAGAGTAGACTGGTGAATCCGACGACGGAGTGTATTCTGGAGGAGCGAAGTCCTCGTCAGGTTCAAGTATTGATGGGGGCGGCGATGCGTAAGTGGTGTAATATTCCAGAGACATGGTCGAGGAGGTGCTGGGAGTGTGTTGCTGGGGGTTGTTAAGAAACGGGAGGATGAAGAGGAAGAGCTTTACAGGTACGCCGCTGGGAGCGTGTAAAAAGAAAGGGAACAGGGCGGTCGGGAGGGCTTATAGGAAACGACCTTCAAATGCAGATGTGGGTTGTAAGCCAGGTCGTGTCCAGCTCGAGGTGTGTCGTATAAGATTAGGTGACGCGGCCAGTCGACTGAGCCAATCTATAGCTCGTCGTATTCCACATTTTTGGAGTGAATATGTGGATCAACTGAATTCAGCTAATGCTTGATATTCACTAAGTGGATGATGGGGATGATGTGGGTCAACATAAGTGGGAGGCGAGAAGAATGGTGTGGGTCAACATAAGTGGGAGGCGAGAAGAATGGTGTGGGTCAACATAAGTGGGAGGCGAGAAGAATGATGTGGGTTTCTGATACAGTCACAACCGCTACGCCACTGTGCACGCCATTCAGATTGAAAGTCACCCTGAGAAACACCAGTAAATGTAATTTTACTCGCTCACCCGCCGGTATAAAGTTCACTCGTGTACGGTGACTTTCATCCATCTCACGGTATAAAGGAGGGTGATTGAAGATCACCCCTTATATTGCCGAATTCACTCACATTGACCGGGACGGGAATTCAACCTTTTCACCAGAGAAATATCACGGAGGCCGATGTCGAGGTTGGACATAACGAGCAACAGCCCACAAAGAGAAGTCTGCGGACACAGCTGGAATAGATTCATCAGTTGGATAGATAGTGTTAAAAATACAAGGTGCACACCAAGGACGTCGACGACGGCGAGATATCCATGCGCTGGCGTTGCAGAACGTCCGCCGACGATGTGGTTCGACTGGAAGGAGCGGCGAAGAGCGCCCTCTGCTGGGATCCAAGCGATGATGTCATCCGGTGGGTTACAGTGATCCACCGGTCCTTTGGGCACCACTACTCCTTTGGGCAGTGTTGCTCATGCCATGGACCTTCATTCTGCCTACGATAAAATATATTAAAATTCAGAATCAACTCCGGAAGCATATAAATCTCCCCAAACATGTCTTGGCTATAGGGTTACATGCATGTGGAGTAATAGGACGAGCCATTGCGAAGGGGCTCTTTTCGGCATTCTCCGTTTTGGGCAAGCACCGGTCCTTTGGGCACCCCCTTCTACACTCTGCAGGTGGAGAAAGCTGTTGGCGCCGTCCGGGTCAATAACAAAAGGTACTCTTATGTTCATTTAGAATGATATAAATGAGAAGGAAATCCTTGAAAATGTTGTCACGCACGAGAGGGAGGACGTTGCATCACTGTACTCTTTAGGGCAGGCTAAAACCGCCTTCAGGGAACGGGCGCTTCTGCACAATTTCCGCCTCACCCGCATTCACTCCATCGCGGGCTTCGCCCTGAACGACTCGTTTAACGAGTGAAAAGTGGATGTCAACCTCCCTTGAGGTGACATTCAAACCCTTTTCACGTGCACAGTGTACGGGAGCCTTGCACATTCCGCAAATATGAAAAAAAAACTGACGGTCTCGAATGACACTATTGGGCGTCTACCAAGTGCATACAGTTTCGAAAAAACCAAAAAAAAAAAAAAATTAAGATCATGCACAAACTGCTATCAATACCCCTCGATTACAAGAGGACTTGGACGGCAAAGCAACGGATTTTACATGGATCCTAGCGGCTGTATTGGCCCTCGGAAATCTGCCCCGGTGGCTCGTGCTCACCACCTAAATTCTGAGTCAGTACCGACGGGTGGCTCTATACAAGCTATGTGGAGCCTCCGGCAATTTGCCTTGGTTCAAGTTGGTTGATCGGTCAGCTTTGAACTATGCGACAATTTCCGGTAACTAGGACAGGTCTCCGCTCCGGGTACATCAACCCTGCCTTATTAACGTCATCCACACCAGCTCAAACATCAACTCTTCGAACTTCCTCACATTCACGTCTGCAACTGCTGCTGTTCTTAACATGTCTTCTCCGACTCACAAAGCACTTCTTGTCGAATCAAAGGGCGCTCCCCTTGTCCTCGGGACACGTCCTACTCTTAAGCCCGGAAAGGGCCAGCTCCTGGTCAAGGTAGGCTTCAGCATAACGTCACCACTCTTTTAGTATCCGGGACTAATGCGTCCTTTGGGACAAAGATAATTGCAGTAGCTCTAAATCCAGTCGATGCCTACCAAGCTCAGGTCGGATTCCTCATCACTTCTTACCCCCATGTCTGTGGCTACGATGGAGCTGGTATCGTGGAAGAGATCGGCGAGGGCGTCACCAACTTTACGAAGGGAGATAGAGTGTAAGCGAATCTCTTCCTATCCATGAACCACTGCCACGCTAACGAGCGACTGTACTTCATAGTCTGTATGGAGCAGACACCGTGCCCGTGGAGACCCATACCTTCCAGGACTACGGAATCGCAGACGCGTCTTTGACTGCCAAGGTTCGTTACTCTTTATCTTGTGATTCGTCCGCATCTAACGACGCTTCTTTCACAGATCCCCTCCAATGTCTCGTTTGAGGAAGCCTCGACCATACCGCTTTGCCTCTCGACTGCCATTGTAGGACTCTATGGTGAATCCAGAAAAGCGCATGGGGGCGCAGGTTTCATTGCCCCCTGGGAGCAAGGTGGTAAGAACAAGTATCACAATGAACCCATCATTATCATAGGCGGCTCTAGCTGCGTTGGCCAGGGTGGTAAGTGCACCCCAAAAATCCACTGTCCACACTAGAACTGACGGTATCGAACCTTTCAACTATAGCTATCCAGATGGCGAAGATGTCTGGGTTCAGTCCAATCATAACCACCGCTTCATCGCGCAACGAAGCGTACTGCAAAGCCGCAGGGGCAACCCATGTCATCGACTACAACAATGCGCCCTACGGACCCGCGTTCGTTGAAGCAGTCGCATCCATCACGACAGCTCCGGTCATGGTGATCTGGGACTGCATTGCGGGCGAAGACTCGCAAAAGGCCTGTTGGTCTATCCTCGCGCCGAATGGAAAGTTCGTCGTGGCGAAACCTACACCTTCGAAAGCGATCGGGGAAGACGGCTTCGTTGATGATGAAGGAAGGAAGGTCATTGGCGTTTTCGGAAGTGTGTATGATGACCAGGTAGGAGGAGACGCGCGGCTCGGGAAAACATTGTTCCAGGCATTAGAGGGCATGTTGAGAGACGGACACGTAAAGCCTAGTAGGGTCGAGTTGCTTCCAGGAGGTTTACTTGGGATCGCAGACGGACTGGAGAGGGTGAAGTCAGGTAAAGTCAGTGGTAGGAAGTTGGTCGCGAGGCTTGCGGATACGCCGTCGAATTGATGTTTATGTTGCCAGTGTTTGCTACTATGAATATCTTTATATTTGCTCGCGTTTCGACCTGTGTGTGTGTGTGTGTGTGTGTGTCAACACTCAAACCTAAACGGCCGATTTGAACGTAGTATACCAGTGCGAGGTAGACCAGACCGATGGTAGATCTGGTTGGAATAAAGCTGGTGATTTATATCCCACAAAATTCGACATGTACAACCCAAAACTTGAACGTACTTTTCGTGGAGTGGTGGAGGGCTACCGTAGCCTGGCCTACATGAAACCAAATTACTTTCTGGAGTAACGTAATGCAATAGCCTGCCTGAGTGAGCACGGTCGCATTTTATACAATGTCACTAGACTAGCTGGGGGATGAGAAATCCTAAACATCCACGGAAACATATTATCTGTATGAACTGGGGGCCCGCCTAATATGTAGTCCGTCAGGGATAGCAAGATTATATGTACATGTCCGACCTAGCTCGAAGGGGAATAACAATAAAGGAACATGTCGTAGTCGTGGTTGTATCGAGGCCAGTGAGAAGCCGACGATCAGAGGATGAACTGCCACCCCTAATGACCAGCATACGCAAGGTACGGTTGTTCATACGTGGACTCATCCGACCCCGCTGAACTCTCCCGCTGAATCATTCCCGCGCGGGGTCCGCTCTCCCATGGGTCAGTTACAAGACGGATAGGATAGACTTCGCGTAGGTCGCCGATGGGACCTTTGAGGGAGTCGGGTGGAGAAATGGAAAACACTATACAGTCCTAGAATTTTCATGTAGATCAAGTTAGTTCAATGGTGCGGAGCATAGGTGACACCGTAGTCTTACTTTTACCCATAAACCTCCTGCTTTGAAACCACCAAGCTGCACGTTAGGGCTAACCTTCAACTCCCCAGAAAAGGTAATCCAGTCGGGCCCATCGCTCTGCAATGAACTGAGCTGAGGAGTTAAAGTCTAAGATATAGTAGCGACTTACAGTTCGCCAGAATGACCCCTCGCCTAGACTAGCCACGCGCCACATCTCTGTTTTGGTACCTGCAGGAACATAATCATTCCTTGCCACAGTCCGTGAGAATGGTTAATTTCCCGATATATGTTTTGAAAATTATGCGCACTTGGCGTCCACGCTGGTCTGACGAAGGAGTTGTATCCGAGTGTATCTGTTGGTGTTGGCAGGGGTATTCGTGGGAACGTAAGGAAGCAGGGAGGCTAAGGACATGGCGGACGATACGAAGGATACGTGGAAGGGAATCGTTTCCTTTATACAGAATACCTGTGATTTAGGGAGGTAGAGCTACATATAAAGAATGCGTATCAGTGGAATACGGTTCTGAGGCTGGGTCGTAGTACGTACGGTGCAAAGTATATCTCTAGAACCAGGAACTCGAGAAGTGATGACGCTCTCGTGGCTCTTCCATTGTGGCGTGATGTCCAGGCCGGGCCTCACATGAGAGCGGGAGAGCGGGGGAGGAATCGGCAGGCTTGGTCGAGATCGGGGATGGAATACGAAAGGTGTTGATACCGATCTAAAGAAAGGATGTTAGTGGACATGATGTGGATTGGTACAGGGACTGACATGGCACCAATGTTGAGCCTTGTGTTCCTTGATCTGCTGGCTACAGCTGTTACACTATACTGGACGTTGGCTTGAAATCCGGGTAACCCTGATAGGTGCGCTTCATATGTGGGGGGTAAAGGCTGTCTCCATATACAGGGTGAGCTTGGAACTAATGGAAATAGAAACGACACACGAACATATGAACCTTTCTCATCCGCAAAGGTGGCCGGCAAAACCACACTGAACGGTAGATGGATAGGGCAAGGTCCGTCGTCAATGCCTTTACGCCACAGAAAAGCGGTCTCGTCACAAAGAACGAGGGTTGTTGTTCCGCCTGCTGCGACCTCTTTCAGTTTAAGTACTCCTTCGATCTGTGCTACTAATGAGTTAGGTATTGACCATTAATCCCGACGACGCTAGTCGCACCTTCGCGGCCACATATACCACGCCATCTGTTCTCGATAACTCGACTGTACCTTCGACGGGGCCTCGCGCGCCATACACTGGATTGTCGCCCTCTATTCGCTGGGCCTGCGTCAGACGAAGACTGATAGTCCCCGATTTATTCTGCTTCACGACGTCAGCAACTGGAGGTCGCACACGTCGGATTGGTAAGCGCCCTTGGGTAAGGCGGCGCTCATCAGATAGAGGCTCTGCAGTGTAGGAGGGTGTTCTGGGTAGAGGTGAAGGAGGTGAGTAGCTCGGAAGACTTGCGGTGGACATGGTGGCACTATGGTGGCGAGCGACGACGTCTGGTTGGGAGTCAACGCTGAAGCGGAGGTTAGACTTGCTTGTATTAGAAACCTCACGCCGGGTGTACAGGGGAGCCGGAGTGGTGCACGCTGAGCCTTCTGTAAATAGGGAAGAGCACAATGCAGATGACGCCCATGCAACAGAGCGGCACAAGGTTATGAAGCCCTCGGAAGACCACACAGAGGTTCGACCATATGGACCTCCCGCTTCCAATCTTATCGCATCGGTGTGAATAATCGGCCGAAAGCCTCTAGTCTCAACGCGACTCGCAATTACTCCTGCTAGAGCAGCTCAGACCGCAGGTGTGAAGCAGTGGGAGTACGTGTGAACGTGAAACAGCGTAAACAAGAGTCGAGGGTAAAGATCGTCCCGGGCGACGCAAGTCATGCATGAGGGCAACGCGAGGGTGTGCAGAAGAAGCAAAGAGAACCGTAGTCAACGGCTATGCAATATGGAGTCCTACTCAGTTTTTCCGAAGCCAACCGTGGTCGGAAATACACTTGCACGTCTAACTTAAATAATGACGATTCTTTGCGAGAGTCATCAAGATAGGACAAAATCAGTCATGAATAGACGAAGACACGCGAGGAATTGGAAAAACCAAAACGTACCGCGAAGATGGACACGGCCACTAATAGGGGTCCGGCAAGGTGTGGCAACCGTGTATCAGAGGGCAGATGGTACAGTACAGAAGCTGGGGTGGAGGAAAGTTTTGCACGCCGAGGTCGAATGAACAACCTTCCTCTTCCGTCGGTCCGCATTACCAAATTCAATATCGGCTTTCCGCCACTTGGATCTTGAAGAATCCACATCAACAGTACTGAGTAAAAGTACTTGAAGAGAAAGTGAGGTACTTTAGGCTATCCCCTAGAGCACTTCGTATAATTGTGGTCGTATGGATAAAGCGGCAATTGGTAAAAATCATGGGTAGGAGGGGATATACCAAGAGCTTCATTATCGATATCGTTACCGTACCGAAGATACATTCAGATGAACCCAAGGTGACCGAATTGCGAGACGTAGATGCGTCGGACAGTCACAAGGCTTCTGAGAAATAAGGGGTTGATATACAAGTCTGATATCTAGAACAATCGCTGCAAGTAGTCATCTGTAACATACTGCAAACATTAGGCAGAATGAGCTCTTAGTATTGGCGCTTGCTACGAGGGCTCTGAAACTTTCACTGCAGTCTTGGACATCGCAGAATCGGTTGTCAGCTGTATGGGTATGTTCATCTTGAATGGCAGCACATGCGTCTCCATCGCAGCCAGGCGAATGGTGAAAACGAGGATATCCTGGAAAGACCATTGCAAAGTGTCAGCAGCCCCTTGGACCCTAATAGCTGCACCTCATTGCGAGAAGGACCTGTTGACAGGCTCACCTCGACCTTCAGACGTTCCGTTCTGAAGCCACCACACGCGACAGAGTCTGGTATCATTAGCTCGCCGCTCCAGCTGACAGACCCTTCACGTTGCTCCGTGTGGTATACAGACCCTTCCGCGAGAATTTCGGACGACGAGATACCATTCTCGGACGTCCCAAACACGAGAACACCAGTGGCCCGAGCTTTTGTGAATGTATGGCGTTCGAGGTGTACCTTCAACGGCGGTTTCGAATTGGGAGCAAGACGTGATACAAAGGACGGTGCTGAATGTGTCCGTGAGAGAGGATGGAACGATGTGAGAGAAGTCGTGCTCGAACGGAACGGAAGTAGGAATTCGCCGGCGGCCAATAGCGAGACTGTGAATGGGATGGTCTTGTTCAGTGGTGTGACTCTAGACGACGGAAGGTAGGCCTTTGGTCTTTTAGGTAACCAATATCAGAAAGTCAGGTGAGGAAACGGGCTCACCTGAACTCGAATGGATGGGATACTAGATAATCGTGGCCTAATTGTTCCCGAGAAAATCGTCTGTGGCCATTTCACCTTCGGCTCTGAATTTCGTGGGAAGGGACCGCGTAATTTGGGTCGGGTGAGGAATTTATAGACGAAAGGTACACGTAGGCTGTAAAATACCCAATGACCCTATGCTCTCGAGAAGAAAAAGGAAGCGACGTACCGCACCCGATTTCTCCATAACGTTGGGAGCTCTCGCACTCGTGTGAGCGACACAACGACTTCATACTGTACACAGACGCGAAATCCTGGGATGGCTGACAACCGAGCATCATAACTTGGTGGCAGGGGTCGAGGGGATCCACCCTCGGGATCTGGATAAAATGACGGCATCTGGCAACTGAAGTTGAACTCCGAAGGCGCAGTACTGGAGTGCTCCATCTTCTCCCACATATAGAGCGATTCCGAGACCAGGACTGATTTTCCGAATCCACCTCCTGCAGTTTCCATCACCTTGAGACATCCCTGTAGCTGTAGCAGTTTGACAGTTCAGAGGTCCCATAGTGTTCACAATTCCGTAAGAAGCGTACCTTGACTTCGATGGACACAAGCCCTTGGACCTTCGCGAGAGTAACTAAACCTCTAATGATGCTCCCGCTGGCGTAGATTGGAGCTTGTAAACCGCCTGAGTGGCCAGCAAGCACAAGTGATATTGGGCCATCCTGCTTGACGAAATGCTTCGAAGATTGTGGTCCCGTGATCACGGTGTGGCGAGCAACGCTTGTGGTGTCTGCCTTCGTTTCTGGAGCCCGAACAGCAGGGGCTGAAGAGTGGCGATGTAATGCGGTAGGGCGCACTTTGTCCGGGAGTCTCGAGGTGGCCCTGCGAGGCAAAGCATACGGGTGGTGCATGTTGGAGAGGAGATGCTGGTAGTAGTTGGGAGGAGAAACAAGACCGCTCAGTCATAAACCGTAGAATGCGGTGAGGGTTTGATGCCGGATACTCCACAGGGGAGTCGAGAACGTAGGTCTTGATGCTCCTGCAGTGATATTCCCGGTGTGGGAGGATATGATGACCAGGATCAAACGTGCCGACTCGAAAGATAGTTGGTGATGGCGGCGAGAGCAAGTGGCAGTTCTGCGGACATTCTTAGATTCTGTACAAGCCAGAACTGGATTGCTGAAGCATTGTTTGTCCTTCATCATATATGCGAAAGATGCAATGATGAACTTGGAGGTCTCATGAAACGGGTGGCGCCGAGTTCAGAGAGATCATGACATATTATTCCCCATCATTTAAGATAGAGACATAAAGGACCGTAGAGACGTCGAACGTAGATTTGAATCATTGGAGAAGAGACCATTTAATGGACATAAAAAGTAGTAGTGGGTGCTGGTCCAGGTCAGGGCTGGTCGATAGGATATTTTCAGTGTTGACGCTCGTGAGAACCTTACCGGCAATTCGCGTAGAAATCCTTCGGCGTGGCCCTGCGTGGCCCACTCCCTCTCACTCCAGCTCACTCCTTTGCAATCTCAGAACCAGGCTGAAGTCAGCGAGCACCTAGCTAAAAACTCGTTCTTTCTCACTATTTTACTCGCTTGGATCATCTCTACTATCTCTCACAGTCATGGTTTATGACTTCGATGCTGCCGAATCATCCAATCTCGATACACCTTGGGCCGACGACACAATGCAGGCCACGAATGGTCAGGAAGCCGAATGGACACAGATTTCCTCTAGCTTTGCCAATGTGAGGTCTAAATAAGTCACCGGTAGTTGTAAAATGCTTGCTTACATACTGCCATACAGGCTGGTTACCGGGAGGGCATAACTGCAGGAAAAGAGTCAGCTCTCCAAGAGGGTTTCGACGCCGGCTTCGCTCAAGTCGGCGCTCCTCTCGGACGTGAACTAGGAATACTCCGCGGAGTCTCATCCGCTTTACTTTCTCTGTTCAAGGCTAGAGCTTCCATGGACTCTATGTCAATACACATCTCCGAGGCTCGCGACATCGCCACACGTCTGGCCGAGGTACGCTTTTCGGATATTGCTCCGCGAGACTTGGAGGCGGAGCAGCACGCTCGCGATCATCTCGAGTCATACGGGGAGGAATTGGATGAGAATGTGGACGTCGCTGAGAAGAGAAAGGTCGAACAATTGGAGGATATGATGAATCAATTGACAGCGAGCACGGGTGCGGGTGCTGTGACTAATGGGCGTAGGAGGCCAGGACTGGAAGATGTGAAGGAGTTGCAATCGCGTCTTGAGGCATTGGGTTCCGTTGCAGGTGTTGATGTGAAAATACTGTGGAGTTGAACTTTGCCATCGCGCTCTATATCAAGAGATGGGGACGAACTGCCTTGACGCCGGGTACACTCGCTGGGGTCTATTATTGGGTATGTCGTCGGAGTCTATGTTGGCGTATTTTTCTGGTGATCTTGATATCATAAAATCCTTTGCTTTGACAGATGTGCACCCCAAGACTCTGTGCCTACGTAGTATCTTCGCGGTACAGGCGAACGCCAAATGCTGCGTGGGATCCTTTGGCGAGGCCGCAGGCTGTTAGTGATCCGGCACCGACAGAACAGGATGCACGAACCAGGAGAGACAGAGATGTTGTGGGCAGAAGGAGAGGGCGACTGTCGTGGTTTCCGGGCTTCGGTCTAGAGAGAGCAAAAGGAGGTTCGATATTCAGGATAGTTATGTCGTATCCATTACACGATATGCAGCCTTCGTTAAGTGAAAGGGGCCTACATACCTCCTAACACTCAAGCTTTTGCTCGAACATATCGTCTCAACCAGTTGAGGTAAAACGTGGACGCCACCGAAGAGCCACACTTTGAGCGGGTGCGACGTAGACGCGACGTCGCGTCTCTTCCCTCTTCTCAACGTTGTCAGCGGTCAATTGTCGCCTTTGAACACTTGAGTAGTACTATTTCCCCTAAGTCACTGCCGATCTTCTTGCTGGCCGCTTTTACACCACTCGATTGCGATTGCGAGTGGCACAATGTCCCCAAGCGTTCAGTATCACTGTCCTTGCCTTTCTTCCAACCCCGTTCCTCCACCTCCCCAACTGGCTTCCTCGTCACACGCCTTCCATGCCCTGCACGAACTTTACTTCTGCGAAGAATGTGATGCAGTTCGTTGTAATCGATGTGTGTCTGTGGAGGTCAGTGGATACTATTGCCCCAATTGCCTCTTCGAAGTGCCAAGTGCCAGCGTCCGTGCAGAGAAGAACAGGTTCGTCCATCTCCACGTTCCATCCGATTCACACTATTTTACTCTCGTCCAGATGCGCCCGAAACTGTTTTCTCTGTCCAAACTGTCGAAATACACTCTCGGTCGTACCCTCTGACCCACCAGACGCAGACGACGGGATGACGGCCATCAGCGCTGTGGGCGAACCTCCGTTCTTTCTGTACTGCAACCATTGTCGATGGGATTCTGCCGAAGTCGACATCACATTCGAGAAGCCCACCGGCCTTGCAGGTATTTCCTTTCTTCCTTCAACTACGACGTGAATCTGAAACCGTCGCACGATCTTATTCAGCCCAATTACAGAAGTACGAAGACTCCGCCCCGGAATTCCTCGAATTCGAACGGCTGAAGGAACACTTTGAGCCCTTCCTACGTGCATCCTCTTCCTCTAACCCCGCCCTCACCTCATCGACACCACACTCACACCATACCCATGTGAACCCCATCACTGCAGCCGCATCTCATGCCCTCGCTCGCGACGTCCCCGGCGTCTCAAAATACACACCCAGCCCTCGAAGTCGGCCCGCGAAGGATAAAGGGCCGAAGGACGAGATTTCTGAATACAGGAGTCGAGTCGAGGTCGGCGGTGGTGCGAGTGGAACGGGTGGCGAGGTTGACGTTGAGTTCATGGAACATATTGAGACAGAGAACGAAGTGGCAGCTCTGGAGCAACGATGGGCGAACAGTTGGGCGACGTCTCTACGGACCAAGTGCGTCATAGTTCATTTGATACCACAGTTACACTAAGCTTAAGATTTCCTGTGCTCAGCGACTTGAGACCTCTACGCATACCTCTGCATTCCAAGAAGTCCAAGCGGTGTCCAACATGCCGGCACATTTTGATCAAGCCAGAGCAGAAGGCTCAGTCAGTACGGTACAAGATCAAGCTCGTAGCAGCAAACTACCTCCCTGCAATAAGCGTCGCACTTCCACAGCCGAAGGACGTGGCTTCTCGTCGCGCCGCATCATCCGCTCGAAAGGAGGCAACGGATGATAGCGCGCATACAGGAGAAATGCAACCGAGTGCTACATATCCCTTCCAGCTCGCATTGACTAATCCTCTCTACGACCCAATCCAAGTCCGTCTTTCCGTTCAACGCCAGGCCGTCAACACATCATCTTCGTCCTCCGCAGACTCCGAAGCGAAGGAAAAGGCCCGCCGCCCACCATTTGCCATCACACTTCCGTCGTCGACATTTCCCATAGCAGCCTTCGCCGAAGCCTGGGAGTATGAAGATGATGAAGATATGTTTGGGGTGGATGAAGATGAATTCGATCTAGACGCACGTAGTCCTGGTGGGGCTCTTGGACGGCCTCAAGAAGGGAGAACCAAGAGTAAGACGGTGGGCGTGCTTGAGAAGAGGGCAAACGTCACGATTGTGGGTGGAGAGGTCATGATTGGCAAGGAGGCGAAGGGCGAGGTTAAGGTGTGTCATCCCATTTTCTCTTCACCGATGTTCCAACATTGAGATCTGTGAGTAGTTCAACATGATGGTATCCTACACTTACCGCTCAGACGATCCTGCGCCTGAAGACGACCCAAGGGGCACTTCATCATCCAGGACAAAGGGTCCTGAGATGAAAACGTTTTCGTTCTATACGGTCGTTCAATTGGGTACCATTGTCGCAAAGGAAGAGAAGTCGGCAGAGATGGACTTCTAGATGTATTTCATAGACTTATACCCAAACATTATCTTGATGTACGCTGTCCAAATTGTGTCCAATACTCAGTACTCAGTCGTCGGCACAACGTCGGAATTCGAAGGTGTCCCGGTGAGGGGTACATGGATTTCAAATGGATTTCCAATGTGGGGCAAACCTAACCCTAGGAACAAGAATTGAGCTGTGCCTCGATTCTTGATGGAAGGGTCACCAAGGGCCATCGTTGTCAATCGTCAGGCGTATCGCTCGCCCTCCTCTCAAACGACCATGTTCTGTTGAAAGCTTGCTTCATCTCTCTTTCTCTTACTTTCTCCGAACTTGCCAGGCGCAAGCTAAAGCTAGTCTTTTCTTCTTCTCTTTGAACGGCCTGAGGCCGACTAGCTATGGCATCTTCCTCAAATGCCGCTTCAAGTTCCTCGTTGGCACTGGCAGCGGAGACTCGCCCGGACGCGGGTCCGTTGCCGGCCAAGGTTGGAGAGATTGGATACACAGGGGACGTGGACGACCAGCAGCGACAAGTCACTCCTGCTGACGGAGCGAGCTTGCCAGAGCGGCATCCTGCAGACAGAGAACACTCATCTCCTCTGGCGACAGACTCCGCAGCACCATCCACCGAACCCACGACAGACGCCTCCTCCACTCATTCCAAACGCAGTATCTCATCATTCCTATCGAGCAAGAACCTACCCCGCTATGGCGGCGTTAGCCTGGCGAACATACTTCTCCTCACTCTCCAGACCATCATCTTAGCCGGCACGATTGCCGGCTGGGTCATGGCTTCAAAGTTCATGAGCAAGGCGAGCGACTCTTCTGACGACTCCGGCGACAATCAATCCAACGGAGGAAGCATGTCGTTTAGTAGCGGAGGCGCCACAATCTTCGTCCATGTCGCGTTCGCCGTCGTTTCTCTCGCACAGCTTTTACTACTCGAGCGACGTATATTCCGCATACGGATTCAACGGTACATGCATCTTCACCCCGGAGAGGTGCTTCCAACGTCCCTGAGCAGAATCACACTCAGCCGTAGCGCCCTTCCCCTTGCGCCTTGGCAACGAGCGCCAATCCCGACTTACGCAGCCACACTTGCGGCGGACGGAATTGGAACGGGAGATGTCGAGGATAGCGAGATAGCGAGGCCTCCACCGCCGGTGTACGGCGCTACGCGAGGGAGCATGCTATTATTGGCCGGTTTTATGAGGGAGAGCCTGAGAGCACAGGCAAGAGAGCACGAAATCGATCGCAGGAGCCATATGAGCACGAGGAGTGATAGGCCTGCGAGTTTTGTAAGTCGGGACGAGGACTGGGAGGAAAGGAGGGACGCGGAGAGGGCCCGAACGGTGGAGGAGACGCTGGCTCGTTTAGAGGACGGACGAGGTGCCTCGGACAGCAGGTGACGAGATCCCCAGTGCTGGTGCGTACACATTTCAAGACATGCCTGGATGACTGCGAGTCATTCGTATGTTCCAGCGTCACTCAGATCCGAACGCTGACTGAGACTTTCCGACGCCGCAGGCAGGGCCGCTACCCTTTTGTGTCCGAGGATTCTTTATATTTTTGCTATTGATACTTTTGTGTATACAGGCTCTGTATTTGAACAAGACTTGCGGTGTGCTTTGCCCGCGCGCAGTTAGCTCAGTGAGTGTATTCAGCGCTAAGATCCTCGTGTTTTGTGGGAAGGGCTCTGGCGCACAACAGAGCGCAGCTTTGACGAGCTGTGCATCCCCTTCCCTCCTTGATGAAGGTGAACTCCCCGCAAACCCCGCAGATGGGCGCAACAGGGCGTCTAGAGCCTCGACTTACGTAATGAAAACACTCTTCTTCCTCGACGGCTCCGCTATTTTGGGAACCGTTTCGGTTGACTCGACGCGATCTCATTGTTGAAGATGACTGGGGCGGTGTTCTGACCTCTGATTGAATGGCGAGGCGTCTCACTAAGCAGTGACCTTGTTTCCGTCTCGTCGTCGCTCTGACGCGCGGTAAGCAGGCGAGTCACAACGCCCTGTTCATATAAAGCCGTTGAGATCGAACATGCCTCCCGACCGCCCTGTTCCCTTTCTTTCTACACGCTCCCAGCGGCGTACCTGTAAAGCGCTTCCTCTTCATCCTTCCGTTTCTCAACAATCCCCAGCGACACACTCCCAGCACCTCCTCGACCATGTCTCTGGAATATTACACCACTTACGCATCGCCGCCCCCATCAATACTTGAACCTGACGAGGACTTCGCTCCTCCAGAATACACTCCGTCGTCGGATTCACCAGTCTACTCTGCTGAACCCGGTCCAAGCGAAGAGCGTTTGGCCCTCACGTCGCGTCGTTCAACTCGTCGACCACCGCCAACGACCGCTCTCACGCGAAGCAACAGCGCTATTTCCGTAGCCCTCTTAGGTCAAGAAGCTGGAGCATCAGCTCCTATATACGGGCGTCAGGCCACGATCTGTGGAGACATTGGTCTCAAAGACGCTCATGCTATCCAAGAAGTCCGTGTAAAGGTAAGCCCACATCAGTGGCGTTCGCATCCGACGCGTTTTGTTGACCACCCTATCAGGTCAAGGGGACGCTAGAGCTCACAAGGAGCGATAACACCGGCTACAACACCACCTTTTTCGAGGACATCCACACGTTATGGACGGCCGATGATACGTCCTCGCCGTCGGCTTCATGTCCGACTATCGTTCCGTTCGAAATCACCCTTCCTGCCACATATCGCGACAACAACACACGCCCTCTGCCGCCGTCGTTCGACCTCAAACAATCAGGCTTCCCGAGCCTCTATGTGGACTGCAGCTACACCATCACGGTGTCTACAACACAGACGCGAAGCCTCAAGCAGTGGCGGACACACAAAAAGCTGACCGTGCCGTTTATCTACAAACCAAGGACGCGCCCACATCAACCTATCCTGCCGTCTTCGCTCCCGTTTCTTCCGAGCATCAAAAGCCTCCCTGAGGAGTGGCATCAAACCACATCGACCATGGGGACGTACCCGAGAGCGACAATCGAGCCAATAGATTCTCTTGTAAGTCTGACACTCCAAATAACGATATATGTCCTTGCTGACGTTCACCTTTCAGTTTTTCATCCCTTCGGCACAGATTTACAGTCTCAGCGACACCATCCCTTTCTACGTCCAGCTACAAGCGCCTTCCGAGTCCCTTCATCACTTCCTCCAACCTTCGTCCTCCTCGTCACTTTCCTCAAAACTCACGCGTAGATCATCGCACCAGTCCACCGATCCACACGCACAACCCACAGTCCGCGTAATTCTGCAGCGGCATGTGAGCGGCATCATCGACAGTGTGCGGATAACGAGGACCTTCACAATCGGTGAGGCCACGATCCGTGTGCTGCCCTCCGATACGTCCAGCAGGGCGAACGTGCTCAGGAGGCCGGACGATGGGAAGGAAACACTCGATTACCAGGGAGAAATCAAGTGCATCGATAGCATGACCGTCGGTGGGTTCACTGCAGGGCGCCTCGTAGTGAAGGTCAGTCCATCGAACGTTCTGCCTCGGAAGAAGGTCTAGTGCTTACTATGATATGTTGTACAGGATTTCATGATGCTGCAACTCGTCCCTGCCAACCCTGTCAAGTCTGGCTTAAAAGAACACCAAGTGCTGGTACCAATACGTCTTGTAACGGACCCCTTCGCGGAACCTTCCACCCGCGAACTGGACGATTCCATAATATCATAGCGACCACCTGATTCTTATTTTCCTACTTTCCCCTCTCACGACCGTAGTCTATCATTATTATTGTGCCTACTTTAAAAAGAGTTCTTAGTGTTTCATTGAAGTAGTCGGATCGTCGTGGCAGCATAGCATCTAACATATCCTTGGTCTATTATATTATGTATCAGTATCGCTCGTTTCTATGTCTCTGGGCTCGCTGCATCATCACTTATGTATACCCCACATGCTTTTCTCACTCTTTTAGCACTTCTACGCACGTACATCATGATCTATCCTCTCCCAACTTATTTATTCCTTCTCTACCCATGAACTATGGAGAAGCCTGCTAAGCCTGCATGCTATGTTACCCATATATTATTGTAAAACCTTCCTTTCTTTCTTCTCCCTTTCTTCCTTTAGTTGACGCCTCATGGTGTCTCGATTTGACACATGTGCAATGATAATGTTGGTGTACCTCTCCGTCCAATAACGTAAGTACCAACGTTTGTCGTTCAGGCAGTCGTGATAAAGCACCTTGGTACATATAAGTGGCGCGCCACAGAGCACCGGTTCGGCTCCGCCATTGTGGCGTACGAGCACGCGGGACTATGTTCGCCACTTACCACCTTCCAACGTAGTTCACCGTGAATCTTGCATCAAACGCACGCCCTTCAGAGCATGAACTAGGCAGGTACTGGCAATTCTGTAGCGTCTTGTGAACGATACTGAAAACCCAACTGACCCTGCAGAATCGACATCCATAAGTTACAGCTCAACGGCGATGGAGTCTGCCACGTCGTCGCAAAGCGGCGCTCCTGCTGTGAATGTCCTCGATGCATCGCTGGCCTCTGCATCCTCACTAGTTCTTCTCGGATTGGTGTCACGCATATTGACCTTTGCCCTTAACCAAGCGCTAGTTCGACTGGCTTCTCCACAAACCTTCGGAACAGCCTCCATCCAATTCGAACTCTTGCTTTCCACGATCCTCTTCACTCGCGAAGGCGTTCGCATTGCTCTGCTCCGCAGCCCCTCAACAGGAAGAGCAAAACCAACCAAAAATACTCTTGTCACAAATGTTGCTCTCCTGCCAACAATCTTCGGAATACCCGCGGCATTCGCCATCGCTTTTGGATACATTGCTTCTAGTAGCTCCTCCACGACATCGCAGCCTCATTTCTACACAAGCGTTTTTATCATGGCGGTAGCTGCAGCCATCGAACTCCTCACGGAGCCCATGTACATCCGAGCTCTCAATGAACTACGATATGACATCCGCGTTCGTGCGGAGGGAACGGCCACGCTGCTGAAGACGCTCGTCACATTCCTCTTCCTCGCGTTCGCGCCTCCAGTGTGGGCTTTGCCTGCATTCGCCTTCGGCCAATTAGCGTGGGGAATTTCTATATTTTTGACATTCTTCCGTGTCTATGGAGGCACTATGCGTTTCACGCCTGAAAAGGTTTCGGAAGATGTTCACGGAAAGTTCGTCATTGCCCATCACTGTAGTGCCCAAGGCTTGCTGACGAGACCTGTAGCAAAAAGATAACATATTTCGATCCAGAGTTTCTGCGTCTCTCTGGTGCGATGACTGGCCAATCTGTCATTAAGCACTTCTTGAACGAAGGCGACAAGTTTCTTGTGTCACGTCTCAGTCCATTGGCAGACCAGGGTGGATATGCGATCGCGTCGAACTATGGTTTGTCCTTTGGCAGCATTCCATGGGAAACAGAACTGAATAATCGCACGCAGGCTCTCTTGTAGCTCGCATACTTTTTGCACCTATTGAGGAAACCTCTAGAATGTTCTTCTCCAAAACTCTCCCTCCTTCAAAAACCGATAAACCGGGAAATGCAGCCGACCAACAAGCCCTCGCTACCGCTTCTCAAGTCCTCTTAACCCTTCTCCTTCTCTTTACACATCTTCTCCTACTCCTCGCCGTCTTCGGTCCACCGTACCTCCCCCTCGCCACGACTCTGTTCCTCCCTCCAAGGTATCACGATACATCCGCACCTCAGATTCTCGGAGCATACATCTACTATATCCCCACCATGGCCTTTAATGGAGTCCTCGAAGCCTTCTTCGCGTCTGCCTGCAGTCCTTCAGACCTGCGCTCCCAAAGTCGCTGGATGATCGCCTTCTCGCTCGGTTTCATTGCGGCCGCGGTGACCTTCGTCAGAACTCTAGGATTCGGTGACGCAGGACTCGTATGGGCAAACATAGCGAACTCCTGTATGCGCGCCTTATACTGCTGTACTTTCATCCGGAAATACTTCAATGAAAGAGGCGCAGGGCGTTTGGTCCACTGGCGAGACGCAGTGCCGCCCGTGCCCGTGCTTGGTGTGTTTGCTGTATGTGCAGCCGCGACGCGATGGAGTCAGAGGGTCTATCAGGGGGTTCCACCGTCGCTTTTGGCTCAAAAAGGTCATATAGGGGTGGCGGTGGTTTCTGTTGCAGTATGCTTATTTTCGTGGTATGTGTTGCTCAATCCTGTTTGACGTCTTGCTAATCACTGCCATTGTAGTTTCCTGTTTGAACGAGCCAAGTTTGCGCACATCATATCTATGCTCAAGAACAATTAACTTATAGTACTGAGGTTGACATGAACAACAATCGTAGTATACATACAATGAAATGCACGGGATTGTTCCACGATCATTGCGAGGACGCCACCGGGTCGGACAGTGATGGCAGACCACATCCTTTACTTATAAGAACCTCCAGAGGCTGCCCTCCTAGTTTGATGAAATATATTCCGCTCAAGACTTTCGAGATCTTTGTGCCAACGCAGATGGAAGTCACTCTGCTCTGATACTTATACGTTGAAATATTAATGTTCACTTACTGATTTTTCGAACCACGTAGCGGCTACGTGCGTGTAGCCGAAATGGTCCGGGAGGGTGTGACAGCGCCGGATGACTTTGTGACCGATCGCGTTTTGACCTGTTTTGACCAAGTTTGACCACGACGCGTCCACGTCCACGTCCATTGAACTTCTTGCTTTTCGTCTTTCTTGGCCATCGAGAGCCTGAAGATAGCTGGCCCCCTCTACTCATGTGAGTGCTTCACTTTACTTTCATATTATGTAACTCATGAAACAGACAACACCTCGCTCCCTGCCACTAGCGATCACTACTGATCATACGGAGCGCCGTTTAAGTTCTTGGGACGATGTCGTACCGGCTTGAGCCGTTCCATAGCTCTGATTCAGCAATCCTGGATCCTGTTTGCAACGAGTTAAACTTTGGTGCATCTTTGTTCAAATACAAGCATAAACCTGCCGACGAAGAACGTTGGGCAGCCGTGATCCGGTCGAACCCCAAGCGAGTCGTTAGCGCACTTGGTCTGTATTCATCTCCAGACGCTACAAACCAGTGGGGTGATACAATTGCGGTAACCTCATTATCACCGATATCAACTTTACAAAATGTGAACGATTGACCGTTACTTACTAGGACGTACACCCTCTTGTACAAGCGGCCGAGTATGCAGCCAAAAAAGGGGGGAAACCATGGGCGAACCTTGTTAAAGCCGGCTTCATCGATGCTGTTTGCAAGGCAGTTCTCGAGATCAACACACAAGCATATGAGGACGAATATCCTGCAGTGGATCCAGCCATTCGTAAGCAGGTTCTAGAAGCAGTGCGTAATATCCTGTCCTAAAAGATGTTTGCGCCGTTCAACCATCTTCTACAGCGGCCTCCTTCGTATTACCTCGCCCTGTGGATCCTTTTTCAAGCCGGAAATCATCTAACAAGGCAGCCTGCGATTGAGTCAAGTCGTGTGTTTGCTTTGACTGTCAAGAAAAATTGGTCCAAATTCATGCAACGAGTAAGCAGTGCGACTCTATACATCTTCTGAAAGGGAACATAACTTAGGTGCGCTATGACTTAATTGTTCAGCTATGGTCCGATCCGGATGCGAAAGATCCTCACAAATTATACGGGACTCACTTCAGTAACAGGATTGAACTTACCGGTCTTTTTCATTCATTACTTGAAACTGATCCTCCGTTCATCAAGTGCGTCTCAGGTATCTGCTGGCACACCTCGCACTGACGTTTTACTCCTCCCAGTACTATAATCGATGACTCAGATGTCACACTATCTCTTTTTACTCGCTACTGGACACAAGCTGTTAAATCCGGGTACCTCCTCACCTATATCGATATCATAAGCGAGATACTGTGTTCTGTTTCCACGACAATCCTCGCTCCGACTCCTCCCCTCATACATCGAATTGTGAACGGCGCAGGTGGCTCTGCGACAACAACTCTTTCGCGCGTAAGCGAATACATTCGCTTGGTCACGTTTCCAGACGCCTTGCCAATCCTATCATTCGTTGCCCTCCTGTACAAGCAAGCCTGCCGCGAATGCGACGCTGTCGACTCGACCTCTCGTACTGCTGGTCGAGATTTTGTCCGCGAGGTCGCTTCCTTTCAACCTTTATGGACAACCATGCTCGATCTCTTAGGAAGAGCGTCTTTGCCGGAAAATGACAAGACTGGGATCCTCATTCTAAAACAGGGCAGCGGAGAGATCCAAGAATCTACGCCGGTCGAGAACTCCATGTTGCTCGACCTCTTTCTGGACATCCTGTGGGAGGTTCTCTATCGGACATACGCACAAGAGTCACCGGAGGACATTTTGGCTTTCGCTCAGGTCATCATACGTGCCAATATATTCAGTGTTTTGGACCGGTGCTTGTCGAGATGGGCTTCTGAAGCCACGTTCCCCTTCTGTGAGTCTCGTGACTTTTCCTCACACACCTTTTGACGCTGACTACTTTACCAGCTGCAGAGAAGCTTGCAAGGATCTTTAGCATAATGGGCAACATAACCCGCAAGTGCAGCACCGAGGACCTGACGCCCATAATGTCCACCCAGTTCCCTCGCTCTCGATCCCTACGCTCTCTTCTTACCTGCGCTTTCAAACCAAACGGAGAAGCGCGTCTCCCTGATGCACCCTCTCTCGACGCACTGTTCAAGGATGACCCTCATAGACTCAACTGGAGTCCTATCGAGGCGTTCAATCGTCGACTCCGGCCTCGCAAGTATGATGGGATCACTTCCCAAGGCTACTATGTGCAAAACGTATGGAACGCCTGGCTTCGCCTCCATGAACACTACCAGGACAAGAATCAGTGTGTCTGGAGAGACTGTACCGAGTTTGGAGCTGCTCGATGCCGGAGCTGCCAGAAAGCAAGGTACTGTGGTGCTGAGTGTCAAAAACGGTGAGCTTGGCGGCCTGCTACCATACAATCATCAAACGAGTTCGTGACCTAATGACTCCTTGACAGAGACTGGAAGGAACATCGTCTCGTCTGCGGATTCCAGGTGCTGGAGCACCCTCCCAGAGGCAAAACTGTCAAAAAAGTCGACATGCCCATAAAAGCGTCGAAATGATGGGTCAGGCGCCGCGAGGTCGTTCTTAGGACTTCTGCCATTGATATGAGGGCTGCCCATGGGTTTTATTCTGCTTTTGCTTCGCTTCTTCTGATTTACTGTGCACATCGTCATCTTGTATACTGCTTTCCACATTGCTCTCCCGTTCGCATGCTTGCATGATGTGTACCATATCTAATCAAACCACTTACTATCATGTTACCTTTTCCCGCGGACTGAATGAGTTGCACGGCGAGTCTGGGCTGTTTGTCATGGAGCAAGTCAAATGAATGAATAGATTGTACAAAATAATCTGTAAAGACAGAAGGGGATATATTTCAAAAGCAAAGCAAGCAATCAGCAAGACAACAATGGGAGTCCGTCAGATTCGCATCCATAAAGATTCCTTCCGACGTCCATCCTCGCCACCTCCAAAGTACCCAACTCTGGGCCTCCTCCGAATCAAGCGCTCAAGTTCGTCCATGGTATAAACACATTCCCGCCGTGGGTTCATCAGCAGCGAATCCGAAGCCCTAATGGAGTGGATGGTACGCGTTCGTATTCCCATGCTGACTACTCCTCGCCATCCCCATCTGAATGCCTCCGCCCATCCCGTTCCTGGCAGCAGCTGCCGCCCTTCGCTTCTTAACCCTCTTACAGCATCCCCAGATAGTGAGCGAAACAAGGATGATGACGAACGCCAAACATCCTACGAGGATGTATGGCCAATTTCGCAGCACAGCGCCCTCGGCCTGTTGTTTCTTTTCTGAAGTTGATTCTGGGGAGTGGGATTCTTGGGATGATGGGACGAGGGTCTGAGTAGCGGTTGTGTCGGTGCCGTTGAGGCGAAGTTTGACGAAGTCGGCGTGGGCGGTGGCGTTGTGGGTGAGGGGGAGGAGTTGGACGTAGGGGTCGACTTGATCGTTTGATGATGTTGTGACGAAGTTACCAAAGTCGATGAGCGCGTAGGCGTTGCGCACTGTGGAGGCAGAAAAATATTCATACGAGCGAGCTACATTTATGGATAGTAAAAGGCTTACAGAAAGACATGCCGAGAATCATATCATATTCTCCGAGCAGGCTGAACGCGGATGTGATAGGTTGATACTGCAATGTCGTCAAAGAAAGGACCAAGGTAATAAAAGGTTATAAAACACTCACTGCGCCGATGCAGACAGACTTACCGCTGCTGTCCGTTGTTGGAATATCGTTGCTGACCGTGTCAAGTGGGTGTATGGGGAAATCGACTCCGCCGAACTTGAAGGTGATGTTCAGCTCGACGTCACATGGGAGCGTCCAGATCTCGTTTGTCTCGTCGTATTCGGCACTTGCTACCCTTCCGTAGATAGCGTCTGCCACATCCCGAGGAACCTGAGAATAGGAAAAACCAGAGTCGAGCACCGCAACGAGTTGATTATCCGGCGCACGTGGCACAATACTGTCGTAGTCGATGGGGTTGCCGTCCGGCCCAATAAGACCGTATGCATCGGTGAACACAGCCCAATGCTGGTCCGTATCCGTGAGCGTCGGTACGTCCTTGATCTTCAGTTTCGCTTGCGAAGTGATGTTCTCATAGCCAGAGACGACCTCCGCGATGGTAAATTCGCCGTTATAGGTCTGACCGGGGTCATTGGCACGGTTGAGGAGGATAGTGAGGAAGTTAGAGGTGGTTGTATTTTGTGAGAAGATGCGGAAGAGGGGAGAGTCGCCTGATGCGTTGTCGACTTTCTCGCGAATGACAGATCCGGTGTTAGGGCCAAGGCCGATGAGGCCTTGGTATCCTTGCGATTCGATATCAGTGGAGAATGTCGAGGTATCCGTGACCAGCACTGTGGGGCGGAGGAAGGTAGATTAATGCGCTTTGTCCACTGAGAGAGATTAAATGTTGTGCACGAAGGGAGGCTGAGTAGCAGATGTGTTCGCCACAACGCCACAAAAATCAATCACGATCAATTTGGCTTATGCTCTCGACCGTAAGGTTTCCGGATTGATATCAAGCTGTTCTGATGTAGGCAAGAGTTTCGTTCCAATGGAAATACTCTGGCCTGTTATGCGGGCCTTCTCTGCCCGCCCATCCGAGTATCTTGGTGCCACATCGTCTGACGGGTGCCCTCTGGTCTGCATACACACCGGTACGTTAGGCCTCTGAAGAAAGATAGCTCACCATAAGCCTGATTTTCGACAGTATAGTTGTCAAATCCTAGAGTCGCGGTGTTGATGTCACCTAGAAAAATGGGCAGGGTTCGTTCACTGGGAATGACAATGAGGGACTAACGGCCAGCATCGCTCACCATTTGCCTGGCCAATTGCGTAGGACAACGTTACACTGGTTCCAGTGTCTTGGGTATTGGCTACTGTTCCAGCAACCCAAAGGTCCGAGCTATCAAACAAACAAGAAGGATAGTATCCCATACCTCCTATAAGAGCAAAGTAGCTGACCTTCCCGTATCGAGAACTACGTTGAACTCCGATCCTCCGAGGGAGATGTTGCCTATGTACTGGACGTTCTGTGTGTTCTTGACTGTTATACCTTCGGAACCGTTGGCACGAGCATAGAGATCATGGCGGGGGCGCAGTACAGGGTCGGTCCGCACGCGAAACGGAAAGCGAATGGCAAAGACGGAAGAGGCCTGAATGAGAGAAAGAAGAGAGAGAGGGATGAAGGATCGCATCCCTTGACGATAGTGACGAAGACAAGGAGAAATAGACAATAATTAGGATTCCAGGAAATGAGTGACTGGACGAGCGAGGGTGTTTAGCGAAAGAACAGGGCCTCTACAGTATCCGAAGGCCTCAGCCCTCTTCAGCCTCCGTACAGCCTCGATCACGGCAACAATTCCCAAGATGCTCTGGCCTGCCATGCTTTTCCACTTGTGCTTGCTTTCTCTGGGCACACGGCTGGAGGGAGTAAGGCGTTATTCGTCTGAGTACTTACTGCTTGTAATGCATGTATGTGAATTGTCAGACGGGCATGTTGAAAAGGCAATGCAAGGCACTGCGCGGGGTCGGGTTGATGGCAGACGGTGACAAATAGGATGTGGGCGCCTCGCACAAATAAGCCCTTGTCTGCGTCCACAGCCTCTTACTCTTCCCTTCCCTCCCTTCATGACCTTCACCCCGCGTTCTATCCTCGTCGCCGCTCTTCTTGCCTCTGCAAGCCATGTTGCTGCCGTCCACTTGAAGGTCCGCGGCGAGCTTAGCTCACGAAACCCTGTCGCGTCGTCAGACTCGCTCTCCAAGAGGGACCACCTTTCTGGCTTGACAAACGGAAATAACATCGATTACTACACCAATATCACGCTGGGAAGTAGCTCATTTAAAGTACTTATCGATACTGGCAGGTCGGTATATTTCTATCATCACGCGATGCTGGACAGTGGCTCACTCCAATACTCTATGCAGTTCCGACTTGTACGTGGCGGGCACCGTGTCCGATGCTGAGGATACAGGCGAGGACGCCTCTGTCTCATATGCCATTGGCGAGGTCGAAGGTTAGTCTCGTTGCGAGCTAGTGGCGCCTTGCTGCGGGACTCGCGCGCTTCACCGCGTTCTGATGCATCGCTTCGTCGTCACGCTACATTCTCCCCTCAGTTCTCTCCGTCTGACTTGTTCATTATTCTGCAGGCCCCGTTAAAACTGCTTCGTTGACATTCGCTGGGTACACTGTATCAGACCAAGCCTTCAGTACGTGAAATAGCTATACATCGTGTTGTCCTATGTTCTTATGCACAGCCCTGCAGTCGAGGTAACGGCTTCGTCCGACAATCCTTCTGGCGAAGGCTTGATTGGCCTCGGTCCGAACTCAGGTTCTCAAGTGTATTCAGCATTGGGCTCGAAGTCCTCTGGCGCAGCGGTCGTGGATCGTATCTTTAATCAAAATACCTCCACCTCCAACTACATCTCTGTTCTCCTCGGCCGTTCGGATGACCCAGACGATACGTTCCCCGGTGATATTACCATTGGCGAGATCATCTCCGGATACGATAATGTCACTAGTCAACCAAAGGTGGAAGTCACCTCGGCCTCGAGTTCTACGGGGCAACATTGGCAGATCCTCCTGGACGAAAATGGCATTTTGGGACCCGACGGAGAGCCCATCAATGTCACGACTGGAGTGTCCGGAACGTCAAACAAGAAACAGCTCACGGCCGTGTTCGATACTGGTTTCTCGTTACCCCAAGTCCCACAGTGTGTACCTTCCCCGCTCTTCATCTTCGAACCCAGTCTTCTGAACATATCGCTCGTAGGACTGTTGCGGACTGGATTTACGGCCGTTTCGAGGGCGCTCTGTTCCAAAACTTCACTAGCACTGGTGGTCCAGTCTGGACCCTTCCGTGTACGACTGAGGTCAACCTAACATTCCTTATTGGCGGCCAACGTTACCCCGTGCATCCATTGGATACACTCATGGACGGCTTGATCAGCTCCAGCGAGAATGGTACAAAGTACTGTGTCGGAGCGTTCCAGCCCATAACGACTGCCGCATCGAGCAGCTACGATGTGATCCTTGGCATGTCCTTCCGTGCGTCTTCCTTTCCCCATCAACTGGTCTCGGCCTTCGAGCTGATTGTTACGAGCCAGTTCGTAATGCGTATTTGTTGATCAATTATGGCGATTTCCTCGAGGATGCGACTATCACCTCTGACCCCTACGTCCAGCTCCTCAGCGTGACAAACGGCACGGGCGACGACTCTGCCCACTCCGATTTCGTCTCCGTCCGTCTGGACGGCGTTGACACCACCGGAGATGAAACGCTTTCTGACACGCCTTTATCCTCCGGCAACCCCGTTGACGGCGACGACGACGACGACAACTCCGTAAAGAGCTGGCTCGACGAGCACAGGACATATGTCATCATCGCCGGGTCCATCGCAGCAGGTTTATTCCTACTCGGTCTGCTTGCTATGATTTGGAGGTCGTGCAGGGGCCGTAGCTCGAGAGGGACGTATGGCGCCGTCGGCACCGCTGGCTACGCTCCAGGAGGGCCAGGGTGGAGATCCGATGTCGGGCCGCGCGGTCGTAGCATCAGGAGTAATCTGGGTGCATTTGGGGGACCGCCTGCCTATCAGCAACTGCATGACCCGACACCACCTGGGGAAAATGCGTACGGGATGCAAGGGCAGAACTACGGGCAGGGTTATGAGATGGAGCAAAGGCCGTACCAGAGCCCATGGGACCAACAACACCCGCGTCACTAAGCCTGGACTGCCAGTGTCGTATAACACTGGGGATGAAAAACATCAGTCAGTTGTTTCATTTCATTTTTTGGGGTCGAGATTGTATAGGTGTTTGGTTGTCTCTCGCCACTCCTTTCCTCTCTTGTAGTGTCATGTTCGCTCATTGCTCTCATCTATAACGGCTTCGCCTAACGCGGCCCACTATTTATACTCAACTATCGCAATCATTTCCACTGGACATTGTTACGGAATCTTCTCTACATCGCTGTCGTACCATATTACAGTAGACCCACTCGTTATATATAGGCAGCGTGTAATTGCTTACTATCAAATATTCATGGACAGGAGCTCGGTTGGATAGGATCTTGCACAATTCTTATTTTTACGATGTACTGGTGCGATGTGCTGGTCCAGATGCGAAGTAGGTAAGGTGTCACTCGAGCTACATGCGTGCTACATCGTAACTCAAGATAGCAAAGAAGCTAGCTACCCTACATCCTACAGTACTTCAGAATTGCCCCCTGTCTTACCCCTCGCAGTCCGTAAAGAAATTAGTACTGTATCGAGGTCATCGCACAGGCGCCACATCAAAACAGTGCCACACGGCCCATCGGGATCTCGCGGGCCCCTGCCATTGGTGGTGTTTCCAATTCAATCTTTTGCCGTCCTCACCCACAAAATTGCCACACTCGCACCCAAAAAGCCCCTCGTCGACTTCTCCCTACCGCAAAACATCGACGAAAATGGCGGCTCCAAACGGCCATGTCGATTTCGACGAAGAAATCGATTACAGCGATATTGAAGCAAAGTACGTATTCTGTCTAATCCATCGCTGACCTCAGCCCTGATTGCGCGTTTACATCTTGTTTTCAAGATACCAAGTCAGCCTGGAGGAAGGCTTTGACAACATTTTGGTCGTGGATGGAATCCCCGTCATTGACAAGGGCAAGCTTGAGAAGCTTGTAGCGAAGATTGCGAAGGAGTTCACGAGGAAAGGCGCTTCGATCAAACCTGACGCCATCTCTGTACCATGGGATGACGCTGCGAACAAAAGTCGCGGGTTCGTATGCCTACAATTATCTGTCAATTGTTTCCGAAACTGATATCCATCCAGATTTGCTTTCTTGGAATTCCGCACGGCCGATGAGGCAACATTTGCTTTGAACGAGATGCACGGCCACCCATTTGACACCAAGCACACTTTCCGCGTCAACCGTTTCACGGACATCGAAAAGTTCGCCAATTTGGATGAGACGTATCATGAGCCTCAACGCGAGTCTTATAAAGCTAAGGTGAGTGTCCTGTGTGATTTTATCGATTTCAGCGAAATTAATAAAACGGGGTGTGGCAGGAACATCTTCGTGCTTGGCTGGCGGACCCACAAGGACGTGATCAGTATGTCACCTATCGCGGCGATGAGGTTGAGATCCATTGGCATGGAAAGCCGTCTCAGAGCGAGGTCGCATATTCAAAGACGGTCCGTCATTATATCCTCTTCACAGATCGGCGGTGTAGCCTTATAATCGACGACAGGCTTGGACAGAATTGTATGTCTCTTGGTCGCCCCTTGGAACTTACCTCGCCACCCTCCACCGTCAAGGTATTCGTCTCTGGGGTGGTCCTTCATGGGAGCCACTCCAGCGTTTCGCCCATCCACTCGTCCGCCTCATCGACTTCTCTCCCTGTGAACAATACCTCGTAACCTGGTCGCATGATCCTATCGTCGTAGCTGAGGGCGCCCCCCAGGGCCCTACATATTTCTCTCCAGAAGATGAGGGAAACAACATCGCCGTCTGGGACATCAAGACCGGCAACCTCCTTCGTACCTTCCCCAGTTTGATCCCCGAGAGCGACGGCCCCAAGAAGCAGATGGCATGGCCTGCGCTCAAGTGGAGTGCCGACGACAAGTTCGTCGCCAGGGTCACTCCAAGCCAGCAGATCAGTGTGTATGAATTGCCGAGCATGGGTTTGCAAGGTAAGAAGAGTTTGAAGATTGAGGGTGTGGTGGACTTTGAGTGGTGTCCGCTTGGGGAGAAGGATAAGGAGGACGTTGAGAAGGCGGCGGTTGGTGGGAAGGGCGCGAAGAAGGCCAAGGAGAACATGTTGGCGTACTGGACACCAGAGGTCGCCAATCAGCCCGCCCGCGTCACCGTGCTCAACTTCCCTGGTCGCAATATTCTTCGCCAAAAGAACTTGTTCAACGTCACCGAGGTAAGAGAGCTGCGATCTTCGAAAGTATATAGACGCTCATATATTTTCTGACAGTGTAAACTTTACTGGCAAAATCAAGGCGACTTCCTTTGCGTCAGGGTTGATCGTCACACTAAGACGAAGAAGTCCATCTTCTGCAACTTGGAGATCTTCCAGGTTCGCGAAAAGGATTTCCCTGTCGAAGTTGTTGAGTTGAAGGGTACGCCTACCCTCCCATGTCACCTCACGGGCTTAAAGCTAATTCCGGTGATAACTTAGACACCGTCACCGACTTCTCTTGGGAGCCGAAGGGCGACCGCTTTGCCATCGTATCGAGTAATGACCCAAATCTTGGCAATCCTGGTCCTGGTATCACCATCAAGACAGATGTGAGCTTCTACCAACTCGACCGTACCAAGAACGACTTCAAGCTCCTTCGTAAGCTCGACTTCTGGATACTTTACCTGAAATGATATTAACCCTTTTGTTATCAGGAACTCTGCCGGGACGGACAACTAACACGATCCGCTGGTCACCGCGTGGGCGCCACGTCGTTCTTGCGACCGTTGGATCGTCATCAAAGTCTGAGCTCGAATTCTGGGATCTGGATTACAATCAAGATGATACCGGTCGCAAGGAAGGTCCTTCGAAGGAGGAGTGGGGCGCCGGCATCCAACAGCTAGGCATCAATGACCATTACGGTGTAACCGACGTAGAATGGGACCCCAGTGGTCGTTACCTCGCCACCGCTGCCAGTGCCTGGACACACACGGTGCGTCCCTGTATTCAGTCTAGATTCACCAGCATCGTGCTAAAATTATCTATATAGCTTGAGAACGGATACGCGATCTGGGACTTCCGTGGTCAGGAAATTGAGAAGCTTATCCTTGACCGGTTCAAACAGTTCCTGTGGCGCCCTCGTCCCCCGTCACTACTTACGAAGGAGCAGAAGCGCTTGATCCGCAAGAATCTCCGCGAGTATAGTCGACAGTTCGACGAGGAGGATGCGGCTGAGGAGAGCACTGTCAGCGCGGAATTGATTGCGCAGAGGAAGCGTTTGGTGGATGAATGGAACGCATGGCGCGTGCGTTGTTTGGAGGAGGTGGCGGAGGTACGACGTTCCAAGGGCAAGAAGGTGGAACCAACTGGGAAGCAACAGGAGAAAGAGGAGAGAGAAGAGATCGAGGTATGGATTGATGAGGTTATCGAGCAGATCGAGGAGGAGGTTGTTGAGTAGAGTGTATCACCGTGTTTGTTTGTTTCTCGCTGCTGTATTGTCCTCGGGGTCTTGTTTGTTTCAGGATCCGATTTATTCCATCCTTCTAGTACCTCAACTCTTCGTGCACGTTGTGTTTGATGAATGCTAGGTTTATGTTCATGTTTTCGGCCAAACAAGGCACCTTGACGAAGACATTGCGGTGGCGCTGCCCGTACAAGCAAAGCCAAACAACTTGATGGGCTCAACGTCATATTCAACCCGAAGTTCTCCGCTACGACAGTCACCAATTGTGCGGTCAATCTTGCAAACTCTAGCTCGTTATACAACAGAATACCTTCTAAGCTAGATAGGCTCCTAGCGTAACCTTCGGTAGTTAGGCTGTCAAAGTACGTTGCGAGTGCTATGTAAGTCGCTTTTGAACCGTTTCGTTCGTTATATTCTGCATATCAGTCATGATTGTGATACCCATATTGACGTTGTAATTGCCATCTTTCAGCGTGGTCAATCAGTTCTGCTCGCTCGAGAAACGTTTCTCACCTTAGCTGTCGATCTGATATGACGTCTGATCTAGCTCGGTGAGCATATATGCTGATCATCGTGGCACGATACACGATATGCTCGGTAACTCTGAAGACTGAACCTATACTTGATCACCATAGGTCAGACTTTTGGCGAGGATTGAGGGACACGAGAATCCCTCCGATCTTCAACAACAATGAAAAGTCCCAGAGCATAATTCAGACTTGCGATGACGAGATTGCCTTGGCCCATGCATACATTCAGGACATCAGCGCTCGTCGCAATACTCAGCTCCTCATCACCCAACTTCCGTCAGAACTTCTCGCGTCAATTTTTAGTCACCTCCTCCCGGTGATCACGCTAGAGAGCTACCAAGACCAGACTTATGGCGGTATCACCCACGATATAACATCGGCCACATTATCCCTCATCGCCGCCTCTCATGTTTGTCGGAGTTGGCGGGAAGTGGCATTAGAACATCCAGGACTATGGACCACCCTTTGGATGGGAAACAAGTCCTGGATGCACGAGATGATCGATCGGTCAAAGAATATGGCTCTCACCATTGTTCAACGCCCTGGATGGAACTACGATCACCGTCGGTTGCGTGAACCGCTAACAGAGATGTCACCTTTGAAAAATCTGGACTTCATCACCCACCACATATTCCTTGATAAACAGCCACGGCATCTCATTCTAGACATTCTCACAACCGATTATTCTCAAAAAGTTGAGGGTTTATTGCGACGAGCAGCTCCATGTTTAGATACTTTGGTGTTGCATATAACGCCAGCGCTACCTTCCGACGCGCCTTTGCACCTTCCTGAAGACCTGCTTGGGAGATGTTCACCTTCTCTGCGGAATCTGACTATCAGGGGCCCATTAACGCACGAAACATTGTGGACCTCGCCTATTCTTCGTGGGCTCGTTGACTTGACGTTAATAACGCAACCTCACGGATCAGCGTCCATTCCCAATTCTACGACATCCCTTTCGGACACCCTCGAGGCGTTGCGGAACATGCATCAGCTGGAGACGCTAACCCTCGGTTTTCCCTTCACGAACCGCAACTCTCCGCAGCGAGCATACTTTCTGAAAGACACCATGCATGACACCACACGCGTACATCTCCCTCGACTATCGGTTCTACACTTATCGGGGAATTTGAATGATACCATCCTGCTCACAAGACACCTATCCATTCCTTCCACTGCCATCATGAAATATCTCCTCGATTTACGTGGGGAAGAGCATCAAGCACGTTGGGCCGATGGGATATCCACACTCGTCTTCCCTGCTGCTCCTCTCAAACCGGTCGAGACCATCGAGCTGTCGTTCTTCTCCAGCAGCGTAGGGTGCCTGCACATCAATTGTTGGGACAAGGAGGAGAGAGACGAGCAGCGACCCCGATTGGCACTGCAACTGTTCGTTGTCGCCCAGCAGGCTGGTCCACAACCACTGCCCACACCTGGGACATCGAATGCGGATATAAAGACGCTCGTACACTCACTTGACGCAGTGTTACCCAACCTTGACCTCAGCCGTCTTACCGAGCTTCGGTGGATACGTACCTTGCGCAGCTTCCCACTTCCCATGTCCCCGCTAAGCATCGCAGCCTGCGCTGAAATTCTGAACAAGTTCCAGACAGTGGAGAAACTACGTTTTGACGGCTTCATCGGCCATCGCGAAAAGCTAGGAGCATTAGCATCAAGCGCCGTCCTTCCTCGTCTGACGAGCATCCACTTCATTGGAGTACGCCCTATGAAGGACACAGTGACACTTGGGCATCTCCAGCCACAGGTTGACCTCTCGCAGGAGCTCCAAAGCGTTGCCACCGCGCTTCGTCTTGTGGCGCAGGCCCACAATCTTCAGACTCTGGTGTTTCGACGATGCCAAATCAGCAACGAACATGCCTCCATGTTTGAAGGTATCGCCCCTAACATTCTCATAGGATGATGGGGAAGCTACTTCGATTGCGAGGCCACAATGTTCTGGTGAGTTGTGACATTCGTCGATGCAGTCTGATATCTATGTCGTATCATGTACTCAGTGGATTGCTAACCTCCGGCCCTCGTTCGTTAGTCAACGCGTCCAAGAGTGGTCGACAGTGGTCCTTGTTTTATTGATTAGTTCCGCACGTGTTTGGTAACTCGATTTATGGCACGTCTGGAAAAGCAGGAGAGGAATAACGAGGATATGGATGCAGCGAATAGGTGTCGACCAGCGAGTGCCCCGATTTATGTTGTGCGGTGTCTATCACCTGATAGTATTTAGTTGTATTGGCAGTGGACTCAAATCAGTTGCCTGATTCGCGGGTGGTATGAGGAGCGAAAACGCCATAGCTCGCGTTTCCTTAAATACGTTTAGACAGTCTTGCCACGCTGATACGGTCATGCGAACGGAGTGCGTGTGACCGTCTTCATTTGTACCCAGAACCTTGAGGTGCAATGTGGTTCCCTCGCCTCCCTGTCTTTGGGCTCGCAGCCCAGCTTCCTTGGCTATTAACCAGACCACCATTCGTTCCCAACGTCCATCCGATGACTTCGACCAAGGAGTTCAACTTCAAGGCTGGAGCCGATGTCTTCACACCTAAGGACCTCATCGAGCTCGCCCGACCCGGTACTGGCCTGGCTAACCCTGATGGCGATCTCGTCCTCGTTCCGGTCTCGAAGTACTCCTTTGAGGATAAAAAGTAAGTTGCGAGTTCCAGGCCACCATATATTTATGCGTACTATGCTGACGCGTGTGGCAAGGAACAACAAGTCGATCTACATCGCGCCTTTGGAATCCACGATTCAACCTCTCCAGATTCCTCTCACACACGGAGGGGAAGCCTTCTGGCTTGACTCGAAGACAGTTGGACATGTTGTCACCAATGAAGGCGACAAGGCCGCTTCTCTCTACGCTATCTCCGTCAAATTCACAACCGAACCAGACTCTCAGCTTACCCCTGAACCCCCTGTTCTCGTCGGCACATTTCCCACCACCTCTGCCACAAACTTCCGCTACTCCTCGTCCACCGGAACGCTCGTGTTTTCGGATTATGTTTACGACGATGGAAACTTGACCAAGGTGAAGGACAATGATGAGGCTTACGCGAATAGGGGCAACACCGCCTTCGTGTACGATGAAGGTTATGAGAGGCACTGGGATACGTGGACTGGACCGAAGAAAACCAGCCTCTTTACCGTCAAACTCGCTGTAGGGAAGAACGAGAAATGGGAACTGGGAGATGAATGGGTGAATGCTCTACAGGGAACAGGACACGTACGTCTTCTTCTTACTCTGGTCCGTACTCATTTTGACGAGTAGTTGCTGCATAAGCACTCGCCCGTGGAACCCTTTGGAGGAACGGACGACTTTGACATCTCTGGCCACTCTATCGTCTATACCGCCAAGGACCCAAAACTTCCTGAGGCATCACACACAAGACAAAATGTGCGTGCTGCTGCACTTACATTGATGCATTCGATCGAACGGATTGTGTAGATTTATCTCGTGGACTTCAGTGGCGGTAAGCCTCGTGAGCTCACCTCTGGTGAGCAAGGTGCTACGCATGCCCCGGTCTTCAGTCGTTCTGGCGACAAAGTTGCATGGACGGAGATGGACGAGGATGGTTACGAGGCCGACCGGTACGCCGCCTTCATCACCCTCTATTAGCCTCTCTTTTCCCTCTCTGAGTTGGGTCCTGCTAGTGCGAAGATAGTCATCTACGACTTGAGCAAGGACGTCCGCTTCACACTTACCCAGCCATGGGATCGCTCGCCCGACGCCCTTACTGTGAGCCATAATTCACCATGTAATCAGTGCGCCACAGACTAATATATTGCGTCGGCCAGTTCTCTGAAGACGACTCCTTCCTATATCTCACTGCAGCTGACCACGCACGTAACAAAGTCTTCGTGCTCCCCGTTCCCGCCACCCCTTCTTCATCCACGAAACACCCCTCCCTACCGCCACATTACACCCATCCTCGCCCACTCACCTCTTCTGGTGCCGCTTCTGGCTTAAAAGTCCTCAAAGGCGGTCGTCTCATCTACACTCTCTCGTCCATCACTGGCCCCAACGACGTTTACATCATTCGCGGACTCAAGGATCTTGAGAAGGGTGATTTGACCTCGACGTGGAAGAGCGACCCCGAACAGATCACGAAGTTTACTGAGAAAGACCTAGAGGGCAAGGATATCATCGCTCCAGAAGAATTCACTTTTGAAGGCGCAGAGGGTGCAACAGTACAGGGTTGGACTATCAAGCCGAAGGGGTTTAAGGAGGGCGCGAAGAAGAAGTGGCCGGTCGTGTTGCTGATACACGGCGGACCACAGGGCGCATGGGAAGATCAGTGGTCTACGAGGTGGAATCCGGAAGTGTTTGCCCAGCAGGGGTACTTCACCGTCGCCATCAACCCCAGTACGGTTCACAGTGGTCATTATAGTTTGTGTGTACGCTCTCTAATCTAGTTTGCCACAGCTGGATCTACTTCATTCGGGCAAGACTTCACAGACGCTATCGCCGAAAATTGGGGAGGCAGACCATTCGAGGATCTACAGAAGGGTTGGAAGTACATACTAAACAAGTATCCTGAGATCGACCAGGAGCGTGCCGTCGCGGCTGGTGCTAGTTGGGGCGGCTATGCCATCAAGTACGCCCACAGTTGTTTCTTCTGATTGTATAAATCTGCTGTGCTAATTTTCGAGGTTGAATAGCTGGATCCAAGGGCATCCTGAGTTCGGCTTCGGCTTTAAGGCTCTCGTATGCCACGATGGTGTCTTTGATGCTCTGTATAACGGGTATTCCACCGACGAGCTCTTCTTCGTATGTCGACTTTTCTTTCTCCGCTCACTCTTATGAGGTGATCCACATACTTATCCGTGAAACTTCAATAGAACATACACGAATGGGGTGGCGTGCCACACGAACCTCGAGCTCGTGCGATCATCGAGAAATACAACCCAAGAAACTTCGTCAACCACTGGTCGACGCCCCAACTCATCATTCATGGCAGCAAGGATTTCAGACTCCCCGATACGGAAGGCATCGGGGCGTTCCACGCTCTAAAACAGTGCGTGACCGTTAACGCAAGAACATGTAGCCTCACCGTTCCTGATACAATCATGTATACTTTTGCAGGCGAAATGTCCCAGCCCGCCTTGTAGTCTTCCCGGATGAGAACCATTGGGTGCTAAACCCCGGCAACAGGTACGTTTATGCTGTCTGTCCGACGTCTCCTCTCGGAACATTCGCTGACTTTATTCCATGTAACAGCTTGAAGTGGCACTACGAGGTTTTCCGGTGGTTCCATACGTATGCTGGGAACGATGAGGAGTAAGGCGATGGCGCAAAAGTTGTGTATGTTTAGTAGAACACCAGAAGATTGAGGGGAAAATTGCAGGATACGAGAGGATGAGGTGCTTGTTGCATTGTCGTAGCGTGCAGTTTTTGTATATGTACCGAGCATTCGACTTTTCAAAAGATATTTTTGAAGCCCATCCCTGCTCAAAAGTACTTTTATCTGCGTTGAACCGTGTCTAGAGCTCGCAAATAGTGAAAGCGGCAGCACACATTCTGCGATCGGGCCAGGTTGAACGTGGGTTGAACTTGGGAGGGAAACTAAGCGAGCCGCTATGCCGTCGTCGTTGTCAAGGAAACACGTGGGAGCGGTACCCCTAATACACCGCCCATATCAACACCGTCAAAGCGGTTCAAAGCGTCAAGAATTGTTGAAGAGCTAATTTTGCGATGGATAGAACTTCTCAGTTTTAAGGAGTTTACATGGAGTACACTCCAGCCAGTTGATCGGATTATTTATGGATATGGCTCAAATTCACTACACAGTTCATCTGAGACCTAGCAACAGGCACAGGGTATATTGCACGGTGGCCGGGGTCATTGGGAAGGTCACCACAGGCCGCACGACGTGGTTGGGCTCAGTCAGAAACCACTTTGTCGATACTCCATCTATCTATTCCCTTCACCCCCACCTTACATTCTTTCAAACCAGCACAGGCTATTACTATCCTCTATATTCGCCTCTATTTTCTTGCCGTGCTTTGCGCTTTATTGTTTCCATAGCACCCACAGCCGGAGGTGCTAGCCATTGCCGCACTGCAACGGTTGTATCCCGAATTCGACGGCTGCCGAAGCTCAAACCTGAGGTAAAACAAAGGGCATCTCTACCGCGTATATCTTGTCAATATGTCGGCATCTTCGGTTCCCGGCTCTCCTCTTCCCGACACTCAGCACATACCGGAACAGCTGCATATTCCGAATCAGGCCGACCTCTCCTTGTCAGAGCTCACATTGGAGGGCGAAGAAGGAGAGCACTCCGTGACTTCAACACTTACGCAGGACCAGCGACCTATAATTGGTCTTAGCGCCGATCAAGAGCCGTCTTCTGCACAATATCTTTCCCCAGATATCGAAGCTGCGCAACAGGCCGCCAGTCAGAACGGAGGTCTCAGTCCGACGTCGCCTCGTCCTTCACCGTCCGCCGCGCTGCTACTATCGCCACCAAAGTCCCCTATGGCTCTTCCGACGAGAACTGTCGCCATTCTCAAGAACCATGCGCTCGACCACAGATTCGATATCGAGGCTCGTATCACAGAGGCTCAATTCGAGGTCAGTCTCACTCTCAATCCGTTACGTTTGGAGTAGAACACTCGTCACTAAATTATGTATGTAGATCGTCAAGGAACGTCAGATGGAGTTTGACGTTGAGACGGATCCCGATACTCTCTTTGAGCTGTTTGGTGACGACGCCGCGTCGTTCGCTGAGTACGTAGTTTACATATCACTCTCTAGTCCCTCTCACTGACTCATACCACGACCTCATCACTAGGGGTCCTGTCTGGGTTTATGTTCTCGAGCGTCGCCGGGCTATTGAAGTGTGAGTACTTGGGCTTCTCGTCGTTTCGTTCTTTGCACCAACAAGAGTACACCCGACGCAGATGGCACACTATTATGGGCGACCCCAACCCGTCCGTCGCCAGAAAGTTATCTCCTCACTCCCTTCGCGCGCTTTACGGTCTATCCCCCGAGCAAAACGCCGTGATGGGCTCTCCAGATGCTGCCACCGCAGAGATACAAATCGCATCCCTGTTTGCCTCTTCGCCACCCTTCCCCGCCACCGAGGACTTCTCAGGCGACATTACAGATCCCACCTTACTGGACCTCAATGGGGGCTCAATGCGTAGTATCACGAGCAGCGTGGCTAGCGCCCTTCGTCGAGATTCTACATCTAGGTCCGGGGCCAGTGCCACACCTCCTGGCGTCGTGCGTACAAGCAGCGGAGGTTTCAAAGCTCGTGTTATTCCCAACACACACGACAAACCTAGTATTGCACCCCGTTCGAGTCGCGCAGCGGATTTACGAGCCGGTATCATTACTGAATCTAGTGACCGTAAAGTGCGCGTCGCACCCACGAAGGAAGCCCTCAAGCAGATGTTTATGGATGTTCCGGGCCACAAACGATCTGGATCTATCGCCGTGGCCTCTACTGCACCTCCCGCTCTAGTGCCCCGCATGACTCGTGCTGCAGCCCTCCGGCTGGGCCAGACACCCGTGGAGTCACCAAGTAAGGCGAGGAGACAATCACTGGATATGGTTGCGAATAAGGAGAAGGCGGACCTCAAGGCTATGTTTGAAGGCGTGCCTGGGCATAAGAGGAGGGAAAGCATCGCGGTGGCCAGCACGAAAGCCCCGACGATGGCCCCACGCTTGAACAAGAGTGCGGCGTTACGGGCGCAGAAGGATGCAGAACGCGCCCCCCCTTCCTCGTTTATGTGTAAGTCATTCTCCCCGCCGTGCTAGTTTCCTCAATTATCTCCCTTCAGTCACGCGTACTCACGTCCTACGCACAGTCCGCGAACATTCCTCTCGTTCTTTGTCCCGGTCAACGTCACAGAACGATCTTGGCGCATCCACCTCTCGCCCTGCGTCCTCCCAGTCCCAAGTGCGCTCCACTCCCCCCGCGTCTTCTGTATCTACCCCTCCAGCGGTCCGTCGTGCCCCTTCGCGAACTTCTACGTCCACGCCGGCCGCATCGTTATCCCAGTCAAAGAATCGTCCTCCGACTTCCAGAACGTCTACTCAACCTCGCGTCTCCGCGGCTTCCACACCTACGTCGGAAAAGTCGGAAAAATCGCCCGCTGTCAACGGCTCGAATGGCGCTGCTGCTTCGCCATCGCCAGCCAAGCCCAGACCCAGACCATCGAGCTTGCAGGCTCCAACGATGGCACCAAGGCAGAACAAGAGTGCGATGTTGAGAGCCGCGAAGATGGCTGCTCAGCAGAATGGAGGAAAGCCCGTGAAGGTCTAAGTCGATGGCCTGTGCCTGCAAACGCCGCTCGTAGACGTCATATATTTTTCTCTTTTTGCGCAGGCGCGTTTTTATCAATCTTTCGCGGACTGCATATAAACGTACGTCACTGTCTGTTGTTCCTTTATGATTTACCTGTCAAATCTCTCGATTTCTATCACATATGCATCACATCTGGGTTTTTTGGTGGCTTGATTGCTTGGTAGCCTTGCGTACACTTGTACATCATGGCATGATACATAGTTGCTCTAGCGCATATCTATCTTTGCTTCTCGTATGCTCCATCTTCTTCCTTTGTCTTTAGCCCTTTGTTTGTGCTATCCGTCTCTTGTGTCTCTTACACGGTTGATATACCCTGTATATCATTCTATCCTTGCCATTCGTACTCTTATGCTGTTTCTTGTCACAAGTCTGAGCATATACTAGCTGCTTCGCGACATCTTTTCTTATCCCGAACATCGCTATCTGTGATCAGAATTACCGGTCGTCTAGCTGTATTGCCTTGGCTGGTCGCACTTCCTGTCTTATTACTCCGTTGAAGTTACTCCCACTCCCACTTACACGCCTGACCCAGACTACTTACTGCTATAAGCACAATCTATGTCAATCGTATCCTCCATCGTTGCCTTTGAGCTGTTCACTTTACGGAATTGCACAGGGTATACCTCAATGGAGTTGTCGGTGATCAAGGACGCAGACATCGATGTGCAATTGCCAGTGCGAAGGATTCGTAAACAATCACTAGTATGCGCATATCAACACTGTCTACACTGACTTGGCCGAAATTAATACTATCAACTACATTGGAAGGACGGACGGCTTCATACAAAACTCTTTCAGCATCGAGACAGCCTGAAGGGCTCACTGCGCCGTAGGCTTGATGACAGCGGGCAAAGGCCAAACGTCCAGATGACAAGACGCTTGACCCTGCAACAACCCACTCACGCTTGTACCAACACCCTGTTGAATGTCATCGCCGCCCCCAGTCAGTGTCGGTAGATAGAATGCTGACGGGTTGTCTACGTACCACCATAGTCCCGGGGAACCCAATGTCAAATGGAAGGACACCCTCGAGACGCTTGATCTGGTCCCCGGTCAAAGCGATATCTAAGGCCTTGATGTTGGCTTCGAGGTGTTCGATCTTCCGTCCACCTTCATCATCCAAGCTCGTGAGTAAGGGACGGTAGCTCGAAATGCGTGCAAGAAACATACCGAGGATAGGGAACACGTAAGGCGTTTTCTGCATCAAGTATGCGATCGCAACTAGATGTCCTTGTCAATTTACAATCGCTCGTATGCTCTGTATAATAACATACCGGCCTGGACATTGTCGCCAACGCCAACCTCCTTACCCACTTCTTCGAGGACAGCGCAGACCTTCTTTTCGTCCGCAGTCCTCTCCCATTCTGGACCGAAGATCATTCGTCCCTTCTCGCCCGACTCTCTACGGCGAGCTTCTTCAGCATCCGTGCGAATCTTGCCTGCGCCAAGGACATCCCACGGGGCGAGGGCAAGGCCTGTGCATTAAGGTTGGATTAGTATTTGTCCACAAATTTGATGAGGGCAGAGAAACTGGAAGAGTTCGCTCAAGAGGGGACAAACAACACGAACCCAGGGTCCTGGCCATCGGTATGATCTCCCTTTCAAAAGACCTCTTCATAATGTTCCATTGCCCTTGATAGATGACAAATGGAGTCTTTCCGTGGTCTCTGGCATACTGGTTCGCTTGCGATACAATCCATGCGGGTGTATCCTAGGTCATCGGATCGTCAGGACGGAGGAATACGAGGTAGTCATACGGTCAAGTGCAAGCTTACAGAAACACCCTGAGAGACAAAGAGTCGTAATGAATGATAGCAAGAGGTTAGAACATATAGGTTATTGTCGAACAGAATGAGCAACAGTGACATACCAGGTAACAAACCTTGCCTGCAGCGACCAAATTATGCAGACCGTTCATAACCTCTTCAACGCCAGAGGCCCAATCCCACCAATGCAAGTAAAGGATGTCGATATAAGACGTTCTAAGCTTCTTCAAAGATGCTTCGACCGAGATGTTCATCGACTTGACATTATTGCCGACGAAGGTGATTTTGTGCGGAGACTCTATGTGACGCTTGAAGTTCGAGGTATACTGCAGCACATAGGGTTGTCATGAGCGTTTGGTAACAAGAAAAACTTGGCCGCAATGGACTACCTTGGTGGCTAGTACGATTTGGTCACGGTTGCCGCGGCTCTCCATCCACTCTCCAAGGAACTCTTCGGAGGATTCATCCTGACTACAATGCGCAGGTAGAAAGGGTAACATTGAGCGTGAAGCCTTAGTGAGCGTTCTGAGCAGAGATTCACCAGCAACACTTACTAGGCATTAGCAGTATCGATGAAGTTTCCACCAAGACCGAAGTAAGCGTCGAGAAGTTTGAAGCTAGACTCTTTGTCCATCGAGCCCATGCCCTTTGCAGCCCATTTATCGCCAATGCTCATCGCACCAAGTTGACTTCAATCGGGTTCAAATTGAGAATCAATCAATTAACAATGGCCATGACGTGCACGAGCGAATGAACTCACATCGGCGAGACGCGAAGGCCACATAGCGGCGAGAGCGTGCGGTATTTGGCGAGCTTTGAAGCGGGAGGAGCGATGCCAGGGTAGAAAGCAGACATGGTGGTGCGATCAATTGGAAGTGACGATACAAACGAGAAAAACTTTCGAGAGATGAATACCAGCGAATGTGACCAACCTGCGAACTCTCCTGTTTATATAGTGCTGAAAAAGAACGACCCTATCGATCATAGTATCCACATAGGTCCGAGTATCGACTGTAAAGGATCTGTGGCAGAAACAGGGGCACCGGATAACGAAAGTCGGAGAGAAGCTCATGTCGAGCTCATGTCAAGCCTTCAAGTTGAAAGAGAAAAGCAACAATCGCCGTCCAACTATTTCAAGCGAGCGCCATCTCCCCGGGCTGCGGGCAGGTTCCCCACAAACTAAGATAGGCCTCATTCGGGTTGACTTATAGCTCCTCGACTTGGTTGCTCTATAAACTGACTACTTTTTCTGTCTTGTCAACATCAAGACAGGCGATCTTTGCTCTCCTCCTCGTGTGCTTCTGAATCGAAGACTTTCCCTCGTTGTCAGACTCGACCCACCTCAGTTTTGTCTGGGAGCCACAATTGACGTGTTGGTGATCCACATTTTCTGCCGTTTTCAGCCTCACCACTCATTTATCAGTCGGGCACATTCTCTTTAGGTCTCTCGGCGAACTGTCTTCTACGAAATCCACCTCTCTTTCCGGAATATTTAACCGGACAACATGCTAAGTTAGGCTCCGAGCACTCTCGACCCGTCCATGTCTTTTCTCTGGAGCAGTACGTCATGCCTACAGCTCTTTTCCCTCAATACCGTATCAGAGCCCGAGTGTTCCTTGTATCGGCTTCGGTATCATGAGCACGCCGACATTCTACAACCCTAGCAGCTTCCCGTTGAGAAGCGTCTCGCAGTAAGTACTACTTACGTCGTTCGCACCCCGTCTCTGTCCCTGGATCTGACCTCTCATACTTCCCACTAGTCAAGTCCTTCATCTAGTAGCTTCTGAGTGCAGTCTATGGAGATAGCGTGTACTGGATACCGCTGATATCTTCGGCTGTACAGGTCTCGTGATCGGAAGGCAATGATGCCGAAGTTCTCTAAACAGAACTAACCCAACATCATAAACTTTATCGACGAGATCGAAAAGGTCGGCGGAATTCCTCATCACAGCAGAGCACATAGCGTCAAGTTTTCAGTAAATATCTGTAAATGGGCATATTCGGGACACTGTTACCACAGGCCTGGGAAGCTCACTGAGCCATAGGCTTAATGACGCCGGGCAAAGGCCAAACATCGAGATTACTAGCCGCTTGACCCTGCAGTATCCCGCTCACACTTGACCCAACACCCTGTTGAATGCCATCGCCGCCCCGAGTTAGTATCGGGAAGGTATGAATATAGAATGTTGACTGTACACATACCACCATATTTCCGGGGAAGCCAAGGTCAAATGGAAGAACACCCTCGAGACGCTTGATCTGGTCCCCGGTCAAAGCGATATCCAAGGCCTTGATGTTGGCTTTGAGGTGTTCAATCTTCCGCCCACCTTCGTCATCCAAGCTCGTGAGTAATGGATGGCAGCTCGAAATGTGTGCAAGGAACGTACCGAGGACAGGGAACACGTAAGGAGTCTTGTGCATCAAATATGCAATTGCAACTAGAGGTATTTATTAGTATCCAGCCGCCACGTATGCTCTGTATGAGCACATACCGGCCTGCACATTATCGCCAACGCCAACCTCCCTGCCCACTTCTTCAAGAACACCGGAGATCTTCTTTTCGTCTTCAGTTCTCTCCCATTCTGGGCTGAATATCGTTCGTCCCTTCTCACCCGACTCTTTACGACGAGCTTCTTCAGCATCCGTGCGGATCTTGCCTCCACAAAGAACGTCCCACGGAGCGAGGGCAAGGCCTGTGGGTGAATGTAAGATCAATAGATGTTCAAAAGTTTGATAAGGGCGGAACTGGAATGAGAGGAACTGGGACACTTCGCTCAAGAGGAAACAAACAACACGAACCCAGGGACCTGGCCATCGGTATGATCTCCCTTTCAAAATCCCTTTTCATGATGTTCCATTGCCCTTGATAGATGACAAATGGAGTCTTTCCGTGATCCCGAGCGTACTGATTAGCTTGAGAAACGACCCAGGCGGGGGTATCCTGGTGACATATATCTGTCAGAGTGTATTTAAAATGCAAGGATCGATAAAGCGCAGGGTAAACTTACAGAGACACCCTGCGAGAAAAGGGACACGGTTACAAGGAATCAGAATATATACCATAGCTCAAAAGACATAGAAACATACCAGGTACAGAACCTTGCCTGCAGTGACCAAGTTATGCAGACCGTTCATGACTTCCTCAACACCGGAAGCCCAGTCCCACCAATGCAGATAAAGAATATCAACGTAAGACGTTTTGAGCTTCTTGAGAGATGCTTCGACGGAGACATGCATTGATTTGACATTGTTGCCGACGAAGGTGATTTTATGCGGGGACTCTATATGGCGCTTGTAGTTGCAGGTATACTACAGCACATATCAACGACGTGAGTGTTGGTAATAAAGAGGATTTGCCACAGTGTACTACCTTTGTCGCCAGGATGATCTGGTCGCGATTGCCGCGCTTTTCCATCCACTCGCCAATGAACTCTTCGGAGGACCCTTCCTGACTACAAGTTGCAGAAAAGGTGGTCGTATTTAGCGCACAATCGTCGTAAGATCTGGAGACACAGAGTCGCCAACAACACTTACTAGTCATTAGCGGTATCAATGAAGTTTCCACCGAGATCAAAGTAGGCATCGAGAAGCTTGAAGCTTGCCTCTTTGTCCATGGACCCGTATCCCATCGCAGCCCACTTGTCGCCTATGTTCGCCGCACCAAGCTGACTTGAGTCGGAATCAGAGTGAGTGTCAAATGGCCTGGACAGTAAAGGCAATGAGGACACGAGACTGAACTCACACTGGTGAGACACGGAGGCCACATAGCGGCGAGAGTGTGCGATATTTGGCGAGCCCAGAAACGGGAGGAGCGATATCGGGGTAGAAAGAGGTCATGGTAGTGCTGGTGGTCTGAATGGCACAGAGAGGGATTTATAATGCATCCTGAGACGAGAAATATGCCTGGCTTTTTAGCATTCTGGCCCCAATTCCAAGTTGCTGAGTGAGCAGTTCTTTTGCGCATGCTGAGTAAAGTATTAAAAGAACCTGAGGCACCGCCTCACTAGCTGATAGCAGCTGATAGTCCTACACTACTGTCTGATGCTCTGTGGGCACGCCTAAGGTCCATGTACGCTCAAACTTATCACGTAGCGAATGCTTTCGCAAGAAGACATCACCCTCGGAGATGGTGAGAACGCATATCGCATGACTGGGCAGTTTTCATGCTCATGTTTTCGTATACGTACAGACAGATCGAGAACGTTCAGAGCACCAGGCCGTCTAGGGTCAAAGCAAGAAAGCAGCATCAAAGCCTTACTCAGCCAACAAGAACAAAAGACACCGCGCGACCCTCGCGGAGAAGAAAGACTCCACCGTTGCTATCCTTCACAGTGCTGTTATTCCCCTGTCTTCTAGCGCATGAGATTTTATGATGCTTACAGCAGGAGTTCGAGTTCATGAGCGGACGGGTAACCAAGGTGGGAAGGCGGGACTGTGGTGAAAGCCAACTGTGGCCCGGGTTCGCTTGAAGGTGCTCACGGTTCCTTCCGGACTTCGCCGCGCCACGTAAACGCGCCTCTGCCTGCCTCTGCTCAAACCTTCACCGAACTTTCAATCTCTCAAGTGCTTCGGTGACCATTTTTTGCTGAGGTCGAGCAATCATGCCACGCATACCCCTCAATCTCCTCCGTATATCTCTTCGCAATGCTTCCCTACCGGCTGCAGCATCTCGTATAGCACCTCGCACACCTTCCATCACCACAACTAGCCATACATTCTCTACCCGTGCTGCCTCATTCGCCCCTTCGGGCCCTTCACTACTCGGTACCTCCATCTTATCCCTTCTCTCGCGGTCAGCAGCACCTGCGCCAGTTTTTACGCCGCCAGGACAGCAACAAGTGCGACATAGGACGTTCGGTACGGAATACCAGCCTTCTCAGCGGAAGAGGAAGAACAAGCATGGGTTTTTGACGAGGAAGAGAACTGTGAATGGAAGGAAGATTTTGGCGAGGAGGAAGGCGAAGGGGAGAAAGATTCTGAGCCATTGATATGGTGTGCTTAAGCTCCTGTCTCGTTTTGCTGGTGGACTACAGGCTGATCGCGTGTGGGGTGGTATCTTGTAGTCCGCGACTCGAACTCTTGTTTTTGACGAACACGCTTTACGCGTGCGCTGTTGAGACTTCCTACTGCCTTGCCCAAATTTTACTTTAGGATGCACTTTCATCGTATTTGCCAGCATCGTAGTTCCTGAATGCTCAACTGTACAGGTTTCAGTTCGTATGGAGACAGAGCTTCCAATATGAGCACATTATTGGGACCTTGCCGCTCATATCCGTGCTTCAGGTCCGCTACATGCTCCAACGTACTGCTGTTCTACTGCCATATCACTGACGATTCTGTCACCAACGAAAATTTTGTAGTCTAAGTGAGGGTCCACAGTGTATCGTCTCTTGCATGCTGGTTGTAGATGAAAAGAAACCGTATCCGTGAGCATTGCACTATGGCAAGTTTCCCCATAGCTCTGCTCGCTAAGGGGCTATTCTCTTCTGAAAGAGCGACAGTAGATCTTTGCCATGTTGGGTGGAATGCTTGATGCATTCTGGAGCAAGCTCGACTTGAGCCCGACGGTCTTGGTCCGGAAACACATGAGCCGGAAGAGGCAGGATGAACGCGGGATATTCCGGAAGTGGCACGCGACGCGGGCGGGAAGGTTCAGACGTCGCCACCGCGTGCTCTTTCTCTTCACTTGACATCGACCATAACCACGCACGACCTGCCCACACTCATCGCAGACGCGCTCATCGCAGACAAACATAATCTCTTTGGATGTACCAACTAGGCCACCGTAATCTTACTCTAGTCCTGCTCGCTTTCGTCTCTGGCACCTACGCCCATCCCTTCGCCTGGCTTCACAGACCTACGGCATCCACCCAGGCAGATCGTGGATGGCTATGGCTTTGGACATGGGGCCAGGACGCCATGGTATCCATCGTTGATCGCTCGCCCGCCGTAACTTTTCTCTCTAGGCCTGCAGCGTTCGGTGCAGAATTGAATGATCCTCTCCTCGGATACGTCATTCCTCTCAACTCGTTTACGACCCCCTGCATACATGGTTCCGATGTCTCTACTACATCATTCAACCTGCCCAATACTCATCTATCGCCGAACCTTGGATGTCCCAAGCTCTGTATCCTAGGCGATAATATACCGGAGAAAGGAGAATCTTGGATTGCTTTGGTGCAAAGGGGGCAGTGCCAGTTTGTAGACAAAGCCAGGGAAGCACAGCGCTTAGGTGCTAGGGCTGTCGTTGTCGGTGGAGATGATCCGGATTTCGGTGGGAACCCAGACACGCTGGTGAACATGTACAGCCCAGGTGCGTTCATTTCTGTGGCTCATACCAGTGTCCATGCTCATGGCGTGCACACAGGGGACTCGTCGGACGTCAAGATCCCTGCGACTTTCGTCAAATACTCGGACTACGTGGAGTTATCGGCTCTGATAGCTGCCTCCAATACATCCCATAATGGTCTCAAGACCCTCTCACTTCTTGTTAGCTCCGAGTTCTCTGCGTGGCAGTGGTACTCGTACGTCATTACATCTTGTTCTACATACAGAGGTGCTTAACATACGTACATATTTATCTTCATAGTCCTCTGCTTACATTCCTGACTCTCCTCCTGGTACCTTCTTCTCTCACGTTCCTCACGCTTCTCATCCACCGCATCCGCCTCGCTCGTGCGGCGCAACGCGATCGTGCTCCAGAAGATATCGTTCACAGTCTTCCCTGGAGAGTCTGGACAGGTACAGGCTGGGAGAAACACGCCGGCACCGTTCCAGCCCAGGACCTTGATCCCGCATCTTCTCGAGACGACGATGCTGTCGAACGTGGTGAATCTCATCGCGTCCCCCCACAGCAGATAGAAGAGGATGAGGACCCCGCTTGGTTCCAATCTCAGGTGGAATGTGCCATATGCCTAGAAGAGTTCGTCAAGGGAGATCGAGTGCGTGTCTTGCCTTGCAAGCACATATTCCATCTGGACGAAGTTGACGTGTGGTTGATTGAGCGGAAGAAGCTGGTGAGTTACACCCTGACAATATTTGCGGACACATAGTAACCTTTTTCGTTAGTGCCCCGTATGCAAAGCAGACGTGACTCAGCCTCGACCTCCAGGCACCCATGCCACCACACAAACCGAGGAACCCCTTCAACGCCCAACGACCCCAGTTGAAGACCCTGCCGAATCTTCGACGTCTCCATTCCCCTCTCGCTCTACCTCATCCTCAGTCACTGAGCGGACGCCACTTCTCCAGAACAGCCCTTCCTCCGGTACCCTCTGACGTTGACAGTCGTGTTCATCATGGACTCCTACCTACCTCCCACACAGTGTATCATGCTTATTTTACTGATACCCCCGGGAATATTGTCGTGGTGGGCTCTGTGGTTTTCGTTTTTTCTTGTATGACAGTGTACGGTATCATCGACCATCTTGTGAATCCTAGTAACGTTATCGTCGGGTCGCTCCATTATTATTCGCTAAATCCTCTTAAATATTTTGTTGATCGGGTTTCGAGCACCCTTGGGACATGGACATGTCGTGGGTGTATCTCCTTCATCCTAGGCCAAGCTCTGCTGACGTATTCTGAGGCCTATTTAAGGAAAGTAAACAACATGAACGAGATATGAATCCATGCTGTTCGGTACGATTCCGGTGTCGTACAATGCGTACCAGGCGTCACTGTCCTTTATAACCTGCGTCTCCGTTCTACACTAGAACACTTGAGCATCATCTTCATTTCGATTGCCTCGTTTCACCGCGGATATGGGACAAGGTGGAAACTGATCTCTCAGCCTTATTGTGTTCCCCGGGAGCGTGCCTTCCAAATCCGGAATACACTTCGGTCTCAGCCTCTGCGGTCCGCGACCTTGTCCTCTGATTTGCGAGAGGTCCGGTTCCCTGATCTACGTTCTCATTCCACTCAGGTACGATTCCTATCCGTGCCGAAGGACTATATATCTGATCTCCGAGAACTATCAGCCCTCAACTCTCACCGGCGAGCAAGAAAACAATTGTGACTCGCCGAGGGGGCCGAAAGTGGACACCGCGCCACGCTGAGGTAACCTGGGCGAACTCTTCCTCGGGCTCTCAGTCTTATTGTCTTTTCTTCGTAGCACGCAAGTGGCGGCGCCGCATAGATCATTCGGACATTCCGTTCGAGATCCCTCTGCTCCCTTCGACATTCGAAACCGCTTTCTGCAGGTCGCCAGCTTATAACGGTGCAGGCCCGAACTTTAACTATGATCTGGACAAGATGGGATTGGACGGATTTTATTCTGCGTGGGCGTTTACTCCACATTCGTATGCAATATGAGCCGGAGAATGCGTGAGATGGGGGAAGTCTCGGTTCAAGTCGTCGGCACTGTTTTGTCCGTTCGTTAAGGACGTTCAGAACATACGCATATATCCGCCATGTGTTGACTCATCGTGGTCGAAAGCAACTTTGACCTTGAGCCTCGAGGCGGCTGCGACGGAGCAGCGAAAATACTTATATAGCTTCTCGACGTCGACTGACCACCCCTTCCCTTCTATCTCCCGTCGCTGCGACCCCTGCACTTGAGTCCTCGTACCTCAGCCCAACTGGGCACATAAACTACCAGAGCAACTCTTGTTTGAGGTAAGTAACCGAACCACTGAAACCTCCGTTCCTGTTTCTTTATTGTCATGTCATGCGGAGACGGAGTGTTCGTTGGCTTTCTTTTCGAAGTCAGCGCCGCAATCGTCGCTTAGCACTTGGATTAGCGCTGACGCAGGTGGCTCTCCCGCCCGGGTCTGGACAAATTATATTCGTGTTCGGAAGTGGGTGGAGAGGTTTCAGATCTCAAGATACGAAGGTGTCGCTGGCGTCCCGGTCTTGAACGAAATGCGCGCATGATTTCAGGACGATTCTTCCTGCTCTTGTTCTGCATGCTTCGGAATCGTCAGCCGGGCATATCTGATCTCTAATTTGACATTATTCCAAGCCTTCTTGCCCTTTCTTCTCTTGTGTAAGGTTCTACCCATCTGAATCTTGTTCTTGTGCGCGTAGAACAACAAGCGCTGATACTGACGATATATAATGCAGCGCTCCACGGTCCCTCGCTGACCCGCATAACTATTCGACCTTCGCCTTCTTGTCCAACCTTGGGACCCTTCGTCTTTCATTCGAACTCGTACACCATGGTGAGAAATCCTCCGTTCATCGTTCCTTCAGAGAAGCGACACAGTACGTACACTCCGTCACTTCTCCTTCCGTTTTTTCCAGCTGATGTGATTTATATAGGCAAACCCTGCAGATACTATCAGACGGGTTCGTGTGCTTTGTCCGCAGAGAAGTGCAACTTTGCGCACGTCAAAGAACTTAAACTCGTCGGTACTCCGGCAACGAAGCTGCCCTTGCACGTTGAGTCGAGGACTAGAGAAACAAAAAACCCTCAGCGCTATCATTCCCCTTTGAGTCAAGGTAGATCTTGTTCGTTCGGCCCTTCCTATATGCGCATTTCACCTTGCTATGCAGTATCCTGATGAACTCGTGTTATTTTTATCCTAGACCCAACTTCTGTCGCCCGTTTCCCTGGACACAGTATGGAAGAGTATCCCTTCTCTCCCTCACCATGTACGGTTTCCAGCTTGGCCCTTTCTTCCGTTTACTGAACTATTTCCATCATAAAGACCAATATCTTTCCTTCCCATCCCCCTATGCTGCATCACGCCCCCCACACTATATCCCGCCACAACGCTCTGCGCCGTCCTTCTCTCCCTTCTCCCCGATCAACAGCAACGCCCCTACAGCCGACATTGACACAGACACAGACGTCCCGAGCCTCGGCAGCACCTCTTCCCCCTCCGCTAAATCTAGTTCGCTCGCGGACACATACACAGACGGCGATGCTCCTTCTCCTCCCCGCACGCCAGATGCCTTCACTCATCTCTATTCCCCGGTAAGAATGACGACATGGCCTTCGATGCTCTCGCCGAGTTTCACTCCACACGAGGCGTCATTTTATTTCGTGCAACCCACCATTCAGGATCAGATGCGTGGATATGGACATGGACATGGAATGCAGACGGCGTATGTTGGACCAGTAAACCCCTATGCGCTATCGCCTGTGGGCTATGTTACATATCATGGACAAGCTGTGGGACATGGGTTTGGTGGCGCGGTTGATGGGTCTAAGGGTAACAGGGAAAGACAAGATGCAATCCCAGTCAGTAAAAAAGCTAGAGCATACAAAAGTAGGTCATCACCGCCACCGTATCTTGAATATACTTATTTATTATTGGTCACCTCTCGCAGCTAAGCAGTGTAAATTCTTCAGGAAAGATGGAACGTGTCCCAAGGGCGACCAATGTACTTTGTGTGTATCGTATTTACCATTCGCACCAGTCTCGCGAGGCACTCATACTTCGTTGTAGCATCCACGAACGCCGTTTCCGTCCCGAAAGACCACCACAACCGCGCCTTCCTTCGCCTACAACACCTACGACCGCCTCTCCCTTGACATCGACCTCCACGGATTCAACTTTATCCTCTTCGTCCCTCCGTACACCGACCACAGCTTCCAGCGTGACCGCTACCGTTAACCCTCCTGAACTTCCCCAGAAGCCACTTTCCAGCCTCGAGGAGATGCACGCGAAGGGTTTGTTTCCCATTACATGGAGGGTCATCGGTGGAGGTGTGACGCTAGGCGGACGACGTAAGCCCATTATTGTTTTCTAGCTTCAATCCCGATGTGTTTGCTTATCCCGTGATTCGGGTCTCTTTTCTCTTGTTCGCAGGCGAAGTATGTCCAAGGCTTGTGGAAGGACACTGTCCCGATGGAGACGATTGTCGCTTCTTTCATCCCGATCCAGGTAAGTCTTAGTCTCAATCCGTGCACTCTCACCCCCTATTGTCTTCTTCCTTCACACTCATGCTTCATATCACATCATCTTGTCACATCGAAATATGATCCTGATTCTTCCCTTCATTCTCTTCCTCCCAAGATGAACTACCATATTCCTCCGCACCGGTCTCCATCGATCCTCCGTTCGAGGACGACTGGACAAAAACTCCCAAGCCGCATGCCATCCATTCTCCTTCACTTAGTAACACTACTTCCACATGTAACAAGTTCAGTGGACATAGTTACACCACCAGCTTGAATTCCGACAAGCAGATGCCAGGCAAACCATCCGCGGGCCTCTCCATCGCCATTCCGGCTCAACCAAACTATCTCCCTGACGTATCGCCTACTATCTTCCGAGGTCAGGTTGCCGAGCGACTCGGAATGCTTAGGAGTACCATTGGTGGTATCAATGGGGTTGAAAGACCTCATTCGACGCCGCCTTCACTGGTGATGAGCCCTGGTCGGGTATTGTCGGTGAGTTATTTCTATACTCAATGTCTTTTTATGCCCCAGGGAGCTGATTTGTCTGGTGAATAGCCTGTGTCACTCGAGAGCCCGTACCCATAGACATTATACACAACCATGACCGCTCCATACCATATCTATTACTTTGTGCCACCAGCGTCGCCCACCGGATATCCTCGCTTCTATTCTCGTCTTGACCCCGTTACTTCGCTTCACGAACAATCTTTCCGGCACCTCTTCTCATCGCCGCTCGCGTATCTATCTACTCGATGGACTCCTTTCTACAACTGCTATCCTCTGTTGTTTCTTCCTTGCATCTCCCCGGGTTCTGTGTACGATTTTTATCTACTTACTCGAGGGCTTCCTCTTTGTTTGCATCGGTCGTAGATGGGTTCGCCGTTCCTACTCATGCTTCACGCTTGTTTTCGCTTGCCTACGTGCTTATACCTTTCCGTCACTTATAAACCCATAACGCATCTTTCGACCTTCTTCACCTATTCGATATCCTCTTCCCTTCGGCCTTCTTGCATCTCTACTTTGACCTTCTTGCCTCTCCACCTTCCTGCGGTACCACTCTCCTCTGTCTTCGATTCGTCGTGTTCCGTCTTGTTTTTGGTGCATCGTATTTTTGGGTCGGTCACCCCAGGCCGCCCGTGTCGCCCTATCGAGACGAATACATAATTAATCTATGGACTTTTGGTAGCTTGCCCTCTCGCCGTCGGAGGCCGTCGGTCAACGATTTGACTCGGGCCCCAAATTGCAATGATGTAGTCATAAGACGCGGGAGTTTGGATCCAATAATACGCACGGCGGGTGAGCGATCATGATGTTGAGGAGAGAACGAAACTCTCGAGTGGTGTAGCGGATTGTGGGGTTACATGACGTCAATAAAGTCGCTGTACCCACACGATTTTCTGTCGGATATCCCACAATACTGCACAACGATTCGTTGAGACAAAAGCACAAACAAGGTTCATTCAGGGCGTCCGTCCATACGCAATGAGAAGTACACGTAGACATCATAGAATAGCAGGCATGAAGAGGCGGAGGGCCGGGATGGGGGTAGTTAAGGGATAAGAAGATCGAAGGGCGTAAAGCAGGTGGTATCGAGACACCCTATCCTCAAGGTACAGGGGAATCAAGTCGTAGGATGACGGCTGGCGCACGCTTAGCAGCACATCTCGCAAGGGCAGCCTAAGAGTAGAAAGTGACGTCAGCAAATAATGCAAGTAAGAGCAAGGAACGGTGGTGTTGAAGGGAGCAGATGTGGGAGAGTCCACGTACAGATGATGTCCGCGCAGCATTCGCAGCAATCCTGAGTACGGAGAAATTGATGTGATTAGTTGGAACGTGCGTGGAAAACACGAGGGCAAAAGTGGAACGAGGTCTGACCTTGCAGCATTCTGCATGAGGAAATGAATATTAGCGACGTAGCCCCTTTGGTAGTGGTAAATAAATGGCGAGAGACTTACCGAAGCAGAGGAAGCACTCGATGAGACCGAGGAAGCAGTCCTGCATCACGACGACGAGGCTCAGAAACGACAATTTGATGCATCATTATGTTTTGGAACTCACCCTGCCGGCACCTCCACCACGGAGACGAGAGGCCTTGTGCTGATGGTGATGCTCGTGCTCAGCCTGTTGAGAGTTGGCAGGGGCAGCGGGGTTCATGGCATCTAAGCGTCAACAAGAGCACAGGTCGCAAAACGTGTGAATACCTCAAGAGCCGTGCATTTCAATACCAGCAATGCGAGGACATACTCATTTGAATGGCAGCCTGGGGCTGAGCGGCGACGGGGGCGGGCTTAGAGACGGCGTCCATTGTGTTTGTGTTTTGTGAAAGTCGGGAGAGAGTTTGTTGTCGTGGAGGGAAAGAGGAGCTGCGGGAACGTCTGAGGCCAATGATCCGGTATATATAGTCGAGAAGGCGTGCAACCAGCGCTGTGGAAAGGGTTACATCACGGGCTAAAAATAGCAAACGGTTCGCAGGGGTTCGTCGTCACCGCCAGGCCCGCCAGCTCCGGCTTTGACTGTGCGGTTTTTGAAGATGGCCAGAGCCGCTCAGAGCTCCTAGACAGCATAAAAAATCCTAGGTTACCACATATTTCGGCAGAGCAGCTCGAGGGCACTGGTTTCCGAGTCGATAGGGGCTGCGCATGCCCACTTGAAACATAGCGGTTGTGACCCGCGTCGGCGCCTCCTCAGTTCCCGGAGAGCTCAGAAAGGAGGAAATGGACGCTCCCCAAGACGCGGCTTAGAAGAGTCTGAAGGCGGATTTTAGTAGAATCCGATTTATCCATGCAGGTCGAGAACCAGAGGAATGGGCTATGCCGTAGAAAGTAAGCGGTGCAGATCGAATGCAAAGTGTAAGGAAGCCAGAAATGGATATCCGTGCGATTTTGGCCATCATCTACAGCGACGACCACAGTACTCTCGACAGTGACGAGGTGGAGGTCAGGAAGAAAGCGAGGTCTGCCTTGGGTTCTTGGCAATTGTCACAAACTCACTCGCTGACTGATCGAGTGATACCTCAACGCAATACGAACCCAAATGTGCGACGCGGCCTTTCGTCAAACTCGCCTCCCAGCACGTAGTACTTACGCCGCCCGAACTACGTATAGACGGTTCGGGCTGACTACCTCCCTTCCAAATCATATAAAGTCCGGACTTTAGGCCATGTCCTTTATCACGCCCCGTGCTTCCGGTCTTTGGGACGTCGACGTTGATCAGGAGGAGAGTATGGGCAGCTTTTCAGACGACCCAGAGGCTATAGGCAGCGAAGATGACGGCCGCACGCCCCTGGACAAAACTATTGATAGGATCGGCATGGGTGTGTACGTTTATTTCCTGGTGCATTGGACCGTGCTAATTATTGTGTGCGACGATACAGGCCAGTATCAGTGGACCCTGCTCTCATTATGCGGCTTTGGTGAGTCTTGAACGTGTTACGCTCAGTGAAGCACTCGAGACGATAGATGGGACGCGTTTTCCAAAGGTTGGATGGCCGATAATGTGAGTTAATCCTTTTATCTTGCTTCAAGCCAACGACCTGACGCTTTCAGATGTGGCTACAAGCGGTCGCCATAATCCTCCCCCGTGTGCAGAGGCACTACGCTGGTACGCCCCTCATCGTATTTATCCTAGCACCATTACCACTTATATGGACACCTATGACAGTGCCGGACAGCTATATTGGCACCCTCTCTTCATCCATGTTTGCTGGAATGATGTTTGGTGCGGTAGGATGGGGTACATGTGTGTCTATTCCCTCACATCATACTGAGGTTCATACTTATGCCATGGTCTGAATAACCAGGTTCCGATCTCATGGGGCGTTCAACAGCGTTTAACGCTACTCTATTCTTCACCGCTGTATTTGGTCTCGTAGCATCTTTTGCGAATACATTCACGCTCCTATGCATATCCCTGTTCCTCCTTGGCAGCTCCGTTGGCGTATGTTCACCCAACCTTTCACATTATCTCGTTCATGGCAGCTAATACATGATCATAAAGGGTTCTATGCCTACGGACGGGACATTACTGCTTGAGCACATGCCCCAAGGCAAAGAATACCTTGTCACCGCACTCTCCGTGTTCTTCTCCTTTGGGGCTGTCTTAGCCGCCTTCGTCGCTCTGGCCACAGTACCACACAACTCCTGCCCTCCATTACCAGCCGAATGCGACGTCCTCACAGAAAATCAAGGCTGGCGGTATACCCTCATGACCTTGGGCCTTATCGTACGTCACCAAATTGAAACATCCTCACACCTTGTTTGGTATATTGAATGCTCTATATGACCTTCCCAACAGACTCTCACTATGTTCGTCGCCCGCATGGTTTTCTTTCGCCTGCATGAATCTCCACGATACCTTGTCCACGCTGGGCGTCCACAAGAGGCACTCGTCTCGCTACAATTGATATCTCGCTTTAATGGCTCTGAACTCACTCTTGATCTGGACGACGTAGAAGATCATCGTGCACCACAGGCTTCGTCTTCTGACAGACAACAGTCTGGCACTTCAGGCGAAAGCGCCCCATTCCTCTCGAATGGAGACGACGGAGACATCGACGAACACAGCCCTCTAAACACGGGCGTGAAGGGTAGCCCCAAGGGAATGGGAGAGACATTGTTCGACGCGGATGGAAATAATGCGTATTTCGCCAGCGGGGTGAATAATCATACACCTTCCGGGAATTCCACACCTACGCAAAGTTCTCCAAACTCCGCACCCACTTTATCATCACAAGGCATTCCCGCGTACTCCGCTACGACTGTATCGCCGATGGTGCTTGGCGGATACCACTATCAAACGCCCTCTGAGGAGCATGCCCCCCGACCGCGGACGGCCTCCCATGCTTCCAGCGCTCCGGCAAACACCAACACCTTCAAACCCGACTCTCACTCACAAACATCTTCACACCTCGACGACGAGACAGTCTTTGCAGAGGACTCAGATCCTATTCCCGCACGCCACGCTCGCCCGCCCCTCCGTAGCGCAGGTCGTACATCTCGCACTCGATTCTCCGCCGCCGACCTGCGTGCCTCTAGGGGCTCGTTCTACGATGTTGCTGTAAAGAAGGGAGGAGGGTTCTGTTGCGGATGGTGGTGGTGGAGGGTGCCAATCAAAGTAAGAGCACCTGTGGAGGCCTGGTTTGACCGATTCGGAATGGTGCTGGCACCAGAGTGGCTTCGAACGACACTATTGGTCTGGGGTGCATGGTTTGGGATGTCATTGGGTAAGTGTCTCTTGATGTTTATTCACTTTTCTTTGCGAGGATAAGATTGGGGGCACTGAAATTATCGAATGGGATTTAACAGCGTACACGATGTTCAACGTGTATCTGCCGAAGTTATTGGAGGCGAGATCGGCAGCAGGAGCAGCACCAAAAACTCTGGAGGGGACATTATGGGACGTCGTGATATTCACCCTTGGAGGTTGTCCAGGTGCCGTGGTAGGTCTTTGTTCTCAGTGCTATCGGTTTCTCACTCTTCTTGACACCAGCAGCTCACTCCATGTCGTTTTGCAGCTCGGCGCCTACCTCGTCGAGTCCCCACTCGGTCGACGTTGGAGTCTCGCAGGCAGCACCTTCGTGACTGCATTATTCTGTATCATGTTCGTAGTCGTGGATGGCCAATTCGCGATTACGGCGAGTACGGTGGGCATCAGTTTGAGTGCGACGGCGATGTGGGCCGTTTTGTATGGGTGAGAAGCTTCTTTTAATGAGATCTTCAGGTACAGATCAGTCGCTCTAATATTGGAACATTTTTTGTGACATTTTTAGGTGGACGCCAGAGATCTTTGGCACGAAAGGTACATTGTCTATGTTTTCTGGCGTGAGCAGTATGAAACTCACTGCCCTAATTGTGCAGTGCGAGGGACTGCATGTGGGACCGCATCTGCTCTCTCCCGAATGTTCGTACAACTCCATATCTTTTGCCTCTCGTTTGATTGACGTGCTCGCTCCTCCATGCACCCACAACGCTCGAATTCCAAATTCCCACGATGCTGATCCTCCACCGCTAACCGCCACACCAAACTTCCCTCCCCACGACGTTCACGAATACTCGCTGGACCATGTTCGAAATGTCGCAATCATCAGAGGCGGCATGATCGCACCCATACTCGGCGGAATACTTCTCATGATCAAAACTTCGTTCCCCGTCTATACCTCCGTTGTGGTCCTTGCTCTCTCCGGCGTCTGTGTCTTATTTCTGAGCGAGAACGCCGGAAATACGAAGGAGAAGGGTAAAGGGAGAGAAGGTCCATCGTTGATGCATTGATATTGATCAATGGTCTCGACCTTTTCGGTGTATTGGGTGATCCCGGCCTGGGTGGCAGAGCCTCTTTCTTCTCTGGAAGAGGCACTAGAATCCTTGCTCAGGCATAGAGGCCCATGTTATCGAGCTGTTATTGCTGTGGCTGCTCGGTGAAACTCGCACAACGAATCGTTGCGTCGCGGAGCCTGTGCGGCATGTTCCTTGCAAAACTGTATATTTAGATATGTATCAACAATTTCTTGATGACCTGGGGATGTCCGAATGGATGCTCGGGTGACTGTTTTACCAAGCTATCTCTGCTTCAGCTGGCTTTCGTTATCACGAAAGCCGTGTACTCAAAGGCTCGTCTCCATTCTCCTCGGATGATCCCACCTGTTAGCGTAGACGAGGATCGTCGTGCGGGTCGACCACATCGACGCTTAGAACCTTAGCGGAGTTCACTATGACTTCCTCTCCAGTGACCCGAATTGTTTTCTGCGGACCACTTCTACTCATTGGTGCACAATCATGTAGCTCCTACCGACGCTATTTCCTTGTCTTCGGTGAACGCAAATAGGTGCGTATCTTTTAATATAATGTCCTTCCTGCACACACAGGTGGTACCTTGGCGCTTGCATCCTTCCACATTTTCCCCGCAAGGTTTGTAAGTCCGTGTCCGCAAAAGACCGATTGTAACCACGACTGCCCTTCCTGCATGTATGGAGGGTATGCGGCTCAGTTTGGGCGAAGTGCCAGTTATCGGACGGGTTCTCTAAGAGCGTACTCATGCTCGTTCAAAGGGGAACCATAGTCCACATAGAATGGGGTAATGCATAGATGCCTTGTGGAAAAAGCTTAATGGTGTACGTCCCTCAATATTTATTGAAGACGTGAATGTGGTCAGAGGCTAACATATATTATTGGGCGTGTTTTTAGCTGTGCTGATGCTGCTGCCGCGCTCTACAAGCGTTGTGACATCGACAGAGATCTCCTCACGCTGACGGAAACAGTGTGAGCTATTCCGATGATAGTGCCTCAACTTCGATGAATTCCTCCGCCCCATATAAGCTCGACCACTCTAGCTGCTCGATACTCCGCCGACCTCTGTCCCTTCGCCCATAGCACGACTCCCAAAGATATCATGAACAGCGCCTTGATCTGGCTGTCTACCGTCTCATTTTTGCTCACAGTAGTACGAGGATCCTCGAGCTACTCCGTTGTTCGCGAATATTCTGGCCAAACATTCTTCGACCGGTGGACTCAGTTTGGAAGCTGGGATAACTTGACGAACGGTACGTTCTTCCATCCTTCAGCATGAAGATCGACAACATTTTATCCAAGGCCCTGCTGATCTTTTCCCTGTCCACTGTAGGCAACGCAAATTTCTTAGACCAACAGGCCGCTGTTTCTGAGCGCCTCATCTACACTGACGGTGATGGGCGAGCCGTCATCAAGGTGGACAATACCAGCGTCGTGTCTGCACCGTCGGACCGTAACTCGGTGCGAACCTTCGTATATTCGTTCTGACTACAGACTGATACTTCTGTATTCAGATTCGCATGACTAGCATCGATTCGTGAGCAAAATTTCCTACTGAACTATAAACCGATGAACGTTACATTGTTAAGCCCGCGTATACAGATACTCAATCGGGACGTTGTGGGTCGTCGATGTTGCTCATCTACCCTTTGGATGTTCGGTGCGTCGACTACCGTCGCTCTGACTGAGCGTAGCTCTGACTGGTTTGATAGGTTTGGCCGTCCATATGGACCACAGTATGCCCTCATATTATTTCTTCCTCTCAATGGCATGCCAACCACTGTTCAGGGAACTGAATGGCCCTCGCATGGAGAAATTGACATCATCGAGGGCGTCAACCTAATGCCTAACAATGAATACTCCCTCCATGCCAATCCTGGCTTCGCCGTCCCAGGGAATTCCTCGCAGACCGGTAAATTCCTCACAACCGATTGCTCACAAGGGAATGGATGTGCCATCAACGAGACGGCCCCGAATAGCTTCGGGGAAGGTTTCGCACAGAATGGTGGTGGCGTCTGGGCAGCACAGTTCGATACTTCTGGGATCTTGTGGGTTCAATCTCGGGGTTTTTTGTGTCGCGGCCAAAGACTCACGGTCGTGTTTGTTCTGCCCCAAAACTGGGTGGTCACAGCATTTGGTTCTGGAGCGTAAGCCGTTCAAGGATCTCAGACGACCATGTAGAAACTTAATCTCGATCCACATACTAGCGAGGCAATATTCCTGTATCAATCTTGAATTCAACATCGACATCCGACTTGTCCATATCAGAGTGGGGTACCCCCTCAGCTGCATACCTACCGTCCTCCACCTCGGATATCGCGGATACATTTGGGGATCAACAGCTTGTAATTGATATCACCCTGTGTGGTGACTGGTGCGCCCGACCTTTCTCATCCTCGCGTCCATACTTGTCTAGTCACTGACAGCGATTGTCCACAAGGGCTGGCCTTGGTACATTCTATAATGCAACTTGTGGTAGCCTGGGAAGAACGGGACTATGTGTAAATTCATCTACTTCGTTGTCGCTCTTTCTGCGAGCGGTATTGTCTCATTCACACCCTTTTTTCATAGTATAACGATACTGTCATTGGCGACGGTGCAAACTTCGATGACGCATTCTTCGAGATCAACTACCTGCGCGCTTACTCAAATGGCGTCGTCGAACCATCTGCCGCGGTGACGGGAACCAGTACGGCTTCTCTCAATGTAGGTTCTCCACAAAACCTGCCCACGGTATTACCAGACTCTTCGACAAGTGGCGCGGCTTCTATGTTTTTCTCTCGCTGGATGTATGTCGTGGTCATGGGAGGGGGAATAATGAGCGTTGGCATATCTGGCCTAGGCTTCATGTAGATATTGTAGAGGGCATACGAATGCGTCTAATTCAAATGCCTTCTCACGGTTCTGGGGGCGAAGCTCTGAATACCTGCTAACGTTCGACTCTGAGTCTCTTTCAAGTCCGAAGGGATTGACCATATACAACTCCTCAACACATTTACCTCTTCTCCCTGCACTACCACATTTGCACCTTACCAGCCCCCCTGCTGTTGTAACTGTCATTAGCCCAAAACCGACCAGTCACACCGCCAAGATCCTCGAAGGCTAGCCTGACTGGTATTATCGCCCCGTCATCTACGTGAATGAACGCATGTTACTACTTTCGTCGAATGAATTCAATTATGCTGAAGAGCCTACCAGGAGATTTAGATGCACGCCCCACCACATTTCCCATATCTGTACTAACCCACCCGGGGCAACAGCAATTGATGACGAGATCCGGATGCTCCCTCGCCAAAATTGCTGTCGCAGCATTGACACAAGCCTTGCTAAAGCCATACGACCTCATCCGCCCTCCGAACCCCTTCTCCTTCTCTTTTCCTTCCTCCGCCGCCTTTTCAAACTGTCTTGCGAGTTCCTCTAACTGATCAAACGTCATGTCCTCACGTGAGCTTCGAAATCTCCGTTGAACTTCGGAGGAGTAAGGCGACAGCATGGACCCAAAGGCGGACGAGAGGTTGACGATGCGCGATCCGGAGGGCATCAGCCCGCTCTGAATGAGCTTCTGGCAAACATTCAGCGTCCCGCGATAATTGACGTCGAGCGTTTTCTTCGCGTTCTGTGCGGTGTACATCTTGTGGTCGTATTCCACAGCCGCATTGTTGATGAGCACACCGACTTCGCCGTCTTCGTGAGTCTTCTTGATGTGGGACAGAAGGTCGTCGATACTTTGGTCGGAGGATATGTCGAGTTTATGGTAGACGATCTTCGCGGTGGAGGTAGGGGGCAGGCCGAGGTCGTGTCCACCTCTAGACGTAGCGTATAGCACTACTGGAGGGGATATGGCTGGTCGTCTGGCGATGTTTGTACATATAGCTCGTCCTATACCACGATTCTGAAATGGATATATAGATCAGCAAGAAAGTATGCAGTCAATGCTTTGACGTCGAGTCCCTCGAGCGGATGACAATATAAGTACTGTGGGAGCGATGGATGCTTGTAGGTCCGAATGTAGATGGGCAGCTTTATCAACCACCAAGTGATGCGGACTCACCGATCCCGTTACAATTGCTATGGTAGCTTTCGCCATTCCGTATTACCACTGATAGTGGATGCGAGGGATCTAGGGGAGTGGTGAATAGCGTTTCGATCACGGTTGGATGAGCGCAATTCCAAGTGGAGGGAAATTTCGCCCACAGCAGCTGATATATATATACTGCCCAAGCGGATGTTGAGTGGGTCGTAGTGGACCTCGGTCTCCGCTTGGACCCACGCCTCATTGAGGACAGTATTGACGAGTGCATTGGGGCGTATAGGCTCCTAACACGCCGTTGTAGCTCGTTCCACGATGCGACAATGACCCGGTGATTGGAACAAGTTTAGACTCTGGGTACATAAAGCCGGCGATCACTTAACAGTGGCTCGAACCCTCGCTTCAAGCGAGTCATTACATCCACTTATGCAACTGATGTTGTTCTAAGCATGCAAGGATTACAACGAACATACTAGGTGGATCGAGCTGCGTTAGTCAGTATGGTGAGCGAACTTGAAATCCATAGTCCATGTCTACCAGTCATGAGTGACAGTCGGTGAATTTTGATAGAGGGTTTGTGCGAATTCTAGAGGCCTCCTACAGACCCGGGAACGTCGAAGAAGTCGTGTCCGTCGCAAGGCGATCTGGGACTGTATGCGGGTTGAGGCTCATGAAAGGCAAATGGGTGAAATCGGGTAAGGTTGCACACAAGGTTCACGCCGTTTAACATTACGGCAATCGCCGGCATCCCTTGTCCTTGTACTGCTTGGTCGGGATTCTCTAACGGCACCTGCAGCGCCATCTTTGTAGCAACACTCGCTCGGCGGACGATCGTAATCCTCCTTAAAATAGCCATGAACAATTTCCTAAGTGAAGACGCACCTTCCAGACCAAGCCCTATACAACTCGTCGACGACCCCAAAGCACGCAACAAAGCCTCTGCATCCCGTCCACTGGAACGTGGCGAAGTCATACTAGTCTCTGCATCTCTGTCTCTCGCACTTCTTCCATCACAAAAGGGTATTCGATGCGACTTCTGTCTTGCTCTCCCCAGCAAAAGTCGCAAGCTGGGAAAGTGTTCTGGATGCGCGGCGTACTGGTATTGTGGCCCAGAATGTAAAGCTTGCCCTAAAATCATGCGATTTTCGCTAACATTTTCCTACAAATCGTTATATATTGATTTTCATCTGACTTTCAATGCCACAGGTCAAAAAGAAGCCTGGAGCTCACATCATAAGAAGATATGTAAAACATTTGCTACATACGAGGCCTCACCGGAATATTCGTGCCTCGCGGACGATCAAAAAGCAGACGCCGTCCTTCTATCTCACCTTATTGCCGAAATAGCGTTGAAGTCGCTGTCTAGTGTCGACTCAGTGACAGACGACGTTCCCAGCCTTTCATCCGAGCCCTTCATGTTTGGCACTTTCCTGTCTTTGTTAGGCCACGACAATCATCCCGCTCCACCGCCTGTAGCGTGTCGGCCAGGTCACAACTCGCCGTCGCCGTCAGAATTGTACTCGCGCTTTGGAAGGAATAACTTCGTTGTGCATTCACATTTGTCCCCCATCGCGCACGGTATTTTTCCGGTGGCCAGTCGACTGTTCAATCATTCGTGCACACCAAATGCTGCGGCAAAATACATCTTTGGCCGGGATAAGCCTGGTGTGCGTATGGTGGTTGTAGCATTGCGCAATATCTCACACAACGAAGAGGTAGGCATACAATGACATCCGTTACGAAGCGTCATTGCTCTTTGAACAGAGTGCGACGTCTTAGTAATAATAATCATTCTAGATCACCATTCCGTATCTCGACCCAGCCCTACCATTCCTAGAACGTCAGCTTTCTCTCGAACAAAACTATGGCTTCCGATGCACATGTCACGTTTGCTCCTTTGGCTCCCAACTAGCCAGGAACCCCAATTACACAGGCGACGCCCCACGCGAGGAAGATATTCTCGCCATCCGAGACACGCTTCTCAATCACGTCGGCCTTAACCTCTCTCTTCCTGCCAGCTACGTCACGCAGGCTCTCAGTGTCGTCAGAAATATGCATGCCATGCCGGAGACACTGTATCCACTGCTTCACAAGTCGATCATCCCTAGAATATCGGAGGAGTTCAGTCAGGCATCTCACGAGGGCGCGGTGGACAGAGCGACAGATGTTGGACATGTGTTGTTGGCGGTATATGTTCTGGTTTACCCTCCGGGATATCCACAAATAGGCATGTGTTCTCTTCCGTCTTGAATTTGCTATGTGTAGGAGGCTGATTATAGCTTTCGTACTGATACGGTACGTTGATAATTTTATTTTCGTCGGCTTAGGTATGCACGCGTTAGAGCTTGCGAAGACAGCTTACAACGGCGTTATCACAAGAACACAGGAGAGTAGTGCTTTGGACAATAGCGCAAACGAGGAAGAATTGTTGCGCAGAGCGGGGTGGTATCTGGCTATAGCCAAACATATACTGCTTATATTTGGGCCGGAAGGAGACGTTGATAGCGGGCCCTTGGAAGAGGCCGAGTTCTTACATGTTCTCATAGAAGAAGAGCTAAATAATCTTTGATGTGATGTGCTGCAGTGTGGTGCCCTCCGGCAGCCTTGTCCAGTGTCGACCAGTGCACTCTATGGTATAAAAGCCTCCACTGGGACAGTAGGAGCTCATCTGAAGCCTCTTGAAAATGCAATAAATTTTGAGATTCGGTACTTTATAAGTATAAGAGAATTCATGTGCACAAGCCGAATTCATACACTCCACAGAATCTTTTCGCCCCTCTTAGTGACAGAGTAAGATGAGTTGGATTGAAACGATAGCTGTGAGGCTCAGTACGTTCGTGCTGCCACGTGATACCGCCACGTCGCGTCGCGCGCATCGCTGCTTTATTCGCCACGTTGAATCTTGAGCCTTGACTGCTACTACCTAGCACTTTTATTCTACAGTGGTCATCCTAGGACTACCTCTCGGTTCCAGCTGAGCCTTTAAGAGCAAGAAATGGAGGCGTGGCTTGCGCAAATACCACCTGTGACTCGAGCTTGGCTCTGTCTGTCTGTTGCCACCAGTCTAGCTGTGGTACGTCTATTGACTCTGGATGATTCGCCGTCACGCTGAGACCCGCAAAGCAATGTCATCTAGTAGCCCCCCTCCAACTTTACTTCAACTTTAAATTAGCCTTTACGAATGCTCAGGTACGCACAGAGCCACAACAGACAGACACTGGTATACTGATCTATAGTTGAATCGGTAGCTGTGGCGAACAGTAACGACGTTCTTATATTTTGGATCGCCCTCATTAGATCTATTATTCCACCTATACTTCTTGTATGTCGTTCAAGTTCCGACCCTTTGTGTCTTGCTACTAACCCGACTCCAGTATGCGATATAGTCGCATGCTGGAAGAATCATCATTTGCTAACCGGAAAGCAGACTATTTCTGGTTGTTGTTCCTCTCCTCAATCATGCTCCTCGTACGTATATCTTGCTTTCTTCTTTTCCTTTTTCGCCTCATGACACGAGACATACCATTCTGACATGCCGCATATTGATTCCGTCAACCTGAAGTCCCTATCCCCCCTCTTCAACCTCCCCTTCCTCTCAAACCCCCTGGCCTATGTGCCCGTCTACTTCTGGTCCCGTCGACACCCTTCCACCCGCGTATCCATCTTCGGAATGTTCACAATGACAGCACCCTACCTCCCCTTCGCTCTCATCATGTTTTCTTGGGCGCTCAGTGGCACGTGGCACGCCGCGGCGGCAGATCTAGTAGGATGTGCGGTCGGTCATGTTGGGTGGTTTGCGAGGGATGTGTGGACGAGGGAGATGATCGGTGGACGAACAATTCTGAGCGAGGCTCCAGACAGTTTGTGAGTATTCTTTCCATTATTCTTCATCCAGACCCATTGTGTGGCGCTTTTTGTGGCGCTGAGAGTCCTCGAAGAGATAAATGGAGGAACTGAGCTGACGACCATTTTATATCGGGTGTAGAAAGAGGCTCATGGGGGACATTTGACGGCACCGGAATACAAGATGATTAGCATCTAGAAATCGAAGTCCGCCATTCGTACCTCGCCTGTATTTATTCTTGTACTCCTCGCTCTTGCTGCAATTGACGCGCCGATGACATCTACATGTTATGATGATCTTCTGCGGCCGTGCCAATAGGCTATGATGGGGAATCAAGTATGGACTCCAGTTTTTATCGAAAAGGGCGCCATATCTATTCCGGGCCCAGACCTTACTATTTAGCTGCGTCTACGATCAACCTCAGGGCGCACGACTGGCTACGACGCCACATGGCATTGTTGACGACGCTCCCCACAAAGACGGAAAGTCTATCCACACTGTGCTCAGTGCCGCAGGACGCATACCCTGCTCAAGGTCCGAGCTAAAGGCACCCAATGGACAAGAGCAAAAGTAAAAGAATCATTGGATTAAGCAGATCCAGGACACTACCCTGCTTCGTGTATGGTAGTCGATACATGTGTTCTGGGCCTGGTGAGCAGCAATACCTATAGCTACAAAAGTGCAAATCGGACATTTGTCGACAACGAAGAAAAGCTGAAAGCTAGAACTGAGAGATCGATCGAATGCACCTGGGGAAGTTGGCGAGGGGAGAAGAGGTGGGGAAAGGGGAAGGGTGGGGATGTGGTGGGGTGGGGTGGGATGGGATCGAAGGGGATAGGACGGCGAGTGGGGGAAGGATAGGGAACAGGGAAGTGGGGAATAGGGGATGGGTAGTAACTATGATTGAGGGATGTAATAGCGAGAGCGAAGGACGAGGAAACTTCGACAAACAGCAGGCCCAGCAAGAGCGAAAGCAGAGATGAGCGACCAAATACCGATAGTATGAAAGACGAGGGAGCAAATAATACGTGAATTGCAGGGTGGGGAATTTAGGATGGGATTGGGGGTTTATAAGGGGAAATGAGCGACAACCAATGCTTCTTTCGTGATTAACAAAGGGTTCATGCCGACTACTCCGATGAGACAGAATGAGAGAGACGGATGGAGGAAAAGATAACACAAATCAAGATGTAGAGGCAAGGGAGGAGATGGAAGCCTTGTAGTATGCGGTGGATGGTTGAGCGTTAGTGAATCGAAAGTCGTATCGTGTATGCGTGTATGATGCTGCTGAATGAATGCGTTCGTGTACGTGCGTGATGAAAAAGTCCTCGATGCGAGGTTTTGAAGAATCTCGGGTAGCCCTTGTGATGAAAACAACAACGCGATTGCGCACCCGAAAAAAAAGAAAAGAAAAGAAAAACGTGTCCGATAGAAAGAAATCTCATTGTCAGGGTGGGTGATAAAATGGTGGGCGAGATCCACGCCGTTGAGGTCGTGTCGCAGGAGTCGTCGGCGGGGCGCTGGAACTAGGTGAGGGCGGGGGACGGTCCCACTCTTCCAACAGTTCCTTCCCTACTCCAGGCTCTATCTCCGTCCCATCTCTAGACACCTTCACCTCCCGCCCGTGGTTCCAAGGGTTCCGCAAATGCCGCGTGCGGAAGAAAGGCAAGCGATCTGTCCGTACCCACTCGATCTTGAACGGTTCTCCCCAGACGTCTGGATCCTGGTCCGGCGTAGTTGGATCATGGGCAGATGCTGCGGTAGCAAAGGGTTCGGCATGACTCGCGGAAGGAGAAGCAGGAGAATCGTCACCGGGTCGGTTCTGAATCGGCTTAGAAGGGGAAGTGGTTCTCCTCTCCCTACCGTCGCCGTCGTCATCCTCCTCTTCGACGCGCCCCAAGGAAGAACGCTGTAAGAGTGGTTCAGAATGCTGACCGGCGCTGACTTTTTCCAGAATATCATCTGACGGCGGGTTCTTGAGTGCACGAAGCGGAGCTGCCTCGTCCAACTCGATGGGAGAACTTCTCCGCTCATCCAAGCTAAGACCCGGTTGGGGCTTCTTCCCTCCTGTGGTCGTGAGCTTGCGGTGCGGATCGCGCAACTCAGCTGGCGCAGAGAGGATCTGTCCTTGCTGATTCGTGGTGAGGGGTGTGCGTTGTTCCGCGCCGAGTGCAAGAGAGGGTTTGTCTTGTGAGCTGGAGACAGGCAAAGGCGATTCGTCTACACGGTGCTCGTCCGTTGGTGGAAGGATATAGCCGCTTTCTGACCGCCTATTGTGAAGTTCGTCCGACATGCCACTGAACATTTGAGGGCGCTGGCTGATGACCGAGCTGGGCGAGAGCGAAGCCGGAGGAGAGGCCCATGACACGCGGTGTTCGCCTCGTGAAATAGGTCCAGCCATTCTGATGCAGAGGCAAATAAGATTGAGCCTTTCGGTAGGATGCGAAGAGAGAGACGAAGTGACGTACCGTGCATAACCATAGAACTCGCCACTTTTGTTGACTCCAAAAATGAGAAAGACGTCCTTGCTCGTCCGGAAAGCCTGGTCCAATATACCTTCGTTGTGGCGTTGTGTGGCCCAGAGCCCTCGCTGAACGCTGAGGTCAAGGTCGAACTATAATGTTGAGGACAAAATAAGCGAATGCGAACGGGTAATTTGACACGATGTGTACGCACCTGCGTCAACGACTTCAGAATGAAATATCGTTGAGGGAAATACCGGACGAGCATACTTGATGTCGTGGACCCGGAACTGGAATGTCCTGTACCCGTCGTATTGCGCTTGGAGCCTCCCGGAGCCGTCGGTGATTCGTCGTTATCGAGAGCGAGACCCTGAAGCTTAGCGGCCGCTTCTTCTGGAGAAAGTGACGGGTCCGGTTCTGCATCTTGCGCCTGCCGAAGCTGCTCCTTTTGATCCCGAACCCACCTCGAGTGAATACCCTGCCCTCGCTGACCACCCACTCCGGCCCGAAGATCGTCGGTCCTCCTGTGGAAGACAAAACGCGTTACACGCGAGATAGAGATGTTGGTCAGTCACGAGAAAACAATGCTGAATACGACCTTTTCCTTCGTTAATCTCTTACCTTCTTATTCTGCAAACCAAACGGGGACACCGAGGGTCCGCAGGGCGAAGAGGTTGGCCGTTGAACCTGACAGTGGCGGCTTCGAGGTGTCGTTCCGACTCGAAGTTGACGAACGCACAGTTTGAGCGCGAGATAAGGAATATAGAGGACACGCCACCATAAATTGAATCCGTATTCGCTCCTGAGGTACTCTCAGGTGGAGGACGTCGTCCGGAAACCGTCTGCTGACTGAAGAACCTCCACAGCTCGTCTTGTGTCGCATCCGATGGCACGTTGCCTGCCCACATTACCCATTCTGATCGTTGGGCAGGAGGATTGGGATGATACGGTTTGCGTCCTGGATGAGGGCGGACGTCTCCTACCGGCGCCGTCAGGCCAGGAGGTTGTGGCTGCTCGGCCGTAGAAGGTGCAGGAGGGCCTTGCGGCGCGGCGACAGATCGGGCAAAGGGTGGCTCTCGGCCATGATTCCCAGCAGGGCCGCCAAATGATGGCGAAGGTCGAGAAGCGGACGGCGAAGTAGGAAACGCGAACGACCCAGTCGCTCCCTCAGATTCGGGGAGATTTTGCGGCTGGTAGGGCATTCCGTATGGTGATGGAAAAGATCCCTGCATGTTCTCGTACGGCATCGATCCAGTGGCGCCAGGTGGCAAGTACCACCATGCGCCTGAAGCTTCCTGTTCAGTCGAGGGAACATACGACTGAGGATACGGCGTCGGATAGGGAGAGGAATACATCGATTGAGCGGCACCGAAGGGTGGTGGGGCATAGGCAGGCCCAGCCGTCGAATAGCCCATGTGTTGATAACCTGTTTGTCCAACGAAGGACGATTGACGGTTGAGAGGCGGTAGATTTGACCCTTGGCCAGGGGATAGGGGCGAGTGTGGCGCAGATGAAGAGGGATCGATCGGCTGGGAGTACATAGACATGTTCGGGGCCCCCGCGCCCGTGCCATATGTGTGTTGAGGTTGGTTGGTGTCTGGAGAAGGAGCCGAATACGGGTATATTTGGCCATGTTGTGGTAACATATGAAGCATCGACGGCTGGGAATAGGCCATGGAAGGTATACTCGGGTCTGGGCTTGCCGCCGTGGGGAGATGGGGGAAAGGGTAATGGGGAGGGGAATGGATCATCATAGGCTGCTGTTGTGGATTGCCAGAATAATGGTGGCCGGGGTAGCCCGGACGCTGCATGTAGGGAGAATGAGGTTGGTAATGTGGAGAAGGGTTCCGGTAGAAGTTGGAAGCCGGGTTGGAGGGTGTTTGCGAATTCTCCGGCTGTTGAGGTGAAATACGTTGCTGAAAGACGGGTGTTGGAGGAGTCTGCTGGAAGGAGGGGCGAGAGGTAGGTTGTGGACGCCGAGCGGAGGTCGACGGCTGCGAAGGCCGTTGACGAGACGGGGCGCCTTGTGTGGGAGCCCCTGTACTGGAGGACGAGCCAGGCATGTTCAAAGCGTCAGGGGGCTCGGAAGCATTTGCACCAGGGGGATCGAGAGCCGGGATGGGCGCCTTAGGGACGTGGGGTATGTGAGGGACAGCAGCGAAGAGGGCAGAGGTCGACAGAGTACGAGAGGGCTGGTCATGAAATGCTGGACGGGGGAAGGGTAAGAACGTTTGCTGACGGGATGGCGCAGAGCCCGTACCTTGGTTCCGGGCCTTAGGGGAGTAATGATTGTCTGTGGAGGTCAAACGGAGAGCATTAGAATGGAAAGAAAGAAAAAGAATGGGGGTCTGCGAGGCGCTTAGGGACAGCGCTCTCCTGGTTCGAGCTCTCAGCGACCGGCCGCGCAACACTCAACCGACTTTATAAAAAAAAGTTGGGTATTCGTCCACGCCGGGCTCCGAGTGCGCTGGGCGGAACCTCAACACTCCCACTCCGCCCGGGAACGGCCGAGACCTAAGACCAGGCCTCGAACGGCGGCGAATATGGGATGCAGGAATGAAAGAGAATGCTCACCGGCGTGCCCGTCCTGTCCAAGCTTTCTGTTGAATACGTTCGGGAGTCGTGGAGGAGGGATGATCTCAAGTGGAGTCATGGCTTTGTACTTCGTAGCTTATCAGCTAATGTGGGATCCTCTGTGGCGCTCGAGGGTCAGTAGAAGCAATGACCTAACACGGAACTAACACACACCTTTCGTGGGCGAGGACTTAGTCTGTGGGGTACTCTCGCGGGATACAGCCACGGATGAGGCAATGCAGATGGAATTGAGTGGAGGTAGGTCTGAAAGCGATGAACTGGTCGAGAAGACAAGCGGGTAGACGTGAAGTGGTCAGATTCAGACGTGACGGGGACTTTACGTTGAAAAGGATCGAGCTGGGAGCAACAAGCCTCCATTATACGCGCGCGAGAACGGATTTCTGGCGCTCCATGCTCCATGATGTTGCCGCGAACAACTCGTCCTTCGCCGCTCGTGCTGCTCTCCAACATACTCTGACGTCATGCCGCCACACTTCTTTCAACTCCGCCCGCGTCCCCGCCACTCGCCACGGCGCCTATCCATTTCGCTAAACGCCCCTCCCTGCCCCTCCGTTACATCACCGTACACAGGCTCCTCCCCCGACTTTTTCGACCCTCAACGTCGAGGCCCACTTCACGCTCATTTTTTTTATCCGCTCCACAAGGAACCGTCGTCTCCGGTGTGCTTGTGAGTCTCCTTTGACAGCTCAGGGCGAGTCATACGTGATTTCAGATATTCCTTCATTTTAACCGATGACTTTTCTTGACTTTGACAGTCGTCCGATCAATCTTTTGCTGCAATAAAGCCTTGTAAAATACACTTGGTATATCAATTGCTGCCTCTCAGATTTACCGTAAGGACTCCCGGCGATCTCGGAGACTTTCCTGGACACATTGATCAATGATCTATATCTCCTTCTGGACATCGATTTACTATGCACAACGCATCTCAGTTTCGCTCTCTCTAGTGTGTATCTTGTTTGAGCGTCATATGTAAGAGTGTCTGTCATCCAACATTGGACAGATTTGCCTGTGCACCACGTCTTCGTGATGTAAGCGGGGCTTGGAATATCTCGATGCATTTTCTTTTCACAAGACCAAAACACCAGAGCGTTGAAAACGATCGATCGACCTCAGGCTTGTCGACGGATCGAGGCTTCGGTTCCGCGTGTTCAACGAGCAAACCATGAGGGATTACTTTTTCACGGTTCCTGTTTAAGTCCTATCGTTCTTCCCGCAGACTTCGCCTTGGCCAGGCCATCCACAACCAATCGCAAGGCCGGTTATTTTTAATCTCTTAGGTCCACGTATTTCTGTCAAACACGAACCAACTCGGACTCGCTCGGACCTCCTTCCTCAATTCCGGACTGTGCCGGAGCCCGTCACGACACTCTTCCCACGACCTATTTAAGTAAGTGGTTCATCATCGTTGGAGTCCTGAGGCCCGCCGGAGGTTACTCCTCGTCTCGCTCCACAACCAAGCCAAATACACATGATTTAGTCGACGCACCCCTCGTACCCCTGTCTAACCCCACCATATTCTGCTCGTAAACGTACATGCAACGACCCCTTTCGGGGCCCCACACGCACAGTGAATGAACCGCGACATAATTCACCGGCGGTCGCGTGCGCGCATCACTCCAAGTTGGTGCCGATTTAGTACCGTTGTTGGAGTAATGAGATTTTCTGAGTCTTTTGTGGCGGTGTAGCACATACCTGTGCTCATACGTGATCCGACGTCCGCAAGTTAACTCTCCGTTGTGGAGAGGAAGCGGAAAGTTTGACCGCACTTCATCGCATTCGTGTTTTTGTCTTTTAAGGAGGATAGTCGATGGTTCGACTTCTGTTCACTTCCTATCAGTACGAAGGTTGAGTTGGATGATCACGGCGAATATGATTGGCAGTCAAATATTCCAGTTGAACTTATTGCATAGCTGGTTGCCCGTCGCCTGCTCGTTCGTGAGAAATTCGTCAAATTTCTGATCTATATTCGCTCTCCCTAAATCCGCGCTACCTCGCTATATTATCGAAACACCAGTGGACTCGTTCGCTGACGCTGGCCGCCTCTCGCGTCCCTGCCCTAAATGACCAAACCGCCGAGCCTCCGAGCCAATGGTCGTATTTCTAGCCCAGCCTCCGGGCCCGATACAGCTCCCCTTCTACTAAATCGCGGCAGAGGTCGTACGAGCTCAGGCTTTTTCTACCCCTCCGAGGCTCAAAATCATCCGACTCTAGAAACCTTTGTCCGCTTCTACGTTGTCCAGAACGCTCTCAGATCTGGCAACGGAGGCTAAGTATACGACCACCCAGCCCGATGGGCGTATCCTCGAATAAGAATCGCAGGAAAACGACGACGCCCCGTGTTTCAGAATCTCGACGGTGGGAAGCATGCCTTCGATGTACCGCGAGTACGCAACTAGAAGACGAAATTATACGGTCACCACCGTCATTCGCAACTTCGCAATTCATACATTCGCATCATGGACTGTATTTTGAGTTATCCTGCATGCCCCGTAACTTCTATTGTAGACACACTTGCAGCAAGATGGGCGAAAGGGGGACAATCCTCCGAGGGTGCGCGTGGTACCCGCTGGATGATATGGTATAACGCAAGTAGGCTGGGTGCACGCAGACTGGGTCCGGCGCTCTTCCCCGAGTCGCATAGCTGTACCACAGAGATCACGACGAGTTACTGGCGAAGTTTCCGTCAAGTCGACAAGGGCAAAGAGGTGCATTAGCCGCTAGCTGAAGCAACAAGGTCCAAGAACGGTGGGGCCATGACGGGAATAGAGCGGAAAGCCAAGCATCAACACAGCTTTGTTCTCTCACCTTTCTCCATGACCCTCGCAACATCCATGCCTTCGTCATCTATCGAGCGTTCTCTGCGGAAGAGCCTACCTGAGACGACAACGACAGTCACAACGCATACTCTCCTCCTGCTTCACCATGTCCTACCCGTCTACCTCAGAGCCATTACTCCGAACAGACCAATCCCTGATGTACCCGTCACATCATTCAACAGGGTCGACCTGTCCCTGGCTTCGTGCGCAAGAAGATCGAGGATGTCCCGTGTCGACTCGGTCAACACATAACTGTATGTCGATGGTGAGGATGATGGCATCTAGTGAACTATTAGCCTGGACATCGAACTACAATAGAGGTGAGTCTTTTTTGCATACCGCAAGGATCCATAGAGCGTAGGTGAACGATGTTGAACAGCCTTTGGAACGCCCTGCGTCGCAGGAGATGCCGAAGCGAAGCATGCTAGTGCTTGCACAGTGTAAGGACATAATGTGCGCTGTTTGACGGGATGAGGGACCTTCGTCTCGTGAGGGCGATGCTCCAGAACCAGGCGTGGCTAGGCTGTTTGAGAGATCTGCTATTATATCCTGATATCGTTCAGTGATCAGTAGCTCGCCCATTGTGGCGGTCAGGTCTGCCAACAGAGTCATCCTTCTTACCGGGGAATAAAAAGTTGTGAATCAGATAGCGGTGATCTAGGGGGTTGCACGACTGTACACGAGAGCGTTCGCGTGTAAAGTCGTGCATCCGACGATTCTTTCAAATGCAAAGACGAAAAATAAGGGGCGACAACTCATCCGTGTGTGAGCCACGGCTATTTGAGACGGACTGTTTGGCTCCCAAACCAGGGGGTGGCTGGTTTTGAAGATGATGCTTACAGCAGACCACACTTCTAAGTGCTCGGAATGATGAAGTCCCTCCAGTGTGAATGTAGAGGAAACACACCATACGTTGTCGTCGCCATGCAGGACATGGGATCATAAAGTAACATATCATCTCAAAGCCTACATGATTTCATAAATAGTCCGAGTCCGTACCCAAGTCTTTGAACCGGACACGCTTGTCCGTCTGTTTCTTCTCCGCCGTGGCATCGACAGGGTCTGTTGGCGTTTCAATTGGATTCGTAATGACATCTACTTCGCGTGTCGGGGCAATATTCTCCTTCGTGGAGACATCTATATGCGCGTGAAGGCCGAAGGATCGTCCTATAGAGGACATACTGTGGTGTAGACGAAGGAGCCTGGGGCGCCTGGTGGTGGTTGGTGGGATGAGACAGTGAGGGGCAGATAGCTCTTGACTGGAAGGAACTTTCTTCAATATGCGCTGCGGAGGATGAGGGTACATGAGGGTCTGCGTGGCATGGAAGGCTTGGAGGGAAGTACGCACGGGAGCCGGCCTGCTCTTAGCATCACGCGAGAGCTGGCGAAGGTGCTCAGACCACTCGGACTCTGGTGTCGGAAACGGGGATCCATAGCGAGAATCGGGGGTGAATGTATTGTTGCGCTGTAATGCCATCCGTGTTCGTGCAGGTTGACTTGGGTAGAGGGATTGGAGAAGCATGGCGAAGGAAGTTCTAGGAGAAGATTTGACGGTTGATAGTGAAAATTTCAGTATCTCCGCCTATTATATACCAAGCAGCCAACGCGGACAGCAAAACCGGATGTCCAACTGAAGACTGATACTTCCGAAACATAAACGCGGCGAGGGTCTGAGTCTGAGTCAAACTTTCATCGAGAGGTCAATAAAGCTTTGGTGGATAGTGGGCTAAAATCCATGCATTGTAAAGGCCATTCGATGTGCAATGTGAATTGTCCTGGTCTGATAAGTAGAGAGGTCTGGCGAGAGGAATCCGCTACGGCACCGTGATGGTGAGCGTGAGCTACAAGAAGAGTTGCGGTCTACTTTTCCTGCAAGAGATCAACCGGAAACAGCCGGAAGAACAAGATGGCCTGCCAGGACCCCTGCATATGCCGGAGGAGGTCCCATCCGAAATCCCCAGATTTTGCCCTTTTTGTCGCACGATTTTGGGTATATTTTAGTCCGCATGACGATGGTACCTCAGAATTTCGACCATTTTGGTCCGCAGAACGGGATGGGACCTCAAAATTTTCGTTTTTGGTCCGCACGATAGGATGGTACCTCAAAATTCGCATTTTTTTCCTTCCATATATTCATATAAAATCAACAAAAATTGCTCCAACCGGTTTTGAACTGCATATACTGATGTACACCCTCAATTTGCTCCCAATCGACCTCCACTAGCCTCCACTTCCATTTCCGAGCGATTATTTTCTTGTGGCGCCACAGCGCCACCCTGAGTCAATGTGGCACTGCATCTAATTTCCGTTTCCCCCGCATCGCAATCAAGGCTCGAATGACTTCTCCCTTACGCTCGCATAAGGTCCAAAACAAACCTAATACTTACCTGAGGTACCGGTATCATTGTGATGGGAAAGCCTTAGGTGTCGGCGTCGATGTTTGTCTGCCTGATGACCTTAGATATTGCTAACGATAGGAGGGCACGGGTTGGAGGAAAACGAAAGAATCTGGCAGACCGAGTAAACAGACACGTGCACTACGCTGAACAGCGACTAACACAGGTACAGAGTAACAGAGACGACTCGGACACTCTCGGGCTCCATTCAGCGAGATCCGACGAAAAGACAAAATCACGAAAGAACCTGATTTATGGTCTGAAATTCGATATTGTTGAAATAAACAACCCAGCAGGTACAGTCCGCCGGAATGCAACTCGAAACAATGCAGTCAGGCGTCGGAGAAAGAAAATAAATGGCCTCAGCCGCCACCGATATCGGGAAATCTGCAGCCCTGTTTGGTCCGCACGCCGATGGTACCTCGCGGGCGACCAGGCCCTTTGGTCCGCACTACGGATCGGACAAAGGCTGATTTTTGGGCCAAAAATTGTCGCACCAGGATGGGACCTCCTTCGGGATATGGCTTCGGGGTTCCATTGTCGTTGCTTTGTCGCTTTTTTGCAGCCGATGTCAGCGGTACAACGATGGCACCAACGCCATCTCTTGTTATCGCGAAATCTAGTTTATCTTTTCCTGTGCCTTTCTTTTGGATTTTGTGCGGCGATCTTGCGGCTCTAAGCACGACTCACTGATCGGAAGACTTATAATGAATTCCGACATGTCCTCTTGGAGTCACCACCGCTCGATGCTGGTATACGCTGGTATGTGACCGCTGATCTTTTGTCGCACACCGTTGCCAAACAATCCTTAGGGCTCAGAAGAGTATAGTACATTCTTCTTGTCTGCTCATATGGTGCACAAGCAGATCTCCCAATTAATCCTCCGTCGACTTGATAAAATATCCATTAGGACGTTTTGGGAAAGATCGACACGACACAGTCCATCTTTCACCTATTTATTCAAATATACGGTGTCTTGATGTCTCCGGACGTTCTGCTGATCAATATCAGCCTCCGTTGCCCCCGCCGTGGTCTGTGATACTTCTGACTTCAGAGACTTCTGTGGATCCATCATGGCATTCCGCCCAAAGGTCTGCGCACGCATGCATGGGATGTTTTGACCGGCAAGATTGAACCCCTTCTGTTCTCCTGTGCACCAGTGGACGCGATATAGGTCTGCGTTGACAGTGAGTGTAACGCTAATATGTAATTACCGTGCCTGTGGTTTGACAGGCGGAGTACCCTCGGCGCACCTTGAGCGGGCCATCCAAAACGTTGAAAGAGCTCGTTATCCTTGATTTTACTCTTTCGTCTTCCTTCCTTTCCCTGGGGTCGTCAGCTCGCGCGGGGTGCTCGACACTGGCTTTGATCCCTCCACTTGATTCTCCCTGAATCACCACGTTCTTTAACTAATCTACCACAGCCAACTCTCTTCTCACTCTTTTTGCGTCGATGTTCGTCTTACGCTCACTCTCATTTGCCTTGGCGGTCTGCTCGATCTGTGTTGCACCCTCTCTGGCTCGTAACAATCACCTGTCGCGCAGCGATTCACTGGCTGTTCCCCGCCATAATCTTCCACCGCCTACGTATGCCAACGAAAGTCTCGTTCTCGGTGACGATCCTGCTGCACTTCAGAGACGCGACGGCACGAAATATGTTTTTATGCATCATGTAAGTCCTACGTCCTCTATTACACTCGCTCCCCAGTCTCACCATTGGTCTATACAGATCGTCGGAAGTACGTACCACCACTCATGATAATACAAGTTCAACTTCTAACAGGATCTCTGAATTTTACCTGAAGACACGTACGTACTCTGCAGAGAATTATGCTTGAAGTTATGTACTAAATTCTAACATAGCTACGACTACACGTCTGCGCTGTGGTCCATGGACATCCAGGAAATACGTGCTAAGGGGGTGTAAGTTGCTACCTCCAATTTTGCGCGAAGGAACAGCCAACAGTTGATATTGCCTCTAGCGATGCCATCGCCCTCAACATCGGCCCAGATAGTTGGCAAGCGACACAAATCGCCTCCGCCTTCGCAGCCGCAAAGGGAACCGACATGAAACTCTTCTTCTCCTTCGATTTCGCCTCCGGTTATCCCTCTTCGGTGTCTTCGGTTGTCGCCCTTGTCAACTCGTATGCCTCGGACTCCAACCAATTCCTCGTTAACGGCAAGCCGATGATCTCCAGTTACGAGGGAGGGACACTGTCTGCTTCTGATTGGGCATCAATCAAGTCGCAGACAGGTGGTTACCTTATGCCGTGAGTTTCCCAATTCCTGGTAAAGGGCGAAAATATCCTGAGTGTGGATGGTCTGTTTCCAGATTCATATCAGGGCTAGAGGGTAACTTTGGTTCGTGGAGCACGCTTGATTCGTGGTACTGGTACGTGCGATACAGCCCCTTCATACTCAGTATCGCTGATGCCCCTCTAGCTGGGGTTGCGCATGGCCCAATGGTAACGTTGACAAGACTGTAAGTGTTCTCTCTTGCGGATACCTGCAACATATACTGAAATAAAAATTTTAGACTGCCGATGATTATTACTGTTGGTATTTTTCTCAAACAAAGTTCGCAGACGTATTCTAATTTCGCTCCAGACATGGATCAACTGGCCCAGGGCGATATCCAGTATGCCACCACGATATCCGGATGGATGTTGTAAGTCAATAGCAATTAGCTATCGCGCTCTTCGATCTCTGACGGACCCCTAGCACACACTACTCCTACAAGAACTTCTACCAAAGAGGTGACAATTGGTTGATTAACAACCGTTGGGAGGAGTTGATCAGTATGCGGTCTTCCCTGACACACGTCGAGATGGTTACCTGGTGAGACCTTGTCATTTTCCATAATTTCATGAAACGCTCGACATTAATCGTCTCCGTCGTGCATAGGAACGATTATGGAGAATCCGATTAGTAAGTCCTTGCATATCCAGGGGTGGTCGGTCAGTGTCTGATCTCGCACAGTTTCGGTCCCCTGGGCAGGAGTGATGCACCAACAGGTACAACGTGGGCTGATGGCTTCCCGCATACTGCATGGTTCGACATGTCTGAGGTCCGCCGGATTTCAAGGTTAAAAATTTCCACACGATTTGCTAACTTCTTGAATAGTATTACATCACTGCGTTCAAGACAGGCTCCTATCCCACAATTACTGTAAGTACTCGGATCGCTGTATCGAAATTATTTTACTGATCAGCTATAACATCCACAGAAAGACGTGATCTACTTCTGGGCTCGACCACATCCAGCATCTGCTTCATGTCCGAATGATCCCGTTGGGACGGTCTCAGGCGGTAGCTGGGCTCAGGTAAGGCAGACCCACCATCCCTTCGTTCAGATAATGACAGCTGATAATGTTTTCTTTCTCCAGGACTATCTCTGGGCTGCCGTGTTTGCTACTAGTTCCGGAAGCGTAACCCTTACCTCGGGAAGTAACTCGCAAACGTTCAGCGTTTCTACCGGCGTCAATAAGCTTCAGCTATCTCTTTCCTCCGGGAGTATATCTGTTAGTATGAGTCGTAATGGTGCTGTTTTATTCAGTGCGACTCCGACAGATTTCACGTATACCACTAGTCCTACTATTTGTAAGTTTACCCGTTCCAAGTGCCACCCCGTTCCAAGTACTTATTATCCTATCTAGATAACTACAACGCATACGTCGGATCTGCGAGTAAGTGCCTACTTTGTCATTAACATGCATTTAGGTCTGACTTCATTCCAGGTGCGACAACTTCTGCTACCAGTACCACCGCCACTTCAGCTTCGGCCTCTACTGCCACCTCCACCACATCGTCTTCTACATCGTCTTCTACTGCGACCTCGACCTCGACTTCAACTTCATATACCTATGTTGGATGTTACGCCGACTCGGATACAAGAGTCCTCTCAACCCAACTTATCAGCGGCTCTTCTTCTCTGACTACCGAGTCTTGTATGGCTACCTGCACAGCAGCTGGCTACGCATACGGAGGAGCTGAGTATGGTACCGTGCGTACAGTTATTCGAAACTCTTCAAGTATACCTGTTAATAGAAAATTTTAGGAATGCTGGTGTGGAAATTCTGTATCGTCCACTGCGTCCACCTCGTCCGGCTGCACCTATTCGTGCTCCGGAAACTGTGAGTACATATTCAGTGCATTCCATTGACGAGTATATCTAACCTTTATAAACAGCGAATGAATTGTGTGGCGGTAACTGGGCCATCTCCGTGTATCATGCTGGAACCTCCACTACCACGGCTACCACATCCGCTGCAACCGCCACTTCGACCAGCTCATCACTCACTCACATCGGATGTTATACCGACTCAGACACGAGGGTTCTCTCAACGAATATATTCAGCGACTCATCTTCTCTGACCATCGAATCCTGTGCTTCGTCCTGTACGAGCGCTGGTTGGACGTACAGTGGCGTTGAATATGGCCAACAATGTTGGTGTGGCGCTTCTATCTCTTCAAGCGCGTCGGCGTCAACGGGCTGCACATACACTTGTCCTGGAAACTGTCAGTATTCCCTTTCATTACAACTCCGGTCATGAATTCTGACCCTATCTCTATAGCGAACGAGTTGTGTGGCGGTAATTGGGCCATCGATGTCTATAGGGCTGGAACGTCATCCGGCTCGACAACGACGGCGACTACCACGTCCGCTGCTGCCGCCACGTCTACCGCCTCCTCGTCATCGTATACTTATGTTGGCTGCTACACGGACGGGGACACCCGAGTCCTTTCGACCCAACTAATCAGCGGTTCCTCTTCGTTGACAACTGAAACGTGCATGGCAACTTGTGTATCTGCCGGATATAGTTATGGGGGTACAGAGTATGGTAGTGGTCAGTACAATCCACTACTCAGTTTCACACAACGAACACTATGCTCACACCCTGATGTTGAAAGAATGCTGGTGCGGCAATTCTGTCTCTTCAAGCGCGTCGACGTCGACGAGCTGCACATATTCTTGCGCTGGAAACTGTCAGTATTCGCTTGGTTTACAGTTCTGATCGTGAGGTCTGACTATATCCATATAGCGAACGAGTTATGTGGCGGTAATTGGGCCATCGACGTTTACCATGCTGGAACGTCATCCGGCTCGACAACAACGGCGACTACCACGTCCGCTGCCGCCGCCACTTCCACCGCCTCCTCGTCGTCATCGTATACTTATGTTGGATGCTACACGGACGGGGACTCCCGAGTCCTTTCGACTAACCTGATCAGTGGTTCTTCTTCGTTGACAACTGAAACGTGCATGGCAACTTGTGCATCGGCTGGATATAGTTATGGGGGTACGGAGTACGGCGATGGTCAGTACAAACCACTACTACTTCCACCCAACGAACACCGTTCTTATACTCTGATTTCAAAGAGTGCTGGTGCGGCAAAAGTATCTCATCCACTGCAAGCAGCGGCTCAGGTTGCACTATGACCTGTAACGGAAATGGTGAGTAACTCATTTCCAGCAAGGCTTTGTTTGGCGAAACTGATGTATCATTCCTCCCAGCAAATGAGATATGTGGCGGAAACTGGCAAATATCCGTCTATCAGCTAGGAACAAGTTCTTCGACAGTCTCAGTGACCTTCTCTGAGACAGCCTCAACTAGCTCAGGCGAGGTATGACTTGAAACTCTCACAATACGCTTGCACCCTGATTCTTATCTTGGATATAGAACGTCTACCTCGTAGGGAGCATCAGCCAGCTCGGTTCATGGGCTCCAGCTTCTGCGGTAGGCACTCAGTTCCTCCCTGACTTCGTTTCACGAGTTCTTACTTATGTCCCTACAGATCGCTATGACGTCTTCCTCAGGAACATGGTCTACCACCGTGTCCCTGCCTCCAAGCACGACGTTCGAGTACAAGTTCATTCGTAAAGAATCGGACGGCTCGGTAAGATTTCTCACAGAATGTCAGGTATCATAACACGTACTCATCAGGGTAACCCCTCTCCGTCTATCTCTGCAGATTGTCTGGGAATCAGACCCCAACCGCTCCGCAACCACAAGCTCCTCAGGTTCTCAGACCATCAGCGGTAGTTGGCGCTAAACAAGCAAATATTTCCTCTTATTTCTTTGCGACACCAATCAGCGATAGTCGGTGTCAAATTAAAATCTCCCTTCCTGTCCCTTCCCTCATCTTCCTCGTCCTCTCTGTATAAACGTTCATTCCTTGCTAGACCTCGGTCTTGTCCTTTCCTTACTATCATCGGCATACAGGGTACCTGCACTTCCTGTATTGTCTGTGTGAGTAGATGTCTTACTCTGGGTTGTTCTGCTGCTGTATCAACTTCTTGGGCTTTCGTCGTTCTTTCGCGTATTAGTAGTAGTGCCTGCTTCCAGGCCATCGCCATCGTTGTTTGTCGTTTGCTCATTTGACCGTCACGTTTCTACTGAGCTACATGGGGAAGAGCACGGCGTGTAAAGGTCCGATGCCGCTGTAAAATTTCGCTTAGCTCTGGGTCGAAGGAAGGGTGTGTGGAGCGCCCGCTGAAGGTGAGAGCTGACGTCCCATACCCCAAACGATCGAGAGTAGGCACCAACAACCTCCCTAGAATTGAGATATCTTGAGTCATATACCCAGCATCCTCCCCTTGACTTGATAGAGTATATACCCCAATCCAAGAGCGGAGAGTTATTTATTGCGCATGATCCTCTCGTGTGTGGAGTGACGCAGCTGAAGCTTCGCTATGTGCTGGCATTGAACTCCCGGAGTTCGAAGAAAACGAAGTCATAGTAAGCATCGTAACCCTGTCAAAAATGGCACCACCTCTCGTAAAATAACTCCTCCAATCGGCGCAATGTCTCACTCACCATTAGTAGTTCGCCGTTCCAATCATCATCGTCAAAGCAGAGTTTATAACCACAGTGTGCCTTGCATCAGCGCCCTCGGACCCTCGTGCTCGAAGTCCGTCGAGATCTTCCCAACCCCCGACTTCTCTTTCATGTGCTCGAGAGATTCCGCAGGCGCATCGGACCCGAGTTGAGTTACGCCGTCGTCACCCAAGCAGAGATCTATGGCTTAAATCAGCGGCAGAAGACCTTTGTGGGCCAAGCCAGGCAAACTCGAGAGCATGGAATCCTAATTGGGACAGAACGCTTCGATATGAAAACGGCGTGATCTGAGTTGGATGATTCTATACCGACACGATGGGTTCCTTACGTGAAATTCGTCCTCGTATAGATGATGGTCCCTCATGGCCGGTGGTTATAGCTGACGGAAGTAAATAGCCGTGGTACACTCTACGTCTGGCTTGTGATTGTGAGTATCATCGACCTGGGCATTTAGAGATGCAGAGGACAAAAAAAAAGCCAGATGGTCAAGTCTGGTAAGGTCGCTACATAGGAGGACCGACGATCAATCAGAAATTCCAAGAGACGCTAGGAACTACACCACGTCAAAATCCTGGAGAGGAGAGAGGAACAAACCAAGTATGACGCGAGCGCAACAACGGCAAATGTCGCTCGTCGAAGTCGATATTGCACGTCCTCCCATGAAGTCAGTAATAAGGTGGTGCCAGGTGAAGTCCTGATTGTCATCGGGAGGAATCTATCTCGTGCTGCAACGAATCTGCAATGCTCTTGCTGAGCAGCAAGAAGAACAATGGCGGTGGAGGGCGCGATAAATCCATAAATTGCACAACTCGGTCAAGCCGGTAAGTAACAAGCCGACGAAGGTTCAATAACGCCTACAGGCCATGTCACATCCTATTTGTCATAACGACCCGGAAGAGACGAGAGCAAGACAAGGTCAGGCTGGAAGAGTGACGGTCCAAAAAGGATCACAGCTCGAGCACTGGACCTGGATGAACGTTCGCTGTGGTTCCTGGCAGGTGGTCAAGGAAAGCCTCAGGTACGCTTTGGATTCAGAAAAATAGATGTAAGTGGCAGCAAAGAACACCGGTCAGGAAGCGCGAGGTTGGGCAGGAGATGGTCGGCTGTGAATACAGTGACACCTTAAGCGATTGCGAACTCCAAGAGCATGACTGGTTTGAAGAGTGAGTAAGTCGGTGAGAGGGACTTCCGTTATACCCATTGAGCATATGCCGAATAAAAAAAGCGACTTTTGGACGAAAGAGGCATACTTGAAATTTCGGAGTGAGAATCAGAGTGAGAACTAATCTGAGGAATAAGATGAAAGTTTTGCAGACCGTCGGATCGCGAATGCAAGGCATTGTACGGCAGGAGGATGGCAGATGCAGTGTCCGATTAGCCTTGTGCACTGAGAAGGTCGTGGCAGACAGAGAAGTCCAGAGGACGCGATGTCGACATTTCCAGGTAAGAGTTTAGGAGCAGGTACGTGGTGGCGTCACCGCAAGGTGTTTGTGAACTGAGTTACATGAGGACGCTCTTCAAGTCGTCCTGTAAACTAGAACGTCCTTCGTCGAGTCCCGGCGGGGAAGTCCGGCAGCATGGTTCGCCGAGTTGCCGGGCTGACGCAAACCATTCAAAAAATCCCAATTTCCCCACGGGGCCACTTCCCCGCATACGTTCAAAGTTGGTTGCCACTCAAACTTTCAGCTGTCTCGGCAGCTTATTTGCAGCTTGTTCCGTTTTCTGTCGTTAGCCATCATCGATTCCAATTTTCCAGCTCGCCCGATTCACCGGACTTCTTCAGGCTTCCGCTGGGCATGTTGATGTTTCCGATTCAGAGAGCACATGTCGCCTTCACTCCGTCGACCGTCACCTGATCCCCCCTTCTGCCCAGAAACGCCAATTCCAACCTCTCCGCACGTCCCTCATCTTTTCAGGACCGCCCCTGCACCTTTGCACAAGCAGCCTCTGCATAGGTCTCGACGGTCCTTCACTCGTATAAATACACGCTCGTTTAGTCTTCTGGCACTCCTCATCCTCCTTTCCATCCTCCTCTCCACCGTCATGCGTCTTCTCCCATTCGTGTCTCTGGCATTGGCGACTACAGCTTTGGCAGCCTCTGTTGATGACTATGTCGCAACAGAGGGCCCAATTGCTGAGGCTGGCTTGGTGGGTAGCACTTGCTGTAGTAATCAGTGGTGGTACTCATGAGCTGTCACACAGCTCGCCAACATCGGACCCGATGGTTCGAAGTCTTCCGGTGCTCTCGTAAGTTGTTGGCGTTATATTCCTCGCTGCGTTTCACTAATACCGACATTTATCCAGGCTGGTATTGTTATTGCGTCGCCGAGCACCACTAGCCCGGATTACCTCTATACTTGGTACATCATGTTATGCTAAATATGGCCGCCCGCACCTCACTGAGAGCCAAATCTTTTCAGGACGCGTGATTCATCCCTCGTATTCAAGGTGGTCGTTGACCAGGTTGTCGCCGGCAATACCTCTCTCCAAGGTCTCGTCGACGATTTCGTTACCGCGGAGGCGACGCTGCAACAGGTCTCCAACCCGTCTGGCACTGTTAGCACGGGTGGGTTAGGCGAACCAAAATTCAGTACGTTGAATTCGTGGTGATCCATGGCGTTGTGATGTATCTAATGCGAATCATATAATTGCTGTAGATATTGATGAAACGGTATGTTTTCCACGCGCTGCTTCTAGCAGACTGACTCGCGTTTCAATCTCCGCTGTGGCGCCCGTGTGACCATACTCACAAAATGCGCCTCTCCTCCAGGCTTTCACCGGTGCGTGGGGACGCCCTCAACGCGATGGCCCAGCTTTACGATCGTAAGCCTCTTATTGTCTGCCAGACGTCACTAGTTGCTCACGCGAAGGATTCTAGGACCGCTATCATTGAATACGCCACTTGTATGTGGCCATCGAGTTTCTAGAACCATAGTTCGACGGCTGAAAATACATGTATAGGGCTTTACAACAGCGGGAACACCACCTATGTTTCCAACACGCTGTGGCCCATTATCAAGCTCGACTTGGACTATGTTGCTTCTAACTGGAACCAGACGACTTATGACCTCTGGGAGGAAGTTAGCTCTTCGTCTTTCTTCACGACCGCCGTCCAGCACCGTGCTTTGCGCCAAGGTGCCACATTTGCCACACTGATTGGACAGACGAGCGTGGTTAGCAACTACCAGACCCAGGCCGCCAACTTGCTTTGCTTCTTGCAGGTATGTTTGCTTTAGCTCTCTATGTGTTGAAGAGTACTGAATATTGCATAGTCCTACTGGAATCCTACGGGTGCTTACATCACGGCCAACACTGGTGGCGGACGGTCCGGCAAGGGTACGTCAACTCGTTCGAGCGTGACGTGGTTCAACGTTAATAGTTGTCTCGACAGACGCCAACACCATTCTTACCAGTATCCATACGTTCGATGTTGATGCCGGATGTGATGATGTCACCTTCCAGCGTAAGTTGCTCATCGTTTTCGAGAACTATTATACTTCATTAATTGCTATCTCACAGCCTGCTCCGACAAGGCCTTGTCTAACTTGAAGGTTTACGTCGACTCCTTCCGGTCCATCTACACCATCAAGTGAGCATGACACTCTTTCAGTCCCTTTCAAGCAGGTTTTGATTTGGTAAAATTCCCTTAAGCTCTGGTATCAGCTCGACCTCTGCTGTTGCCACTGGTCGTTACCCCGAAGACTCTTACTACAACGGCAACGTGAGTATTTGTTTGACAGGGAGTCCCTCCTTCGCAATGGATATCTCACTGATACACTGTCATCTGTAGCCCTGGTATCTTACCACTCTTGCTGTCGCTGAGCAGCTCTACGATGCTCTGTCGACCTGGACTGCGTTGGGCTCGTTGAACGTCACCTCTACCTCGCTCGCCTTCTTCCAACAATTCGACTCTTCCGTGACCGCTGGCACCTACGCTTCCTCCTCCACCACCTACAGCACTCTCACCGCCGCCATCAAGGATTTCGCCGACGGGTTTGTAACTATCGTTGCGGACTACACCCCTTCCACCGGCGAACTGTCTGAACAGTACTCCAAGGCCGACGGTAGCCAGCTCAGCGCCGTCGATTTGACTTGGAGTTATGCGAGTGCCGTTACCGCTTTCGCCGCGAGGTCTGGTGCTACTGAGACCTGGGGTGCAGCTGGTCTTACGGCTCCTTCGACATGCTCGACCGGCGGATCCGGGTCCGGAGGGTCGTCTGGCGACACTATTGCAGTCACTTTCACTGTGGACGCTACCACCACTTACGGAGGTTAGTTTTTCCGTTGTTCTATATTTTTCTTGACATATACTCATCGTCTGTCGAATGTTCAGAGAACATCTACCTTACCGGCTCCGTGAGCGAGCTGTCGAACTGGAGCACTACGAGCGCGCTCTTGCTCTCCGCGGCCAACTACCCCGAGTGGAGCATCACCGTCAACCTCCCCCCCAGCACCGCCATTCAGTACAAGTACATCCGCATCTTCAACGGAGCTGTGACCTGGGAGTCTGACGTACGTCGCATTCCTTGATACGTTCGTCACTGTAGAACTGACTGGTTCGTTGTAGCCGAACCTGTCGATTACTACCCCCTCGTCGGGGACGTACAGCACCTCTGACACTTGGCGCTGAACGAAGCGTCCGGATGATGCTGTTCGACATCCTCCACGAAAACAACGCATTATTGCGAAAGCGTTTACTTACCGATGAAATTTTATACCCGTCTGTCTTTTCTGTACAGAATCAACTCTCGGGACATTTCTTTTTGCTTTCCTTACCGTTTGATATCCGGCGTGTTGTATCCTATCGAAATGTTTGTAGCTGCAATACACGTGCTCTTTTCATTGAATATAACATCGATCCATATGAGCGCAAACTATCCATCCTACCTGAGATCAAAAAAAGAAAATCTAAGTATCTTTTCATCTCTTCCTGCTCGCCTCTTTCTTCGACATATACCTGCAACTAAACGTCGGCACACTACTCCTAAACCAAGGCAGCGAATCCGCCTCGATACGAGGACACTCATTCACGAGCAGAGTCTGAATTTTGGAAACCTCCATGCGTCCAATAGGTTTTTTGGCCATGCCTTCAACGGTGTCCACCGTATCTGCCGATTGTGATGCCGCGAGCCTCATCCTCGATGAGACTAACCTGACGAGTGGGCCTGTCCCGAGTCTCTCGCACTGCGTCAGTTCGACGTGTCGCAGAGAAGGACAGGTGATAGGCAAGTCTGGAGGTGAAGTAGGCGCAGCGGATGGGTTGTAGATGTGATACTTCGCAGAAGGTGGTTCTGTGAGGACATTGACAACCTCGTTGACGTCCTGGACCGAATGCGAGAAACAGAAGGTATGCAGGGAGGGAGCATTCAACAGTGTACGGATAAGGTCGTCCAAGAGGAAGTAGCATCGTCGAAGGCTGAGTTCCTCGAGATGCACTAATGAAGCGGCGGGATTTCGGGCGAGAGCCTGGGAAACGAAACCTGGTGACGAACCGGAGAGTCGTAGTGTGCGAAGGGCTGGAAAGTCGATCAGCTGCCCGACATTTGAAGTGTCGGTGATATCGCTGAGTTCCAAATGATGGAGAAATTGACAGTGCAATATGGGCAGGACGTTCGGCGGCACGGAGGGTGGCGCTGGAGGACGCAGGAACGGAGCAGACGTCTTGGCGTGAATGACCAGCGTCTCGAGGTTCGGATTGATATGCATGGCGTCTCGGAGACGATCCGTTTCGCGAGGCTGGTCGTACAATTCGAGAGAGGTGAGGTTGCAGACGTGTGGCAACATAATGTCCCAATTGGGTGCCGCGCCGCGCATTGTAAGAGAACGAAGGCTCAGATCGCATTTAGGAGGAGCATCGGCTGCATCGATGGCAGAGTCCTCTTCGTCTTGTAGCAACCAGTGTCGCCGCTGTGGCCACAACCTCTCGCCCAACTCCGCAACGTCCAGGCTCTGTAAATGCCGCATGTTCGTCCCGACTCCTGACTCCCAAAGAGAGCTGAAGAATGTGTACGATGTGCGATCACCAAGCGTACAATGTCGCAGGCGTTCCCATTGCAAGTTCTCCAACTCCGCGAGGACCTGTCGGCCTAAATCCAGAGATTGCATCATGACATGGATGGGCCCCACCATTCCTTGTGAGAGACCTGACTTTAGGCAGAGCTCGTGTATACAGCCATGCGATCTTTGAAGCCATGCCTTCGCTTTCTGTGTCGGTTTGCTCTTCGAAAGGATGAGAACGCGCCACAGCGATGGGAGGGAAAGCGCGACCGCGCGCCAGTGACTGCATACATGCGACAGAAGAACGGGTACTGGTGGAGCATCGAACGAAGCGAGTTGGAAAATTTCGGTGAGGAGTTCGATAGGAAGGTTATGAATAGGTGTGCTGTTCTCTGAGGAACGTACAGTGGACCGTCGTGGAGCCGAAGATTCTGAGTGTGGCGTAGCCTGCGTCGCACGAAGTTTCTTCTGAAGGTCCACGAGGGCGGATCGTCTAGTGGTCAGTTTTGGATCGTCCTTCATACGCTCGATGGCTAAGACCGACATCTTCATGGCCGCAGAATATTTATTGAGTTGAAAAAAGACATTGGCAGAGCGAGCGTAGCCCTGCCACTGGTTCGGAGCGATATCAATAGTCTTCTTCGAGTCTTGTAGGGCCTCTTTGAAACGGCTCAGTTTCTCAAGAACAGCGGCTCGAGAGTCGTAGAGTGTAGCAGATGGATTTTTTGACAAATCGATGGCCTAGAATGGAAAGGTAATGAGTGAAAGATGGCCATAACCAGCGGGTAGTGTCAGCGCTGACCTGCGTGAAATATCCCAAGGCAATCTGAAGATCACCCTTGCGAAAGCTTGACACCCCTCTATCAAAGTGATCCTTGCATTTCACCGAGGTCGCAGACATACTGAGGAGAACGTCACGAAATTCGGATGTTAGAGTAGCCCGCACTCTGGTCGTACCACTCACTACCGGCGCTAGGTAATACGCACGTTGTTCTGAGATGATCCACGTAACTTGGGATGCTTCGTTGTATGTCACCAGTTAAATATATGTCGGCGCAGTATTTGATGGGTTCCAACAATCGCAGAAAACTAGACGAAAGCTACGTTCAGGCTGAAGCGCGTCGAAAGCTAACGTTGCGAGCTCGATCAACGTTCGGACGCGTCGACCTTAACCCTAATCCACCCCTCCTCGCCACCGCCACATCCAGGTATACCCAACCAACTCCGAAGAATGACCATCATACGCAAATGTCCTCGATTCGTCCTAGGTACTGACTGAGCCACACAAAATACACAAAATAAAATGTAGACTAATATCAGTGATAAAAGATGTAGTACAAACACGCAAGAAGTCCAAGAAGACATCCAGTAGCAAAAAAAGTCCATCACAGACAACTGATAAAGTGGCATACAAGGCCAACCAGCCAAAACAATGCGAATGTACTTTGGCCGAGAACAAAGCAACGACCAAACATGACGGGGGTATGAGAAAATACGTGGAGGAAAACAAGAAGTCCAAATTGCAAAAAAAAAAAGGTCCATTTGTCCAACAGTCCGAATATCCCATCTGTAAGAAAAGTTACGCAGTCGTAGTCGTAGCCGTAGCATTATAGATGATGCTGTTCATAGCGAGACTGATTCTCTTTCCGAGGGACGCCTAATTATAGAGAAAAAGCAAGCGTCAATGATGGATGTCATTGAAGATGTTGCGAGTGGCAGCAGACTCACGTCGCATGATGCCCACTCTTCCCAGACCATGACATAGAACGTCGCATTGGTTGCAGACGCACCGCTGCCCCATCCACCCTGATCCTGAGACAGGTCGGGCATGGTAAGCTGCGCCGGGGCGGGATTCGTAGCATATGGAACAGCTGCCAAAGCACCAAAAACAACCAAGAGATCGCGGTCAGCAAATCCTCACTTGCGCGAATCAGAGGAAAAAGTCTCAACAACAATCACGTACCGGGATAATTGGCCGCATCATAAGTTCCAAACAGGTATCCGGTCATAAAGGTGGGCGAGGGTGAGAACGCCTGCGGCATTTCCGTCATGAGCCACACAGAGTAGTTGTAGCTTGACGAGCAATAGTCTGCATGAATGCCATAGGAGAAGTCGAAGGCTTGACCAGGTGCAATGACAGTCCCCTCTACGGGAGCCGAGATCACGCCGGCGAGGTCATCCCTGGGAACGGCGATAGGAGTGGGAGAGGCAATGGCTAAGGTTGCTAGCACGAGGACGGTGGCTGTTTTCATGAATTTCGTGAAGGCGAGCATGATAGTAAGGCAATCGTCAACGGACGTGAAGGAGATGGTGAGTATGGGAGTGTAAGAGATCAGATGAGATGATATGAGAGGGGGACTGGGGAAGTGATTGAGGAAGGGGGGGATTTGTAAGCTCGAGTCTGAAGAACCTTTGCAGCAGTGACGCACTCTCTTTATACCTCCGACAACGCGTCGGAAAGGACAGGCCAGCCTCGGATTGGAATGCGGTCCGAGTCGTTTCATCAGAAGCGAGCTGTCCTGTGTTCTCGTGTCTCTATTGCCCTTGCCCCACTAGAGATGATTGACGTCCCAAACACGTAACAGGTCTAATCTGGCAGACACAGAGGCTATTGATTCACCGTTTCCAACATAATGTCAGACTGGGACCCATGGGCAAAGATGAACGAACGTCAATAAAGGAAAGGAAAGTTTGGATAGAGCAATCCAGAAGAGAGCGAGACGAACCTCCGGCCTCTCCCGAAAGATTCAGGATCCGGAGCCTGAGATTCAGAAGCGAGAGAAACAGGCCCGCCCATCGTCTTCGCCAAAATTTCCCAGTACACAGGATTGCACCCTGTGGCATGCTACCAGTTAGAGTTAGAATGCTAACAGGCCTTGCCAGGCCTGTCTGGGATCGAGTGGATGGCAAGCACAAGGTCGATGCGTGGCGGCCTATGAAAGTTGCAGGGTAGCTCTCTGACCAACTTAATCGTTACCCTTCTCTTACTTGGATTGTCGAGATCGTCTTCACACGAGGAGACCCTGGCCGCGGACAGGAAGTGAACACGAACATATGCTGGGTTGATGACGACAAAACAAGTACACTGAGGTCTGCGAGGAGAAACTATGCGAAGTAGATCAGGGCATTCTTCTTCTTGCTCTGCACTGTGTGGCGCAAAGGTCGAGGTCGTATCAGAATCATCCATTGAGCAGCGCAGAGCCTAGACCGAAGAACAAGGAAGGAAGGAGGCTCACCTTCAGCAATACCACTGAGGAAGTGCTCATGCCCAAGCTTCGTCGCGCCCTCTCTAAGTGCGATCATACCGGCTTCAACACATACCGCCTTCAGCTGGGCGCCGTTAAACTCGTCTGTACTCCGCGCAAGCTCCTCAAAGTTCACATCTGAGCTGACCGTCATCTTACGCGAATGGATCTCAAGGATACGGGCGCGAGCGGTTTCATTTGGAAGAGGGAACTCAATCTTGCGGTCAAGACGTCCGGAACGGAGAAGTGCAGGGTCGAGAATGTCGATTCGATTGGTAGCGGCAATGACCTGAAAGTTCCACATGAACATAATCAGTACAGGAAAAATGGAGGAGGCAGGGAATAGGAACCTTGATTCTCTCGTCGCTGCTAAATCCGTCAAGCTGGTTAAGGAGCTCCAACATGGTTCGCTGAACTTCACGATCACCGCTCTTCTCAGAATCGAACCGCTTGGTACCAATAGCATCCAATTCGTCGATGAAGATGATGGCGGGGGCCTTCTCTTTGGCAAGTTCGAAAGCGTCCCGAACCAACTTCGCACCGTCACCGATGAACATCTGCACCAGTGATGGTCCAGCAAGTTTAAGATAGCAGGCATTGGTCTGAGCAGCGCAGGCACGAGCGAGGAGGGTCTTCCCAGTACCTGTAGACATATGAGATTAAATCGCCTATCAGATGCATCGGGCCACATACCTGGAGGACCGTACATCAAGCAGCCCTTCGGAGGCTTGATACCGAGGGTCTTGAATTTATCTGCCTGCTCCATAGGCAACACGATAGCTTCCACCAACTCCTCAATCTGCTTCTCCAGACCACCGATATCGGTATATGTCTCCGTCGGTCTCTCGTCCACTTCCATAGCCTTCACACGGGAGTCGAATTCGGCGGGTAGTGTATCGAGAACGAGGTATGAATCTTTGTTGACACCAATGAGGTCTCCTGGCCTAAGCTTCTCTGCAGGAACGAGACCGATGAGTGGGAGGAAAACGGTTTGTCGCGTCGATGTCTTGATGACGGCACATTTGCCTTTGCGCATCGAGTCCAAGTCTTGGTTAGCACCATCTTCTTCGCCCTCTGGATCAACGTCCAGAATCTGCATATTTGTCAGTCAATTCGGCCTCGTATACGTGAAGCGTTGTACACACCTCAACGACGTTTCCAACAAGATAGGGAAGAACCTTGTTCTGCTTGACCTTCTCGCCATTGTCTCGAATCTTCTCCTTCATTACGCTCTGCTCGTGTTGGAGCCGCAGCGTTTCTGACCGCATAACCTGCCCAAACGTAATTCGTCTAAACCATACCCATGACATTGGTGAAGGAATGCAAACCAACCTTGATATCATTGTCAATCAGGCGTGTCCTTGTCATTATGTCGTCTGTGCCCAATTCCATCACGTCCTCTGGAATGTCATCCCACGTCTCCTCAGCGGGCTGGTCAGGCGTTGTGTCCATAGGGGCCTCTGCAGGTGCCGATGCCGCTGAGGCAGAGGGTTCACCGTCCTTCTCATTATTGTTGGTCGGGGGGTTGCTGGGCGGTGGTGCTGAAGACATGGGGTGGCAAGATGAGGGTATAGGGAGAGGTGTTCAGTAAGCTCGACGTTGTGCGCTACGGTCAACGACGCGCGTACATCACGTATTACGTCAGCTTACATTTACAGACGCGTCTCGTTTCTCCCAGAGTCCCACGACCGCGACTGACCACGAGTTAATCCACTGTTATCCATCATGTCGGCAGATGCGTCGGGACCTTCAGCAGACGACAAGGCTAGGTATGAGGCCGCGAAGAAGGAGCTTGTACAGGCCATTGGTAAGAAGAGACTCGTAGACCGTCAGCTTGTGCGCCCCTTTCCCTGCCATGCCTTATTGTCACCCTGACTTAGCCAGCGTGGCGTACCAACTCTAGGCAGCACTCGAGACCCAAATATACAAGCTTGAAGGCTCATATCTTACGGACACATCTCTTCATAATGGCGGAAATATCATTCATGGTTTTGAGAATTATCTCAAGACGCAAACGAACAAGAAGAAATACGAGTTGAGCGAGGCCGATCGGCTATTCTCTACCAGCAGTCTGTCATATCTCAAGGTTGGTCCTTCTATCAGCTCTTTCTCTTCTCGCACCACTCATAATATGCCATAGTCGATGGAGTTGCTTGGAGAAGGGGAGGAATCCGGGGACCCAACAGGTGACGAATACAAGCAATCCAATTCCGGCATGACCACTGTCGTCCTTCAGCCTGCTCCTCGACCTCTTGATCTCACACCTGCGCAGGCCAAAAAACAAAGGGATAGAGAATACCAGAGAAAGAAGCGAGCTACGAACGCTAATCGACGTAGTGCGGGTACTCTAAGCGATGACGAGTCTGTGGCTACCACAACTACAGGCAGGCGGCCTACAAAGCGAGCGAGAATGATGACGGAAGAGGAATGAGGTGTATATATCCTTGGGAGTCACTGGTGAGCAACTGCCATTGTCGCTGCTGCGAAGAGTTGATCTTGATCATCTGCTGTGCCCAGTATCTTTATCTGTACGAATAATTGCTGTACGAGAGCTCGTTTTGATTCCACTCCATCTTGTCTTGCCTGGACTGCACGAGAACCCTGCGAAAGGCATTGCGACGAGGCTTCATCACAAGTCCAATGTATTGAGAAACTGCTTCACCGAAATCTCATCCATGCCGCCTCCGTCAGGATCTGCTGCCTCTATACATCTCGTAACCGCTATTGTCTGCTTCACCTCCTTTGCACTCACCCATACCCTGCCATTCACCCCAACAGCAGCGTCCAACGGAAACCGTGACCCGAGCATGGGCAACAAGAAGTAATCTGGATCTAGTAGTCTATACGCCACAAAAATACAGTTCTCAGCATGACAGCTAAAGTAATAAGCAAACATGGCTTACTGTCTACACATTTTGAGACTGCATCGCGTCAAGAAGCCACCTTTGAGTTCGCCAAAACCCTCTGCTTTGCGCGTTTGAGCATCGAAGCACTCAAGCTCTGGTTCCATGTCTTTATGTGCCAACGAGACTCGTGCATAAACCACAGACCCAACCTACAAAAACGTGTAAACTCCATGAGCGTGATCAGTACATAATAGAAAGATTGCCCGTACTTTTAACGCTGGTCGATTCCGTCTGCTAGCTCCTTCGAACGCTAATGCATCCAGAGAAGCGTTGTGGGCCCCTCCAATATCCACTCTGAACCCCTCTCCCATCCTTCCGGTCACGACGCCGACCACTGATTCTTGTGGCGCTGGCACGTACTATGCTCAATCAACATATCATACACATAATCAGTACAGTAACGTGGCGAAAGAGGATGGAAACACCCACCCGTCGAGCATTACTTTCCACCCACCATTTACTGCCGTTCGCGGAGTGCTGCAGTTCCCCGGCGCGCGTGGACACTACTGATGTTGATCCCTCAGCATTTGAAAGCTGTTGCAGACCTGGTCCTAGTTTGAGGTTGACATGTTGAGCTGGGACGGTTTCGCCGGGGAGGACGATGGACATGATGATGATGGTGTGAGGCAGAGAAAAGATGTTCTGTGGCGCTCTGTTCCTTTCCTTCCTTCCTGTGGCGAAGAACTCGCAAGCCAATAGCGCAATTTGAAATCATTGCACTTTCCTCAGCCACCGTCACCTTGCCTTGCCATAGTCTTGTTACACCCACTCCACCCTGTCTTATTTACTACTTGGAGAATACATCAACAGATAACTGTACCAGACAGCGATGTCTATGCCAACATCACAACTTCTCGCAGAGTTCCCGGAACTGTCCCATCTATCGTGAGCTCTTCTGCCCCCAACTGTGGCCCACGAATTCAGACCAACATTGTGGACATAACATATCAGCCGAGAGGACCTAGAAGATCTGCTGGTTGATCAGCCTTATTTTCAAGCAATCTTTCACAATCTCAACCGGGTGAAGGCATTGTATCAGGCCCAGGCTGAACTCTCCGCTGCTAATGAGTCTATCGCCAGTTCGTCCGCCTCGGCATGTTGCTTCCTTATGATCGTGCCAGCTAATGTGCTTGTATCTTGTGCTGATCAGAACAGAACCTAGCAGTTCAGGATGAACTTTACAAGCTTAGGCAGGAGACTCAAAGCGCTTTTGATGAGGCCAAGTCACTAGAAGCAAGATGGGCGGAACTGCAGCGCGAACAGAAAGAGGTCTATCAGGTCTGTATCATTCTACTGCGATTCTGTATTTTTCCGACTCATTGTGAACTGGTGTCATTCTGCGAGTAGCGATTCACACCACAATTCCTGCTCATGCGCCTACGGCACGCCACTACGCAACTAGACGACGCCTCTGAAGCTGTAGCCTCCTCCTTCGTTCGCTCATCGCCATCAGAGGCTCCGACCTCGACACCAGTTAACGGTAATGGTAAGGATGTGGATGAATTTATTAATCAGTTCAGAGAGATGCGCAAGACGTATCACAAGCGTGTTATGTGGGGTGACCGATGGTCTGCAGGAGAGGTCGCTTGGCGAGATGATTGAACGGTCTTGGATACCCATGGTTGAATCGGAGTAGAGGGTCGAGAGACATCTCACCTGGATGTTGGTCATGGGATTATTGTGACAAACAATAACCCTTTCTGTATTATATTGCTATGTAAGTCTCCTGATTGGGTTTTTCTCGCCGAACTTTCGAATCCGCTCATGAATACTCTTAGATGTATGTTATCAGGTTTAAAAATGGACCCTGCTTATAGACTCGCACCGGTAATGGTGGTTCAAGTGCCGTTTGCATCGACTTGTGTATCTGTGCTATTTGTGCGGTATTTGGGTCAATCTTGGAGATTCTACGGCAGTTCTGCCCACTAGAAGCTTCCGACCTGACAAGCTTGTGCCATGTATAGGCGTTCAAACTGTGAACGGCAGAAGGCCCCGCCCAGGTTTCTGTCTGTTGATGAATAGACACACGGCTCTCGTGATCGCCAACCGGAAGAGCCTTGCTTAATCCTCGCCTTCACATCCTACTCGTTAGTCCTTCAGTTCCTTAACTGTCTTATCCATGAGTGGTGCCTGTAAGACACTATGCGTAGATGTATTCATGATTGTATTGTACATCCCACTCTGGCGTACGTTCACAAGCCAATCACTCCGTACATTTCGCCGCTCTGCCTCTCGTTAGGGAAATTTCATTCATCTCGTCTATCCTGTGTCGCCTATAAAGCCCTGGTCTGGGCGCGCTCGCTACATACCCCGTTCCCCAAGACCAGACCAGCCAACGCTATTGCATTCCACCGTCTACGCATACCATGTTTGGTTCCATTCTAGCCCTTGGGGCATTCGCGACGTCCGTCTGCGGCCACACCATCTTTCAGGAGATGTACGTGAATGGTGTTGATCAGGGGCACATCAACGGTATTCGGGTGCCAACGTATGATGGTGTACGTCCCACCTGTACCTCCTCTTGTTCCAGTGAGCTAACAGCACTCTGTCTGATATCCAGCCTATCACGGACGTCACTTCGTGAGATCTTTTCCACTGTCGACTATGCTGTAGTGTTGACAGTCTCAAAGGAACGATCTCATCTGTAATGGAGGGATCAATCCTTACCAGCAACCCGTCTCTACAGTCATCATCAACACAGTTGCTGGGGAGCCAGTCACTGCTGAATGGTGAGTCGTTGCCTCTGCCGGAAGCTCTGGGCCTTTATTCTGACCATAAATCAATCTTAGGCATCATACCCTCGCTGGCGCAGATCCATCGGACCCTGCAGACCCCATCGACCCAAGTCACAAGTATGTTTTTTCTCCTAGTTCATCACGCTCACCATAACTCATGTCGACGAATCATAGAGGACCGGTCATAGCTTATCTGTACGTTCTTTCGTATGACTGCTGCCAATGGTCGCAGTACATTAACGACACAACTATCTCAGCGCCAAAGTTGAGAACGCCACTCAAACAGACGTTACTGGCCTTGATTGGTTCAAGATCTACGAGGACGGGTTGACTGTCAGCGACCAGTCATGGGGTGTGGATCGACTTATTGCTAACAAAGGTAGCTACCTCTTTTTACTCGTTTCCGGCGCCGTTCACCACACTCATGTTGTCATGTTCACATCGCGAAGGAAAAGTGACTTTCAACTTACCCTCCTGCATTGAGGCCGGCCAATACCTCTTGCGTGTGGAAATCATCGGTAACTCACTGTATCATTGTCTTTTCATTTCTGAAGCTCAACAAGTTTGCTCTCTTTCCAGCATTACATGCCGCGAACTCGTACCCCGGTGCCCAGTTCTACGTGCGTAAAGTCTTACACGCATCTGGTTGGAGTGTAAGCTTACACCTGTTCCTTCTGACCACAGATGGAGTGTGCCCAGCTCCAAATCACTGGCGGTGGAAGCACCAGTCCGGCCACAGTCAGCTTCCCCGGTGCCTACAGTGGTAAATACTGCATTCTCTGCCATTTCTTCGTATTCCGACCAACATGTTTCCTGTTCTCCAGGTACCGACCCGGGGATCAAGATAAACATCTACCAGACCCTCCCATCGTACACTAATCCAGGACCTCCCGTATTCTCCTGCTCCGGAAACTCTGACCCTGCCCCATCCTCTTCTGCGCCCGTGGTCTCTAGTTCTAGTGCTGCCCCGGAGCCTAGTAGTACGTCCGCAGCGCCGCCTGCCTCTTCGAGCGTTTCCGGTGCTGGTACGGCACAGGAGTATGCTCAATGTGGAGGTACGTTGATCTTTGATTCTTGAGTCTGGCGAGTCTAGGTTGATGAACTTGGTCGTAATGCAGGCACTGGATATACTGGTCCGACTGTCTGTGCGAGCGGGCTTACTTGTGTGGCTGTCTCGCCGCCTTACTACTACCAGGTCAGTTTCTCATTTAGGGGTGATACCGAAGTCGTTGCTGTTGTTGATACATGATTGACAACCCTATCACAGTGCCAGTCTTAATGAAGTCTGAACATTGGCCTAGTGTATCTATCGCATCAACTAGGATGATTTATGTTCAGAGGGTCGTTCTGTATCTACTGCGTATGTACTGTAGTGTGTGTGTGACTCGTACGGATTATTTATCCAGTATATTTATGAGAGCATGAGTGCCAAAGAAAGAGGTGGCACTTGGCAGGTACTTGGGTGTGTGGCACCAGGGATTCGAACGTGACGTCAGTTCCAAGTGCCACATTGTCAGACAACGCTTGACAGAAATTGGGTACTCGACTTCGTCAACGTCGCGCTCTTGGTCTCTACACTCTCTTCAAAGACGGCGACGATATTGGGACGCGTAAAAACGCGCTTTTCAGATTGATACAGCTATCTGCCATTCTGACCTGCTGCCATGTCTGTCTCGCATCTCACGAACGATCTTGTTCTCCTCCCCGTGCCTTCCCAACACCAACTTCAAATCTCCACGTCTCAAATAAACCCAGCCGCCGCCCAAGCGGAAGAATCATTGCGCTCATTGCTACTCTCGCTCAAACCTCCATTGTTGCACTCTCAGATCACCGACGGGATTCGATCGCTCGAGGACTATGATTCGTTCGTATCGGGCCTGCGCTCTGAAGAGCTTCGAGCGGCACAAGAAGATGGTGTAAGAACGGCTATCACGGGGAGGTTAGTGGCTGGTTTGTATGCCGAGGCGATGAATACGTTCCTGAAGGAGGCTGGTGAAGCGGAGAACGAGGCGGAGTGGTGGGGAGATGTTGAAAGGTCTACATGTAACATTTGGCATTACTTCGTCCAAAGTACGTCTCTTTGTTCAACAGGGGCGACTCTACGCGTCGTTGTCATTTCTTGATTTTTATACGAACCATGGGAGCCAGGCACTATTTTCTTTTTGTTGAGATGGCTTAGCCGGAGCTGATTCGTTTCATCTAGCGTTTCCGTCTCGCCTGTTCAGTCTTATACACCGGGTCGTATCCATCCTCCACACACAAGGACGTTCTTTGAGGGCTTCGGACCTCTCAATATCATCTATGCGAAACATCCTTTCAGAGAGAGATTCATCTCGGCCGAACACCCTCGTGACCACTCTCTTCCCTCATTTGAACACCCATCCACACCTCATGCCCCTATCACTTGCTCCGCTCAAACTACGAGCTTTCAGCCTTCAGTCACCCTCAATCCCGACCGCCTCGGACTTCGCATTTACTATTCAAGCCATACGCACTTACATCTCCAACTTCTTCGAATCATGCTACACCTTCATCTCGCTTCCCTTTGAGCTCACACGACAAGAGTGTAACTTGAGACGGAAGCACTTAGAAAAACTTAGGGATGAGAGGGCAGAGGCTCTCGGAGAGCTCTTGTTAAGACGCGATCTACTAGACAAAACTCTTCGGACACATTCAGACACCATCGATTTCCTCCAAAGCCTCAATGAAGTCATCTCTGGCCGAAGTTTGGAAGTCTCCCTCGGCCCTACACCACCACTCTTGACTTTTATATCTAGGACGGCGTCCGAAACCCTTCCACGGCACCTATCTCTCCACCGCGACTACCTGCGAACCCAATCTCTCCTGCGCCCCTCACGCCTCACGCTCCTATGGCCGCGTCTGCTGATCGTTCCTCCCCTTACACTTTTTGCGGCGAGAGAGCTTTATGCGTCGAGGGACTCGTTGACCAATATGGCCGCGGATGCATGGGAGACAATCAAGGCTTTCTGGAGAGGTTGGCTGGTTGAACCTGTGAAGGATATTGTAAGGACCGTGCGCACTGGGAGCGATGATGGGGTAATCGTACAAAAAGAGAGCATTGCAGCCGACATGCAGGTATGCAATCCCCCCTTTGTGTAATCCACTGTTTGTATATCAGTTGATGGTCCCTACCTTGCTATAGTCGTTGGAGCGCATGGCTTTGGCTCTGGCCAAGGAAAAGTTGAACTACTCAGCTGAGCAGCTCAACGCGTTCACCACCAAAATCCGGTCTGGGGATCTCACCCCCATTCTCGAAATATACGAAGAGGACATCAAACGTCCGGTGAAGTCCGCCGTCACCGGCACTCTTCTCCGTTCTGTCTTCGTTCAGGTGCAGAAAGCTAAGGTTAGCACTTCCAACCGCGGTCAATTCCAGTCCTTGGGCTTACATTCTCTGTGTGTACCAGGTCGACATCGATCAAGCTCTCGCCGGAATCGACAAGCTCCTGAAATCACAAGAACTTACGTTCGCATTCGTCGGCGTCGCCCCCGCACTCGCCATAGTCTACATCACCGGCGGATATCTCGGTTCCTTCTTCAGCAGCAATCTATCAGGCCGCAAAGGTCGTTTCGGCGGAAAACACAAACGTACTGCAGCCTGGCTCGCCATGCGTCGCATCGAACGGCTCCTCATCTCCCAACCACACGGTCCCCCTTCCGCCGCTTCGCACTCACCATCCCACACCCGAACCCCAAGTACGGAGAAACGGCTCCCGATCCCTCCACTTACGTCTGGCCTGTTGTTGCTGAATTTGTCGAGCCTAAGGAATTATGCGGAGATTTGCTTGCCGTTGCATTCGAGGTTGAGGGAAGGATTTTTAGAGGATATCGGAGATTTGGAGAATCCGTCATTGGATAGGGACGAGAAAGTCAAGGTCGTGGAGAGGATGTGGAGGTCATGGGGTGCAGTTTTGGACTGGAATAATGGTGGGGGCGCAATTGGAAGAAGATAGTATACATGTTCGATCAATCGTGATCGTATGCTATCATGCAATACGGACTTCGAAGTTGCAAAGTTTGTTGAATCACGCCGTCTAGCGAGAAGAAAACACCGTGCGGCCTCATCCCTGACCCAGCCCTTTAAGTATGTGGGAACACACCGAATGGTTCGGAGCTAGTGACTTACCTACTTCTACCTGGTGTCGCGGCGGGCCACCCCAGTGGCACATTATTGTTCTCTGATCCAGACGGTTGAACTCTGCTTATGGCGAGCTGGCGCCAAACGCCCGGGATAGATGGAAAAGCCAACAATGCGGCGGCAGGTTCGCACGGCGTTGCTATTCCGTGAATCTCCGGGCGCTGTGTCTCTCCAATGTCTCTCCTACTCATCGACAACTCAGCCACACCATTAGCAAGCATGACAAGGATCATCCCATATAAGTGGCCCATCACGAAAAAAAAAGAGGCAGTGTGATGGTATCTTCCTGATGATCCGGACGAAAGCGTACAAATTCCCAAGCTTTCCCACTGGCACCTGCTACCTCTTTATCCTCTTCTTCTCTTTCCCCACCCATCTCAGGATCATCTTCCGTATTTCCTCCATCAACAGTATATTTCTCTATTCCTCTCCGATGCAGACAGAACCTAACAGCGAAAGAGAAGATAGGCCGCGAGATGAAATGCATGTACAAGAAAGTGCAGTAGATGCCGAGAGTCCTAATATGTTTGGAGCCTCGACATTCACAACCGCAGTAACCGTCGAGCCCATGTCATCTACGGTTCAAGTCGCTCAGACTACAGCCGGCGATGCTGGACGACCCGAGACCATCGTTGTGCATCCCAGCATGCCCGACCCTGCGAATTATCGCGATTTAGGAGGGCAAACCGGCATCGTTGAGGGGCACGAAAGCCCTTATGTTTTCGATGCACACAGGGGACATAGTTTCTTCTCTCCCGTTCCTTTGGAGTCACCTGGTTTCAACAATGAGCCCGAGGAGCAGAACGGGCATCGAGACTCTCGTATCAACTCTGGACCTCCCGTCTTCATACGTCCTTCAAGGACAAGGACTTATTTCTCGTACGGAGCACGTCGACGGGCCACCATGGCGAGCAATTTCCTGCCTCCAACAAGTAGCTCTTTGCCACAATACACTAGTGCCGCTAGTGGGTTGCCCAATCAACGACCACAACACTACTATGGTGCGTTCCTCGCTATGAAATGACATCACCAGGAGACTGTTCAATATATGATCATCCTACAGGAGTAAACTCGGATGACTATGAGGCGAGATATCCACCTGATCCTAACGGTGAGGAAATTGGAGAAGATGCTCGTGTCTGGCGTGTATATCTGGATGAAGCAGAAGCTCACGATGCGGAGATGGTTGGGCAATGGAAGGATACAGTCGACTCGCTTCTTGTCTTCGTAAGTTCTTTACACTCCACAAACCAGCGTTACAATTGACTCGATCTCCTGAACAGGCTGGTCTTTTCTCCGCTGTCGTCACTACATTTGTGGTCCAGACCTCTCAATCCTTGCAGCAGGACTACACGCAGATCTCCGCGGCGCTCCTCACAGAACTCGTTACGCTCCAGCGAGCTACTGCCGAGGGACTACCCGCTACCACAGTCCCTTCTTCGCGGCAGTCGCCCTTCGTCTCCGACGTTGCCGATCGATTCGTCAATGGCCTTTGGTTCATTAGCCTGTCGTTGAGCCTGTCTACTGGGTTGTTCTGCATCTTGGTCAAGCAGTGGGCGCAGCATTACATGTCGTCTATATCTGGGACGCCAATGGAGCGTGCACACCGACGCCAGTACCGTTTTGATGGTCTCAAAACGTGGCATGTCCGCGGTATCGTAGGCATGCTGCCCCTATTCTTGCATGCAGCACTCCTGGTATTCTCCGCTGGCCTTGTGTTGTTCCTGCGAGCATTGGACTCGGATATTGGTTGGGCGTTATGCGCCATCGGTGGAGCCACCTATCTATTTTATGCTGCTGCTGTTGTTTTACCCTTGCGCTACCCTGCGTGCCCGTATCATACGCCGTTGTGCGAATATCTACAGGCAGCAATCTTCCTCCTGGCCACTTTTCGACGGCAAACAATAACTCGAGGTCAACAGGTGTTGACTGAAATTGGACGAAGGATTCGTATCCAGAACCCCCGCGTTGACATGGACCCTGGTGGCCACGATCATCTTCCTTTGTCTTCCCCTGTCAATCACGCCAGCTTCAGGCGCTTGGAACATGCCGTCGCATCACATCGAGGCCGATTTTTAACCGCGCAATGCACCAACTGGTTATTGGTTTCTACTACAAAGCCATCTGTGACACGCATTGCATATCAGTCATGCTCTGCATTTGATCATTATTCTTTTCTTATGTATCTTCCGAGGCGAATGACTTCCGGAAATCAAGCGCGCAAAGCGTTTGAGAACTTCATGGATGATTGGCATGTGGCTGTTGACGAAGCAGCGCGCATACACGGGCCTCAAAGGAATGAAGACGACTCCGAGGGTGAAGAGAGCTCTAATCCAACTGTTACATCAGGCCAACTCGAGAAAGTCCTGTCCGTGGAACGAATGTCTCGAGCATTGGTCAAACTGATGATGTACCCGAGAAGGATATTACCGCTTGAGTCGTTTGGGTCGTTTGGGAAGACCATGTCCACCGCCATCGATGTCCTAGGCCGCAGGCCATACAACTTCAGCTCGTTGTGCAAATGCATGCAAGTTCTAGAAGTGGTGACCATAGGAGATCTATCAGTAGGTGGCCAAAAACCGGGAGACGTTGAGCAACCGTTCATCGCCCTCGCGGATTTTACTGTTGAGGATAGGGAACTCATGTGGGCCTTCCTGCGACTTCTAGAGAAGCACATACCGACAATCACCGAATACTACTTCGAGAGGATCATGCGTAACCCCCGCGACTTATCTGAGCGAGCCTTCAACGCTCCTCCTCCGATCCGAGCGACCCTTAAGTTCGCATGCTGCGAGAAGCTGCTGCATGTCCTCGGTAGCGAGCTGCAACTTGGTCTGGAATACGGCTACATTAGTCTGAGAGATGTGCACAGTCTCGACGACTTCAAGCTTGCAGCTAGCGCTGTCAGATGCTTGTATAGCATCGTGTATCAGAAAAACCTGGATGAGCTACACAGATTATCTTCTGACGACATCTACAGCAACGGAGTCACGTATGTACCATTGCCGAAACTGTCTGCGCAGTGGGAGAAGATGATGTACCAAAAGTACTGCGTTCTCGTCCTTCTCTCCATAAAAGGGTTTGCTGCCCTTCACTTCCGGAATTTACAGTGGCGGTCTATTCCCTCAGTACGGCGTTCAATGACCCGTTGCATCAACTGGGCCTACTATATGTTTCGCAAATATGCAAACAAGCGAGAGGACATTCATGACATCTGGAGCCAGGACATGCGACCACTTATTGCAGTGATATTGGAGGAGGAGAGATCGGCTCTGACTGATAGGGACTCTTTGTATAGGTCAGATATGCGCGGACTGGAAGCCATCACCCGATGGTTAGAGACGTCTCGAGTCCTGAGCCCGAACAGCGACGACGGAGGAGGCAGAGTTCGATAGTGTGCTACAATACACCAATGATTATTACCATCAGTTATTGCGTACCAAGGATAGATCGCGCAGGGTACGGATAGTCTTTACTCGAGCGATTGAGTGGTAGTTCAGGCGCTTCATTGAAGCTCGAGATTGTCATTACTTATGCCTCACTAAACGATTGATCTGTAAACTGCAAACAACGGAACCCATCGACCGAGGTTCGATTAAAGTGTGACTGAGACTATATCAGGTAGGCAAGGTAAACATATTTACGTAGCTAGAGCTTTCCACAAGACGGTCCGCCTAGATGTGGTGATCCACCATTGTCCGACTCGGATGTAGAACAGTCAGCTAACCTCTGCGGAGAATCGAGGTCGGTTTGACCGCCCATTTCTTTAAGCAATGACGCTGACAGAACAGATGAGGGGGATCTGCGAAGGTAAATGAAACATATCAAGCCGATGTTCGGACGATGGACCAGTGGGTATCGTCCATTTAGTCCATTTAGAAGCGGACTAATCACCGCAGAGAGTGTCAAGGCGTTTCCTGGTGGCCCATTTCTGCAAGATCGACACCCGATCAAACAGTGGACACACTTGGCGAGCTCGTCTGCTTGTAAGCATCGACGGAGAAGAGCATGGCGACATGCTGGAGTTTCTCTCAAATTGGAAGACGGAAGAAATACCTGTGAATTCATACCAAGGAATAACTTCTCTAGAATTCTCTCGATCCATACTCTTTCCTCATGCCTGCCGTCGTTCCTCCTGCAAGAGCTCTCGTCACCGGTGCTAATGGCTTCATCGCCGTTTGGGTCGTACACACTCTCCTCGAGAGGGGATACTTCGTCCGGGGCACTATCCGGAGCGAGAGCAAAGGCGTCTACCTCAAGAAGTTGTTCGAACAGTATGGAGACAAGTTCGAGTGTGTGGTGGTGGAAGATATCACCAAGGTCCGCTCGCCATCCTCTACTAGTTATTCCATATCTTCTCTAATAAACAAGTCAGGAGGGTGCCTTCGATGAAGCTGTGAAAGATATAGATATCATCGAACACACTGCGTCCCCTGTCCCCTTCAACACCGACAAACCAGATGGTGAAAACACCTTTATGTCTTTCGAAATGATGGAATAATTTTGACCCCGTCCGACTCTTTGCAGAAGTAATCATACCAGCAATCAAAGGCACCGTCGGCATCCTCGAGTCGGCAAAGAAGTATGGGTACGTGACGTATTTTGACCGCCAGAGTATCGAAACCAGGAATCATAACCACTCACACTCACGCCGTAATCGACAGGAAATCCGTCAGACGTGTCATTGTGACTGGATCCTGCGCTTCGGTTGTTCATGCGGGATATACGACTCCGGTCACATACGACGAGACCTCCTGGAACGAGCCTGTGATAGTCAACGTGCAACAAAAAGGGGTAAATGATACGACAAGTATCTACATGGCATCAAAGACATTAGCGGAGAAGGGTCAGTAAAGTGTCACTCACGAAGTGTGGTGCAGTTGAGGAACTCAACTCCCCCCGTAGCCGCTTGGGAGTACGTCAAGAACAACGCGTCGGAGATTAATTACGACCTGACCGTGCTCAATCCACCTTGGGTCCTGGGGGTATGTCAGTCCTGTGCTTTTCTGTCAACTTTTGCTCGCTGACAGAATGGGGTATTGAAGCCCGTTCTCCAAGAGGTGACCGACCTCAGCTCGCTTAACGTCTCGATGCAATACGCCTACGACATCCTCGTCAAAGGCACGATGGACGAAACTATGCTGACAACTAACTCCAACTGCTGGGTCGACGTCCGTGACGTCGGGCTCGCGCACGTCCTCGCTGCAGAGAAGCCCAGCGCGGGTGGGGAGCGGATCATTTTGTGCGCTGGCCAATTCTTCTGGCAGGATTTCTGTGCGTCGAGCTCGAAATCGTGGCTGTGATGACTAGTACTGACGCCAAGTTATGATTTTTGAACCTATAGTGGACGCTGCGAATTCCATAGAACCTCCGATTCTGCCGAACCTGCCGAAGGGCAAACCTGGCGCGACGAAGGGCCTGCCACCAGATATAGTATACATCACAAGCAAATCCGATCGTATCCTGGGCCTGAGTTACCGCTCTGCCGAAGAGATGATCAGGGATACCTTGATCAACTTCAAGAAGCTGGGTGCCGGTGTGTGAGTGGGTGGTCGAGCATGATGTAGGGATATTGTAGTTACGCCGAGACAGTTATGATGTCACAGAGTAAAGCTAGCAGCAAGCAAGACCTCTTGTTTGGATGGACACATTAGCGGACGTTATGACGGTAGACTTAGAAGGTGCGAAGCTCGTCAGAATTGAAAGCAGATCACCGTCACGAACGGCATCAAGGAATTTGATCGGAGCCAGATCGGAGTTGTAAACCGTGGCACTTTCGTGGCGTGCCAGTGGTGCGCCACAAACACTCTTCATTTCTCTCTTCCGTGTTCTACACCTCGAGGACCTCCCGAGGACCTACACTGTCATGGCTGCCCTACGACAGCGTATACCATTCACATTTACCAAAGAGGATGATGCTTCTGAAGACACTCACATCCTCGACGAGCAAGGCAAGGACTGTACTCATATGCGTAAATATATTCCATACTAACTAATATGAACCGACGCAGAGCAGGAAGAGGTCATTGAAGGACTAAGAGCTCAGAATGACACCTCCAATGCACAGAGCTTGCTGCTTCTACGCGTCGTTGTCGGCCTTTCTGCTCTTCTGTACGCCGTTGAATTATTCTGTCCACCAGACATATACTCATATACTCATCTGCCCGGTTCTTCCTGACTTTTAGTCACCTCGTCTACCTCCTAAACCCCAGAAAGACGTCCCCACTCTCCGTTTTTCTATCCACACCATCCCAAGAACTCCCATGCTTCATCTCGACCGTGTTCGCACTCCTCCACCTCGCAGCTCACTTCAATCTCCTTCTCCTCTCTTGGCCCGCACACGAACGACCACTCCTACAAGATCTGACACCTCTCTCTTACTCAATGACGTTCTCAATTGTTTCCGTTGCCCCTGTCTTGTCCATCATGATCGGCCGGTCGCTCGACGTTGTGGCATGGTGGAGTGTGGCGTTGGGAGTGGCCGTGGCGCAGTTCTATGCTCAGAGGTGGATTGCTCAGGGAACCTTGGGTATAAGCGAATTGGAGGGTATGAGGTACGATGCTAAGGGAGCATAGACGTGTGGATGATATTTTTTAATTGGTGGTCCGGTGTATGACGAGTTATACCGGGACCCCAACAGCCAACATGAAACGTACGGTGAGTGCTTTCGACCGGGAGCTCACTACTTTCACTCATAACCCATCCTTAGCGAGACGATGATTGAGCCTCCATGCTCTATATATGTACTGTACCATTATTCCACTTTATATGTATCGATACACACCGACTATACTTTGTGGCACTACTTATAGAACGTCGTGAATTATTGTGTGGCACCCCTACGGATGCTTTTCCTGCGTTCCGAGCCCCAGGTCTCAGATCCTAGACTCAGCTCCGAGATGTTCAGCCTCCGTGTCGATCCCTCCGAGTCCAACGACGGATGTTATTTCGTGAATATTCGCCGGGGACGGTCTGCACGACCAGTCCCCGCCTCCCTCGATGTTCTCCGCATTTCGAAACCGCAGAGGCCCGCCACGACTCACACGCGCATCATCATCATCAAAATCAAAATCAAATATCCTTCCCACACATGGCGAAGCGAAGCGCCATGATGACCATAATAATATTTGGGCGCGATTCACTGGAATCCTCCCTCGTCCAAGATTCAGACTTTCGGGCGACCGTGACACATATCGCAGCTGGATGACAGCGGTAAGACCTCTCTTGGTCGTTATTCTCACTGGCTTCGGATTCTTGTGGTTATGGTGGTCGTGGAGCTCGACAGGGACGACGGTGACGGCGGTTCTACCTAGCATAGTACGGGCTAGTACATCCGTTGTCGACGAATACCCCACGCATCATGACGAAGACCTACGGCTGTCTTCACCGACGGCACTTCCTACGAAAAACACTACTTCTACGTCCACAACGTCGCCACCGTCGCCGTCCCCCTCGCGATACATCAACTTCAGCGAACTGTTATTTCCTGAACATGGGACCGACGGAACAGCGCGTCCTTGGATAGGCGCGAACCACAGAACACTACGGACTCTCTTCGAATGCATAGAGCTTGGTACTTGTGGAGAAAACCAGGAGAAAGGTGCGTCCTTGTACAACGCCGTCAGACGATTCTATCGGCTAACCACGGGTAACCCAGTCGTTCTTCTCGGGACGTCATTTTTCTACGAAGTGCTCAATGGAGCGGTCGGAGGAGAAAGTATCTGGTATGTCCCCGTTTGGACTTTCTGAACTTGAGTTGCCCCACTTGGCTATAAGTATCATATCCCCTGACGTCGATCTATAACCATAACCCCTATTAGGGCCGCATCCATCGTACGTCCCTTCCCTTACCATTCTTAGCCGCGCCCTCTCACCCACCCGAACCAATGCTCTCGGATGCGATATGGCATGCACAGATGCAAGTCCTGACGAACATGGGCTACACCTACCTCCTCGTCCAAGACCTCTCCCAAGCGGTCTATTACCACCACATGCTGCCCTCGCTCATCCGCACCATCATCCTGCAAGACGACCTCGTCCAGAAATGTGCGTCCGATGCTGAGTTCTGCGCTCGATCGCCACGGAACCCGCATGGGATCCCTCTATGGAAGATCCTCGCGTTTCATTTCTGGGGAGGTAAGTACTACGTGCCGCTTCTCGTATCTCTACTTGCACCTTACCAACCATACGCTTCATTCACCGCATTACAATACGAAAGGCAACATCCACCCCCTCGGCTGGACCTACACCCTCTCCCCCGAACCCTACTCTCTCCTCTCCCCCTCCTCCTCTCCCTCCAGTCCCTCCTCCGTCAACACCTACATAGGGTACAGCATCGAATCCACCTGCACGACCATCCCTTTCGTCCCGCACTCGGAGCGCCCAAATCAAGCTTGGGTCCTCGCGAAGCTCTTGACGTATATGTCCCCGAACCTCGATAGGCCGGCGTGGCATCCTACGCCTGCGTGGACTGGGGCGATTATGGATAGGGCGGCGGGGGAGACGGGGGTGAGGTATTTGTTTGGGGCGAGGGATGATACCGGGGTGGATGATACGGGGGTCGAGGAGGGTGGGGATGCGGATAGGGAAAGGGAGAAGGAGAGGGAAGAGGAGAGGGAGAGGAAGAGGCCGGATATGCCGAGTAGGGAGAATTATGAGAATGTGGGACAGAGGCCGAGAGAGGAGTTCGTGAGGGAGTTGGCGAGGTCGAGGGTGTTGATCGGGGTGGGAAATCCTTTGATGTGCGTCTCTTCTTCTTCTTCCTCTTTCGTCTTTCGTCTTCTTTTCTGTTTTTCTCGTTTTTCGAGTCTAGTTCATGTTTCGTTGGAGGAGGAATCGTGCTAATCTTTCACTGGCTCTTTAAAGTTCTCCGACACCGTACGAAGCGCTTTGTCTCGGCGTCCCATTCATCAACCCGCTCTACGACGTATGTCTTCCTTCTTTCCTTCCTTCCTTCCTTCCTTTAAACCCCGATCCCTTACCCCCCGATCCCTCACCCCCCAATCCCTCACCGCCCATTGATATTGATCTCCCACCTTACGATTTAAACGCACAGGACCCAAACAAAATGCCCGCCCAACAGCCCTTCCTGTCCGTCCTCGGGCCACCCTACGTCTATCACGTGCACCACGGCGACGAAGAGGGTTTCGTGAACGCCGTAAGGGAGGCTTTGGATAATCCGATTGATAGGTGTGTTATGCGTTTCGTCCTTGTTTATGTCCATGTCCATGTCTTCTTGTCCCCTGCCTTTCCTCTTTTATGTCCCATCTCCTTTCCTCTTTTATGTCCCATTTCCTTCCCTCTTTTATGCCCGATTTCCTTCCCGCTTCACTTCACCCCCTCTCACATCCACACACGACTGACGTCGGTTATCGGTTTCCGGTCGCGCCACAGATACATCCTAGACCGTATGCGACTCTCCGAGATCGAGAAACGGTTGCAAGCCGTATTAGAGTGGGATAGAGAGATGGAGCAGGAGCAGGAGGAGGTCGCGGACTCGTGAAGTCGTGGACCTCCCCATCTTAGACTTTTAGGCACATTGCACTTCCCCATCCTTCAGAAAGGCTCATTGCATCTTGGACATTTGAAGGCTCACGCTTGGACATCTGAGGTTCACGCTTGGACATCTGAGGTTCACGGTAGAGATTATATACTGATATATAGTAGTAGTATAGTAATTTATACCAGGAGACCGGAGATGTCGTTGTTATTTCTTGGTTTGATTGATTGTTGTTATGATAGCGAGTACGATAGCTCTTGTTATAATAATATCGAGTGTCATTTTCACACATCTGGTCCGGTTCTAATTTCTGAAGGGCATCACAGAGTAGAAAGGAGTAGAACGAAAGACCGAGAAGACCGACCGAGGTGAGGGGTCCTCGACAACACAAAGACGAGCACGATTCCGGAAGGTAATACTTACGGGTAACGGCAGGCTCCCCAGAAAAGTCAAAGCTAAACCGAGATTCAAAGCACCTTCTTTCCTTCCTTCCTTCCTTCCTTCTTTCCTTCGCTGTCGATATGCGATATGACCATATGAGGTCCCCGGCCAAGACATCTCGATAATTAGACGTCTCGGGGGCTATAAGTAAGCTTTGACGTTGACATTAATTATAATACGACCGAGATGATGGGAAGAGCTTGTCCGCCGGGTGCAATTTTGCGAGGTTTATGGAACGGTCTGCGCTACTCGTGATAAAGAGAGGATTTGAGATGTGACAGTCCATGGATCCGAAGAAAGTTCGAGGTGATGATTGATGGGTTGCTAGTGCTTGGATAGGGGCGTAACGAGAGATGGCCCGATGTTGGGAAATGAAGTGTGATGGCCGAAGGGACAGCGGCGGGACGAAGGGTAAGTCGGAACGAGGCATGGCGTCCGCTGACGTCCATAACTCTGACTGGTTCCGAAGAAAGGAGGAAATAATAAACGGTATACGACAGACGAATGTTCACAAGATATATATTCCACGTTCATTCGGGGATACCGTGTGCTCCGAGCTGAGGAAGAGACTTCTGCCCCCGGCGGGATGGGCGCAGAGCGGGAGGAAGGAAACGGTTGTCGCGGGGAGGGGTTGCTTGGAAGGTTGCGCAAGCTGGTTGAGGTGGAGGATAAGTATAGAGGAAGATAAGCGTGAGAAGGAGAGGGCCATCATTCAAAGCGCTGAGGGTTCCAATTGTCATCGAGAGGTTGCGCCAGGTTGGCGGAGGGCGATAGGCGCCACGTGAGAGGATAGTTCGAGTTGAACATAACTGTGCGACGTCGGCCAGGCTTCTTTCGTGCGAGAACCCATTGGCGACGTTTTCTTTTCCTCCTTCCAGTCGCCCTCACTCTTCCCTGCGTCTGTACCACTATAGCTTGACGCCCGTATCTTGTCCTATCCCGTATACTACCACTCGACGACGCCCTATACACGACCCTGCTCGCTTTTCATCCACCCACTTTACCCTACCCTACCGACATATCACCACTACCGCTGTCGCCGCAACCCCTGCCGACAATTCCTTGTTCCTCACCCTTGCTCTGTACTGCCATCGCTCTTCTGTTTTGTACGCAGTCTTCGGATTGGTAATTTCTCCGTCTCCTCTCTAGGTGCGCTTCTTTTATCACCATTCAAAAACACCTTATGATCCGTATACCTTCGTCATCTCACTCCCTCCTTCTCTGCCCTCAGACCACCACTCACCCCATCCCACTCCTCACTAACCATCCCGCGATCTCCTACTAAACATGTCCGAGCCTCCCGAGCTCCGGATCGACACTTCGCTCGTTCGCGCGTCAGGTCCTTCGTCCTCCAAATCCCCCCGCGAGGAATCATCAGGACCCTACCTCTCGTCCAACGCACGGCAACCGCACTATCTCTCCGCTCCTTCAAACAACGACTCCAACATATCCCTCATCTCCCCCACGCCCTCTTCAGCCCACAATTCCTCGACCTCGTCCCTCAACCTCGTTACTCCAGGTACGACGGCTACCTCGGATACTACCGCCGTCAACGAATCGGCTTCCTCCTCCTCTAAACTCTCCGAGGACACAAAACCGGAGTACGTCCTCGCCATGCACGATTTCGAGCCGCAGCACAAGAACGCGACCTGTCTCGCCTTCCGCGCCGGTCAGGTCATCCACGTCCTCAATCGCGATCCCAGCGGCTGGTGGGATGGCGAACTTGAAGGGAAGAGAGGATGGTTCCCTTCCAATTACGTGAACGGAGATCTGGGGCTCATCGCACAGGACGTGATGCCCGTCGTAAGTCCCAATATTCCATTCCACCCTCTGAACCCCCTTCCCTTCCGTCCCTTCCCCTGAACCTATATCTATCGTCACAGCAACCGCCCCTTCCAGGTCAAGGGCACACCAAGACGAAATCGACGACCTCAGTCTCCTCATACATGAGCACCCTCTCCGCTTCCCGCCAACAATCACAATCACAAGCCACCTTCTCCCGGAACGACTACTGTCCCCCGCTCATGGTCCCCCTCCTCCACGCGCTCTCCCTCCTCCAAAACGCCGTGCGCTCGAACCGAATAGCGCACTTTCAGCCCTCAATCGCCTGTATCATCTCCTGCGTCCGCTCCGTCCTCGCCGCGGCCGAATGTCTCTCCCGGGACGCGCCCTTGCTCAAACGACACCCCTCCCTCGCGCAGGAACGACGTCGGGTGCTATCCGAGCTCGCTGCTATCGTCACGCAGGCGAAGAAAGCGTCGGCGGAGGATGTGGACGACGAGGACGAGAGAGACGCGGAGGTGGAGAAGATGGTTAGGTTGGGGGGACAGGTGTTTTCGCGCGTGAGGAGGTTCTTGGCGATTGCGGTACAATGTGGATTGGAGCTTCCCGAGAGATCTCCGGATGAGGAAGCTGAGGAGGAGGAGGCGGAAGGAGGAGGGAGGGCAGCGTTTCAGCCTAGTTCGGGAACGATGAGTGACTCGACGACGGCGTCGAAGACTCATACGAAGACGAAGGTGGCGAAGACGAGGAGACATCAGTCTACGGCTACGACGCCTGTGTCTGCGAACGAAGAGGAGGAGACTACCCGGCCTGCTTCGTGGCGGCCGAGTCAGAACGGGGCGTCGCAGCGGACGAGGATGAGGGCTCGAGACAGGCCAGGGACGCCCGGGTCGCCAGGGTCGAAGAAGCTGAAAGCGAAGAGCGTGGGCGATCTGCGCACACAGCGTAAATCCATGATGGACTCCGACACCGAACCCGTCCCCGCCCTCCCGGTGAGCAAGATCCAACAACTCAAGGACATGCCCATGCCTGTGGTAAGTCGTGTCGGAGTGAGCGAGATCCAAATCAACGGACACAAGCACACGTTCTCCGTCTCCTCCATCTCCTCATCCTCATCCTTCTCCTCCGCCGACTCCACCTCCAACCCACCCTCCGTACCTCCCTTCCCCTCCGGCCCTTCGAGCTACGAACAGCTCACCGAAGCCCTCCGACACACGCACGACCAATACCTCTCCACCATCGCCGCCTTCATCGGCCACGCGCACTCGCACTCCCGGAGCTCGCACGCGAGCAGCACGGGACATATGTACGAGCTCGTGCGCGAGATCGTCGAGATGGTGTGTAAGTTGTTGACCATCGTCGAGGCGGTCCTAAGACATCCTGGGATCGCACCACAGAAGATGGGGAAGTTGAGGGCGGCGAAGGAGGGGCTTTATAGTGTTACGAGCGGGCTCGCTGAATCCGTCCGAATGCTCACTTCCTCTGTCTCTTCTTCTTCGGGTTCCGGGTCAGCGGTGCAGATGAGCGAGGAGCAGGAAAAGGCGGCCCTGATCCGCTCGGCGACGAATGCTCTGAAAGCAGGCGCGGACTGCTCGGCGGCGGTGAAGATGTGTTTGAATAGGACGGTGGGCGAGGGACCGTTCATTATCGAGTTGCCGAAGGTGGTCGTTCAGCAGGGACAGCAGTATCAGTATCAGCAACAACGGTATGAGGGAGATTATTCGCCGTTGAATGGAAAGGCGATGGCGAGGGTGTCTGCAAGGTTTCCCCCGAATCCGAATCGGAACACGAATTCGAATCTGGTGCAGAGTCAGAGTCCGAGACCGGTGTTGCAGAAGTCGGCGAGCGCGATGAGTCTCGCGTCGCCGTCTGGGGATGCGGCGGACGATGAGGAGAGAGAGCAGGAGAGGATGAAGGTGGGCATGCGGGACAGAGAAAGGGAGAGGGAGAGAGCAGAGGTGGAGGACCGCGATCTGACGATTCATCCTGGCCATGGATTGCCGGTGCGGATGTCGATAGAGACCGCACGTCGGTTCTCGTCGAGGACGGTCACGCAGTCATCGGCAGCAGATCCTCAGTACCCTTCCTCACCGATCTCACCGACGACGAGGTCGGTGTTCACCCCCCCTTCTCCGACGGACCTCAGGCCACACAATGCACGCGGGATGTCGACCTCGCTGCCACGGACACAGGAGGAAGAAGCTACGGGCTGGGACGAGGCGACTCACGAGCGACAAAATTCGCTGGAGGCGAAGATCCTGAATGGGGACTTGCCTACGATCCCGAACGCGACAATGGCGATGGCGATGCCCGAGCTCAGGGAGCCCCCACCGACACCTTCACAAGCACAAGCGCAAGCGTATCCAGATTCAGCACCGTCCCAGTCCCACCAATCCTCAGCGGGTTCAGTCACGACCGCGCGTCCCAGTCTAGAGGCGGACCTGGAGAACCACGTAGGCGCGAACGCGAATGCGAACTGGATGATCGCGCACGATTATTCGCTCGAAGACGTCGCGTACAATAACGAGGGCGTCCTCGTTGGGGCCACGCTCGCCGCGCTCGTGGAGAAGATGACGCCACACGCGTCCATCGTCGATCCCGCCTTTTCGTCCGTCTTCTTCCTCACGTTCAGACTGTTCGCTACCCCGCTCGAACTCACGGAGGCGATCATCAATCGGTACAATCTCCTCCCGCCGTCGAATCTTATGGGCGAGAGCGTGTATCTGTGGCAGCAGCAGAAGGGCATCCCCGTACGCTTGCGCGTATCGAATTTCATCAGGATGTGGCTGGAGTCGTATTGGAGGCCTGCGAGCGACGATTCTGTCTTGCCCGTTCTGAGAGACTTCAACAGGGATGCACTGGCGGCGATGTTCCCCGGACCTTCCCAGAGAATCCACGAAACGATCACGCTCAGGATGGAACACGCCGAAGCATCGTCTTCCTCCTCAGCCCTTTATGACCCCAACTCTCTATCGACCCCAAGCCCCCGAATGGACCGCATCCGCGACGCAGGGATGGCTCTTAACCCACCCACGCCCACCTCCGCGCTCGGACACTCGCCATCTGAAATCCCACGGCCGGTCATGACGAAGACACTGCTCTCCCAGCTCCGGAACAAATCCTTCGGTTCGATCTATATCACCGATTTCGACAGCCTCGAGCTCGCGAGGCAGATGACGATCATGGAGTGTAATCTCTATTGTGTGATCTCGCCCGAGGAGGTGTTGGAGAGCGGGAGCGGACAGGATAAAGTCGGTGCGAGGCCGCCGGTGAATGTGAGGGCGGTGTCGAGTCTGAGTACGGTCATTACGGGCTGGGTCGCGGAGAGTATTTTGAATGAGGCGGATGCGAAGAAGAGGACGGCGTTGGTGAAGTTCTTCATCAAGGTGGCGGATGTATGTCTTTTTCTTATATTTCTCTTTGTTGTGGATCCGTGTATGGGAGGGCTGATGTTGGCTGGTATAGCGATGCACGATGTTGAATAACTTCAGCACTTCGAGGTCAATCCTCGCCGCCTTGGACTCTTCCACGATCTCCCGGCTGCATCAAACCTGGGCCGTACGTTCTCTCTCTCTCTCCCTCCTTCTCTCCCTTTTCACAACCACCACTAACACGCTTCATACCTCCCCACAGGGCGTCCCCCAAAAACAAAAGCTCCAACTAGATTCGATCCGGAAACTCGCAGACCACGCACGGAATTACCGCGAGTATCGCACCCGACTCCGCAACACCGCCCCTCCCGCCGTTCCTTTCCTCGGTCTCTACCTCACCGACGTCACGTTCTGCCGCGAGGGAAACCCTTCGCATCGGGCGTCGCCTCTGGCTGCGGATAAGAAGTTGTTGAATTTTAATAAGTATCATAAGATGGCGAGGATCGTGCAGGGTACGTTTATCTTGTGCTTTCAGGCTGTTTTTGTCGGTGCTCATTTTTGAATCGGATGTGTGTGTTGTGTGCTGTGTATCAGATATGCAACGCTTCCAGGTTCCGTATAACCTGAAGGAGATCGGCGAGGTACAGGCGTACTTAAACCAAGCGTTCGAGAACGCGAAGCATCATGGCGATCTGCAGGACCTTTACCGTCGCAGGTGAGTGATCCTCACCTCATTATCCTGATCATAAACAATTTCACTGACTGACGGGATCCTAACCTGCAGCTTGCTCGTCGAGCCCAAAATGCCAGCCGATACGCCGCCGCCACAGACGGGCGACGTGACGAAGCTCTTCAACTGGACCGTCCGTGATCGCTCGGGTTCGCATCCCACCACGTCTGCTGCATGATTCAGATACCAAGACCGGCCTGCGATTGTTACTTCCCTCTCCATCCTACTCTGGCCTTTTGCTAGCGCCCTCCGTGTTTATTCCTCTCGTTATTGCTGTGCTTTTGGTGTTGTGTGTGTTTCGTTTGCTGTGTGACCAGCTATCCCAATTCGACCTTTCGATATTCAACCCTTCGACATTCCACCTTTCGACCTTCTTACACCTCTTTTGCTTTCGCGTTCGGTGTGTGACCTATGGTTTTGTTTTTGTTTTTCTTTCATCTTCGACCGCCACACTTTTTCACCTGGGACAAATCATCTTTGGAATTTTATTTGGACATATTTATCCTATATCCCTTCGTTTGTTCATCTATTACTATCCTTAAGTATCTCTTTCTTTCCTTTCTGTTCTTTTCCTTTTCACCGTGTCTATCTTTTCGCGTCTGCCTCTTATCATTTTTCTATCTCGTCTCGTCTCGTCTCGTTTATCTCATCCGGTTCTCGGGTCCCCCGTCGTCAGTTTCTCTTTTCTCTCTTCCTTTCCTCTTTCCTTTTTTCTCTATTTCATGCTATCATCACATCAGACATCCAATCCAGACAAACTAAGCCCATCAGGCGTCCACGCAGACACGTATATATACATCTCCTATCTCATAAGTACAAGTACAAGTACATCACCCGCTTACACTTAGCTACTTAGTTGCATTTTCTCTATCCTCCCCATCCCCCCATACCCGCCCATTTATCGTCCATCACCCATCGTCCATCGTCCATCTACCATCACCCATCTACCTATCCGCACATCGACCATCTACCCACACATTTATCTCGTTTCTCTCATTTCTCATTCGAATCACCTGTCTGTCCTGTGGAATTTTCTGTGACTGTGGAAATGCGGAAGTTTGTTGTACAATCGTACGCTTGATTTTTTTTTTTGGTTTCATTTGATTCTGATCCTGCTCGAGGGTGTGTGCCGCTGTATGTACTTGAGAGTCAGACCCAGACCTCCAGTTCGAGTTCGAGTTATAGTAAAGAGCTTGTCCGGATGCGGGGTGAAGGTTGAAGGTAAGTATATAATATAAGAGCACTGTGCGGTACATACATACAACAAAGAAAGAAAGAAACGGAACAGTCGACAACGGATCCTAGGCCTATCTATCTATCTATCATAGCAGCAAGTAAACACCGCTCCGAGCAATGAAATAATATTAACTACTAACCACCACCATCACCACCACCACAATCCAAACCTACCTCCACCTCCAAAAGACCAACCCGCCAACCGTTCAACGTTCAATAAACATGCGCCGTCCTATGACTATACTTCGTCACATAATACCCCACCTCGCTCGTCATCCTCTCATTCCCATTCCCCTGCCCATTCGTGTTCCCTCTCCTCCCCCCACCTCCCCCAGACCTCCCCCACAAAAAACTGCCTCCCCTTCCCCCGCACCACCACCTACTCCTCCCCCTCCCGCCCCACCCACCCCACCCAACCCCCCATCCACTTCCAACTCAAGCGCAGGATACGTCCCCCTCCCCACCCCCGGTCCAAAATCAAAAACGAACGGTCTACTCTGCGTCGCTCCGAAGACTCTTGAAGATTCGAGGATGAGGGAGTAGACTGGGGAGGGATCGTTTGAGGGGGCGTGGACGGACCAGCCTGAGGAGGGTGGGATGTGTCTGTCGTGCGAGGATCCGACTGCACCTCCGAGGCCGTAAGAGGTTGAGGTTGAGGTGGTGAAGCCGGGGGTAGAAGTGGAAGGAGAGGGAGTGGTGTAGGATGTGGATGTGGAGGGAGATGAGGTTCTGAAAGATCGGACGTCCCAGAAGGCGATGACGGAGTGTCTCGCGGAGCCTGCTGCGATTTGGGAGGAAGAGCCTCCGCCGGTCGCGAGTGCGTAGATGGGTTCGAAGGACCACGGGTCCGAGAGTGATAAGCTCGGTAATAACGGTGCTGGGTTTACTTCACTCCCCGCCTCAGATGAGGAAGAATGAGAGTGAGAGTGAGAGTGAGAAGAAGAAGAATGAGAAGAAGAATGAGAAGAAGAAGACCCCCGCCTATCCGACCTCAAATCATGCACATGCACAAACCCATCATACCACCCACTAACAACAATCCTATCCGACGCGCCCCACGGAAACGCAGGCGGCGTCCCACAGATCGCATACACCGCCGACGGTCTCCGTTCTCCCGTCGCGTCTCTCTCTTTAGACGAAGAGGAGAGGATAGCGGAGGGGGAGACGGAGATGGTTGAAGAGAGGACGGGGTGGATGATTAGGGGGTTGGTGGAGGAGAGACCGAAGGCTGCGTAGGAGGGCTTTGCGTTGCCGGTTGTGGGGGAGAGGTAGGACGACCAGCCGCGGGAGCCGAGGTCGATTAGGTCTGGGTTCGTGGTTGAGGGAGGAGAGGAGAGGGAGAGGAGGCCGGCGGTGCCGGAGGAGGAAAGGGAGAGAAGGAGGTCGCCCGAAAGTGAAAGTGATTCGACGAGCTCGCCTTCGTGATAGTCGTACGGCGTCTTATACTCACTATCGATGTAGACTTCCCGACTCCCGATCTTGTTCACGGCAGGCAAGAATATACGTTGCAGCGCACCATGCTCGAACCCGACAAACAGCGTCCTATCGAGCCCTCCATCCGGAGCAACAGCGATAGCGGTGATATCCCTCCGGGGGTCGTGTGGTGGGCCCGCGCTAAGGGAATAAGAGCACTCGAACTTGACGTGGGGTGCGACGCCTGCGACAGGGGACGGCACGAAGAGGTAGGCGTAGATGATGTGGCCTGCTGCGACGAAGAGTCTAGATGGATTAATGGCGAGCAGGGGCTGCAGTTTTCCGTGCCAGGGGCGGGAGAGCGGGCGGGCGGCGAACTTGTTCTTGCGCCAGGCATGGTCTGTGAGGACGGAGTATTTGAGCTGTTCGTAAGGGGGCCAGGAGGAGAGGGCTTTGGAGAGGGAGTGGGAGGGGCGGGAGGTGTGGCGGGCGAGGTGGGGCCAGCCGTAGTCGTCGACCTGGGCGAAGGGGTCAGTCGCAGCTGGAGATGCAAGGAGAGCGGGAGGCTTACGAGGGCGTGGAGGGAGGAGCACGTCTGGGAGAGGGCGGCGAGCTGGGGGACGTCGAGGTGGCGGACGACGAGGACGAGCAGGTCGTGCGGCAGCTCGAGCAGGCCCATCGTGGTAAATACAAGAGAATATATCGTACAAATATTGGTGGTGTAAATAAAAAGCCGAGATGAAATGTGTGGCACTGTTTCAAGCCGGCCAACACACGCGTCCGACGCGTCTCTTCGTCCTTCCTCTCACTCCCATCCTTCTCTGCCCATTCCGTTCTCCGCATGCGGAGAGACGTCAGAATTCTTCTCGTCGGCGACGGTGCGTTTCTTTTGTCTTATATCCGATCCGTGTGAGTTAACTTGCTATCAGAGGGCGTCGGGAAGAGCACCATCGTCACCTCCCTCATCAAGGAATCCTTCGTGCCCCATGCATGTCTCCCTTCTTCTACAACACACCCCTACCCGCTCATTCTCTGCCTATAGGTACAACATATCGTCCCAGAGGTTACCATCCCCCCAGAAGTCACCCCAGAGAACGTAACGACCTACATCGTCGACTCAGGATGTACGTCCCTCCGCCTTGTCTCCCACTGTTTTCTGTTCTGAGCACAGTGCGCACAAAAGCCGGCCCTCAGGATAAACAACACCTCGAAACAGAATGCCGCAAAGCCCACGTCATCTGCGTCGTCTACTCCATCGACAACCCAAACTCCTTCGACCGCATCCCCACCTACTGGCTTCCCTACTTCCGCCAACTCGGCGTCAACGTCCCCGTCATCCTCGTCGGCAACAAGATCGACCTCAGAGGGGGTGAGGTCACCAATGAGGCTCTCGAGGCTGAGATCATCCCTATCATGAACGAGTTCAAGGTTCGTCCCCGTCTCTTCGTATAAGTATAGGGTCGTGGGATGTGGAATCTCAAGTGGCACGGCATAGGAAGTAGAGACATGCGTAGAATGCTCCGCCCTCCTCCCCCTCAACGTCTCCGAAGTCTTCTATTTCGCCCAAAAGGCAGTCCTGCACCCCACCGCCCCGCTCTACGACTCTCGAGATCACGTACGTCCCTTCCTCCTTTCTGCTTGAGTTGTTACTCGCTCCTCTTCGTCCACCCCTCTTTTTCGCATTGTATATGTACTGTTGTAGGCTCTAATGCGCGGAACGGAAAGCTAGGTCCTGAAACCGATGTGCAGAGAAGCCCTCAAACGAATCTTCAAACTCTGCGACACAAACAAAGACGGCATCCTCGACGCCTCCGAGCTCAACGAATTCCAACGCAAATGTTTCGACTCGCCCCTCCAATCCCAAGAACTCTCAGGCATCAAAGAAACGGTCCTCGCGCACTCGCCCTCCGGGATCCGCGATAACGGCCTCACTGAGTCCGGCTTTCTGTATTTGCATACTATGTTTATTCAGAGGGGCAGACTGGAGACGACGTGGACGGTTTTGAGGAAGTTTGGGTATGCGGAGGATTTGAGGTTGATGGAGGCGTTTTTGTGTCCGAAGTGCGTTTTCTCTCCTTCTCCTTCTCCCTCTCCCTCTCCTTCCTGCGGGGAATCGACGTTGATTGAACTGGTGTGGGTGTGCTTGACAACAGATTCGACGTCCCCCCAGACTGTTCCGTCGAGCTCTCCCCCCTCGGCTATCATTTCTTCACCGAACTCTTCGAGACCTTCGACAAAGACCAAGACGGCGCACTGAACCCTTCAGAGCTCGACGAGCTCTTCAGTACCTCGCCTGGGAACCCTTGGACGACGAAGTATAAATTCCCGGATAGTACGGTTGCGGACGATAGTGGGGCGGTGACGCTGCAGGGGTGGTTAGCGCAGTGGAGGTACGTTCCCTTTCTCTTTCGTTTCCCTTCACCCATCCGTTGTCCTCACCCAACATCTCACGTTCTCTCACCCTAAATCTCCTCATCATGATCACGACTCACGGCGAATCCTCAAAAGCATGACGACCCTCCTCGAGCCAAAAACGACGCTAGCATACCTCGCCTACCTAGGCTACCCCACCGAACCCCGCACCTCCGCATTACATATCACCCGTCCGCGCGCTCAAGACCGTAGGAAAGGTAAATCGACGCGCAATGTGTTTTTGTGTTATGTGTGTGGCGCGGCGGGGTCGGGGAAGACGTCGCTTTTGAGGGCGTTTGCGGGGAAACCGTTCCTCGATTCTTCTTCTTCTTCCCACACGTCGACCTCGTACGGAAAGGAGAAAGGCGCATACGAACCGACGAAGAAGATGATGTCCGTCGTGAACTCCGTAGACATAGAAGGCGAGGAGAAATACCTCGTCCTCCAAGAGTTCGGGAGCCAGTACGAGGCGGAGGTGTTACGGGAGTCGATGACCGGCCGCGGAGGTGGGGGTATGGGTGGAGGTATGGGTGGAGGGAAAGGGATGGGAGGAGGAAGGAGGGGGGAGATGGTGGATGTGATGGTGTATGTGCATGATTCGGCCGATACGAATTCGTTTTCGTATATTAGTAATTTGAGGGTGTGTTGTTTCCCTGTTGCGCTTTTATCTTTGAGAGGGGGCACGCATGCTGACGGGTTTGGATTGGGATTGGGATATGTAGCAACAGTATAGTTTGGATCATATCCCGACACTTTTCGTGGCGACGAAATCGGACCTCGACCTCGCGCAACAGGTACGTACTCTCTCCTCCCTTCCCTTCCCTTCCCTTCTCCTACATACATACACCCAATCTACCTACTTGCACAGAACCCAGAACCCAGAACTGACGCATCGAAAACAGAGACACGAAGTCCAACCGGACGTGTATTGTCGACGACTGGGCCTCCAGGTTCCCGTGGCAGTGAGCGTGAAGACGGGACAGATGGCGGACGTGTTTCATGCGATTTGTAGTGTCGCTATGCATCCGTGCGTTTTCTTTCTCCCTTCTCTCTTCACCCATCGCAACTAGCCAATTAACACCTCCTTCCTTCCCTCCTTCCTTCCTTCCTTCCTCCCCCCACTCCCCTCACCCACCCACTCACCAACCAACTCACCAACTCCCTCACTCACCAACTCCCCCACTCACCAACCAACCAACCAACTCACCCACCCCCACCCACCCAAACAGAAACTCCTCAATCCCCGGCGGCGCCGACCGCGCCCTCTCCTCCGCCGCCCGTCTCCGAACCTACATCACCCTCTCCGCCCTCATCGGCGGTCTCAGCGCGGGACTCGTGCTCGCCTATCGGACGTTACTTAGGCCGGGGGGACCGTTGGCTGCGTGGGGGGGTTGGGGGTGGGGGGTTGGTTGTTGGGTGGGACGGGTGGGGGTGTGGGTGTGGGGGGGAGGGGACGGTAGCGGCGGGTGGTGGGGGACGGGGACGGGGTAGCGGTAGGGTTTTGGGTTGGGTTGGGTTTTGCGCGGATGGGGATGGGGATGGGGATGTATTGGATGCGTGTGGACGCGCGGAGGTTGGGGGTTGGCTGCGCGTGCACCTGACCGTGATATGTTGATGGCCACTCGCACGTTTGTTCGTGTTTCGTGTGGCACGACGGGATTCGTTTTGTTTTTGGTGGCGGCATCAGTCGTCATACCACCTATCTTTTCCGTACATTACTACCACATTATTGAAAGAGAAGGATATGTTTGCTTCGATGGGTAATTAGGACACAGTAGTAAGGACGGGACGGCGATCAAGAACGGGACCATTACATGTATGTAGGCAAAGGGGCCACACGACAAAGCGGGTCGCACAAAAGGAGGTGATTGTGATCGCCTGCCTGTGGGCGCATGGGCGGACAACGAGGCCGCTGACTCTTCCTGGTGTCCATCGAGGGAGTGAACGAACGACTTTTTTTTTTGTTGCTTCTGAACGTCCACCCTCGTCCACCACCATCGCATCGATAGCCTCCAAGCACTTTTGAGCCCAAACCCAAACCCAAACCGCAGTCGGTCGCTCGGAGCTTCCGAGACAATCGACAAACAACCATATTGCTTACTGAGACTCAGCTCGGAATCTCTGACACGAACGAACGAACACGCTTCGTCATCGCGCGTCAACGAACCGACCAACAGACTCTTCCTTTTCCTTTTGACCTCTTGACTTCGAACGAGACCGGTGCATACTATTGCTGCTTCAGGCGCTTTCTGAATCCTACGAGAAGACGATCAACGAACGCCCCCTTTCTTTCTTGACACCGACGCATCCCCATACATACATCACATCCGTAACAGAACAAGACAAGATCATATCATGGACTCAGACATGGACTTTGACTCTGGGCCGTCCGCGCACCAGGTGTTCCAGGAGGCGTTCGAGGAGCAGCAGAGGCAGCCTGTGATTGGTCGTGTTGTCGATGGCGAACGAAAGATGCTGTACGTTCCTTCCACTCTGTCATCTTTCGCTCTTCTTCGACGTCGTGTCTCGTGTTCTAACCCTTGACCCTCGATGTGTCGTTCCATTCCATGCACCACCACCATCCATCCGTCGATCCATCCATCTATATCTCCACCCACCAAAAATCAAACCCCCTATTCCACCCCCCATCCATCCCTCCCAGAGATCTCGTCTTCGTCCAAGACTGCACAGGCTCCCAAGGCTCCTACATCTCCTCCGCGACGAAAAACATCGAGCTCATCTGCGAGAACATCTTCGAATCTGGCAAGCTCCAATCGCGCGAGGACCTCCGGGTCGGCCTCGTCGCCTACCGCGACCACCCGCCACAGGACCACTCCTACGTCACCAAGAACTTTGGCTTCTCGTCCGATATCAGTAAAGTGCATCGCGACCTCTCCAGCCTTTATGCGAGCGGCGGAGGGGATGGACCGGAGGCGGTCACGGCGGGACTGATGGAGGCGTTGGGGATGGAGTGGAGGCCTGAGGCGAGTAAGATGATTGTGCTTATTGCGGATGCGCCGCCGCATGGGATTGGGGAGTATGGCGATGGTGAGTTGTCTGATTGTTTAATGTGAGTGTGGCGTGAGGGAGTGCTGAATGGATGGTGTTACTGAAGGGTTCGACGATGGCTCGCCGGATGGGTACGATCCTTTACAACTGGCACGAGAAATGGCTGCACAGGGGATTACGCTTGTCAGTCTCTCTACTCTATATGTATACATTCCGACCATTTCTTGATCATCAATATCCATCCAGTTCTTCGTCGCCTGCGAACCTGCACTCAGCAACTACTCGGTACGTCCCTCTGATCCTCCCTCACTGGCCACACACCGAGCTCACTCTTCGCATCCAAACAGTTCGCAACCGACTTCTTCACCGCCCTGACCCAAATCACATCCGGCATCATGCTCCCACTAACGACCGCCGACCTACTCGCACACGCGATCGTCGGCCTCGTGCTCGAGAACCTCGACATGGAGCGGCTCGTGCGCGAAGTCGGCCAGGCCGTCGCGCAGCGGATATTGGGCAACAACGAGAGCGTGGACGACGTCGCGCGCGAGCTGCACGAGAAGCTCCTGCTCCGGAACGAGAGCACGAAGAAGGTCGTGATCGAGAGTATCTATAAGGAGTCGGAGGAGGCGAAGCATAACGTACAGGTGTTCGCGCAGTCGGCGAGTCTGGCGGAGGCGAGAGGTCATCTTCGAAGGGTGCGTTTGGATTTCCGTTTCTCCTTTCTCCTCTCCTCGTCTTGAGCTTACTTGTGGTTCTGTGGCGGTGGTGGTGGTGAATACAGGTCCCCGGCACGAGGTTCACGGACAAATACCTTTCCGTCCGCATGAGCCAATCCAGGAGCACGTACTCCTACCGTTCCTCCGACAGCAAATCCTCCGCGTCCACCTCGTCCGTCAAACATCCCATCTCCCCGCCACAGTCCCCCCCACGCAAGGTCGTGACCGACTTCGCGGCCTTCGGCGCACCGAAGACGGCCTCTGTGTTCGGGACCGCCGTCGCCTCCACGCCGTTCTCGCTCGCGGGGAACAAGGCCGCGTTTGGGAGTATTAGGAATACGACCGGGAGGGGGATGTTGGATGATGATGACGATGATGATGAGGAGGACGGGGAGGTGGATGATGATGGGAGGCAGAAGGTGATGTTGGCGGAGGGGTCGATCACGTTGGAACAGGTGCGTTCTTGGTCCCTTTTTTCATCTTTCTTTCGCGGATCACATACTCAAAACACGGTTTTGTAGGCTCGTCGTATCGCGATGCAGAGCGCATGGAGAAGCACCCGGGCGTGATACAGTCTGTCTGGCTTCGTCTCTACTCTGCTCAAATCCGCCAGTCTTCTGTCCCAGTTCTGAGTCGATTTTCCTATCAAGTTCTATCTCGGAATCTTGCGTTCGCATCACACAAACCTCTTCCTTCCTTTCGCTTTTTTTGGCTATACATAATGTGTCGCTCGCCCGCACCGCACGTCCCACTTGCCACATAATCTTAATCTCACTGGACCCCCATTTGATTACCCCCACCAGTCCTATCCACCGCACGTTGTCTTTCAAGCTCATCATCTTTCCTTCTCTCCTTCCTTGCTTTCCCTTTCTTTCGTTACAACAGTTGCTCGCTTGATTCGTCACAACGACGGCAAACATGTTTGGTTTTGTATGATAATCCACTGGAATCCAGAAGTACCTCCTCGAATTTAAAATCCATAGTATAAATGTCGAACGGATGTGCGTGTGCCATGATGTTAGCCAAGATGAATAGTTGTGGTTCGGGATGGTAAGGAAGTATGTACACGGCACTACATACACGGCGAAACATGGAACAACCACTCGAGCGCTCTGCGCCGAGTCTTACAGTACGTCGGAGATACACAGGGACTTCTCCTCGTCAATCTTTTTCGTCCTCGTTCACCAAGAACTTGAAGCCAAGCCAGATACACCCTCACCATCAATTCCCATCCTTATCCTGGCCCGCCCTTCGCGCACGCAACTTCGGCCCGACTCCTCGATGGCTAAACTTATCCCGCGTACACTCCTGTTTACGACTCACACACTGGCTATAATACATGGGCGAAAGAATGAAAGTCGTTATTCGAGTCAGTACCAAGGACAACAATAATCAAACCAATGTTCACGACGCCTAAACCTCAAAAGCAAAGGGACACTACCAGGATTAGGTGGGGATCAGGACTTACTCGCAATCTTTCGGGAATGGAAACGTGGTCTGCCTACAGGAAATCTTGCGTCGACGACAGAAGTGACAAGCGATCTTACAGGGCGTATTGACCACGATACGTCTCTTCCCTGCGCGACTGCCCTTCCGGATCCCCTTCGAGTTTCCACGGCCGCGTCGAGTCGGACCACGGGAAGCCTGAGAGCTGGAGGTAGTGGGCGATTCGGCGAGGTTGAAGTTGTCGTCATCGTCGTCGGGGTCGAAATTGATATCGTACCCTTCCCCATCCGAAGTGTTCGAGGTGAGCTGCGAAAACCCGTGCTCGAGTCCGTCCAAAGCTGGCAACTTGAGACCGACGTCCGGATCGCAGCCCATCAGTTCAGATGGGCAGACACAGCCTGAGGATACCTACAGACGAAATGGAGTCAGCGCGAGCGTGCAGTAAGTAGTAGCCGACATTGTGACACGCTGGGAGATCTCATTCATACCCCGCGAGCACGTTGAAATAAAGACTGACCTGGACGTCCGAGTCGACCATGGTGCTATCCGTCATTCCGGAACCCTCGCTCGCGATCGGAGGACTTCCAGAGTCCTCCCCCCAGTTGACGTCGAGAGGCCCCTGGGACTGTGACGTGCATACCGTGCAGGTAAAAGAGAAAGGAAGGTCATCAGCCTACGAAGAGTTGTTTATCTTGGTCCCCGGCCGCATTACTCACCGAACTATACCAGAGTTTGTTCGCCACAGCATTTAGACCGATATTCCACGGCGATATCGCGTACTCGCAAGTTAACTCGGACTGTGCCGTCGACACGCTCGCTGGGACCTCAGGCAATCCATCCGAGTCGCACAGCAGTCCGTCGGACACGAAACCTGAATCTTTTCCAGCATACTCAGACTGCAACAGATCAAACCCGACCAATGTCAGTACCAGTAGTAGAAAATAGAAAAGAAAGGCATCGATCGCCTGAACAAGTCAAAGGACAAGACATACCTCAGATCCACGAACCTCGAACTCTCCTCCAACCTCATCCCGGCCCAAGTCCGACGACGGAGGCACGAGTGTTGAACACATTTTTTGTCGCCGAAAGCCTAAGCGAACGAACCGAATCCGAAGAGCTGAAAAGTACGGGGTACGAGGACGAGGACGAGGGCACAAACAAAAACACAACGAACACGAAACCCTCAAGTTAAAGAAAAACCCGCCGAGCTTCCGACCCAAGCTTCAAGTACCTCAAGCAAGCCACAGACTCCACTGTATCGAACCAACCAATGACAATCCCATTGATATCATCATCATCATCATCACAGTAGAACAAACTCGGACCCTTGGCAAATAGCACATCGAAATCTGCTGGGTACTTACGCGAACGACGGTCGCGGTGTCCGAATGGGTCAAAGCCCGCCCAGAATGGCAAAACCACAGATCCCGTGAATCCTTCTCGAGGTCCGGCGGATCCAACAGTACAGCTACTTGTGCTGAACGCGAACCGCGACCCTGCCCGCGCCTTGCGCAAAGCAACCACGAGACGTCGCGGTCGGAAGAAATAAATCGGAAACGAAGAACTCGGAAAGCACGGTCGAACCGTCCAAAGCAGATTGCGGTTAGATGAACGCTAACCATGAATTATAATGCGCGGCGATCTGAACACGAGAGAGACCCATTGGAACCCAAGGCCAAGACGGCGGTCGTAACTTCGAAGAAAGTGCGGCCGCGGAGTCCCCGCTTTGCCACTCCGAATCTCAGATAATAGGGGCTCGGGATGTCGCGCGTGCCACCTTCCGTTCAGAAAAGGCTCAGAATTCAGAACCCTCACCTTGCAGTTTCAAAGCTTGAGCCTAAAACCGGCTGCTGCTCACTTTTCAGACAATCGCCTTCTGAATCGGGAGCTTCAGTGGTTACCAAGGCCGTATGCCGTGCAGATCTGGTAACTGGAAAATCTTCAGGCTCGGCCACGTCGGATGCGAGTAAGTGGTACTTGTGCTATAAGTATAGAAAGACAGCTGGGGAGGCCAATGGCCGAGTCAAAAGTCCGTGAGCGATAATCAGACAGCTAATGACGACATGACAACAACGATATACAACTAACGATGCACGAAGGGGGTCAGGTTCCTGTCGTCATCGTCCAGTCCGTTCTAACAATCTAGAGACGAAAAAGTATACAGGGGAGGTAACAGGGTGGGAGGTATCACGATGGGAGTTATACAGTGAATTCAAATGAACGAGGAAAAAGTCAATGGAAAACTAGAAACCTGCTCGCTCAGCGCTCAGCGGCACGCCGTCGGGCTGAGCTCCCCAGAGGAAGATTCCGACATCTCCTTTGTGTTGAACTTCGACTCTGTTGGCGTGCGCAACTCATGCGACTCCGATTGAACGTTGATGTAGACCTATCAAGGAAGAAACGATCATTCATATAGAGAGGATTATGAAGAGAGCGAAGTTATGTACCTCCGGACGAGCGAGGGGGTGGGTACTGCCGAACGTGACCACTTCAGGCTGTGCAGAAACAACGAGATGAGTATCAAAGAACGAGAACGAGTGGACAAGGTTAGCGAGAGCGCATACTCACCCTACGGCCACCGGTAGAGCTCTCCTCATCGTCAGCGCCGGCGAATTTCCAACCCGCACGAGAGTTCAAGCTCGAAAGGAGGGAGTTGCTGTACAGCTTCGAGAGCGGGAAGTTGAAAATGAGATGAACTCCCGAGGCCTATGGCAGCGTCAGCAATGTGCACATCATAGATACGATTCCAGTCGATAGTAGACTTACGATTCCGAGGTAAACTCCAAGGTCTATGATGGCCCAGCTAGAGTTAAATGTGAATAAGCGGCGAGAGCTTCTGTGTGGGGAGAACGCTACTTACACGGAAGTGATCAAGCCGGTCTGGACGGTAACTGGAAACTACGCGTCAGGTCTTGGAGTCGTCGCAAGAGGATGAAAGTGCGCTTACCACGAATGAGCTTGTCGAGGAGATCATCAGACTTCTTGAATCCTCGCTTGTTGTTCCTCTAACGACGATTTCACAACCATCAGATATCGAATGAAGAAAGACTGAACAGCTCAAGGACGAACCAGGTGCCAGACGAGGATGACCGCGATGGTCGTGTCCACGAGTGCCGAGACAGTCAACCAAACGATGACAGGGATTTCGAACTGAAGAGCACGATCACCATCAATATGCGGCGACCATCCACAAGCGTACGGACCTTCTGGAACTCGAGCCACTTCGGAACGATGCCAATAGCTATCGACGTCGCGATACCGCCCACTATGACGGATTAATCAATACGGATGCGACGATAGATATGCGAGGACAACTCACGACAAGAGATGATGGAGCCGACGAAGAGAAGTGCGACTGCGATCCTGTTCTTGGTAAGGACGTGAACTCTCCAGGCGAAGAAGAGCTGGGTAATGGTCCCGATGATAGACTGATAGTTTCGCATGTCAGTGGACAATTTATGAGACGATAGGAGTACAACGAACGGTCATGGCGGGATCTGCGAATAAGGAGTGTGATCAGTGATGCGATTGAACGGAATGTGAGAAACGCATACCGGTGGCAAATACTACGATAATAAAAAAGACAACAAAATCAATTAATATTGATCAGTCGATCATCTCGGAGAGTTCTTACCCCAGTTAGCCTTTTGGATAGCAGCAGGATCATCTGCCAATAAGGTTAAGATCAACATAGGCCGGAAACGCAGAGACAAAGAACGCACTGTAGTGGTCGACGAGCGAATGGTATATGTACTGCATATCGAATATACTGTTCATCGCGTCTGCTAGGGTGATGAGGACGACCTAAAAGGGAAGGTGAGACCGGGGGCGGGGGCGGCGGGCGGCATAACGAAGACATACAACGAGCTTCATCCACAGCGGGTCCCTTTGTAAGGAGAGTCAGAGACATGGGCGGCGGGCGGGCACGGAAAGCAAGAAAACGGGAGCGTACTTCTTGAAGCTGGAGAAGTAGATGTAAGTTTGTGTGATGGAGATGCCCCAGAGAACGACGTTGATCATGGTGCCGATGAAGATGGGCCCGTGGCTATCAAAGCAGACGATGGTGAGAATATGAAGTAGACCAAGAAGGGCGAGACACATACGCGATCAAGGCGAAGTTGCCCGTGTCTGACATGGCGAGGAAGTGAGGGAGGGGAGCGCAAGAGGGAGGTAGATGGGAGGGCGGGCGTAGTGGCGGGCAAGAAGGGTGAGGAGGTCTGGCGGGGCGGCGAGGGGGCTGGTATAAGTAGTGGGGCGGGAGGGCATGGAGAAGCAGAGATGGATCCCGGTGTTGCAGGACGCCACGATTCCGAACAGAAAGAGATCAGCGTCGAGCGGGTGAATGCCTGGATGTGACCATCGGCGCCGCCTTCATGCTTCACCGATTCAACACACATTCACTGAACAGACCATCGAGACAGAAAATTCAAAGCTTCCGGCCGAGCGTCCAGCTTCTGTCCTTACTTACCCAGGGACAGTCAAACAAACTCAAGCAACAACTAGAAGGATGGAGGCATTCGCTTCCCAATGCAGGCAGTCGTCCGATTTGAACAGTATAACCCAGCTAAACTAGCCTTGCAAGCATGCGAATCGCACAGTAGTTTCTTGAGAACACAAGCACAACATAACAGACGTTTCTGAAGGAATGAAGGATTTGTGGACAATGACATGGACGTTTCTGCTAAGTCCTTCAGTCGCTTACGTACGCCCGCCGTCCTCATCAGGCACTCGAACCTCTCCGTAAGTTGCCCACCGAGCGCTAATGGACTCCGACTCAGACTCGAGCAGCCGCATCCTCGTCGTCCATTCCTCTCTCGACCAGGCAAGACATGTCGTGCAGCGTATGTCTATTGCATTATTCGCATTCGTATCTGACTTATAACATTACATTCCAGGTATCAGAGCCCTCGCAGATGATACCTCGGACCTGCCAGCTGTAGACTCCAATCCGAATGGCGCACACCCCCTCATCCCATGGACGATCTCCAACAAATACTACACCGCAGACGTCCATTTCAAGCTCGTCAGCTACGCCGCCCTAGCCCCAGATGCTCCGCAGAATATTCCTGCCGTCATCTACGTTTGGGAGCGCGGAACCGTCCGTAACTTTCCCCTGCTCACATCATGGATCTTCTCGCCTGACGCTCCTCTTTTTTGAATCCCACAGCCATACTCGGAACAGGTCCTCTTCCTCTCCAACCTCCTCTCCCAACACGACCCCGAAGTCTCCCTCGCCATAGGCCTCGGTCCCAAACCCTCACATCCCTCCGATCCCGAGCACGGTCCCGACTCCTTCCTCGCCGAACACGGCTTCGAATACATCGACGGCGATCGCACAGAGGACTCCCCACACACCCAACACCAACCACCCTCCTCTATCTCAGATGTCCATGACCTAGATGCAGACGCGGACACGGACGGCGGCGTCCAAGGTCTCCCTCGCGTCCTGGATGCACTCAGCACGATCATGTGGCCCTCTATGACGCGTAACGATGGTCGTGCCGCGAAACGAAAGAGTCAGATGCCGATGTTGTTTGACGTGTTACCTTCGGAGGAGGAAGGTCTCGCTTCGCTCATGTCGGCTGAGATCCTTGGTCGTGGAGGAGAGGGGTTGGAGGGGTTACCGACGCGGGATATGCGGATGAAGAAGGAGATGGCGGAGCTTGAGAGGTGGCTAATCGATAATGAAGATCTTCATGAACGAGAAGAAGAGCAGGAGACGGAGGAGTCCGAAGGTGGAGAGGTCAGGCCCGACGCGAGATTCAGCCTCAAATTCGAAGACGACGAGGACGTCGACCCATGGACGCGTACAGACCTTCTCGGAAGAGGAAGTGGTAAGGGTACTGGCGGCGGTGGAACGACTCCCTCAACTGAAGTTCCTCCGACACGTTCAACACCCGCCGTCGACGGCTTCGAAGACGATTTCACCACCTTCGTCTCTGCGCCTTCACCATCTGAACCCCAACCCCAAACCCATCTTCAACTCCAACCCCATCTACACACCTCAGAAGGAACACACCTTCAAATCCCGACTCCTACGGGGACGTCCTTCCGGTCTACCTCCCAAGGCTCAAGTTCCTTCTCCGATTTCGGAACGGACGACGATTTCCTCGGACATGGACATGGGCACGAGCACGGCTATCAAGCTCTTTCCGACGACCACGAACATGATCACGACCCCGAGCAAGAACCCCACAATCGATCCTCGTCCTTAGTATCCGACTTCGACCCCACCTCCGACATGCACGGCGATACCTCCGCCTTCAACCCCTGGACCACAGACACATTCAGCGCCGAACCCTCCTCATCCACCTTCCCTCCCTCCTCCTCCTCCACCTTCCCTCCCACATCATCTTCGTCGTCGTCCAAAACCCCCCGCGCTCCCGATTTCGGAATAGGTACAAGCCTCGATCTCGCAGATATTTTGAGCACGTTACAGAGTGTCAGGGAGGGTGTGGCGGGGATGGGCGATGAAGATGCGAGGAGGGCGATTGGGGCGAGAGTGGCGAGTGAGTTCGTTATTGGGAGGATGGGGATGGGTGGGGATGAGGGAGAGGGTGAGGGAGGGGATGAAGGGGATGAGGGTGGGGCTGGGGTTGTAGATACTCAGGACAGGGATGCGGGAGAGAAGGAGAAGGAGAAGGTACAAGGTTAAAGAAAGAAGAAAAGAAAGCTCAGTGATTTGAGTAGTGTATATTATTGGATTTGTTTGCATTGGGATTACATTGGTTTGCTCAATGGTTGGTCGGTTGGTCTACTTGTTTCGCGCGGACCACCCGAGGAATGGTGAACATCCAAAATATTGCGCATGGTGCGAATCGAACTCGCGACCCCTACCATCACACTTTTCCAGGATACTGGATAGAACAAATGACACGAGTCTCTGTGGCACAGGCCCTCCCCACTTTTTTTGCACACGGAGCTATCAACCACCTCCAGACCATCTGTAAACAACTGAGGGTATCCGTACTGCGACTCTGTTCACATCTGAGTACATTCTGCACCGCATACAACAGAATTCCGTGCCCACAAATACTGCTTATATACCCCGGAGCCTACTAAAAGTCACCCCCGGGTGGTCAGCCATCTGGCTACGTGGTATTAGCACAGCAGTCTGATATGCACGTCCACCTTTGTCAATGCGTGTAGGCCGCGGGTTCGCCCCCCGATGACCACGCCAAAAGGTGTCTAGAGCCTTTGGAGGGCGATGCGTATCTGGGATACGTTCTGCTGCCTCTGTCGCCGCTTTTTGATTCAGTTGGTATGACAGGGACTGGTTTGCTGGTTTTTTTGGGAGGTCGCCTTTTTTGTTGACGGCTGCGGTCAAGCGTGGGAAGAAGTGTGATGGTAGGGGTCGCGAGTTCGATTCGCACAGCGCGCGATGTATCAAGGATTTACTATCGACGTTTCTGGTTCACTTTCCTAACGGAGGAGATAGTGAAAAATGATCCATGCATACTCCAAATATAATACGCAATCATACAGAGTGTGTACGATGGGCAGAGGCCCGAAGGGTAGGAATTGAGCGGTCTCTGTGGCACAGGTGGCCCGTGGCATTTCTTTTTCCTGAATTTTGCACGGGTGAGTGCCCGTGCTTTGTGCTCTGTAAAAATTATGTATCCTGACTGAAATATTTAAATATCGTTATACACCATTTATGATCTCAGGGAATTGCAACAGAAATATCGATAACGAAGTTGCGATACTTACATTGCGCACTGCGAATCGAACTTGCGACCCCTACCGCCACACTTCTTCCCACGCTGGATCGCAGCCGTCAACAAAAAAGGGGACATCCCAAAAAAAACCCAGCAAACCAGTACCCTCACATACCAACTGAATCAAAAAGCGGCGACAGAGGCAGCAGAACGTATCCCGGATACGCATCGCCCTCCAAAGGCTCTAGACACCTTTTGGCGTGGTCATTGGGGGGCGAACCCGCGGCCTACACGCATTGACAAAGGTGGACGTGCATATCAGTCTGCTGTGCTGATACCACGTAGCCAGATGGCCGACCACCCGTAGGTGACTATTAGTACGCCCCAGGGTATATAAGCAGCAGTTTCGAGCACACAACGCTGTCGTACACGGTGCAGAATGTACTCAGAAGTGAACAGAGTCGCAGTACGGATACCCTCAGTTGTTTACAGATGGTCTGGAGATGGTTGATAGCTCCGTGTGCAAAAAATGTGGAAAGGGCCCCCTGCGCCACAGGGACCGCTGCTGATTCAAACCAGACTCGCGCCATGGCCACTTGGTCTAACTTATGCGGTCCCTTCCTTCCCTTCGATCGTGGGGAATGGGAGGATTGGATCTAATTCGATTCCCTCGTTGACGTTTCCATGTTGTGTATAAACATCAGCCAGTCCAACTGCAGTGAGATCTACAACATCTGATACCATAAATACATTTTGCACAATGAGCAGGAAGCAAAAAGAGATCTCGTTCATACAGTCCCAGGTGAACCGTCGCCGTCAGCACATACAACAAGGGATCAATATTATCACAGTATATGGGATACACGGTAATACTACTTACGTCCATCCAAATTCCACGAAGAGTCACTATACCATTTCACGCCGCAGCCTTCACCTCCTCGCCCTCTTGTGCATCCTCCACTGCCTCCTCTTCATCCTCGTCCTCATCATCGCCCTCTGCTTCACCCGTCATATCCCTGATCCCCTCCCCTGCGAAATTCAAAATACCCCCCATATCCATCATCTTCACCTCCTGCTCTGCCTGCGCAACGCCCATATTCCCAAGCACCTTATTCACCTCCGCCAACTCCCCCGTCTTCAACGCCTCCTGCAACTCCGCACTCAACCCCTGGAAAAGATCCCACCTCAACTGCAACGCCTTCTTCACCTCCTCCACATCCAGATCCTCCGTCCCCGGGCCCTCGAGCTGGATGTTCTCCGGCGGGGGCCCGTCGGGTACGTTGAACGATATCGTCGTCTCTGGGTTTTCGGCGACGAGTTGGATTTGCTCGGTCTCGGAGGGGACGGCAGGGGATTCGAGCTTTTGGGCCTCGACGCGGCGGACGATGTGGGCGAAGGTGTCGTCGACGTCTTTACGGAAGATGGCGTGGGCTTTTTGACCGCCTTCGATCATCCTATATTAGAAAAGAAACCGGCAGTGAGTATATAAAGTTCAGCGAAGATGTATAAAAGGGGAAGAAGGGCAGGGGGGAAGATATATCAGGATTGTGGTGGCGTGGCGTGGACGCACCGTTTAAAGAAAAGCCGCAGTCCGTCCTTGCCCAACTTATCGCCGTACTGCAACAACAGACTCTGATGCACGCATTGTTTCGCGTACTTAGACTTGCCCTCCGTCTGTGCTGTGAAAGCTGCTACGAGCAACGCGTCGGAAGACCCTGGGACGACGACATCGCGATGGTTCTGGATGTAAGCTTGAGACGCTTCGAAATCCCAGAGTGGAATTTTTGCGAAGCCTTCGAGGGACGGTGTCATCTCGGGGAGGTCGTCGAGATCTTCGGAGTTAGAGATCGATTTGGCGGGGGGTTGTGAGGAGCTGCTGCCGGGGTTGAGAACTTCGATGGACTTTGATGTCGATGTTGAGGTAGACTTTTCGGGTGCGGAAGTCGATGGCGTCGGCGTGTACTAGCAATAGAGGTCTATCAGCGATCCAGTATAAAGAAACGACAACGCGCATACCTTTGACTCCCATCCTTCATGGATATCCTCCGCCGTAATATGCTTAGCCTTCTCTTTCAACAACTCCTCCATCTCCTTCCTCTTCTCCTCCGTCACCTCTCCCAGCTTCGTCACATGGAAAGCCAAATTCTCCTCCAACAGCGCTACCAGCTTATCTTGATCTCCCGCAGCCTTCTCCCTCGCCTCCACTGCTAAAGGCTCCAACAGCTGTAACAACATCGCATCGTACGTGACCTGGTTCGGCGCATTAGTGGGTGGCGCATCGGGCGAGGGATTCGTCCTGAGCCGCTCGACCTCGGACGAGAAGCGGGATGCACCGCTAGTACCGGCGGATTGTGAGATTTCGGTTTTGAGAGCACTGAGACGGGCGAGGAGGACGTTGTTGCAGGAGATTTCAGCGTCGATTTCGGTGATGCGGTGGTTGCGTGCTTCGCGTTTCTCATGGATGTCGCGCTGTTTCCATCTGAACACGAACGCGAACAGTTGAAGTGAGTGAACAAAAGAGAGGAGAGAGGAGGGAAATGTGCTTACCGGATGAGTGATTTCTTGTCTACGTTCGGATGTCCTTCGATATCCGAGTCGTCTGAGAGCTGTATTCCTGGTCAGTCTAGGTTGGACGATACATAGAACAACGTCTATACCTCAAGCTGATCCCACTTCGAGTAGTTCAAAGGCATGACGAGAGTATTTTATTGACAGTTTCGTGGTAGACAGGAGGATAAAGGATGGGCTATGATGGTGCAGACAAGAACAGCCAGACTACTTAGGATGCTTTTGAGACGTCGCCACACGCGAGATTCCGAGGCACTGCAGAACTCTCTAGAAAGTTGGAACCCGAGTACGACGACAAGAGCGATGCCATCCTACCGTCCCAAATATCCACAATGTCTTATGCATGAACAGAAGCGGCTGTATATCGGTGCATAGAGGTACATTTAGACACACCTACCAGATACTGTGGGCTACAAAAGTAAGAAGAATAAACGCGGAGGAGGGCTCGTGTGTACCTGAACGGCAAAAGCCGAGGTGTCCTCAAGCGTCGACTATCTGCGGCTCGTCTTCTTGTCCTCGCTTTGTTCTGTCTGCCACACGCTCGCTGTGCTCCACGTCGCGCCCCTCAGTCTCTCGCTCGACGATGTCCGACAATCCTACATCTATGTCTGCCGGTGAGGATGCCTCACAGATGACGCCCGCTGGGCAGACGAGTCCTCCAAAGGATCAGTCAGATCAGTCGACGACCGCTCAGCTTAATGTTCAACCCGATGATCCTGCCCTGTCTCTTCGCCAGAAAGCTCTGCTTACTCTCCGTCGTAAACCACTTGCTCCTAGCCATGCTCCGACAGTCGCTCCTACTCCGCCTCAGCGTCCTGTCTCGGACACTCCTACCATCACACTCGACTATGGCCAGGAAGAGCCCTCTGTGGCCACTAGTGCTGTCTCTAAGCCATCCAACGGCCTACCATCTTCCACTTCCGCTTCACATCCTACACCTATTCCCGAGCACTCAAGTATACCTATCATGCCTCGTTCAGATCTCCCGAACAAGCCCGAACAACCTCCGCCCGCGCAACCCTCCACCGCGGCCGATATCTCCATGCGTGAGGAAGGCGAAATCAGTGACGAAGAACCGGAACCGGAACCCAAACCTCCCCCCAAGGCTCCTGCCTCTCGCAAAGCTCCAACAAAGTCGACAGGAAATTCGTCAAGAAAGCCCAAAACACCTCCACCCCCTCCGCCAACCTCAGCATCAGCCACGAATAAAGCGCAACCGCCCAAAGCCCCAACTCCCAAGCCATCTGTTGTCATCAAGGCCGAACCAGAGTCTCCACGACCATCATTGGCGAGTCGAGTTGGTCCTCCGGCGCCCGTCAGTCCTGCTAAAACCGTCGTGGCCACTTCTCCATCATCTGCACGCAAGAGAAAGGAGCTCGTTCTCGATGAGGAACATGTTCGACCGGGTCTCAGCAGTTCGTCCAATTACCCTTCTATCCTTTGATCAAGCTATAACTCAGGCGTTGGTTTCTGTAGTGACACAGCACCAGTACAACACAGCAAAGGACACTGTGCTCGACCTTCTCGGCTGGGGTGTGCCTCCTGAATACCTCGTTGACTGCGGCTTATCACGCGAAATCGTGTTCTACATCTTTCACGAACTGAACCTCCGACTTCCCACCAATCTCGACACCAATGGTATCGTCCCCTACCCTCCTCCTCCGGAACTCCTAGAGTCTTTATTCCAGTTGCCTCCCGAGCCCAAGTCTCTGGGATCCGCCTCTGGTACCGCCGCGAATGGGTCGTCCCTCGACCGCCGTCGCAATTCTGCTGGCCATCCCAGTCTCCCAGCAAAGCCTCAAGGTGCGACAACTATGGAAATCGATTATTCGCCGTCACTGAATTCTCTCTCAGTTACCGCACCCGCCTTTGTGCCCTTGAATATTCCCAAACCGTCCACGACGGCACCCGTCCTCCCGCCTCAGCCAACCGTGTCTTCCAATCTTGCTGATATGGAACAACAACGGAGACAAGAGTTGCTTGCGCGCAAAGCGGTCCAGGCCTCGCGCAAGCAGCGTAAAGACGCTACGTTACCGACATCTGCAGCTGTCACGCCTATGGAAGTCGACTCACCGTCACAACCACTTGCGCCTGCTGCTACTGTCGAAGACTTCCTCAAGACCATTGAACCCACAACCAATACTCCTGTACCACTCGCACAGACCCACGCTAGTACGCTCATCGTGAATAGTCCCGAACGGATGGACGTCGACGATGACATTCCTGGTCTCGGGAGTACCCATTCTTCCTTTCAGGACTATCATGCCGCCCCATCGACCTCCCGACTATCCGTGGTGACTACTCTTCCGCCACAGCAAGCGCAGGAACCAGAAGAGCCTCCTTCGAACGATTCGGCCGATCTTTCGGATGTTGCGAGTTCCTCTGGAGACCCCCAGGAGACCCCCATCTCTGCTGCAGTAGTTCCCTCGACCGACACACCTGTGGACAACAACGAGCACCCTTCGCGGAGTAGTAGCAGCAGTTCAATCCCACCCGGTTCGGCGAATGACGATGGTTTTGCTTATCCATCAGCGTATATCCCTACCGGACCTCGTCGTGGCACAAAACGTCCCGTCGCTGCCGACTTTGTCGACATCGACGGTGAACCTGGCAATAGGGCGGGACCTTCACGCCAGAACTCAACGAACGGATTTTCTCAGGGGATAGCGCACCATCCAAACCCGCATGTTCGGAGGAAGATGAACGCCGCGTCGTCACTCGGAGGAGGTTTCGCGGGACTGAGTGGCATGCGGCGATGTGTGATTGATTTGAGCGACAGCGATGACGACGAGGAGGTTGAAGGTGAACTGATGGTCGACTCTCCTGCACCGAGGCCTGCAAGTGCATCAGGGATTGTGACTGGGACTGGAACACCGAAAGTACCCTCGTTGTTAGGTGGCTTGAGCGCGCCGTCAAACGCCGCTGCACTGGAGTTGAAGATTCAGAAGATGCGTGAGGCGATTAAAGAGCGAGAAGAACAGAGGCTCAGAAAGATGTCTGCGGTATGCTTCTATTCCCATTGTCCGCTTTTCGTGGGCTTTTCCAGAACATGCCTGACAGTACCTTGTACCTCATAGATGTCGAATCGTTCGACGCCCACGACGCCGACGCTCACACCTGCGCTGGCCGCAGGCTTTTCCCACCTGGCCTCATCGGCTCTAGCTCCCGACTCTGACATGGCCGACGCCGAGATGTTGAATGCGGACGAACCCGGGATTTTGGCGGGTATGTCGCCGATCCTCTTTTGCGTTCATTCCACTGCATGCCTTCTGCCCAAATCCGTTCATCTCGCATCCTTTTGTTTCCGTTTTCGGCTCGCGGTCCCGTAATCCTCACACGGATCGCCTCGCTGCTCCTCTTTCCCTTCCTGGCCGCGTGCCACCTGATCCTTTATGTGCTAACTTTGGATATCTCGTAACCTTATCCACGACAGCTTCTGAGACTGAACTCGTGTCGCCCGCGCCGCCACTAGCCCAACGCGATCTGTCGTCACAATCGCCTCGACCTGCGAATTCGGCAGCTCCGCACCACATCCCAGACGAACAAGGCAAGCGCCCATACCCTTTCGCTCCGTCTCCACCCGCCTCGTTCGTTCCATAGTCGTTGACCCACCTGTCCCTTTCCCTCTCTTCGCTTTTCCATTCTTCCCTTCATTTGGAATGTTCTCTTCGGGTGGTCCCCATTTGGTCATCCTGGTTCGTTTGTCCATTTTTACGTGTGGCACTCGCTGCTCAGTTCTCACGGCTGAGGCTCAACAAGAACAAGTGGCAAGGATCCCTTTCACCCTTTCGTATCCGACACAAACCGATCTCCTCTGATTGCTGTCCTTCTGCTCTATATTATTGCTTCTCGGCCGTTTACGCATCTCAAATTTCGCTGTGCTTCTCACAACAATGTTTTTCTTTCTTGGATCATTCGTTCTTGTCATTCGGTATCCTTTGTCTGTCTGTTTTTCTTCTTCTTCTTTTGTTTGCCGTCTCTCTTCTGGTCTCCTCCCCCTTCTAGGTCTCACCCGAGTCAGCGCAGCAGCGCCACGCAAGCGTCGATGCACCCGCATCGGCCGAGGTATGTGCTCCCCGACGTCTTTCGCTGAAGGCCTACAGCTAGATGTCATAGCCCCTATCATACTCCTACTCACGCTTTCCTGGAACCCTCGTCTCTTACCAGGAGCCCAACACGGCCGTTACCGCCAACTCGCTGGAAGTTCATCCTCACTTCAAGCCCTATAGCTCAATATTCTCGTCTTACCCACTCCTTCCTCTCGAAGTGTCTTCTGGTGCCGTGTCAACGTTTCCCAACAACAATGCGACGGCCAGGCCTCCATCTCTACCTGACTTGCAGCCGCTTAAGTATCAGACTTTTATTCGGACTCTATCTAGTCAACAGCTCCAAGACGCACGGCTCTGCCAATACGAGGTCCCTGGCGGAGGTGAATGTCGGGATGCTCAATGCGAAGACCTTCACCTGAGCCGGATGCCGGCCGAACCCAGCGGTGCGCCCCCTCCTCATCTCTTGCATGCACCCTCATCTTTCGTTGTCTTATCCCACCTCTCCACCCTGGGTTCCATTCGTGTCAATGCTCTTCTATCTCCCCTTGTTCTTTTTCCCCTTGAGTACAGATGAAGAGACCGCAAGCTACCTTCACGGAGCTCTTCCGGGAGATCTCCAGTCGCGGGTCGGGCCAAGTCGACTGCTAGAAGAACTCCGACAAGCACGAACTAGTCAATCACCAGCTGGCCTCGATGCACGCGTAGGCGCGGTTTGGGCGACTTTGTTTGGACCTGTGGCAGCATCGGCGCAATGAGTCGACAGCGATGACCGACGTTTGGCGCGGCGCCTGAAGACAGACGACGCGAGACCTTGGTTCGGATGGGTTGCAGGGCGCGCGTTTTGTGGCCCCGCCGGGGTTAATCGGCGCCAGCTCGAGGGGACGAGCGAGCGCCTCGAGCTGTGACCATGGCGACGGGGCTATCAAAGCGTGCGAGCGAGCGAGGACGTCTTTGTCGGCTATCGTCTCCGGGAGGAGGTTGACGAGGAGGTCGAGTCGGGCTCGGCGGCGCAAAGAGGGGCGTAGAAGGGCTGCGGTAGTGGTACACATGATGACGAAAGAGACATTTACGGGTGGCAGGAAAAGAGCGCTTGTGGGCGCCCTCGGGGGGATTCCCCCGAGATATGCAGCGAGAAGAGGCGCGGACTGGGTGGTTGTACTGGATTGATTGTATTCGAGGCTGTTTCTTTCTTTCTTCTTGTTTGCGATGATGTATATGATGATGAATTCGGAAGTGAATTGGCTATCAGCTGTTTTGTGTGTGTGGGGGGCGTGGGGACGTGGATCGAGGCCACGTCTGATGGACGGATTCGGACTGCTGCATTGTTTCCCTGCGCAATCAAAGGAGGGCATTGAATCGCCGGAGGAGGCTGGCCGGGCGTCTGTGGATGTGAAATTGTAGTGCCGAGGAGGGACGGAAATGGGGTGGGGGATGAGTGTGGCCGGGAAAGGAGTGATGGCTGCCGAATTGAGTGATTTGTCAGGGGATGGAGCGTGGGAGGGCATGTATCCGAATCGGGGGGTGTGTGGCGCTGTTTGTGTGAGTGGTCCGTTCCTGGCGTTTCCCCCTTTTATGATAAGCACCAGGCTAGAGGCCCCAGCCGTCCATCGTCCACCTCCCTTTTTTGCCCTCGTCCTCTTTCAGCACTTCCTCCGCCTGCCTTTTCCGGCCTCCAAATCCACACCTCCCATACTCCGCTCCAAGCCGCCGCACACAGCGACCGTCCCTCCTAGCTCGTCGTACAGCGCATCGCTCTAGCCGTACGTGCCCTCTGCCTATTTTTCCCGACGCGCGTCGTCGTCCTCGTCGTCGTTGCCGTTCCCGGAACACTGCTGACTGTGTTCCTTCTCTTTCCTTTTCCAACAACGCGGCGTCCCACACCGTCCTCCTTCCTCTTCGGGCACACAGAACGTTCACCGACATCGTCCCGCCCTTCGCCATGCCCGTCGAGCCCTCCATCCCGCCCCCGCCGCCCCCGCAGGACCAGTTCATCGCCGATCAGGACGCCGCCGACAGCGGCGCCGACGACGACGATGACTCCGACAAGGCAAAGGGAGAGAAGAAGGCCGGCCGTCGCAAGATTAAGATCGAATTCATCCAGGATAAATCGAGGAGGCACATCACATTCTCAAAAAGGAAGGCTGGTCAGTACTCCGCGTCGTTTACCGTTCCCGACATGTTCCCCTCTTTGCTCATCGCTGTCGCACATCCCCGCTTCCGCGTCTGCAGGTATTATGAAAAAGGTTTGTTCTTCTCGCACTTCGCGTCCCGTTTCGTCACGTCTTATGTTTTGCTTCCGTCGCGTCCTAGGCCTACGAGCTTTCTACCCTCACTGGCACACAGGTGCTTCTGCTCGTCGTCTCCGAGACCGGCTTGGTCTACACGTTCACCACCGCCAAGCTGCAACCCCTCGTCACGCAGCCAGAGGGCAAGAACCTCATCCAAGCATGTCTTAACGCTCCTCATGGCCAACTTCCGTCCTCCATGCCCATTGGGCAGCCACTTGGGCGTGCCGCATCCATGGGTGGCCCCCACCACAGCAACGTCCCAGGTGGTCTCTCCATCGGTGCAGGCAAGGATGACGGCGACGACGGCGATGGTGAAGGTGACCGTCCGGGCAAGCGCCGACGTCGTGCATCTACAGCGGGTGGTCGCAACACTCGCAACAGCGCATCTGCTGCTGTTAACCCTCCACAATCCCCGCACAGTCCAGCACAGCCGGGCGCTCCTCCTCTCTCCATCCCTCAAGGAGGTCAGCACCCCGGCGCATCCCAGCCGCAGTCTGCCATGCCCATCGGTCCTTCGCCCACCTCTGCTTCACCATCCCAGGCACCCACGTCTCCTCACTATGCTCATTCCAGTCCAAACACTACGTACCATACCGCGCCTGGCCAGGAAATATATCCCGGTCAGCAGGGCGGACTGATGGCGCCCCCACAAGGACCACCAGGTGGCCAGTACCCATCGTTCAATGCCCCTGGACAAGGAGCTGCGACGGGGCATTGGCCGCATGGGACCAGTACAGTTCAGGGTGGAAACTATGGGAGGCGGTGAGGGAGGAGAGTGGTGAAATTGTTGCTCATGTTTCGTCGTTGATTATCGTTTATTTGGTCCCCATCTTCTTGCTATCCTTTTCTTGTCGTCGTCTCGCGCAAATATATGTCCAGGTCGGAGGTCGGTTCCCAACCATTGTATTCATATGATGCCTACGTTCTCTTTTTCTTCTTCCTTTCTGTTGTTCGTGCCTGTCTGCCTTTTCCCCTCATGAAGATACGCTCGCCTCGCCTACAACGTCGTTGCCCCTTGTCCTTCGTGTTTCTTCTCTCCCGCTTTGTGGTCCAGGTTGTACAGCTGTATATGTCCCTTTGCTTTTTCTTTACACTTCGCCTTCACGTATACTCCTTTCGAATTCGAACCGACCGTGTGGTTAACGTACGTACGTATACTGTCTCTGTCTCTGGCCATGCCACGTTCCGACCCCAAGAATGATCCTTTCAGTCGAGTACATCTGTACAGGCTGTTGTGCAACAAATTCGCTTTTCGCCTCATGCCTGAGTGACGACCTTAGCATGCATGTGCGTTTTCCGACCTAGACGGAGGAAGGATCGTCATTCATACATGATTACCCTTCCCGCATCTGCATTCTTCACCCACGTCGTCGCCATTATGACGATGAGTAGCTCGGATCTCAAAACATGCTGCATATTGAACTTAATGAATGAACGATAATTGCCACCGACCCGAGATGTGACATGTATATGCGCATCCCTTCGATCGAGACGAGCGAAAGGGGACTCGGAGTGAACCTGAACACGGTGCAGAGGGTGGCATGGCATGGCATGCTTCCACTGGACCGAGATCTCAGATGAAATCGCCGGATGCGTGCCAGACATTATTTAAATAATATTAATGGGGGTCTGTTTCGATTGCATACTTTGCTATCCTTCCGGGTTTGAACGCCATGAACAAGGAAGAGGTCCGCGATGATGGGCGCCAGTCAGGACGCCTTTCCGAGCGTGCCACTCGAACCGGGCTTCACGGCAGCTGCAGTGGCACAAGCACTGTACTAATAGTAACAGCATACTAATGGCGTCGGGGGGTCAAGTTGTGTCAGACTAAGAACTATCCTGAATTGAATGAGCTCCCTACGCATTAATCAGGCGCAGCCCCCATTCTCAATCAAATAATCGTCTCGGAACTGACCAAGGTCCAACTCAAACAAAGCCTGGCCTGCACTAAGCAGCAGGTGTCCCGTCATGCATCATACATCATGATGCATGACCCTGAGGAAACACAGCACCCCGCACCGGCCACGACGATCTCTCAGCTGGGCGGCGAATAGCCCTCTCTAAGTGCGAACGCGAAAATATAAATATATATACATAGCACTTAGAGTTCCAAAGCTTGAGTAAGAACTGTAGTAAAAACGGGAAACGCTGACACGGATGAATGACGCGTTGGCGTCCTGGCTCGGGAATCCTCGTTCCTCGTCCATCATGTCCATGTCCACGCCCCCCGCGCTATGCGGTGAGAAGAAACACAAAAGACTGAGAGAAACGAAACCCTCCCGGACCGGGCCTGGCCTATGTAAGTCGCAAGCAGGCCCAACAGAGCTCGAAACGGAATGTCTGTCTGGCAAAGTAGCACGGTGGAGAATCGAATCGAATCGAAAACAAACGCTGGTAGTTCCCGGGCGCGGCGTAGGCGCAAGGACTGGCGGTGGCCTGAAACAAACTTCAAGCTTCACTCTCATCGCTCGAACTCTCACGCCGCCGACGAGGCCAACCCAATGACGATGGGCTTCACTAGCTGCTTTACTACTTACGACGCACAGTTGACGAGCGACGTACAGCCCTCCGCGCCTATTCGGGCCATCCATTGGCTCTTTGCGTCCGACCGGTTTCGAAAGAGGGACGCTCTCAGCTTGCTGATGCCTGATGCGGCGAGCGTCGAGAGTTCACGGAACCGATCACCTGGAACGCGGGATCGTGATGGACGGGAAAGTTAAATCCATATGTAGTAGCGTGATGTGGTCATGGGTCTGAGGTCCTCGAGGGCGAGCCAGAGGGTGGCAGAAGGTGGCAGAGTGGCTGGATCTTTGGTTGGATGCATGGTAAGTTGAACGCTCGAAGCTCCTCCAAGGCGAGGCATCGAAAATGGACCGAGTTTGGGAAAAGATCCGCAGGGCGTGAGATGTAGAAGATATGATATGTTCGGCTGGACGAAAAGGGCGAGACGGAGAGATGAAATAGGAGAACTGTAAAACATGCATACACGCATGGCTTGCACGCTGCAGGAAGATAGTCCAGAACGGGAGAACATGATACGCGTACGTACATCCTGCCATGTCAATACAGCGTACGAGACGGATCCGAAGAGAAGATCATGGGAACAGGACGACTTCCACATCGCCCCAAACAAGCACGGTAGGCTCCTAGTCCCGATCCGCACAAATGTACGCCACCTAAACACCGACCTGCTCGCGACGCGCTCGCCGAACTTTGCAACAGCGTGAACGCGTCCACGGAAGGTTTGATGCCAAACTGGCCAATACCAGGTCCGGTGCTCACCTCGCTCTGCTCGCCGCTGGCTAATCTGCAGCTGGGGGATCTTCTCCCGGCCCAAAAGGATCCATTGCGATGAAGTTTTTTTGAGCCTGATAACACCATTGGAGGAGGTCACGTTAAGATGGGCGGCGTGAGAGGCAGCTCAAAGATGGTGGCGTAGACGCAGTGCCACGCAGTATGTACTGCAGGCATGATGATGGAATGCGCACGACAAAAATGACCCGGCGAGTGATAAGCGCAGAGATTGAGCGGCTGTATCGTCGCGATGTTCCAAGCGGGATTCCGTGCACGATTTGGGCGGACAAAGGAGGGGAAAGCTTGAGGAAAGCGCAGCGGCTACTGATCCAAGAAGTACGCCACAAATGCCTACTTGGGGTTGGGTATTCGAAACGACCATCCAGCCATCCGTACAACGTCCGACCTCGAGCACACACTCCTCGTCCAAGGTAGCTACGCGGGAAAGCGACCCACCCACTCACCCAGCCATCCTCGCCCTGACCGTACACCGTGACCAGACTTTCGCACTCAGCTCGGTTTCCAGGCGCAAAAGACACGGATCACCCTACTCAACCGTTGCGGTGGGGACTTCAGCTTGACCTCGGCATCGTTGCTTGGTGGCTCCGCCATCTTGCCGTGTCCACGATCGATAGATGTGCTCCTTCTGAGGACAGCCCCGGTGCTAGCACGATGACCAGTGTGACGCACGGCGGAATGGGCGATAACAGGGGCTGAGGCGGCGGATGAATATGCTCTTTGACGAACGGCTGGAGATCTGGAGGGACGGCGCTTCGCGCGTTCTTGAGCCTGATGTTCGTCCCATTTCGCGCAGGCGATGTCGAAAGACTTGCGCTCTGGTGTTCGTGTTACGGGAGGAAGAGGCCAGAGAAATGACCCAGCGATGCACGATGACAGGTCGATGCTGTCGAACATGTCCCTGAGAAGATTGGACGGTTAGCATTGCATCAAAGGTAACATAGGACCAAAGCCCCCGAGAGAAAATCGGCAGACGCGACAGACGAAGAAGAAAAGACTCACATCTCAAAGTACGACAGAAGGACGTCGAACTCCGCTCGCGACATCTTCATCACCTCGTCCTTATAATCCATCCCAGCATCCTCACCCCCATTCTCCAAAGACGATGACGGCGCCGCATCCCTCTCCCTCTCCCTCTGCACATCCAACTGCCCAATCGTCCTATCCCTATCCCTCCGTCTCACCGTCCTCGCCTTCTCCGCCTCCCGAAACTCCAAAACCCAAGCCCACATAGCCTCCGCACACGCCAAAATCTCCGTCACTCTTATCGACAAGTGGAGATGCAACGTCTTCAGGTCCATATCCAAGTGCCGGTTCGGAAGCCGGTTCACGCGAAACGCCGCTCTATCGTAAGCCTCCTGCTCCGCGGCCTGCAGACTGAGACCGCTGATGCTGATCGAGGATACGTTTGAGGAGGACGAAGAAGGTAAAGCCTGGGGTTCGGCGTGTAGCGCAGAAGGAAAGCTCAAGGGGAAAGGGGCGGAGAGTGAAACGGGGGACTGGGCCACGCTGGTGCTGTGTCCGTCGGGGAATATGAGGGAGCTCTTTGTTTGGGTGGGAGAGCGGGTGTGGTTGGGAGGGATGGGTGGCGCTCGGGCTTCGTCGAGGACGACGTAGGACTGCATTTGGCCTAGGATGTCGCGACCTTTGATGAACGTGGAGGAAGTCGGGGTGAGAGCGACCGAGCTCGAGGATGTTGGTCTGGACGTGATATTCTCAGAGTGGAGACGGGGTAATGATGGTCGCGAGCGACGAAAGTGGCCGCCATCGCTGATGCTGGCCTTGATCGTGGACGGTTGGCGAGGATGGTGTGCAGTGAGGGAAGGTGAGAGCAGTTCACCGTCAGAGTCCAGGTCACTGTCGGCGTAATCGCTGGTAGCTTGTGGGTATGTCGGTCTCTGCTGTGTTGCCGCCCGCGGAGGAAACATATACATAATAGGTGAATGTGTCCGTACATCTGTGGCAGAACTGGTCAACGGAAACGTTCACACAGTCTAGGAGAAGGATGATCATCTTACCTGTGAAATACAAGGGTAGCGAGTTCGATAGCAATGATAAAGGAAACATATTGATAAAACGAGAAGAATGCATCTCGGTGTATATGTGTTCCAGCAAAGAGTGGTCCCTCGGATTACGAGGGACCGGAGGGGAAGGCAGTATTAGTGGCGAGGGTGCATCCTCGGAGGTTAGAGTAGAAAGAGGTTTGACGACATGAGCGCCAGGAAGACTGGGAGAGGAAGAAACGGAAGATAGAGGTGTCCCAGGTGCTCGTGATGACGTCGAAGTCCGCGCCGTCGTTAACGTAGAGATAGTTGAGATCGAGAGAGGATTAGAGTGATGTGACGGCGAGAAGAAGCTAGACGATTGTGTGCTCGTGGAACCTCTGCTCGATTGTGGTCGAGTAGACTGTCGAGGAGGATGATCCTCCGATAGTTTTATGGGTATAGGAAGGGGTGATAGGGGTGGTGTCGACGAAGCTCGCGTGGGCTCGTAATTCTTGCCCGGGAAGAACAGGTCTTCTTCAATCATCTGAACGTACGGTATGGATGGTCACACAAGGGCCCAGACAGAGATGTCAAGCGGAAGACTTACCTCGAAGGCCGCACCTGGCTTCATTACCCGCACGATCTCCTCCAACAAGGCGTCCCACTAAATGCCTCACGTATCAATAAGATATCAGCCTACATGAGATGGAAAAGCATACCTTATCCTCGGGTATACCGTGTGCGAGACGTTTTATGTGTCTAGAGAATAAACGTTCAGGGGACGCCCTGCCTTACGCAAAGTGGCGGAAAACCTACACAAAATCGAATTCTTCATTCGGGAACGGAAGACCGTCCAGACTGGAAGATGGAAGTTAATGAGCTAATTGAAGTATAAACAAGACCAATAGCTAGACGGACCAGTTCACATGAACCCATGTTATTCGTGATCCAAGATCAGACCGTAATTGGGACAGATTAGGTTGCAATGGGACAAGGTCGACTCCTGGTGGACCATGATCAGTAGTTATTTTTGGCCGTAAAAAGGATCGCCACACACCAACAAACTCGCAACGCTGGAAAAGGGATAGTTGAGATGGATGAGATTATAGCCTACAAACATGAACAGAGATAGGGTACATACCCGCCATAATTTGGCACAGTCGAGGATCCAACTTCCAGTACCTTTGCGAAGGTTAGCGACAAGGGTACAAACGTAAGTTTTGGAAATGGCGCATCGATGTACGTACCACACCCAAGATCAAGGCTGATGTACAAATTGTATTAGTAGGACAGCATGCAGCTGACAGGAAAAGGACGTACACTTTTGCTGGTGGGGTTTCGAATACATGGAACGTTACACTCTCACACAAACTCTTACAGAAGGCTGTCTCCCAGACATCACTGCATTGACAATGATAGTAATTTGAGTGGCCACTTCCATCAATTAGGACGAATAGATATACGCACTGATCCACAACAGACCGCTCATAATTCCTGGGATACGGGACTTCCTTCGCAGGAAACGGATGATGTTTCTTCCCTCCCTTGAGAACGAACTGGTGTTTCCGAGCGGTCATATTCCTCTTTAGCTCCTGGAGAATTGCTCGGTCGGCGGTCGAAAAGTGGGAGACATCATTGGCCTCCTTGTCCTCGAGGAAACTCGACTTGGAAGACGAAGTGCTGGCTGGACCGCTGGTAGAGACGAAAGCTGGAGCGCTCTCGTTAGGGTGAAACAGTCTTCGGGACTTGGTCTTGGTGCTACGTCGACGAAGGGGAATGAGGTCGGAAAGAGGCTGAAGCAAGGAAGTGAACATGAGTTAACGAACGACTGCTCGTGAGGGCAGAAACGTACGAAGAGGGGTGAGGAAGGCATAGTTGGCGAAGTTAAGGGGAAGGCAGCCTTGGCTGGGGTGTCATGTGGGAGCCCAGAGGAAGTCGAAGGGCGTTTTGACGTCTTTCGAGCAGGGTTTCGTGGCGGGCGCGCTGGGGGAGGGCCATGGAGATCGTCGGGGTCCCGGGAGGGAAATGGGACAGGTCCAGGACGTCCAACAGTCGAGAGACTAGCGGTTCGTTTTCTGAGGAAGATGGACTTCCTCGAGAACATCGATTGCTCAGCAGCCGGAGAACTTGGAACAGAGTGTGGTTCCGGAGTTGATGGCCTAGCACGGTCGATGGTCGATGGGCCAGGATGCGCCGTGTTCGCTGGCTGACCCAGCTTCTTGGGCGGCTGGGAAGACCGACGGGCAGGGAGACTGACGGGAAACGGAGCCAGCATACTCTTTGTTCTCTAGACTGTGAAGGCCAAGTGAAGTCCGATGCAGCAGAAATAGGGACAGATAGTCAGGTGCGGCGCAGCGCTCGACGGTGTAGACGTCGGTGGGCGCGCAGCTTAGGAGCAGCTCAAGGATGGCGACGACGACTACTAGGGGAATGTGATGGAGGACATCTTGTATTGCCCACAGTGGACCCGATGGTCGAATAACTGCTCTCATCTCTCGCGTGATTCCGAAATCTGAAGGGAAACAGAGATCTGGGGTAACAACGTTAGCCAACCCGTGGGAACGGGTCCGCTGCCTAAATTCACCGCTGGCATCCTCCGCCCGCAAATCCGCGTTTTAACCGTCCCGTCCATCAACAAACCTGCCATATATTATCCTCGTCTTTGTTCGCGCTTTTAGGCATCGTCCTGCACGTCGATCAGATCGCCAGAACGCGTCGAGGCAGCGCGTCGAGTCAAAACAATCGCACCCCCGACGTCCTAGACTCGCAGCTAACCGGGCGAACGGTACCTGGCTTTTCCCCTTTGCGGTCAAGGTTGCATCAATTGCGAGCTCATGTCCTTCCGACCTTCCTTCCGTTCTCTGCATTTGGCCAGCCCTTGATTTCGGTCGTCTGACGTCGTCGGCTTTCGTCCTCCGTCCAGAGCACGGCGGCCCCGCCTTCGTTATCTTCTCATGTCGCCCGACCTCCTGCTACGCGATCCAATGAGTGCTTCTGCTACGCTTGTCCAATTAGCGTGGGCCTCGCGAACTTGCACGTGTGGCACGAGCTACTGCGAGTGAGCAGTGCTCAGACGGGTCGAGTTGCTATATTCCATCCGTTATTCTTTTTCTCAGGACAGTGGGACTTGAGCTTGAGGTTACGGGTCCGGTTATCGCCCGTTCAACGTTATACTCACAGGCTATGGAATGGAATGGAATGTACGCCGACCGGTTTCTTTACTACACCGGCTCTGGGCTTTGATGTTACCCAACCGTTCTGTACCCTGTGGCGCTTGGCCTCGACTCACGCTTGCCTCGTGATATACGCGGCCGTACGTACACGGCAGTCCATGTACATACAAAGACCAGAAGTCCTCTCCTTGGGGTTCATTCTTAGCCTTGGTATGGTTCCCCAAATCTTCAAAGTCTTCTGTCTTATTCTTAACTATCGTGCATTATTTTCATCCAGTGTGACTTCGTGAGATGGTGGCGCAGTCACTGGACACGAATAGTCCCGAACCAGACCATCACTCGGTCGTGTAAAGCCTCCTGCTCCGCATTCACTCCACCAACTCTAGATGCGAATACGGTTCGCCGCACGTCCTGATGCAGTGCCCATCCCCTGAGTCTTGTGGTACTGTATGTCATCATCTCCTTTGCAGAGAAACCTTTTGTTGTTTTGATACAGTGACTTAATCCGGTCCCGAAAATATATAGCTTGCCAACGAACAACCCACCCAAATTCTCGTAAGATTGCACCCACAACACCCGATCCTAGTAATGATGCTACTCATTCTCCAGTCAGATATTTGAAACCTTCAGTTGCCTTCTGTAAACCACTAAATAATCCAGGTGGCATGAACTCTCAGTATATGTAGGCCGTAATGTGCATTCATTAGGAGCGCCCTGTACCTTGAATTTCTTTTCTTCCCTTACTTAAGTTAGAAAGGAAAGGAAAGGAAGGCGAATGTTTACGTTTGAGCTTCGACACCGCCGTCGTTCAGGAACAAAGCCAATAGCTTTGCGGCCCGGATTTCCCGGAGGCGCAAAGAGTCGCCGCTTGCCAGTCCTGGTCAGTCGTCGACTCGTCGTCATGCATCATGCCCTGTCCTCACTCGGATGCATCTTTGACCACTCTCACCGCAGGAAATTGGTCCCTCATGCATATCTACTCCTCGAGCCAACGGAAATTGAAGTCATTCTTTCTTCATAAGTGTTGGTTTTTTCCGCAATACCAACTCCGTTCAAATCCCGTTGCTTTGCAATCCGGGTTGGAACAAGGCCCTCGAAGATAATTTTGGCCTGATCCCCCAACGAGAGGTACCTAGCATTTTTCGATACTTGAACTGTGAAGTTCAGAGAGGGGGTAAATTCATGTGCCACAGAGACGACAGTTTTTTGAAGCTGTTGGCTAGTAGGGTTCTTACTGTGCGTACAAGGCTGTTCAATCCTGTGCTTGTTCCTCTCACTGTTCTTTGGTAGGACAATCCACGGTCTTCTGGCGTTTGGTTCATCGTCGAAGAATAGCATGAGTATCCACTCTACGCAGCGGGATTCCTCTGTTTCACTGTTTGATGGTGGCCACATTCAGATACCCAGAACATGGTTCCTAATCTGTATTGATACAGCCTAAATCCCCGAAAGGCGGATTCCATATCGCCCACTTTGTCTAAGATCGACACGTTCCCCGGATTGGAGCAGCACATCCCGCTCTGATTCCCCTCAGGGGCGTACTCAATGCGGTGATTGACGCGCCAAGCGGGCTAGTTAGAGGATCTTGACATTTATTTGACCCAAATCGACCATCCCGCTTGACGGATGTCTCACCTTGTCATGGTCTCACCCGCTCCAGACTGGCCAGCGCGTCCTCTTTATAACACAAAACACCTTGTACTCTGATGTTTTCCTCTTGCTCGTCACGTCCATACTCTCTCTTCCGATGGATCTATCCACGGGCTCGCTTTTTCGGTCCTCTCGCACCTTCATTTCTAGGACCAGCATATGGCGTCTAATCCTTCTTTCACTCGGTATCTTGGCTGTCTTCCAAATTTCAAGTGTACGCCCTCTTGTCATCTGCTTCTTTAACTTGGCCGTGCACCTCTAACGCTTCCTACAGTCTTCGTACTTTTTTGGACCACCGAAAATCTCAGGAGAGCTTCCGCTGCTATCAGCTGATGGTGGGTACACTTACTCGGGTCGCGTCACGCAGAAGGTCGCGACAGGACGCGTCGTGGTGACAGGTGGTGGTGGGAATGTTGGTGTGTTTTCATCTTCCTTTCTTGGAGTCTCCGCGAAGGCGGTCCACTAAACTTTTCGGCTTGAAGGGAAACATATAGTGCACAGTCTGCTGGCCACATCCACTCCGGTCACCGTCATCGACACCATATTCTTCGAAGACGAACTCGAATATCTACCTCCCTCCTCTCGCTCCCTCCTCGACGTACACATATGCGATGTCCGTAATGCCACAGCTCTTTCAGCCGTCTTCACGCCAGACGTCGTCGGCGTCGTTCATCTCGCAGCCGTCTCTCGTGTTCTGTGGTGTTTGGAAAACGAAGCAGATTGTTGGGATGTCAATGAGCGCGGTACGCAGATGGTCGTTGACGGGCTGGCAGAGCTGAACAAGCGCGATGGAGGAAAACGGTGGTTTATCCTGGCGAGCTCGAGAGAGGTATATGGCGATGCGAAGGACAACAAGCCAATCAAGGAGGATGCGGAGAAGGCGCCGGCGAATATCTATGGGGCTTCGAAACTTGCAGCAGAGGTCGTGATCGAAAAACACTTGCGCTCGGCCAAGCAATACAGAAGTTCAGGGAGCATTCATTTTATTGCTCTCAGACTGTCTAACGTCTATGGTGGCGTATACGACCATCTCGAGCGGCTAGTTCCTTCCATCGTCACACAAGCACTTTCACATCAAGTCATCCAGATTTCAGGGGGTCAGCAGCATGTAAGCCCTTTTCACTCATCTAAGTTCAAGTCGTGCTGAATGACTAATAGCGAGCGAATACTTGTACAGTTTGACCTTCTGCACATCGAAGACTGCATCGACGCTTTCCTCCTCGCCATCCACCACGCCACTACCAACTTCCGTGCTTCTGCCTTCGAACAGTTCAACGTTGCATCTGGAGATTCAGTCCCCGTTGACAAGCTGGTGAACACACTCGTCAGCCTCATCCGTTCCAAGTCTCCCATCCGGTATATACCAGGCGACGCACGTTTCCCAAACGTCTACCGAGGAAACACGGAAAAAGCTCAAAGCGTTTTGGGTTACACTCCCGCCGTGACGATAGAGGAAGGTCTGTTGCGATACGTGAAGGCATATCTTCGCCGAACGCGATATTTCCTGGATGGGAGAATTAAAGAGACTTGCGGAGAGGCATCGCCATCACTAGTGGCCAATGCGCAGATCGAGAAGTTGGATGGATGCTATGTCCATATCGAGGTAGATGTGCTCGGACAGTTCGCTCCTTTGAAACCCCCAGAAGGAGACGAGCCCTGGTCGATCACGAACGAAGTGGCGCCTCACTTTCTCCACACCGCCATAACTCATCAATCCGGAAGCCACATTCCTCGCATTCGTCTCCACACCAGTGATAGTGACCATACTTTCCTTGGTATCTTCGAAGACGTCTTTCAACCTGGACCGGTCACTTTGTCAAAGCTTACAACCGCGGACATTGACTCGGGTGCAGCAGTCATCGTGGAATGGGAATTAGAGGTCAATGCGGAACAAAGTGCTGTTCGACTCGTCGTCCCTGGGACAGATTACTTTCTCATGAGTCCGACGACAGTGGGCGGCCGATTCTCCCTCGTCTCTAAGGCCGCAAGAAACGTCTGGCCCTTCAGGATTACGCCTACATGTTGTCCCTCACCAGTTCCTTGGCCGTTCGCCCGCGACGATCGTAAGTCTCACCTTGTGTCTTCCCAGTCTTCGACGAAAGCTTAATTGGATCTGTTTAGCGATCGAACATAGTGTCCAGTTCGTACGGACGTCCCTAGAACGCCCGTTCCTTGCCTCCCCCGCAAAGACGCTCTGCAGCCGCTTGCGACGAGCCAGCCTCAAAGCTAGCAGCTCTCTAGCCACCATTTCCGACGTCACTCTCCAAGAACCTCGCAGACGTCTGAGCTCGCTCCCAACCGACTGGGCCAATGCCAATCTCCCAGCGTGCTCCAACATATGCGAGCACCCCACGGTATGCATCGACACAGGCGACTGTCAATGTGTCCTCTCCTCCTGTGCTCCTCGCCAACGTTTTCCTTTCGCCTCCTCGGCACATTCACCGTTCTTGTCCTTCCCTCCACCACCCTCCACAGAACTTTCGCTAGTAGAAATGGTCAGCCAGTCCTCATGGCGAAACGTCCTCCGACCACAGGCCTCGCGGTTCGTCGGTGCACAAGTCCCCTTTCCCCGAATACATGTCGCACCTCTTTCACCTGCTGATCAGAACATGCTAAGCGAGGACGGTCTGCCTATCGATTTCCGAGGAAAGCTGCGGGATCATCATTGTTTCACGGCGGATACTCAGATGGAGAAGGGGGTCTCTGCGATGGGCGTGCGCAGGGACGAAGCGGAGATGACGTTCATACCGAGTTATCAGCAGTGGGATGGGGATCATCGGATGCTTGAGAGGACCTGGGAGTACAATCGTGATGCTTTCGATGGGTTCGATGCTTCGAAGGTTATCATTCCTTTCACGCACGATTTCGGACAATGTTTGGCATTTGAGTGGTGAGTTTTCCGGTTGGTTTCTCCCTGAATGTGTGTTTGATTCTCACCGTGTAATCTTGTGGAGTGCAGGGATGTTTGGCACATGCGAGAAAGACAGGGTCTAAGAGTACATCCTTTTGTCAGGTCGACGACTGCATGGAGTGTTATGGGTGACCTCCACAGTGCCTGTTACAGGCCACACCAAGACGTCATGTACGTTCACCTTTCTCAGCTAGCAATCCGGAATTCCTGACTGACGGTACACACCCTTAGCATCCCACCTCGCACATGTCTCTCCCCATCACTTTTCAAGTCCTTCCCTACAGTTGCCGATGTCCGCCCAGCTCGCGACCGCCGCGTATTAGTTGCCTTCAACGGCGTCCTATGGGGCACAGGAGCGCTCAACCGAAACAGACTCGTATGTCCCCGAAGTCATTGGGATTCGGATGACAATGCATCGAGGAGATTGCACGCTTCAGGGCCAAATTTAAAGAGTCTGGTTGGGACGAACGGTGATTATGAGTATATGAGCCTCCTCAACGATACTGTGTTTTGTCCTCAGCCTGCTGGGACCACAGGTAAGCGTGCTCCTTAGCTTTAAATTTCTTGCTGCGATATTCTCGTCCTCGTTCTAGTAGTACTAAACGTCCGTTCCATTCACCTCGTAGGTTGGGCCACCCGATTAGTCGACTCGATGTACGCAGGTTGCATCCCTGTCCTAATTGGTCAAGCTTCACATTTCCCATTCTACGACATGCTCGACTGGGGTAAAATTTCAATCCGAGTCGAGCCCTCCGACCTCGCCCAACTTGAAGACATCCTATTCTCTCGATACTCGCTCGATGACATCGAACGTCTTCAGGCGAATATCATGCTTGTGCGTGATGCGTTGGTATATCCGCTGGACGACGTGGACGATACGGTTGTGAGGGAGGAAATGATTGAGAGGAGGGGGCCGTTGTTCTTTGCGTTACATTCGACGAGGATGAGGATGCTTACGGAGTGGCCCGTTGATGATGTTTTTGATCGGCCTTGAGGTGGGCGAGATCGTGTATGATTATCTGTATGTTTGCTACCGTTGGTTATCTTCTTGATACTTGCTACAGTTATAGCACCTACGTGTTTCCTTGGATTTTAGAGGGCTCAGATCTTGGACTAGATTTATAGTACCTATTTTTCGCACATTGTACTTACCTAGTAGTCGTCAACATTGTACTACAATCGCAATGACTCTGAAGTCCGTAGGGATTCTCTCTCCATACTATTAGGCTTGCATCTCGGAGCTGCAGTTTGGTGTCATTCTTTATTGCTACTATTCGGCTAGAAATTCCGAGAATGGTCAATTGACTCTGCGTAGCGCGCTCCACAGGATGCTGGGCCACACTTGGCAGCAAGATAATCTTGGGGGGCGCCACCCAGATGAGTCATCAAAATCGGAGTAAGCGGCTAAGAAATTGGGAACGCGACTCATCCGCGCCGGGCCACAGCGATGTCATCCTCCAAATCTTCAACTGAACGCTCTCGTCAGCTTCGACTCCTTTCCTCTTTGTCTTCAGTTTATATACCCCACACGACGGCTTTGACGGTTCTACCCTCAAATTTTCAGCGCAATACTGGGATATCCCCAAGACCATATTTTTAGACGCCACGTACTCGGAATCCTAGACATACCGTCGAACATAGTATAATAACCCTCAGACGGGCAAGCCATGCCCAGAAAGACCCTATCTCAGGAGTCAGTAACTTCCTTCCCCCTTTAACATATCTACTCGGGATGCTGAGATTGTTTGATTAGGTTCGCTATAGCACTGTGGCGCGCCTTCCGCACCCTCATCCCCGCACCACACGACCGCGTTCCCCTCACGTTCTCCACAGCGCCCTACGCCTGCGCATACTTCATCCCGTTCATATTCCTTTGCTATCTCGCTCGACGTCCGGACACTCGTCTTATACGGATACTTCTTCTTCCACTCCTCATCACCACATCTTTACAAGGCGCCTTCGGCTACGTATGGACCGACCCACGTTTGAACGTATACAATTGGGGCGCTGCCCTTGCTTCGTTCGCAGTCATCGCGAAGGGGTTAGATGCAGCGCTGGCAAGTGAGGGCAGATTCAAACAAGGGGAGAATGGGTTGGGAGACATGGAGGAGCCCGCGATTGCGAAGAAGGAAGGTGTGGATGAGGCGCCTGGTGATACAGAGACGAAGAAGAGGCCTGGAAGCACATTCCTGCCCAGGTGGCTCGAGGATGCGCTAGAGTTCGCCTTTGCTTTTAGAGGCATCGGTTGGGACTTTGGGAAAGGGGTGTATCTGCCACCACCAACGAGGCCATTGGAGAAAGGACCATTCGTGCGCGCGACACTCCTCAGTTTCGTTATCAACTACATCGGGCTGGATTTCATGGAGAGTCTCCTGAAACAACTTCCAGGCGTTGGGAGCGTGCGTGGAGGAACAATCTTTTACCCCTGGATGGAACCACTACCGAGATACCTGGCGTCGACCCTAATTCATTTCTCGACCGGGTGCGCACTCCTTTGCGGATTCGCCATGGTCTACGATCTTATCACCCTGTTCGCCGTCCTCCTGCTCGACCATTCTCCGACAGCTTGGCCGCCTGTTATGGATAATCCCTGGATCGCGGATTCCCTACACGACTTCTGGGCCAAACGATGGCATCAACTGTTACGCCAGACATTCTTGGTCCTTGGAGGCATCCCGGGGCGCGTACTTTTTGGGAATATCGGATTGGTGTTCGGAACATTTTTGGCGTCGGGAATGTTCCATGAATGCACAATATACGCCTTAGGAAGAGGATGGGATGGAAGGGTTCCGTTGTTCTTTCTGTTGCAAGGAGGCGCGGTTATCGGGGAGAGGCTGTGGAGGCGTTGGACTGGTAGGAGGGTCGGAGGGTGGTTTGGAACGCTATGGGTTTATTTCGATATCGTGATCTTGGGACAGCCGCTTAGTGAGTGCCTCGGTTCAAGTCTTCTTGAGTCTCCTTGTTTTACATGCATGGGTGCTGACTGTTAACTTTTGTACTTTTTGCGCGGTTGATAGCGGATGCGTGGCACCGAAGAGGTCTTGCGGGAGGCATGGTCATCCCACCATTTATATCTCCGATGCGCCTTTTCGTGATCCCTGCGGTCAAGCACCTTCTCGGCTACTGATCTCAGCATTCAGAGGCATCTATATCGCACCCGAACTTCCCCACATTAATCCCACACCACCTCACGAAACTCACGACGCTTCTTGCCTTGAAGGATCTATATCCAAACATACGCACTATGGATACTAGGTCTTCGTTGATTCTCGCTCTGTTGTTGCAGCAATAAACCTCACGAGTACTGCATATATAAGTTATTTGCTTGATTTCACACTGTACAATTAATTCTTCACCTAATGCCATCACTGCGAGCATGATTTGCTCTGACTTTGAGACTCCATGACCCCTCATTCACAAGCGTAATACACATACACATGTCGAGTGTTCATCTTTATATCCCCGACAACCCGGCCACGGCCAGCAATTCGCGCATCTTCACTTGAACACTAAGCCGTCTCCGTCGGCCTCACCACCAACTTCGTGCCACTGACCTTTCCTTCCCCCATCCTCTTCAACCCTCCCTCAATCCCCGCCAACCCACCTGGCAACACCTCAATCGTATTCGGCTTCAAATCGCCATTGCGCAACAGTTTCTCAAACGCTCCGAACAACTGTTCACCAACACGCGTGTCACCGGCCGTGTCATCGTTCACCGTCCCGAAGACCCTCGCCACGCTCTTCCCATCCTGCTCCTTGATATCTTCCACGAGTGGTCTAGTGACCACTAGCTTGCCGCCCAAATCACTGAGTATACCCCAAGAAGCGACCTGCGTATCCTGTGTAGAGATAGCGTCGTATATCACCTTGACGGGCTTCGAGGTGATACCGCGTACGGCGGAGGGAAGCGCAGGGTAGGACGTGGTATGATAGTCGATGACGTGCGTCGCGCCGGCGGCTTCGCAGTAGGCTTTGTTAGAAGCAGAAGCAGTGGTGATGATAGGGTTGAACCCGGAGAGCTTCGCGAGTTGGATAGCTGCATTACCACAGTGATGAGTTCCATGAACTCGGACACTTCAGGTCATATTGCAGCAGAACGAACGAATCCTCACCGAATTGCCCCACAGAGGACGCTCCGCCCGTCACGAGTATAGGTTCGTCCTGATACTTGCCTTTCCCGTCCGCTTCCCAAGGAGCGACAAGGCCCGCGCCAACTTGTTTTTTACTGTAGAGCCCGATGGCGGACGTGCTGATGCAAAGAGGGAATGTCGCTGCCTCTTCGAATGTGAGGTTATCCGGGATCTAGGTAGGGGAACCGAGTAAGTACGAGTGAATAAAATGTCGATCTGAGAGTAATACAGAGTGTGCGTGGTACATGCCTTTGCGGTGGTACTCGCGTTGGTCAGTCCGTACTCTTGGAACGTAAACCTGTCGTTGACGAAATCGCCAGGATACAATCTATACACAACCATAATATCAGCCAAACCCATTCACAGCGTCGGTGGCCTCAAAGGGCGAAGAACTCGAGGCTATTCAAGCACTCACACTCTATCGCCCTTCTCGAACCCCACAACGCCCTCCCCTACTTCTTCAACTCGCCCCGAAGCATCCCACCCAAGGACGACCGGCCATTCGCGAACAAACATTCCGTATGCAGACATGAACACTTCGAAAGGGTTGAGGGCTACGGCAAGGATCTTGACGAGCATTTGGCCTTTGCCTGGTTTGGGGATGGGGCGTGTCCCGACGATGAACGGAGCGCCTGCGGACGCGATTTGGATGGCTCTTTGCATTGTGATGGTGGTGGTGGTGGTGGTGGTGGTGGTGGTGATGTTGGCTAGGGGAGAAGATGACTGAGCTGCGAGTCTTGATGAACGATTATTTATACAGAGTGGAGGCGTCTGATAGGGGCATCAGACCGAAGAGGCGTATCCTCGACTGACCAGAAAGCACAAGCCGTAGCCTTCGAATATAGATTTCATGCAGACAAACGCTATAAGCGTGAGCCAAGGCGTAATCTTCCGCGCCGCACTACACGAGTCCAGAACATCAGCCGTCCTTCCTGTTAATGATGCAGTGACAAAGTAGGATCACTGAAAGTCATCAGCATGACCCCACCTTTCCCCCTTCATGGATGGTAGACCGCCGAGTGAGAACTAGAGTAGTCATATTTTGCAGCCGTCGTCTGACCTCTCCAATAAGAAGCTAGGACAGGAAAGGAGGTTCCCAAATGGTGATCATACTTTGGGCACAGCTGACGAGAAAGGGACGACTGAGCGCTGAGAATAGGGCTTGAGAGCTGTGGCTGTAATGAAGTGGGTTTTATGGGCGACGATGGTGTAGTTCCGGTATTATGGCGCAGTCAAGAGTTCAAGAGCAGGCGAGTAAGATCCTGATATCTTCGACGTGGACAGGGGTCACAGAAAGCAAGGCAAAACTTTGTCGTCTGGCTGAACTTCGAAAATCTCCATGCTATTCAAGGCGCCAGGAAGAGCAAATCCGTAGCTCACAGCCAGAACTCAATTCGCCGAACGTGCCTGCCAGGAAAAAGATGGTGATAGAGCGCAATCATCGTACATGGACTCACTCTTCACGACTCGCAACGTCAAAGATTTACTAAGACGCCCCATTCGGCCCAAACAAGAATCTCACTGTACCCTCATTCTTGCCCAATGCCCCAGCTCCTCCCATTCCTCCCTTCTTCATCGCCTCCCCACGGCCGCCGCCGCTGCTTCTAACATCACCAAACAGCGCAGTCCTCTCCCTCGGCTTGTGTTCTGACTCCCTCAACGATATCTTCAACCGTATGAGTTGATCGGAATTATACGGGCACGGGCTCGGTTGTGGTGGAATATGTGGGTTTGAGGATGGGTTGAGAGCGTTGTTGCGACTTGAGTGTGGATAAGGTGAGTAAGCGGATGGAGAAGAGGGTGTGCTCGGTGAGGCGGAGGCGGAGGGATTTTGGGCTGCTGCGATGAGGAGGTCAAGGAGCGCGTGGGCGATCACTTCGGTGCCAATACGAACGAAGTCGACGTAAGTAACACAGTACGGGTGGTATATTAGTAGGTTCGGAAGGAAGTCGTGAGAAGTCGTGCAAAGTCAGACTGACGTTCAAGGTCCTCGACTTGAGCTTGGAATTTGCGCTCCCAAGGCCCATGCGTACGTAGCATCGCCGCGATCTGGTGGTCGCTCGCGCAGCCAGGTTGAGCTTGAGTCGGCCCTTTTTCGAATGAAGAGAGAAGAGCGGCGAGGTTGATGCAAGCTACGGCGACGACGTGTGGTGGGAATTGCAGGGGAGAGAGGGTGCGTTGGCTGAAGAGAAAATGGTCGGTGAGAAGGTATTTCATGAGAATGGCGAAGGAGGCAGCAAAGAAAAAAAGAAATCACCTGTCGATTGTGAGTCTCCATGCGAACTTGGTTAGCTTTTTGGAAGCTGAGGTAGGTGGTTGAAGTGAGCGAATCTTCAGCAGAAAGGGACAAGGACGAGTCATACCTTTCAGTTCTCGACCTATTTTGATGACGTATGGGAACGGCATTCGAGACGTGAAATTGAAACATATCGTCTCTAGAATAAGTCTTTCAACTGCCAAGAGCCGTTGCCTGTCTGCTTCCACGACCTAAAGAACATATTGAAACCGCTCCTTTTCAGTACCTCTGCCCATGCTAAGTATCAACGGGGAGCAGAAAGAGCAAGATGATGAGCGACAAAACACGTACAGCAGGGTCCATGTCGATCTCTCCTGCAATGCTCTTCGACTTTGCTGCTTGCTCGGGAAATCGAACGGCGTATGAAACCATGAGCAGCTCTCTTGGCTTTTTAAGCGTGTCATGCATCTTCGTTGAGACATAAAGGGCTGCTAGCGTGACGTCCTGAAGCGCTAGAGTTATTGCCAACACAACGACGAACCAGGAGCAGGATTCTCACATGGTAGTTGAAGTCCTTCCTAGCAAAGAAAAGATGAAACCTATGATATAGGTTCTGTGCCGTCGCAATCGTCCTTCGAGGACTATCCCATTAGGGCCACACAGACGAACGTTCAGCAGGATCCAGTTACCGAGCACAGGGGAGAATGGGAGATACCTACAAGCCCACTCGTGAACCAATTGCCTCAATGAATCCGCACGCCTGCTGCCTTGCTCTGTCTTCCTGAGTTATAGACATCTTTCCGCGTTGCTGCTCCGAAAGGATGTCTACCTCAGTAGGCGTGAAGTATGGGTGATGATGTTGTGTTTGAGAGGCGGGAAAGTGAAGAGGTGAGTCTCTCGACGAGCTTGCTTCCATGGTTGTATTTTGTTAGAGTCTCGAAGCGTATAATAGAGAAGATAGAATGGTCAGAGGGAGCTCGAGGACAAGGTACCTCAGTGGAGGGAAGCAAGCTCAACGTCAACTAGATAAGATAACAGAATTGATAAGATTAGATGTGGCATAGCGGATCTGCGAATTGCTTCCGTTCACTTCCGTTGAAGTCACGATGATCCTCAATGGGCAGTTCAACACCGGTCTTCATCATCTCCGTCATCGACCTCGTCATGCCCGCCTCTCTCGATCCTCTTCACCATGACGCGCCTGATAATGGCGAGTTGTATATAAAGGCGGCACTGGTAGAGCTCGCTCATTAATTCCTTTCATCATCATGGCAAGCATCCTCGGACTTGATACCCTCAACCCCGCCACGCTTCTCAGCGGTCGCTACAAGCAAGAAGAAATACCTGACCTCACTGGGAAAGTCGCCCTCGTCACCGGTGGCTCAGCCGGCATTGGCTACCACGATGCCCTCGGGCTCGCTCGTGCTGGCGCCAAAGTTCTCACCATGTCCACCACGCCCGAGCACGGCAGGCAAGCCGAAGAGGAGATGAATCAGTTCTTGAAAAAGAATGTGCCGGGTGGAAAGGGAAGCGTGAAGTGGCACCACGTAGACTTGGGTGATCTGAAGGCGACCGATGCATTCGCGAAGAAGATCGCGGAACAGGAAGAGAGGTTGGATATCTTGATCAACAACGGGGGCATTGGCCAGGTTCCGTATGCACTCACGAAGGACGGCGTTGAGAATCACTATGGTGTAGGTGTTTTTTTTGTCGAAATTGATGTATTTCATGTTCGTGTTGCTCACCGCATTTGTTGTCTAGGTCAATAATCTCTCTTACTATGTCCTCACCCTTCGGCTGCTTCCTCTCATGCAGAAAACCGCCGAATCCTCTACGCTGCCGACAGTACGCATTGTCATGCAATCCTCCGAACTTCACCGAGCGGCAAACTCCGATACCAAGTTTGCCTCCCTGGAGGAAATTCAAGAGAAGCGTGACCCCACGATAGCGTAAGTGCTGATACTACTCCCACTTCCTTCTACATCTTCGCCCTACTCCCGCCCCTGTATCCTCATCACCGCAAGGTGCTTGTACAAACCATCACACATACTCTATGCCATTCTAGCTACGGCCGTTCCAAACTCGGCATGATCCTCTTCGCCAAACAACTCGCCAAACGCAAACTCTCCGGCACCTCTTCTCGCAACAACATCCTCATCGCCTCCTGCCACCCAGGCACTGTCGACACCGACCTCCAAACCGCTTGGACACAGTCCTACGGAGTTCTTGGCCAGGTTATTGAGCCTTTGAGTCGGCTGATGGGCAAATCTGCCCCCGAGGGCGCGGAAGCCAGTTTGTGGCTTGCTACGTCGCCCGAAATTGGGACGAACAACTTTGACGAGTTCCAAGTACGTTTTTGCTTCTATCCTCTCTTTCGGAAATAGACATCCCTGCTTATTGTAGTTCTCAACACAGGGCGGCTACTTCTCAGAGGCGAAGGGGAAACCCGACACCGAGAGCAACCTTGCGAAGGACGAGACCGTCGCCCAGAACTTTTGGAACTTGTGCGCCGCCCAGGCGAAGAAGATACTTGGTGAGGATATTCCGTAAGATGTGCTTTGATTCTGTGTAATTCGTGAAAGATGTATGATGTACGAGGCGCAATGTGATATCATTGGGTTTTAGCCAACTATCGTCCTTAGACACCCTCAAGATCGGTGAGGTTACCGGTAAAGGCTATTCCTTACCTCTCGAGGTACATGTAAAAAAGAAAAAATACGGCGCCATAAGACGGCTCTGAGGCCTGATATCCGACTAAGGTCCTAGTTAGCCCTTGCCGTGTGAGGACGCATGGAACGCAGAAGAGGGAGAGTATTCTTGCACCACGACGATTCACAGATTCTTCCCGGACAGTGACTTGGATCTTGTACACCCGATTAGCAAAAGGCAGGTGAGGTCCCATGTTTTATTCGATTACGCATGCTTCTCAACAAAAACTACTTCAACCAAATATACTCAGTTCCATTATTCGTTCCTTTCATCTCGGTGCCTCGAAAGTCGAGAGGTTGCGGGCTCAGGCCTTAGGCATTACTGAGCTTCTTGAAGTCCAGCAAGCTATCCCTAAGCATCTCCTCCGCAGAGTGGTACTTCAGTCCCAGAATACGTTCCGCTTTGCTGAGGTTGTACGACAGATCCCAAGGAAGGCCCTTCGTCGCACCAGGCTTGCCCTTTGGAAGATTTGGAAGGATAGGAGGGTCGATAGAGTTTGCCACGTCCACTGTAGGTCAAACAGAGTGAGGGGGGTCAGAACTTATTTCCCTTCGACACAGAGTTGGACTCACAAAAGTCTTGCCAGAAGAAGTTGCCACCGCATACGATGAATCGTTCTCCACCTGCGTCGGGCTTCTCCACGGCGAGGGCATGTGCGAGCCCAAGATCACGGACATCGATCCAGCAGTTGGAGTTGGTGGTCAATGCAGTCTCGTCCATCGTACCTTTGACGACGGCGTCGTAGACGGCTTGCATGGAGGTGTTGAGCGAGCTGAGGTCGTTGACTTCTTGGAGGAGGGGCTACGTGATCCCAGCCTCGATGTCAGCAAGCGAGGGTCTTCGAGAGCCGTCAGGGTATGAGAGAGAGTAGCTCACCCCGAATACCCAAGGCGGATTCAGAACGGTGAGGTCCCAGGTTATTTCAGAGGCGTTGGTCTTGACGAAATCCCAAGCAGCTACGAGGACAGGGTGGGTTTAGTATTTCACCTGCACTGCTTTTCATGAGTTCTAGTTCACTAACCTCTCTCCGCCAATGTCTTTGACGCCGTATAGAAACTTCGCACGGCTTTCGCTCCGTTCTGTTGCACGTCGGCGACAGCAGCCTCATTCCAAGATGTCTCGTCGTAGACGACCGGAGGTGTGTAACCACTTTGGAAAACGGAGGCGGAAGACGCGGTCACGACAATACGTTTGACAGACTTCCTGTGGGTCATGGGGTAAACATTAGTAAATATGATCTGTACTTTCATTACTTTGCAGTCGAGATGTTCCACGTACCCATACTTCTTGGCTGACTCGAGAACGCCCACGGTCCCTTTGATCGCAGGCACAAGCATGTCTGGGAGGAGATACTTAAACGCCGGCCGACAGCCCATGTAAGATGAAGCTCACCGTCTGGCTCTTTGGCCCTGAAGTGGAACGGAGACGCAGTGTGTTCTATGAAATCGACACCCTTCACGGCTTCGTCGAACGCGCCTTCCTATTAATATTTAGTCTGTCAGAACCCGCACGGATGATAGGATAAAGAAGAGACTGGAGATCAGACCTTGGTAATGTCTTCCACGACCACACACTCGAACTTGTCTCCGTACTTCTCGAATAACTGCTTGAGATGGACGCCTTTGCTCTCGCTCCTGACCGTTCCACGGACAGAATATCCCCTTTCGAGGAGCGTCTGGACAACCCAGACGGCGACGTAGCCGTTGGCGCCAGTGACGAGGGCTTTGGCAGGAGGGGCGACGGCAGGCATGAGTGAGGAGTGTAAAAGGTCAGGTAGGGGCGATGAAAGCGAGGGTATTTTTTGGAGGGCATCGGTCCACCGAAAAGCCCGCCTTTATACCCAGCAGTGACTCCTCCTCACAGCCAAGTCTTTCCCTCTGTAGCTTAACAATCAAGAAACGGTTCTCCAAGTGGGTCGAGTGACGTCTCGAGCATCAAGATTGGCCTGGATATGAACTGGAGAGATATCGAACATCTGTGCAGTGGCGAGCCGGATATTCTATAACGGAGAATAGTGGATCGTTGTCTGGGCAAACTTCAGACTGAACGCCACTTCCCACCCGCACTCACACTAGTCAAAAAGAGTCAGAAGGGCCCTGACTGGCGGATGGGTGCTGGTCTCACGAACACAAACCTTCCAGCGATAGACCTCTCGGGACACATAACCAGCTACCAAGCTCGCTCGCGGGGGCGTCAAGGTCCTCAGACTATCCAGCATGCCCGATAAGTATTAGAAAGAAGGCCGCGATGACAGTTGAATAAGATGCGAGGTCTCAGAAGGTTTAGCATAGAACTCAGCAGGGAGAGTCTCGCACGAGGGTTTACCTTCGAGATACTATGAGGGATCAAAGTCAGTCATCATACAATTCACGATGGCCCGCATTTTGCGGTACTTACCTGAGTTTATAGCGAAGGGTCGAAACCAAATACGAGCCTGTCGAAAACTAAACATGGTCAATAAAGCATAAGCAGGGAAGTTTTGTCACGAAGTGCACAATATGCACGACACACCTGCGCCACACCTTCCTTGAACACCTTACCACGCGTGTCCTTATCCAATCATGATTTCTGGCACTTCGTCGAAATAGCAGAGGAGAGATGTGATTTGCATTCACAACGGTACATCTAGCACCCCATCGTGACAAGAAAAAATATTCAACTGGCAAGAGACAGGCAGAAGTGAGAAAACCAAGAAAATGGATAGTCGGGAAGTCACAGCATAACAACACTGTCCAATTCGTACGACGTCGACATCGACGATGTCAAGGAATCATCAGAGTGAGCAAAGTTCAGACCAGAGAAAAACGAACCACGCTAGCCATGTACAAGTGAACCGGACAAAGAGATGTGGATGAAACGTGTATCGTACAAAACAAGTAAAAGATGTAGCAGACGAGATGGGGGTCATGATGATATCGTAACGTAGTGTGTGATTATGCCTTTGAGCGGGGAGCATGTCAGGAAAATGGAGGATCAAGAGGAAGAGATGAGTCGGCGAGGATCTCGGATAACGGATGGGCAAAGGCAGGCATACATATGACACCAAACAAAAAGGTGGCACAAGCAAGTGAACGGGATGAGAAAGCAGATAACCAAAAGCATAAAACGAGACAGCAATGACGACTAGAATCCATGGAGAAAATCAAAACAGCAACGTACAGAACACTAGACTTCTTTTCCTTCTTCTTCTTGATACATCCCCTAATCCCACTCCTTCTTGATATAAGGACGCTGACCCCTGCCCCTACCTCGTCCACCTCCCCGTCCATATCCCCTCCCCCTGGAATTCCCGTCGCCGTATCCTCTGCTGAACCCATCACCGTTCCCATCCCACCGATTCTCCCCAGAGTCGTACTGGCCGTCACCCTGCATCATCATTCCACCACCTCCCGAAGTACCTCCCCACTCATCTCTTCCGTCATAACCGCGGTTCTCTCGCCCATGTGCATGGCCTCCGCGCTGCGGCCGGGAGCCTGAGACTGACGAGGACACGCCTACTCTCTGCCTCAAGGACGGCCCTCCGATCCTGTCCAGCAAAGGCGTATCCAAATCCTCTACCACCGGCGCTTGGAATCGCCTCCGCTTCATGGGCGGCATCTGCATGCTATCATCCTCCTCATAGTAATCTCCGTTGTCTTCCATATTCATGGTGAAGTGACCCTGACCTTGACCGTTGGACCACGTCATTCCATTGTTGTGAGGAGGGCGTCTGGGACGACGCAAACCGTTCGTGTTTGAGCTGGGGTTGTGCATTGGCTGCGCAGTGTATTCCGGAGCCTGAGCGAATGAACCATGTGTCGCCTGATTCACATATGGAGTAGGGGTCGGCATAGTCATCATCGAAGGAGGTCCTTGAACGAACTGGACGGGAGCTTGGGCAGGCGGCACATATCCATCATGAATCGGTTGTTGGAACGAGGGCTGAGCGTCCCACACTTGCTGTGATTGCTGGTGATGGATCCGCGGCTTCTTGAACGGTGCAGGTGGCGAGTGAAAGATTGATGCTGGAGGAAATGAGGTTTGGGAAAGTGCTGGCGGCGGCTGATGGAAGGTGTCCGGTTGATGCTGACGAGGAGGACGTCCTTCGTACTGCGTGTCGCCATTGTGAGGATACTGACGCTGCGGTCTGAAACCGCCGCGCCCTCGTCCCCGACCGCGTCCACGACCACGATATGACGACCTTTGTGGCGGTCCCACATCCTCGTACTCGTCATCGGCCCAACCCCCGCCATTTTCGGCGTCGGCGTTTTGGGGTGTAAAACCGTTTGCGGTATTGCCCGTGTTCGTGAACCCGTCGGGTGGTGGCGGAAGGGGATTGGCGATCCATTGGCCGTTGGAGTCCTGGGTAAGAAGGAAGCTCGTACCAGGTTGCATCGTGTTCGGGACCGCTGCTCGAGGAGGTATGGAGCGGGACTATCGTGATAGTATATCAAATTAGCAACTGGGTGGATGAGAACTCAGCTGATTGACTCACATTATGCCTAGTTGTCGACGGGGACCCATTAGATGGACGGCGTATCATCCCGCCGTGAGCGCCTTGTGGGTACTGCGCGTCTTGGCCAGGGGTGTGCGTGTCCTCTGGCGTCCAGACGACTTGAAACGCTAGAGACGATTGACGACGTGGGCGACCCAGGCTCGCTAGGTTATCCGCCACGGCGTTGTTGCTGGTAGGGAAATGTGGGGTAGAATCCTGTGGAACATAATGGTTGCGCTGGTTTCGATTACCGGTATACGGCTGGAGGGAGCCGGCCTGCTGACGTTAACACGGTCAGTGAATAGAAGCATTGTAACGTGCATGCAGCACGAACCTGAGCATCACCGGATCCGTTGTTGAACAACTCGGTAGGCGCATGGGGCTGTCGTCCACGTTCCTGGTGTTGGGGCAAGTTGTCGTTGTATGGCTCCCCAGGCCGGTAACAGTCGCTTACACGCCGCGGAGGTTGATCTGACGGTTGCTGATCGGGGGCGAGATAATTCGTGGTAGGGTAGGTATGACTGGAGGCTAGGCGAGGACGCTCGCGAGGGAAGTGACCATTATGCTCTGTGGAAAACGGAACGAACGTCTGTTCGAAGCCGTTGTGGGACCAGGGTGCAAACGAGGGATCACTGCCAGCTGCGGCCCCAACATTCGTAGTGTCTCGTGTCATGACAGCATTAGCAGATGCGTTTCGAGAACGAGGGGGTCCGTTGGCGGACACGTGGCGGGCGTGTGAAGGAGGAACGGCGCGCGAGCCATGGAGAGTACTATTGGAGAATGATACTCAGAGAACGCAGTAATATGAACACTTCGTAAGAACCGACCTTGAAGATCGAGAGTGTTGGGAGGCGGATGAAGACAGAGCTCGTTGTCGCGTACTCGAACTCGCGACCTTCAGGAACTGATCTTCCTGAGGCGGAAGCGGTGGTCCTCTCGGGCCGAACACTGAACAAACGAGGTACAGTCGCACGATACGCCACAAAAAAAGAGAACAGAGGGGCATTTATATGAGGATTGCCACTTTGTAGGGCTATAAAATACGTACGGATCATCTCAGCTTGTGATGATGAGACCTGCTGAGAAGATATATTTCGAGCTCGAGGAGGAGCATTCGAGTCTGATGCAGAGTGCCTCCGGAATCGCTCTGGCTGCGAAGTATGTAGGCTGTTCGTTTGACCCCGTATCATTTCATCATCAGATTTGTTTAGGGAAGCAGATCCTCGGAAATCAAGAGGAGCGACGCTTTGAGCGCGCTTATACCGAACAGCATGGTTCGAAGATTGGCCGTTAGAGGCATGTCCAAAAGCTCGAGAGTCGCGGGCTGCAGTTCGCAGGTCAGAGAAGGAATCATCATCCGCCCGAGGGGGTACGGAAGAGCTACGGCCAGGCATCTGCTCTGGACGCCAATGTCTATCATCCCAAGAAAGTCTGTCTGGAGACGCGTCTGGGGAAGTCGTGTCGTCTCGAAGTCGGTTTCCCGTCTGGGCATCATCAGAATGACGCTCTTCGGCGTCGCTAAAATCCTGATCAGCTCGTCCATGCACTACATGGTGTGAGAACTGCGATCCGTCTCGATGCCTAGGGGGTCCGAAGCGTGAGGGCTTCCGGCCGCGACCAATAGATGTATCAGCACTAGCACCGTTCGTGACTTCGGGTGTATCCTGTATAAAGTCGGGTTTGGAAGGAAGTGGGTGCCGAAGTGAATGAGGGGAGTCTGGGATGGATGAATATGATGAATATGGTGAAGTGGACGCGAATGTCTGGCTGGTGTCCGCACCGGTGGACGAGTGGCGACCTGCATCGCTGACATGGACATCGATGTGGAGGGCAAGAGGTGCTAAAGGGGCTCGTTCAGCGGTAAGAGCGTGTGAGGGATCATCGCGAGGCATGGCTTCCTCGTCGTCCCCAAGCGAGACGGCATCTTCACGGTCGTCGTCCCCTGCGCCACCCGTTTCCTCACTGACAGACGCGCCTTGATCATCCTCCTGGGATGTCGACGTTGCTTGATGTTCGTCTTCGTCGTTCTCGTAGTCGACCTGGTCGAAGTCTTCCTGCATGGTGGTGGTCGTAGGTGAAGGTGGGAGAGGCGGTGAGGGGCAGGCAATGAAGGAGAGAAAAGAAGAGTTAAGGCGTCTAAACCCAAGGACAGACGCGCTCTACTCTAATTGGCGCGACACGAGTCTACACGAGGCCACGTGCCTTCGCGTTCTCCTTTATCTGAGGAGATCCCGCTCTGCCCACGCCACCCGATACCTTTCCATCCTCAAGGCGTTCGGCTGCGCTTTGTGTACGAAAGCAGCCTTGCTTTTCATAAAGTCTTTCGTCTCTCGCAAAGGCTGTCGCTGTTCCCTAACGGAACTTTGAAATCTGAAAGCCAGCAATTGTCGTCTTATCTTGTTCATCCAGGTCCGGCGTCCTGTACTCGGCACACAACTCCAAAGAGTCCGGGCATGCGGCTGCGGTCATTGTATGGAATTGATGCATGGAACAGCCATGGGCATCGCCACTCAACGGTGCAGGGCATATGACAGGGCCTTTGTATTTGCATCAGCATCGAGGCTATGTACAGAGGGAAGATCGAGGGGAGGCGGTTGTACAAGTCCTCAAGTATGCAGGCTGGCGTATTTGTATGCACAGGACCTCTGGTTTCTGGAAGTACCTATACATAGTTTGTACAAAGCAACGTCGCAGAGGTGTGGAGTGTGTGTTGAGTGTGTGAACGTCCAAGAATGTCGCACGCCAGACTGTTGTTTCGTGTACATCCGTCGCTCGAGGCCACACCATCAAACCATCAAGGCCTCGAAAGTGCTTAGTAAGATCCATCAGAGCAATCTGTACAGGGTCGAGCAAAGCAACGTCCGGGACGTTTTCGAGGTTTGCGGACAACAGACGCTGAAGTACGTGAACGAAAGAAGAGGGGCAGTCGATTCAGAATGAGCGGAGCAGGTGCTGAAGGGATATATACATAGAATGGTTGTTTATCATCGGTTAGAGTAGGGTTGTCCTGCGCTCTGAAGAGCTCATTCAATGACAACATCAGGTACGATCCCATCAAACATCTCGACGTAGGAAGTAGCATCGAGGCCACCGTGGAACCCGAGTCTCCTCAACTCATGGCAATCCTTGGGCAATCCGCGACGCGACGAATTTGTTCCACCAGCACCTACACACGCTCTGGACTAAACATCTGAGGTAGGGCCCCGGGAATGTAATGGATGCTAATCAAGCGGGGAAAGACGCGGGCGCCAGACCCTGCGGCAGCCAGGACGTCAGTATTGCCGTCGATGTACCTAAAAATGAGACGTTCTGCTGTTCTGAACGTCTCCAGGAGTTGAGACGAGGCCACACTTTCCATGGCCAAAACGGAGATGGGTCTAGTAAACATCTAATGACTGGACTAGTGAAGGTCCTGAAGGCGGTCGAAGGGAAGGAATGATAAAATCACATTGAGTGATTGGGTGAGCTTTTCAAGCGTTGTCTCGAAAGCAGGTAGCACGAAAAGGTTCCGGGAGAACCGGACGAACTCGGGATCGAGGAGGTGGATAGCCAGCAAAACTCGTGGACCGGGGATCTCTGTGTCGTTGCCGTGCAGGTCCCCAGTGTGGTCCCAGCATTTAACCTGGACATCGAGATCGGGGCCGGGAAAGAACATGACTTCACAGCTCTCAAAATGCGGGAGTGGGAGAGCAGGCCGCATCGAAACTGGCATGTTCTCTGACAGTCTGCCTCGAATATCGTCGTTGCTAATGACAATGTTGTGACTCACAGTCATATTTGGGTGGGGTGCGAGGTGTCTGGTCAAGGTGGTGATGTCGATGAGGTTTCCAGGTGTCTCCAAAGACCGGAGTCGCGGGAGGTGGATACACGAATGATCCTGGTCGAGTTTGGACGGCGAGAAAATAGGTGGAAGACCCTGGTGACTTGGTAAAGTACGAACAGAAACCGATTGCTAGGATCTCAAGCTGCTGCATACTCCGTAAGGCGTCTAGTACATCTCGTAACGGGATTTTGGAATAGATTTTCACTCCGTTCGGTGGGTTGAACGACAGTGTCAAGCTGACAAGATTAAGAAGAATAGGAGAGGGCCACAAGTGTTCGGTATCCAAAGGACAAAGTTCCATCGTCAGATGCCGTAGGGAGGGAGCATATCGTCCAAGGAAGTCAGGGAGGAGCGTGTAAACATGAGTTTGGTAGAGATCGCGGGACTCGATGTAATGCCCGGAGCTTGATATCGAGCCGGTTGAACCAACAAGTCGCAAATCCGCATTGCCCAGGACCACTTGGCTGCTTAGTACGGAATAGCTTAGGCAGCATTTCGTTGAGATTTTCCTTTTCACTCAGCGCCAGCGCTTCGCAAGTCCTATATGGATGATGATTATCGGTGTATGAGGGCCGACCTCCATGCACAATGGTGAGAGGTGCATCTTTCGAGCGAGAAAGCATCTCATGCATCCGACGCGTATTTCCCAGCCACAAAGTTGACCACACCGAAGAAGATTCCAAGGCGACTTCGTGCCACCGCCGACAAACCTGAGAGGCGGTGATGAGATGCTGCGTCCCGACCGAGATATCGAGTGGTATATCTTGGGAAAAGCGGTCGCATCGAGGCCCAAGTACGGGTAGGAGGTTGCGAAAAATACGGGCTGGAATTTTCGGCGGGGAGTCGATTGATAGAAAGAAAAGCGTTTCGGCGCGCACTGATGTCGTGGATGTACGCTCGAGCCATCGCGATCTCATCATCGCAAGCGCGTATTGCAAGCAAGGCATCTCTGTCGGAGGATTCCAGTACTTCTGTCAACATATACTGTCGCAGATTCTTCCATATTTCTCGCCTGTAGTAAAAATAGGAGAGAAATAAGGATTGCGTCCCTTCGTGATGCTAACATCCTCACCTAGAGGCGCTTGAGTCGACGGCATCGGTGGATATTTCTCTGTGCGCAGATGATCCAAAAACGATATGTGCCTGGTTGCAACGACTTGAAAACTCGCTGAAGATACGAATGGCAGTAACTGGACGATGCCTAGCACTGACGCCGAAAAGGCCCTTGTGTCGCTCAAGCTAAGTTCGGAGCGAAAGGGATGCTGGATGTGGTGGTTGTGGAAGTACAATTATCGTGTCAGCAGAGAACTGCGGCAGGAAGTGTTGAGGTTGCAGGGTCTGCGTGGTACTCAGAGGACGTGGTCAAGACTTGCAAGCGCGGACCCTTGTTCGGCACCATAACTGGCGGAGTTCGGAGTATCCCGCGGCCGGTTTAGGCCAGAGTTTGTGTCACACGAATATTCGGCGGGCCTCCTCAGGACCAACGGTCATCTTCTGCAAAGTCATCCCGCCTTCGCCTATACTCTGCTGTTTACGGCCGAGCTCGGCCACTGTGGAAAGATAAGATGCTGACAGCGTCAAGATGAGCCACACGGCCGACTTTTCCATTTGCCCTTACTTATGATGACTGGGACTGGAGACGCTTCATGACGTCAGACCATATCTTGATACATATAGACTCTCAAGTCCGGCGTCCATGTTGATTTCACCTAATTTCAGCACTTTGCTCCATAGCCTTTGTCTGCCTGCGCTTTGTGTCTGAGACTTGGAAGATAGAAAATGCCTATAGCAGAGAAACAGCTAGGTGGTGGCCTCAAGATTCCACAGTTTAGCGTGAGCGATTATAGTTCGTTCTTCCTCGCAGGTGCGTTTTCTTTCGGGTCAGGGGAATTGGGCGTGATGTTGACCGGGCATACGACCACCAGGAGCACTATGTTGCACGTATGTATCCAGCTTTATAGACACTATAAACATATTGACGGTTCTACCTTAAAGTCTTACGCATGGAGGAATGACCCGTAAGCATCACCTTTGTTCCTTTGCCTCATTGTCACGCCTTCCTCATAAAAGCTCCAACACATGTGTTTGTCCAGCCATTGACGTGATCAAAACGCGCATACAAGTCGACCCTGCACTCAAGGGACATTCCCTCCTCTCTGGCGGACGTAGGATTGTCTCGACTGAAGGACCCTCTGCTCTCCTGACGGGTTTCGGGTGAGTATCTCGATCATAATCTCGAGGTTTATCGCTGATAATGTGAATTCTTCTCCAGACCCACAGCTGTGGGATACCTTGTACAAGGAGGCGCCAAGTTTGCTGGGTACGAGTTTTGGAAGAAGAAAGCGGTGGAGTTGGCGGGAGATCAGGAGACGGCAGTCAAATATAGAACAGCCATTTATTTGGGCTCAGCAAGCGTGGCGGAGTGAGTCCTTCGTGTTCTCTTCGGTCATGTGCGTATAGTTCCGAGCGCCATTAATGCAATCCTTGATTTGGGTAGGTTCTTTGCGGACATCTTGCTTACTCCGCTCGAGGCAACGAGAATACGACTTGTTTCAGAAAGGGGCTACGCCTCCGGTTTGACAACAGGCTTTGCCCGCCTGGTTAGGGAAGGCGGCGTGCGCGAGCTTTATGCGGGGTTTATTCCCATCTTGTTCAAGTACGTTAAAGGCTCTTTCTACCTCATTTTTTGTAAGGAAAGACGCTTACTCTTTCCCAGGCAGATACCTTACGCTATCGGTCAATTTACTGTGAACGAATTATGCCATGAAGTCGCATTTCGCTCGATGTCAGAAGAGACAAAACGAAACCTCGGTCCCGGATCTAATTTCTCGATCTCACTCGGGAGTGGTATCATCGCAGGATTCGCCGCTGCTATACTCAGTCAAGTAAGCCTGCCGACTTGCGCTCCTTTTCAGCATGCACTGATCTCGCAAACCACCGTGTCGCACGGCTACAGCCCGCGGATACCTTACTGAGTCAAGTTCGTCCATTCCTGCTCTCCTTTTGTCCTTTTGGATGGCAAGTGCATAAGCTAACCTATGCAACCTACGTATACACTCAGATCAACAAGGGACATGGGCCTAAAGGCGGCATGATGTTCCGACTTGGTGCGCTTGCGAAGGAAGCGGGTTTCCGTGGGCTGTTCGCTGGCCTTGGACCGAGGATGGTTATGACAGGTGCGTCCTGGTGCTGTGTATCATGTACTACGACCAATGTTCACCTCTTCCCCTTTCAGCTGGACTCGTGTCTGGTCAATTCTTGATCTATGGGGTCATCAAGGATGGTCAGTACAGGCAACACTCCCTTTCTGTAAATATTCTCGCTGACGGCTTGCTTGTAGCTCTGGGTGCACCTCCTGGGATAGAGATCCATAAGGAGGCTCAGGTAGACTAGAGATCTGAGTCTCCTTGGTTTGGCTGTCTCGGCACAGCTGTTTGATGCACTCTCACGAGGACACTGCCGTCCCGTGTCTAGGTACTGTAGTGACAAGGGCAGTGCAATCTTGTTCTCTTAGCTTTTCTGTGTTGTTGTACTGTACACCATTAGACTAAGTATGCTGGATAGATATGTAATCGCTGGCTCATCATGTTTATCCGGGGCCACATCTCGCCACACCCAATCGTACCTTGGCAGGGTCCAAGATCCCCATCTCGGGAGGGATAAGATAAGCGGATGGGGGAGATGATGTTTATCAGATAAGATGGGGCCCGCGGGACTTCCCCGTTGGGGTTCTTTTGGCCAGACTGTGTTGAGCGTGCTCGCCATCTCACGACAGCGTTCCGACTAAGCTGGCCTTAGATATATAATAACCAACAAACTTGAGATTCTGTTCTTTTGTCCCCCGACCCCATCCGATTTCCAGTCAACCCTTCCCTTCATTGCGCCTCCTAGAACATCCACCATGTCCACCCCTGCAAACCTTGACCGCCCTATTGCGGATCTTCTCCGTGAAGGCACCGTCAGTGCTCACAAGAACGTCGAGACGTCCAAGGGTGCCCTCGCTCTCACCCATGGCGAGCTCGACAGAGAGGAATATGTTCGTTTCCTCATCATGCTTTACAACGTTTACGAGTACGTGATGGCTGTTTCTACTATCTTTTTTCGCGCTGCGGTTGACGTGCAGTCTTTCATTCGTCTCTTGCTCCGTGCCGGTCTTTGGGATCTCCAGTACGTTAGAGACAGCGCTGGAGAAGCATGCCTCCAACCCTGTCCTTGGTCCTACGTACAACCCACCACTTCTTGCACGGTCACCCGCCTTGCTCTCGGATATCTCTCACATTCTCGGCCACCCGCTCTCTACCATCTACTCCCATCCTCTGGTGGCCTCCCTCGCTATCTCGCCATCATCATCATCCTCTTCACGACCTCCACCGAACCCGAAGGATATCCCAACCGGTCTAGAGGAGTACGTGTCCCGCCTCTCTACTCTCGCCGTCTCGCCCGACCCTGCGCCTCTCCTTGCACACGCCTACGTACGCTACCTCGGTGACTTGTCGGGTGGACAGCAGATTAAGCTTAGAGTTAAGAAAGCTTACGGCTTGGAAGAGGACGATGGGCAGGGCATCAGCTTTTATGAGTTCGGAAAGTTGGGTGGCGAGACTGGACCTGCCACCATGGGAGACATGAAGAAGATCAAGGAATGGTACAGGGAGGGTATGAACGCTGGCGTGGGCGATGACAAGGACCTGAAACGTATGTCCAACTGCTTACGCGTCCCCTCCACCCTTCCCGGTCCCCCTCCTGCACCGTTCCCATGAGAAGCGCGTGGGTATAGATAGATACGATGATGCTAATCATGGCGTGCTTCCATCACCTGCAGTAACCATCGTTGCCGAAGCCAACAAAGCGTTCGAACTCAATACAGGCCTCTTCGCATCATTGCGAGCCCCTTCCAGCCCTCCCTCCAAGTCCTCCACTCCTCCGCCCTCGGAAGAGACGTTCCTCGGCGACCCTACATCCCCTACGACCGAGAAGTCACACTTCGAGAAGGCACGTGAGGAGTCGATCCAGCTCTTGCAGACCAACCCGCAAGTAGGCCTGAAGGAGCCGACGTTCACCATGGCTGGCGTGCTTTCGTTCTTGGTTGCATTGGGGATCGCCCATCTAGCGTTGACTATCGGCGGGTTTACGGGTGCGCGTGGTTGGGAGAAGTTGGAGGCCGTGGAGGAGTGGGTTGCGGGTCTTTTCGGGCAATGATTTGGAGGCTCATGGCGTTAGACATCTCTCTACGGTGCCTGCTTCCCGCTACAGTCGACGAGTGAGGCCTGCAGTGTGTGCCGTGCTCACACGAAGACGTACGCGTACACGTCGTTAGTGCTGGGCTGATGACTCTGTTAGCTAGACGGGTAGCCACCCGTGCTTACCTATACTTGGTCCTTTCCCTATTCTACGTAGCTGTAATTTCTCTCCACGGCGATCTCTACACCCTACGTTGTATCTATACCGTTGCTGACTTAGTATCGTTTGAGGGCGTTGTGCGTTTAATCATGACTTGGATGGTTTCATAAAGTCTTCCTTAGACTGTCCACTGTTTATAACAGTGTACCTTCGTCGACTGGTTAGCTACGGGGCCGCAAAGACGTGAGAATGACAAACGTGCTGTTTGATATCTGTGGCGTATGATCCTATTCGGGTGTTAGATCAGTGGCTACGGGCGAATAGTCGGATGAGTAGCCACTGAGGAAATTCATGGCCTGAAGGAGAAAGAAGTGGCGAAATCTTGCAGTCATCATGTTCCAGTTACTCGAAGTGATCATAATTTTGTGAAGCTACATACGAGCAGCATTAGACCGTATCTGCAACCGTTTAAACCGACTTTAAAACGGTGATCGGACCAATCGTCGCGTCCCATTGGGCTTTAGCGAGGTTAAGCGAGGTCAAAAATTCACTCGCAGATACGGTCTATTGTCGTAAGGTAAAAAGAACAGAGGAAAATATTACACGTTACAGTATACAATACAATGTTTCAATTACTTCACGCCCCTTATTTTCGCAACAAAGCCACAACATTGTCGAACGCAAGATTACGGCTCACCGAAGCCAGAAGAAAGAGGGAGAAGAGAGAGGGCGGGGAGACAAAAAGAGAAAGGATTTATCGTCGAAGAGCTCTACGAGTCCCAAATGGCTCCAAAGGCTGGAATACCCCTGCTCATCATCCCATAAACGACCTTCTCCGTCAGTTTCTTGTTCGAGATTACACAGACCGCCTCTGCGTTGAACTCTCTCACTAGACGGTACGTCAATTTCACCATGTCCGGTTTGCCGTGCACGCGAGTGTCTGTCAACAGAAATCCACTAGGAATTAAGTATAGAGTACGTCGTCATTAAAGTCGACTTGGGGACTGACCGTAAATGACAGCGTTCGGAGACGCGTCCAAGATCGAATCAACGAACGAATCCCCAAACGTCTTCCGAACATTAGGCGAAGTCCAAAGCAGTCTGATCGGCACGCGCTGCTCGAGTATGCATGGCGCACATGGTCCAATGCCACTACCCGTCGCCACGAAGACCACACGACGGAAGAGTGGAACGATGCGGAGGACACCACACGTAGGGACGCCGCGGACCCAAAGTTGCTTCTGCGGGGAGGCAATTGTGTCGCTGGTCCAATCACCCGCTTTAGAAACGACGAGGGAGTAGCCTTTCTTTCCGGGCTCGGGGACTGTGGCGAAGGAGTGCCACTCCAGGAGAGGGCTTTTTGAGATTCGGGTGAAGCTGCCTGGGACGGGTGTGACTACAGCGCCAGTAACACAGCATTATTAGCACAGCAATTTGGCGAGGACAATAGCAAGGTGGTCTTGACTTACCATAGTCGAAGTGAAGCCGGACAGCATGGCCAGACATAACTTCTGCACGGACAGGTACTTTGCGGAGTCTGAGCCAAGGAAGGATGATAGAGAAAGAGATGACCAAGATAAGCCAGAAAGGTGGAGCATGCGAAAGAGCGTTTCCGAGTGTTTGACCCGGCAGTCTATAGTCGTTTGTGAGGAGGATAACCTGGAAGAAAGTTCAGCTTTCTTGGTGAGGGAAGTACCGAGCCGAGGAAAGGAAACATACCTGACACCAAACGAAGGCCGTAGCCGTCCAACCCAAGAAACGATGTGACATTTCGAAACGATCATGGTAAAGGGATCGGAATCGTGGGTAAGCGAGGGTAACGATCCCAAGAAGTAATAACAATATCCAATAAGTGATAATGACGGTGGCGACGGAAGTCTGGAAAGTTGGGGTCAGATGTGACACTCGCTTCATAAAATGGCTCGAGTACTCTTACTGGACCACCAGTCAATAGTTCTTTCGTAGCTTGATAGGTGAATAGGACCAGCCACATCACCCCGGAGATGGCACAGCCAGAGTGTACTATGAGATTGTCAGCGAACAGAAGGACGAACAAGAGCCAGTCAGGTGTGGCTCACATCCACCAATATGGTATACACGCGCACAGACCCTTCGAATCGACAATGGCCACCTAAATGTTTCGTGCTTAGCAACTGTAATCCTGATCGCATGAGCGAATAATACTTACGACGTAGGGACAGCACAGAAAGTCGTGAAGAAAGCATTGATCACATAATCTTGACGCATCAAAATCGCGCAAAAGAGGTTGGCCACGACGATAAGCCCCAGCTTCTGCGCGTTTGCTTGACCAGCAACGGCAGTCGCTATAAATATTGCGGCGTTCGCGACGAAGACGACCCCAAATAGGCGGCGATAAAGTGTGAAGACGCGATGGCGAAGGTTTCTGACGGCCGGGCCCTGTGTCTTGTCGGGAAGCTCCTCGTCCTCGTACCCATCCCATGCATTGCCCTTCTCGGTGACCGACGGCGAGGCAGTAATCGAGGAAGAGCCTTCGTTCGACTGCTGAGACGTGTAGTTCATCGATTCCAGGGCAGAAAGGCTCTGAATGACTATGTCAACGTTCGTCTCCTTCATAGGCGAATATCCTTGATAAGTCGGAGGTGGCACGACGATACTTTGGGAGAGGTTGGGGAGGACAGCGGAGGAAACTGTAGAAATGACTTTGTCCGTGACAGAGACGACGGTCTTGGGTGGAACGTTCTCCTTTTCGTCGAGGACCATGGTGGCTTCAGAGGCAAGTTTATTCAAGGCCAGCTGGCGAAGAGCTCGCTTGTCGGTTTTGCCATTACTATGCCAAACGCAGGTTGAGGTCAATGAAGCATGTCAGACCAGAGACCATACGGACGTACCTAGTGTACGGGAAGTCCTCCAGTAACATCCATCGGGTAGGAACGGCATAGTATGGTTGAACTTTGTTCGTCGCGGTAATCACCGCAGTCAAATCGACAGTAGCAGGTGCCACAAAGCCCCATAGTTCTGAGCCTATCAGCAGGGCAGTGGCGAGTCTGACGCTTGTGGTCGTCTGATGGAGAATCATTAGCTCCACGAACTTGGCACTCGTGGTCAACATTGACTTGCCTGAATGGCCGAGGCCACGCCGTCTAATTCAACTCGGAAGCCCTGTAAAGAACGTACGTTAGGAAGCACCGAGTAACTTAAAACCAACAAGCTGGCGCACCTTGATCTTGACTTGATCGTCGATCCGGCCCAATGGCTCTAAAGTTCCGTTCTCCAACCACCGGCCCAAGTCTCCAGTGTTAAACATGAAACTCCTGTGTGGCGGTGAGAATTTGTGATGGACTTCAGCATGAGAAGTTCACTTACCCATCGACCATAAATGGGTCCATCACATATCGTTCAGCGGTCTTCTCTGGAAGGTTGAGGTACCCGCGAGTGATTCCCGCCCCACCTGCCCACATAATACCGACCTCGCCAATAGGAAGAGGGTTCATGTTCTCATCGAGCACGTAGACGTTGTTATTGGGTGTCGGCCTTCCAATGCTGAGAGGTGTTCCCTTCACGTGGGGGTGAACAGTGTTGACGATTGTGATCTGTGGCGAAAGCCATGTTAGCCACATTGATGCTGTCTAGAAAAGGTGGAAACAACTTGCTTCCGTTGGGCCACATGAATTGTAGAATGTGCCACGCTCAGCCCATCGATCAGCAAGAGCTAGAGAAAGCTCATTAGAAGACTATTGATGTATTATTGTCTTATATGATGCCCACCTTGAGGACAAGCCTCTCCAGCTGTGGCCACTACACGAATATCAGGATAATCGGCCGGATCATGGGGGGCTATCGAGTATTCATGAGTAAGCGCAGAACTCCCATTCAAGTTGACACGTACTCATCATACTAGGAGTAGCGATTACAATGTCCACGGTCTTCATCACTGCCCGCCATTCCTTCGACGATTTACCGCGAATAAATAGCGTGCATCCATTGCACATGGATCCCAGGATTTCCTATAAGTGAATGGTGTGAATCTCCATGAGATTAACGGTGAGATCACAGATAGACTTTTACCCAGGCAGCCATGTCAAAGGCTATATTTAAGAGCTGTGATACACGACGACCGGGCGCCATTCCCACGTTGCCGGGTTCTAACAGGACCACTGCAAAGCCATCAGATGCGGGTGAAAGGGGCGGGAGACGAGATGACGCACAGTTTGTGACGTTAGAGTGCTTCACCTCGACTCCTTTGGCCACGCCAGTCGTTCCTGCAGGTGCAGAAATTAATACATAAATAGAAAGGTAGAGGACACGATCATACCGGAGGTGTAGATGATGTAAATGGAGTCATTGGGGCTTGAGAGGTCTAATGGTTTCGCACAATCATCTTTATCTGGGTTCAGAGTGGATTTGTCCAGGACAAGCATCCTGCTGGATGCAGGGACGCGATGGCTGAACTCATCCAAGGCCAGGACGACAGAGCAGTCCGCATCGCGAAGGACGTGTTCGAGCGTAGACTGCGTGACAATACTGCCGTCAAGAGGAACATACGCTCCACCTGCCTTGAGCACGGCTAGGATGCCGACGACAAACAGGATACCGCGTTGCATAAGTAGACAGACGCGCGACCCAGGCGAGATACCCATGAGACGAAGGCGAGTGGCGAGATTGTTTGCGCAAGCATCGAGCTCCGAGTATGAGATTGAGACACCAAGGTGCTCGATGGCGATCGCGTCGGGCTGCGTAAGGGCTTGATATTCGAAGGCGTGGTGTACGCAACCAAAGGCGGGAGTTTGTCGCTCGCCGAAGCCCCACTGGACAAAGAGCTGCTGGTTGAGAGGGGAGAGGTGGCTGATAGACTGCAGCGGATAGGGCATGGCTGATTCGGAGCGGGTAATGCTACGCTGTGATGGGCCACCTTGAGATCACAAGTTTTATACTCTCCCCGAATTAAACTTAACTATCCATAGAGGAGAGTGTAGCTATGATCGCAAGGTAAAGCGCTGGACTCAACGTCAGCAGGAAACTTGATGTCCTGGATGGAGCTCTAGAGAAGCATGTGGAGAAGCTCGGGAGATAGTAATTTGCGTGTTGAGCCAAGAAACACAACCATCAGCAGGTCAAACTGTCCATAAATTGTTAGTATACAGACCAGGGGTACTTACTCGTGGCTAGCTCTCTGCTGTACCGAAGAGAGGATGTAGAGATCTTTCGGAGTATTGGTCCAAGGGCCACAGGTGGCGAATCAGTTAGAGAAGCATATCGGTGAAACGCACCGCGTCGAGCACGGCGCTGACGGCGAGAATGATGACAGTTCCTAACAGTATCGGGACAAAATCGGGGGCGACAATGAGCCCATCGCACTGCTTGGCATGCTATAGTCAGGCCTTGTAGAATGATTGGTGGATGATTATAATCATTGCCGCAAAGGTGTATTGTCTTCCCATCAGAGGAGGGAAAGATCATCCTGAATGGGAAGGAAATTCAGCTGCGCATGTCGAGGAAGAAAGTGTAGTACAGACCGAAATAGTGAGGCGCCAGATGGCATAATAAGTCACCGCAATGCATCCGGTTAGTCGCCTGTACGCTGGAAAACTCCAAGACAGGAAGTTAAAGAGCCTATCCCCACGCCGCAAGCGGATATGCTGTGCGATATGTGGCTCTAAGGACCGGAGTGACACCTGGAATATATATGTTCCGACAATAAAAATGAAACCACAACTAGCTCAGGAAATTGGTGAACGCTGCGGAGGAGTGAGAGTCAAAGCATTCTCTATATGATAGATTTGTCCATTCCAATGCGCGACGTAACTCGGTCTATGACAGGGAGAGGTTCCACTAGTCGACAGATAGTTACACCACCTGCACAGTTAGGATGGGGAGCGGTGGAGAAATGAAGGTAGACTTGGGCATACACGTCGCAGAAGTGGGATGCTTGGCGGATGCGGGTAACGTCGCTTTTGTAGGTCTCGAAGAAAGCGACGACCTCGGATGCATCAACATTCCTCGTACAAAGCTCGGTTGATTGGAGCTCTAGAGAAGGCTAGCGACTTGCTTCGCTATGGCTTCGTTATTCAAAGTGGCGACGAACGACATAAGGCTGCCCGCGTCTGGAGACCGACACAACGGAAAGGTAGGCTTCTGACGCAGATTTGAGAGCTCTCATTCGCCGAAGATGCTGCATGAGTAATTTGACGTCCCCCTTTGCATGCAAGACCTGCAGGTAGTTGGCAGCGACTAGCAATCAAGGATGATGAGGTCATGAGAGCAAGACGAGAAGACCTTCACGCACCGCGATGAAGTGGCGCTTGCTCCATGGAATCACTCGTTATCCGAAGACCTTGAGGTACGCTCTTTGAAGTGCTTCATGCCGCTACGCAGTATTAGCCTGTGGTCGCCAGTACTTCGTTTTCCGCCTTGACTCCAGCGTCATCAGACGGCTAGTACGAGAAATAACTGAGAAGGCCAGCTGCGGCCTGTCGATAATCATACAAGCCACCGTATGAAGTCAGTCGAAACATCATATCACGAGAATACCAATCTCCCCCTCATGCAAATTCAACAACCCCTGTACTACAGGTGAGAGTCCTGTGCAGTTATTCAAAGATGGCGACTGACCGATCACACCGCACGCTGACCGTGCACCCGCGTTACCCGTTTTCAAAGATTCGTCGTTATCACCTCGACCAAGATCATCGGTGCCCTGGAATAATTGATTTAGTACACGGTGAAACTCAGAGAGAGCAAGACCAACCGCATGCACCACCACCGCACGACTATAAATAAAGGTCATAAATATGCTACCAAAGTCTAAATCAAAAAAATCGAAATGCATACCCCACGATACTCAAGGGCCCGTTTAAAGTGATCACGCTATCGTCAAAGGTAAATTCGGCGTTTCCTGACCTATCGGACTCGATATTTCCCAAGTCCCCAATGTGTCTTTCCGTGTCGCTCGGTGAACCATGACTCTTGCCAAACGGATTGAAATGTGGCCCAGCAGATGCACAACCGTTTGTCACATCACCCAGTTGACTATTGCATAACAGTTAGAGGGGTACATTTCTGTTGATCATAAGAGCTCACTGGATGTGGAATCCACGCTGGGCCGTGGCATCCAAGCCTTTGAGGTCTCCTGTGACGGTGACTGGTCCGGTCTTGCTAGCCTGCTCGAAGGTAACTGTGCCGGACACTTTCGAGTCACCTGCAAGGACAACTACAGCCTGCAGCAGATTATTCGATACGAGAACAAGCAACAGTATACACTCAGCCTACCTTGTGGATTGTTGGTCCGTCTACCGAGGAAGGTCCGCCAAACAATGTGTAAATGACGAACAGTAGCGCGACAGCGCCTATACCAGCGTAGATAATGGGCCTGTTGCTTTTGCTAGGAGACGAAGAGCGATATGGTTCCATAGTGAGTTGTGGTAGCAGGTGGTGTCGTGTCGTGAGTTGAGTGTTAGTAATAGCAAGAAAATAAGAATTCGTGGTGTCGCGATCAGCAGGCGAAATTGTCTCACATCAATTGCCTCCGCGATATCGCGGAGTTCCGAAAGTTGAACACAACATTCGCACGGCCAGATATCGGGTGGCGCCGCTTTCTAACTTTCTCCTTCTTGACTTCCAACCACGACTGTAATACCTCACCATCGCTCTTTTGACCTTGCGCTATAAATACAGGGCTGCTTCGCTTTAGTTCGATAGAATACGCTGTCCAGTTAGGAGGCTCTTCATGGAGGCTCGCTCACATGTAATGGCTGTCATCTGATCTTGCCGCTGGACCGCACGACCCGTCCTTGCTGACCGTCATTCAGTGTCACAAGCCCTCGGCATATAATTCCTCAAATTTACTGCCACTGTCCGACATAAATACACGGGCTACTTGAGTAAAAGATGTCTCAGACGTTGTCCCTCTGTCTCCACTGGATTCCAGCCACAATTCAGACGAGATCCATACACGGGCGGGAGACACAGCGGGAAAGGCCTGGTACATGAGATGCTGTTAACACTACTCGTCGGCTTCTCTATGCTTTCAGGCTGGTCTCAACGACAATCTGCATCTGCTGCATCGACACGCGCTCCAGAGGTTTCGCACAGACCAATCTTCAACTGGGATACGATCAAATATTTCTATGCATTTGGCGATTCGTATACCTTCGTTCAAGGCACGGAAGGCCTCGCCAACTTCAGGTGGGTACAAATTTCATCTTGTACAACACGCCAATACTTACGAACGTGCAGTTTCATAGGCGACGCGTTCGACTTGTCGTTTACTCCCCAACAACTTTTTTCCAACGAGATCATTCCGAAGAACGTGAGTCGCTGCAGCCAGTAATCTATTCTGAGGAGGCGCACAGACTAATGGTGCACATGCACCGCTAGACAAGTTCAGATGGCGCGAACTGGGTGAGTAGTTCTTGTGCTGAGTCTAGACATGCTTTTGACGAACAATCGCTTCGAACGTCTAGCCCGAATTTCTGACAGGGTGTACCTCCGGCCTACCATCGCGATGTCCTCGCCAGCTTTGGGACTTCGCTTTTGCTGGCGCTGACATTGACGTTGATCTGTACGTATGCATTCCAGTACACTCACGACGCGGTACGACTGATATCTTGCGACGGGCTGTAGACTCCCCCTTCATCACAACTTTTCGGTACAGCTTGTGGATCAGGTCAAACAATGGGCTCAGTATGCATCAGATGTGATCCCTCACCCCACCGGAGAGACCATGACTGCGTGGTTCATAGGTACGCTCTTCAGGATACCTGATCTCGCGTGGCAATATTTTGATAGGCCTTGTCATTACTAGGCATAAATGATACAGGAGACGTAGGCAGCCAAAATGTGCGAATCATATGTACCCGCAGCGATAACACAATCCTCCCACAGTGCTAATAGAGAGGGCCACCCTATTCTTCCCACAGATCACCGACTTCGACGCATTCTGGGAGGCGGAAATGACGTCCTATTTCAATGCTGTGGTACGCACCAAGTTCATATTCTATTCTGGGCATTATCGGGCTGCGACTGACTATTCTTGCCTCACGCCACACCTTGTTCATTTTAATATCAGGAACTCGCCTACACAACGGGCCTACGCGGTGCTCACCTCTTCATCAACGTGCCTCCCGAAGAGCGTTCCCCCGCGTTCGTCGGGACTTCTTCCGAGGCGACCCATAAGCAACTCGTAGATGAATTCAACGCCGCGCTCAACACCTCCGTGGCCCAGTTTGCGCAGAATCATACGGAACTGACGGTGCTGACGTTCGATGCACACAGTTGGTTCAATGAAGTGCTAGATAACGCTGAGCAGTTTGGTTTCACGAATATTACAGGGTGAGTTCTTCAAGGCTGCCTAGTTTGTTACAGGTGTGTGGCTAGGGTATATTGATTAATATTGTTAGATATTGCGAGTGCACGTACGATTCGTTCTTTTGGTACAGTGGGTGCAATTTATATTCTCCTACGTTTCTCTTCATCTCACCCATGTTTCTCGCTTTCATCACCGCTCACAGACACAGGACACCCCACCGAGCGAGTGCACAAACTCATGGCAGACGCCATCCGCTCGCAGCTTTTGCATGCTTCCCACGCAACCGATTAAGACGGAGAATTGATTTCTTGTATAGTCTTGTCTATGTTTGAAGACGATTTACGCAAAATAAGCAGCCAGTGCGGCCGGTTGTTTGTCCTTGTTGAATTCACAAGCCTTCGGCTTCTCGCCGGGTTTGGCCACGTGTGACGTTTCCCCACACCCTCGCCACATCAATCTGAGCGGGGAAGCCTCGTAGTGCACCCCATGCTTTACTTGAAACAACCTGCAGCATGTCGCACCTAGAAGTCTTGCAGGTATCCCCCAAGTCATAACTCAGGCCACGTAGGCGCACCCGTGGACACGATTGCGTCAATCGCTTTAACATCCACAACGATTCACAGATTCACGCAGAACGCACCCCACGGCAAATAATAAGTAAAGGCTTGCATGCATATATGTACTCGATGATTATCAAGGACATGCACACATACCTCCAGCCTGCATCACGATGTGACCTATATGTACTATATGAGTGCCGGAGTACCAGTGCATACTGGTTCACCGCTCACCCTCAACCCTCGACCAGAGGAAGCGAGAAAAAGAGAGGAAGAAAGAAAAGGAGAAACTCAGGAAACCGTAGACTGAAAACGAGACACGAGAGGGAGGTAATCGAATTTGTATATAGAAAAGTTAAGGAGAGTACGCATGTGAGTATATATGTCCGTCGCAGAAATGAGAATAAGTACTGTGAAAACATGTAGTAAGGAACGGGGACAGCCACGAAGGGCCAACACGAGATACACGAAAGACGATATCAATCCGGGACTGTTTGAGCAGGTGGAGAGGGGGTTTATAGAGATAGAGAAAGCGGATAGCGAGGATAAATAAGAAGCGGGGGAAAAGAAAAAGATTAGAAGAAGAGATAAGTGGTGATAAAGACCATGACCGCGATGATGATGACGACCTGCAATGGCACACCCTCGGATGAAAGCTCCTCGACATACGTGTTTGTGTCACTGCCCGAAACCACGGTCGTCCCGTCATCGGAGGTTGTTCCACGATGTCTCCTCCTCAATTCCGTGGGGCTAGTGCCGCTCGACGCCGACGCCACGCTACTTGGGTCCGGCACAGCGGCCAGGAGCGCACGGAGACGCTGAATTTCGGACTGAGCTTCGGTGTACTTCATAGCGAGCTCGGGGTTGGGATCGATGGGTGGAGCAAGTGAAGGTGCGGCGATAGTGGGGACTGGAGGGGGAGCAGGCGTAGGAGCAGGTGGCGTGATCGACCGTTGTTGAACGGGAGGCGGTTGGTGAACATTGACGTTAACGATGGCGCCAGAGGGTTCGCGTTCGAAGGTCGGTGGGGCTAGGACCTGGACGGGCTCTGCTGTATCGTGGTGCTCCTCGCGTGCGGCGGTGAAGTTGGCGCCGGGGGGAGTGTGCGAGGCTTCTCGGTGGTGGACTGGATCGGGGACGTGGCCATTGCCACGCACGGTGTCGTACCGCTGTTGCGTAAGAGAGTCAGATCAGAAGGTGAGGTGGGAAGCGAGGTGATGTGGCTTACGGATTCGTGGCCTGGGACGAGGATAGAAGGCTCTTCCTCTTCCTCGACTGACCCATCCGGTGGGAGATAAACGACTTTGATCTTCTGGGATTTGACATCGTCGCCTTCAGATACGGTCCACTGCAAGGGAGGAAGTGCTGCGATCAGACAGGTGGCGGACATGCATGGAGCGAGGCTTGCGCACGATATCGTTGAGGGAACCAGTCTCCTTCTCTGGGGTGATCAATGTGCTCTGGATGAGGAACTTGTCTTTGCACTTGGTGTTGAGAGGGGGTTCCTCCTTCATTGCTTGCAGCATCACTGACAATGTGAAGGTGTATTGTGAGACGTGGGGTTGCGTGCAATAGGGTGTGGCGCACCTTGCACTTCTACCGTTTCCCCAGGCTCAACACGCCCAGAATTCGGCCGTACACAGTACAGCTGAGGGTAACCATTAGAGCCTAGTAGGATGTAGAAGATAGAGAGAGAACATGTACCTTTGGAGCGGTGGTCTTGACCTTGAATGCAACGGGCTGGGCATTGGTGTTGCCAATAGCGAGCGTTCGCTTGACATTCTGGGTGAAGGGACCTACAGAAGCTTTCAATACCAGAAATCGACGGGTGTTGAGCTGAGAAGCGTACGATTGAAGCCTAGAGAGCTACTGGGTTGCAGATTGACCGACATTTTTCGAGGAAGAGGAGAGAAGGAAAGGTGAAGAGAGAAGAAGAGGGTACGGGTACAAGTTGACGGTTGAGGATGGCTTGCGCGGATTGGAGCTGAGCAGGGCGTGCATGCCGCGTGGTCGCGCTGACATATTCGATTGTTCCGCTGTGCTCCCTCCTCGCAGCTTCCAGGCTCCCCCGAGTGGCCCTCATTATTATCCCAGTATTTTCCCGTAGTATTCTCTAGTATCCTACGCGCTTGGTAAGACACCCCTGCGTCTGGTGCAGATAGCTCAGCGCCAATCCTTTGATTTATCGTAATTTATCTGCCCGCACAGGCGCCGTCCAATCAAAGTGCCTGCGGGCAATGATTGTCAGCAACTCGAAATCTTCAACAGCCTGAAGAGGCCTTTAAGAGATCGCTCGCACTCAGAAACCACATCGAACAATCGATACCCAGACGATTACCTCAAGAAACAGGAGTCGACAAGGAACTCAAGCAACCGACGGAGCTATCCGGCCTTTGAATATTTCTCTTCATTATCACGTCCGGCCTCATACATTTCATTTACATCGAGCCGTCACATCCATCTTCCGACCATCTTCCGACCAGACTCTTTCTCAACCAACTCACCCACAGTCCACAGAGCAAAGCAGGCTTTCGCTCCCTCATCCTATACTTAACCGTACCCACCCCCTTCCCGACCCCTCCCAACTCACCACTCTCGCCCACCATGTCCTGGAAACTCGGAAAAAGCAAGAAGGGAAACCTTCAGACCGGCGACGATGCGTCCACTCGCTCCGTCACCCCAACCCCAGAGGACGCGTCTCGCTCGAGAACCGGCATGCTCACCATCCGTGTCCTGTGGGCAGAGGACCTCGCCGTTCCCGCTGGCACGTCTTTGCCCGAGGCAGTTCAAACCGCCCTCAAATCTCAGCAAGCGCAAGTGGCGAGCGCGATGTCACCCTCATCGGTCACCCAGAGCCGGCTCGCGACGGCGAGCAAGTCGAAACGGGACAGCGTCCAGCGTACACAGTGCTGGTGGCTTCCGTACCTCGTCATGGAGTTCGAGGTCAATCAAATCCTCATCATTCCCCTCGGCGGCGAGCTCCAGAAGCCACTTTACATGTATCAGGCCCACTTGTACGCATCATTTATTAATCCCGTCGGCATTTACGTCTTGCCAATTTTTCGCGGTCGCTAACGGTGATCGGGCTCGTTTGTGTCTATAGCGACGTCTCAAGAAATTCCGAGATCTCAATCCAGTCGTACCTCCGCACGGAAGAGCCCCAACGGGGTTCGGAAGGGCAGGACGACATGGGAAATGACATCTTTATGGGTGGGATCAAGTTCACCCCGGACTTCGACAGCATGAGTACACAGGATCAATGGTACGACATCGCGGGAGGCGCAGGGAAGCTTCTCATTGGCGTATCCTTCCAACCGAGCACAGTACGTGTCCTTCCTTCCTACCACCATCTGGCATCTGGCATCCGTTGCGCCACTCTCTTTCTCCTTCCTTCCTTTGTTCTGACGACTTCATGGGACGTGCTGTGCAGGGTCATGCGCTCACCATCGACGACTTTGAGTTGATTACGGTTATCGGGAAGGGCAGCTTCGGGAAGGTGATGCAGGTCCGGAAGAGGGATACGCAGCGGATCTACGCCCTGAAGACGATCAGGAAAGCTCATATCGTCAACCGGAACGAGATCACGCATACGCTGGCGGAGCGATTGGTGTTGGCGAGGGTGAACAACCCCTTCATCGTTCCTCTCAAGTTCAGCTTCCAGTCGGAACAGAAGCTGTACCTCTGCTTGTCGTGCGTTCCGTCTCTTTCAGTCTGAGCGCCACTCGCTCCAACTAATGGCGTCGCTAGGTTCGTGAACGGTGGAGAGCTGTTCCACCACCTCCAGAAGGAACACCGCTTCACGGAGGACCGGGCGCGTTTCTACAGTGCAGAGCTTCTCCTCGCCCTTGAGCACCTTCATGAGTTGGACGTTGTCTACCGGTACGTCCCGCGCAGTTCGTCGAGTTGGGAACAGTCTTTTGACTCATATGCCACCGACAGTGATCTCAAGCCCGAGAACATCTTGCTCGACTACAACGGTCACATAGCGTTGTGCGACTTCGGCCTCTGTAAGCTCAACATGACGAAGGACGGGACAACGAACACGTTCTGCGGTACACCAGAGTACCTTGCTCCAGAGATTCTGACTGGGTCGGGATATAGTGCGTCGCCATAGCATCCTTACTTGTTTCATGTACTCATCTACCGATCAGACCGTACGATCGACTGGTGGACTCTTGGTGTCCTTCTTTACGAGATGCTGTCGGGTCTGCCACCGTTCTACGATGGTACGTGGCTACTTGTATTTTGTTCGTTACGCTCCATCCCGACACTCTGCCGTTCGTTCAGAATCCACCGACAAGATGTACGAGAAGATCCTCCAGAACCCTCTCGTCTTCGGTGACGAGATCTCTGCTCCCGCACGGTCCATCCTCACTGGTCTCCTCACCCGCGACCCGACACAGCGCCTCGGCGTTAATGGAGCGGAGGAGATCAAGAAGCACCCCTTCTTCGAGAAGATCGACTGGACGAAGCTCTCGCAGAAGAAGATCCAACCTCCGTTCAAGCCGAGCGTCTCCAGCCCGGTCGACGTATCCAACTTCGACACGGTGTTCACCGCGGAGGCGCCTTTGGACTCGGTCGTGGAGGGTTCGCAGCTCTCGTCGACTGTGCAGGCTCAGTTCGCCGGCTTCTCGTACGACGGAAGCAACATGCCTGTCAGCCCCGTCTAAGGCCGCCCGTCGTATCCTCCCCGCCTCTGGTCACCGTCTTTATCCACTACATATAATCTAGCTGCTTTGCTCTCCATCTGCTATCCTATTTTATCGTATCTCGTACCAATATTTGATCTCCACATCAAATCCAATCATTCTTTCAGCCTCCCCTCTGCCCTGTCTCGGCCCGTCCCAACAATATCTTCATCTTTGTCTGATACCATACCTCGCTCTCTTTTATTCCCTTCGCACTCTTTCCCTCGTTCATACGGCCTGCAATCTAGGATACCTCCACACACTCAAGTGACAGGTCCTCTTTCTATCGTATCGTATTTACATCCGCCCTTTTAGACGTTGTGGCCCATTTCTTGCTCTGGAGCTCGCGCACATACACTCCCTTCACGGTGATACATTTCCACTTCCACGTCCATATTCATTCACGTCTCGAACCTCCATCCGATCCGGCATCTCTACTCAGATATAGGTGCTCCCCTCCATGCTCGATCTACTTACGCCTTACCCTATACTTGACACTTATTCGTTCGTACACATCCCCTGTCTTAGGTCGGGGATGCTACACACTCCCTACACTCATATATAACTAACTAGTTGCGATTTGCTTGTGCCTGCTGCACATCTCGTATTGATCTTTCTGTCGTGCTTGGATGCGATAAGCGGTAACTTATGACGCGCCACTGTGGCGTCCCGGCGCTTCGACGAAATTAAGACAGAAGTTGGTGTACTTGGGTTCCCAGCGCCTTCTCTTTGCTCTTCTCCTCAACCTTGTCGTCTTGCTCTACTGGAAACAGACCTCTGAAATACACTCTCGGATACCATGGTCGAACAGGAGGACCGTGACACCGTTGGCCAGCCGAGCGGTCCTATCGACACCATCATCAGTAGAGACACGGGACAACAGGCGACAGTCTACGAAGATACGATGTTGAAGCTAATGCAAAAACAGACCGAGCTCTTACATCGACTACTTGAGCAAGGTGACAAAAAGAAGGCCCCAGCCCCGAATGCGGAGGACAATCACTCGAAAGAGATTCTTGACGTGTTGCGTAACATAAACGAGAGGCAGGCAGCTTCAGGTAAAGGTCTTTCACTAGAAACCGCTCATATGTGCATACTCAATGCCAGGAATACAGATGTGTCCAAACAGCCAATCCCATCGGCGCCTGCAACGAGTGCAGCGGCGTGGTCACCACTGCTTCGCTCGCACTTGGCCCATATCCAACCAGAAGTGGATCGATGGAGGGGTAACCCTGCTAGTTTTTGTGAGAAAAGCCAGGATATCCACCAGTACTCGAGCTGACCATATGACTACATAGATCGCCCTCTTCTCGGCTATCGTAACCACCTTCTTCGTGCAGTCTCTTACTGAACTATCCCAAGATCCTGGAGACAGGACTAACGAACTGCTTCAGAATCTCACAGAAATCATCATTGCCACGGGTGGTGTCAATGCCTCACATCTCACTCTACCGTCACCTGCTCCTTTTATACCTCAAGGGAGCGTGGTCCGGTTAAATTTCTATTGGTCCATTTCTTTGATCCTCAGTATATCAGTCGCCGTTCTGGCTGTCACTAGTCGAGGCTACGTTGCAATGCTCACCCGTTCGCGTCACACCCAAGCTCACAAAAAGCTTGGGGACCTTCGCCGCCGCTGGAAGGAGGCGGAGAAACTGCTCGGTCCCGCCATCGAGTTCCTTCCCCAACTACTTGTCCTTCCCATCATCCTGTTCATTGTCGGCCTGCTCGACAACGTGTTATCGAGCTCCGTGCCACTCTCAGAGCCACTCAACCCAATATTCGTAGCTGGCATTCTATCATGTGTGTTTACCGTCGCCGTCGCCATGTATACACTCTGGACGGTCTCTCATGGGTGGTTGCACCCGGATATCTCTCCGTTTCAGTCTACGTTTCTGCAGCTGGTGAATTTCCGAGGTCCATCAATACTTGGCCCTATCAAGGAGGCCTTTGTCCATCCTTCGAACGTTTGCCGCTCGCGCACGGCTTGAATTGCTGACGAGACCGATGACCTTTCACTCGAAACCCCTGTCCGCTTTACCATTTCACGTGGAGAGTACTCGTCAGAGGAATCAGTTCCGCCCTTTTCACTTGAGCCTCACGAAGCCGAGGCTTTTCATGATACATTACAGCTAACACATGAGGATGATATCATCGATCAAGCTGTAGCAGCAATGCCTGCTGTGATGGCAGATTGCTTTCCTGCGCTACGTAGTCACAGTAGTATGGTTGAACGTTCACTCTCGCTTGGGCCCCGAGAAATGGCTTCTTTGATATACATGCTATCAGATGAGGCCAGCGTCCGCACCAATCTCACTGCTGCGGCATTCCTCGCGGACCCTGTTAGCTATAATGATTCTACTCGTGAGTGAATTTTGCAAGGCTGTCTGAATTTCCCACTAAATTCGTCGTCTTTAGCTTATAATTGTAGAATTGAATATTCGCCATCAGACACCGTGCAGCTCTTGGCGTCACTGATGCGGGCAGCTGAACGATACTCCCTATCCATCACCGGAACTACACACTCCCAATTCCTCTGGGACCATCCCTTTCTTGTAGCGATGCACGTTGTGGTCTCTTCGGCGACTCAGCTCCACAATCCTTTCGATCGCGAAGCCTCCCACCAATTACCTTTGGTGTATTTACTTCTTTGTAATGTACCCGAAATTCCGGATCCAACCCTCACCGCGAAGACACCCTTGCGTGCAGTTTTAGCTGAGTTCCTCTGGGACATTTTGAGCCACAAAGCTCAACATATCACATCCCAGTCTGACTTTCGTGTCAGTGATGATGTGCTGGATTCTCCGGCACTATTCCAATGCATAAGCCAGTCGGTCTACCTCTTGTGGCTGGAAGATATGCAACGCAACAAATACGAGCAAAGATTAACAGATATCATGACTCGAGGTTTATTATGGCCGTATTTCACACCACCTACGCACGCCCTGCACAAAGCCCTTCTACGATCTATAATCCATTACGATCCCGGAGAGCATGAGCTAGATGCGCTAAGTATCCTACATGGTCTGGCTGGCGTTGTCAAAGAATGCAATATGATATTCAATATACCCAAACGAGGCAATCACGACGAGATAGAACTTAGTAAAGCCATTGTTGCTGAGCGGCTGAGATTCATATTGAAGGAAGTGAATGCCATGCTCGCCCGTCAGGCGCCCAGAGGCATTCTACAAAACCTACGCTCCACAGCTCTACAGTTCATCCAGATATCCATTGATCTCGCATTGATGTTGCAAGCCTTTGACGCCTGTGTCGATGACAGTTTAGGGTACACCTTATCCGAATACTACGACTTCAAGCACCACGCTACTGGCAGCAATATTTCTGATCCCTCGCCATTGTGTTCATCCCTCTGCACATTCCATGCCGACATATGTAAATCCCTCAGCCTAGCCCATGAGCTGGACCCGGCTTTAAGATTAAATAACGCCCAGTGGCGGGAATTAGAAGTTTCCTTGACCACGAATAGCAGTGTCGAGCGTGAAGACTTCATGGATTGTCCCTGGACCCAAGCAAAACATCGTGACGAAGTCAAACAAGCTGTCCTTGATGCCTTTCGGCGTGTTTCTCCTCACAGCGCACCAGGTACGTGTTCATCTTTGGATGGCTAGCTTTCTTATCTCACAGGTTGACATTTACTCTACTTCGTCAGTCGACTCGATCGTTCCGTATTCGGGTGAAGGCCCCACGACTGAGGACGTCGCTGCAGCACTATAAAACTGAAAGTCGCTCATGACTTGCTTGTCCATAGGAGACGACCCCACAGCTACCATGATTCCGATTTCTCAGCTTGAAAGCACATTAGTAACATGAGGTTGATCTCCTCAATCTTCGCATGTATCTTGTAAATGTTAATATCATAGTCATAGTCAGATACGTTTCCGTCCGCAACTATCGCCGGTTCCAACCATGGTGGAAAAATAAAAATAAAATAAAAACGCCCCGATCCCATGGTCCATGGAGGAGACAGAAGAGGAAACTGAACAAGCAAGACTGGCCGTGGAAAAGTAAGAGGCCGATGCTACAACGCCTGCCCAACACGAACAAGGTGTATTCTTGAAGTCATTCTTTCGGTCAAAGTGAGTGGCCGACGAACAAATACATCGCTCGCCACAGTCAATAATCCGTGCACCACAGACAAGGCTGATATGTAACTACTTGACCTCGGCGTACTTCTCCAACGCTGCATGAATCTTCCCTAAGAGACCATCATGCCATGTCTTAACCTCGTCCCACTCCTCCATCGTCACCTTCATGAACGCTAACCATCCCCCAACGATGCAATCTGCATAGGACGGTTTCTCTCCGTCTATGAATGGACCACCTTTGTGATTGTAAATCTTCACCAATACTTCCAGTGCCACTTTAAACGCCTCTAGCGTCTTCACCCGCTCTTCACCACGAACAGTAAGCTCGTCCCAACTCGTCTTCCCCGCCCTCCACAAAAAGTCCGCCTTAGAGGTCTCGAAACTGTCTGGGTTGAAAGGGATGCCGTGGCAGCAAAGGAGGACGAATGATGTGAAAAAGGTATCCATGTGTTTGTTGAACGCGTCCATGAGACCTATCGACGAGGGAGGGAAGAGCGATGGGCCATCGGGGTACGTTTTGTCGAGATAGACCGCGATGTCGAACGTGTCTCCGATTGTCGAGCCCGTGGAGGGATCATGGATGACGGGAAGGGTATAGAATGGGCTGCCGTCCCGGTGGTAGCGTACTGGCTCAGAGCCAAGCTTTTTGCGCGTGGATGTGACGTCTGGGAGTTCCACCCATTGTGTCCTGTAATGCACGCCCTTGAGGTTCAAGGCATAACTGTCGGGTAGTTGTAGTAGTCAGAATCGGGATCGACTAGGATCTACATACTCGGAAGCATAACGCGATAATCGGAGAACGCAGGATCGGACTCACCGAGCTTTCCAGGGGTTAGGCGCATAGGGACTGACGGGTGAACGAGACGCAATATCGTAGAACAGAATAGGATTGGAGGCGTCCATGGCAGATGAGTTCACAAAGGACTGTTAGCTTGCAAGATGGCGCAATATGCACGCTTTCAAGCCACTATTTATTGCTCCTTTGCTGAGGGTGGAAACCCGGCTCCGGCTCCGCAAGGCATGACTGCCCTTTGACTCCATGCCTTGGACTCAGTATCGATTCAACCCGTGCAGGCCATACTCGGAGCCGGAATGATCTGGAGCGTACTGCTTGTGAACTTCCGCCACCCACAGCGAGAACGTCGAGAACGTCGAGTCACATCAACAGGACAGGATCGGTGAGCCTTATTCGACAAACGCCCAATTGGCAGCTTGCATGGGTAAGGACGAGAAAGAAGAGAGGATAACTTGAAACAGATGTCAGTGGCGTGATGAGGTACGCGAAATCTTGGCGAGCGCATACAGAGGACCTCTTGACCACGGACGTGGAGAAAATGGTCCACACGAAAGCAGAAATGGAGAACTAATACTAATAGACTGGTGGTTGGAGTGGCTTCTGTCGTCTCCACGGCGTCTGCCGTCTCCACGGCGTCTGCCTCCGATGGGCTGAGTTCAAAATTCACTCGTTTTGGTCAAACAGTTTCGGCCGAAGATCATTGATGAGGACCCAAGGCGTCAAATACGTCGACACATCCCTTCAAAGGCTGCGTATAACAGGTCGCAGGAATCGGGATTCAGACGCGTGTGGCGCGATCTGTCGACTGGGGGACAAGACCCAGTGACATTTGACTGTGTCCTCACCGGTTTCGCCAATGGCAGTCCAACGGCCAGCTTGAAGTATCTTCTGTCACGGAGTGATTGTAAGTTCTAAGCGCAACTGCGCCATACTGGTGGAACTAAGCCTTCCTTTTGTCTTCATCATGTATCAGGCGCCAGAAGCATAAAAAAAGGTAAAATTACAACGTTGCTGGAAGTGACAAAGAAACAGTAACAGAATAGGACGCAACAGAGGACAAGCCCCTGCTGTGAAACGAAGTTGGCAGGAGCTGGAGCACGTCTATGGACTGTCGAGGGAAGGATAGAGCAGAAGACAAAGGCAGTCATTATTAGTGTCGGGGGGTTCGAATGTAGGTAGCATGAAGAGAACGGGTAGGTACCTGAAAGTGCGTGGATACGACTAGTGCGTCGACCGCTACAGCAACGACCGGCTGCCGAACGAGAAGTAGGTACAAATGAAGGAAATATAAAGAAAAACAGAAGTGGAGTGCGTGTCAGTAGAGAAGAGGTACTTGGAATAAAGTGAATAAAGGAACTAACAAAAGAAAGTGGTGAAGAGCGGAGAGCGATGGAGCGATGAAGTGAACTATGTAAGAGAAAAGGTCCGATTCCTCGATTCGTTGCGTGCTGCAGTAGATAGTGATGAGGAGTATAATGTGTTGAACGAGAAATGGAGAGGGTGTTGGTTCGTACGTGGTCGGTGGTAAATATTGATGAGAGGAGAGGACGAGAGGGGAGTTGTGGATGATCGATGCCCGAAAGGGGGGTGATTGCAGGTGGACGCAAGGGTGTATGGATGGGTCGAAATACGACCATGTGGGTGGAAGGGCCTAGCCGAGATGTATCAATAGTGTACTTCACTGTCCGTCTAAGGTCGCGTGCATGCAGTATGCCTCCGCCGCGCAGTGCGTAAACCCTCAGCAGTCCAGTCGCGAACGTCTATATATGGATTGGTCATAACAAATCTAAGGAGGACACGAGAGGCAAGGAAAGGCCGGCGACTAGTACGCCAATAAGCATAGTCGTTGGCGTGGGTAGCCAGGATAATGTCCGGGGTGCTCTGCGGCGAAAATAAAGGAAGACGTTAGGGAGCAGTGTTCATAAACCCACGGTGCGCTGCGGGATCAGATCCAAAGGGAATAAGGCGGACGCACGATGAACTCGATCCAGCCGGTGCCTCCAAAACTGACACAGTCCACATCGCCACCAGCCCATCTGCTGCGTTGACCCCGTCTCCTCCCACAGTCAGATAATGGTTGATCCCATCCGAGGTATTTGGTACTAGACCCGAGACGTAGTTGACTTGGGTGTAGTAGACGTAGCCACCGTACGACGATTGACCGGAGTAAGATGACTGGTTGGTGAGGTTCAGTGTGGGTATAATGGATGATTGTGCGGTTGCATTGCCGACTAGCCAGTCACTGCGACGAGAAGCAGCGATGAGACTCGTTTCAAGAGAGTATAAAAGAGGAAGACACACCGAGCAAGGTTATATCTTCAGGCGTCAACGTAGGACAAGTCAGAGAATGCGCGCATCGGGACATATGAAACAAGTGTGCGAACCCATTGAATATGATATCGTGCTCCTCTGTAACATGCCATGAGCCCCATGCAAAAATGGAGAAAGGGATGTACATACCTGACACTGGCTTCTCATACGAGACCGCCATGAAAATCGCACCACTGGAGGTAAGGTATTAACGCCACACAGCCTCAGGGAGACCAGGATGATAGCTACCTGTCAGCATCGCCTCCATTTTGAACCCAATACCGGAAGTGGTTTCCACCCTCGACTGAAGACATAGGATGTTAAGTTGATGGAGAAGGATGAGAATAAAGAGGCTATGGACATACCGGTTTCCTGACATGTTCCAATAGAGGCGTCCCCGTAATCATAACGAATGACTGCCGTTTCGTTCACTGCATCATAATCCAATCCATCCCGCTCAGAATGTACCCTAGTTGAAAGTCCGTATAAAGGCGATAGCACTCACGGACGCCATTGCCATCTCCGAGGTTTGCACCCTGGTCACTTCCTGAGTGTTGACCTAAACACTCGCCGGCCATATCGAACGAGCTAGACATACACATCTTAGGGTGCTGCATCGCGAATTTTGGCAACGAAGGACTGTATTACTCACAGGAAGTAGTTTCGCAAGCCACCATCTGTCTGCTGATCCTTGAGAACTCGCGAGTCTGAGGTGCCCAGTATAACGGCATTTATAGGTTCTCCTAAGCCTTCCGGATAGGTATTTGCTACAACCTATTGACGTTGATGATCAGAGCAAACCAAAGACGGGATTCGGAGAGAGGGGCGAACTGTGAGCCAGCTTCCTCCATTAGTTGACGGGTCGTAATAGCCAGTGCTCCGCTTCGTCACGGGTTGTGGTGGGTGACCTCGTTGTTGGTTATCATAAGCTGCAGAGAAGGAAAAGTAAGAGAAGAGAACACAGAGAAGGGTGGGTGGGGATGCCATGAAAGCCATCCGGAATAGCGATGGGGAAAGGGAGGGGAACGACGACGACGACGAGTGCAGACGTCGCTTGTTGGCACAGACGGTTGGCTCCACATCACGTCAGCATCAACCTTTTCTTTTTCCGCTCACCACCGCCACGCACTTCCAGCCTCAACGCAGCAGCACCCTCGACGTTGTCCGACCGGCTTCTCTTCTCCCTCGGCTTTCTTCTCTTCCCTGGTTTTTCCCGTTTTTCTAGCGCTGCTTCTTCGCTCAGCTGGACAGACTATCATTGATGGTCTCCCGCAGATCATCTCACGTGGAAAAGACATCCCATCAAAAATCGACAACAAAGAGCAGCGCAATTCCTCTTCCATACATGCCATGTCAACTGTATACAATTCTATCTCCACTTGAGCTGGTCACGTTTGGTCGGGATTCTAGTAACGGGACCGTTCTTCCCACCCAACATATCTGGTCGTCTCCCCTTCCCATGTCGTCCTTTCCCCTCCCTAGGTGGCCAACTGAGCGCACTAGTAGGCATCCGCAGCGCGAGCTCCTCCAACGTACAATTGGGTACAGGAGATCCATGCGTCCTCATCGCATACCTCAGGACCACCCCTTCTCGTAACCTTGAACCGCTTGAGCCACTACTTCGAATATGGCCGTAACAAGGCGAACACAGCTCTTGCATTTCTTCCCAATCCTCCGGACATGGTATCAAGGGTGGGGGCGTGAGGGTGTACGGCCTGCAGGTGACTGCATCTTTTGGGTTCCGCTTCGAATAGAAGGTATTATCCGGGTCTTGCTCGCTTTCTTGTACTCTTGGGGGCATTCTTCCCTTCATCTTGGTACGCTGATCGCCAACCTCGGGAACTTTACTGTCTTGTTGGAAAATAAATGGCCCCTCCTGTACCAAAGCTGCATATCTCAAGACGTTATACATCACCGCCGCCGGACGTCTCTCGATACTCTGGTGAACATCGCGCTATCAGATACACGTCAGACAGAAGAGAAAAACGCAAACACGAACCACAACGTACCTTGTTCTCAGACTTCGTCTCCAGTATCTTTGTGCCCTTTCTTCGCTCGTCATTCTTCACTTGCGAATGACATTCCACAGTACTCGCATTTATCTTCCCCTTCTCCATCTGCTCGACGAACCGCTTGACCAGCCCGCTCGTCCCGCTCACGGCACCGCTACACATCTTGAGAATTCCTGTGTCCACTCTGGATTTGGGCTCGACCTCGGTTTGTGGCGCTGTGACAAAGGTCGTGGATGTAGTTGTAGTCGATGAGGTGGGTTTGAGGCTCGTTCGAGCCTTGATAGTTGGGTTGGACCTCCCCGCTGGGGCTGTCGTAGTCTTAGCCTTCTTGGTGGTGTAAACAGATGTACTCGGGATAGGACCACGGGAAACTCGGCTTATGGTCTTGGCGGCGTCATCTATCGCATCGGCAGTTGGCTGGGATTTGGGATGCCCGATGGTAGCTTCGAGGTGGTTCGCGGATAAGGCGGGTTTGGTATGTTGTTTTTCTTGGGCAACCGCGTTGCGTCTTGGGTAGGTGGTGTTGATAGTCTTCGTGTTGGTGGAAAGCACGGTTGCCGTGGTGGGGAGTCGGGTCCCGGAGGTGGTTTGAGTGTGTCGCTGAGACATAGACGAGGTTGAAGTTGAGGGCATAATGGTTGGGAGTCGGGGTCGGGGTTGGGTAACACTCAGGTAAAGGGAAGGTTTTGAGGACAAGGACGCGGGAGGTGGCAGGAGAACCGAGGGTGGATCACTGTGTAGAAGACAGCAGATGAAGAAAGGGAGGTGGCGAGCACGATACATCGCATGGCGGCTGAATCTGCATGTATTTCGATCCGGACTGGCAGTCACTTCGTCTGGTTTCAGATGCTGCATGATGAGTGAAATATCTAAGTACCTTCGGGGACGATCGATGAGTGATTATTACATGGCATGACTTTGAATTGAATAATGGTTGACAAGCTGTCTGTCCGGTGAAGGTATTGAACGAGATGCATCGAATTAACGATGCGCTATTTGTGCTTCTAGTCGAGGGTACCGGTCATCGTGTTTGGGTCTCCAAATTCCGAGTCTGTCGGTCGCGCTCTCTCCACTTCAGCTTACTCTTCGTTCTCACCGTCTCATGCCAACTCATTCCCCGTATCAGGGAGAAAAGAAAAAGCCTAGAATTCCCCTAGACAGACTTGATTCACCTAATCGCGAAGGGTATGAAAATCTTGGTGTGTTGGTCTGAAAACAAACAGGGGTGGAATGAATACTTAAAGCCAACGTGAATGAACAGAAAGGGTCAGCCTCGTCTTCGAAGATCTATCATACGAAAGAGTCAAGTTCTGTGCAGGATGTATGAGAAATAAGGAGTGACACGCGAGAGGAAGTGATCGGCCGATGGAGGGTATAGGTCGTAAACAGACTGTCCCTGGGGAGTAGCGCTTTCAAATTCTATTTTGCCTCGCAAGCATTCGTCACAATTCGTGGTGATCGTAATTACTAATGTGCTGGTAGAATATTAACGTGTATGAATAGTAGTACTGCCGAACGTATCATATATTCTTGGTACCGAACCGCGAATTATGCCTCAATCGTCCACCTATCCGGTAAAAGATGAACCTGCGTAGGAAAAGCACCACGACAAACACTTGATCAGCATTGGAGGTAACAGGCATCCCTGCTCGACGAAACGCGGTTGACTCACGGTAAAGGAGCCATTACGGTCGTTAACCCCGCCAGTAGCGCAGTCGCCCCTACAGTGCCCAAACGGTGATACATCGCGGTCGCGAACAGCGGAAAGCCCGCAGCAAAACACGATCGCATGAAGCTGTTGGAAGCCATGGCAGATGCAGCGATGGGACGGTAGGCCACGACGAGGTAGGTGAAGACACTGGTGAAGATAAAGTAGGTACCCATGCCGAAGGGGACGGAGGCGATGATGGGGACGATCCAGTGAACGTGGGGATAGGTTGTGAAAGCCAGCCAAAAGAGACCTGTATCGACGGACATGAAACGTGTCAGCGGGCACTGCAACAATGTATATCCGTGAGAGGGGGCCAAATCACCTATAGGCACGAGAATACCGCCAATTTGTCCAATGCGGAGTATTTCTTCGGGTGGATAGTTACCATGAGCTTCGCGATACTTGCGAGATCGCCTATAAAGCCCAAACGGGTTCACATCAGCGAATTTAAAGAGGATGAGTGAACAAATCAAGGGTGGTGGACACGAACCCATTCCAGTAAGGTTGTGTAGATAGACCAAGGAATAATCCAAGTGCGAGACCCAGAAATGTGAGACCGGTAGTTTGTGTGTTGAAACCATGCCCAGTTTCAAAGACAATTGGGAAGGCTTGGAAAGTAAGGTAAATGATTCCGAGAATGAGTGCCGTCCTAAAAGAAGATTGCAAGGGTAAACCAGCTGTTCCACAATCTAAAAATGGGAAACAAACCATAGATTGAGGAGCAGTGCCATTCGGTCGTAAATAATCAATTCTATAGCCGGCGCACTAGTAAGTAATGCGGTAGAATAGTCGACAAGCCGAAAACTCACGAAATGGTGTATAACAGCTTACTGTCAAAGCGTGTAGAAGGCTTTTGTTGGTCCTCTCTATAGGTGCATAGTAATTCAAATCGCCCGTTGTTTTGCGCAGTCTGCGTGTTGCTGTCAGTAACTTGGAAAATTGCTTCGGTGTACAATAGCGACAGACCTCTGAGCTTTGTGCTTGAGAATAACAGGACCAAACGTTTCCGGTATGATCTTGAGGAGCAGGTGCATTAGCCTGACATAAGTAGCGAAATAGAATAAAAGCCGAAAACCTACAGTGAACAAAGCCACTGTCTGGAGAAAAGACCAGATTAGGAAGACATAATATGTCCATCTCCAGTCCGTGTTCTGATTGATGAAGCTATACGGAATGAAGTAAATGATCGGCATTATTCGAGCTTTTCACAGGATACAGACTCACCCGCTGAATAGAGGTCCTATCTCTGGGCCCATGAAAGGAGTGAGTGTGTACAAGCTCATAGGACTGTTACGATTGGAAGGAATGTTAATGGGGGAGATCGACAAGGAAAAGGAATAGGAGAGGACGTGAATACAGGGAGGGTACTCACGTTGCTACCTTGTTGCTGGGAAACAGGTCGCTAATGCTCCCACCAGCAACGCTGAGAAATGCGGCTCCAAAGAGACCAGTGACGAATCGGAAGATAAGATATACGGCTGAGCGAAGGGACATGGTGAGTAAATGATACGCAACAAAAGTCATAAGAGACAAAGACGTTACCGATGTTAGGTGCAAACGCTATAGGCCAGGTGAATGCAAAGAAACCCAAGAATGAGATCCTATATATAATGTTCCTCCCATATCTACGAGAGGATTAGTTCCATCGACTCGGAGTGGGGCCTCATTGCAAGTTGAACCACTTACACTTCCGACAGCGGCCCGACTACAAGCGGCCCTAAACCAAGGCCCAGCACGAAGAGGCTTATGGAAAGAATTGTGACCTCTTGGCTGACATGAAATTCACTTGCTACTCCTTTCTCCGTGAAAGAAGCCTGGTGGAAACGTATCCTAGATAATGAGTTATACGGTGTCTGTACATCGGAGAGCATGGAAGACGCACAGCAGATGATGCACAGGTCACGCAGGTGGACGCAAGTGAAATAGTGAAAACCGAAAGCCATCTGCGAAGCGAGGAGAGTTGCTGAGGGTCATCTTCCGGCTCCATCGTGACCTCGTACTTGTCGGCCAGAGAGTCCGGGCGTGTAGAGCGCCCATCCTCTACCTTGAGTCCCTTTTCGATGTTCGTCTCACTGCATGGTATTTGTGAAGAGCGGGTCGACATCTTGTCCTACCTTGGAACGAAGGGTAGAACGTGTAAGTTACTTATGACGAGTGCGGAAGGTAAACATAGTGCCAGTGGTGTATTTATGCCTCCTGAGCTTCTCTTGTGGTCTCAAGTGGGTTCCCATGAGCCGGTTCGAACACGGAAAAAAGATTAGACTCTTCCGGAGGGCTGATGCGCTGACAGAGCAACCTGATCCACCCTTATACGCAGCCTATACGTGCCCGAAGTGGCAAGATCACCTCCGAACTCCATTTAGCGCCTGTGAAGTCAGACACTGTTTTGTCTACTCCGAGTCCACATCTTACCACGCGTTCCCATTCGCTGCAGATATAGGCCAAGACACCCCGCGTTACGTAAGAACCGATTTCGATCACGCTTTCACTGACGCTCACTTGAAGACGTTCTTAAGACGTTCACCACCAACGATTTTTGAGCGATCCTCTTGACATTTATTAGGGGACGGACAAATGGAGTGGTAAGCTTGTTCAATTTTTAGAACCGTCAATCTTACACAGACAGCCGGTGGCGTTCCCAATGACACAGCGGTGGCTTCAACCGGCCTTGGGTGGGGCCGTTTGTGTGTCTTTGTGGGTCCGTCCGGGGCCACAGCACCCAGTGCTCATCTAACCAGACGTTGCTGTGACCCCGTCTTAGTAGAAGTGACAGTGAAACATCCGCCTCGGGCCAATCATTAATACTTCTACATCCTTGAAACGGGTCGCCCCATTCGAGTCGAGTTTAAGTACACTATCAGGATTGAAGTTCCTGCCGTCACAGTACAACGCACGATAGCAACTTGTCTCATACTGAGTACTTACCTAGATTGCGTACCTTCTTTTGTGCTGATTCAGGACATAATCGTTGCTGGACACACTCGCATGCGCGATTTTGAACGCGACTCCGTCGGTCCCGCTCAACGATTCATATTACCAGTGCTGTAAGTAGAGGATACATGGATGTTAAGTAACTCTGCAAGTGGTCGACAAAACGATGCAGTATGATATGGTACTGGTACATGGCCCATGATGAAAGGAATGACAAGCTATGTAAACTCTCGAAGGAATGGACAGACCGCTTGAGCGTAGTACTCTCAATGACACCGAATAAGTCAGGTCAAAGCAGCCAAAAGATAGAAAGAAACGGGAAGGCTAAGGAGCGGACAAAACGATGGACGCGAAAGGAACGTGGGATCGACAGATGAACATATCTATTTGAGTATATGTACACAGACAGGGATAGGGATGTGGTGTAGGGATGTAGCAGATAATACGGACGATATACAATACTTATATCATTTCTCCCAAAAATCAGACATATAAATGGACAAACACCACATACATATAGATCGTAAATCGCACCCGAAAACAGAGAAAATGGCCTAGATCAGTGTTCGCGCTTCGCAAGCAACGAGCCGGCCTCAAAGACAAGGGCGGCGGGAGGAGCAGAGGTCGTATGGGTTTTGGGGGCGCTGACGCTGACGAGAGGTTGGGAGGGACGAAGGCCAGCAGGAATCTTGCGCGTTCCGGCGCGGACGAGGGTCTTGCCTGATCCGTTACCGCCACCGCCACCAGTGGCACCAGAACCGGAGGAGGGGGTTGGGATGGAGATGATGTTGCGTTCTTGGTTGAGGATGTATGACTGCAAAGGAGAAAGGATGTCAGATGAGGATAAGAGACGATGGTGAAGTGGATACTCACCCGAGCAAGCAGGATTTTCTCCAGCCAATTCTGGCCATCCGCATCACCACAAGAGAAGAAGTGCACGTAGTCTGCCGCATTCTCAAAGAAGTTCAAGTTATCGGTAGACTTGACGGCGAAAATGAAAGGTTTTGGAGCTTTGTGGAGACGCGTGACGTGGTAGGCATCAAAATTAGAGAGCGAGCATAGGAAAGTCTCGTCCTTGCCCTAGTCGCATACCGTGTTAATGTCCGAGACCTTATGCGAAGAGGGAGTACAGAGCAAGGTGGCGACTTACAGTTTCGCGCTTGGCCAGCCAAAGACTGTGCTCACGCAACTCCAGCCAACGTTTGTTCCACTTGCCCCTCTTGCTCTCCCACTCAACAAATCCTGCGAATCTCGGGGAAGAGGTAGGAATGGCCTATGAAACAGCACCATTGGCAGGTCAACATCATGGAACTTCGCAAAACAAATGAAGGACGAAGGACTCACAGATGGACGCAACAGATGTGCCAACTCCGTCTTCTTCGCAATGATGGTGTTCACGGTCCTGTCCTTATCCCATGAATTCACAACTTCCGCGACGACCTCGTATGCCCTGATCGGCCGTTCTAGAGCGATAAATCAAATCAACAAACCAGAACAACGAATTGAACGGACGACCAAAGAAAAGGACTCACCCATCCCGAAATCCTGCGCCACCTCAAACAACATCCAACCCCCAAGCCCTTGAAACGGCTCCAACTGCGCCTGTCTCGCCAACATCTCCACCACCTCCTTCGCCGTCATACTCGGCCCGATCTCCATCATACTGAACCGCTGCATATCGCCCACGAATACCCTCTGCTGCCACACCACTTCTCTCCTCGGCTCTCTCTCTCTATTGGTATTCGATAGACTGTTGAGGACTTCTGCGGGCGGGAGGGGAGGCATCGGTGGTGGTCTCTGGCCGTCTTCGGACGGACGACGCGAAGTCCCACCACCGTTCGATTTGCCCGCCTCGTCGCTCGTACGCGGGGCCGCTCGCGTAGACCTCTCACGACGCAAAGGCGCATCGACAGTCTGCGACCGAGTCCTATGCGTCGATTGACTCCTCGCAGACGCCGAGGCCGTAGCGCTACGGCTGAGCCCATGCGCGTCGGAGGTGTTAGCATGATTATGAGAACCTCCATCAGGACGATGGAATGAGCGCGAGGGGCGGAGAGTACGGTCCCTGCTGGTCGGATGGAGCGAGTTATCGGTGTTGAGTGGAGGGGCGGGACGACTGGTGCTGAGCGCGCGTGACCTCGAGGTTGCCGCGGGTGGCGCTTTAATAGCTTGGACTGTTAAGAGACGTTTCTCGAGGTCCTCCATGGCGATGGGAGCTGCAGCGACGGGACTGAATGCGTTCCCGGGTAAAGTCTTCGTGCGCGTTCGAGAGGGTCGTTCCATGGCGTACGAAGACGAGACCATGTCCTGGTTTGTGCCGAATGGTATACCAGTACGAGGAGGTGAACGAGCCATCCGAGATCGTTGGGGATCGATGGGCGGAGGTCGGCTGGTAGAAAGTGCACGAGCGCGAAGACCTGTACCGACGGTCTTTGAAGACGAAGCGATAGGGGCCGGGGCTGGAGCCTGAGTTTGTCCTGAACGGGGATCTCTTCCCTGCGCCGCCGACGCACTCTGCTGCCTCTTCGCATGCCTCTCCCTCCTCCTCTGTGCCTGTTCATCCCTCACCTGTCTCCGAATAGTCCTCTGAGCCGTAAGCGCAGTCGGAATACTTTGCGCCAACGGAACGTTATCGTCGCTCGTCTCGCCCGCACCTCCACGCTCATCCTGCGAATAATCCGACGTGTCTTCTTCAGACTCGCTTTCTGATGATGTTTCGGCGGGGTCTACGTAGGACGAGGAAGCCGGTGGTGCTTGACGGCGGTTGTTGTCGCCTCCGTCATCTCGTCCTCGTCCTCCGGAACCGGAACCTGAGCCACCGTAATGGCCAGAACCACCACCTCCGTTGTACCCTCCGCCACCGCCACCGCCACCATTATACCCACGCCCATCATCGCGACGACCATTGCTCTGACTGTTGTAATTATAGCGCGTCCGGTCCCGCTGATCATCACCATCGACGGGTTCGTCCTCCATACCGGGTGGTGAATCGCAGAGAACGTCGGAGTTGGCTTGAACCTGTCCAGGCAACCACACAGCGGACAGTCTGCCATTTTCGACATGCGACGAAATGTTCGACTGACGAATGGTCTCCGCGGAAGTGCTCGGTTGGAAATCGTCCAAGTTGGCCACATCAGAGGCAGGACTTTGCTGGACGCTTGGGAAGTCTGTCGTGAGGTACATCGTGCTCCGAGGTGTAGACGCTGGTGGGTACTCTAAGTAATCGACGCTAGAGGTCTCCACGACCGGAGTCTCGATATCGACGGGCGACGAGACGAGGATGGACGCAGAGAAGTCGTCGTCAAAGTCGATGCTCACGTCCAAGAAACTCGACGAGGAGTATTGAGAGTCGTGACCGTCCTCGGACTGATCAGACGTGTAAGAGCTACCGGGCGCTTCTTCCTCCTCGACAGGTGGGGCTTCCGTGTATGATGACTTCGCAGAGCATGAAGAATCCGCAGACGAGATAGATGACGAGCGAGAGAGTCCTGGGGACATATTGAACGGTGACGATGATTCTGCGGAAGACTCCGTTGACGAACAGCCACCGTCAGATACTTGTCTGGTCTGCACAGTGGGAAAAGGGTGAGGTGTCGATGCACCGTCAACTTCGTGAGAAAGCTCTGAAGAGGGTAGTAGCCGAGGGGACGATGTCAGGCTCGTCAGTCCAAGGGGAGTGAACTCAGATTGCCCTGGGAAATAGGGGCCCATGGGAGTTTCGAGCATGGGTGCGCCGGAAACAGTATCATGCTCGGGTTCATTGCTCCGAGGTAGCTCACCAGACGGACTAGGCATCATGTTCCAAGGCTCGGCCGGGAGACGGGCGCCTATGGTCCCTTTGCGAACCTACCAATGTGATGATGGGGAAGCGAGCAGTCAGCGATTTGGTGTGTAGAGATGGAGAAATGATGTGCATACCATGACGGGCGGAACGAACTCTGAGTGAGACAGTGTACGTAGTGAGGGCAGAGAAGGCCGCGATGAGAATGCTGGTCGTGTGTGTGCTGGACGAACATGGTGGCGAATGGTGGCAGCGTGAACAACGGATGCAGAAGCCATAAATGGTGGAGAGGGTACGGTAGAAGTAGACGACAAGCTCCGGAGACGTCTTCGGGGAGCTGGCAGCAATGAATCCGGCGAAGTGGCCAAGGGTGAAATGGGCATGACATCCATGGATCTCGAAGGAGCAGGTGCTGGCGGCTCGGAAAACGAAAAGAAAGAGGGTTCTGCGAGAGAGCTTGGACCAGAGAGATTCGCGAAGGGATCATCGTCGAGCAGGTCTGCGAGCGGGGTATCTAGGTCCCTCGATGGTCGTGACCTGGTCGAGAGGGTAGAGGCTGCATTTGTGAACGAGCGAACGATGACGGATGGGGTATTAGACAGAGTGCGCTGTCTGACTGGTATATTATGACCTTCACTTGTGGGAGAAGTGGCGGTGGCGTCGGAGGATCCTGGGTGAAGGAAGCCGGGGACGAAGAGGGAGTGGACAGATCCACGTTTCTTGACCATAGGGTTGGAAAGAGGTGCGTTGATGCTCGTCGTGATCGAGCGTGAAGAGTAGTAACCTTCTCCAGAGTAAGGGTCGGTGGGTTTGTTGAAGAGAGGGTGGGAAGGTATAAGCTGTCGGGATGCCGGAATGGTCAGCGAGAAGTCGTGATGACGAGAAGACAGGTCCAGATCAACGCGGCCCTGTTAGCGTTTGCAGTAACGAGTCGCGTGCAGCGAAGACGCGAAGGCAGGCAGCAGTCGTTAACATTTGCGACTGTTTCGACCGAACTCGCCGATCCTCGTAGAGACCTGACATGTGGCAGTGCAAAATTCTGGAGAAAATGTGACTCACCTGGTCTGGTTGGGGACAGTGGGGGTCTAAAGAGCGTGTGGTATAGAGCAGACCGAGCGTGCCAGCGTCGAGGAGGACGGGAGGGCCGTTTTGGATGATGGTGGTGGTCGAGAGGAAGAGGGGGTCGTCGGTGGGTAGATGATGTATGGGGTCGTGGGCGGCGAGCATAGTGACCGTATGGAGGTACGAAATTGAGAGAAAACGAGATTGTTGCACAGGGGGAAACACAGTGCCCGTCCTTGGCCAAACAGGTCCAGAACACGTCAAGCCTATATCGCGGCATCCCCCGCTCCCCACCCCGTGCCTGGCCCCGGCCTCTCCCTCCGCACCTCTTCCGCTCTCCGTCCTCCAACAACTGTTCGTCTCGATGTCCTTTGATGTTTCGTCCTCTCTGAAGCACTGGCATATAGATCCGGATGGCCATCTCGCTCTCATCCCCTCACCGCCCGTCTTGTGTTCATCACCATCTGTGCTATTGCTAGTCCCGCCCTTTGTTCATCTGCGGTATTCTCTTCAGCTCTTTTGGTGTCGGCTATGCTCTCTCGGAATGCGACATCCCTCCTCGCGAACCGTCTAATTGCGTTGGCTGATGCACTACGTTACGCTGTCCGACATTCTCCATTCAGTATTGGCACTTGACGTACGCTAAACTTGTCCTCGGCCTCACGCAGCACTTACCACGACATACGCATCGTCAATCGCACCGTCTGTCTAATCATCCACCTCCCATGACAGATACATACACCAATGGGCAGCCACTCGTGGATCAGCCCCCGTCGGAGTTCAATGTCGTTGTTGGGCGGAAGACATACGTACGTCGTAACAGGGCAACAAGGTTGATGTTCCCATACGTATGATGATGGCCCATCCACATATATACCTTCCATGGTCCATTACTACCCAACCAACGGGTTCATTACCATTTCGACTACTAGAACTTCCGACATCCCCATCCCACCCGCGCCGCTCGACCACTCCCCTGGACTGCAGCTCATCCCGGACTTCACTCGAAACTGTTGCATACCGTTGCTAAAACTACCCGAGCTATTACCGAATCTCAACGAACACACTGGCACGAGGTTCACCAACCCGAGCCGCATCACCACGCACAGAACACGCGTCTCCCTCCGGACGAATTTTCGAGGTTTGAATCATCCAGCCGTCTCCGAGATATATATCTTGATATTTTGCCAAAAAGTTCTAACCGCATCAGCCGTAGGATGAATCAGAAATGGGACGTACATAAACTCGAGGCGCCTTGCGCTTCCTTTGCGTGTGCTGTACACAACCCACCTAAGTTACAATTTGTAATGCAATTTTTTTTTGTAATCCATCGACCATCTTGTCCTACGTTACGGCAGCATAAATTTTTAACACGTCTGCAAGTGATATGGCTACGGCCGCAGGTGAGTATGTAACCCAAACGGTGAATTCAAAGCGTGATGATTTCTTGGGGGTCCAATAAGCAAACAGGCTACAAAACCAGCAGAGCCCATGATTGGCCCATGACAAGGAAGACTCCGAATATGTATGACATATTCGGCAGTCTCCGGAACGACAGCATCACCGCGTTTTTTCAAGAAGTTGAACGTTAACCTCACAGTCCTCAACATCACACACTCGCGGGAGTCGCGCTTGCTAGTTGTTTGCATTAGCGCCAACTGACTCGGACTCATAACCATAACCATAACCTAGATACCGTAGACCGTTTTGCCTCACACCTACACTGCGAGGGCAAAAACCGATTTCGGAGAACAAAGGACTTAGCTGCTTCGGGATCTGGCTCCACTAAGCTGGGTTAAGTCACTGAAGGAAGTCTTCCTCGAATCCGAGTATAGCCTTCACTGTACCCCGGCTCCATCCAAGCCCCAACTCAAACATGCCTCCTCGTCGTGAGCTCCCAGGATTCTACTTCGACGAAACCAAAAACCGATATTTCCCACTCTCTTCAAAGCCCAAAGCAGCGCCGGCATCCCTAGCCCCAGCCCTAACCAATAACGCAGCCAAACGCAGACGCCTTGACTCTGACTCCGAGCCTGACCAGACTCAATCATCATCGAATTCGGAGGAGTCACGCAGAGGCTGCTTTATAGAGGACGGCCATGTACGGACGTGGCGTGCTATACGGGACATACAGACGACGAGTTCGTCACGGCAGAGGTCGCGGGCTTGTCGGTCGGTAGGATTTTGTTGGCTGTGGCTTGAGATATCAGACTTCATACTCATCTATTCTGGCTTTTTGTTTTTGTTTTTGTTTTTACCTTTTGCAGAGACGTCCATAGATCACAGATGGAGGCCACGACGTCTAGTGAAATGTATAGCGTGTACTCCGTCTCACAAAGTGCCATCACAGCGTACAAAGCAAGTCGAGAGCTTCGTCTCTTCGCTGTCTCATCCTGATGCCCCTTTCTTTGTTTCTTTGGCTGCGTTGTCTTAGACAATCGCATACAAAGGTCACGTCCACAGTTTCGCAGGAGACAGCCGCGGATGGCTGCACTCGTTCAACACCCCTTCCTCTTCTTATCATTCGATCCCGCCATCGCATAAATCGTCGATGTGGAGCCCCGAATTCAATCTGGGGTCCAAGGTTCGTTTATTCGTGTTAATTACCCATCAGGTGGCAAGCACGCTAAATCGTCGTCTTCTTTTTTGTGATGGTAAACTATGCAGATATCGTCCATAAGCGCTTCGGGATCGTTATGCGTGTTCGTATCCTTTTCTACACGCAACGATTTCGTTCGTTCATTGGCTAATGCGCGAATTATTGTGATGACACTCCACATATGATAGAGCCACATCATTCGGCCCAGCATCAAAAGTCCTCCTGAACGACTTCACGACCAACCGGTTCGTCTAGCACTACTTCCCCTTCCCCTTCCCCATTCTTTAACCCTATAACTAGCCCTAAGCTGACTCTTGCTTCTCATACTATACACAGTGTCGTCGTGATGACACCAGACCACACTTCCGTACATGACGTCTGGACGAGTCATCTCCGAGGTCGAACGCTCGCTCTAGGCATGCGCCGTCGTGCAATCCTCGTCCCCGATATCGTCAATCGGCCCATATTCTGTGAGCTGGATACGAAGAGCGATGTGATGAGCGTGCACCAGGAGGAGGTATGGCCCGCTTCACCTCCCCTTGCACATACCCACACCTTGACTCTTACTCTTACTGACCGCGACATGGTGCCCTTGACCTACATAGAATCTAGTCTACACCGGCGCCCGCAACGGCTCGATCAGACGATTCGACACCCGCCAGCCGTCGTTCGAGAGCGAAGTGATGCTCGAGAACCGGTTCATGCATATGAAGACGACGCAGCGGCCGGCGAATTCGATCGTCTATATGAGTGTGGTGAATGAGTGGCAGTTGCTCGTTAGCGCTATTGATGGGACTGTGAGTTTGATTTCTGCAAATCTTTTCACCACTAGGTGTTGTCGAGCTTGAATTGACGTGTTTTAAATTTAATTGTGGCGTGGGCGTTACATGTAGATCGAGCTGCATGATCTCCGGTTCGCGACGGGCTCGAACCCAAATATGTCCCTCGAGGGAAACGTCAATTCTTACAAGCACGACCTCGTAAGTCCCTACCACCATCGCCATCACTCACACCTCACCTCCTTCCCAAACTAAACCCCGTATCTAATCCAATTATGTTTATATCAGCCACACGCAATCACACCGTCACAAGACTACCTCTTCGCCGCAGGCCTCGATAACCGTATCCGAGGCTGGTCACTCCACACCGGAGAGGCTCTCATCCCACCTCTATTTCTACCTCCTGCACCATCATCACCATCATCTCCGCCTCTCACTTCCGGCCCAAATAACTCGGTCCTTCGATCCTCGTTTTTCTCGTACCACAACGAACTCGACGATGACGACGAATCCAATCCAAATCCACTCAACCCATTCAACACCCGCTTCGACGAACCACTGACTGCGCTACAGGCGCTCTCTCTACCCAGTCCAGTTCCGAGGTCATACCAAGATCCATACCCAGACCCAGGCCAAGCCGACGATCGCGAGGGCGAGGAAAACAGCAAAGCTCACTATCCAGGTGATATCTACCTCCAAGCAACCTCGGGAAACACGGTCTATTCGTTCGGGTTGGGACAGAGGGCTTTGTCGAGAGTAGAGAGGACTTCGATGTACGGGTAATGGGTGAGAAGGGAGAGATCGAATGTGTCAGCTCAGTGGAAGAGTATATATGTACATAGGGGTTGTTGTGTTTGTAGCTTTTGGGTCTCAGCTCAGGTTGCACGTTCAGTGCCGATGAAATGGATGGATGGATGGACGCTTGCTCGGAATCGAACGAAATGGGCCATTGCATCACGTTTGCATGGTATTGCAGGAAGGTATAATGCCTGGGGCCTGAGACCTGAACAGTGGCCGGGTACCAGATGGCCTGATGGATGGATCTATGGATCTACGTAGGTACTAAGCTACATCTACGAACACGTACATACTTTTTTTCTTCATTCTACACCTCAACGACGGTACCCAAATTGAAGACGTATCGTACACATTGACGTACAATATATACAAATTAAACTTTTCGCAGACGAAGGAAGGATGCAGAGTCTGCTAATCTCTCGAGAAAAGGAAACAGAATGGACGATGAATGCGCCGAGACCGATGCCAATGCTGCGTACGAAAAGGAAATTGGGGAGAAAGGCTATGGTTGCAGAATTTGATGAATTGAATTGGTTCGTTTCCGAGAATATGCATGAGAGAAACTGGCTGCTTGAAACTTGTCCACTGAGGAATGAGAACGAAAACGGAAACTTGGAGAGGAGGCAGGGGTATTGTAGTGACGGTGACATACGGAATCTTCAACGGCCACGAACTTGAACTTCTAATACGCCGACGAAACAATCTAGACAGTCTGACACGGAACCGATGCGAACAGCACGATTGACGAATTGAAAAAAGGAAATGCGGGGAAAGAGAAAAAGAAGAAAAACCAGACATGACGACTGCACCGTTTGCATGACGCACGATCTGCAGCTCAGCGCTTTTTGAACAAATGAAAGAGGGGCGAGAAGCACTGTGAGATGTCTGTCAGTAAAATGATCGTGCATGGAAGCGCGAAGCGTGCAGAGGCACGATCGCATGACATGACACAAACCAAACATAGACGTACCTCCAATCCCAACTCCAAGTCCGGAAACGAACACCCCATCAGATTAGTTCAAGTCGAACTGGGCGAATCATCCCTGCTTCCACTGCCACTGACGTCCCTCTCGAGCTGCTCTGCGTCGGGCGTCTCGACTTTCACGCCGTCTTCAACGTTCTCCTCTCCGTGCCCGTCGGGACTCTCGCCCAGCGCATCATGCTCTATCCGCACCCACTCCCCGCTCGCGCTCGCGCTCCTGCTCCCAGCACTATTGCTACCCGCATGAACTGGGGTGTGACCGTCGACATCGACGGGCATATCGACGCCACCGCCACACGGCCCGGGAGGTTGATTCTCCTTGTCTTCCTCACCTGATCATAAACGGAGAAAGAAATGCATAAGATATCGAATGTCAGAGGAAAAGCAGACAAGAAACTCGAGGAGAATAAAGTGATAGATACACACCCTCCGGAACTTCTCCATCGCTCTCCTCATCATGGCCTGCCGTCTGGTTCCCGTTCTGTTGCTGCTCGCGGTCGATCTCGTTCTGAGCCTGAGCCTGAGCCTGCGCCAGAGCCTGAGCCTGAACCTGCGCCTTAACGTGCCGGTCAAGTTCGACTAGAAGATTCAAAAACAAAAACCAGCACCACATCCCTCATAAGTGTATACTCTAGGCGATCAACTATAAGAACATCGTACTCACCATGATGATAAAGCTCCGCCATCGTCAACGGGGTCCCCAACGTCATCCCCATCCCCATCCCCACGCCCGCAGCACCAGCACCAGCTTGAGCGGCCATAGCTTCGAACCGAGCCTGCAAAGCCACAGCAGTCGCAGCCGCCTCCTCCTCATCCATCTGTATATCTCTCACACTCTCTCCCGCGCGCGCGTAGAACTGATGACCTTCGTCTCGATCTTCATGCTCCTGCGCGAATTCAGCAAGATGACCGTCCCACTGAACGGCCGAGTTCGTGGCGAGAGGATCGTGTTCGTGGTGAATACCATGACCGGCGAGACCTTGCTGTTCTTCGTGGTCGTGAAGAGTTGACTGAGACTGGGTCGGTTGTTCTTGGAGCGAAGTGGCATGTAGATAAGTAGCGTAAGGAACAGGACGAGGGGCCGCTATATCCTGCGGCAGGGAAAGCTCGAGCTGTGTCGTCGGTCCACAATCGTGAGCCGATAGGCCACCATGAGCCTGAGCAGAGTCAGAGCCGTCGAGACCAGTTCTTGGAGCACCGCCGATGAAAGGAGACGGGTTCAGCAGTGCGTTCGAGAACGCCGCGAATCCGTCAAAGCCGTGGCCGTGACCGTCGTGCTCTGATTCACCGGGGTACTGCAGTTGCATACTTAGGCCATCATCATGGTGCGAAGTGGAGCGTGATAACGTCGGTCGGCCTAGTTGGAACGCTGAGCCGAGGTTACTGTGAGTGTCCGGGAAATGGGGATGGTGGAAGGGATGGTGGTATTGGTGCTGATACGCTTCGGGCGTGAAGTTCACAAAAGAATGAGGATACATATGTCCGTGGTCGTGGTGATGGGGATTGTCAACATTGAACGCGCCGGGACCGTGACCAGCAGAAAAGACCGGCGAGTCGGAGAAAGGCATAGCGAACCCAGAAGACATATTGCCCTGCGAAGTCAAGAACACATCCGGATTGGGAGAATCCGCAGAGTGAGAATCGGTAGGCGAAGGCGGAGAGTTTGCGGCGTCAACGCCAGCGTAGCGAGCGTGATCAGACGAAGAAGCAAACTGAGCAGAGTGAGATGCACGCGTGTCATCTTTGCAGGGACGGGGGCCGGAACCGCCACGGCTGAGACTGCTAGACGAAGACCGACGTTCGGGGAACATAGAAGGATGTATGCCAGGTCCTATGAGTGTCCGCGGCACCCTTTCACCATCGTGTTGCAAGAGCGCCTCGCGTCTTTGACGTTCCATTTCGGCGCGTCGGAGATGGTCGTGATACTCCGCGGTGCTCATATGCGTAGCAAAGTCAGGATTGATGCTCGAGAAGGTATTGTGGGTGAAAGCATGAGGCCCAGGATGGGAAGGCATGGAAGAGGATCGATGAGCAGGTTGTTTAGACGGAGGACCGTGACCCTGAGCATGGGCGGTTTTGGCGTCGCACATCGCCTGGTGGGCCAACGAGCCCTTCCGATTAGGATTATTCTGCCTCTGGAACCAGCTTCCGATCCATCGAGTATCCCTACCGATATAAACATGAGTCTATGCCCGGGGTGCAAACAAAGCGAAACGAGACTCACAATCCCGTCTCAGCGGCTGCGACGCGTTTCTGCGCCTCGGTGGGACGCGCCGTCTGCATATACAGCCGCTTCAAAGCGCGGAGCTGCCAGTCCTTTGCGAACACGGCAGTCGCGCGTCGTCGGACGGGGTACGTAGTGTACCCAGAGTCGGACTCGGTGGGCGAGTGCGCCTGAGACTGGGAATTGTCGTGCTCGTTATCGTGCTCGTCGACTGGGCTCATGGTGGTGTCTATGTCGGGCACCGTGGCGGAACGGCGGGGGCCACGAGAAAGACGCGAGGTGGGGATCGGGTACATCGATGAAATTCGAGAGAAATGTGCGAGACAAAAGAGAGGATGGAAGAGACGAACGAGAGTGTTGAAAGAAAAAGAGGGACGATGACGAAGAAATTAAATGGGCGAGCGGGAGTCGGGGCCGGATTCTGCATTCAGAACGGGGAATTGGGGCGAGCACACGAGGATATCACAGTGAACGATCACAGAAGAAGTCCCAAAAGGCCGCGGATCTGGCCGGAGCCGTTGCGCGAGTTTGACGGATGCTCGGAGGAAGCGCACAACGGCCCAAAACGGTTCAGAAAGAACGAATGCAAGAGCTTGAGCGAAAGGAGAAGTACAGGAAGGTCGCCCAGCCGAAGCGATGCCGAGGAGACGAGACGTTCAGAGCAGAGTATTGATACACTCAGTCCCAATGCGGATGGATGAAAAAAAGGAGGCACAGTCGTAGCTAAAAACAAATCAAAAACAAACACAAAAAAACCTAGAAGAACACGAAGTAAGACTACATCTCTAGGCCCGAGTCCGCGAACAAACTCGACATCGCGCCCAAACGAGCGTGTTATACAAGTTATACACCGTCTATCCCGATTCGGAAGCCATCAGCGCGTTCCAATCAAAAAAAAAAAGGCTCGACATTGCACGATCCAACAACCGAAGGGCTACCAGTGCCCGAGCAATCGTCCTACGGCCCACGCCGCGCCACCGCCACCCACGGGCAGCACCACCACCCAAGCCAGCACATCGAACGCCAGTCTTCGCCCGAGGCGTCTCCTCTGCAACGTCCTTTCTTTCCTCTGCAATAGCTCGTCCGCTGGATCTGCCATATGCGATTGAGGTCGAGGCGTTCCGTTGCCGTTGCCGTTTGAGGGACCCTGGGGAAGGACGATCGAGAGCGGCCTTTTGAAGTGATGGACGGTGATGTGGATGAGAGCTGTACAAAAATAGGGGTTGAGAATCAGTGACACTGTCCTTGGGAGTATTCGAGCTCTGGGTTTCGATTAGGGGTGTGAACTTACATGGCACGATATATGATCCTACAAGCGCGAGAACGATGAGAACATCGCTGATGACGGCCGAAGCGGACCCGCCAAGCAGCAGAGAAAGTAAAACAACAAGCAAATATACGAGTCCCTTCGACATCATCGGGAGATTCTGTGTTAGACGGCGAATGGAACCGGGCGCAGGCAATTGCGGAACGGTCAACAAAATCGGAGGGATGCTGAGGAATAGTGTGGCAGCATTCATGACGGAGATGATAGAATTGGGTGAAGGTAGTGGATCTTCCTGTATATCATCATTCCAGAGCATTAGTGGATGTGCTATATCGTGTGGTCCGTTCGTTCGAGAGCGAATATGGTGGCGAAAGTAATATTGACCTGAGAGGAACTTACGGGAGAAGTAACATTCACAGCAAAAAAGCAAAGAGGGAGGGTGAGGGCCACGGCAAGTCCGATAGAAATAAGCGATAACAATTGAAACGAGTGACGGTTCTTCTTCGTTGCTGAAGTTGAGAGAGTCGAAGTGCCTTTCAAAGATGCATAGAGGGGCAATGTCCAAGACGATCCAAAACCAAACGCGATAACGTCTGGAATGTATCATAAAAATCGTTAATGACCTTCGCTCAAGTGGAGATATGGGATACTCAACTAATTCCATGCCACAACTTTCCCGTCTCTGACCATCCTTGGTTCACGACGAGCGTACCCTGCCCATGCGCAACCGCCACAAATCCAAACCAAACGATGTAACTCGCGATCGACGCCCAGGTTGCATAAACGACAGGTTTTGCCGCGAGCGAAGGACACATGCAAAACGGAAGTGCAATAAGGGCTCCCACCAGAGTTACGACGATGCGTGAGGGCAGTAGTAACACTTTCGGCGGTAGTAATGGGAGTATCACGTCGACAGATTCTGAGTTGGTCGTGCGCCAGCATTAGTTGATATGATGCATAGATAGAGGTAGGATAGATAAAAGGGTATAGCAAAGTAAAGGTACTGACGACGTAGGTAAACCGTCGCTAGAATGCATGCAAAAGCCGCTCCTACAACCCTCACGCCCGCTCTAAGCACCCTCCTCTTCCCCTCCTTCGAGCTCCCCCTCCCTCTCGCAAACGCATCCAGCACAACCTCCTCCAGATCCGCCTTGCGTACATATTTCGCAAGCATGTACCACAGCTGTCGCGACAAGAGCGCGAAGAGTGCGAAGACTAGTACGGCAGGTATGGAGTACTTCAGAGGTATGTCGGCGCTCGGGATGAGCATTGGTCCGAGCCTGAGGAGGGGAGATAGGAGGTAGAGGAGGACGAGGGTGGATGGGAGAGGCGGGATGGATGACGCTTTGATGCGGTCGAGTTGGGAGGAAAGTGCGTCGGAGAGGTCGTCATCGTCGTCTGAGGAAAAGTCAAAGTGAATGTTGGATAGTTCTTCGGAGTCGTCGTGGACGAGGATGAGGTGCGAGTTCGAAGTCCCGTCGACGTCGTTATCGCCGCCGATGAGAGGAGACCGGGAGGAAGTATTCGAGTCCCGGCCGGAAGAGAGCGAGCTGAAAGATGAACGCCTGGCGGACGCCATGAGGACGGGGAAAGTAAAGTTATCGGTCGGGCTATTTAGGAAAGAAAGGAGGGAAGGAAAAGGAGAGGATATCGAAGGCTGGGGACTGCGCTCGACGTTTTCGACAGCACGCACGGCGTGCAGTTGTTCGACGGGTTATGTAAGCGTCCCGACAAGGGTAGCTTCTCTCTCCTGACAAGCGCACAGCCTGCCTATCTCCCCCTGGATATTATTTGTAGAGGCAGACTTGGGTACGCACGCAGAAACTTCACGGGGCCATCGAGACAAACCCAAGCTGAGCCTCAGATAAGATGGCGGTCAATTGCAACAAGTGCCAGCGAATATCGAAGCGGCAACGGCGGATTGACGAGTGATTAAATCGTCCCGAAATGGTATCCCCTTTCTACGCACCGAGAGTATGGCTCGGTGGCGTGACACCCTCTTCGCACCAGGTGGCGCTGTGTGAGTTGTTGCCTGCTTTTGTGTCTTCCATCTGCTCGTCGTGGCGCTGTGACATTTGCTCATTTCGGAATTGGTTCATGCTGGTTCAAAGATTTCAAATAGAGGGCACCACATCTCACTAAGAGAAGTCCTTCGAGAGAGAAGTCTCCGGAGACTGGAAAGGAAAGAAGACGCATGTAAGTATCCCGGATTTTCGTGAGATAAGAGGTTCATGGGACACGTAAGGAGATAGTACAACCACAATACTCAGAGCATGGCCTGATTCTACTCGAAGGTAGATTAAGTATTCAGACCAAAGAAATTTGAATAAAACAAAACAAGCCCGAGAAACCAGAGAAATCATACATGGCGCGTGGAACAAAATCTCGAGAAAGAGAAATCATGAACTGCCGTGTATCAGACATGCATACTTAATATGTTAACAATCACTCCAAGGCTTAAACAATGTCGCCCTCGTCACGGTCGCGTGCCAACCCAAGGCCAGGGTACGGCGTCCTCTTCTCAGCGTGAGCTGCATGAACATGGAGGCGTCGGGCCTCGGCGTTCCTGTGTTACCACGGGAAAATAGTCAGTGAAGGACCACAGACCGTCGAAAATAATAATCCATTTGGACTGACGGTCTGTTGAGTATACTCTCACTCCCCAATAAGAGGAGCGAGTCGTAGGTGAAGGTGCCGACCAGCCCACCACAGACTGGCGCAATGATGGGGCACCAGATCCAATATTGATCTCTGAAAGTGAAGACTAACACACAGGGATAGAACGTGGTCAGTGTGAATGAGTACCGCATCGAAGAGGACGGATCGGACATACTTGTCCTTCCGTAGCCCATCATAGCTGTCATAACCCTCGGTCCAAGATCGCGAGCAGGGTTGATTGCATAACCTCCATCAATGTCGAAGCAACAACGCGGTCAGCAAATATAAACGCAATGTCTCCTTCGAGGCAACCAAACCGAGAACCAACATCTCACCTGTTTGCATTCCAAAGGCGGCGCCGATGCCCAGAATGACGATGAAGAAAGATGCTCGATATCCCTGACAATGGTGGTGTTCCTTCGGTCGACCTTGGTGTCGGCAGACGTGCGTTCAATATATCCGATACAGTCATCATGGACAACGGAGGAAGATTTGCGTGATTTGGCCTCGTCGAAAGACATAATTAATAGGAATAAATTGGGGGAGGGAATGGGAAGGGGTGAAGGGCGGACAAGCTACCCCTGGTCGAGTACCGGAACCGGGTAAGACCCAGAGAAAAGAATGTGATTTATATGCCACTTCCCAAGCAGGTTGCAGTCGGCCATCCGTCCCACTATTCAAAGACAACTGGTGTCAGTCAAACATAAATTATTCGATGGTCGACCTCTCACATGTACAGATACTTCGTAGATGCTTATATTTTTCTAGCCAGACTCTCGATGTTGAGGATCTGAACCTTCCGTTCCGGCGAACGCCATGTCTCTGGTATGTGGAAAATATGGCCTGAAGTAGAGTGAAAGTCTGAGCATGACTGCGTCAGGCTATATGGGGCACGGGAACGGGGAGGGCTAGTCTTATCCCACTGTGTTGCTGAAAGTGAGCATCCACAGATGTGCGGGCGACCCCACCTAAGCAAAAAGCCTGTTCGAGGAGCTGGATGAGAAGGTCAAGTGCCGTGAGGAGGATCGATGAACCATCATTGCGTTGATGGCATGGTGCACAGGCTTGGGTGCTAGAGCCCATACCTTAGGCCAGCTACGCCCTTCGCATTCCAGATATCGGCCAGTTACGTACCACCTTTCCGTGTTGGTTCACACAAGAGCATGGATCTCAAGGATAGTCGAAGCACTGCTTGTGCTACATTCAGACCATCAAACATAGAAATAGCAAGGGATGCCACACGTGCCTTGGCAAATGCCGCAAGACTCTCTATTTCCATTCAATCTGGACAAATCTTGACCACAAGAAGCTCTTAACTTCATCCATGAAAAGGCTGATTTGAACCGTCCACATGCTTAGAGGAAAAGATAGACAGAGTTCAGAGAGAGGTCAGCTGATGATACGAAGGTACATGTTCACGAACAAACTTACCTGGCTTACACCTAGCATCTGGCTCTTACGCATGAGTCAGCCGTGTCTGCTGGATGCCTGCTTTTGTCGACTTGGTGTCATCCATCTTCTCTCCACGTATTGCTTGGTTCGGAATCGTTTCGCACTGGTTGAACCATTTCGGATAGCAATTTTTGGACTTCACGAAGAAGAGCCCTCCGGATGCGATGACTCCTGAGACCAGAAAGAAAGGAAGATGCATGCATCCTGGATTTCGTGAAGAGACGTGAGAAACAAACAAAAAAAGTGAAACCAGCAGACTCAGTGCGTTACCCGCCAACAAGCCAGAGGCACGAAACACAAATACAACACCATGTGGAGGCAACCATCCAAAAACAAAGACAGTTGAACAAAACCAAAGACCAGAGAGATTGTGTATGCTGCGCGAAACAAAACCTCGGGGAAGAGAAATAGAGGTACATAAACAGCTGTGCATCGGAAATAACGGAGTCAATGATCACAATATTTCGATCTCTGGTGATCAAACGATGTCGGCCTCGTCGCGGTCGCGCGCCAACCCAAGGCCAGCGTGCGGCGTGCTTTTCTGAGCGTGAGCGGCATGAACATGGAGGCGTCGAGCCTCGGCATTCCTATATACCCCGCGATAACAACAAACGAAGATACAGAGTCATAAATAAATCACTCTTAATGCCACAAAGAAGGATATGAGTACTTACGGCCTATTGAGAATACTTTCACTCCCCAGGAAGAGGAGCGAGTCGTACACGAAGGCGGCGACCATTCCGCCACAGATGGGCGCGATGACGGGGCACCAGAGCCAGTACTGGTCTCGGAAAGTGAAGACTGTCGTGTTGGGTAAAGATTTATTAGACCGAATGGCTGGAAAGTCGATGTTGACAGGCAGGACATACCGGACCTTCCGTAGCCCATCATTGCTGTCATGACCCTCGGTCCAAAATCGCGGGCAGGGTTTATCGCAAAGCCTTCAATATCGAAGCAAAAGAGTGGTCAGTATTGATTGGTCAATCATGAAAATGATGCCTCTATCGAGACCGAGGGATAGAGACACCACCCAATTTTCAAACATTACCTGTTTGCATTCCGAACGCGGCACTGATGCCTAAGAAGACAATGAATATCACCAGTGGGACCATTCCTGCCGGAGGCGGTCCATTCCTCTTGTCAGTCACCGCCAGGATGACCAAAACCAAGATGAAGGCGCCGAGGAACTGCATGGAACAACAATCCACACGTTGTGTGAACGATGCATTAGCAATGTGATCAAAGAGATGACACCACGGTACATACCTCGTCAAAGAAGCAACCAGCAGCCGGAAGATAATCAAGCTGTCGATGATGATCGTTGGTCGTTGAATAGATGAACAGTTAAACCCAGACAAAAAAACTCACCGCATAAGTACCAAACAACGACGCAGTTCCAGGTGTCGTCCTCCCAGTCGACACATCGATCGCATGGAAATAATTGGCGAATACGAGCATAGCGCCGATCCAAGCGCCGAGAAACTGAGCGAAGATATATCCCGGAACCTTCTTCCACGGAAAGTTTCGGAACGTCGCAAGGGTAAGAGTGACGGCCTGGATGGCGAATGATGTCGTATGCGAGAACGATTTGTGAGTAGATGGGCCATAGTAGAGAAGAAAGATGGAGATCTCAACTGGATTGATGTGACCGCCCGAGATACCGCCACAGATCCAAACGCCGAGGCCACCACCTGATAGAAGCAAATGTCAGTATAATTTGGAGGAGACCAATTGTGTTTGATGAAGTAGGATAAAACAATGCAGCAAGAAAAAGACGACGGAAGGCAATGCTTGGATATCGTGAAGTAAAATGGTGGTATAATACTTATACGAAAGAAGGAGTCAACGTACCGCATGCCCAGCCAAGGCACAGGGAGGTGTAGTCACCCTTCTCTGTGGCGCTCACATTGGTATTGCTACCGAGCACGACTTGACAGTTGACTCCGTTCCCAAACAGGACGAGGACCATAGTCCCAAGCATCTCAGCGGCGTACTCGCGAATCATTTCCCTAAGTAGAAGAAACATATCCGGGTTTTGAGCGGTCAGCACAGCAGCATAAGATGAGAAGATCCACGACGGAAACTCACCGGTACTTGGACCAGTGGTTGGGATAAGGCGTGATGTAGTTTTGGCAGGCATCACAGTCCGGGGGGTGCTTTTCGAAATCAGCATGATGTTCGACGTCCTTGACGATAGTGCTGTTCCTTCGATCCACCTTGGTGTCGCTAGAGGCGCGTGCGACATGGCCAACGCTGTCATCGTGGACGGCGGAGGACGATTTTCGTGGCTTGACCTCGTCAAAAGACATAGCTGCGATGTGTAGATTGTTGGAGGAGGCGGGAAGGAAGACAAAGCCAGTGAACTAACTCTGGACGAGTACCGGAACCGGTGAGACCTAGAGCAGAGGTCATGGTTTATATACATCATTGTGAAAAGGTTGCAGTCAGCTATTGGCCCCACTGCTCGAGGACGAATGGCGCTAGTCAAGCATAGAATATCTAGCACTCTTTCGATCACATGCGTAGATACTTTGCTATTTTGAGCCAGTCTCTCGATGATGTGGATCTGAATCCTCCGCGCCGAGACATGCCGTATGTCTTGGCTGTCGACGATATATCCTGAAGTAGGGTGAAAGTCTGAATCTATCTGTGCCAGGCTACATGGGGCACGGGAACGGGGAAGAATCCAAGTTGTATCACATTGTAATGTTGAGAGTGAGCTTCCGTTGAGGGTGAGCTTCCAGACATGAGGATTACTCCACCGATGCACAGAGCTTATTATTGCGCCTGGATAGGAATGTTGAGTGATTTGAACAGGATCGATGCAAGTCGCCATGATGGCCTGGTGCACAGGCCTGCAATGCTGGGGTCCATGCCTGAGCTCACCTAAGTTCTTCCCATTCCAAGTAGGTGACCAGTGACGTATGACATTTCCAGTCAGAGTCACGAAGAGCTGGACCCTCGAGGACAAGTTAAGGCATTGCTACTGATACATTCAGAGCCCATCAAATACGAAAGTAGAAACATATGTCATGCGCACCTTCTCGAATGCCGACATTTCTCTGATACAATTCTCTATCGACAAGGCATGATGATAGGGAGGTCTCAAATTTCATAGAAACGCTATTTTGTGGAAAATCCTACTTGGAGAAAAGGATGTGCAACATTCAGACAAAAATCAGCCAACGATACGAAGGAACATGTTCGCGAACGAAGTTGCCCGGGCGTACCTCTTCTGAGCCAATCAACCATATCGCCCAGTCACCAGAATAGCACAACATGACCCATCAAGCCGCCGGCACACTATCCGGACGGTATTCGGATTGTATTTCAACCTAGAAGATCAGGTATTCCCGAGTGCATAAGTTAGGTAGCCCCATTACTCAGGTCTGCCGGAGGAACTGAATCCACCGCAGAAGTGGAAGCACGCCACACAAGACGACAAATTTCCCGGGGCCATTCCGATGTTACGACTTGCTTGCGATGAAGTAAACTTCGATGTGTGCGATTCCCAAGATACAACCTGTTAATGATCGTTCATGCACAATACATCCTAACGGAGACGGTGGCGCGCTATCGAATCAATCAATGTACATGCAAGCCGGTGCGGCACACCAAGAGTCTCCACTACAATCACGGTAGATAGCAAGGAATAGGAATGACTTGAAGCTTAGGAAGGACGGACCAATTGAATGTTACAGAACATGCAGGATGCAGCGCGACGACCCCCATATCTAAGCTCCAGAATAGCTTATAACAGGCTCAACTGTAGCTTAGGTGCAGAACTCAACGTTATTACGCCACAGAGATCTTTGACACTGTGCAACTATTTGGAATCAGGAAGAACGGCAGCGGCCGTGATAGCCATTCTATCCGCCCATCTTCTAATTCTGGTCGGAGAGCACGAGTGAGCAAAGGAGACCCATGATCCGACCTATTTGAGTGTAGAGGCTTAAAATACATGTTCACCCCCACACACAGGACTTTGAATGGCAACCACTTGCTCGTACGCAGCGGTAACAGTGAATGTGCCGCGCAAATCTGACGCTTTCGCCAAGAAACTTCAGTAAGTATGACGGTGGACTCGTCCCCTCGTACCTCATCCAAGCGCCACAAAGGCCTTGAACCATCCACTTTAGGCTCTACAAGGAGCATTAGTGAAGGTATCGGGCATCGTGTAGGGAGGGAGGCAAACGCCGCATCCCCTTGTGATATAATGCTCCAACGGCGGTAGATAGACTCGTCAGCACGAATGACAAGAAAAGAGGTTCCCAGTATGCAGCAGAGCAATCTCCTAAGCAAGCTGCTAGCAGAAGGTTCGCGCAGAAGATAACCCGATATGGCAACAAAGTTGAACTTGTCGCCTGGTGCCAACACGCGTAGGGGCTGCGTATGGATCCGTTCGAACGTAGACGATGGCGTGGCCTGCAGTCCTGTTGTGTGTGTTCGGGTGGGGCGATGGTGATATCGACGTGAAGACGTTTCGAGCATCATCATCATCATTGTCGTCAGCCCTGTCGGCATTCAGTGAGAAACGACCATGTGCACCTAACGAGACAACATAGATGTATACAGTAAAATCGAGCTCGGGAAGCGAACGTTCAAGCTCGTACTGTTCACAGTAGAGGCATGTCTGACAGCGGAACGAGCCTCGCCACGCATAGAAAGGGCCATGAAGCAATTGCGCGCGGGTCAGTAATGCTTCACATCTCCATTTTCCCGGACGTTATTGGGAAACATACAACGAGGGGATGCCAACACGTACGATCAGCAGCATTGATGTCCAATACACTTCTATGAGTGAACGTCCGGGTTTTAACTACAACGTCTGCCCAACCATTTCCCCTACTACCCGCAAAGATGTGGGGAGTAATTTGGGGTATGGAGATCCGTGGTATATATCATGCGGACTCTAGGCGAGCTCGAATACAAGTACAATGTCGCAGGATGCGCGTAGCTCAAGAGTGCGTGTGTGATTCCGGAGACAGGCAGTAAACAATACAACAGACAGAAACTGACCCACTATTACAGAATGTTCATGCGTAGCTTGAGACCATGTGGAAGTAACTCCCTCGGACACATACGCACAACCTAGTAGGCGTAGGAATAAACCACTCAGCATCGTCCAACAGTGTCCCACTCTGGACCATCATATGGAAGACGTGTGAAAGCTCACCTTGTGCATACTGTTCTGCCCTCCGATGTCCCATCCGGTCTCCGCCACCCTCGTCATGCACTCCCTCACGAACTCCTTGATAAGCTCCCCGACTTTGAATGTGTCGCGAGTGACCTCTCGCCACTTGATCATGCTGCTCAGAAGTTTCCTTTGGCGAGCAAGCACACGAGTTCGGGCCGACATGGCCTCTGGGTCGAACGTCGGGCTATTTAGGGCGAGGTATTGACGTTCTAGGGCCTCCATGTCGGTGACGGCCCTCTTGAAGCAGTTGAAAACCGCTAAGAGGAATGGCTAGATGAGGGGAACACACGTGAATAGATAGGCTTAGCTTAGGTCTCGCGATGGAGGTAAAGTCAAGGTCTCACCTGGAATCTAGGATGATCAATTGGGATGAAAAGGCTGATACCATCCACCAAGTCTCTCAAACGGCTGATGCTCGTCTCAGAGTAAGGATCCAGGGCACCTCCCTCAACGATGGCTTTCAATCGAGGTATGATGACCATCCCGAGCACCTCTGGCACCAAGTCGCCATCAGGACCCAGCTCGTCCCCCTCATCCATATCAGAAAGGTCGTCTGAATTTCTTGGACGAGAGTAATGGTGGAATTGCGTATACCACTGAAAAGTGTCCAGGTTTTGTGCATTATCCTGTCCAATAAACATAGTTAGTGCAATATAGGACAAACTCTTGAACAAAATGTCATACCTCGAGGGGATTCCATCCGGCCATCTCCAATCTAATCCAGAACTGCCACGCGCCGACTAGCCCGAGACCCCCATAAGCTTGCGTATAGCTCACCTCATATCTCCTCCGCCACTCGTCAAACCATTTCCCAATGCCTATATTCGGATTTCTAAAGTCCTCCGCCTTTACGTCCTCCAGAATCTGGTCCTTCTTAGCCAGCATTTTTTCGGTGGCGACCTCATAGTCCGTCGCGTCTGATGGTGGTAAAGTGCTATCGGTAGACCACCCTTCCTCATTGTGCATGCTATTAGGCAAGGCCCGTTGCCGACGTCGAGCACGACGTGCGACGCGGGCTGATTTTCGCTCACGCTTTGCTACGAATGAGTTGGGATGGGGGACTAGGCGACCCAACTCGTCCAGTTCCTCTGCCTCGGGAGGAACGGGAAATGATCCGAGAAATATTGAAAAATCGTCTTCGTCTTCTGCACGGCGCCGCTGCTTGACCATCTCGCGACGTTCCTTCATGAGGGAGATATGCTCGTTCTCCACGGTTTCAAGAAGAGGGTACTGTGAACGCGTTTGAGTCACATATAGCAGGAGATCTCGACGCAAAGGAACTAACCTTTTCGTCCAGAAAGGCGGCGACACTCTCGACCCAGTCGCGGAAAGCGACGAACCAACTTCGCTTGCTTTCAGCAGCCGTGATCAATTCACGCATCTCATTGTCTTTGTTCTCTAGCTCCACCTGTTCCGCCCCTAAGGAGGCAAGAGTGGCAGTATTCTGTGCGTGAGACTGCGTCAAAGAAGTCATTGCCCGAGTAAGCTGCTCCACAGCAGGGTCCAGCGTGGGTATCGGAGTCACCATTGGTACTACGAAGGCAAATGGATGAGTGAGGTTGAAGGCGATATCAGGAGTAAGAGGCTCACTCGGTGTGGGGACATAGACCTGCTTGGCTGAGACGGTGGTTTGATCCATGGAAAGACCGCTCCTTCGAAGTTGTTCGTCTTCCCACTCTTTGGTCTCGTCATCGACTTCTTCGCTGAAAAAAAAACAGTCAAGTTGGGTCTGGCCATAGCACCACAAACAGCCGACACGCACGCGTCTGCAATGAGTTCCTTCATGGCATCTCTTCGTTTGCTAGCCTCGGCCTTCTTTGACTTCTTGCCTAGAGCAATCCTTTCTTGGGCGCTAGTATACTCGGCGAACTCTGCAAGAAACGCCTTCAACATAATAGGTAAAGAACCCCAAAGCAGGAATGCATACCGTCATCACCCTCTCCGAGATCGTCATCCTCTCTCATTAATCTACTCTCAGGATGAGGGCCCTGCCATTCTTCCGCACGCTTGGTCACCGACAGAGATATGAAGTCTTCACCATTGGTAGCAGTTGCTGGTTTGTTAGCGCGAAGACGCTCTCGTTTCTCCTTCGCTGCCGTCACCGAGGACTCTGAGGGAATGACAGTCTCGTTCGCCGCTGACCGGTCCAAGACACTTCGACTTAGTCAAGATAGATTTGAAGTAACTCTCGCGAATCACTCACCAAAGGGCTGCAGCTCCTCTGCGCCGCCCTCATTCATAGCACCCGCATCGATTGCCATGGCTACATCTGCATCATACGAGCTATCGTCCACGGGCCGCGGTGGACGGGTGGAGGGTGTGCTGGCTTTGAGCTGGGAAAGGTAGGCTTCATCGTAGACAACCCCTCCAGACCGAGATGAAGATGCTTGGTCGGAGGAAGAAGAAATATTACTTCGAGCGACATGAGTGAGGCTTTTTGCCTTGCGATCAGAGCCGAAGATGCTCACGGAGGGGACAGTGCAGGATGGACGCCGAGTGTAAGCTTACGACTGAGGCTAGACTTTTTGACAGTGAAAGTCTCTGCGCCGTCCTGAGGCATAGATGATAAGATGAAGATTGTCTATGTTATACACAGCAACATACCTCGTCGTCGCCGCCAAAGCTAAGTGTGGTCTTGGGTTTAACGCGCTGTTTTGCCTTGTTCCTGACCTTGGTGGCAAGTGCGGCGGGAGAGGGGGAGTCGTCGGCGGGTTCACCAGATACGTGTTCGGCATTGGGAGCAGGAGAGTCCCTGTTCCTTGCCGTCGTCTGCTTCGTCTTGGACCGTTTGAACTTGATGGGAGGTTCCGCCATCAGTGTGAGCGACGGTGAGAGCGAGTAACTGACCTGCTCAGGAGAGGTTGGCGCTGAAGGACAGCGTGTGACGCACTGTCACGGGCGCGTTTTCGACGCGACGCGTGACAGTGGCGAAGCGCTCTGCTCCGTTCCGCTCGCTCGTTGCGGCGACACGAACGGACAGAATACATTACCTCCTTTGCACCACCATCATCTCAAACGATGCCGCCTCGTCCACGTCCCCGCGCTGTCAATCGTCCTGCAAGTAATGCCAGCTCGAGCACACAGTCTGCATCACAGCCATCGTCGGCCCCTGCTGCGAAAAGCGCTCGTGAGCGAGAGCTCGACAACGATGACCAACTTTTCATGCGAAACAGATCACGGACAGCACAAGACTGGAAACGACTGGAGACCATTGAGAAAGGTCTTTTTCGATCTATGCGATCCCAATTGTTCCTCAGTAACGCCTGTCTTGTTTCAGCGGAAGAAATCAAGAACGCTGCTGCTGAAGTCAGCTCTTCAGAATCAGAGGGGTCAACGCCACGAAAGAAACGTAAGGCCCACAGAGACAGAAAGGGCAAGAAAACTCAAAACAGCTTGCCAGAATGGACGAGGCAGAGTAGTGTAACGTGAGTGTCGTCCCGTGTCCATTCATGCAACCTCCGGGCTTGTCAACATATCACATACCGGATTGCACCATATCTTGACCTGATGCTCGTCGTATGCGTTTTGCTTGAAAAATAATCCATGTGACAAGAACTGCTCACCCACATATTCACTTCTTTCAGGATACTGTCTTCCGACTCTGATGATGATCTAGAGGTCCTAGATGGCCCACCTACAAGTCAGAGACATGACTCTATCGAAGCCTCGAGGAAGTCGAACAAGCGCCAGCGCAGTCGATCTCGCTCGCTCACGCCTCCTCCTAAACTAACCATGCAACAGCTACAGAACGCTCGGAATGTCGTCAGGTTAGTAACCATCGACACAGACGGGCCATGCACTTGCTCACCAAGGCCATGCACACACATTTATATCTCTGTAGACAGACACTAGAGCCCACACCACGTGCACCATCACCAGGGAACTTTTCTTTCGACGACTCCACGGACACTATAGTCCTTGACCCAGAGTTCGCCTCGATCGCCAGCGCTGTAAAGAAGCAGTCACAGCGCTCCTTCGAGGGAGGCCAAAACAGCCACAAATCCGATGCGAACAATGACCGGGGCGGAGGGCCAGAGACTGTGACTATCAGGGTTAAGTGGAGACCTCATCCTTTGCACACTGGCGAAAAGCCGGAAGTTTTCCCCTTTACAATGAAGCGGGTACGTCGTAAGACAGCCCTGAACCGAGTGCCAAACTGACGGGTTGATACTTCAGCACGAAAACTTCCACAGACTATTGTCTGAGATAGCTGACGAGAAAAACATGCTAGACTATAACATTGTCTTGACCTACGAACGCTCTCGAGTCGTGGCAGGTGCAACGCCCCACAGCCTCAAAGTTTGGGCTGAAGCCGAGATGGGTGAGCTACTGCATAATTTTCATTCAGACAGATCACTCAAGATAGACGCTCTGGGTTTCGACAGAGGCTTCTACCAAAACAACCTTCGAGTATATACGCGAAAATCCACAGCACAACCAGCCGACTACGTTGTCGCATGTCAACGGGACTTCCCAATCTCACAACACACGCGCACCCTCTCTGCAACCAGGTGGCGGAGATTCGGACGAGTCTGACTCTGACGTCCAGTCGCAAGACGATACAGAGGACGAAACGTTCAAACTTGTTCTTCGCTCGGCAGAGACCAAGAACAAAAACATTACGCTCACTGTCCGACCCACGACGACTTGCGGCGCAATCGTAAAAGCGTTCTTGAAGAGGGCTGGATTGGCCGAGAAGTACCCTGAGGGAAAGAGCGCGAGGAGGAAGAGTGGTGCAGGTGTGGGACCGAGACTGGTCGTGGATGGAGATAAGCTGGACCCAGAGACTCCAATATCTGAAGCGGATCTGGACGATGGAGACCAGGTCGAGGTCGTTGGGCTTTGAGTGTGCTGTGATTCTACTTCCAAGGTCTCTTCTCTGGGAATATGGCGATGCCCTATCGCTACTTTCTTGCTCCGAAGTTGCCGTGTATCCTGCTTACAGGATGGCGGCCATTGTGTCGTTGAGCTTGCGTCTTGGGGACTACATTCTACTACGCTGTGTTTTGCTTTCGGTCTTTTGGTGTACTTCTACGTTCTCTTCACGGCCTGTCATGTCGTCACAAGTGATAATTATTCACTCTGCCCCCCATAGTATACTGCATCAGGACACCAACCTCAAACGCAACACGGCTCACGGAACATCGATAACAATCAATACTCAAAATGAATAAGCACTCAAGTCGCCAGGACACCCACAAACCCAACCGACCAACCATAATACAGAGCGTGTTGGAGGGTCATGACTGAACGAAACTATGATTAGCATTCCGGACCAGTATTCGAGCGTTGTTCACGAAAGCGCGCATGAGTTCGTCGAAGGCGTAGCGTTCGGGTTCGGGTAAGGACTCGTCGCCGCGACTTGCAGCGGCTGAGAGGAGAACGGCCGGGTGAGCGAATTCCAGTTCTAGCTCGTGGAGTAGTTCGGGCTATGGACACAGTGAAGTATGAGCGAAAATTAAAAGGAGTAATATAGCTCTTTGAGAGAGTTAAGGGAGAGGCTGTTATAGAGACTTACAGGGGAATGTGGCCCGGCAGACGATGTGACTTGCGTGAGGTCGATGCTGAACTCTTCATGTGAGTAACTCAAGCGATCCTTCTTTCGCGTGTGCGTAGCAGAGCCCAGTGGATGTGATACTGAATAAGACCGGCACCCTGCGTTGAGCATACTGTGCTGAAGAATAACAAAACCGTACGGGTGGCGTACCTGGTATCTCAATATTGACACTAATGCGCCAGTCCGCCGCACGCTGTGGGCTGTAGATGTCCATATTTCCCAGTCTCACTTTCTTCATACATTCCAGCACCTGCCCCGTCTTTTGGTCCCGCGTGACGCGTATCTTCTCTCTGTCGCCTGGGTTTTCGGATGGATAAAAGGTGTCGGTGAGATGAAGATGGTTGTAGGAGAGTGGTGTGGATTTATGGCCCGGTAGAGTAGAGTCTGTTTTGAGTTTGTTGAGAAGAGTATTGAAGTGCATATGTTGTTTCTTTTGTCGAAGATAGGGGCACAAGCCTGAATGCTTTATAGCCAACAAAGACAGGAAATGTGACGTACAGCAGACATATTGGATTCGAATCGGTAGTCGAGTAGATCAGAAACTATTACTGCACATAAAATGAGCAAAAAGCCTGCCGTTAGATGCAAACACTCACCCGTCTCGACCTGCACGGGCAACTTCAATCTCCTCCCAGAAGCCTTGTCCTTCAACAACCCAATCTTCGCCTCCACCTCGACCGCACCATTCATATCCGACGGCTTTGACCTGATCAGCTCGTGCACCCAATCCGCAACATGAAGTATGAATTCATCGAGTGGCTCAATGCCAATGAACGAAAGCGAAAGCGGCGGAAGCTGCGATCCTCCGGGTGACATAGACGGATTACTGGTACTAGCAGCTGATGATAACGCGTGACAGTTTCCGTTTCCGTTCGTCCGAGAGTTGATGGGCTTGTCGTCGATGGATGAGAGTCGCGGCGGTGGAGGTTTGTTATTGGTGTTGGAAGAGTCTGAGCGAGGACCCGGTGAAGAGCTGTGGCGCGCTCGTTTGTGGGGTCGACGTTCTGGGTCTGAGTCTGAGCCTGAGGCGTAGTCGCGACCACCGTTGTGATCCTTTTGTATTTGTAGGTGTGGATCCATGACTTGAGGAGATAACGGTCAAAGATAACGTGCGCGCCGATGAGTATGGCGACGGTTTGGGTGGAAGCAGGCAGGAGAGATGCGTCAAGCAGGCGCGTCGGGCCAAAAAGTTGTTCGGCAGAGTGGCGCATACAAATTTACGCCACGTTGACTTGCATCCGCCACGTACAAAAGAAAACATCTCACGAAAACGACTCGGATAGCGATGCTCATAATAATGATTCCTCGAAGACGTGAGTGTATGATTTCTCATGCCAAGCTTATACAGGGATATCGTCGTATCAAACGTCAAGGTCCACAACACCTCTCGTCCCGCAGCATCAAGAAGCACCAATCTGATCATGCCCATGCTCCAGAAGAGAACCTATCGCGAAAGGCGCAAACATTCCCAACATCAGCAACAGTAGCCGCGCATGCTTGCTCGTCTCCTCTTGAGGCGAATTCGTAGAAGAGCTGCTGTGCGACACTGGTTGCAGGACGGTGGCGACGTATAAAAAGCTCCCTCCCTGTCAGTACATAAAGCATGTAAGCATCAATGCAGTGAAGCGAATCATGTATGGTGATAAATACATACCGAGACCAGAAGCGCTATACCGACTCTGACAGGGTCGCCGGCTCCAACAAAGGAGAATGCTGCGTAGGAGGCGATGGCACCTATAGGCGTTGATGCACTGAACACTGCAAGATGTTTCCTACATTCGACGCGAGGAAGTGATGTGGCCAAAAGGGACGTAGTAAATGCCAACGCAGTAGGAGCTAACCCGCGGGCAGAGATGTCAGCGAGTTAATTTCTCGTGAGGAAAAGTCAAACGAACCTTTGTGTATAGCAAGCGCGAAGAACACCACGAATGACAGATCGGACGATACTGTAGAATCCGCAGAAGACAGTGCCGACACTCCAAGGGCAAGACCATCTGCTAGGCCGTGTAGAACGAGACCGATGGTCAGTGTAAATGGTCGTTGCTTTGGTACTCTGTTCGACTCTGATTCACGGTCTCGCGGAGGCGATGAAGACCTTGAATGGGGCCGGCGTGGGATGCCTTGTTCGTCCTCTAATTCTCCGAGTTCGACATCAAATTCTACCTGGTCTTCGCCGTCACGAGATTTGGAAGCGTTGGCGATGGATTTGGAACGGTCGTCGTTTGGAGAGTCGGAGTGAGAGTGTGAACCACTTAGTTGTTCGACGAGGAGCATGAGAGAGAAGCCGACAAGGAGAGATAGTGCTATCGTCGTTGTTGGAAGCTCGGAGCTTGGGTCAGCGAGCGATAGTGTTTCAATTCCTCTAGGATTTAGAACGAGTTATAATTTGTTTGCGTAAAGAAGGCGAGGAGGACCTACTCTGGCAGAATGACGCCGAGTGCGGTTCCAAGCAACAGACCGGTGCCCAGGGTAGATAGCTGAGATAAGTGCTTTCCTGGAGAGTACCGTTTGTCAGATCGGACACAAAAGCAAGAACCGTCCTACGAACGAGAGAAAGAGATGCTCAGCGGTAGCATTCCAGTTCCAAATGATGTTAGGCCTAGCAGAGCTGACATTATCAGCAAGGCGGAGAACGGAGACATGCTGGCTAGCTTGTATTCCTGCTGTACTCTCGTTCAGCCAAAGCTCCGAGAGAGCTGTTTGGTGTCTACAGAGCAAACTTTTGCCACACTATGGCGCAGTCGGTGAAGTTGTGGCGCCAAACAAAGATGCGTGGCATGATGAAGTGACACGCCGTCCACGGAGTTCATATCGGCGGATGCCGGATCTTTCCAAGTTCTTTCTTCGTCAAGCCACACTTACGCCACACCGGTTGGAGCGCCCGAGCACAAGGTAAGTTATATCTCCGCGTTCCGGCAAAGATGGTCGCATGAAAAATGATATTTCAAAAATGAAGAGCATAGTGTGATACAAAGTTCAATACTGATACAACCCACAACATCCAACTACTTACTCCCTCACCTCTCGCCAAGCCTGAAGCCTACGGAGCTCCTCCGCCTTCATCTTCTCCTGGTTTCCGACCCTCAACGGCACAACCCTCCTCCTCTCCGTCGTGGGCGTAAAATCTAAGCCCTCCCTTCCCAGTGCCTTCAACGTCTTCCGCTCTACCAAACTGTACTCTTCGGGATCATCGCGCTGAAACTTGAATGGTTGCTTGAGTGACACGGGCGGGTTCGTTATGACCCTCGGTATACGCAAATAGTTCTTCGAGGCGGAGTGCAACATGAGCGGATGCAGAAGGACGACATCGCCGACTTCTCCCGTACACTCCACGAACTCATGACACCGATTCGCTGTCTCCAAATGAGACCAATGCTCTGGGTGGTCCTTGGGATCTGCATATGTCGACGTCGACGGCGTGAAGGATTTTCCGGTCGGAAGAACGCCTTCAGGATGTTGGGCGAGGTAGTTGGCGGTCAAAGGCATTGCGTCGGGACAGATGTAGGTCCCACCACCCCTTGGATGGATGGTCGAATAGATGGGGATAACGAGTAGAGCCTGCTCCGGAGAGTCTAGGAAGTGCACCTATGAATAGGCCGATGAGGTCATGTCGTTTCAGCCTAGCTGATCCGGTAGATAGTTATGGAGAAAGATACAGCAGCAACGTACGAAAAAATCTCCATCAACGTGCCAGTTATCGAGGTCCCTCGGGTCGATATCCTGAGCTTCCTTCTCCAGCTCCGCTGTCCCGAGGTTCACGATGAATGAATCTCCCCACGCACTGCTGGATTCCTCGATGCGCTCTTCTCCACCGAGTAACTCGGTGATTGCCCCCCACGCCTGACATACCGGTCAGGGTTCAATAGATGTTGGGAACAGTCGAGCGGCGTACTTTCGGTGCAAAAGACGCGACGGTTTCCCGTCGATGCCATGGCATATGTATGCGATCCCTGTCCCAAGTGGACTTATCGTTCGGGTCCAATCCTAGACGAACCCACAACGTCTCCGTCCATTCTGCGGCCTTCTCAGGGGTAAAAGCGCTCTTGATGACGAGATACCCGTGTTTGAGAAAGTGGTCAACCTGTTCCTCTAGACAGCAGCATCAGAAGTGATTGGCAGGAGCAGCATGCGGAGTAAGGAGGGATCTGATTACGGGTGAGGTGCTGATATTCCTTCATAGCTCAACCAGGGATATGGAAGGGCTGGCCTAAAGCGAAGAGAGGTGAACGGGACGTTCGCCAGGTCTGGGACAAGGCCGATCCTCGTAGCTGCGATCGAGCAATATATGCTTGGAGCGGTGGAAGTTCGGGCATCCTTTGGCGAGTCAGATGGCGGTCAGCTGGACATTACGAGCAGTCTAGAGACATAGAAGGACCAGCTCGACCCAGATACAACGCTATAGATATCACAATTTCGCATCGTTGCCAAAGTTAGATAGGCGCAATTGTGGGTGGGAGGAGAAACCAGGAGGGTTAATCGGATGCATGGATGTGTATCTGACACTGAAGTAAGTGACTGAGGACGACGACGACAAGGGTTTTAGAAATTCAATGAGATAGAGCCATGCTTAGGAAAGGGGCGCAATACCCACGCCACTCTAGTAAAGGGAAGTGTTACAGCGCATAGCATGAACGGAATTGTGCAGGATTACGATGATTGCCAACCACACGTGTTCACATCTTGGCCATATTATCTTACAACAGAACTATGTAGAATCACTAAGCAATAATACTTATCGAACTGGTCGAATCACTCACCGACAGGAAGAGATTTGTGCAGAGACAGAAGCTACGCAACGTTCTTGATCATATCCTCATCAAACGGATCTCCAATCTCTGCAAGATGATAGGAATGTCGGTACGAAGTGCGAAGTAATGAATTCAGGCAGGGAAACATACTCCGTTTCAATTGCTCCGATAACCCCACGTCGATGAACTCCTCCTTCTGCCTAGATCCACGTTCACCGTCCCTTTGTTCACTGTGATGCACTCCGCCAGCTCCACCCCCAGGTCCACTTCGCCTCGAAGATGCTTCGTCTCTCCTCCTAGACTTCGAGTCGCGCGCGCTAGATGGCGCGCCGGGTCCTGCGGGATGCCTTCGTTTGTTGGCAGAGCTTGAGCTCGCAGGCGGGCCTGGAGGTATGGCCAGAGCCGGAGCTTCATCGTTGAACGGGCTGTCTGAAGATTCGGACGAGATGGGGGATGCTGGCTCGGGTGGCGAGTTCATGGTGGTTGCACTGAAAGTGCGGTGAGGGTGGCGAGCGCGATCTCGACCCCGTGGCGCGACGCGCGACGCGTGGGAACGACGTATTAGAGATGCCGCGGTACGCGTTGCTGCTTGGCGTTATTGGAGTGCTCGCCACAGCACGACCTTCTGTTTTGTATCCTTTACCACTAGACATCTGTTTCGTATTTATCGCTCTGCTTGCTGTCCGTAATGTCTATGGTACCCATGAAAAAACTGTCTATGCGAATCATCGCGCTGCCGTTGACCACTACAGTTCACAACACGAAACTCACTTCGCACGCACCATCGCCTCTCGTCTACTACCATTTCCAAACTCCACCTCCACCAGAAGGTCAGCAGCAAAGCTGGCCAAAATGGGCACAGTTGAAAGCGTCGGGGATCTGGGCAGGCTTTGGAAAGGCGCCGCCGACGAACTGGAAGGTGGGTGCATTCCGACGCGCTGTTTCTTCTCTCCATGAGGTCATAGCTTAACCGTGGATGTCTGTTCAGTTCAAGGTTTTCACTTACGGAGAACGAATAATGGACCGTGTAGAGTTTGAGGAATTGGCTTTGAACGGTCTCGATCCCTCTCTCGGTCCAAGTCTCTCGAAACTAGCAGGAGCACCTGGGAAAGAACAGAAGAAAATCACAGTATGTCTGTCTCCAATGAATCAGTCTCACCTTCGTGTTTAAATTCTTCTCCATAACCTTGGTAGATACCACTTATACACCCAAAATCCACCGGCTCGGCAACCATTAAAGAACTAGAAGCATTGGTTGCACGACGGTCACCAAAGCACCTCAGAGGAGCTTGGACATGGGCCATCATTGCGCCCTTCACTGCTCCGTTCATGATCGTTCGTACGTCCTCTCATCGCTCGCGCAAAGATACGCATTTCATTTGTGATAACTGCTAGCACATTGACTTCCTTAGCTATCATACCAAATCTTCCGTTCTTCTTTTGTGTCTGGCGTGCGTGGTCTCACTACAAAGGTTTGCACCTACCTCTGTTCCAACAAGCGCTGCAGCCAACTGACCTCCACTAGCATATCGGGCGTCTGAATACCTCCATACTCTCATGAAGGCAGGCTACATCGTGCCTGAGCCTTCACGCCATCTAGACGAGATATACGTTGCGCACGCTCCGCCACTACCGCCTGCTGCCTCACGCACCGAAGCACTGAACAAAGCAACAAAACCGGATGCTTCTAAAGGCGACGAACTTCCTCACGAGCCACAAGTCCTGCTCACTCGAAAGGCCGTCCCACCAATTTTGTCGTTGTTCGACCTCCCGCTATCCTCTTCTCGAGATATCTACAGGGCAATAGAGCAGGCAAAGCTAAGGATCGAACGAGGGCAATATAAATGAGGTAAGTGGACGTGTATTATATCCAATGTTAGGCTGTTATCTAATGCCGAAGATTTCCCAACAGGTCCGTTGAGTACTGGCGTCGCCTGCTGTGGCTCATGGAGAAGATCGGCATGCCTATTGTAATTCCGCCGCTAATACACGCCCTGCTCATCTCGCTGCTCACCGTCCGTTGCGGGTCTTCACAATTCAGTGCGTCCGTGAGAGTGATGGCACGCCTGCACGAGCCTCCGCACCTCGACGCTGACTCCTGAGTCATAATTTTGGGTGGCTGGCATGAGGGCATGAGGGCCTTGAGTTCACGCAGTGCTTGCTTTTGGTCTGTCGAGGTCCAAGATGGCCACCGGCCTAACCAAGTGTGCATGGGCCCAACATATGATTCCACAGGCACGCTATGCCGCCAGCCACTATCACACGAAGTAACCACCCGTACGTCAACGCAGGCTGGTAACCACTCTATAGCGTATTTGACAGCGTCAACATGCCTCTTACGGGGTAAGTACCGGAATCCCAGTGCTCATAACGATGAGACCCGTCCAAACCGGCACATATGTTCCGTCTATTCTATGGGTGTCACCAACGGTGTGCATTTTGACCACTATTTGGTACCCCTAGTCTAGTTGGATGAGCTGCACACTTATTCGTCCTCTCTAGTTCTGAGTCAATGGTGTCCGGAAACATGGCTGTCGCCTAGCGCCGCTCTGACTGAGCTGCAGGGACGATATCTTTCGATCAGCACCGATGTCTACAGCGTCCTACATACATTGTATGGAATCGGGCGGGGAAGTTTGACGCTTTCGTGAAAGCCAAGTCAAGATCTCCGCTTCTCCATCGATGCCTCCCGCCTACATATGCACCTTCGATTCCTCTCGGGTGTCTTCTTCGTAGATTTCGATCTTGAGTAAGGTAACGACGTCATCATACACTCTGCCGGGGCTATAGCGCCTCGCGACCTTCAGGCGTTTGTTAGAGCCCCGTTCAGGAGATGATGCCGCTTGCGATAGCAGCAAAATATCAGGGGAATGCAATATCAGGCCGCGCGTGTTTTGATCCGTCTCGTACGCTTCACCGTAAGAATTAGGATAGATGGTGTCGATGAATCCATTTGGAATAAATGGAGGTCTGCATACTGGACCATAGGCGTAATGTGTGGTTTTGGTGAACTCGCGTTGGCCATGGCTTGCGTATAATTCGGACACAAGTAAGGCCGTGGATCCATAGGCTGATGATGTATCCTGAGTCGCGCCCTGTGTCTAGTACTTAAGAGCTCTAGTGGTGGTCTGGGTGAATGAACGTACCTCGTAGATGGATGGACACGCCAATCAGGAAGTAAGAAGGCCTTCAGAGAAGGACCTCGGAGTTCGAAATGATTGACCAGATGAAGATGAGGTTCTCGCATACGTAAAACGGAGGCGCTGACAGGAGCGCTCGGCTTTTTGCGGGGTCTGGACAAGCTTGACCGAAGATGAACGGAGGCACTTTATAAACCACAAATGGCAGAGTGTCTGCGGGGAATCCCTTCTGCCTCTTCCTCTCAACATCCAGACCCAACATATGCTGTATCCGACAACTTTGCAAGTCTGAGTCTTGCTATATCTCCCGTACGCATTCGTCCATCGCAATTTCCTGCTCCAAACGGCCAGGCGGGCACGCGCAAACATGCACTCGTCGATCGCGCTCTCCCGACGCTCTCCCGCCGTAGGAGCACGTCCGCCACGGTCTTTCACTTTTTGCTACACCCTCTGCTGACTTTTCCTTCATATACAGGATAATTCACATTCTACAATCCCTGTTGCATCTCACCAAGCCGTGAACAAGCTCGCCATGGGGCCAGTACCACATCAGGCAAGTCCGCTCCCGTTTCCTTTCCCGCCATCACTTCGCTTACTCCGCGGCATTCGACGCCCATTGTTGATCCACAGTCGCAATCATTCGCTACCATTCACGCCCTACCAGTCGAGCTCATCTCTCGCATATTCTTGTTTGGTTTCTCTGACGGAATCGACTCCGCACATCCCTTCAAAAGAAAGACCGTCGAGCGCGAGCTCTCCTTCGAAGTCATCGTCTCGCATGTTTGCCCACATTGGCGGAATGTCGCTATCAACACTCCTGGTATTTGGACGACCTTGCGTCTGCGCAAGCCATCGCACATCGACAAATGTAACGAGTTCGTCAGGCGTTCCGGCAGAGCACTCGTCGACGTTATGATGGAGACCGTCGGTCGAAAACAGCACGAACCTGGCTTCACCCTTGGAATCAAAGAATTCGACGAAGTATTCGATTTCGCTCACAAAAACTCTTATCGCATGCGCACGTTCCTATGCAAAGTCTCCGATCTCGAATGTAAACAAAGAGCACGAGATCGCCTACACACCCTTCCCGCCGTCCCGCACCTCGAGACGCTTCAGTTATACCACCTACAAATGTGGGAAGACACTGGGAATCTCGTCAATCAAACGACCCGAGCACCTGTTCTCGTCGTGCGTTACGAGACGCAGTCGTTGGTCAATCTTTCCCTCGTTGGCGTCAATCTGGCATGGTCTATCAAACTCACGCCGTACCTAGCGGGCTTGAGGAACCTGGAGCTTGCACTTCACGCCCTTAACGTCCGACCTAGTGTCGAGGAGTGGGAGGCCATACTTCGCAACTGTCCCGATCTCGAGCGTCTGACATTGCACTATAGTGGACCGCGACTCAACGGTCCATGGACAATCAAACCGATCCCTCTCCCCCGCCTCATCGAGATCTCTTTCAACGATGTCGATGCTGACGTCGCCTGCGCCATTATTCGAACCTCCCACATACCTGCCGTCCAGTCGCTCACGCTCGAGCTTGCGGAACAAGACGCCACCTCGTTCATCTCCCTCATATCCGAGAAGGGATCTCACGATTTCCCGGAACTTCGTCAGCTTCGTATCACAGCGCTTGAATGCGTGGTCGACACATGGAAGGCGTTCCTGGAGACGGTGCCCAAGCTCGTCCAGCTGGATCTCGACTTCACCGGCGATGCTGTCAAACAAGAGCTGTTTGACGCGATATTCCCAAACTCTGACATCTCGAGCGGCTCACATCCCTCTCCGAATGATCCGGGTGGCACCTACATGGACTCTACGGCCATCGTTCAATCCACCTCTTCATCCCCCGATTCTATTCTTCTGCCAGCTCTATCTACGTTCAGAGTCTCCGGTCTTTCCGGCGTCGCGCTTCAACGGTTCCTCTCCTCCAGGGAGCAGGTCGGCCATCCGGTGGCTTCCGTTTTGGTTCATCGGAAAGGCTGTGATCAAACGATTGAGTTGCTCGAGTCGATGGGAAAGGTGGCATATTACGACTTGTCAGACGATGACGAAGATGACGGCGAAGATGAGGTAGAAGAGGCAGAAGAAGAGGAAGAAGAGGAAGAGGCTGAACTTGGGAATTCGGGACAGGGCGAAGATGAGGAAGAGGGGTAGAGCGTAAGATTCGTGCCTTGCTTTCTTGGGACGACTATCATTCGCTTTCTGCGCTGCTCTCTTGGTTTAGCGATCGTTTGTGTATATATAATACCTCTTGGGCGGAAATTTTGTGTATAGTGTTGGTGATGCTGTGCTATAGACCATCAGCTCCCTGGTTTCCACAGTCGGCTGTTTGTTTCTTCAAGTTGGTTGTACACTATGTAATATCCCTGTATTTACATGACCGTAACACTTATGTACCGATATCTTCTCACTGGGTCTAATGTTCAAGACCCTGGTAAACGGGAACAAAGGTTCCATCCAGGCAGAAACACTATTTATTACACGCCAAATATAAATTCGAACACGACGCGCTAAGAACAACAAGGACAGACCTGAACAGACGCCGCGTCGCCACGCTCCCTCGACTTCCACCGACCGCCACCACTTGGCCACCACGCTTCGATCAACGCCGAACGGCCTTCACCGACTAAGCGCTATAAACGATGGCAAACAGCCTTTGCTTTCACCCCCGTCATGGTCTTAGACTTCTTCTCTGCTCGGGATGAGCAGAGACCCCGCACATGGGGTTCGTCATTGAGATGGTCGCCAATGGTGCGTACGACCAGCTCTTACTCGAACAGGGGGAAGCTCACTTCTGTTTACCAGGTCATTTATGTGATTTTATGGCTCGTCGATCAAAGTTTTCGGGAACGTATCGTTCATAAACCCAAACACTTTCTATCATCCGTGGATAATGCCATTGTCGAAGCTCTCAAGCTCTTGATCGCCTCGCTCGTTTGGTACCGAACATCGAAAACAACATACCACCCTATAGGTTCTCGTCCTATAGCCCTTGGTAGCGTTGTTTGGGAGTCGAGTCCGGGTGCAGAGCAGCAGGGATTTCGGGATAATGTTGTGGACAGCCCGATGGATGACTTCGTACTGATGGAAGAGCTGCAGAGGTCTCCGAGCCCTGGGATTTGGCAAGTCGGTACAGCGAGGTCCATATTACTCTCTTTCAGCGCAGCGGGTTTGTGGGCTATTCACTCGTATATGGTGCGTTATACTTTGATTATGTTAGTGTGTCGTTACTAAATCCTCATACTGTGTAGCTTGCTGCCTGCCTCCGCCTTTTCGACGCTGTTATAGTTCACACTGTTTCCGCTCTGTCTATCATCCTTGTTCTGGGTGGCACTCATTTCTTCGGCATGGGGCCACAAACTAGCTCAAGATGGCAACTTGCCCTTCTCCAAGTAAGTCTGGATATCCTCTCTCATATAAGAATAGCGTCACGAATGGTCACTATAGGTCACTAGCTCGATAGTCGCCGCCGTACGTTGCCCCATTATTCACCGCCACACTGTCACCTAAAATATGCGTTCAAGAGCAATCTTTCTTCCGTCGAACCCGTCCCATTCTTTTCGTATTTTGCTCTATCTGCTCTCGCCCTGTCTGCTGCTCTCTCAGTCATGCTCGTTGACCTGGTAAGTGAGATCAGTATGAAGAGTGTGTTCAGTTCGTACTGAACATTACGCGAACCAGCTCTACCGTTTGCACGACATAGATTCTCTTCCCGTCGTCAATATCACAGTATTCACATCCGGACTCTGCATTTATCTCAGCATGTCTCTCTCTCGTATCATCTTCGCCTCAAACGCCATGATATTATACCCTTCAAACCTCTTATTCAACACGACATTTCGACTGGTCATTCGAGCAACCCTGGACTACACCGCCCTGTCTATTATCCGAAGTAATTCAAAATTTTCTTCTGTAGCGACTGTATTCTGACTCTGGTATATCACAGATTGTGACGCTTTACTTGAACGAGTGTTGGCCTCTGCGTCTTTTGCCCTGTTAGTGCTGATTACCGCAGTGACGACCCGTACGATGTCACCCAGCATCTTCTTCGGCGGCTTGGTAGCACTATGGGCAGCCTTTCGATTTACCCGGAAATCTGTGGACGATGATAATGAAGAAACTGCTAAGCAGGTACGGATTTTCACATGGTCCATAGATTGGGGGTTCTCTAATGTGTTCTCCATCCTGATAGGACGACATGCCCTTGACATTGACGCGTAAATCATTGCTTGGACTGTTATTAATGGCACTGTCCGGTTTCATTGCGCATGGCGCCGTGCAGGTGTCATTATCTGAACCTCACAATCCTCCATTCTCCGTCAAGGACTCGTTATTCGCCTCCGAACATCCACTCTGCAAACGAAAACCATTGTCATTTGGACCCTTACTACTGCCTGAGGAACGGACGTATCATGCCTTCGACGACGTGTTGCTAGTGGTATTTTTCAGTCATGCACGGTATGATGTGAACTTGGACTATTATCGTGAGGTGTATGCCGAGTACTTTCCCAATGTGAGTAAGCCTGTTGGGCCGCGTCGCCATTTTGCCCATCTCTGATTTCTTCTCGATGGGCGTGATAGATGGTGTTTATCGGTCCCGGGAGCAGGGAGGACGCAGGATTCTACCATTCGTACGACGTTCTTGTTGACTCGTATGAATCGGACGAGGACCTGAGCGATCCAGACTGGTACAAAATGGCAGGTCGGGTATGTGGCTCTCGTCCGTGTTCGAAATTCAATTGTTCACCAGTGATATCGCAGATGGCTCATCACATGCTGTATACGGCTCTCCGAGAATATCCTTGCTATGATGGATACCTCTGGGCTCCTTTCGACACGCTCTTGAACGTTCCTCGCCTGCAACAATTTGACCAGGATCTGTTCTGGTACCATTCGCCCTTCGGACAGTACGTGCCAAATGTGGCTCTGGGATCCCCAGAGGACAACTGGAATTCAAGTCGACATGCGCCACCGGCCAATATCTCGCCTGATCCTGCGCTCAACTTGACCGAAGGTTGGAGAGGTTGGGGTCCTGATTGGTGGTAAGTTTCAAACGTTTGTATACCATTTTATGGAGACGTGCGACTGATTTCGTACTCTGGATACAGGTGGGGGTATGTATCATTCACTGTCTGTGTCATACGGTAACTATGAAGCCGTACTGACGGTGCTCTCGTCCATTCATCTATCAGCGACCCTCACGTCGGTGTCTCGGAATGTATGCCAGCCTTCAACAAAGTCCCTGAATTTCAAAGGCGCCGACTACAGATGTTTTTGGACGGAAAGACGAGGTTTATCGGAGGCTCTGCCGACACGATGTATATTCCCGGGAGGCATAGAGAGCTGTTCATGGACACACTAGGTCTTTTCCTGGAGACGCAATGTTTCTTGGAAATCGCCACGCCGACCACACTTCATCTCGTCGTCCCGCCCGACGAGCCGATCCTATTTGTAGACCATGTAAGGCCCTTCTACTTGCCACAACTCGGACGACCGAGCGCTAACCCTTCTTAATCGATAATTATCTAGTGGTGGATATGGGAACCACCGTTGAACGCGACGTTCGTGAGAAATCAGTGGACAGCTGGTTACGAAGTCGACACGTTCCATACGTTCCATTGGGGGGATAAGGGCGACGACGGCGCATGGAGAGGGAATCCGGACCACATTGAGGACGTGAGGCAGTTGCTCCAAGAGTCCGCTGTGCGGCAGAAAATAGACTTTCCCGGTCTAGAGTGAGGTCGAGGTGAGGATGTTGGATATTCTAGTTGTGAGTGCTTTCAGTCATCGATGGCGTATGGATCGCAGTTAGCTAACGACTTGCTCTCTTCGTAGAATTCACTAATTATACCTAGGCTTGCCGCTCAGCGAAATGAGCGACTATGGCCTCGGAGCCACGGACAAACACAAATGCTGTGTTCATATCTCAATACTTACACTCCATACTTATTCTATACTCGGACAGTTGAAGAAAATGTGAATGAAGCAGAAGACGTAGCCCCAATCATGTTTTTATAACTCGATGGTCAACACTCATGCCGCCCGGTAGCCAGGCTAGACTGATGGACGTTGATATTGTGTTTATGCGATTTGTCTGAATTATTTGGTGCCTCGTCAAGTGCAGCACGCGCTCGCGGACGAAATGACTTTTTACAAGACTTGCTACTCACAGCACAATGTTCTGTACACCCTGCTCCGTTGAACTGCGGAACTGGATGTCCATGAGGCTCTACACAATGTTGTCCATGCTATGCGCTGATATTACCATCTGGCGGTACCTCATTGTACCTTGAACACACCTTGAACGAGAATATTGATCAAACACGGAATATCAATGCGTGGCGACCCACCAACTTGCAATTGGTCATGCAGCCAATAGCTTCGCGGCCCGGATCCTCCGGACTTTGCAACATTTTCTGTTCGCCTTAGTCGCCTTCACAAAGCTTCCTACTCCTTGAACTCTCCCCCCTCCTCTGACAGCTTGCTCAATATATGCCCTTCAGTGGATAATTTTGACGGACTAAATATCTGATATATTTTTCCTGTTTCTCTCACCACCAATACACTGCCACGATGCCCTTAGATGGGCACTCCTACCTGGTCGCCCAAGGATGGACTGGTACGGGCACCGGACTTCGCCAAGGTTCCCTATCTCGACCTCTTGCTATACCTCAAAAGAAGAACCTGGCTGGCGTAGGCAAGGATCGCGATGAGGCTTTCCCGTTCTGGGATCAGTGAGTCTTACTTTTCAGTAATAATATGGAAAGTATATGAGAGCTGACTGTCCACTTTTACTCGTGATGTCTGAACGGTCAGTTTGTTTTCGGCCGCTGCGAGCGCGATTCAAGTGAAGCTCTCAGCAGATGATGATGACGATGATGATTCGGTGCGTCCGTATCCTTTAGTTTCCTAAGCCACACCGTCTAACCTTCCAACCATCATCACCTTCAGGGTGGCGACAACGACAGCGCCCCCACACCTAATCCCGAATTCAGACGAACGAAAACCGGCATCCTCTCCAATCGTCGCCCTCCAACGGGCACACCTGCCGACACCTCTGGAACTTCCACTCCTTCCACCTCTTCCACACCTGGTCCCGGCCCTTCGACTTCGCGTCTCACACTTATCGCCCTCGCGAAACGCGAAGCCGCCAAACGTAACCTTTACTCTCGATTCTTTAAAGGCCCGGTGCTTGGACCTGATGCGGCCATTGACGTCGAGATGGTTAAAAGCGAGATTAAGGGTGGGGAGCAGGTGCAGATGCAAGTGATGGATCACGCTATAACGAGGATTGGGGGTACGGAGGGCAAAGAGGAGAGTAAGAAGCGAAAGCGAGATAAAGTGAAGGTGGAGGATAGTGAAGGTGCGAAAAGTGTAGAGATGGACGAGGAGACGCAGAGGAAAGAGAGGCAGCAGCGAAAGGCAGAGAAACGGCAGCTCAAAGAGCAAAAACGGGCAAGAAAAGAGGAGAAGAGGAGACGGAAGGAAGAGAAGGCAATGGCAGCGGCGAAGGCAGATGGAGAGGCAAAGGCCAATTTAGTCGAGGTTACAGAGCCCGAAGTAGATACAGAGCAGGCCTCTGGTGAAGAAGCGCTCACGAAGGACGAACGAAGGCGACGTCGGAAAGAGAAACGAGCGCAGAAGGAACTTGCTCAGGGACCGTCGGCGAATGCTCTTGAGGTACCAAGGGCTAGAAAGGCGAAGACTTCGAAGCGAGGTGCGGAGGAATCGGGATCCCCACTGGATAATGGCGAGCAGGGTTCAGTTGTTGGGATAGAAGGCGTTGCAGAGTCTGTGAGGAGGAAAAAGAAACGGAAAGTTTCTGACGCTGCATAACATTGTCTGTACTCAGTTGTCACCTTGGACGCACCCCGTCCTCCAGGAGAAAATATCCTACTCTTTGAGGACCTGCTAGGTCAACGACTTTGATCCTCCGTGAGATCAAAAGTTGTGAGAGATATCTGACAGCGGGGGCAATGACCTTTTCGAGGCTGGGGGCGGGGAGGCGGCGCAATGGTTTGAATAGGCGGTGGGGAAAGAGACGCCTGATGAGGGAGTGTTAGATGGGGACCAAGTATGAAGTCAATGTGATTGTGTTGTCGGGCAGTGTGGGACACGTCCCGCGCCACTGGTGCCTCATAACGGGATATTGTCACTGAGTGGAGGTTGCTAGATTTTTACTCTTAGCCAAACAATGCAACACAGCGGCATAAGCAGGGATATGTGTATTTTTTGGTCGTATTACGACAGGCATAGGCCAGCAAAGGTAAACCTAGAGACATCGTCAACGCAGGTTCAAAGTCAGAGGTGTAGAATGAACACCTACTAAGGTTTACCAACTATTGGGCCGCTAGTCCAGCTTGGATCCTTGGCAGTTGACGGGGCCGACCTTTTGATGCCCCAAGCGTCCAGAATCGTGTCCCGCACCTGCACGCCCGAAAGCTCCTCTCCGTTCGCCGATGAACCGTTACATTCCACCAGGAACTTCCCTCTCAGGCCGTTCACCTTCAGCGTAGCCTCCGTAGCATCGCGACCGGGAGACAACTCCGCCGAGGACAAGGGAACGAGGAAGCCTTGGTTGCCTGTGTGTGCACCGGATTGTACGAAGATCTCGCGTTGGCCAGTAGGAGACTGGAAGAGGTGTAGCCTTTGGACAATGCGAGTGCGGCCGGTCCAGATGATGGCAGCAAGGCTGGCCCCGAGAATTATATGGCCGAGACAAAGCCCTGCACGCTGCCAAACTGGTCGAAGGACCCAGCCTTCGCCATCAGGATTTGGGGATGAAGTGTCGGTGGACGACGAGGCCGCATTGGCGTCGGCCTCGACTAATGAAGTTTCCTTCGACCTCCATTCTCGCCACGTAAAGTCAGTCATGGTTGAGCTGTAACATGTGAGGATGCGTAAGCAGATGTATAGCAGAAAAAACCATGCATGGGGACGAACGTGACTATAGCATCTGCCGCGATGAGACCCCAACTGAATTTCACCCATAATGGAGGCTTGCGGTAGAAAAGAGGCCGTTCAAAGACCTGAGCAGGCAAAGAGTGTGCTCGTATGGGCGATCTGAGAGCCTGCGTCGCCGCTGGCTTCCTACGGAAGAGAAAAGACATGTGGAAGATGCAGAGTCGGACAAGGATGTCTGTTGGGTGGCACGAATCCAGGTGTGGCACCATCGTATGCCGAAGGCACACAGCCAGTGTCCCGGACGCCGACCATTGACAAGGAACTTAATTCTGGTCCGACGGCTTTTCCTCGTACGCGTGGACCACTTCGTCTGCTCAAACCTCTTGTTTGAGTTTTGATCATCGGACAATCTGGCTTGTAACCTTGCACGCTGTGTCGGAACTTTCTCGACACTGGGAACTATAGGAATAAGGCGACATCATTGACATGCGATATGCAGGGACTCAGCGCGTCTCATTTCGTGCACTGGACCAACATGATGTATCTATACCCACCATCATATTACTATCTAACCTGGCCACGGTGAATACGAAACTAGCACGGCCAGACTCGGAGTCTGAAAATCGTTCATGTATATTATGACCATTGCTGTGCACTGAATCTGTACACCTAACCGAGACGAAACTTGGCTCCGTTTGCCACGGTGCTTGAGGTAGGTCTCCTCATCCCAGCAATCCCTAGATACTCAACAGGCAACTCGCAGTACTCGGACATCCAGCAACTGGCATAGAGGCCGTCCTCATGATGCGACGTCCGCACGACACAGCAACCCATATATCATTCTAGGTACGACCTTCCGCGCGCTCGCCAAGTCTTTCGTCTTGCAACTTTGAGCGCGATCTCACCGTCACCGCATGATCGGTGATGTAGATGTCCAAGTATACCGGAGCTGTCCTGGCTTGGAAGGTGATGTACTGAGTACTCCACAGGCTACGCCGTCGTGCTATAAAAGTTGAAACTTCAAGCTGACTCTCCCAAGCTCCCCCAGCAGGCTCTTCTGATCCACTATGAAGCTCCATTTCCTTGCTTCCTTCTTTTCTCTTGCGACTTCTCTCGTAGCAGCGCAGACATACCCCAATCCGATCGCCGGAAGTGGTAAGTTGCTCCTGCTTCTGCAACCTCGTTATGTTATTTAATAGAGTATCTCGTTAGAAAATATTTCCGTCCGCGATCCTGCCATCTGGTACAACTCAGCTACTGGGGTGAGAGCAACGCTTTTCCTCGCCTTGCGAATGACTGATGGGCCATCGCGCAGAAATATTATGTTTTCGCCACTGGGGGACTTATCACCACCTACACCAGTACCTCTCTCAACGGGTCCGCCTTTTCTACAATCATATGCTGTTGATGCCTCGCTCACATCCTACACCTGTAGACCATGGACGAATGCGGGAAAGGCTCTTTCCGCCTGCGCCAACGTTAACAGCCCGGGTAATTGCGACCTCTGGGCACCCGATATTAACTACTTTGACGGGCAATATGTGCTGTACTACTCCGCTTCTACACTTTCAAGCCAAATCTCGGTGATTGGTGTCGCTACAAGTCCTTCCATGGAGCCTGGTACATGGACGGATCATGGCGAGGTCATAAGCTCTACGACCGGAGATGTCTACAACGCTAGTTTGTGGTCATGTTCTCTGTTCCTTGAACGTAACTCATGTAGCATTCAGTCGACGCGAACCTCATCATCACCAATGGTGGTCTGCAACTTTCCTTCGGAAGTTGGCAACAAGGTGACAGGAATGGTATCTGGACTACGACGATGACTGAAGTGTTGTTGGGGTAGGAATCTATCAGATTGGGCTTTGGCCCGACGTAGAGACGCAAGCCTCCGTACGTCCTCTTTCGCGTGTCCTTTGCTGACGGTTTACTGATGGACACTGGCAGGCTCTCCCCGGAACGCACCTTGCTGGTCTGCTTCTTTCCATGCTTTGAACTCATGATCATAAACTCAGCTCTATTGCAGGTGCCAACCATCGCCCAGCTGAGGGTGGCTTCGACTACAAGCCCCCTAGCTCAGACTTATGGTTCTTCTTCTTTTCTGACGGTATTACACCTCTCCAAGGTGTACGTCGCATGTGTTACCTCTGTCGTCCGATTCAAACTCAAGCATTTGTCTGTAGGATACTACTCGTCCGGCCGCGGGAGACGAGTACAAGGTCCGCGTCGGGCGCGGTTCCTCCAGCCAGGGTCCCTTCTACGTAAATATTTCCCCGTCATCGATTTCCCTGCTGGTCTCTCATGTGACTTTTCTTGTCAACAGGGAGGAGCTGGAAATGAGTTGACTGAGGACCTTAACCCACCGACTGGTAATATTATCTTGGCGTCGCATGACAACATTTATGCTCCAGGCGGTATGTGACATCGCTGACTCTTGATTCGTCCGGAGACTGACGAAGTGCTCGTATATGTAGGCCAGAGCATCTTCCATGACCCAGTCAGTGGTAGGGATGTCATGGTCTACCACTACGTCCGTGAGAGCGAGGTCGGCGGCGCGTCGTACCTCGGCATCAACTACCTCGACTTCTCGTCTGGGTGGCCCGTCGTTGTCAACTAGAGAGTAGCTTCTCCTTTATTATGATTTGCCATGGGATTTAGGATATGATCCAGGTTATGACGGGGCTCCGTAGTATTGGGTTGCATCAGCTACGGCCTTTGACGACGCCTTGAATATGCAATATATACCAGAATTGAAGGATATTTATTGAGGTGAACGGAAGGAGCTCATTCCGAGTCCTGACATTGTTCCATTTAAACCTCTGTATTGTTCCTCGTGGGGCCGTATTGTACCCTGAATAGACTCTCCATCCATCTTTCCCTTTGACAGTACTAATTGAGACGTCCGACCTAAGGGCCACACTCGAACACCGACTGCTGAGTGCCACACAATTACATGTTCTCAATTTCCAATTGCTTTGAGCAGAGATCCAAACAAGAGCGCTTGGACAGTTCCTTCATCTCTTTCATAGCTGTTGTACACTATCATTGCGCGTATTTCTGCATGGACTCACTTAATACCCTTGCATCAAACACACAAGAGAGGACCTTCTGTAAATGGCTCGTAATCATCTCTCGTATCGACCCCTGTACCCAGATATTTATATAGTCGATGTAGGCTCAATACGAAGCTGGAGTCCGCAGGGTATCCCTCTATGACTTCTCTGGTCAAGGATCTTTCGGACGGAGTGAGGCTGATACAGCTCATGGTGCGTACTCTGTCATTGGCATTCCTTCTGACTTACTTATAATCTGTGCGCGAACAGGAAATCATGGGTGCGTTGCTTTGCTTTTGTGTGCCTCTCATCAAGCTAAGCGCAACTGGGCTGATGGCGCAGTATGTTTGCAGGCGACACCACTCTTGGACGTTACAATAGGAATCCCCGAATGCGCGTACAGAAGGCAGAGAATGTTAACAAGGCCCTCGAGTTTATCACTTCGCGTGGCGTCAAGCTTACGAACATCGGCCCAGAAGGCGCGTTGCCCACCCTCTTCCTACCCCTGCCAAACGATACTGATACTTTGTATGCAGACATTATGGATGGAAACCTCAAACTAATCTTGGGCATGATCTGGACCCTTATTCTCCGATTCACCATCGCAGACATCAAGTCAGTTTTGCTCCTTGCCTCCGTCCGATGTTATAGCCAAGCTCATTGTTCGAGGTTGTACACGTTTAACTGACGCGTCTTGAAAGCGAAGAAGGTCTTTCAGCCAAGGAGGGACTTCTACTCTGGTGTCAGCGCAAAACTGCGCCGTACGACGACGTGAATGTCCAGGATTTCTCCCTCAGCTGGTCGGATGGCCTGGCCTTGTGCGTGTCTTTCATTTCCCTTCCGGGATACCTTCGCCCTAAAAGCTGATGTGTGTGGCGCCAATTGTAGATGTGCCCTGATTCACTGTCATCGACCCGACTTGATAGATTATCATAAACTGAACAAGGTGCGCATACTCTTACTGTCCTTGGTCACCCTCTGTTTACGGTGGGTGTCTCCAGTCAGACCGTCACGGAAACACACAACTCGCGTTCGATGTGGCTGCAGAGCATCTCGGGATTCCGGTGCGTATACCTCGCTCTTGGTCAGGGTATGAGTACCGTTTCAAACGTCCATGTGTCCCAATGTCACATATAGCAACTCCTCGAGGTCGCGGATCTGTGTGATTCTCACCGGCCAGATGAACGTAGTGTCATGACCTACATCGCTAGTTTCTTCCACGCCTTCTCCTCTATGGGTGCGTATCACCTTATTCAACTTTCGCCGGCCATCAATGATCCTGATGCTAGATCTTATATTCCCTTGCATGCCTTAGATCAAGCAGAGACTGTATCACGCCGACTAGAGAAATTTGCAGAACTGATGCAGTCAATATGGCTCAGTCGGAATGACTACGAGCGGCGCGTCAGGGCTGTATGTCGTGCTACAATGCTACACATCATGGACTTCCACTTACACTGTTGGCGCCTAACACCAGCTCCTAACATCTCTCTTCGATATTCAAGACCAGTGGGATGCCGTCAAGTTCACGGGGACTTACACCGACGCCAAGGAACACCTGAACAGCTTCGCCACTTATAAGCAAACGCAGAAACGTACGTGGGTCACTGAGAAGCAGGACGTGGCGACGTTATTTGGGAATGTGCAGACGAAGTTGAAGACGTATGGGCTGAGGGAGTACGTACCACCTATGGGCCTGGCGCTATCCGTACGTTCTTATCTATTCTCAAGTCGCAGTGCGTTGAAGAAGTGCTTACACCGTCTCATAGGACCTAGATGATGCATGGCAGGATTTGCTAGCGGCAGAGGCTAGGCGTTCAAGATCGATCAATGCACAGATCAGAGAGTTCGTATTTTTCTACGAACCTCTTTGTCACGATGCAATTACCTTACTCTTTTTTACGGTTCAGAATCAAAGAATCGCTACGCAAGCAGTTCGCAGATCTCGCAAATGACTTCCAAAGGCGGGTACACGGCATCTCGACCGAGCTTTCCGCAATAGATGGTCCTCTCGAGGTTTGTTACACCACCGCCTAACGTCCCTATACTTTCTTCTAATCTGAAAATGCGTTGGACCTCTCCAGGAACAACAAACCCAGGTTGACCAACTTCAGACCCGAATACCTAGCCTCTCTGCAGCGCTCGCGGAGGTTGAGGGTGCCGAGGCTGAATGTGCGGCAGCAAATGTGGAAGAGAACGATTATACTGTGTTTACTTGTCAAGATCTTGTGTTCGAGCTGGAACTGGTCGTACAAGGGATTGCGAAGAAGATTGCGTTCATTGATAACCAGGTTCGAGCCCTTTTCCCATCTTGCACGCTTGAAGCCTACACTACCGTGCTCTTGACCATCGCTCAGGACTGATTTATTTTTCCCCGGTGGTATAGATTGTATCGAGGAATATGACAAATCTTACACCGGCACAGCTAGAACAGTTCGAGAGCACATTCCGATACTTCGACAAGGACGAGTCAAACACACTCGAGCAGAGCGAGATGACAGCTGCGCTCGCAAGTCTCGGCATCGTCTACGCTGTAAGTCTTCCGCTCAACTGATCTCGGCGGCTCGCTTATTGTAATGGACTTGGCGTTACAGGACGATGATATGGACATCATATATGACCAGCTTGTGCAGGACTACGGCGCAATCACTTTTGAAGCTTTCATCAACCTCTTGGTGCGTGCGCTATCGGAGAGTGTTCCTACCTTAGGTTGACCACTGACTAGACTCTATGGTCACACCACAGGTTGATATCACCGAGGATCAAACCTCGCCAGATCAACTGCGCGAGGCCTTCGAAGGCGTAGCAGGGAACAAGGTGAGCGCGGTGCTCCGTGTTATTCGTAGCTTGGCGACTAACTTGGAAATATCTATGTAGCCATTCGTCACGGAACTGGACCTCAAGCTTGCACATTTGCCTGCGAGTGCAATTGACTACCTCCGCGAAGTGATGCCTACAGCGGAGAACGGCGCCGGGTCTGGGCAAGAGAGCGACAGGGAGTATGACTACCAGGCTTGGTTGGATAGAGTGTTCGACTATTGAGGCTGTTGTGCAAACTGCGATGACTTGTCACGGACTTTTGATTCATCTACCTTCGTTGTCGTTTGTTGTTGTAATCTGGTGTACTTTTCGGTGATGTGGTAGAGAACTTGAACAACACAATACTCGTACTTTTACTTGGCTACAACCTTTCTATGCCCATGCTGTGTCACAGTGCTGAGCACAGTAATCCACGACTGCGTTGATGCAGCGATTCATATGGATTGCAGCGGACAAGCGAAACGCGCAAGGAGGACGGAGAGTGGAAGCCGGAATTGGCAGGGCGCGTCGGAGTTGCAATCGATGGTCAGCGCCATCGCGATACTGTACTTGTCCATTTAAACCACCACCACCCTCTACCCAGTCAACCACTTCACCCAGCTCATCTTTCATATCACCACAATGGTACGCCCCTACCTTGCCTCACATCCAATTTAGGCTTACAATATGTCGTTGTCGACAGGCCTCCGGTGTCGCCGTCAACCCCGCGTGTCTCGAAGCTTTCCAGGAGCTTAAGCTTGGGAAGAAGACCAAATACCTCATCTTCGCCATATCCAAGGACCTCACTGAGATCGTGGTAGAGAAGAAGTCGACGAGCACGTCGTACGACGAATTCGTCGCTGATCTCCCTGAGGCGGAGTGTAGGTGGGCTATCTACGACTTTGAGTTCGAGAAAGAGGGCGCCGGCATCCGGAACAAGATCTGCTTCATCTCTTGGTGCGTACTTCTTTGCTGGTTGATATCTCGACTTCTAGCCTGTCCTATACTTTCATTACCATTCGTACTGCTGCATGTCCATCGCAGTTGCTTTCGCTGAAGGGCGTCCTGCGGATGTGATTGATCGTGTGGCGCGGCACTTACATCGCCTTCATACTGATCGTGTGCGCTCCTTTCTTCCAACAGGTCTCCTGATGACTCCAAAGTCAAGCAGAAGATGCTGTTCGCCTCATCCAAGGATGCTCTTAGGCGAGCGCTCGTCGGTATCGCTGCAGAGATCCAGGCTACGGACTTCAGTGAGGTCGCACATGAAAGCGGTACGTCCTGTTCTCCTGATCTGGTTCCCCGCCATTTGTTCTTTTTCGGCCTCTTCGCAGAGAGCACATATCCTATCAATCTCTTCGCCCCTAGTACCTTCCGCTATAAGCACTCGCCACATCTTCGACCATCACATTTCATGTTCTGCATTTGTTCATATATCAACCTACGAGACTGAACTTTTTGCACATCCTTTCTTTCCAAACAGTCCTGGACAAGGTCTCCCGCGGAGCTTAATGTACCCACGGACTTCAACGTACCGCTCCCGCCACCTACCTCCCGTCTCGTCTAATCTCTACCATACTTGCCCCGTCCACCCGCTGTCGTTCTCGCGTCCACGTACTACCACCCTGTCTATATCTATATCCACACGTGGTCGCTGTTTGTTTGTACTTGTCCAATGTCGAAGAAGGAATGGGAACGGAAGAACGAAGAGAAGCGCGTAGAAGAAAGGACATGCTTATGTTTTGTTCCTTTGAGTATGTAGTTGAAACAAATTACCTTGAATTCGCATGAATGAGCGTGCGCGGTGAAACGTGTATCTCATGCCAGTTCCTCGTACAGTTCTGACAAGTACCATGCCTCCACCCTTCGAATGGGATTTTACCCATCAATATATCGTTGATTATCTTTGCGTCGTTGTTGTGACATCAAGCGATGCTATGTATGCCTCTGTTTGAAATTACACGAGTTTGCCCACCCGGTATCTACCGGAAAAGATCGGATTTCTCGCGCACTGTGCTACACGCAGACTTTCTTTTCCTTCCAATACTTAGACATCTGTTGTTCACGAACGTCTTGGAACAGTTTGTCCAGAAACTACCGTCATGGTCCAGATAGTAGACTACATCCCGGCGCCCGACAATAGTGGTGAAGGACCCTCTGTACGCCTGAGCGACTCCAGGTCTGAGGCGACAACCGGTCAAGATCGTCTGCCCAGAGAAGCGGGATACAAGGATCTGGTAAAGTTAATGCAGAAACAGGCCAATCTCACGGAGAGATTGGTGGTTAATGCAGAAAAGAAAAAACCTGTGCCACCGCTGATGGGTAGTGCGTACCATATCCATCTATTCAACGCCAAGGATCATTTCCTTACACCGCTCTCTTAGGTGGTATTTCGCAAGAGATCCTAGAGATCCTGCGTAAGATGCGCGAGAAACAAATGACTTCGGGTACGCAGACCATGTCCAGTTGACCGCACGGACATGAAGCTCATAAGGAGGTCCTTAGACGTATCGAAGCAACCTATCCCCTCAGTTCCTGCGACAAGTGCAGCAGCTTGGTCTCCATTGCTTCGCTCACATTTAGACCGCATCCAGCCGACAGTAGATCAATGGAGAGGATCCCTCGATACTCTTCTCGTTTTTGTGACCAGGTCAATCATCTGCAGTGAATGATAAGGCTGACCAGTTACTATTCTACCTCAGATCGCGCTGTTCTCGGCAATAATCACTACCTTCTTTGTGCAGTCACTTGATGGGCTTACGCAAGATCCCAACGACAGAACAAATGAACTGCTTCAGAACCTGACGGAACTCGACATCGCCGTCAGCGGCGTCAACGCCTCCCACCTGAGCATTCCATCGCCCGTTCCTTTCGAGCCTGAAGGGGACGTCGTCCGTCTGAACTTCTACTGGTCTCTCTCTTTGGTTTTAAGCGTGAGATGTTATTATTTACTTGACAGCATCGTTTCCAGCTCCCTGCCGCTCTCAGGGCCATTCGCCCCCATCTTCATCGCTGGCCTTCTGTCTACTATCTTTGCTGTTTCGGTCGCGACATATACAGTTTGGACTGTGTTTCATGGCTGGTTTTACCCCGACGTGTCTCCATTCCAGTCGACGATTTCCCAGCTATGGGTACTGCATGGCCCCTCGATAACACATCGCGCCAAACACATATCTCGCTCTCTGCTTCATTTTACCGATTTTGGAAGACTCGATTTGCAGCTATCAGGGCTTCCTCTTCGATCCAGACTCCCTCGTTTGATGCGTTTTGCGCAGAGCCTTCCGACATTCGACAATTAGATGTGTCTTCCGAAAATACGGCACCCCTTGACGCAACTCTCGAGCCTCATGATATTGAAGCTTTCCATGCTACTCTCCAGGTGACTCATGATGCCGATGTCGTCGACCAGGCGGTGGCAGCATATCCTTCCCTGATATCATATTGTGCATTCTGTTTCAAGGCGAAAAGCGCCGAAAGGGATTGGCGTGTATTTCAACGCCCTGGTATAACCCCTACGGCCTATGAAATCGAGTCTCTAGCCTATATGCTATCAGATGAGGCCAACATCCGGATAAACATCACTGTAGCAGCTTTTATAGCAGATCCATTTGTCTCTAGTACATTGTCAAGTGAGTATATCCACCATCGTCAGTTTCATGCTTGACTGACTTTGCGCTATCATAGAACAACGAAATGCGTCTTTCGCGTACTCCAATTCAGATGCTGTGTATATCTTGCAGCTGCTGGCGAGGGCGGCTGAGAGGTACTCTCTGTCTATGACAGGCCAGGTGTGCTCACACGTTCTCTGGGATTCCCCTTTCACTAAGGCGATGGGTGAGGTTGTGACGTCGATTCCCGGCTACCGGGATTTTTCAATGGATGTTCGCAAGGCCTTCCCCGTTCTCTGGCTTCCTCTCGTTGACATACCGGAAGATAAAGACAGCGAATTTTCTAAGGAAGCGTTCTCTCAAAAGGTATCCAGGCAGTTCCTCTGGGATATTCTCGACTCATCGGTGCATAGACAAATGAAGTCACCTCTCGACTTGAAAGAAAGCTTGGGACGCCTCTTAGAACCCGACCTAGTCCCACGAATTTGGTCATTTCTTTGTACCCTCAACACAACAGAAATGTGTTCCTTCAAGGAGAATCTAGCAGATATCATGGCTTGGGGAATGCTCCCATATAAATTTGATTACGAGTTGTCATATACTGCCAAGCTTCTGTTGCAATGGCTATTTCAGAGCAGACCTCATATGCCTTCTCTTTCGTTCAGTCACGTCTCTCGTGGTTTTCCACGCGCTGTTGAGAAAATGAAGACACAATTTCTTTGGAAAAACGAGCGACTCATAATCCATCCATCCAGCCCGGATGTGGCTCAACGGAACTTCCCCTGGCTGCTATTTATTTTGAAAGAAATTGATATCATATTAGCTTCAGAAGATGACATGAAGCAGCACAGACAACTTTTGGAGCACATAGAAACATGCATCACCACGCTCCAGCTTTTGCGGGCATTTGATGATACCTCCGGACTGGCCGCATACTCTCATGATGACCCTGGGGGCATCTCATCCGAGCACCCTTCCGCACCTAATGAGCTGTGCATATCTTTCCGCATGTCCCGAGCAGAGATGATCCAGTCTGCCGAGCTTGTCCGCCGCAAGGCGCCCTCCATGAGACTGGATATTCCTTCGTGGCAGAGGCTGATCCAGGCTCTGACTGTGTCGGATAAAAAGACGAGATTAGAAGTTCCACTGTGGTGGCAGGACAAACAACCCAACACTTCGATTTCCCATCAAGAACACGTTAGGCAAGATATATTGGAGGCTTTTAAGTGGTTGTCCCCAGAGCCCTTCACTTCAGGTACATTCGTTCATTACACCATGCTCCTGTCCTGTGTTTTACATCAATGCCGATCCTGATATGTACGACACGGTAGCTTCATCAGGTGTGGATCCTTCGAGCCATGACCAAGGTATCGTCCCCACTGAGGGAAGGCTTGAAGAGTGAGGAGTCGTGGAGATGCTCGCCGACCCAGAAGAAATCCATGCTTGTCCTCATTCAATATTTTGCTCGTGCGGCGTACAAGTCGTCCTCGTAGTGCTGTTCCTTCAGTCTTCACGCCTCTTCTATAATTCATGTGTTCTTGTTTGCCTTCGCTTTCACCTTTCCTTTTACACATTGACGTGTTCTCCTCTATTCGTGTCTGTATTGTCTCGAAATATGCTTCGCTCCATCACTACAGTACTTGAACCCTTCTTCTGTACTATGGCATGACGAGTCTTCGGCTGGGAAATAATAGTAGTGTACGGGACCCTTCCTTTTTTACCAACTCACATCCGCACATGCCTATGTTCAATCTCGAGCACAAAAACCACGTGGTGCCAAGAAGGTGTTCCAAGTCCCTAATCAGCATAATTATAGGCTACAGTACAGTGTGAATCAAAGTCTTCGTGTAAAGATGAAACCAACCATCTCGTCCACTGACCCTCGAATGACTAGCCGGGCCTTCAAGTTGGAGGCTCCTGCCAGCAAGCCTCTTTTCCAAATTCCGTCCAGCTACAGTGGTGAGCGTCAATTGTGACATTGCCACGAATTCTTGGCAGTGTGATGCGGCGCCGGGAGAGTCAGAGTAGAATTGAATGTTTCCGCCTCGTCCACTCATATCTCGTCAAAGAGGGTGCAGCAGTTTACGAGGAGTGAGCGGCGAGTCTCATATAGTTATAAGTACCACAGCGGCGTAAAAATCATTCGACAAGGAACAATTCGCGGACAGTGATAATGCACGTTACGGAAAGTAACCTGTCCGTTCTTTCCATCTATAGTTGACCTGCAGCGTCGAACAATCCACAAATTCAACGGCGAAGTAGCGCTTCCGGAACAGTCCAGATCGCGGGAGTAGGTTTGAACGCGCCGCTGCTGCCAGTTCCGACTTCACCCGAACGACCGAGTGCGGGGAAAGGATGGGGAGAAACCCTCGAACCCTCTCCGGACTGGTCGCTTGTGTTCATGCGTCATGCATTGGCCAGTATTATTCGCTGGCCGCAGCTTGAGGCAATAGAGTTGTCGATAGTCCGGTAAGAACAACGCGAACAGTGTCCCGTCTACGTCTATGCACGTTCGGACTCAGAGTGTCAAGCAAAGTTTACGATAAAGTATTCTCAAAGGCCGAAACCCCATAACAACAACAAAGAGACAAAATGAGAGAATGCGTAGTGCACTGTCACGAGCGCAAGTCTACACACTAATGCCACTCTAAGCCTCAAAGACGAAGCTGGCGCCGACCTTGTGTGCGGGGCCGGCGGGAGAGGCCTCGTTGAGGCGTTGGGTATCAAGAGCGAGGCCGAAGGAGGCCTTGACGCCGGGGCGGAGGGCCTGGGTGTAGCCTGTGTGCGGGAAAGTGAGTATTACATTGGAAATGCGATGAAGGGATGAGGGTGTACGTACCGAGAGCGAGGACACCAGAGTTGTTGATCTTGGCCTTGACGAAGGCGGCGGAGTCGAGGTAACTGGAGAACGTGGAACGTGCGGGCGCATGAAAAATAATCGACGCGTGTAGGAAACGCGGCGAAAGCGCGGAGCAAAATCGGGTGGTCAGTTCAACGTCCAACAGTCCTCCAGTCATATAATGATACAGCAGGAGATTTGACATTTAAATATAAAAAAAGATACGCACGCCTTGGTGCCGACCTCGAGGCTGACGCCTTGGGTGGTGGCCTTGGTGTCGTAGATGGCCTTGGCGCCGGCCTCGACGTCAGGGGAGACGCGGTGGTAGTAGCTGGCGGCGAAGGTGGACAGGTTACCGAGACCGTGGAGGGTGACGGCGTACTCTGGGGCGGAGTAGCCGATGGCACCGGCGTAGCGGGTGACCTTGCCCTCGGTAACGTTGTACGAAGCCTCAGCACCGACGAGGAAACCATCACGGCCGAGAACGGTGTCAGCGGTGAAAGTGGGGCCCTGAGTGACGCGATTTGACGAATTAAGAGGCGGCCATTACGAGGTAGGTATGGTTAGAACACATACCTTGAAGACATCGAGGACGGCGCGCGAGTGGAGGCCAGGCTGCTTGTAGGTGACGTTCAAGAGGGCGTTCTTGGTGCCCTTGTCGGGGAGGAGGGTGGTGCCGACATCGAGCTTGAGACCCTTAGCGATCTGGTTCTCGAGCTCGACGGAAGTGCGGAGGGCATTGGAGGTGGTCCAGGCCTGGGAGAGAGTGAGGCCATGGGGCTTGTCGGAGTACTTTGCCTCGATGTCACCGTGGATGGCAGAGGATTTTGAGTCGCGGGTACCCGCAACCTTGAAGGTGACGTTGGAAGGGGTGGCGGTCTTGACCTCGAGGGATGTACCGTGGAATTGGTAGTCCTTGCCGAGGAGGTCGTTGGAGGACTTGCCAAGGTCCTGTTCGACGGTAACGAATGGGAACAGGGGGATTCAGCGATGCTGTCCTCTGCGTCCAACGTTGTCTGCGTACCTTCCATGAGGGGGGAACGGGCTGGGGGAGAGACATTGTGGTGGGTATGGACGGGAGCTGGTTGTGGATGGGGATGAGGAGAACGTTGAAGGCAGGACGCGTTCTCTCGACGCTTTTTTGGACTCGCGCGCATACGGACCGGCGTGTTCCGGCAGCCCAAGCCAGGAAGGAACGTATCCTGTCCGGGCCAATGACGTCTTTCTTCCGCGCACGAAAGTTCTTTCCGCCAACATTCTCAGCCGCTCGCACACGCACAGTATCCCGGCACACAAAGTACAGCATCATGTCGCCTACTTATATCTCCAATGACGTGAGCTCTTTTTCTTTCGTTAAACGCAAAAAACTCAATATTCGCATCAGGAACTGTCGCAGATAATAAAGAGCGACAAACAACCTCGCAAAGACTACCTCATCGTCGATGTCCGGGACGATGACTACCGCGGCGGCCACATCAAGGGATCCCACAATCTGCCCTCCCAGACTTTCCATGTCGCCGTAGACAAACTTGTACAAGAAACGAAAGATGTCCCTCTCGTCATCTTCCATTGTGCTCTCTCCCAAGCTCGGTCAGTAGGACGTCAAGTCCTTTACCATCTTCGCTCCGTCTTCTCCAGCCATATCCGTTTACATTCTGACTCAACGTCTCCCAACGTTCTTGCAGGGGTCCAAAGGCCGCCCGAGTACGTCGATAAACGCATCGCCTACTTTCCTCAATACCGCACCCAACTCACGCATCGTTACCCTCCCATTACCCTCCCTCCCTACGCCTCACCACGTCGTGCCTCGCTTCTCGGCTATCTAACCATCATCCATCGATGTCAATCTTCCCCTGCTATTTCATTGGGAAGCTAGATATACGCAGAGACGCGAGATAATCTCCAGAAAGCAGGGCAAGACCAGCCGCACGAGGTGCTCATCCTCAGAGGCGGTTTCACCGATTTCCAGGCAAAGTTCAAGGTCTGTTCCCATTTGATTGACGTCCTGCTTCTTATTTGATTGACGTCGTTATACGATGTGTGTTGTGTAGAACGACGCCGCTTTGATCGAAGACTTCGACCCAGAGGTTTGGGGGAACGATTGGAACTCATGAACAATCGACATTACCCTCATAGGGCTCATATATAAATTCAACCTGTAGCATAAGGGACGGTACCATCGTGTTGGCGAGCGAGGTCAAGTCATCGGAGGGTTATATATCGCCAGGGGTTGTCACCATACACATGTATGAACATCGGTGTATGAGTAGCGGCATAATATTAGGAGGGGATAATTTTGTGAGCATCTTGAGATATAGACTGACATGAATAGTCTCAGTACGAGGCTTGGTGCAACCCTGCCTCCAGACCTCCGTGTCCACAGCATCTCAGCGTCCTCTCATGGCGATTGAGTCGCTCATCCTCAAATTCATGAAGGCCTTGGACCCTCCAAATCACCACTCGATCCCTCCGTCCCACTCGGCTTCTTCAACATCCTCCTCGGCATATCCTCCACGACATGCTGCACCTTCTTCCGTTCCTCGTTGATCGCGTTCTGGCATATGTGCCTATGGAATTACATCCAAGTCAGTCGAGTCAAGTTAAGTTGGGTCGAGTCGAGTTGTGGTTGTGGTTTGGGCATGAAGTACGTGAGCAACGAGGATGCAAAGGTTTCGATGAGACGAGTGTATTTATGGAATGGATGGCGGTAGAAGCGAGAAGGAAGAGAGAGGAACGTACCATGAACCGAGTGAGACGAGCACGAACGTCGCGACGGCCCAGTTGCAAGCCGGCATTATACCTAGTCAACCACATATAAAATCAGCATGACAGACGACCAAGGAATCAAATAGTAGAACCGTGGCAAAGAGGTAGACGCAGAACACCCTCAGATAAAGCCAGACTCGAACGACATCATAGTCGCAGTATACATGCAGAGCAACCCCAAAAGAAAGATACAGAAAGAGAAACGCACCGACGTTCATAGCTCTCAACACGCCCACTCCCGTCCCGCTCGCGATGCCGCTCAGGAGGCTCTTCCGCGCACAGGGCATCTGGCCTAGGTTTTGGGAATCATCTTTTAGGGAGATGCGCTGCCCTTTCCAGGGACGTGTGAGTGCGATGGAGAGGCGACGGGAGCGTTGTGGGATGAAGATGAGCGGGTGGGATGAGAAGGAGAGGGAAAGGGAAAGGAGAGGAGGACGAGTGAGAACAATTCCCGTAAAGACGGACGTTAAAATGAATGAAGAGAATTAGAAAAAAGTCGTCAGCGAAAGTCATTCTCATTCATTCGAGGTCTAGGAGTCCAAACGCACCTTCACAGCACCGACGAGATCACCCCATAGACTCCCCGTCGTATCCGCCTGATAAATCGGACGACGATACGTAGGAGAGTTCGAGTCGTCTTTCTGGTCCGCTGGTGGATTCGTAGATGTTGACGCGTCGCTCATTATTTTGGTGAATATACGAATCCTTGATTGGGGTTTAGATGTGAGGTACGTATGGTGCGTGAATGTGGATGTGGAGGAATTCCGTCCGACAAACACCAATGTTATTCAGAAAAGCGTGGAAATGAGACAGAGGTCTGGGAATTGCGACGAAGTGACGGACCCGTACTCTGTTCAGGAGAAAATAAGATGGTAGTGGTGGTGGTGGTTTGCAGCTCGGCGAGCTCAACAGTTGTGGGCCACATGAGCCTGCCGAATTTGTTCCAGGTGGCGCCGAAGTGGCACTTGGAGTCCGAAGCGTCGTTCAACCACTCACACAAAACGATTGTTGTGCGAGCATTCAGCTCCTTTTCAGATGACCTCAACTCATGCATTAGACTGGCGAGTCGGAATGGTCCAGCTCGAAACATGTAGACAAGTAAATTGTCGGCAGATAGACAATTGGACACCCAGCGAATCGCCAAAGATGTACGGTACAGCAGGCGGTATTCATACTCAAGAGATCGAGGGGTCAACGGACTACGACGAGAAGTTGACGGGAGATACAGCAAAAGAAAAAGAAGAGAAATATACATATCCGTCTGGATGCGGCACTTCGGTATACTACCCACGATCATCTAAACACTCTCTGAATCTCCGAAGGTGCCTTCTTCAAGCCACGACCAAGGTATAGGAATCACTGATATGGGAGTGTGTGTATCAGCAAGTCATCGGGAAAAATGGAAGAAAGAGGATGCATACTTGAAGCGTAAGGGTCCGGACACAACCATTCGAAGGCTTTCAAAACATCCCGCTGCACTCGTTCGCGATGGCTCTCCGGGGTCCACTCAGCATGCAGCCAGGGGTCTCTCGTTACCACTTCTGCCGTCAAAATCTGAACCAATTTTCGCCACGAAGCGACATCTAGCCTCGTATATGGTGCCTTCTTCCGCACAAGTTCGACAGAGCATTTAATATGCTCTCGGAGCCAGCATAAGCTTGAGCACCACAAATTAGTAGATTGGGCATGTTCCGAGGACCTGGCTGCATGGCTGAACGGTGTAGCGCCGTACCACCATGCATGAATAGGAACTTGCTGAAGGTAACGGTCGAAGGCCTGGAGAAGCTGTATCATTTCAATGCACGTTCTCATGAACACCAGAAATTCAGTCAGTCCTAAGTTCGCATGGTCTTCAAGTTCCGAGGCCAATATGAAATTAATTTCCTGGAGAACAAATGACAACCAGTCAAAGCCGTCCACGATGCGTTGCTCGCTGGCTGCAGGTACAGAACAAGTGGGCTGCCCATCATTCTGGGTCCACTGGAATTCTGTGCTTATTATCTTGATGACATGAGGCAAGGCAGGAGAGATGCCATAGAACGAAAGAACAGTGGAGGCTTCGCGCCGCCGCCGTGTGAACCACTGTATGAAAGCTTTGGCTATCCTCCGAGTAGGGTTGGCTCTCGTCCACATCAATCCCGAGGCCATGAATTCGGCTGAAATTTTCTGGAAATGAAAGAAATTCAGATAGTGACTTTGGGGCCACATATCCTCGCAAGGCTTGAGAAGATGATCTACTGCTTCTTCTAAACTAAAATCTGATCGGGCTCGTGTCAGTCGTAGAGCCTCAGAATGAAAGACTTCCCAAAGAAACATGTTTATTGAATGGTTTTTGAAAGGCTTCTGTGGAGAAGCACAAGCCTGCACATATGGTATGTTATTCAGCAGAAACCAGATGACTGGTGTTCCACGAAGGGAGTACGTGAGATCTCCAACCATGTTCTGTGAATCAACGAGCGCACATATTGCTTTTGGAAAGGGAGAATTCCAAAGGACATGTGAGTGTTCATGCCCCGTCGCAGCTGTAGAGTATATCTCAGCAGCCCTCTTGACTAGCGGCAGGAGGTATACGACCTCCAACTTAGAGTATGATGCCCGAGAATGACGAGCGTGTGACACAGGATTCACACCACGGGGCTCGGAGTAGAACATATTTGCTATGAAAGTTGCTGCGCTGAGGTTGGTGCGAATACTGGCTTCATCTGATAACATGAAAGCAAGTAAATCAATCTGATAGGTTGCAGGAAACAACCAATCAGCGTCTGTGTGCGGTCTGGAATAGGTCGAAGAGTGTAATGTCAACGCAGTGTATACTGCTACAGCTTGGTCGATGACATCATCATCATGGGTGGCCTGCAGGGTCAGATAGAAAGCTTCCACATCGTGAGGTGCGAGACCTGAATCCTGGCCATCTGTTTTCAACGCATCGGTCTGTTCTTGTCCAGAGATCGAGTCAGAGTCCCCGCCACCATCAGCGGATGCCGCATAGGAGACAGACAGTTCATCTGAAGGATGACTACGGATCCATACAGGCACAGATGTCAATGTCTTCCAATAACGGAGGAGACAACGTTGGACACGCTTGAAACACTGACCCATTAAGGGGCCATGCAAGATTAGTAACTGTGAGATTGTGGATTGAAAAGGAGATATGTCCGGGTATAACTTGCCGTGGCACACCGTCCAGATGGTATATGCCGCCACTGAGGCAACGAAAATAGCAGATAAGACACCAGCGATGAAAATCGGGGCTAGCGAGCCCGAGAGCGGCAGAGAGCTAGAAATAATGTTGTCCAGCAAGCCGACAACGAAGAGGATGATAGGGAGAATCAGAAACTGCGGCAAAAATTCGACAGCAGGAGCAAGCAATTTGTTTGCGTGCAGCCAACGACGGTGCAAATCGCCAAGTTTCTTGTGGGCCTGGGTGTGGCGCGATCGAGTGAGCATGGCGACGTAGCCTCGGCTGGTGACTGCAAGAGCGGCCACTGAAATCTATTGAATAACTCTGGTGAGCCTCAATCGATGCGGCAAAATATGACTGCATCTCACGCTGAGGATTAGAGAAATAGACCAATAGAAATTGAGACGGACTGCACTCTCTTCGGGCTCAAAAGCTGTGGGCGGCTGAATGGTAAGGTGGGACGCGTTGACCCCACTAACGGCGATGACAAGTTCAGTTAGGTTGAGTAGCAGCTCGTTCGTCCTGTCACCGGGATCCTGCGATAATCCCTCGAGCGACTGCACAAAAAACGTCGTGACAATGGCCGAGAAGAGGGCAACCTAGTCAAAAACTGTCAGGATGATCACTTGCACGAGCGCGAAACGCTACGCACGAAGACCAGTATAGTATCGAGCGTTCCTCTCCATCGATCCACCGTTGGCTGTATGTGATCCAAATGTGCTCGAAGCAACGGGGACCAAGCCGCTGCACTCGTCGCAGGAGCCTGAGGGATCGGTTGTTTCGACACGTCTGTGTACCAGCAATGAACGTGAATATCAGGGATTCGGGGGAATGGAAACACAGATTTTATGCGTACCTGAAGCCTTCTGTCTCTCGTCCATGCTACGCAAAACGTCGAGGATCTCACGCGAGACGTCTCCGGGTGGCACGCTCGAACTCTGAGGGATATCTTCTGCCACATTGTCTGCTTTCTCTCCAGCCTTAGCCAAGAGTCGCTCCGTGAGCTCAGTCTGCCTTCGCATCAGTCTGACGAGCTCATCCATGCCCGTCATGTTTGGCGTATCGTCGTGATCAGAGTTCGCAGCGAGCTGGCCACCGTCAGTGTCGCCACTAAGCGCAATATCTGGGTCTCGTTCTGTTTGTTCCATGACCATAGAGTGCTTTGGAATCTAGGTGGACAAAAGCAAATACCCGGTGTAGAGGAGGTGCGAAGTGAGAGACAAGCGTGAAGATTCCTCAATCAAGCGCCGGAGAGTTGGCCCAACGCCCAAGTACACCTCAAGCGCCCGTGCACTTACTCTAACGCCACAGTGGCCCAAGATGGCTGCCTCTCATAGAGACACTGGCCAACGCACGCAGAAATATAATAAATCATTCATTCAAAAAGTCGTAATGAAGCTCATACACGCAACGGTCTAATAACACGTAAGAGGGGTAAGTAAGTAATGCAGCAGACCAGAAGGTAAAAAAGGCGCGATCCAGAACTGAGAAGGAACGGGAACGGTATGGGATGGTATGGGAGCTACAAGGAAGCATATGTGTAGGAAACGAGTGGATGGATGGATGAACGGACGAGAACGAGTGGGCGGACTGACGGACGGGATGAATGAGACGAGACGATAGTGGAAAGGAAAGGAAAGGAGGGAAGAGAGTGATTGGTTGGTATGTGGAGTACACTGAGCGATTGAGAGGCAAAGCACAATCAAGAAGGGAGCAAGGGAAAAAACGGAAAGTGAAAAGTGAGAACGGAACCGAATGACCTCCACACAATGCAAAAAGAAAAGAAGAAGAAGAAAAACTGAAAACATGAATGATGGTGATAATGCTTATAGAACGTTCCCACGAAGACAAACAGAAAAAGACTCATAACGGACCTACCTTAAGTTATGTATTGCGATTGTGACTACATTGTGCCTCTTCAATACCTGCTCTTCAAGCATCAAGCCTCAAGACGCATATCCGTACCCCTCCGCAACCCTCCTCCTCTCCATAATCTCCGCCAAATCAGCCGCCGCATCCGCACTCGCACTCGCCTCCTCCCTCGCCCTCCTCCCAAACACGAAATCCTCCTCCGTATCCATACCATGCTCTCCACGCTCCCCCTCCCCCTCCCCCTCATCGTCATCTCCGTCATCTCCCTCTCTAAACGCCAGAGCAACCGCAACCGCCGCCTCCGACGCGCTCTCCCCCCGTCTATGTCCCATCCCCGTCCCTCCATGCCCATGCCCATGTCCAATTCCATACGCAGGCCCCACATACCCATTCAACAGCCTCCCAAGCTCAGCACTCACCCCCGCATGATACGGATCCCTCCTCTCCTGCGACGACACAATCTCCGTCGGAGCCTGCGAACTCGGGTACACGATCTCAGTTGGGGCCTGCGAACTCGGGTACACAACCTCAGTCGGCGCTTGCGAGTTCGTGGTAGTATTCGTATTCGTGTTCGTGTTCGTGTACCCGATTTCAGACCGCACTTGCGAGCCAATGCCATGATACACTATCTCAGTCGGCGCTTGTGAATTCGACACGAACCCTGCCGCGGTCGGCGTCGCAAGCTGCGAATAGACTGCCCGCGATGACGAGGATGAAGCCTGGGTATGACTCTGACTCTGCTCCCCGACCCATTCCTCAGCATCAACATCAGCATCAACATCACCATCCCCACCCGATCCCGTCCTCGTAGCCGACGACGACCCAGACCCAGGCTCAGATGACCCTCCCGCAGATGCTACTCGACCAGGACCATGCAGAGGCTCCGGTAAGTGATCATGACCATGGAGAGGCTCCGGTAACTGACCATGACCATGCAGAGGTTCCGGTAAGTGACCATGCAGAGGTTCCGGTAATTCAAGCGGCGTGCGCGAAGGCGAAGGCGTAGGCGACGGTTCCGGTGTAAACTCGACATAAAACTCCATCTGCATGCCTGTCTCGTTTGCGGTCGGGAGTGGAAGTGGAAGTGGGTGTGGATGTGAGTGTGAGTGTGAGTGTCGGCCGTCTTGCGATGTGGATGCAGGGGCGTTTGGCAGATGGGTAGAAGTGGTGGCGGCAGCGTTGGTATTGTTGGTGTTAGCGTTGGATGAAAGATGTGCGTGGTGAGTGTGTTGAGGGTGATGATGATGATGATCGTGACGATGAGCAGCTACATGTGCGAGAAGTGCTTCTACGGCTGGCGTTCGAGGCATGGCCGTGATAAATTCTGTTTCTGAATCGGCGTCGGCGTCGGCGTCTGTAGAGTCCATAGGAGGAAGAGGGCCGGGTCCACGGAAGGGTGTTGGGGGAGGGACGGGTTCTGGGTCGGTGTCGAGTGGGAGCGAATTGATGATGTGGTTGACTGTACGGACGAGATCGAGTCAGTATCAGGGCACGTAAAAGAGAATGTGTGAGTAAATAAGGGCAGAAATCCGACTCACATTCCTTCGCGTGCGCTGAATGGTGGTACAACGATTAATTCAACTTCATCCAGATTCCACACCCCACAAGGAAGAAAGAAAGAAAGAAAAAACTCACCATGCTCCCTCTGCCTCCTACACCCCGCCCCATCCACACAATCCCTCCTCTCCGTAACACTCCTATCCAACTCCCCCTTCCTCCTCTCTCTGATCCACCAGTCCTTCAATCCCCAGAGCACGATCTCCGTAGCGCAAAGTCTGCAGATCCGTTCCCTGGGTGGGTTCGGGCCCGGGTCTGGACCGGGAGCGACGGCGTGGACGTCGAGGAAGAGGTCGAGGTCGATGAGGGGTTGGAATTTATTAGGTTGGGTTTGTATATGTTCGACGATCTACCGGCCGATGAACGTAAACCACCAGCCAGTCCCAAAAAACAGAGATGAGCAACGATTCGACTGGATGCGGAGGCGGAGGAGAAGCACACACCTCCCGATAAACGTCCCTCGGCGATATCCTCTTCGCCGTAAAATAATCAAGCATGATCTCCACCTCCACCGCATTCCCATCAAACGCGTCATACACCTCGCTCGACTGGATCAGGTCTCCGACGTCCGAAAGACCGTGCGGGTGCTGTGCCATGAGCGGTAAAGCGACGCATCGATTCTGGATGCCGATCCCGCAGAAGGAGACTTGACACATGTCGCATTTGGTCGTCGTCGGCGCCGTTAGCGCGAGCAGGTTCTCGCTATTAGTGTTGTAGAGCGCCGACGCATACATAAATACGTCAGTAACGATTTGAGAAAGAGGGGCTAGGATGGAGAGGAGAGGGAAGGGGGAGGGGGGACTCACCAGTTGCCACAATAACCGTGTCCCGGGGGAGAACCGTCGTCGACGTGCCATGCGTTATCGGGGTCAGAGTTGGGATCTGGGACAGGACGCGGACAACGCCAGCCATATCTGTTGCCGGCGAGACAGTGGGGACAGGGCCGTGCGTATTCGCCACCGGTCTGGGGTATCGTCGGTTCTGGGGAGGCTTCGCGTGGCGTTGGGATCTGTGCGACACAATTCAAGCGAGAGAAAGGGGGGATGGTGAGCGAGAGGCATTCGCGCACAGCGCAGCACAAGGGAAAGAGCATGAGTGGCAAGGATTGTCGGGCAAAGGTGTACGAGGAGGAGGAAGGGGGAGTACGTACGCGGAAAGATTGACCAGGTCTGTAGATCTCGTCGGCTTGTTGCTTCTCCCGGTCTGTACGGCCACGAGACGGGTCGGCACGGAGAAGAACGTCTACCATGACTTGAAGGATGCGAGATGGGGTGACGGAGGTGGAGAGGCCACGGCATGCGGGGCAATTGGTGCCGCCGTTCTAGAATGATGGGAGGGAGGAAGTGGGAGTTAGTATATGCGCATTGAATGGAGTTATGGTGGGAAGCACAGGGGGGTACACATAATGAGCAGTAATGAGAGCTTACTCGGACCCAAAGTGAGCAGCAGCTAAGTGACGAGCGCGGTGGTCAATAGAGTGACAGAGGCAGTGATAAAGGAGGTGGAACAAACCTTCCACAAAAGTAATGTTCACAAGGAAGTACAATCACAGGTCTGTAGAGTAGAGCAGAACAGCAACCACAGAGCAGTTCCTGTTCGAGGTCATCGAGCAAAGCAGATGACGGTGTCGGTTGGGTGGAGACTGCTACAGCCTGAGTGGCATTGGCCAATGCGGGGTTTGTCTGGGGTAGGTCTGTGTCCGCATCTACGGAATTACCATTCGTCTTGGCCCTCTTCCTGCTGTCTCCTTCAAAACCTTCAAAGGTCGGAGAAGCAAGTCTCTTCAAGTTATGGCTGGAAGAGGATGTGGCAAGAGCAGGATCGTGATCAGCAGCAGCCGCCGAAGACGATGAGCTCGAAGACATCTGTGCGGGATCTGTAGAGACGAAGTGTTCCTGTGGAGGTGAAACCGAGCGCAAGATGTTGCGAAGAGCGAGGACAGAGTGTGTGGACATCGACTGGTGGGTGTCGAGAACGAAGAGAGGATGTGATTGACCGGAAGCGTTACTTGCCAGATAATAAGTGGCGAAACGGCGGACTGTCACGCCGTGGACCGTCCCGATCGAGCCTTAAAGATTGCCCTTTATGGTCCTCACGCTCGCCGCCAGGCGGAGGCGCGCCTTGCCGCTCGCTTTCGACCGCTGCCGTCTCAACTCTTTATTGTATGGATATATACATCTATGCAGAGACAGAACGCGAGTGACATCCATCCATCGTGGGCCACACTGCTTAATCGGGCCACATCCGAGCCATATCATTTCTAGCCACCTCGTGTCAAGTAACAGCCGAAGAAGTGCAGTTGACTCGTCGTCGACGCCATCCTGAACAGGCTTCCACGCTCTTTCTCTCGTCTTCCACGATGTATCCCTTGAATCTCCTTAAGCGCCACCGCAGCGCCCGTACGCGACCTCAAAGACGCGCCCGACGGCGAGAGCGGCGCCACATATGTCCTCGCATACGACGCTGACGTCACCCGAACGCATTTCCCAGCGTGCGAACCACTTCCCCTCCGTCTCCTCCCGCATCAACTCACCCACGTCCCTCTCCGCCCCTCCATTAAATCCCAAAACAAAAAACAAAACACGCTAGCCCATTCACAACGACAATGTCCGCCCGCATCTCTCGTCGTTTTCTCTCGCTCTCGTCGCTCCGTGCTGCCTCGGCGTCTTCGCGCTCGAACGTCGCCGCCGCGACAGGACGCGCTTTGGCGAGGCGGGGTATGGCCAGTGAGGCTCATGGCGCACACAAGAGCGGGGGAAGCGATTTGACTTGGATGGTATGTTCCTTGTCGGCTCACACCCTGAAGATGATGATGACAGTGTGTTAACTGGTGTGAATATCAATTCTGTCTCGTGTACGCACAACAGGTCGGCTCCGCTGTCGTCTTCCTCCCCCTCGTACGTCATATCATACCTCCGAGCATGTCTCTCTTCACTTATATGCGGAATGTATAGTGCGGCTACCTTCTATCCCCTGCAGCCCGCTCAAAGGGCCACCACGTCAACGAGAAGATCGGCCAGACGGACGAGGCGCACAAGAGCGAGCCCGAGCCCGTTCTCACCGACGACGAGGGGACGAAGAAGTCCGCTTCGGAAGTGAAGGACTCTTTGACGCGTAGCGAGGTCAGTTTTTATGTCCTATCCGTGACCGAACTTTTACTTTTCGATAATCTGTATTTCGTATCCCACTTCACTTTCGCCCCTGTCCTAACATTTTGCTTCCGTCACCATTTTTTTCCACTTTCTTTTGCCTTCGCTGCCTCTTTGGACCGAAATGCTGAAACCCGTGTGTGCGTACGTACAGGAGACCGACGCGCCGAAAGAGGCCCACGACGCCGAGGTCCGCGAGGCAAAGGGGGAGCCCAAGACCTCCGCTGAAAGCACAGAAGCTCCAGCGGACAAGGAAGAGGTAAGTCCCGAGTCCCGAATCTCTCGTCCAACCCCCTCGCGCATCCCGCACTGGCACTCATACTCACAAACCCCCTTCCTCTCCATAGAAATCCGACTCCAGCGACAAAACCGACGACACATTCTCCTCCGGCTCCCCCGCCCAATCCTCCGGCTCCCCCTCCGAATCCTCCCCCGTCGAACAAAAGTCACCCCCGACAGACCGTAGCGCGCATAAAGGCACGGTGCAGAGCGAGGGGGATGATGTGCCGAAGCCGACGGAGATGGGAGAGGCGAGGAAGGAGAGTAAGCAGGGTAAGGCGCCGAAGGAGGCTGAGAAGGATGAGTGAGGCGATGTGTGAAGGGGAAGGGAAGGGGAGGGGAGGGTGGGTGTGTGGTGCGAATTGTGCTTGGTTGGGCGTAAAGTCATTGATGGCGAACAATGCACTTATTTTTATTTGCTCGCGCTGCGTCTGACTGCGAACGATCGTCTAAGAACGGTGAAGTATGAAGGGACACTCTGGGTACACGCCCGGCAAGGTGCAGCGGTGAACGTCCGGTATTATGCGAAGAGAAAGTAGCTGTTGCGTGCGGAGATGTTATGAATACAGTTTTATACAAGATAGAAAGGGCATAAGGTAGCTACAGTGTGTAGTGTGTAGAAGATAGTGAAGACGCAAACGCGAGCGCCCTTCGCCTGTATCACGATCAACCACGACTCCGTGACGCCCAACTCGTCTTCCCGAACCCACCATCAACGCGAACCTCCGGACCGTGTCGTCCCCATCCCCCATCCGCCGCCCTCCAACCTCCGTCTATCCACTCCCTTACATCCCGACAAAAAACCAAGGAAAAGCCCATCCATCCCGACCAAACAAAAACCCCACAAACAAACAAACCAAAAAAAAGAAAGAAAAAAAAAACCTCAACGCGCCCGAACCTGGAGTATGATCGCAAACACGACGATGATGAGCGCGCAGAGCAGGACCGCGTTGAGCACGATCGATATTCGCGCGGCGGGGAAGTATCCCTGCGTGAGCGCGTTCTGGACGCGGAAGTAGCGCGTCGTACCTATGATAGAGTGGGCGTTTGAGTTTGAGTATGAGTATGAGTAAGTTATGAATGGGATGGGGAACGGTGCTACGAGCGATAGAAGCGGGAATAAGGCGGAGGGAAGGCGGGAAGGATGGTGGGTTTGGGACAACATATATAGCCCACGGCGGGTCTGTTTGGGATTGAGATCAGAGCGCGTACCGATGAATAACATGCCAAAGCCAATGAGGATGATCGTCGCTCCCATAGGCCTGGCATACTTCACCAGTGTGTCAGATGTGATAGCGAACAGTTGAACGAGAGCTAATTTTTTTTAAAAAGGCGTAGATCTGGTCAGTCAGTCTTTCCGAACGTGGATAAAAACTTAGAGTATTATAGATAATCATGATCGACGCACCTACACCGGCACTGGCGAACGCAAGACTCGTCCGTACGTAGGCTAGGAACGTCCGTTCGGACGCTAGATGATCCCGCGCCACGCTTCCAGTGTTCTCGAGAACGAGTGCGGGGTAGAGCGACCATTTCGATCGGTCGTCATGAGAAGGAGGGGGTGGATGTGGGGAGGTCGAAGCGGTGATGGAGGTGGCGGATGATGTTGGGGCTTCTGGTTGTGGTTCTCGGTCTGCAGGTCGAAAATTGTTGTGATGAGTGGATTCGATATCAGAGTGGGCGTTCATGTCGGAAAGTCAGGTAGGAAGGAAGGTCAAGAATGAAGGAATGGACAGATAAGAGGTCGTGGTCAGCGTCGGCGCCAACAAAAAAACAAAGACAGACAGGAGGGCGGCGTGGAGCATGAGGGCATGTTGTATTCCGAATTCGAGTGCAGAAAGAGAGGAAATGCTCGGAAAGGACGTAAGATGGCAAACATACCGTGACCGTTCCCTTCCTCAACGCCTCGAGAAGACCACCGTCTATGTCTAGCACTCGACCGTCCATTTCCGTCCCTATCTCGTGTAGACGACCTCCGCGCTCTCCCAACCCCGTCGCCTATCGCCTCATTACCAGCCCCCGTCTCCAAATCCTCTCTATCGATTACACTTCCAGGACGTACGCCTTCGGCTGCTAGATCGTCTTCAGAGCCACCGAAACTCCCAGCGACGCTCCCTCGACCTATAGGCGTATTCGGAATCCCCCTCCCCAACTCCTCCGCATTCATGTTCAACCTCACTCCCATCGCTCGCGCTCTACTCTCTACCTCATCCCTCTCCGCAAAATCAGGATCACCGTCCACGGAACGGTCCGGACGAGGATGCGACCCCCTGCCTTTGAAGTACGATTCTATCCAGGAGAAACCTTGACGGAGGGACGACGGACTGGTCTCGGGATGAGAGGAAGGCGTGGCGAAGGTCTGGTACGACGGGGTACGGTCGCAAGGTAGGGATCGGGAGAGAGGAGTGCTTGCGGTGGGGATGGCTTTGGAGGGAGTGGTAGTGGTGATGGCAGTGGTGGTGGTTGAGGACGAGGAGGACGTCCGGGTGGCAGGATCGTCGATAGGCCACCCGCGTCGATTTGCTCGTTCGGTGCCACCGGCGAGCATTGTTGAAAACGAGGGATGGGGTGTGGCCCGAGCTTTTTGCGCGCTGTACAGAACGACGAGTATATAAACCGCAACCGCTCGATGGAAGTGAGGAAAAAGACTCGGGACCGTCAGTTACGGCTTTCGAAGAAACACAGCCCTGTGTTGTGTTTTCATCTGATTCTGAACAAACGCCATCCCCAGGCCCTCTCACGCACGATCCGATCACCCATTTTATTTGTAGTGCAAAAGTCCACTCGAATCTTGCGAGGTCTATGCTGTAAATAATGCCACTTCTTCGTACGGGAACGTCTTACACTGCCAGCTTTTACACGTACCACAGCTAAAGCAAGCAGTGCATATCGACCAGCCTCGAGCGGGAGAAGCACCTATTGAACAGAAGCGAGAGCTTCCCCGCCTTTCCTGACGAGAAACCGCCGGAACTTACGGAAAATGATTCTTTCCGACGTTGTCTTTGTAGTGAAACTGGTCGGGAAAGCCTTGATCTGAAACGGACCCGTCAAGGAGACGAGCGCGTAGGTATGCGGGTTGTTCAGAACAGCCAAATAGGAATCGGAATACATCGATAATGGCAGACTCAACAGTGGGCACCACTACACTACTACTGGCAAAAACAGTGAGTAAAGAGAAAGAGACGGACAGAGAAAAAATATAGCAAAGGAGTGGGAGGCTGGAAGGGAGCACTAATAAAAGCAGCAATAAGAAAAAAACAATCCCACACCAGAAGACAGAAAGGAAGAAGGTAAAAGGTCTACGCAGAAGACAAAGAGGTGTACATATGTACGGAAAAGAAAACTAGGCTGCGATATACGAATATGAAGCAAAGAACTCGGTCAGGGTTCGAGAAATCAATCAAGACGGCCGTACTGGCGACAAATCGAGACAGAGACAAAGAGTTCGTTGTACGAAGCGATACCCGGAAGTTACTCGTACACGACGGATTCGGCTGGGATGAGTCGAAGAGCCGTCAAGGTATATGTTGAATAATGAAATAAGGCTTAAATCAAGAGGACCGGAAGGAACCCTATGTAACACGCTGGTCAAAGGAGTGGATGGCAATCAACTGAAGCCGACCGAGGCGATGAGAGAGGCAGATAGATGGTGGCGGAAAGAAACAGAAACGAGAAAGTAGAGGATGAAATAGATGCCAAAAGGGAAGGGTGGTAAGACAGTGTTACAACAGGAAGGGTAGAGGGCGAAGTAAGCCATGGGAAATATGAAGCATGAACAGAGGTGATGGCAAATATGAACAACAACAAAGAAAATATAAAGATGCGCACGCAAGGACGAGGAAAACGGCGGCCGCAAGAGACTACATGATGGGAGTTCCAGAGCCATACATGGCCCCTTCCTCCTCCCAGGCTGCCCGCTGCTTCTTCTTTTCTGACGACTTGTCCGACATCTGCGACATCACATCCGCGGAGTTTTTCATCTTGCGAGCCTCAGACTTCGCCTTCAATTCCAGCGCCAACCTCTCCGTCCTGGCCTTCGCCTCCTCCTTCTTCCGCTTCTTCTCCTCTGCCTTCCGCTGACCCTCCTCCGCCTTCCGTCGCTTCGGATCGTCCGATGACGACTCGCTCTTTACGCTCGGCGTGCTGCTCTTCTTCGACTTGGTCGACGAGTCCTTATCCGAGGAGCGACCGAAGAATCTCGATACCGAAGGCGACGTAATCGTTGGCGTGGAAGAACCTGGGAACTGAGGTTCGGGGGACTGCGGCACCGAACTCCTCGTGGCAACGCGAACTTGGTCGTAAGAAGCGTCGCGCGAGTGGGACTGCTGACGGGATTGTGCACGCGAATGTGCGCGTGCCTGCTCCACGATGGGGGAATGGGGGGCGTCGACATCGGGCAGCGATTGCATCGGTTGGTGAGCTGGTGACGCGTGAATCGTCTCGACTGGTGACCGCGCCTGCTTGCGAAGCTGGTCGAGGTTCGTTCCCTGCTTCCAGAGCACGTTGGGACCACAGTCGGGCGAGCGAGTCTGAGCGCGAAGGGACTCTGCTGTGTGCTGCTTCCAGAGCGTGTTGTGCGGTGAGTAGTCGCTGTAGTCATGCGTGACGGGGGACTCTGGCTCGATGGGTGCAAATTGGATCCCGCTTTTGCTCTCGACAGAGCTGTTGGAAAGGCGGCGAGGCGAGTATCCAGAGTCGAACTCGTTGATGACAGCGAGATAGTGAGGGCGTGGGTTGCCATAGGCGTCCGTAGGTATCGTGGGGTGGACGATAGGCATGGTCGACTGTAGAGGACTGATGGGAGGAGAGAGCCAAGAGTTTCGACTGCGAGTGGAATCAGATATTGAGCTAATGGAGGGGGAGTACGTCAGCGACGGCGTGGTATCTGTGCTGTCTCTATATGTGCTCCGTGAAGAACGCGGTAGGTGGTAGGCAGGGAAGCGCGATATCGAACTCGTTGGCGTGTACAAAGCGGGCGCCCTGGCAGGACCGTCATCGCTAGTGTAGCCTTCGATATCGGACCCCGAAGGCGTAGCGGACCCCGAGGAGATGGCATAGGGGGATCCATCAATCGGTGATACGCGAGACGGAGATCCTATTGCGGTCTCGAGGGTCAAGGCGGGCTGTGATCTTGACCGCACGTGATCAGGTACGAGTCCTTGGAGCTGAATGATAGCCTCGTCCACGGTGACATCGTCAATTTCCCTGCGTTCCGCATCTCCATCACCGACCACATCTTCCTCCTCGCCTGGTCCAAGCAGTTCGCCGTAGAGTTCAGCGGTCGCTGTTAGATCAGCATCAGTTCCGAGAGAGACCGTGCTGGTCGTGCGGTCGTGCAATCTTCGCTTGATGAAGAGCGCAGATGATTGGTTTGGATCTCTTGGTTGAGGTGATGCGAAAGGATGTTCTACATTCACGATCACAAAATTACTATATAAACACGGGCGCGGAAGCAGGTGGGGCTTTACCGTCTTTCTTCACGCCACCTCTCGACATCCCGCCTCCAGCCTGACGCGAGTCTAATGTGCGCAAGGGAGCGTCGGACATTCCACGCGGGCGGGCTGTGGCGGAAGATCCATTCACTGAATCATCGCCACCGCCTCCACCAGGACCACCGCCGTCCGTAGGACGACTGTAAGCGCCACCGCCACCGTCTTTGTCAGTTCGAGGACGAGCCACTGGCTTTTTCTGGTTGTAGAGCTGTGGAAGAGGTTCGGAAAAGGAACGTTAGAATAGACAATATATGAAGATAGCATAAAAGATTACCATGACGGTCTTAAGAGCGCTGCATTTACAACGAAGGTGTGAATAAGTTATACTTGGTTGCATGATAAGGGAATACTCACCGAATCTGTAAGCTGCGACAGCTGCAGAGTGTGGCGACTTCGTAGACACCAACAGAGGTCGCATTAGACAACGCTCTGTGCATCGCATGCTTCACCAACGCCTGGAGATGGGGCAAGTCGTAGTTCGTAGATAGAACTAACAAGGCGCTCAATACAGCAGGCGCGTGTTGAAGCGGGGTGAGCAGTGCCATCGAGTAGAAGTACTGCACCAAAGCTAGAGTCACGGGATATGGCTCTGAAAGAAGAAGCGTCCGGGGCGACAATCTAGGGTCTGGCCGTGGTAATTGCTGGTTGGCGCTCGCGACTTCAGGCATACCGACGTGACTGGAAGACAGAGGAAGGGTATCGAGGGCCCGTGTGGCCGCCTGGAGGAATAGCCTCCTCTGCTCCCTGAACCATGGCCACCGATCTTCCAGCACCTTCCGCGAACACTTGACCTTTCGGTCGTCGTCGCAGACGATCTCAAAGTCCGCTAGAATTCCTTCCTCAAGCGCCGCTAAACCCATCTCCTGCATTCTGACATCCAGCTCCGGCCGAGGCGGCTGGTATATCCCGAACGCCTCTAAATCAATGACGGCCACATGCTCCCAGCTGAGTAGCCGCCGATTGTAGTCCTCGACTAGGTTCCCATTTCGATTACCGAATATGACGAACTTGTTAGCTTGCGCCCAAAGGCAGCTGCGGAACCATGAGCCTGAGTTTAGTGTACTGCCTGGGTCGATGCGGGTCCACGTCCTGTTGACGAGGTCTAAAGCCCAGACGGAGAATGATTGGTAGGTATGCGCAAGGTAGGTACCGGCGATGATGAGATGCGTGCCAAGAATAGCACCTGTCGGAAAACGGAGGCCCGGAGGAAATGAAGAGCCAGTCATCGAGGTCGACTGATCGTCGATTGCGAAGTCATTGGGTAGTGGAGAAAACACCTCCAACTCGCGCTTGACGTCGGTGAACTAAAAGTTATGAAGGAAGTCAGAGAGCTGAGTGCGGAAGAGAGGAACTAGACACACATTATAGTTACTGTACAGATAGATGTCGGAGGGGTATTCCTCCGTCGGCGGTGCTGAGTACGGCAGGTGGATGAACGCGTCTCTCGGGGTAGGAGTCGAGGAAGGGCCGGAATCAACGCCCGTACGGAATGTGGTTCTCGAAGGAGTAGGTGTTTGGGCGTGCTTCATTTCCTCCTGAGGTAGACGAACACGTACGTCGGCCGAGACAGCAACGCTGCGGTAGGTACCACAATGCCTAGGGTAGTCACGCTTCTGCACCCATGTCTTCAGATTGAGGTCATAAACGAACACGTCGTCCAGCCAAACATTCTGTAGGTCTTGACCGCCGATGACGAAGAGACGGTCGCCGGTAACGGAGGATAGGTGGGCATAACGAGCTTTGGGCAAAGGAGAGGCGATGTCTTGAGCGCTCTGGGACCATGAACACGGCATCCAGCGGCGTGAAGAGAGGTCGTAAAAGCGAACGTCGTTGAGGACGCAGAGGTCGTCAGTATTCGCAGCATCGGGTTTGACTCCCATACCGCCGAACACGATGAGGTACTGATTCCCTGGTTAAAGATCGGTAAGCGACGGGATCAATAGGTGGGAAGGAAACATCCGGTAAACTCACAAGAGTCTGCGCTGTGAAAGTAACGGGCCCCTGGGATATCATCATCCGGCTGCGAAATGGGGAGGAGTTCCCACTGCAGAGTCTCAAGGTCAAACTCGTAGAGGTCAGAGACCATTCGTCGCTCGGTCACCAGCCGGCCACCCTGTAGATGAGTAGTCGGGAAAGGAGTTGAGCAAAGAGTATAGGACAAAGATGAGTCACATGCGCACAAAAAGATACATCTTGGAGCCGACGACCGTTGTCGACGCACCCTGTCAGGCGAGGAAAAGTAGAGCTTAGTGTATGGGCCGGATGCGACGGGCTGGAGGGGAACGTACGACAAGTTTAGGTGGAACATTGCCCGTTGTCTTGCGGCAGAAAGTGGTCAGATCTGAGACCGAGTGCATCGTTGTGCGCGACGGTGCGCGAGCCGTGGTCAAAGACACTGCTGGGGACGGCGACGGGAGGAGGAGAGCGCTGCCGGGAAGAGGATGGGATTAAGCGTGCAAGTCTGTCGTACAGCTTTAATATTATTACATAAGCCTTCTCATCCCCCTGCGGAGTTTCAACGGCCCACAGATCTCAGATCCCAGATCGCGACCTGCCCGACAGCGGGGCCCGGCGTACACCCGTCTGTCGTGCTCCTGGCGCGAACAGCTCCGTTGCATTTTTTCGCTCTCACCCGTCTCCACCCTCGAAAAACTCTTGCTTTTATCTCGCTCGATGCTGAGACCTTTGAAAGCGCAGGCGTGTCTTGATGCTAGCTGTTGCCAAGGACGAAACCCAGAGAATGGAACCAGGATTGGCTGCCATATGCCTGCATCCATCCTCTACCATCGGCTCATGATTTCGAACAAGATTTATACGTCTACCGGCATTTGACGCAATGTTGGAATGATCGTTCTCATTAAGAAAGAAGGCCGACTCGACGCTGGATACCGATTGTGTCCATTCCCTCCCAAAAACTCGTCGTTATTAGTATTTGCGGATATGCGATGCGTTCTTTCGTCGGTTTCTGACGGACGAAATCGCCAAGTTACCCCCTTGGTTTTCTTCTAGCGCTATTGCGCCGCCAGCCTGCTAGCAAACGCTCTTCTGGTCCCTTGTGCCATGTGTTTTCTCAAGATCGCACACACCCATCATGCTTCTCCTTGTCCTGTCTACCACGTCTGTTCTCTCTTCAAATTCTGCACCCGCATACGCTCATGTGAACTTCCAGTCGCCTATAAGACCACCGTGAGCACATAGTCTCAACGCCCACTGGTATTCTCCCCGGTGACCTTCGCCGGCATGTGGCTCAGGAAACCCAAAGGTAACCATCCCGCCTCCATCCGTAGTCGTGGCGTTCGCGATCTACTTCCGTGCAAAAAGCTGTACCTCGCATTCGCCGCGGGGCTTTTCTCGATGTTCCAACCCTAATTTTCCTATGGTTTTCCTTTCGAGGCCTTTTGCTTGATATTTTCTGGTTCGCTTGTCAATCCTTCCATAGCTCCAGACTGTCGACCGTCTTGCATGCCTCGCCGACTGGTCTGTGCGCTGCTTCCAGTCCAGGACGTTCCCCCAACGGTCGGATCCGGTATCGACCGATAACATGGTGAGTTACTCCTCGACGGAGACAAACTGATTCAGGCTGTCAAGGACATGTGTACGCGTCGAGATCCGTTTATCTGTGCCTCGACGAGCCTGTTCCTGTCTGATGTTGCTCTGCCCCATCGTGCCTTGCGAAGGCATATCAAGGCCTGGTACTAGACGGTATGTCGATCTATATTTCAACATTATATTGAATTTGAGTGGCAACAGCGTGGAACAGATTTACAAACTCAAACGGATCAACGAGGAATCGGTTCGGGTCCGGGACGTTTCCCCATCCTATGTCATATGTTTGCCTGTATCTCATATATATTCTCGCACCAAAGTGAGTTGGCTTCTCCTCCCGTAATTCTCTTGCCCTTTTAGGTTCGCCATTCTCCATAGCTAACTGTGAGAGAAAAACCCAGCGAATCATATCCACGCCGGCTTATTCCAGCCACTCACAATGTTGCCGGATGTCCGTCTGCTCTACCTCGTGCATCTCTACCGTGCTTTCTCACTCTGTGCCAGGTGGAAACGCTTCTGCTTTGCCCTTCTGAGCATACGACTCACAAGCATTCTATCATAACCTGGCCAACGCTCAGCGCTCATTAGCCGACAGTCAAGGCTTTCCGACCCTCGTGAGAGAACCCCGCTATCTGCCAACGGATAGTAGTCTGTATCATACCAGCCCTTCCCGCCCTACCTGGTGTGCGCAGTTGACTCTCACAACGCTATCTCTCCTATATTCGTCTTTAACTTTTTTCTCTAGCCCAGACCTCTTGGAGATACCAAGGCCTCCGTTCTTGTCATGTCTCCCTACGTTCACCACCATCATGTTCGGGAATGCGTACGACCGAACAGCGGTTCCCATCGTTTACTCGCGCTAGCTCACGCTGCCAATCGCTTGTCTTTGCTTTACGCTTTCCCCAAGGCTCTCCAGCTCCCTTCAAAGCACCCTTCACCGCGACCGGTACGTAACAACTAAAGCTAAATCAGACTGCGCCTGTCATCGTCGCGTTCATGGCCGGCCCATTTCTGTTTCCATTCCATTCCCTACCCTACAACGCCATCCTTCCCAGATATTATCCCCTTCTGCATCACAACTATCTCTTCTGCTACATACCTTACCTCTCCTCGTTGCTCTCTGATGGATCTGTCAAAACCTGCCATGTCGCCATGTCAACTCCCACCCTCTCCTAACCTCCTTTGTTACTTGGCCTCTTTCTCTCGGTCGCCTCGCCCGAACCGTCCTCCCCTGGTACAGATGGTCCAAGACCCAGACGACCATGATCACTGTCGCCATTCGCTCAATGGTTCGCATCTGCCAATGACCGTCTCGAGCCTGTGTCTAGGCATTCCGAGTCCAATACCAGCCCCAAGGATCCATTGACGACAATCACCCGTTAGCCCATCCCCTATGTGGCCTACGCCGAGCCGATCTACAACCCTCACGAGTCGAAGTCATCCGTTGACGATCAGACCAAGAACAGACTACCCACCGACTGCTGACTGAAGTACTTAGGGGATTTAAAGGAGGCTTGTGCGTCGTCTATTGACGCGTTTTTTTCATGTCCGTTAGTGTCCTCCTATGTACTCCATTGGTACGAAGAACGACGAGTAGTTGCCCACCTTTCATCGTTCAACATGGGAACACAAAACATGCGGTCCAGGCTGGTGCTAGTGGAAGTGGCTAATTCCGATGGCGGTGGCTCGTATTTCAAAGGGGTGATCTGATGATTCGAGCTTGAACTCGAGGGGACGCAAAGTACGTGGAAGTCGCTTAGATCGGCGTCCGAAAAGTTTCCGAATATCGGCTGTGGCAGGGCGGGGAGGAGTCAAGACTTGGGATGTTGAGATGTTGACAGAGTACAGTACTATTCACACCCAACTCTACGCGCACGAGACAATTTCTGGGCCTCGATCTTAGCAGCGCATGGTATGAATCTGTTGTGTATATCTGTCCATATTTTATAGAATGCTTTTGGGTCGAACTTGACCCTGCGAGACGGACAAAGTCGCAGTTATGCAGAGTTACCCTTGATGTTGATGGATCGATCGACTCCGGGAGACGAAAGCGGCTACGTCTTCCTTCCCGGGTCATTGACTCCAGCCATCAGCCAACGGAGATGTCGGCTGCTATTGGGAGCGCATTGTCGCGCTAGCAATGTAGCTGCGCCAGGATATCCAATGACAGAAAAAACATAACCGCGCCTAATTCGCAGAGCACTACAAGGCACGCAGGACGACCGAGGCTATTCATACGAACCTCAGCCCCGTAAGGTAGTACATTTGGACACTGGCACCTGCTGCCACTAGCAATGTTTCCTTGCCCCCACTTTCGCCCGAGCCCATGAGCGCCTTCAAAGAATCATCGACGCTCTTCAGCGGTTCGCTCGGTTCGCCGACCTCAACCAGTGTAGACGGGTACTGCTGCAATCCACACCCATGGACGCACAACAGCACCACGATCGTCGGTCTCCAGGAACTCCAGGGGTTGTCGCACGACATAAGGAGATGCTGATGTCGCGATATTTGCGGCGATTATGAGAACGACCATGGCGATATCGCGCCAACAAGGAAGAATATGTGTCGCTTGTTTTTGTCACCTTTCCGAGTCCTTCCGGCCCTGGTTCTCCTTCGGGAGAGGATCCAGATGTGGGAGTACAGAATGTCTAAGGAACTTAGAGCGATTAGGATCGGAAAACGGCGGGGGTCATCGAATGGGAGATGGGGGAGGCGGTATGCTTACCAGACGACCATCCAAGCAGGAGAATAAAATATGAGAAACAGGAGACACGACCTGCACTGGATGGACAGATGACGGAACCTGTAAAATAATACCGCAAAACACGCTACGAAAGGCCTGAAGAAACTCGCCAAAGGATCCCAGGAGAGCAGAGAAGAGCAAAAAGACAGAGCCTGAGTATGTCTGCTACCCAGTCGGAAGGTCGATTTGGAGTCAGACGTTTTGGACAATGTTGGCTCTGATGTGGGAGACTGAACAAGTATATTTTTGGCCTGCACATCACTGTGTAGAATACGACCATCAGTTTCTTGCGGTAGTCGCATGCATCCTCGCCGGATCGGACACGAAAGGGCGGTGGGGTCTCAATCGCTATCACAGTGCGATGCCCGGCGGTAACTGGAGTCCAGAAATGTTTTGAGAGGATGGGTACTGTACGAATGGGACCGCGATACCAGGAGGTGGATGAAATGGAATGAAGGCCGTGATGCGAAACCTGCAGCCTGAGGAAAAGGACATAAGTAGACCTCAATTAGAAAAAATGATAGTAGTGATGAAAACAGTGTCCAAACGAATGGCAAGGCGCATGTCGTACAAGACAAAGCCTCTGCATGCCTTGCGTATATGTAATTTAGCGAGAGCGAACAGGCAGGAACAGGCCCACGATGATGTGCGAAGGAAAGTTGACGACGTGTAGCCCTGGAACAGGCGGGATGCATATTGGTACGAAGGTTCGATCCTAAATCTAACATTTGGGCGAAATTTGTCACAAAATTTGGCGCCACATATGTACGCATTCGGATCGGGTAACCCTCCTTTTCAGAGACTTTGGTACGCACAACGGATCGAACCATCGTTTGCGAAGACCCTGCATGCAATCTAAGCATCGCTATTATTCGCGGTGTAAATGTGTACTTCGGACCCGATAGCGAGTAAAAACACCTTTTTTCAGTCCAACTTCATTGACGAGGACAGCGCGCTCGAGATTGCCTTCGCGCACATGTGTGTTGCGAGCAAAAAATGTCGAGATTTGCCTACTGTGAAGTTAGGAAATGATAACTTCTACTCGCTTTTGTGCGTACGTGGATCGAACCTAAGATACAAAGCTTGACTTGTGTCAGCATTTGGGATCGGACCACTGCTGAAAAAAGGCCCAGTCTTTGTACTTTTGCGATCGGACATGGAGATCTTTTCGCTCCTGGAACCAGAATATCATCATGTGGCGTAGGTGGCTTCCGGCCGATGTGGCACCATCGAGTCAAGCAAGGTCAAGAATTGGCCTGATGCATCGAGTCTATCGACTCTCTCGTCCTCGGCCAGTCTGCTCCAGATCTCTCTCTCTACACCATAAAAAATTTCCACCCAACCTCCTCAGAGTCTCACAAATGGTCGACGCCGTCCCCACCCAAGAATACTTGCACGCCGATCCCGACAAGATCCAAGTCGTCACCCACGAAACCTACCGTACCCCAGACATGCTCTCCCCTGCCACCGTCTCACCTAACCCACTCGACCAATTCCGCACATGGTTCACCTCGCTCGAGGGGAAGGTTCATGAACCGGAAGCTATGGCTCTTTCTACCGCGACACCAGATGGGATTCCATCCACACGCATCGTCCTGTTCAAACAACTCGACCAGAAGGGGTTCGTGTTCTTCACGAATTATAACTCGCGCAAATCCCGCGAGTTGTTGGCGAATCCGAATGCTTCGCTCGCATTCTACTGGAGGGAGGTTCATAAGCAGGTGAGGGTCCTGGGGAAGGTAGAGAAAGTGAGCAAGGAGGAAAGCGAGGAGTATTTCCGGAGTAGGCCGGTGGGCAGTCGGTTGGGAGCTTGGGCGAGCAAACAGAGCTCGGTGATCGGGGAGGAGGACATTCATGAGCATTTGGCTGAGGTGGAGAAGAGGTTCGGTGCGACGGAGAAGGATAAGGAGGCGGATATCCCATTGCCCGAATTCTGGGGAGGCTGGAGAGTCATTCCTACGTGCGTATTGTTGCATCCTGTGTATTCATTTGTTCATGGGCTAATTTAATGGCTATTACCACAATAGGGAGATCGAGTTTTGGGCTGGAAAGCCGTCTCGCCTACACGATCGTGTACGGTACTTGCTCAAGGAGGGCTCATCCCCAGACGCACCCGAGTGGATCATAGATAGGCTATCTCCCTGACAAACCATCGTTCCGTCCATCGACCAGAAAAACAAACTGTAGCACTAGTCAAGAAGCAAAGGAATTTAAGTTGTTGTACCACCACTCTGATAATCATTGAGACCGAGTAGATAGAGAACGGGTCTTGTAGTTAGCCTCCGAGCATCAAAATCGTTTCCATTCATTCGCATTCTATCGTACACATTGTCGGACAATTGCAAGACTCTTACTTCAGACCTTCAATTCACCACGAGAAGCAGTCCAGCAGACCTTTGCCCTCTCCTCGAACGCAGCTTTCGCTCCCTGTTCATCTCCCTTCACCCACTTCTGCATGGCATCACCCTGCAGTCCTCGGCCGAATGAGAACGTACTGTGATAATTCATTCAAGATGTCAGCATCACTGATCAATGCATTTAACGAAGGCACGTACAGCGGAGGCAGACGTGCGAGTGGAGAGGGAGCCTGGGAGGTATTGACGATATGGTTGATCTTGTGGAGGTATAGAGCAGCGTCGGAGTCGGACAGACCACCTGGTAAGAAGACATCAGGATAGAAGTAGAATGTTGATTGCAATTCAATGACGATGATAAAGGGTGCAGGGTACCTACCGGAAAGGAAGACAACACCCGCTACACCTATAGGAACAGACCTGACAAGAGCTGTCGCTGTGGCGAGTGCGATATCATCCGCCGAGGTCGTCTTTCTCGATGGATGCTTCAACCCGGGTTGAGCGAACGAAGGCTTGATCAACGACCCTGCGCCACAATCACAAAGAATGAACCAACGATCTCCAAGCGAAGAGACCGGACAGCTAGTCGTCCCACCTTCTAACAGTACCCCATACTGCAAGCACTTTGCATAGATCATACTAATAATCTTCACATGCACCTCCACACTCCTCCCCAACGTCGCATCCGCACTGAAATCCACATCCGGCTCCACAATAGGCACTAACCCCACCATCTGGCTGACCGCGGCAAACCTGGCTAGAGCATCCGCCTGGGCCTCCAATGCTGCGTGTGTGGGATACTGGGCCGCGTCGCAGAGGATCGGGGCTCGCCATTTGCTGAAGCGGGCGCCGGCGGTGTGGGCCGCTTGGAGACGGGGGAAGAGGTCGTCGAGGCCTTGGGTGGAGGGTTCTGGGGGAGAGATGGGGAGAGGGTGGGAGTCGGTGTCGGCGCGGACGCCGGGGATTATTCCACGTTTGGAGAGGAGGGGGGCGAGGCCGAAGTCGTGGAGAGTTTCAGAGAAGAGGATGACGCCAGAGATGTAGTCTACAAAACAAGGCGGTATTGGCATTCATAAGTTCCATCGACCAAAGACAGAGAGATACTATGGTTCGTACTGACCAGTCGGAAGTGATTCATAAAGACATTCTCGCCATCTCTTCCTCTGCTCGCGCTTCTCTTCCACCGACAGAGATGTAGATTTCCCGTTCTCACCGGCTGCAGCAATGAGACGAGCCTCGATACCTTATACAAGCCAAGATCGGCCGTCACGAACCATATCGAACCCATACTCTCCTAGCACTCTCACCTTCGGGGGTTTCATCCGTGGCGTAGATGCCTTTACCGCGAGGGCTCACGAGCGCATTCGCTGTGGCAATTAGCTCCTGCGCACGTTTGACTTTGTGGTATGGATAGAGATAAGAGGTATTATCGATATCGATGGCAGCACCGGTCGAAAAGACGTAGCCTGGAGTACTTGTGCTATTGAGATCGGTAGACATACTAAGGACAACTTGAAGCGAGGGCTACTAGTAGGATGAGTTATGTCAAGTCCCCGTATCGAGAACGCTGAGACCAAGTGAGAAGAAATAGTAGCCTCTTTTATATATATCATCGTCCCAGAATAACCAGAAGTCAGGAGAGAGCCTCTTTGCGGAAACCGACGTCAGTACTTGTTCTCATGACTTGGCACCGTGCGCTGTCCTGGTCTTCGAGCTAGAGTTAGTTCATATCGACTCGGACTTGAGAGCTACGCGAAACAAAACGCTTCAGCTGACGCATCTTATAGCGTTATATAGATGGTCAGCAGGCTGTGGGATGAGCAAAACGAGAGCGAGCAGATGTAGGACACAGGAAAGCGGAAATCCGTGGTGGTTGAAAGCGGCGAAGTTGGGTGGCGAGCGGATGCACATCCATCCGAGCCATAGAACAGGGTTAGGGCTTAACTTCTCTTCAGCCAACGGCCATGCAACGCTCAAGTTCGACTTTATTCCGCTCTTTGCTCCGACAAAGAAATATTGCTCAACCAACACGTCGGTTTGCATCTAAGCAGACACCTAGTCCAGCTCCATCATCACCTCCAACACCACCTCCTGAGCCAGAATATGACTTCGAGCACCTACCACCAGTAAAACCACGCTTGGTCACGATTTCCAACACACTCAGATGGATTCTCATTCCTGGTGCGTATAGCTTGCTTTTGGGATGTAGTTCATGTATTAATATTTGCAACTCGATACTCTTGGGAATACCATCGGCGCAGGTGTTCTCGGGTACGCCGTGTTCGTCTACGACTTTGGGCCACAGGACCATGTATTCCGACCAGTTCGTCAACATGCTTTCCCATTATGCATATTCCACCCATGCTAATGCGTCACGTACTTCCATAGCCTCGAAGATGGTTGCAGACACAGATAGATGCATTCTGGACATTGTCTCCCGCTGAACAGAAGCTCTTGAACGCGGACGCCACAGACGGATCTACTTCTTTCCAAGAAGAATTAAAACAGGCAGAGAAGCCAGCACCTCCATAGTTCCAGTTTAGAATCGGTATTGCTTGGTTTACTTTGCCGCATTGCGAACTGTGCGAAGAGCGCTTGTGGACGTGTGGTCTGTGTAGACGGTGGAAGTGATATGTGTGTGGCTCTGGACTATGGGTGTCCGGGAAAAGAATGGTGATAAAGTGCATATAATCTCAGGATCGAATACCTGCTAGACGTCGTTTCTGTACCGTGATACCGGTTCCAACACATTCATTACGCTTCCAAGTAATATATTCCATCGAAGTGGCCCATGTCTGTCCCTAGTGCGCGAAAGTTTGCCATTTGTATACAAGGTCACCTCGAGCATTACTGTAAGTAGCATACAAAGAAAGGCCGATTGTTCGAAGGTAGAGGCCATGGTTGTGTGGAAACAAAGCAGACAGCAAGGCGTCATTGAGGAAACGTCGGGGCGTAGAATTTTTCGGTTGACGCGTGTGTTTGGGAGGCTGGAGGAGTTTGAATCAAATCCTCATGAACTGTGCAGCTCAACGGCAATGGACTCGACAAACGGCGCCCCTCCGTCGTCCGCCCTCCCTCATCCTCAACCAGCCCACAATCCGTCCAGCTCGCTAGGTATCATATCTCATTACATCCAATTATCTTTCCTTTTGATCTGTAGTACTCACATCCACTTTCTTTGTCCCTTTTTTCTTCTTTTCACTACTTCCAGCCGACTTCGAGCAGCATGCCCTCAAACGCACCTACCTAGCCCTGCTACCCCCAACACAGCTCATAGAACTATGTCTAGCCTTTGAGTCTTATGCTCCGTTGCATATAAAGGGCTCCTTGTGGCCCGGGGATATCAGGCTTGCCATCGCTTCGCTCCAGGGCTCTCAGTCCGTCTTGCTCTCGACATCGAACAATGCTGCTGCCTCGTCCTCATCTTCTGGCAATGTTACCACCACGGCTCCAGCTCCCCCAACTCCCAGAGAGCCGCCCATCATGGACTCGTTACGAGAACCTACGCCTCCTGCTGCCGACCCTCCTGCTGTAGTGCCTCCCTCGACATCTCCAAATCAAAACCATCTCGCCAACGGCACAAGCTCTAATCAGTCGCAACCAGTCGCATCGTCTTCATCCCTAGCAAATCAGAATGCCACTGCCGCCCAGTCATCACCCGTCCCCGCTCCCGCCACACCTGCTCACGTCGCACAAAACATCGTCTCTGTATCATCACCTTTGCCTTCTCATGCTGTATCACAAACTCCTCAAACGTATCCGCCGCCTACCGCAGGAATTGGCGGACCTTATCCACACGCACCGTATGGCTTCGCTCAGAGTCGACCCGCCTTTCCTCACCATACCCCCTATTACCCTCCCCCAGGGTTCGCTTCCCAGTTCGGTCATCCCCATCATCCATATCCTTACCCTCCCGGTGGATACTCTCCACATCCGCCTCATTCGTATGCTACACCGCCACCTCAGCAAGGGGCGTCCTCTAGTACAACTGCAGGTGCTCGCGGTTCGCCCTTTACCACTACACCTCTATCGCTCAACAGGAATCTCCAACCTCCTCCACCTCATCCGACAATTCCTCCACATCCGCCCAGCTTACATCCACAGTACCCGCATGGCCTACCATTACCGCCACCAGACCCTAATATGCTTACCGCAGACGATATTCCGAGTTATGAAGACATGATTGTGGAGGCTTTGAGCGAGCTGGGGGATCCGGAGGGTTGTCAGCCGAAGACGGTGTTCTCGTGGATGGCGAGCCATTATCCGTTGCATCCGAATTTTAGGCCGAGTGCGAGTCAGGCGTTGCAGAAGGCGTTTAAGAGAGGAAGGTTGGAGAAGAGCGATGGTGAGAAGAAGTACAGGCTGAATCCTAGCTGGGATGGTGCGGTGAGTCCTTCGTTTCTGTGGAAAACAGATGTCTTGTGGATGTTATACAACTCCGGCGTATTCTTTGTGCTTATCCCGTACGTTCCTCTATGCACAGACTTCTCGTAGGCATACTCGGAGACCCATGTCCAACGGCTTGATCATGCAGCCATCGCCCATGAACTCCTCACCATTCACAAACGCCCCACTCATGCATCATCATCATCATCAACCCGCCGGCAACTCTTCAACCGCCACCTTCCCCTACGGAGCACGTCCACCCGGCTCCAACGCACCTGGCGCCGTTGCATACCCCGGTTTCCCTTCATACCAACCCTACAATCCTTCGTCTACCGCAGGGAACGCCACCACTGCGACCACGAATGGCGCCACACCGGGTGCGTCTACGTCGACCAACGCGGATCCGACGCAAGGGTTGATCTCGATGGATGACGAAGATGGAGATGAGGAGGGAGTGGGCGAGGGAAGCGATGCTTGGGAGGCCGCACAGAATATCCTGAGGGCTATCAATTTTGGGTCGTTCTTCCAGGATCAGGGCAACAATCAACCTGCCGCCGGCGACTCATCGTCTGGAAATGCTCCTGCGGTAGAGAACGGTGCAGGGACGAGTGCGGATGGTGCACAGGAAGGAGAGTTAGCGAGGAATGGTCAGAATGCGGCTGCTGGTTCAAGTGTTCCTCCTGGTACTGGAGCTGCCGCGCCGTCGACGACAGACAGCAATGCTGTCCCACCCCCGGTCTTTGCGGGTGACTTCACCTTCAGTTCTATACATTCGCACACATCCAATGCACTCGGCACGAACAACGCCGCCAATGATATGAACCTTGCCAACGCCCTCGCCGCCGTCGCTTCGACTTCTACGTCTACTGCGACTTCGACGGCAAATCCGACTACGATCACGACGGTGTTGTCGAGTGAGGATCGGGCGGCCCTACAAGCGCAGCTGGCGCTTTTGGCGGCACAATTGGCGGAGATTGCGGAGGATCCTGGGGTGGACGAGGAGGATGATATGGAAGAGGACGGGGATTGGGCTAGGATGGAGGTTGACGCAGTTGGTGGTCACGGAGAGGAAGGTGTAACATCTCCAGTACCCTCAGGTGGCGCCGGGACCGATGCCACACATGGTGATGCAGCAGATAGCAGGATGGATGGGGTCGAGACAGAGGCAGATAACAGTCCTGCAGCGGGTGCACAAGCAGGATCTGGACGTGCCGGGGAAGGAGGAGAAGCCGTCGAGGGAGAGGAGGAGATTGATCAGCTGCAGGACGACGACGAAAGCGACGATGATATGGAGATGGTTCCCGTGCCCATCCATTCACCCTACGAGCAAGGGCTGCGAACATGACCGCATCCTTGCGTCGATGTTGTATGTGATATGTTGCGTCCTCTTTCGTCGTATCTCGTGTTCTTTCTGTGTTTTCCTGTCTCTTGCTATTCATGCAGATTTGCTTTGGAGCCACCGTGCTCGAACTCTCCTTGTGATCATAATAACACAAATGAACAAGATGCACATTCAAGCTGTCCAAGTTATCCGTGGCGTCCATCATGTCGTCCCAAACGTCCTCTTATCGTTCCATTTGCCATGGCATACCGCAGCAGCACGCCTCTGCACATCGGCTTCATTTATGGATGTCAAGATACCAAAGAGCTATGACCATTACAGTACCCGCTATATTTACACCCATGCCGAGTTTCTCTTTCGAAATGGTCGTGGGGCTTCGCTGACGAGAACGGTTGCCAGTCATATTAGTGTGCTGCATCGCAACCATGAACAGATTGCCGCTCCTTGATCCCCAATCTGCTATCGTCTTCCCGATGCTGAGGGACGGCCAGCGACCTCGTTTACAAGTTCACAGACTTCTGTGCCAACAGTCACTTAGTCCGAATTTTCCATGCGCAGATGGGTTGCCTGTGTCCATTTTCTCGACATGTCGAGCTTGCATGGAGGCTCGGAGCTGTCTGAATCGACAGACACTGAGACACTTCATACCCACAGTCCAGCGTGTGACGCGTTTGACGGCCGCTCACCGGTAAGCTAGTTTTCTCGATCCGTAATTGACCTGCTATAACCGGTTTCTAAGCTTGACACCGACCCTTTCACGGCAAATTTCTTCCTTATACATCTATATCTCAGGATCGGGGTGCTCCATATGCCTAGTTAAAACTCCCGACTGGCATGCATATCCGAGAAAAATTCAGCACACTACTGCGCGTTCTCGGATGCCACAAGCAATTTGGTCGACGTGCAGCAGACAAGCTCAATATCCAAGCTCAACGTTGGCATCATAATTAACCTCGTCTGGTCCAGTACTGGATGCCTGTCCGGTCCTACATCGTTACGGACAGGCATCCACTAGTGAGCTTGAACGACGATCCGTGGTCGGCGCATTTGTGGAGAGCGCGATAAGCGGAGGAACGGATGGTTTATTCGGAAGTTGTACGGACTATTCTGCTACGTTGCGTCATTAGAACTGCGATCATAGTAGCAGATGTGCAGATGAATCAAAGTGGTGCCACAGAGCCATAGACTGACTTGGTGGAGTGGATAGGCGTAACACGGCGTGAATACGATATATTGCTTCAATACTTGTAAGCAATATCCCTCGAGTATCACTTCTCCACTTCTCAGCAAAGATGACTTTCCTTGTGCTCAGGTATGTTTTCGGCGAGGATGGAAAAATCATCGCCACTTTTACACGTCTGCGGCGATGTGGCGGAAGGAGAGGTTGTGGTCCGGATGCGTATGTATTTGGCGGGAAGATCCGGACAGCAGCGATATATTGAATCGTGCCGCCCCCCGAGTCCTTATACCGGTTGCTCTCCGATCTGCCAAATGTTGTCCGCCCCCCCCTCTTCCCACCTTTCTCCCTGCTTCCAGTCTGCCAAATTTTCTGCTGTCGTCGTCAGAGGCCCACACCGAAGATATATACGACGACCGACGCCAAAATCATCAGCATCAATCACGCTGGGTCTATCGTATGATTAGGCCAAATATTCTCTTCGAATTGCCACACCAATGATCCACCGCGAGTACACCGTGGCAGAAATCTCTACGTGGATGTTGGAGGCAATTGACCTGTGAGTTTTTGGGCATATCCTTTGATCGCAGCTTTTTTCAACAGTAGTATGTTCAATATTATCTAGCGCTCGATATTCAATTGTTGGTGTGTGTACCCCTGAGGACTCCTGTTAGATGCAACAATCCCCTGACTTTCTGTGGCCTCAATCTTCAGCGGTATACGCGCTTTGCATCTACGACTGGCTGATATCGTGAGCTTTATTCTACCTGATATTGTTATCATTCTGACACGGACACTGTGCGTCTAGATTAGAAGAAGAATACGAGCTTGTACGTGAGCCACCGAAGAGTACTATACCTCCTACAACGTGCTATAACCCAACGCTTCCGCAGATACATAAAGCCCCACATCGCTGGACTGCAGTCAAAGGCGCATATCTTGTCTGCCGCTATTACCCCATTATTGTCTTCCCATTTCAGCTTTGGGCATGGCTCGGTGATCACACCTACGGTGTCTGCTCCAACGCTCTCACTCCTCTATACGTCACCCTCCTCCCACTCGTGAGTCAGGTTTTATCATTCAACCGCTAATTGACGACTGAATTATATGATGTTGTCTTCTGACCAGCAATTATCGGCTCAAGGTTCGTCTATAGCAGTTTTATCTCCGTGCATGAGCTGACAACGCTGTTGTACTCGCTACAAAATCACTCTCCAGTTGTCCTAGCGCTACGAGCACATGCGTTCGCCGGACGGCGAACATCAATCCTTATCATTCTCTCCCTAGGTTTGGCGGGCCTACTCGCACTTGAGCTCTATGTCTTTCTAGCTGACATTGCACGTATGTGCTTCACCTGCTTGCCCCAGACGTTTCTGCTGACTTGGTCTCTCAGTCGTTTACGGTATTTATGACTGGCTGGGAAAAACAGGTTGTTATGGCACGTCCAACAATCTCGTCGACCTTGGCCCAGATTCATTTGTTTCTTCTGGTGCTATTTCTATGGCAGTCAGTGCGCTTTCTTCTGTATTATATGAAATCTATTCTGAAGATATCCTTCCGTATAGTTCGTCTTTGTGGGTGCACTCGCTTCTCCTCGCTTATGGCATTCCTCTAAATTTTAGGCAACCATAGTTCGCTGCATTCCTTTACGACTTCCTCACCATGTCCATCATTGCATCATACTGCATTCGGCATCGCTCTGTCCAAGGTGGCCTCGGACGAGCTTTTCTCGCCCAAGGTATATATCTTTTTCTTCAAATCGCCCGTGAGGTAGGCTGGTTAACTCAACGCGCAACAGGCATCGTTGTCTTCGTAGCAATGTCCGCTCTGAATCTTCTTTCTTTCGCCATGTATTTTAGGTGCGTCTGATACCTTCCCTAATACTCATCCACTCAACATCTCTAACTAACATTTTTTCCTTGTCATCCAGTGCGGATCGCCGGCGTAACGGTATCGGCTCATATTTTGCCTGGATTGTTCCAGATGTTCTGGTAGGGCTCTATCCATGCGCATGATCCGCGGAAGACCATTGGACTGATATCTTCACACATTAACGTTTTGCAGGCCTGTAGACTGTAAGAACATACTACTACAACTTCTGATTCCTTTCGAGCGCGCGCTAATTGATTGCTATCAGCGTACTCATGCTCAGAAGACGCGTATCGCCCACAGAGAGCGAGAAGCTGGCGGCATACTCGATACTTGTACGCAAGGCGCTCGAGATGGACACCGTCAGCGCCGACGCCCGGCTCAATCTCGCACATCCCGTACACGAAAGCGGGCAAGGACATTCCCACACGCCGAAACCGCTCGACGTGCCACTCGTTTCTGACGCGGAAAGTTCGCCGTACGTGAGTCACAGACGTTCGCAAATACCGAAACTGTCAGAGCTAGACACAGGACAAGGTTTCGACGTGGAGATGGGAGAGGCTGGATGATAGTTGTGTCCGGTCGTTCGCGGAGCGTGCGCTTACGGTGTATTATTATATTGGCGGTCTTCCATTATGCCTTTTGTCGTATGGTGCTTTTCTTGGGGCTTTGCATCATTTCGCTCAATGCAAAATCTAAATTTACGGTGTGGATGGGAACGACCATCCCTGCGTAAAGTCTGAAAGCCTGACGGGCTTAAGGTTGCGCCACAACAGCGCCACCTATGTTTTGCCGTTTCTCACCAATCAGGACTGGCCGTTTAGAGTTGCGGGCCCGGGCCGCACCGAATCGTGCAGATTCCGAAGATCGATGACATATGATCGACGACGATCCAATAAAGCCTAAAGCGGGCCTGATAAGAGCCGCGATAATTATCACTTGCAAAGTACAGATCATAGCGTACAAGAGACTCAAGACGCGCGACAACACTCACGATCAAAGCTGGAGGGACTATACAGGACGAAGATATTCTGCGATAATGCAGGATCTCGCAGAAGATCTCAGGATCTCGGAAGGGAGGAGGCAATAGAGAACGCGATGCGCTCAGGGGCGCTGCCGGATCCGGAATGCACACTGGACATCGTCGGAGCGTGGAATGCAGATGGACAGAGAGAAGAAAACAAAGACGTGAACGTAATCAAACAACATGAAGGAGACGAGGCCCAAAGTGAAGTCCAGAACTATAAACAACAACGCCACTCGTAGCAGCGTAAAAAGGCTCAGGTCGGTCATAGTCAAGGTCATGCATCTAGTTGATCTGGAGCAGCTCGACCTCGAACTTAAGCGTCGAATTCGGAGGAATCACTGGTGGGAATCCGCGGGCGCCGTATGCCTGTTGAGAATGGAAGATGAGAACGATGATTCTATGGGCGCTGGCGGGCGGGATAGGAGTCAGAAAGAGACGCACGTAGTCTGAGCTGACTGTGAGGACGGCTTTCTGGCCTAGTGATAGCTGTGGCACGCCTGATCGCATCGGCATCGATAATCAGCTCAAGCTCCAGCCGGGAATGAAGATGAGACGATGACAGCGTACCTTCATCCCAGCCCTTGATCACCTTCCCGACGCCAATCTCCGTCACGAATGGGTCCCCACTGCGTCGTCGTACGTGTATTGAGAACGACTACGATGTGGTGTGGCGTGTAGACAGTTAGGAGACTCACCGATCCCGACTCGAGTCGAACTTCTTTCCGTCAATGAGGGTGCCGACATAGTGAATTTTCACCTTGTCTGTACGGCGGGCGCGATTATCAGTAGACAATCAGGAGCGAACGGCGAGCAAGACGCACCTCCTCGTTGAGGGAAGTTGGTGCCATCGCCGGCAGAAAGAGTCTCAATACTGACGCCCTATGGATAGAGAAGAGAAGAGTATGTTAGCGCGAGGCAGGTAGCGTGCGCGAGACGGGAGACGCACCATGATGGATGTGGAAGAGGGTGGAGACGATAATCGGAAGGGGTATATAGCAGGAGGCTGAGCGCGGAGTGACAACTTATACTGGCGCGGGTGCGGAGTACGGATCTTGATCCGATCTCATGTCATCCGACCTGCTTGTGCCAGAACGGAGAGTGCGAAAGCGTTCTCTCCAAGATGGTACGGCGTTCGCCAAAGACTAGGCGCACGCCCCAACTCTTTATCGATGCCGATCCAATCCATCCCTCCATGTCCTCCGTGGCCAATCTTCGTCCAACAAAAGCCTTTCCTTTCGCTCTTCTAACCGTGGGCTGGGCCTTCCCGTCCCCATCGATAGCTCGTCCTGCCTCCGCTATCGTCACGAGCACCACAGTCCCCTCTCCATCCAATCGTCAGAACCTTCGGAAAGAACAGCTTGTCGGTATTATCCAATGCCCCAGAAGCAGACAGAAGGAAGCCTTTTACCTTGATCTCAAATTGGCATCGATAACTCTCTAAGAGCGAGAATGAAATGAAAAACACGGGATCTCAAGTAATTGTTTTCGCCACCGAGTAGTACCGCCATACGCCACAATTGCTCGCCATTGTTCGCGATATACGGCGATTCCTCTGGACCGGACTCGATCATTAGAATGCTGAATCCTGACTGCCTGTGTGTCTCGTTGGCAAGATGAAGCGATGCGGCCAAGAAAGGTGATATGTCGCACTTCGAAGAATAGGAGCCGATACTTACCAGAAGGATCGTCTTCGCCGTTGTCGGGAAAGGATGCGGTCCTCCTACTGTCCCAGAGCAGATCATCATGAGAAAAGTTCCACCAGACACGGCCTATTTGAGGAAGATTCCGTGTTCGAACGGACACGAGTCTGGATAAAATGAACGATGATATCTTCATCGGATCGCGATGGCAAAGGGAAATGAATTGGGGAAGAAGGTGCCCAGGCTGTTTGCTGGGAACAACAACAGACGCCTGAGCAGCACACAAAAGACGAAGTAGGAATGGAGTTCTCCAGCTGTTGCACCGGTCCAGCGGCTCAACGGCTCGAATAGCATAACAAGCACTTCGAACCACGTTATTGGCCTATACACAGGTTGAAAAGCGTGAGTCGACCCATCATGAGGACGTACAGGATTCCCCAGAGCTTGGCCGACAAGGACTTTGTTGCAAGTTTATGAATGGAAGTTCTTCTCGTACCGACTCGGAGTAAATACGGCGTCGGTGATGCACCACCATCAACATCGACTGTCCACGAAAACATGCAACATGACGACTATACCACATGTCGGTGATAAAATCCGGAGAAGCAGGATAAGCTTTAGTTGAAGCTTCCAGCTTCCAGCAGATGAAATATCGTGGCCGACACAGCCGGCTCCGGGCAGGAGCATTGGGCATACGATACCAGAGAATTGCGCGAATCATGCGCGGGACTAATCCAGAGTTGAACGCCTCCCAGCAGTAACTTGAGGGCCGTATTCGCGTTTATCGCAAGGACGAGGTGAAGGAGCAAGAAGGACACCGGGGTGTGTGAATATACTATACGGCACATCGGACGTTGCGGCTTGTGGCCGATTCCGACCGGGACCCGTGAGCTTGGCGCCGTAATTGGCATTGGAGCCCTTGCGGTTCAAGAATGTACGTAGTCTTCCTTGTTCGCACTGTATCCGACACATCTGGCCCGGTCTTTGTGTTTCGCTGCTTCGAAGGCGAGGTGAGCAGCTATCGTTGACCAATTCGTACCCAGTACACACTCTGCACATACATTGCCGCCTGACAAGTGAGTGCTGTCAGTCCACATTGCCGAAAGTTGCGCAGCGCGAGGACGGCGCAATCACCATTTATGTCGTGGAATCCGATGTCCAAACTACTTTGGAATCCTCACAAATCTATCATCGATGCCTTCGTGTCCTTTTGCTTCTCGCAACTTTTCACGGCGCTATAGTTATCACCTGTGAACGGAAGTTTGGTCTTATGGCAGTATCCGCTGCAAGTTCGCAGTACTAACTCAAAACCGTAACCTGCACCGGAAGAATGCGCGCTGTTGCCGTGTTCCTCCCCTCACCATATCACTGGTTGATCCTACCACTACCTGAGGTAGCATATCGAACCGCTCCATGGCTCGAAGGCTACAAGTAGAAGCAAGGCGCTCCCTGTATTCACTCTGTCAAGCAGTTGCCATAGAGCGAGTTGCGTAACCTGCCTGCTCTATCATGGTATGTGCAATCTCGCGGGTGTCACCTCAGGCGGTTCTTTCCGTTATCATCTGCCATGAGGCTTCCTCGACTACCTCAGTCTTCATGGTAAGTCACCCACCCCGTCGACATCGCTGTCAGCTAACCAGTAAAGCCTTCAGGGCCACATCACATCCCGCCGAATTGGAGCCTTTCGTAGATCTACGCTAGTCACAAGATCACGTCTTCACGTACGAAGCTTACTCTGTCGTCTACTTCGTTTCACTTCCCTATCGCAGGACAGGCTAATCATGCCGCTTCCAAAACGTTGCTGTTGATAAGTCTTGGAACGTTCTCACCATTGTTGCCTTGAACGGATAAATTGCCGTCGGCCTTTCTTGCGTTACCATGCTTGCGAACATGAGCTCGACTGGCAGTCAGCATATGGCAATCTGTCTCCAAGCGGGGGTGCTCTTATAGCCATAATAGACCATTCTTACGTCGGATACACTCCACTTTCGTGTTTGAAGCTCGCAACACGAGCACTGAATACCGGCAGCATGACAATCGTTCTTGCTTCTCGCCGTGTTTATCCGTGTCTTATCTATCCTATATCTAGCTGATAATTGCTTCTCGGATTCTCCAGCGTTTGTCGATATAATCGCGGCCAAGTCAATCGACTTCCCATCCCAGTTCATCGCCTCCCGGACAAGTCTGTGGTCGCTCTCATCATCCGATCTTGCGTGAGTTGTACTTAGACAGCTCTTAGCTGAATTGTTAGACTAGTACATCCTGAGCTTTCGGCTCATCATGAACGTTTGTGTTTCTGTGAGTGATATAAACTTTTGCGTTCCGTTCTCAGGCTCTCACTGACGTCCTTAGTTAGGCCGAAATATATAGATATCGCCAGGAATCATTTCAGTCACCAAGGATCACGGAAAACGAGACCGGGTTCTATAGTGAGTTCCACCACATATCCCCGGTCAGGTCATACAGCTTCAGACACATACGGCAGCTCATTATCACCGCAGATGTAGGCTCAGTGGACGCGATCCCGCCCGAGCGAAGCTCTCTAGGATGCGAACACGAGGCGTATGTGGTGCAATCCGTCGTCATAGACGATGCAAAGAATCAGGTACCCGCCTTTAGTTTGAGTAGCAGGTAAGTACCTCCGGCTACCTGGTCATAGGTCACCTGTGGTTCTTCTTTGCACCGATATGACATCGTCTATGCGGTATGTCTTCCTTATCTGACTCTCCGTTTTTAATGTCCTCAATAAACCTCAGTATGTCGTTGTTAATCGACAGTTTTCTGTGGTGCTCTATGACACAGTGCTGTCGTTCATCTCTCCTCCACTCTCCACTTTGCTCCTCAGGATACTATCGGGTTGGTCAAGCCAACTTTACATCGGGCCACATGGGACATATAGATTGTCCACGACCCCCCTACTCCTCCTTACTGTATGCGCGATATGACACTTCTTTTCCGACGCCAGAAGCCATTCTTGGAGCTGGAGAATCGCTGTGGCTGCATTGTGTCTCTTCCAAGAGAGATTGTTTGACATGGGTAGTACGCCCACCTATCTCATGATCACCCATCTATGTCTAGCTCATCTTGAAGTTGTATTCATTCACTCACTCACGGCGCTAGCATCGGCAGATGGTGAGTAAGAGGTGTACACTCTTGGGCATAGAAGGGATATGTGTCAACGACACTCCATCGCCCTCACGCTGTGATAACCTGCGGGCTCTAACCGGAGAACAAATACTTTGGTTTTGGACTAGTGCTCTGCTTCAGCACCAAGCTTCTCGTGGATACCGACGCGGCTACATTTACGGAACCATGATCCGTCATCTATATTCGAGTTCGCTCGGGTGGCTCTAGTGCTCACATTGGGGTCGGCCCATTCATGCCATGCTCATATGCTTGGAGGATATATGTGGTGTGCTAATGTGCAAATGTCAAGACAACGATTACACTCCCTTGATTCTTGAGGTTCCCCCACCCATCTCGTCTGTGTTGTTGGGTACTTTACCGGCAATCATCGGATTCGTTCCCGAGGGAGCAAAAGTTCTGATGTGGAGGAAGCGGACTTCCTCATCACACACACATAGCGGTCATAATACCAATCTATCTCGATCGAGTGGCCGTAATTGCTGCCATAAAACTACCTTCGTCCGGACTCGTATACTTGGAAAGCTTTGACCAAGTCAGTAATGCGGGCCTTTTCGGTCTTACCGCGAACTGTCGGTCGACCGTCACCATAAGACTTGTGGGTATCGGAGCTACTGGCAGACACTTCGTCGGAAGGAATCCTGTTAGTCTGGGCATTTCTGCTTCGTGTCATTTCTCATCATGCTTCCTTCATTCACTTGATAAAATATGTGTATCACAGGGAATCAGAATCTATAATCTTTTTATTCCGTGATTCCTATTGATCTCGTCCTCCCTATTGATCTCGTCCTCCGCTCCTACTCATTCGTTATCCTCGGAATATCCGCATTATCTTCTATGCATTCGCTGGCGCACATTCGCAGTATTGCTAAACACAGCCCCGGGCGCCGATAGTAAGACGTTCTCAATTTGCACTGTCGTTGCATCAAAGGTCACTAGTATAGCTCAGTATTTCCTCACAGACAGCAAGTCACGACTGTTAGCTCTTGTGGAAGATATACCGCGACAACTGCGGCTTATATCCATGGATCTGCGAATCCTTCCATCCCCTTGTTCGCCACAGTGGCGACCCTCTTGGGCGCTCCAATGATCCAGTACGCCTATGTTCAGCGTTTCGCCGAGGTGTTGTATTTTTGTGGAAGCCCTCCAGGCCTGAGGCCTCGGCGATGGTTTTCTTACACTTGAGGCCTGATCACAGTTGTTCCAGCACTATCTGTTTTCCCGTTCGTTCCTTGTAATAAATCTACATGGGGTTTGCGTCGCGCTTGCGCTGTTTACCTCCGAGCCTCGGCGGCATGATCATCATGATGGGCCCTTCCATCAAGTTTCAACAAAGTCATCGTCATCCTTCTTATACTTATATAATTCTACCGCACGGCGTGACTCGCTCGTTGGTTTCTCTGTTAGGGAAGAGATCCTCACAGTGTATGTAGTCACTGGTGGGTTAACGTTAGAGGTCCCTGGACTCACCACGCAGATGGTACGGTCACGACCATCTCAGAGACCACGACTGGGTGCGGTACAGTCGTATGGTCTTCCACGCCTTGATTGGTGTTCACAGGCAAGTTGCGCTGTTGGTCTCGGTTTGTGGTATCTTCTCACTTTGAGTATCGATGATGATATCGCCCGGGAGCCCCTCTCCATTACATTCGGTGCTCTGAAGTCGGTCTCTTTGCTCAAAGCAAATATTTCACTCGACGGTGAAGGTCGGATTATATTATTATAGGTTATCATTCGAACTCACGCAAGAGTCGTTCCTCATGGTCAGCCGAGGACCGCGGACAATCCAATATCTGCTGTGCCTAACAAGATGAACATAGAGTCTGGTTGGTCAGCAGCCTCTGATGCGATTGGATGGATGGGAAGAAACACAGTCGACAAGTATCGTCGCCATGGGAGCTTTACGTACAACCAAAATCATTGTAGAAGGCGACTGTACTCTATAGGATGATGGTCCAACTGCCAGTGAAAGACGAGGATCAAAAGTCTGAGTTTTAGTGGAGTGTGTGGGGAATTAGGATGAATGCGGGGCCCCGCAAACCACCATAGGTCAGGGATGTGGGTACGTGGCAATGCATGACTTCAGGAAGTGAGAGAACGCCTTGGGAAGCCGAGGTTTGCAGCCATTGACCAGAGCGTCGCATCGGAACGTGAACATACACTAACGGGCGACCCACCTTGTCATTGTGTCCTATAAGTACTGGGTTATTCGTCGCATTATGTCCTTGAAGTTCATATCCGGGAGACAGAAGACAACTACGCTCCAGGCTCCAGCTCGACAGATGTATGATGACTCGGAACCAGAACACACCGACCGACGTAACACAGACCCACGAGAAGTGATACCCATTGGGTGTCGTAGGATACCAATGAGAGACCAGCGGCCAGAGCGTGCAAGAAGCCTTCACGCGTTGAATTGCCTCGTCTTATGAGCCTCGTTCTCTCTGAATCCTTCCGGATCAGAGGGAACTTACACGGCAGGCGGCATCGCAGAAATCGAAGCTGCAGCCTCTTTCGGAGACCCGTGGACTGTGAGAATGCCGTCAAGTTATCCCGCGGCGCAAGTATGAATACACAGTGCATGCATATGTACTTCGCGCGGCAAGGGCGGGGAATGCAAAAATGAATGAATGAATGGATGCGGGGTAAGTTGCCCCGCAGTCCTGTACATTGCTGTAATTTGAGCTACAGGCCTAGTGGAGAGAGGTTTCGGGTTTTGGTTAGAGCGGCGGCGGCAAAGTACGAGACAGGTAGATTTCCTTGGTGCCAGTGAGCGCAAGTCCATGGAGTGATGAACCCATGGGACATATAAGCACCCACAACCACGACGAGCGGGATGTTCAGGGCGTAAGTAAAAAGCGCGAGTGCCCGGCCGGGCTCACCGTGGCCATGTGAGCAGACCCGCTGATTTATTTCCGGACACTCGTTGGGGAAACGCGAAAGGCTGAGTTCGAGGCTCTCGGACGTCCGACGACGTCAGTGAGGCAAACGCACCCGCGAACAACGCTTGAAGCTTGGATCTACTTCTCTCTGTCCGCTTCTTTTACGTCCAAGGCCAAATTTGGGAAGCTATGTCATGGCGCAGCGAATATACTGAGCTATAACGAGTAGCGGGAGCTCTTGGCCACGTCCAGGCCTATAGTCAAGAAAACCCCAACGGAACTGGTCAGATGCGATGTTTGTGGATCGTTCCAGCCATCTATTGAATGGGGATGACGACAGGATGTCTGTCGGCTAGGTGTAACATGTCCCAGGTGCTTGAGAGAATGAAAGAAATGCGGTTTATATGTGAGACGGTGGACCAGAAGCCGCATGTCGTCGTAGCACAAGACATCCAAAATCAATGTAGACCGCAATTCCTAAGTCAAACTATCGTGAGTGATAGAGATCGATGGACAAGGGTGGGTAATCAGCGAAAACAAAACCTCGATACTTATTCATTTCGGAACCGGTTTGATACGACGCACTTTTCCAAGGCCATCACTCGCACGATCTCCACGGCAGCAGTGTCTAAAAGGCCAGCGTCATCCCGAGGCTACGAAGGCACACACGACCTGATCAAAGATAGTTCTCCGAGGGAAGCATCGGGGAGCGTAGTGCAAGTCAGGTCCAATGTCCGGTGACGGTGACGTGCTGTCCTCGCGATGCCCTGAGCGGCGCTCTGTCGAGTCTCGACCATCGCTTTTGCGCACGTCCGACCCATGTGTCTTGATCTACACGGAAAAGAATAAATAGACCTCAGCGACGTGAGCGGGAATGGACGTCACCAATGGCTCGCGAGGTATGACTGGAGGGTATTTGTAGTTGGCGATGGACCTGCCTGACGGGCGAGGGTGGAATGTGAGGTCTCTCTTGGAAGAATGGAGGGCATACACATAGGCCACGATTCCCCGCAAAGTTCGAGGCTCGAAGACGAAATGCCCAGTCCGAACGTGAGACTGTAGCCGCCACGAAATACTAAGCGAACAGCTGGCCTCCACCACCGCCACCAATATCGCCACCACACACACATCGTACACCACCGATTCCAAGCAGCTTTCAGTCAGGAAAACTCAGCCGTACGTCATTCACCATTCAGCACAGACTTAGACACTCACTCATCAACAAGCGTCAATTGCGAAGAATGACCAATGGCTGGGCGGAATAGATTACAGGCCGGAGTTGTAACCAATCGGAGAAAGTGAAAGCGCATTAGTCTCGTATTATAGTCAGAGGCGTCTCACTTGTGGGAAATTGGCGGAACGAACTTACAAAGTATGGAATAGGGGCTTTGGTCATGTAGTTGTGCGGCTGTCTCGATAAGGAGACGCCGTAGAACACCGGTCAACGTCCGTGAGGAGGCCAAGACCATCCTGCTATTGCTCGTGGAGTCCACGTCGCGGTGCCAGGGACTTCTTGAAGGGAGGGCGTTGAAGGTAGTGCGTCCTTGAGTCACGATGCTATGGTCGCTATGTCGGCGCCGTGCACAAAGGTATGTTCTGTGGAAGGAACGGTAGACTTGGAGTCTGCATGTAGTCACATGAAAATGTGAGTAGGGTAGAATGTATGAAGGAGAAAATCCCACGCACAGAGACGACGGCAATGAGAGGCATTTATTTGACATGGCTGGTATACATGCATGGGAAACCACTGGGAACGTACGACCCATCTGCGTCCGAGGGTGTTTGTCTTGACTTGTATCTCCTGTAGAATGAAGGAGGTGTGAAACAGTTTAATAAATTCCAAGACATGCTCACCTACCGACCTTGGGTACCAGTGTCTTATGCATGGTGAACGGATTGTCCAGAAAGGCTCTATTCGGTGGCACGTAGATCAACAAATTGTCGTGTTGAATGGGTCGAGCGTATAGAGGTATTCGTCTGACCAGGGTTCAGGGAACTAATCGAGAAGGATACCACGGCGTCGTTGAGGACCAAAAGCTCAGTCCGACCGTAGCCTTGGCTGCGAATGGATAGGAAGGTTTCGGGAAATCATGAGTAAATTTTTTACAAAGGTTTCATTTAGATGCCAAAATGTAGAATGAACTTCGTCAGAGACGAATATTCCCAATTTGTTCGTCTTTGCGGCGAGTGTAGTCCTGCTATATTGGCGACGGGGACCAATTCGTTCATCGCGTAAATCAGGACCGAATGAGAGATAAAACTGGAGAAACTTACCGATTTCCTGGACTGGGGAGTGTCCATTGAGCGCCCTAGACCACACGTAAGCGGTGAGGAAGTATTGCTTCGACTATTCCACAGAGGCAAACCCCATAGAAACAACCTACTCTTCCCGCCAGCTGTGGGAAGTTGGAACGGACCATGGACTTGTACTTACTGTCGACTATGACGCAGAAGCATCCCCCAGCAGGTACGGATTGCACCATCAAAGAGGGAGGATCCCTGCGGATCCTCGAAGTTCGTACGTGGACTGTCATGCAAAATCCAGAATGATCACCGGAGTCGAAGAGCTTTGCGTCCGTTCAAGTTCTACAGAATCGATCGGGTCATGGATTGTCGTCGGATTTCATCCAGCCCAATTGCGATGGTGAATCCCAGATCGTCAAAGAAAAACCCATCGTACCATTGAATTACGGCGTTTCAAAGTCATAAATAAGTAGGAGATCGTCGCCTTTGTTCTTCCTGTCAAGTCGCCGGGAACGTCGTCATTCACTTTATCTCGATCACCAGCAGAACAAGACAACATCCGACTCTTGTCCGACTCACACCACGTACCAGATCTTGTATGTTATAGCCCAAAGGGGTCTTCGGCCTCTTCTACGATTCCACGGTCGTGCATGGACGGAGTCCATGTAACCAGCGGCGTGAAGACCCTAGCTCTAGATCGGACGCGTCAGCGGTCCATGTCGTCAGTATTTCTATTTCTCTCGGGAGGGTCGGGCCTACTTAATACGCAGGGAACAAGAAGAGCGAACAAGGAGCGCACTCACCGCGGTCGATTGGGCCACAGGACAGGGGTTTCGCTGCTCTCCCTCTTGTTCGCTAGCCAATCGGCGTCTTTGGGCCAATAGGAAAAGAGGGGCTGATCAGCAACTTCAACAACTTACATACTCCCAACTCCATCGAAGGACGAACGAACTTGGAACGAACGATTATCACCCCTCGAATAAGCATAAGCATAAACTTCCGTCACTGGGGCTTGCTGTATCAGTATCAGTATCATGTCGTGGCATCGAGCGTGAGCAGCAGGGCAAGGATAGGATTGGATAGGGAGTTCGTGCGCCTGTTTCCCCTTGTTGTTGCAGCCAGTAGCAGCACGACCCACCCACCCAATCAGCTTCAAGCTTCAAGACCAAATCGTCAAACATCGAGAACGACCGCAATGGAAATAACGTCCCGGCCCCGCCGATTTCGAAGCGGCCTCTTCACCCTCCAATCACCTCCTTACCGACCCCCCGGCCCCAAAATCCGACCAACCCCGCACTCAAACACGTATTACCGAGAGAGAGGAGAGACGATCCCCAAGGAAGGAAGGAAGGAAGGAGGGCAGGAAGGTCTATTTACATACGTATTTTGAGGGTCATGTCGGACGTCGGCCTCGACCTTCTACTAGCACCTAGTTCCTAGCTCCTAAACACGAGGAACGACGTGAGGCGGTATTTGGATATCGTTGACGTCGCCGGCGGCGGGGGACGAGGGATCATAAGACCTGCAGCTGCTAAGTAGTACTGAAATTTCTGAGATTATGATTATCCATACGGTGACCTCTGGCCTGCTCGCTTCATGTCCCCCACTAGTTCGATATCACTTAGACTACTAGTATGCGGCGCGAGCTAAGGTGGTGGTAGTGACTGATAGTACACACCGCGATTGAACGAAACTGCAGTCTGCCTGCGTGCATGTACATCCATTAGGATGAGTCATTTCCTGTAAGGAGAAATATCAGCATGTACGAAGATCAACCTGCTGCCAGAGAGAGTGCCAGAGTCGGGGAACTCGTGAACATCTAACGTCGACCGTCGGACAGAAGCCTCCGCTCTCGGGCTCCATGCCTAGGATTAGTAGGAAGGAAGGAAGGAAGGAAGCAAGGGAAAGGGAGGATGGGCGACGTCGTTGTTCGAACATGCGCAGACCGCGCTGAAGGAATCGGAAAGGCGTGAAACTGGAACAAGCTTCAGAATGAGAATTGAGTCAGGATGTGTTCATCTTGCATCATCTATACACCTGCCAGTGGACTGTCTGAACTTCCGGCACGACGCACGACTCGGCGAAAACGAGCGTATCTCACTATATGTAAGTAAACAAAAAACATATGACGCTCACCGGGTACTTACTACACAGACGAAAGTCCGCTCATTATCTAGATATTACTCCGGACGTGGATCACCGTTGGAGACTTTGGGAACCCCTGCCTGTGAATGTTGGGGATGTTGGAGTGGAGCGACTCGGGACGAAACGGTTCAAACGGGCGGCATTTTGGCCAGAGGTCATCTGCACAATCGAATGGATGCGTGAAACGACGACGGTTGGATTCAAAAATTACACTAACTACGATATGTAAACTCAGAGAAACTCAAACGAAAAGGGAACGAATGGTAGGATAGCGATGTCGACGTTGGTGTTGGTACAAGTATTTACTTTACAATTCCCAAAAAAACGAGATACGAGGATCGGGAAGACCGCCACTTCCCCTCTCTCCCAAACCCAAACAAAGACCGACTCTTCAAGAAAAGATCATCTCGAAGGTAACGATTGAAGGGACACAAGGTATGCATACGATACGGTAAATGGTATGAATGTGATGATGGTATTTGCGTCATCCCCGCTATGAGTACGAGATATGAGATATGAAATTGGAGACTGGAGATCGGAGATGGCAGATGCGAGTATGCGAGATGCGGAAGGAACTTGGGCGGAAAGAGGGCAGAGGCAAACGAAAGGAGGGAGAGACAGGGAGGCGGATGCATTGTGGAGCACGCATGGAATGGTATGTAATGGGATGCGAGGCAAACAAAAGAACTGCGAAAGCACGAGAGCGGGAGGGGGTCGATGAATGAATGAAGGAAGAATTCATGGATAGATATGATATGAACGTGTGACGAATATATGATGCGACTGATGCTCGTTGGGCCCCCGCGTGCATACGGTTCGTCGTAGGGTGGGTTCGAGTCCAGTCCCGGCCATCATGAGGGCCACAAGACAAACAAGATGGGGCAATAATGGAAAGAGTCCATGAGATAATGTACGTGAACTATGGGTACAGACATGTCACAGCGTGAGGATGGAAAACAGTATTGTACAACATTTACAGATTGACATCCAGAAGAGAAAAGAGAAAATCCCGAACACAGTGTTAATGACGTGAGTGACAGGTTTTGATGAACGAGGCGCGAGGAGACGCAACGCGGAAGGACGAGGGGCGTAAACGCCTGTGTCGTGGCCTACGCCGAACGACACGAGACGATCCATTAGGGAGGGGGGATAAGAATGCGGGTGAGGAAGGAGTGAGTTGCACGCTATATGGATATGGAATAAGTACGGTGGGTTCATTAGGATCGTCGGCGGTCGTTCGTCGTCGCGGTGGTATCGTAGGACAGGTATGGATGACATGGAAACTTGAGGGAGAGCAGCGAAGGAGGCATCGGTGAAAGAAGGAAGTCGGTTTAAGACCTAATCTCTTTCCCGGGAAAGAGGAATAGGCGCTTCATCTGGTTTGGTACCTCGACTTCGACCTCGACGACCTTGTGAACACCATCGACAACGTGTGTCTCGCGACGAACCTCCTTCTTGGCAGGCATGGGCATGACGGGATACGTAGGGACATTGTCGTAAGACCATGATCGTGCTGCACAATGATTATGATAAGCATCACAGTAGGCCGAAAAGGTCAGACAAAAAGACGTACTCTCAACCGTAGGCCTCTTTGGTGGAGGTACAGACCCGCTATCCGACTTCTCAGCGCACTCTCCGACTACGGGAAGATCATAGTGAAGGTCGCTGTATCCTCGGCTGAGCGGACTTCTCACCAAGCTCCTGCTCGACGCCGAGTGCCAGCTGGAAAGCGAGGCGCCGTCGTACGAAGAAGAAGAGGCGGATGGGGAGCCACGGAGCTTGACATCAGGTACGAGGAGTTTGCCTTCGGCACCTGGCTGGAGGATGCTGTGCTCACGACGGCGTGGTGGAATAGGCAGTGACTGCGGATGAAGCGAGGAGATGGATGACCGCGACTCGGTGCGGCGCACGAAGCTGAGCGGGTATTTCGACAGGTCCTCGTGCGTGTTTGAGCGAGCACCGAGCTGTGGCCGTGTGGATGAGATGGATGAAGTCGAGTCTCGACGACCACTAGGCGCGGTCGGGGTGTTGTCCTGGCCGAGAGATGAATACACGCCGGTGGAACGATGAGGCGATGCGGCCATGCTCTTGTAGGCGGCTGGACGCTCGAACTGTGCGGTGATATGACTGGAGTGAGGCGGAGAGAAGGAATAGACGGAAGAACGCCAGGCATCGCTTCCGTCTGTCCAACCGGGGATAGGTTTCCGCTCCCTCGAGGATGCATGCGACTGAGAGCGTTTCGGAGGGGCGTCGGAAGAAAGAGCAGCCTTGATACGACGGGAGGCCATCATGACTCCGCTTTGCCACTCGTCGGCGGCGCTGACAGGAGGCGATGCTGGTTCCTCCGGCTCGAGAACGGTCGGGCGAGGCGGTGGTGGCGGGAAGCCGTACTTCTCTGCGAGGAGACCGGCGCCGGGACATACTGAAGCCCACTCGGATGAAGAGTTGAAGTAGGACGAAGGATGTGGGTGCAAATCGAGGGAGGAGCTGGCTGTCGAGGTGCTGTCGGTCTCGCTGCTGAGCGGGGAGCCGGATGGGATGTCGAGGGAGTTTGAGGGGACGGGAGGGAGAGGGGGAGAATCTGAGAAATCGCGGTCTGGGTTGTAGTCGAAGGAGAGGCGACCGCAGTGGGAGGTGAGATCCTCGAGGCGGCACTCTTCCGAGCAATAGAGAGGGATTGGAGATTGGTCGATGACAGTGCGCGTCCTGAGTTGTGGGATGGGAGCGGGCTGAGCGGCGGGTGTGGTGGTGGAGTGTGTGGAGGGAGTGCGCTTGATGGCCCCATTTGGTTTTACGCGACCGGTGCCGCGTACGAGACCTGGTTGTGGCTTTGTGCGAGTGGCGGCGTTCTTTGAGCGACGGGCAGGATTTGATTCCGCCGAGGCCGGTTTTGGGGCTAGAGCGCGGGCGATAAGGATGGGGGAGATGAATAATGCAGAAAAAAGACTCACAAGAACTGTCGTCGGGGGAGGAGGGAGGTGGCGCAGGGGGGAGGGGTTGTGCGGATTCAACAGGTATGGTGAGACGTTTGGGGAGTATCTGGCGCTGGCAGACAGGACAGTAACTCTCGAGGGGATCCATTGCGTCGCCGATGGTAGCCAGGTATGATGGATGCTGGCAATGGGATGGGGAACGCGACGCTCTGTGGAGGGCGGGCGTTTTGTGTATAGCAGGCAGCGATTAGAGCTGGGTTCGTGCGGGGGCGGGAGATCAGAGAACGGGAAGCATGCAGTTTGGGGCCTTTATAGGGAGAAGCGGGGAGACCGGGAAATTGGAGGGGAGCCCGCGTCCGCCGAGGCCATTGGCTCCGAGTCCCTCGCTCCAGGCCTTCCGCCGGTCCAATCCAATCCCGTGCGATCCGCGACCACCGACGTCGTGGACCGTCCAGCGTCTCTGGTCTGTGCTTGATATTCTTATTATGCTGTATTATATTATATGTTTATATCTGCATCGCGTCTGCTTTGGCCCCGCGCTCTCTGCTGTACCGCTCTGACACAGCTCCTGTACACCAACACCCTCCCGACCGCTTGCCAGTCCCCGCCAGATTCCACGTACAACCCCGCACCAATAACCACACACCGCGATTTACCGAGCGCATTTCCTCCAGATCCAGGCCTCGCACTCGATCTCCATTTGTCCAGGCCAATGAGCTGCCTGCCGCCCCTCCCCTCTTTGCGCTCCCGCCGCCGACCATCGATATCTTCTTGTTTTCGCAGCATTTAGACATACGTTCCTCAATCGTCCCGCCATCGCATTCCATACGCTCCCATCCATCTTCATCGCATCTCCATCTCCTCCTCGCGGACGGCTCAGCCTCGCCTTCCCGAACCGTCCTTCTTTCCGAATAAGGCCCGCCACGCTCTCCCACATGAATTCACCGCCGGGCCTGAATCGAAATCTCTCCCCTCATTTCTCTCCTCTCGGACTCTCGGCACGACACCGTATAGGCAAGTACTTGGGCCGCCTCACACGCCGATCTTGGCTGGCGGTGCGATCACGGTGACGTCCTGCAACGCATCCAGGAATGGGTAATGGCCCGTAGTCTTGTCCAATTTGGAGGCCTTTTGCGGGCCGCCTCCGCGCTTGCCTCTTATGGAAATGCTGCACGCGGGACAGGACCGTCTGGAGCTCCGTCCCCGCGCGCAACATGTCCATAAGAGGCAGGCACGGAGGCGGCCCGCAAAAGGCCTCCAAATTGGAACAGCCGTTATATGAGTGAACGATTCCCTTCACGTCAAATATAACGGATGGTCAGAGCCTAAATGGCCCGCAAAGCCCCTCTGCACCTCGAACACATTCGCGCTCATGTAGGGAATGTACACGGGGACACGGCAGATGCGATGGCGAAACATGGGGCCACTCTTCCCGAAGTAGATGACGATAGCCTACCGGACCCACCACCACCGCCGATCCTAGCAGGGTCAGCAGGTCTTGCAGAGGTCCCATTGCCGATGGCGAAAGTGACTACAAACCTGCCTGACCCAGCAGACAAGGAAGAGGCGGGGACGAGTCGACAACAGAAGCCTGCTGCCATGGTGTCGGACGACCCTGATGCACACCGGGGGCGCGCTATGAAGCGGGCAGTGCAACGCGCACATCTGACTGAACTGGTAGAGGCATCACGGAACCCAGGGCCTTTCTGGCGAAAGTATCGCCAGCTCGCAGATGCCAAGCCTACTATCCCAGATGTACCGCTGGAGGATCTTGCAACCGAGTTTGAATCTCGCATGAACCCTCCGCAGGAGCCACCGCCCCAATTCTCGAGTGATCTGCGGGAAGCGAATCGCATCCTGGCGAGCTTGATGCCAGAAGTCACGGAGGATATGTCCGATGAGCAAGCTTTTAGCTCTCCGATAACTGTCGTGAGATCGAATGGGCCGAAGGATCACATCAAGCAGCATAACCTTAAAAGTGCAAAGGGTATGATGATGTGTC